CTTGTTGACAGTAGTAGAAAAGAGTTAACAATAGTGAAAAAGAATGAAGTGAGCTCTTGGATTATTTCAAACAATAGGGAAATGCAACTTACCCCACTAGTAATCCTCACAGCCCTTTCTTGAATTCTCCAACAACGTTTTCATGTTTTTCTGACTTGCGGCTAATTGATGTTGTTTTAAAGAAAAAGAAGAAGAAGAAAAAAAAGAGACGAAGAGACGAAGAGGAGGAAAGGTGTTTATATAGGTACCCATCGGTCCCTCGGTCCCCTGCTCCCTCTTTTCGCCGATCTTTCTTGATCAGAATTAGATTCACTTACCGCGACCTAACCCACATTTCGTCTTATTCAGTTCTCTCTCCTCAACTAGCAACTATAAAAAAAACCTAAACCTCTAAACAAAAAAAAGTCCAAGTTCAAACAAGTTACAACTTGCGTCTTAGGTTGGATCCCGTCCGGATGTAAGCTAGGAATTCGCAACGCCCATATTGATTTGCAATATTCCTATCCATCCGCAAGACTGTGGCTTTTCCGCAATACTGACACTCTTTCACAATACTTTGTCGTTAATCGTAATCAAAGTGTTGACAACAAAAAATAATATACAAGAAAGAAAGAACTTTTTGAGATCTTTGAGTCATAGAATAGTAGTAAGACATGTCTACTACAGGCAAGAATAATGAGATGTCGGTATAAAGTATAATTTGTTTATTATTCATAAAAAAGAAGAAGAGAAAAGTGTTTATATACTCCTCGGCCTCTCGGCTCCTCTTTTCGCCGATCTTTCTTTTTTCATAAAGTTAGATTCACCTTATTCGGTCTCTCTTCTCCACCAGAGTTAAGATTCATTCTTCAGCATCTACACCTTTTATAACTCTAAAAGACACACAACTCTGGGCACAAAAACATCAAAAATGTCTCGCACACTCAATGACTCAAAAGAAATCTTAGCACAAATAGACGAAGTTTTAGTGAGAGAGTTTGAGAGAGAGACAAACACGGTGGATGTACGACAGAGGGAGAGTCGCGGTAGCGCAGCAAAAGAGCCATTTATTTAGTCACAAATTACGCACTAAGAAAGTTCCTGGATACTGTGAACTTTCTAAAAAGATTCATTCCCGGTCGCGCAGACCGTGCTTTGGTCATGAAAAAGTCATCACGTATGGGGACGACATGATGGATGTCAAAACAAAGAAAGAAAAACGGACAATTAACTTCGACTTTCATTTCCTTCTTCTCATCTTGACTTGTGAGGCTGGATCCATACCACCCTATTTAAGTGTGTATCCGTAACAACGATACACTTGTCCGCAAAACTCTCCCTTATTCGCAATAGTACTGCTTGACCGTGGTAGTGACCATTAGTCGCAGCAATAAGGTCGACAATAATAGAAATGTTGACAATAATCTAGGAATAGCGATATTTTGTGTTTTAAGCTTAAGTGAGAGTTTTGCGGACGGGTGGGGCTGTTGCGGATGAGTATTATTGTTGCGGATACGCACTAATTAGGACGGAGCACAGAATAGGAAGAAGGAAGTTTAAGTTTAAATTCGTTTTCGCTTTTTTGCGTAGAAGATTGTGTGCTTTTATAATTATAAAAAAAAGGTTATAAAAAGTTTAAAAATAAAGTTCGAACTTTGGTAGAAAAAAGAAACTAAATGAACTAAATAAAGTGAATTTAAGTTTTATTAAAAAAAAATTCGGCGAAAAGAAGAGCCGAGAGGCCGAGAGGCCGAGAGGTATATAAACTACTTCTCTCTCCGCCTCTTCTTCTTGTCGGCAGAAAAAAGTTTAGAAATTGGGAGGCACAGATGGTCCTTGTCGACATATCTCTTTTATCTATAATAGTACTGCTTAGAGCGCGAAAGTTGTCACTTGTCATAGCAATAAGCTTGATAGTGAAAGAAATGTTGACAATAATTTTGGGATATTCTTTGTGTTTAGAGCTTGAGAAGGAAATAGTCAGGAAAGGATCGTGGAGCTTTCCATGATGTCTCCGAATCCAATTTCCGGTTTTTCTGCCGACCTCTGCTCGAACTTGTAGTTCTCTGCCACTGAAAGTCCAGTATGGTTGATCAAAGAAGAAGAGGCGGAGAGAGAAATGGTTTGTTTATATACCCTTCGGCCTCTCGGCGTCTCTTTTCGCTGATCCTTCTTTTTCTTCTTAAACTTAGATTCATTTGTTCTTTTGCTCGGCCTCTCGGTCTCCTTTCGCCGATTCTTCTTTTTTTCCCATGAAACTTAAATTCACTTTATACGGCTTCTCGGCTCCTCTCTTCGCCGGTCCTTCTTCTTCTCCATGAACCTTAGATTCACTTGCTTTTGATCGGCCTCTCAGTCTCTTTTCGCCGATTTTTCTTCTTCTCCATAAAACTTAGATTCACTGTTCGGTCTCTCAGCTTCTCTTTTCGCCGATTCTCCTTCGTCTCTGTGAAATTTATATTTACTTGTTCTTTTGCTCTCCGTTTTCAACCTCAGCCTCCTTTAACAAGCATATAAACTCCAACCTTTCTTCACACGGAGAAACTAAACTCCGGCGCACAACAATGCGCCCTTCCAATTTTGTGAGGCTGGGACCTATTTGAGTGCAATCCGCCATAAAACCACTAATTTCGCATTTCTTTCACGTATCCACAACGGTTTAACACTATGGTTGCTATTGGTATCGATGGTGGTGCTAAGAAGATTGGTAGTAAAAGAAATATTAACAACAGTAAACAATGAGTTAAAAACGCAGAAGAAGACATAAGAAAGGGGACGCAGTTTCCTAGTATGTAGTAACCTAGAAATGAAGGGTGAGGTGGACAAAGAGTAAGACACCAGGCTCTATGCTCCGTTATGTCGTCATCATCAATAGACTTTTGTGGGGAATTGAGGAGAGGAAGAGAGGAAGGGAGAGGCGTTTATATACCCCTAGCCCTCGTTACCCTCCACTAAAGTTAAAGTCAAATTCACTTACTTACTCCGCCTAATTTTTCAGTTTACTAAAATCCAAACTTATTTCCTTCCTTTCTACCCCTATTTTTATATATAACCCCCCCCCGGAACTATTGACACGCTTAAACAAAACTTACTTAAAATGGCGACAGATTTCTTTACCTCCTTATTTCGTGAGTTTAGATTTTATTTAAATATAATCCGCAACAACAATTTCTATCCGCAACGCTTTCACTAATCTGCAACTTTTTTATACATCTATAACTTTTTTCCCCAGCCGCAATATTTATACACATCCGCAACGCTTTAGCAATATAACCGTTATTATTATTATTAGCCGCAATCAAAACTTGACAATAAACAAAATATTAACAATAATAAACGACAATAACAGGATACAGAGAGAGGAAATAAATATTCTCTACATTAAACAGGTTATGCTATTAAATTATAGTGTAACAAGAGAGCCGAATTTGATGTGTTCGGATTGTCGGGTTTTTTATTAGTTTTGGAAAAACCGGGAGAAAAAATGTTTTATATATTTCTTATTTGCTTATACCTACCTCACCGGATTCTCTAATTTATCAAAAAGCTAATTCACTTACTCTTTCTCGTAACCCTCAATTTTTCTATAAATATAAAAACTACTTGATCTTTTTTCACAGAGGAACATTAACTCTAATTGTCTACACCTGCCTCGATTCTCGGATGAGACTGGAATATAAAAATCACAATACTAATATTTACTCGCAACGCTTTCATTTATCCGCAATACTTTTATTTGTTGCAAGTTTTCTATCCGTTTTTTTACTAATCCGCAATAATCTATTTTTATAACAGCAATATTTAATACTAGTCGTAACTACAAAATTAACAACAACATTATATGAACAACAATAAACAACAATTTAGTACTAAAGAAAAAAAAAAAAAAAATGCATACTCTTCATATTAACCACCTATGAAATAATTACCAGGAACCAAACAAAAACTCAAAGTTAAATCTCTCAAGTCCTCATATTATTTATCGTTAACGAGAAAAAAAGGAGGAGAAAGAGGAGGAGGAGGAGAAAAGGGTTTACATACACCACATCTCCTGATCCTCTCTCACCCTCATCCCCTCAACTCCATAAAAAAGAAAAAAAAAAAAATTTCACCTCCCCTTCAGGTTCTCCACCAAAAAAAAATCCACTCTCCCCCACCTTCTCCTTAACCCCGCAACCTCTCAACTTCCCTCAACCCCCCCCCCCCCCCAAACCCCTCTCCAAAACCTATATAGATTTTTTTTGGGGAAAAAGAGAAGAAAAAAAAAAGAGATTCATATATATATAGCAAAACTACACCGGAAAATCAAAAAAGTCCGAGAAAAATATCAGTGAATTCTTTTTGAAACCAGAAAAAAAAAAAAAAAGGCGTCTGGAGGTTAAACTCCCCGCGTGCAATAATTAGTTATTAGTGAAATTATATTTCTATATATCAACCCCCCGAAAACCCCGTCCGTCCAACAGCTCTCCTTAAAAAAAATCTATATAAACCCCGACCGACCGCCCGAAGTTTCTCTGGATTTCTTTAGCAAATATTCAGAGCGCCCAAAAGAAGATTCGCAGTAGGATTGGGGCTGCGAGACCCCCCGGATCCGGAGCTGGGTACAATTGTAGATCTACACACTTTTTTTACTGAGTCCAGGGCTTTTTCGGGTGCATGAGAAGAGAAGGGAGTGGAGGGGGCCAAGAGGTGATGGTGGCTATAAGATTGACAACAGTGAAATGGATGTGAGTAAGGAGATGACTAGGTAGCTGGGGAGCAGGGAAAGGAACAAACAGGGAGATATTGAGCCAGGCCCGGCGCTCATAATTATGGGGAGTTCGAGGTTGTGCCTACTTCTTGGAGGGATGTTCGTTTGTTGTTCCATTGCGCGAAGGTTGGTAGTTGAGAGGTGGGAGGGAGGAGGGTTTTTATAGACCTCTCGAGTGCTGCCAGCCTTCCTCTTCCTTCCTACTTGGGAAATCGAGAAATACAGTCAACCCTAGAGAATAGAAAGCTGAAGATTCACCAAAAACAAAAAGCTGATATCAATATCTTATTCCATTCAAAACTCACTACTTATTTTTTATTGCAACACGTTATCCACACCACACCATCTCTCACCACCCTGCAAAACGCAACCAAAAAAACACAAACAAATCAATACAGATAAGTAAAGAAAGGAGACCCATCCCATCGATCTCGGAAGACCTTCCTTTCACAGCCACCCCGAAATACGCCTTGCCATTCGCCTGTGTCGCATACATATGTATTGCCATTGCCTGTCATTGCTTATTTAATTCATTTCGGAAGGTTGATTCATGGGTAGGGCTTGTAGCTCCAGATGCGGGCTCTCATGTCGCCGGAACCAGTAGCGAAGCTACCACCGCTTGGGCTGGGTGCCACGCTAATGACGCTGTTCTTGTGACCTTGCAACATGAGTTGAGTATTGCCGGTTCTTGGATCCCAGAATTGGACACCACGATCCTTGGAGCCGGAGAGGACCCAGTTTCCATCGGGAGTGAGGGCGACGGAAAGAACAAAGTCCTATTGTATGTTAGATCATGAGTTGAATACACATAAAAAGACATACCTTGTGGCCTTCAAAGGTTTTGATGCAACGTCCACCTTTGGGAGCATTACTGGGATGTCCACCTCTTGGTGCGACAAGTTCCCACATCTTAATAGTCTTGTCCAAACTTCCCGAAACAAGATCCTTGCCGTTTGGTGCGAAAGCGACCGAGTAGACAGAATCCTTGTGCCCATCTGGACCTTCAAGGCGTTCAACAAGATAACCAGTAACGGCATCCCAAACACGAACACTTTTATCGAGAGAACCAGCAGCAACGAACTTGGTATCGGGTGAAATAGCAACAGTGGTGACACCATCTTCGATGCTCAAGGTCAGGACGTTTTGACCTGCCTCAATGTCCCACAGACGAACAGTGCGGTCTCCACTTCCGGAAGCGATAGTTCGGCCGTCGCGAGCAAAGTCTAACGAGTAAATGTCTTGCTCGTGACCGGCAAAGGTGTTTCGGATAGTTCTTGATGCGATATCCCAAACCTAAACAGATTAGCGAGTACTTCAGATGAAAGCTAAATATACTGACTCGGATCAACTTGTCTTCAGCACCGGTAGCGAGGAATCTTCCATCAGGACTGAAACAAACGCTTCTGATGTAGAGATCTCCAACAGAATCAACAGATTCATCTTGAAGGATGCAAATCTTCTGTCCAGTGACAACATCGAAGATTTGAGCAGATCTGTTGCAACCTGTCGCCACATATTTTCCATCGTGGCTGAAGCGAACGCAGCAAACAACGCTCTCATGTTGAAGAGTATGGACCAAGTCAACATCCAACACACGAGGAACTTCCGGGTTGAAGATGGCAAACCAATCTGCTTCCACCTTCTTCTGATGTCCGGGCAGGCGTTCAAGATCCAACTCAGCGAGAGCATTTCCAACTCTGAATTGAGGGTGCTGATTGGGTACGGGATGACCAACCTGTGGTGATGCGCCAGCTCGTGGATCAGGATATGGGATAGGTTGGTTCAATTGAGGGGTCGCTGGGCCACCTGGTCCGCGATTGAGAATGCGACCTTTACCTGGGCCGGGTGATGACGTTGATTGTGGGGGCTGAGAATAACCATTTGGTGCAGGTCCTGGATATCCACCACCTTGGAAAGGCTGTTGTGGTGGAGGAGGGCCTTGCAGACTTGGAGGAGGAGGAGGTGGTTGTGGCATTTGGTGTTGAGGAGGACCATGCTGCTCTGGTTGCGGGGGTGGCGCAAGGCCGGGAGCTCCTTGCCCTCCTTGACCTGCCATTATACCCCCGAACAGATTGCTTGGGCCATGTCCAATATCCGGAGGTCTCGAGGCAGCATTCTGGGCAGGGCCACCAATGCCAGATGGGCGCGGGTTACCTCCTCGGGATTCGAGTTCGCGGTGGAGGCTTCGAATTTCTTCATCATATCTGTTACACACAAGTTAGCACCGATTCGAGACATGGAGAGGAGCGTCCATACTTTGACTTCAACGCCAAGTGTGTTTGTTCCATAGCATAAACCTTCTCACGAACCATCTGCATCTCATTAATTTGTTGTGTCACTAGCAGATCTCGTTAGTGCGTGTTGGGTGTGATGCAGCGAATCTGCCTGCAAACAGGTGTTCATGGCGCCGACTTACTTGAATGTTCATAATCATTGCTCGCACGAGCTTGATTCTCGAACTCGACACGAATGCTGTCGAGCAGCTCATTCAGACGGGTATTTCCTGCGCCCGGAGCAGGCCCCAGACCTCGGTGAGGATTATACATTGACATGGTGAGAGGCTGACGCGGGAGCTATTGTAGCGTGGACAATCTCTGCAACCAAGACCAAAATTGTTGCGCACCCTCCGCAGCCTCTTGGGGATGCGCGAAAGGGTGGTCGTGAGTTGATGGAGCTGGTGATGTTTGGTGTTATGGGGTGCGCCTCGGGAAAGAGCACACGAGGTCGTGCGCCAACACAGGGCTGACTTAGAATGTCAAATTTGGCGTTGTTCCTGAGGGACGTCGCGCAGCTCAGTCACTGAAACTGTACTAAGTAAGTAGAAGCGTCTTGGGTGCGAATGGTGGTGGATGGGGATATGTGGTCGCGGTGTCGAGTAATGGAGATGGAGATGGAGAGACGATGATTGAGGGAGGCGGAGATTGACGAGGAGAAGAGATGGATCGAAGAGAAGAACGGCGGGTGTCAAAGAAGAGGAAGGGAAGAAGCAAGCAACCCAACCTTTGGGGCTCGTCCACGGCGGCACGAATTGAAATCCACACGAACTCACCTTACCCACGCTAAGAGAGAGGGAGGAAGTTCAGGTTCACCTGGTTGACAGGGGTCTGAAAGCCAGGCATGTCTTAAGTAAGCGGAGTGGAGAGGAAATGTCTGGGTTAGGGGGGTGGTTAGGGTGGCTGGTTAGTGTCGTGTGGTTAGGGGAGTGAGATCGCGGCAGCTAACCAGATTGAGTGCCTGGTGAAAGGAGGGTTCATCAACCGACAGGCGTCTTGCTGTCATAGCCGGGCCCTGCAGCCACATATCTGAACCATGTCATGGCCTGCACATCCGTATCCACAACCACCGCACCCCCTTCTTCGCCGCTGGTGTGTGCCCGGCCGCAAACAACCATCAACCCAGCCACGGACAAGCTTGCCTTGGGTGAGCTTGGGAGTTCGGGAGCGGTGTGTGCATCGACTGTACTTCGTACTAAACTGTATGGATGGAAGCCGCCAAAATATGTAACCCAACCTTGCCTAGCTGCCTTTGCCTCGCTTTGCTTTATTTTATTTTATTTTACTTTACGTTGCCTTGCTTGTCACGCTTCCGTGCTGGAGGAGAAACGCCGCTGTCCTCGCGCTAGAACTTAACCTTCACCTGGTATCATATGGAACACTGTTGCCTGCATCATCATACATATTTACAGTCCACCCCACCCCACCCCAATGAAAGCCTGCCGCAGCTCTTCTCCAGTAACGAATGCAGTTGCTGACGAACCGATTATTGAAGATATTATTATTATGTGCATCATGAGGTTGCCTTCGTTTACCCCATACTCCCCCGTTCACAGACCCCCCATCAGTTGTCCGGTACCGTACACCCTCAGGTCGAGCGCCCCATCTCTCCTCCTCCCTCTTCTTTCAACAGCCGCCCGAACCGCAGTCTGCAATAATGCGACGTTTCTAGGCGGGCTCAATGGAGAAAGGAAACGAGACCGACAGCCATCCTATGTGGGTTAGTACTGTAGTGATTGAGATCCTTTCTCCAACGTGCATCTCTGCATGACCGCTGGCTGGATCATCGCTCGCCCCTTCACATCCGCCCGCACTGCGGCGGCCTGATGTTGCGCAATCGGCTGCCAAGTTTCCAGCAACGTTATCAGCCGAGGGTGATGGAAAGGGGTACATACCGATCACGATGTACAATTTGACTTTCATAAGAAGTTGAATACAGTATTGATGGTATCAGAGACTCTGAAACTTTCATGTCTACCTCTAGGCGAAGTATCCTTTTACAATTATTTCTCTGCCCAATACCTTTTCACGTGATCATCCCAAATACCTAGGTAGTCTGGGATGTGGACTTTTTTGCCTCCGATGGTACCGCATGAAGAGGGGCAGAAATCGAAACTTTCAGCATCCAAACGTAAAACGTCATGCTCGTTATCAGATCTCACTCTCGCCTCGAAACCAACAGCCGATATCGATGCGAGTGTTTGTAGCTTCTCAGATGTCCGTCCTTACAGTACTTTATGCTTCGAGAACGTCAAACTCGGCAACAGCCCATATATCCAGCACAGAGATTCAGGGGAAACCATTCTTCGGCCATCTCCAGGAACATCCAACTATGCATGATACGAGAACGTGACCTCAAATTATCCTTCCACGCGTTTTGTGACTCGACTCGCCCGAATGGTAAAAAGTATCATGATTTCGCGGACCCGGGTAGAGATGAATCCGTACTCCGATTATGGCACCACCAAATCTTTTGCCATTCGTTCCCAGCTGTCTACCGTAGCGCCTCAGATGGAGCTTCTCATTCGCCAGAATCTCCACCGACATTGACTGACTAATAGTGTTTTAATCGGCGCTAAGATCATTTTGTCAGGAACGGCGATCAACAAATTTAATGGAAAGTCCGTCCGAAAGTATTACAAGAGAGAAATATCCTGCTCTCCTTTGCATCCACGAACCTACTTTTAACTTCTTCCCATCTCTCCGCGACGACATAATCGATTGAACCCATTCATTTGGAGATTCCTTGCTCGGTTTGCTCCAGCTCTCGTATTCTCTGCGAACTCGCGCTCCTGGGAGCCTCAATACCGCCGCTATGGATATCGCCCTCGAGCTATGCGATACCTACATCTTTGACTATATGTACCGGGCTATCCTGCCAGTGCAACCTGCCCCGTATGGCCTGCAAGATGGAATGGGCAATGCGACGACATATGATTACAAGGCTGCGTCAAGCTGGCAGTTCAAGCCAGCGTCTTCAATCCTTTCCTTCACGCCCACAGACGCTGCATACATGAGCACATTGGATAGAGATAATATATATCGACAATCTTTCTCTCTGTTCCTGATCACATGGTATGTCCATCACGTATACCCTTGAGCAACACATCTAACACCCAACAGGATCGCAGGTGCAACCGTTTACTTCGTCGTCTCCTCCCTCTCCTACGTCTTCGTATTCGACAAAACCGTCTTCAAACACCCCAAATTCCTCAAAAACCAGATCCACATGGAAATCAACCAAGCCGTCGGCGCCATGCCCTGGATCGCCATCCTCACCGTCCCCTTCTTCCTCGCCGAAGTGCGCGGCTACTCTAAACTCTACGACCACCTGGCAGACGAGCCGTACCCTTACTACAACTACCTACAATTCCCGCTCTTCCTCATCTTCACCGATTTCTGCATCTACTTCATCCACCGCGGCCTGCACCATCCGCTCATCTACAAGACGCTGCATAAACCACACCACAAATGGATCATGCCGACCCCCTACGCATCAGTAGCCTTCCACCCCGTGGACGGCTGGTCGCAATCCGTGCCCTACCACCTGTTTCCCTTCATCTTCCCTTTGCAAAAATTCGCCTACCTGGCCCTCTTCTTCTTCGTGCAGATCTGGACCGTGTTGATCCACGACGGGGAATACGTGTCCAACTCGCCCATCCTGAACGGGGCGGCGTGCCACACGATGCATCATCTGTATTTCAACTATAATTACGGGCAGTACACGACGCTGTGGGATCGCTTGGGAGGCAGCTACAGGAAGCCGAACGAGGAACTGTTTAGGAGGGAGAGTAAGATGGGGCAGAAGGAGTGGGAGAGGCAGGTTGCGGAGATGGAGAAGATGGTTAAGGAGGTGGAGGGCGAGGATGACAGGTCTTATGGGCCGAATGAGGGGGTTGTTAAGAAGAATCTGTAGATTCTTCGAAGACAACGAACCTGGACAATAGGAAGAGGCTTGCGTAATGTTGAAGTGTGGCAAGCATTGAGCTGGGACGAGAAGTTGTGGTAGATGGGAGACGACGAATATTGACTGACTGCATATAAGAGGGCGTTGGGGTATTTTCTGTCCTGGTTCTCCTTATACTATAACTCACACATAGACGTCGCTATACCCTCTAAATAGGACGGCGCGTCAACCTAATACCACTCGTTCTTTGATCTATCTTTTACCTCGAGAAATTTGGTGATGGTGTTGTGTAGGGACCAATTGAAAGAGCAAGGTCTCGAGCGTGGAAGGGGATTTAGTGACAACTTGTTAATGAGCACGTCGCAGCTATCTTTGTTGCGGGTTAGTGGAGGTTTGAGAATGATCTCCCCCTGTATGGAAGTGAATGATAGTAGAATCTGAGACGCAATGTTAGCATCCTCCTACGGAAAGAGGTGAATGGGGTTACTTACTTCAAGTATCCACGACAATCAGCAATAGGCAAGCACGAAAACTTGCATTCTCGATTTTGGTTCATCGGAAAGGATTACAATAGCATTAACAACTCTAATTATCAAACAAACTCAAGCATCTCCTATCACCAACTTTTAGACTTCAACGCAAACCATCCCCCCCTCAACTAGAAGGATAAATCGCCATCCTCACCAACTTTTAGACTTCAACGCAAACCATCCCCCCCTCAACTAGAAGGATAAATCGCCATCCTCACCAACTTTTAGACTTCAACGCAAACCATCCCCCCCTCAACTAGAAGGATAAATCGCCATCCCCGTCCACAAAGCCCTACTCCCCAACGCACTCAAATCCAAACTCTGCACCTGCATCCCGGACGTCCCCTTCCCAACCAACCCCGTCAAATCCAGCACACTCACACTAGCACCTCCCCTCAACACATACAGAAAATTCCTATCAACCTTTGCATCGAAACTGCCCTTTCCAGCCGCATCCTGCACCTCCACCCCCTTTATCGCTCCCGTGGCAGGATCCAATAAAGTAATGTTGGGGTTTCCGCCGTCCATGACGAAGATCGTGTTGAAGCGACTAGAGTATGCGGACCAACAGCTTGCGCCCTGGTTCGGGATCACGGTCTTGACGGCCACGGAGACGGAGAAGGTGGGTGAGATGGATACGATTGAAGCACCGTACGAAGCGTCTGTGATGACAGCGGAAGAGTCGGAGCCCAGGAAGTCGATGCTGAAATCTACGACGAGTTCCGAGGGGGAGGAGATCATGGGGGTGCTGGAGATGACGCCGGAGGAGAGGACGGGCCAAGCGACGATGAAGCCGGGGGTTGGTGGCATGCCTTTTATGGTTACGAAGAGGGCGGTGGAGGAGGGGTTGAATAGGATGTCTGCGACGGTGCCAGGTGGGCCGACGGGGGGTGTGGTTTGGTTTAGGGGGATTGGGAGGAGGGAGGTGATGGGGGTGAGGCCCTTGGCGTGGTCAACTGAGTAGCAGGATACGCCTGCGATGGCACCACCGTTGACGACACATGCTGATACAGATTAGCAGATGCGGTGTGAATGGGAGTAAATTGTCGTACCAGTCTTTAATGCTGCAGAGTATGTGATTGAGACGGGAAATTCGCCTTGTGAAGAGGCAGTGCTGAGCAATTTTGGTTGCCATGGGTTGGTAGGATCGATTGTAAACATGGAGACGGTGTTGCTTCCGGCATTGACAGTGAAGAGGTACTTGGGAGACAGTCAGATTGATTCAATTGGCGTATAGCATGCAGTACTCACATCGCCGGATACAACCACAGCATCTTGGACGAACAACGGATCACCACCTCCTGGAGCTGGCGCAACTCCAGCTGTTGCTGATGCTGTCAAGGCTTGAAGTCCTTTGCCTCCAGTTGAGGTGAGGATCGGGTCTGAGACCGTGCCATCTTGTACGCTGATCTTCAAAGAAACAATGCTCGACCCGGTTGGATCATCGTTTAGAAAGTATGCTGCACGGTTTGTAGTGTCTCTTTGCGTGATTGCCAGAGCAGAGACAATTTGAGGAACAAGGAGGTAGCTGAGAAAATGCATCTTGATCAATTGACTGCTTCGAATTGATGATTTGACCTGTGTGCAGGTTCAAAATGAAGGCGCCTAACATCTTTATACATCTTGGGAAATGAGGTATATCTCGGTCTCCGATCGAGTTTGTCCAAGTTCGTCCGAACTTTATGACGACAAAGTGGAGATTGGATCTGAGAATGCAACATGACCAATACAGGCTGAATAAACAATGCGGAGAAACATACGAGATCTTGAAGCCAGAAGTCAAATTGATTGTAAAAATAACGCCCGTGGGCAACTATCCCTTTTCTTCGGTCTATCCACCGCAGCAGGGCGGCACGGAAAGGTACATTTTGATTCCAAAGAGTAAACAAGTCGAAGTCGCTCAAGGGAATCGATTGGCCAATTCATCTTCGAAGAATTGAATGCTATGTAAGCACCGACGCTCGTGCTCGTTTTAAATCCACGAGTGGCCATTGTGATTCCAAAGATGGAGAAGGATGGCTGAAGCACGGCTTGAGATGGTCCCTCGTCTGAAGTCTCACCCTTGGAAGAGCTAGACCGCATTTGGGCTCGTTGTTTCCAAATGCTTGATTTCATCCTCCTGCTAGCCGCCACGTCCCTTCGGTCTATTCTCTAGCCAGGAACAGGAATGAAGCGTTTTATTTCTACATCAATTCAATTCAATAAAGATTATTCTTTTGCAAACCCCAATTGAATTCGTCAATATCATCACGTGATTATGCTGCTATTGCACTTACTGTTCAGGAGCCAAGAATAATCCCTCTGTGCTTGGGTCCATTTGAATGCAGTAGAATTTCCAATAGATCTCACTTGATCATCGCTGGAACGATCCATCCTGGTCCATCGCCGGAGGCAGGTACACGTCTGAATAAGCAGACTATCTCAGCCACTAGAGCTAGCGCTTGCTTACTACAAAATCAAATGCCATCATATTATTCATACCCTTGCGTCGAACTTGGCTTTGTTACTTCTTTGTATTTGAAGTTGGATTATAGAAGACCTCATAGATAATGAGGTTGTTCGGAGGTAGAATCCGCAAGGTGAACAGACCCCTCTCCTTCCGCTGATGTGTTGCTTGTCTAGTGCTGTATTGCTGACCAGTATCTCATAGTGCGACGGAACTACGTCAAGTCGATTATACATAAAAGAAGGCCGGAGATGAAGAAAGTAGAAGCAGACTGAGAGTTTTTGGGAGCTTTTGGGATAAGGGGTAAGGGAAGGGGTGAATGCCTTTCTCAGCAAGTGCGGTTGAGCGTTGAAGTGAATCCCCAGACTCATTACTCTAACAACTAAGCGAAGTATAAACAGTATTCTTTGCCCCCTCTTAGCTGCTGCACGCAAGGCAACCTACGCCGTCCAGAGCCTCTCTGTCGATGGCGGCTCCTGGCGCCGGGTGTTTTGCCTTTCCTGGTTGGTTGATTGATTGCTTATAGTCGTTCTTTCTTTGTGTGTTTTATTATTGATATTATAGACTAATTTTCGTCAAATAGAGCACCGTTGCCAAGAATTCTGAACTTTCGGACGAGTCGAGTTGGTGTAACCAACTGCCTCATTTCGGAATAGCATGGACTCTACACTGCACATATGTTCGTTCTTCCAACCTTCCTTTTCTTGTTATTATGAATCCACTGCTCTTTGTGCCGATATTGTCCTGTTCAAAGTCAAGGATCCAAGTCAAGCAAATTGTTTGGAGACGAAACATGCAAGTGCAAGCACGTGGCCCTGCATGTAGCCGGGAACTTAATTCAACATCGTTGCAGTCTCAACACCTTATCAGCAATCGAAGTCAACGATCTACTGCTTCTGTACTCCTCACTGACGTAAGCCCACCTCGTCAACAACATGTCACAGGCAATGAAACAGAACGTCCTCGTCATCATTGGTGCTGGAGGCTTAGGTCTCGCCGCAGCTCGACGTCTCGGTAGCGGTCGACATACCCTTCTAGCCAGCTACTCCGCTAGAACCATCTCCTTTGCCCAACAGTCTCTCCAGGACGAGGGATACTCAGTCTCAAGCATCCATGTTGACATATCCTCGTACGACTCTGTCAAGAAAGTAGCAGATGCAGCTTCTGCACTTGGTCACATCGATGCCATCATCCTGACCTCGGGTGTAACGCCAGTATCTGCGAACGCAAAACAGATCTACGAAGTTGACTTTCTGGGCCACGCCAACGTCATCGATGCCTTTCTCCCGATCGTATCGCTAGGTACTTCTGTAATGTGCATTGCAAGCATGGCACCATACTTCGCCGCTGCACTTTCTACGCCTCTCTCCCAGGAACTAGAGAAACATCTCGCTACCGCTCCGCTCAACAAACTCCTACAATACCCAGAAATTGACCTCAGTGATGGGAATGAGGGGGCTGGGACAGCTTACATGAACGCAAAACGTGGGAATCAGATTCGTGTAGAGGCTGCTGCTAAAGCCTATGGGTTGAAGGGAGCCAGAATCAATAGTGTAAGCCCTGGAGTGATCATGACGAAGCAGGGGAAGTTGGAGCTGGAGGGTCGGCATGGCCCTGCCATGAAGGGATTGATTGAAAACAGTGCGTTGGGGAGGGCAGCAACTCCAGAGCAGATTGTGAATGTGATAGCGTTCTTGGTTAGTCAAGAGAGTAGTTTTATCACGGGCGTTGACATTTTGGCCGATGGTGGGGCAATTGCTGGGGCGAAATGGGGTGCAGCTGAGTAGTGCCTTAGTCGGTCTTGTTGGTGCTTGTTGAATATATCAAGTTAGCTTCAGAAAGCCATGCCCCATGCTTTTTTCATGGCTACTTTCTCGAGCTGTAATTCGCACAAGGAAAGGGGAGAATTCCGGTCTATCGCAACTACGAGTCCAGTTACCGCAGATTCTAAGCCGTTGTGATACCTCGATAAAGATTTTTAGTGTCCTACAAAGACATCATTTCGTGTTGTACGACTTCTCAATTAATACCGATACACAGTTTCAATATACATAAAAGCAAATACAACATTTGAGCCAAAAAAGGAAAAGATTATAATGCTGATTTATGTCTCCTAGACTCACTAAAACACATCCGATCTAGATGACTGTTCAAACACTTCGACAATACCAAGGCTTTGCATTATAGAGGCACGGGGGAGGAGCTTAGATGAAATTAGATGCATTTAATAAAGAATTTCAATATCGAGGCTATCCAGTGCTATCCAGACACATCCTCTACTGTACAAAATTCACACTCGTCAAGCAGTTCACTTGCCGAACTTGGCCCCACTTGCCCCTTTAATCGATGGCCCACTAGCCGTAGCTCTCATTAGTCATCAAAACCGTTTTCCAACGTCGCGCGGCGCAAAGCATCGGATTTCCGTCATCAAAATAACGATAAGAATTTTTGGTGAGCTATGGTGGGGTATATTTCTTTACCATTTCCTATTGTCTTCTTTTCTGTTCTTCTCCTTTCGTACCCGTTACCTCTTCCCCTTCATTCTATGTAAAATTTGCCAACCTACCGAATACATAGCTATAGACTACTAATCTAGCAGTCCAACAAAATGTCTCTCCCCACCGAGATCAAGCAATGGATATCCTCCCAAAACGGTCTCGAAAACCTCACTCAAACCACAGCCCCCCTTCCCGTACCCGGAGAAAATGAAGTCTTGGTCAAGATCAATACCGTCTCGCTGAATTACCGAGACACAGAAGTGGTAATGGGCCTCTACAACCACCACAAGACGACCGGTGGACCAGCCTCGACAATCGTTCCCTGCTCCGATATGTGCGGTACTATCGTCACCTCGAATTCCCCGAACTGGAAGGTGGGAGATAAGGTCCTGAGTATTTTCAATCAGACGCATTTGAAGGGACAAGTAAAAGCGGAACATATGAAGAGTGGGTTGGGTCTGCCGTTGCAGGGTGTGCTGGCGGAGTATAGGGTGTCTCCGGAGTATGGGTTGGTGAAGAAGCCGGAGTATCTGAGTGATGAGGAGGCGGCTACTTTACCGATTGCCGGGATGACTGCTTGGATGGCGATTAATGGGATGAGGCCGTTGGGACAGGCTGGTGGAGAGGGAGAGAAGGTCTTGATTCAGGGTACGGGTGGTGTGGCGGTCAGTGGATTGCAGATTGCTAAGGCGAGTGGTGCTGAAGGTAGGATTGTCCTAAGAGCCAAGGAAGTTGGTGATGTTAATACTAGTAGTGATTATTACCTCTTCCTCAGACGCGAAGCTCGAATTGGCAAAGAAGCTGGGTGCGGATAAAATGATTAATTATAAGTCAACTCCAAACTGGGACGAAGAGGTATTGAAGATGACGGATGACGAAGGCGTGGATATCATATTCGAGAACGGCGGAGCTCAGACATTGCGGAAGTCCTTCGATTGTATAGCTTTCGGTGGTCTGATCAACTGTATTGGATATCTGTCTGGAAAGGAAGACGCAGTGGGAGACCGAACGAACACGAATGTCTTGGCTTTGAAAAGGAACGTTACGCTGAAGGGGCTTTTGAATGGGCCGAGGGAGAGGTTGGAAGAAATGCTGCAGTTTTATGATGACAAGAAGATCCATCCTGTGGTTGACAAGGTCTTCGGGTTTGAAGAGTCAAAAGAAGCGCTGATATATTTGTTCAAGGGTGGACATTTCGGGAAGGTTGTGGTGAAGGTAGACTAGGTAGGTAGGCAGAGTAATACCTTGGTAGTATTAAGGTAGTGAGTGACTGTGTGCTCCTTTAGTCTCGCTTAAAATGCTAACAAATTTCTCAGGAATTGAAAGTCAAAAGAGAAAAAAATATAGAAAAGTTTCTAGCGTCCAACCAAAAAGGATGAAAAAAATAGCCAGCTGAACCAAAAACTCGGATCTCACCTGTCGATAAGGGGAGATCGTAGAAAACTTGCTCGGTGTCGGGTGCAGTTTTTGAAGTCGCGTTATGGCGTAATTCGTTATGGCGTGCCTGAGTCCATCTGGTTACTGTCACTTGAGCTAACAAGATATTAGCAACCTTTGGTTTTCCGGACTCAGTAACAGGAAAATGCTTATTTAACTTTATTAGGATCCCTAGGCGAGCTCGCTCTGAAAGGTATGTTTCTGCCTCGTTCGGTTACTAGCCGGTTCCCCTCCTGCTACCCTTCACGTCTTTTCAACTCCAACACAAGATCCAACCTCCACTCTCAATCACTTTTGAAGGTCTTACTTAATTGACTTTGAAACTTCTTTACTCTCGAGTGACGAAGTAATAACCACATCCCTCCGAGACGCGTCCCAAAGTATGTTTTCTTCTTTGTTTACTTTTGGTCGAAGCAAAGTTCAGCTACCAGATCCTGCGAACACCAAACATCAACACTCACTTTTGTCAATCAACCTTCCTCCTTTCTCCATCCTTATTTCAGCTTCAAAAAGCAGCCTTGACATCCATAATTCTTGCTAACAAGAACACTTGAATCTAGGGATTACATTCACTCCGACGCAAAGATGGTCAAGGTTAAAGCTGATAATCAGCTCCGGGGTGAGCTTGGAAGACCCGTCGAGTATCTCAAGGCCCATGAAGCTGTCTGCTTCCACCAGGGTGAAGATATGAACGCCTTGACGGTCTCCTTCAAGCGCACCATTCGAGTTGTAAGCTTGCTCTTCGAAGAAACACTTGACACATACTGATTTACTTCAGCCTGAGGATGGCAAAGTTCACGCTCTTCCCCCCAACCTTGGTTTCTTCCCGTTGTACAATGTCAGTCACTATGCTGACACCCTTCCCAAGGGTATGACCTCGAAGGGTGGTTGCTTCATGCCTGTTCATGGTGAGCCAAGTATTATCATATCACATACTTCACTACTGAGACAAGGCTTCTAGAGCGCGAGGCGTTGTGGATCCGTTTCGAGTCCACTCGTCCTTTCGGTTTGAAAGTCTACCTCGGCAGCATCAACGCCATCAGCGGCGAGCCTCTCAAAGAGACTTTCGCTTCTACGATGCGTCGTCAACAACGCTTCTCAGACCATATTAACATCCAAGACTACGCAGTAATCGACCCAGCCGCTCAAGGACAACTCTGGCTTGATGGCATCGCCAACACTGACGGCACAGTGATGCAATTTGTAGCCGTCTCTTCCGGAACCGGATATTCTGTCGAGGCACAGATCGCAAAGCATGAGGCGGTTTGTGGCATTCAAATCATTGTTGCGCCGATCAAGCGCGGTGCCGTCGCCGTCTTGAAGGTTCACCGGCTCGGACAGACTCCGTTGTTCCCAAGCGTTCAATTGAATGCTACGGTCTACGAGTTGATGAACATGATCTCGGCCACGATTGACGTCCCGGTTGAGCAGTTCTATCTCCTTCATGACAACGTGGTCCTTGAGAAGAGCAAGTACAGCGATATCATCCACAAACAGCAGATAGCTAACGAGAGTAGATTACCTTCTGTCCCATTACGGCATCACGGCACAAGTAAGTGATCTGGTACTCCCTATCTTCTTCCTCGTTAACAGCGTCACCTAGAACTCAACCCTCCACCTCGTGCTCCACCTCCAAGGCGGCGGCCTGGTCGGCAACCCGAACCTACCATCCGAAGGCGAGATGGGCATTGCGGCCGGCGGACTCATCCGACAAGCCATCCTCCGCGACCCGCACGCCTCCGAGGTCTGGGATTGCAAGAACGTCACGACTTTCTGTAGGTTTTCTCCTTTCCTTTCCTTCCTGTGCAATGACTTAATTCTCTTCCTTCTCGATCTATGTACAACAAGCCAGACACTAACACAACAAAAAACAGTCGTCCAACTCCTCAACGCCAATCTACTCGAGCTCGTCACAAGCATCGCCCCGCCACCTTCCCCCATCACAGCCGAACTCTACGCCGCAGCCGGACTCCCGTTCTTCTCTCTACCCGACGAGCCGAAGACGGGTATCTACGGCAAGTTCTCGGGCGTCAAGAGTATCGGTCAGATGGACGTTGCGAAGGGTAAGAAGAAGGGTTTGGATCGGGAATTGAAGTTTCCGGTTATCAAGCTGGATAGGAGTGGCAAGCATTTGTTCAGACCCGTGGGCCGGATGGAGGCGTTGTTGAAGGGGATGGGGTTTGCTGGTTCTTAGGAGAAGGACCGGTTGGGATGGATCACTTGTAAGGATGCTCTGGAGTAGGTTTTCACCCGGTAGATGTAGATGTAAATGAGTTGATTTTGGCATTTCATTCTCCTGAGCGGTTCCCCTCAATTCATCGATTGCTTCTGCGTTTGCACAGATCATGAAATCAGAGTATATAGGTACGTGTTCACAGCATCCATTCATTGTTCCTACAGGACACACACCGGGTATACTACGCACTCCACTCAAAACTTTCAAATTTACCACCACCTTCTCCGTCACCCATGTCCATCCTCCTCTTCCATTCCGCATCCAAACCTTCTCAAGCCACTCAAGCATAAGCAGGCTGAGCCCCATACCCACCACTAGTCCCAGCCGCTTGCATCGGCTGCGCAGCTTGATGCTCATACGACGGCTGCACTGGGACCGCCATCTCGGGCTTGGTGTTGTGCTCCACGGCCGTAGTAGCGAAAGAAGGTGCGCCGTAGCCGGACGGAGCGCCATAGCCGGACTCGACGTGTGCTGGCTCGGTGGTCTTGGAGTTAGGCATGCAGTGCCCGCCAGCCTTGCGGTGCTTGTGGAGGTAGATGGATGTCCAGATTAGGGTTTTAACGAAGAGGATACTAGAAGTGGGGTGTTAGTTTGAGGTTTGGGGGAGGAGAGGGGAGGGGATGTACAATTCTAGACCACCGAGACCGCAGGCAGCTGCCATGCTGTTGCGGTATGTGTAGACGTCTGTGGTGTCGCGTTTGGAGAGCGTGAAGCCTCGTTTCTTGACGCAGTAGCCGTAGTAAGTGTACGCGCACGTGTCGTCGTATGTGACGATCTGGTATTCGGCGACTTCGCTGGCGAGGTAGGAGAAGGAGACCACCCAGAAGATGATGGCGAAGATGTCGAGGCCGAGGATGGCCCAGTAATTATAGATGACTGGTGCACAGGTTTCGGCGACGATGATGTAGATTGTGATGATGACGGTTGCAATGGCCTAGGTGGGATGTTAGTAGACGAATGGTAGAAAGGTCGGGAAGACGAACGGTGAACATCATGAGGTTGTCGCCGTCGAAGGAAAGGAATGTGATGCCGTAGGCCATCAGGCCCATGACGGCGATGGCAGTTGCAAGTTGGAAGCATCTCGACACGAACACAGTCCTTGGTAGCACCAACTTATGATCTGTAGAGCCTGCCATGATAAACGATAAAGATGTCTTCCTGGTGTTAAGAGGGAAGTAAGTAAACAAAGACGACAAAAAAGACGAAAAACTTATACTCGAGCCCTCGGGAGGGAAATGCAAGGGCGTGACTCAATACTTATACGTTCCTTTCCGTTTACGCCCAAGACACAATTAGAAACGATTAACTTTGATCGTTCCGCCCTCATGCTTCAGCCGCATGAGCAGGTGATACAATCTCTCTCCGAAATTGTGCATGTCAATCCATTCAGAAGTCTTGAATTCAGCCTCATTTCCTATTGCAGACAAGCCTACCGATACTCAACAGTAATAGCGTCGGGGCACAAGGCGCTCTGTCTGGTTCCACGACGGCACTTTCCCCATCAAAGGGTCGAAGAAGTGGAGTGCTACGAGGGTTGCTAAATCTGCCCAAGCCGTCTCCTGTCTGCAAAATTAAGGACGTTTTGACTGCCTTGCCGCTCTGGCTAGAGATGTGATTTGAGGCTTTCAAGCCACCGTCAAGGCTTTAACGTTCAGGGTCACACTGCCGAAAAATTGAGACCTCGATTGAGAAGGAAGGGACTGAAATGATAGGTTGAACGACGACGAAAGGGGGTATCAATGTTGGAATGGAGAAAAGACAGCGGTTCGTGCATATGAGCTGAACTCGCTTCATCCTTCGGGGCGGGTGGAAGCGAGGATTTGCATGCAGGGAACGCGTTTTCTATCCTATGACGGACAGCGTGAGAACTCTCTTTGAAATTGAGAGGTTTATTTTTGCGACTTGAGGCTCAAAGTGGGTTTGCGATATCGCAAGGCAGAGTTTTGAGTCGTGTCGGTGTGATTCGGTGAGTGGTTTGATCTGGTGTCCTCGAGAGTTGTGTCTTTTGGAAGTTTGGCGGTGCGCGCGCTTTGGGTCGAATATAAAGGTCGGCTTGTGAACTCCGTGACTGAGACATGATGAAGGAAGTGATGTTACCACCGAAGTAAGGTATTGGACTTAGCTCAAGGCTGAACTTGAGTCGTTTGAGATTTACTTTGAAATGCTCCTCTCGTATTGTTCATCCTGGACCCTATAAATATGAGGTTGTCAGACATTGACTTTACCTACCTACAGTGTCGTACCGGTATCACTGCTCGTGCCGCTTGCCGCCCCGAGGTCCTTCTCGTGTCATCCAGCCACGTGATCTTTAGTCACGAATAGATTAGGTAGCTTCAAAGGAGCTATGAGTCTCTGGCTTTGTTGGAGACAATCAAGGCCTTCCAACACCTGGATTTATGTTACATTTTCTTTTCCAGGTCTTCAACTGATGCTCGCGCAACGTGATCTCTGCCTGGCGTCTAAATCATATTACCTTTTAATTGAGGCATCAATGCGCAATACGATCGACCTGCTTTTGTACGATGCGTGGTTTTTCCAATCATGCAAGGTCCCGGGATAAATCTATTCCTGGAGCCTATTGGCCGTATGCTGAAACATATCCAGCTTGGCGGTCTCGAGCTCAAAGAGGTGCTTACTGTACATCACTTGTGCTACAGTACTGTACCATCTCTCGTGCTACCATCTCTCAAGATAAGATAAAAATGAAGAGATATGTTTTGTTTTGCCCAGACTGATTTCCTTTCTGCGGCTTGATACACGTATCTTGTGTCGACGATAGATGTGTGGCTGTCCCAACACGATTCGTCTCTTCTCCAGCTGGACAACCACCTCAAAGGCTGAGTTGGCCGTCTCACGGGTCTCCATGCTGCTTCCTCATTGGGCAATCGCTGAGCCATTTGATGCACGCCCTGCCAGATTCTGCATAAATCAGCTAGATGGAGCCAGATGGACCAGTTGGAGGAAGGCGCTCGTGCATAAAAGCGGTGATAAAGTGATAAAGTGAGGAATGATGTGTGATCGTCCCAGATAAGCAAGTGTCACCGTGTTCGCTGTGTCAAGACCGAACTCGAAACCCCACTCGCCCTCCGCTGCGTTCCTTTAAAACAAGATTCTCGACCGAGATATAACGACTTTCCTCCTGCATATCACGAATACAAACAGACAAACCTAAATTCAACAACACTCTCACTTTCAACCAAGTACGTTCCCTCTGCAGTTTGAACATGCTGTTAGAATAAGGGACTGACTTTCGCAGACCAATCTTCATCATGCCTGTCGTCGAGCAACAAATCCAGGCCCCTGAGCCAATGTCTGCCAACACCTCCAACGTTGAGGTCGAGCAACCCGTAAGTCTTCTAATCCAAATGCTTTGATTTCCATTCCTTTATCCAATGCCCCTCTTCTCAATGACCTCTCACCCCTCAATCCGATATCTTCGAGAAAATAGATCCGCACTAACCGATACTCCGCGAACAGAAGCCAGCTGCCATCATGTCAACCTCCGGTGACGCCGTCGGACTTCGAGGAGGAGAGGAGGCTTCCTGCGAGTGCTGCGGTTGCGGTTGCGCTGAGGGATGCTGCTAAACGCACCCATATACCCATTGAACGACCGGCGCTCGGGTTCCTCGGACGCTGATATACTTCTGCTTCGATTGCGTTCGTTTGGCACATCCAAGGGAAGAAAATGTATACAAGAAGACGAGCAATGAGACGATGAATTGATGGCATTACCTACTTGCACACACCCAACAATTGGCCAATTCTCGAAGAGCGGTGAGATGTGAGACAAACCCAAAATCGAAACTCAATACAACCACACAAAGCCCAAGATGTTTTTATTTGAGGTTTCAATTGATCTAGTGATGGATTTCTCCACTATTTCTATCATCTCATCTCATCTCACCAAGAGTCTCGGCGCATCATTTAGCCCGCCAAGCTGGACGATGGCTCGCGCCGAGAGAAGCTTAGAAAAAGCTTGAGTTTGTTTCTCATCAACAACCAGATCTTCAAATCTGCAGTACACAGAGCGAGTGCTCAGTATGTCACGATGATTCCAAACAACTCAATGCTGCTGCCTAAAACAGGCCAGGCAGCAATGCGATATCCCTTCATTAATTTCATCGCTGGCAATTTGGGAAATATCACCGTTGCGGCACAGCATCGTTCCTGCCCCTCCGTCGTACCGCTAAGACGCACTTTATTCCGAGTAACCGCGTTAGATTACAGCGTTTCCTCTTTCGGGAACGAGATATAACATTGACTGATTTCCTCTTTCTTCTCTTTTTCCCCATCGTCATTTTTGCGCATCAATTGGGATCATTGAGGACTTGCGACAATGTACACGACCACAATTCTCGGACTCGCGGTCCTAGCCGGTACAGCAACAGCGAATGTCTACGAAGCCGCTCTCGCCGCGCGCCAAACATCGTCCGACGAAACTGCATACCGTAAGCTATCCTCCTCTCCTCCCTCTACCAAAGATTAACAAAGAACAGTGGACTCAGTCTGCCTCCCCAACGTCACCTCCCCCGTCGTTCCCCCCTGCCAAGAAATCACCAACATCGAATCCGCTTGCCTCCCCAACGGCACGTCGTCCCTCGACCTTCTCGCACACGCAGAGTGCATGTGCGGCGGCTCCTACTTCAGCGACTGGCTCGGCTGCCTGAACTGCGATTTCGTGCACAGCGGCCGCTCACCCGCCGTTACGTCTGCGTTCCACACGATATTGAGCGAGGCGAGCACCGAGCTGTGTACCGGGACCCCGACGGCGAGCTTTCAGGCGATCTTTAGCAGTTTGCAGTATAATGTTGCGGCGAATGGAAGTGCGACGGATACGACAGATTTGTATCCCAGTCAGACGGCCGTGAGTTTGTATTTTACGCCTAGTGGGGTGCAAGGTCCTGGGGCGATTACGGGGAGTGCGACGCTAGCGACGAAGACGGGGAGTGTGGCGGGTATTACGACGGCTACGGGGACGGCGGTGTCGAGTCAGAAAAGTAGTGGAAGTGGAAGTAGTGCGAGTGCGGGATCTGGTGGGAGCTCGAGTAGTACGAGTTCGAGTAAGGCTGGTGCTGCGCCGACGGGGGTCTGGATGAGTGGTTTGGGTATTGCGGCGGGAGTTGTGGGGATGGTTGTTTTGTGATGAAATGAGAGTAACTAGTGAGAGAGGATAGGTTAAAGAGGAGGTAATGCGTAATGCTAATTATGAATCAGAACTTATTACTATCCTTTCAGTTGTATCTCTGCTTTTTGTCTGGAACGCAGAAGTCTGAGTGTCAAATCTGTGGAGAGAAGAGAGCAATTTACTTCTGCAAAGCGCACAAAGGAACCCCCTTTTATCTCATTGGACATAACCGTCCCAGGTGTAGCAAGTGCTTGCATCTCAGTTTTTCATTAAATTATACTTTCTACACATACATTTGCAACTCGAGGTAAAACCCTCCAAATCCCCTCCCAACAAACTTCCTTTTCGAGCGGTGCTAAGCGTCAAGTCTGGGAAAATTCACCCGCTATCTAGGTGACTCTCCATCTTCAAAAATCCCTAGCCGATTTTAGCAATAAAATGTCCTATACCAACTCCAGTATTACACACTACTACATAGTTTGTGTTCAATTAGATTCAAATTCTAACTTTTTAAAAAGCTATTTTATATTTTTATTAAAAAAATGTTAAGTATAAACTTAATTTGTTATACGCAATACTTTATTACATTTTGTGAATTTGGGTCCTATCGGCCACAAATTTCACTGATAGAGAGGGTGAATGTGTCGAGGCCGGCCCGCAAGTATATAAACAAGGACTCCTCCCTCCCTCCCTTTCCCACTTTCCTTTGAGTGTAATGAGAAGGATGCTATTATCAGGGACACTAGGTGGGCCTTGTGACAAGCTGGGCGTCAGGATGTTGTTATTTCGGGTCGGGAGTTGCACAGTGTTGTTTGTTATGATGATTGGGAAGGTTTGATTTGGAGGTTAGAGATGGTTGCTGTTAAGTCTGGTGGTGTTGTTGTTGATTGTTTGGACTCTTTCGTCTTAAAGTTGTTTGTGGTGAATAAATGAGGAATTGGGAAGAATAATGCGGATGGTTACTTTGGATAATGATACCTCCTTGCTGAGCTTGTCTCTTGGTTGGCAAAATGGGTCGAATGACATAGAAGGGGCGGCGCATTTTGCGCTGAGGGCGCTGAGGGCGCCAATGACATGAGGTCGTGGATTTGATTTCTCTTTTTATGTTGAGAACTTCTTTAACAGTGTGCATAAAACGGAGCTGCGGATGAATATTTATTGTACCCATTTAGTACTCTATTCATTGTCTATTTCTTTAGCCCTTCTAACTTTTTCTTCTCCAATATATATCTTATTTTAGAGGATGTTCCCGCATGCTGAACGCCAACAACAGTGCAATAAGCGTGCAACCAAGAGAAACCACTGTTTCAAATCAGTATCATTTCCTCAAGTCCAAACAAGAAAGTGGCAACTCACTATGATCATACTCCAAACTCTTCACATAAGCCTCCACAACCACCCTCCTCACCCCCTCTTCCAACCCCTTAATACTCCCCACATTCTCCATAACCTCCTCCAGAATCCTCTTCCCACCCTCAACCCCATCCAACCCCCTCTCCAACAACGGCCTCAATGTCCCAAGCTGCACAGCACTAGACCCCGCAACCCCAACCATCATCCCAATACTACCACTCAAATACAGCCCTCCCGTCGCAACAGCCATCTGTTCTTTCCTCACGCCGGCCACCATACTAATCATCGTGCTCGAGAACACGATCCCGGTCCCGAAGCCTCCGGGCACGATATACAGACTTTCCAGCCAGGACGTATGGCCGTGCCAGCGCAGGATCAAAAGCAGGTAACTGAGCGAAGAAGCGAGGGAAGCGAAGATGGTGAGGAGTCTGTAACGGCCGGATTTTCGGATGATGTAGCCGGAGAGGAGACCGCCGATTGTGTTTCCTACGACCGCCGGGAAGAGGTGCGCTCCTGCTACGGTGTTGGTTGTGAGTTGGGTGGCACGGAAGTAGAGGGGGACTGAGTACATCATCTATTTAAATTCCTTTTAGCAAGAGTTCTTTGATTTTGTGATGGGAGGGACATACGCTAATCTGAGCAGCGGCTTGCAAAGCCTGGATTAGATACGACGTCGCTACATCTCGTTGGATAACAAGACAAGGAGGGAAGATGGGCTCAAAAGCATATTTCTCTTCATATACAACGAATATGGTTCCTAGAACTACGGAGCCGATGAGAAGACCGAGGACAAGCGGATGGCCCCAAGGCACAGACTGTCCTCCGACGCTCAATGCTCCGAGAAGGGAGACGATGGTCGCTGCTAACAAAACCGCACCTACGAAGTCAATCCTTCTCAACTTGGACGGTTTCCCTTTCGGCTGCTCCTCAACGCTTGGAGCAAAAGAAGGTAGTTTGATAGCTACAAGTACAATAGCCACAATGAGGAGTGGTCCTTGGCCAGTGAACGACCATCTCCATCCGATGGTATCGGCGAGTAGACCACCTAATGGGCCACCGATACTTCGTCCCAGGGTGGCGACCACGTTGACGAAGGAACGCCAGGAGGCGACTTGGATGAGGGGGACGAGGTCGGTGAGGATTATTGAGACGAGGACGGTCATTCCTGCGGAGCCGAAACCGCTGATTACTCGGCCTAAGATCACTTGGGGCATTGATTCGGCGATTCCGCTGCTTGATATTAGTATTTATCTCAAATCTCGGGCACCATGAAAGGTCTCAGAATGTCTGTCTTCGTCTCCCCATTTCTTGGGACGAGAATCTCATCCGGCATATAGACATTGTAGACAAAATCCGGATAACTCACCAAACAACACACCCCACAGCAAACAGAACGTAAGAAATCAACAGTACAGCTTTGCGTCCGTAGATATCGCTCAGTTTCCCCATGATAGGTTGAGTTGAACAGCCCGCCAGCGAGAAACTGGTCGTTAGCCAGGCGGCGTCTTTCAGAGCTCCGAATTCAGAGGCTATGGTTCCGTATGTGGCCAGCACGAGCATGCTATCTGCATGGGCTATCAAGACGCCTTTTCGTTGTTAGTATATATACCCTGAAATTGAGGAGGAGGGGTATCACCGATGAGCAGCAGGGCGATGATGCCGATGGGACTGCGGGGTTGCTGAGGGGTTTCATTTTCTAAGGTTGAGGAATCTCCTGATGATACATCGGTTGATTGGTAGTCGATTTTCTTGCTGGTTGAAAGGAGCGAGGTTTCTTCCGAAGTTTGCTGTTGTATATCCTCAACCGCAGGTTCCGTAGCGGTGAGAACATCCCGCTCTACATCGTGTTCTGCCATCCTTACCTTAGAACCTTAAACATCATGGCACGATCCGAAGTATAAGAGAAACAAAAGGAACGATCCAAGATTCTTTCGTTCCGAATCACAAAAAGTTCTGCTGGGCTAAGTCCAATTAGAACCCTAGTTTGTAAGCCTCATTCTAGATTGTGCCATGAAACGGTACAAAGTTACTCTGCGTCCACCGATGGCTGACTGTGAGAAAATGGTTGCATATTGCTCATGCTCGGCTTGTTCGCACGCCATCGGCTGAGATGCGAGTTCGATGCAGGAGAGTGGGGTGGAGTGCAGGAGCGCTAGGGGACCCCACACTCTGATCCGAGAGCTATGGGTACTGTAGCTTTGCATTCATCTTCTCAATTAATTTCGAAGTATCTCTTCAATTGATTGTTTCTAGTATACAAACAATCTATGAAAGCATGAAGTTCATCCAGAGTCTCGCATTGGCGTTTGCAGCCAGCGCTGTGGCCTCAGAGCAGCAATTGCCTTTGCAACATGGCGATCAACGACCGAATATCGTGGTGATCTTGACGGATGATCAGGATTTGCATATGGACTCTATCTCGTATATGCCATTGTTGAAAAAGCATGTCATTGACCAGGGAACTTTTTACAAGAGTCATTACTGCACGACTGCGATTTGCTGTCCTTCACGAGTTACGCTTTGGACGGGCAGGAATGCTCACAATACGAATGTTACTGATGTGTTTCCTCCTTATGGTGAGTCTGAGAGTATACGGAGTCATAATGTTGGATTTTACTGACCTTGTTGCTAGGCGGCTATCCCAAGTTCGTAGCTCAAGGGTGGAACTCGAATTGGCTTCCCGTATGGCTCCAAGCCGCGGGATACAGCACTTACTACACGGGAAAACTGTTCAACTCACACACTGTCGACAATTGGAACAATCCTCACCCAAGCGGTTGGACATCCTCAGACTTTCTGCTAGATCCTCACACGTACCAGTATCTCAACGCAACCTTCCAACGTAATGACAGGCCACCAGTCAGCCATGAAGGAGAGTACTCGACAGATGTGCTTGCTGAAAAAGCTTACGGACTGTTGGAAGAAGGTGTCAATTTGAGACAGCCTTTCTTTTTGACGATTGCGCCGGTAGCACCTCATTCGGATGTTAATGCTTCAACTTTCGTGAAGCCGGGAACTGGAAAGGACTTGGATGGGATTATCATGAATGCACCGATTCCTGCGGATCGACATAAGCATTTGTTTCCAGAAGCGATGGTGCCACGAACTGCGAACTTCAATCCCGATAAGGTATGTCCTTCTCATGTACGATAAGTTTTCAGAGAATTGACACATTTCTAGCCCTCGTCTGTGTCTTGGCTCTCGAGACTGGATAAACTTACGGATGAGGTGGTAGCATATAACGACAACTTCTACCGTCGCCGACTCCAAGCGCTTCAGGCAGTAGATGAGATAGTCGAAGGTATCGTCACCAGACTTGAAGACTACGGTATCCTCGATAATACCTACATCATCTACTCAACCGATAACGGCTACCATATTTCTCAGCATCGACTGAATCCCGGCAAGGAATGCAGTTTCGAGGAAGATATCAACATTCCCCTAATCATCAGAGGACCACATGTTCCCATTGGCGAAACTAAAGTCGTTACAGCACACGCAGACTTGGCACCTACGATTTTGAAGATTGCAAGTGCAAAGGAGGGTTGGTCTGGACTTGATGGAAGTCCAATCCCACTAAGCGAGAAAGAGCTCGAAGACTCGAAAAGTTCAAGACAAGAGCATGTTAACGTTGAGTTTTGGGGACGAGGTATCCCAGAAGGTATTTATAAGTTCTCTTTGGATGATGGGAAGATTGGTAAGTCACTTCAAACTCTTGTTATCTAAGTGAGAAGCTGACTGGGGTAGTTGCATATGCTCCAAATAATACTTACAAAGCTCTGAGAATTATCTCATCTTCTTACAATCTCCTCTATACTGTCTGGTGCAGTAATGAGCATGAACTTTACGACCTCAACGTAAGTCTCGATCCCTCATTAGTTTGAATCATTATTGACTTCCACAAAGACTGATCCAGGACAACTGAAAAACTTGTATCCAACTTCAAAATTCTTGCCTGAGCAGAATTTGCTTGGAATTCCACTGTCTAAAGTCCTTCCTCGACTCGATGCACTTCTCATGGTCACAAAATCTTGCAAAGGACAGACTTGCGTGAACCCTTGGTCAGTCATCCATCCCGCAGGAAACGTGAAAACGCTTGGAGACGCATTAAATCCACGATTTGACGGCTTCTATACAAGTATATCAGAGAGTGTACGCTTTGATAAGTGCGAGCTTGGATATATTCTGGAATCTGAAGGACCTCAAAGCGTAGCAATTTTCCAGGATGATACTGGTGGATCTGAGCTATAGTCAGAAGCTTCATATGCATGTCAAAATTCAATCTATTCAGGGATATTAAGTTTGTGCCTGGAACTCATGTTGACTCCTGTGTGAACGTAATCCCAACATCCAGATCTTGGGGACTCTGGAGACGGATGTCTCAACCCGGTTATGCGAGTCGAATAACGATAAGAAGCAACTGCATGACAGGTGTAACTAGACCATAGCCTGGTCTAGAATGCGCCTCTTTCTCTTGTCCATCTGCGGCCGACAGGCTTTCTGTCCTATAATAACCTCGGAAAGAATGACGTGAAGTGGGGTTGAGATCACACAATATCACCCAAAAGATATAGTCCAGCCTCGTTGGCGGGGTAGGGTAAGTCTCAGCCTTTTGCTCTCCCACCAGCACATGTTTGTTGTTAACCCCGTTAACCCCTGGGATATGGTCATATACATCAAATCCAAGTCAATTGGCGTAACAGAACAGGCCAATGTCACCATCTAGATGCCGTTCCATCCGAGAGATGCTTTGTACCTGAACGCGGGGGTTCATCAAGCTCCGGGTATATAGTTCTAGATGCGCAAGCTCTCTAATTGCTCTCACCATGATATCCAGCTCACTTTCTCTGAAGACTATACAGCAGATCGTCCATCCTCACTCTCTTGTCATTGAGAATCCCCCGAACAAGCGTCTCCCTAGACCACCATGGCTCCCTCAGCAACAGAAGTCGAAGCCACAACCACCATCCCCGTCCACCCAGGCAAGCAAGCAGCCACTTCTGCAAAGCCATGGGTGAAGTCAACTGGTGCTTTGGACCAATATGAGCATATCGAAGTCACTCCAATCATTGGACGAGAGTACCCACACGTGAACCTCGTCTCTCTTCTCCAAGCATCCAACTCCGAAGAACTCCTCCGAGAACTCTCACTCATCAGTGATTTCACCCTTTCTTCCTCTGACCTCCAGTTCTCAACTAACACCCCCTAGTCTCCCAACGCGGCGTAGTCTTCTTCCGCTCCCAAAACAACCTCACCGCGGACCTCCAAAAAGAACTAATCCAAAAACTCGGCCTTGCCTCCGGGAAACCATCCACTTCCGGTCTACACATCCACCCAATCCTCAACTCCGAGCGAGAAGGTTACCGTGTGAACGATCCCGAAATTTCCACCATTGACTCGGAGCTCAACAAGAAACTCTACACCAACAACACTCGTCTTAAGCTCTCCACCGAGAAGCGCCAGAATGCCGGTGGCTGGCACAGCGATATTGCATTCGAACCCGTTCCGGCGGATTACTCGAGCTTGAGACTCGTTAACCTGCCAAAGACTGGGGGAGATACGCTGTGGGCAAGTGGATATGAGATCTACGACCGCATCTCTGCTCCGTATCAGAAGTTTCTCGAGGGTTTGACTGCTACGTTTAGCCAACCAGGCTTCATCGAAGCAGCTGAGAAAGGTGGATTCAAGATCTACGAAGGCGAGCGTGGTTCCCCATTGAATGTCGGGAAAGAGTTAACAGCCGTTCATCCTGTTGTGAGAACTAACCCTGTTACGGGCTGGAAGAGCATTTTCCCTGTCGGAGGCCACATTTCGCATATCAATGATGTGACGAAGGAAGAGAGTGCAGCGCTGTTGAAGTGGTTTAATCGCTTGTTGATTGATAACCATGATTTGCAGGTTCGGTTCAAATGGCAGAATTCGAACGATGTGGCGATCTGGGATAATAGGAGTGTGTTTCATACCGCGACGTATGATATTGAGGGGCAGGGTGAGAGGTATGGGGTCAGGACTGTGAGTATTGGGGAGAAGCCTTTCTTTGATGCTGAGAGTAAGAGTCGTCATGAGGAGTTGGCTGTTGCTGCTTGAGTACAGGTGGGGCACTATTAGGATGAGAAGGTCTCCTTCAAATAATCGTACCAAATTGTCACCAGCATATAGTAATGAAATTTATGATCCTTGCGTATTTGCGTTCAAGGAAGTCCAGGAACGAGTGACAACTTCCAGATTTGGCAGGCGAGAACCAAGCTTGTCCCTTGAGTTTAACTATAACTACAATGCAATCCTAAGTAGATAAATACACAATCATGGCAATCTCTTTTCTTTAAAAAAAATTTCTCAAATACTAAACTATAGCACCCCGCTTAACCCCCTATCCTCCACGTGACGACAAGGACCGTGCACCCACCTTCTTCACCTCGACTCCACCTCAACTCAAACCTTTCAACAACATCTCTCCACATCACTTGCAGGCCGATCTCCAAAAGCTACTCTATCCGCGGCCCATCGCAAGTATAACGCGTTGCTTCAAGCAGCCAAGACAATCAAATAACCTGTCGTCTCCACCGAAAGTTTTATCACCCCTCGCTTAACCAAGCACGTATTTACATGGAAACATAACGACATATTCAACTCTCCCAAACTTGCATATCTGCAGCGCCAACCTCTCTATCGATAATAGTAGATAAGGGAAAGGTGGCCGTGACAAGCCTATCTACGCGAGCTTGGGTTTTGTGGCGCGATTTGTTTTTCGAATTGCAACATTTTGGAATGTTCGATTGCGGGGAAGGAGGACGTCTAAGTGGTTGTATTTCGGTATCACTTCATTCTTGCCCTATATGACGAATTGGAAAGTGGATATTGGCTTTTTACTGTCGGGTTTATGCTTACCTTTGGGTGCGGTTCCAGAAGTCTGGAATTGTGGCGGTCTTGTCAATCAAGTAATGGTTATATCATCTCGTTGATGGTTGGGATTTTAAGGCTCTGGATGTGAAGAGCGGGTGTTTTGCGGTTGAGAAATACTCCGGTTTGAAATACTCGCGGTTTCAACTGCCAGCCCAAGTGGGAAATGCTCGGCTCTTTACAGAACCAAGCTGCTCGGAAGAGCAACGTTCCACACTTCTAGCATCCACACGTGGGCCCACCACCCATTAAGTAACCAGAAGCATATGCCAACCACGTTTCTGCGTTAGGAAATCGGTCCGCAGACGTAAGATGGACTGTCCTGCATCCATTGCTGGGTTACCCCCATGCTTCCGGATCTCAATTTTCAACCCGGAATTATGGACTTCTCACAACGTCGCATAAAACCAAAGTCCTCCCCATTGCGAAAAATTTATCTTCGGAAGAGCTCATTCCAAAGTCGGGAATGTCGTCCAAGGAAGACTCGACGGCTCGGACGTCGTCTAGGAATGCTGCAACTAACGTCGACGACAAACTTCACTACGAGGAAACGACTGCTTTCGCAGATCCGCTACCAAAAGTTCAGTACGTGAGCAGCGAATCCGAATCTGACGAAAATGGCGAACTGTTCAAGAGGAATCCGTTTTTGGATCCCGACGTTGCAGAGCATTGGACTGCTGTTTATGAGCAGTCCCAATATGAATGTCGACACGAGTTTGACCCAACCTTTACTTGGAGTGAGGAAGAAGAGAAAAGAATCATCCGAAAATTGGACTGGCGAGTTTGTTTATGGGCTGTGAGATGTCCTGCTCCCTGGATTTTGTGTCATGCTAATGCTTTCGGATAGTGTGTTATGTTCTTCGGTCTTCAAACAGATCGTGGTAATCTAGTCCAGGCGTTGGCAGATAATATGTTGACAGATCTAAAGTTGACTACAATGGTTGGCCTTCATCTGGAAACAACCACAATTGGTGCTAATGATAGACAGAGTACAACTATGGCAACATCATCTTTTACCTATCGTTCTTACTTGCTGAACTACCTTCTCAATTGGTCTCCAAGAAAATCGGTCCTGATAGGTGGATTCCGATGCAAATTACTCTTTGGTCCATTGTAGCTATGTCTCAGTGTGCTATCACTGGCAAGCAAAGTTTCTATGCCACTCGAAGCTTGCTTGGGATTTTGGAGGTATGACACCAATTTCCCATCACAATGACTTGACTGATCATTTATCCAGGGTGGATTTATTCCTGATATCGTCCTTTGGCTCTCTTACTTCTACACCTCTCGCGAGTTACCGACCCGACTCAGGTACGGATATTCGAGACTTCTAACATCAGTTGCTAAATTGTAACTAGCTTCTTCTGGACTACACTTTCAGCGACCACGATAGTCACTTCCGTTCTTGCCTTCGCTCTACTTCATCTTCGCGGCGTTGCAAGATGGGCAGGTTGGCGATGGCTCTTCTTAATCGAAGGTATGCATTTCGAGGAATCAGCCTTCGACGAACACTCAACCTAACATGATCGATAGGTCTCATCACAGGCCTGGTCGGAGTGGGCTCGTTCTTCATGATGCCTGCATCAGCTGTCCAAACCAAAACGTGGTTTCGGCCCAAAGGCTGGTTCAGTGAACGAGAAGTCAAGATCGTTGTCAACAGAGTCCTCCGCGACGATCCATCCAAGGGCGACATGCACAACCGCCAAGCCATTACCCCCCGCCGACTCTGGAACGCAGCCAAAGACTTCGATCTCTGGCCTCTGTATGCAATTGGATTAATTGCATATATCCCACAAGCCCCACCTACAACATACATCACTCTCACACTAAAAAAACTTGGGTTCAGCACCTTCAATGTCAACTTACTCACGATTCCCTACTCAGTCTTCCACATCATCACTCTCCTTCTCCTAACCCGACTATCAGAATACATCAACGAACGAACCCTCGTCTCCATGCTCCAAGCCATCTGGACCCTCCCCTGCGTAATCGCCCTCCGCTACTGGCCCGGCACAATGGTCGACCACTGGGGCACATTCGCACTCGTCACCGCTCTCCTGTCATACCCCTACTGCCACGTCATCCTCGTGGCCTGGACATCCCGCAACTCCAACAACGTCGGTGCGCGTTCCGTTTCTGCTGCTCTCTACAACATTTCCGTCCAACTGGGCACCATCATCTCGAACTTCATTTACAGAACGGACGATGCGCCGTTGTATCATAGAGGGAATAAGAATTTGATTATTATTAATTGTTTGGTGGTTGGGCTGTTTTTGTTTACGAAGGGGTACTATATCTACCGGAATAGGCAGAGGGATAGAGAGTGGGCAGCGATGACGCCGGAGGAGCAGAGGGATTATAAGCTGAATTGTAAGTTGTCTGGGAGTCGGAGGAAGGATTTTAGGTTTGCGCATTAGAGAAGAGGACCGAGTCTGAGACTTGGTGGAGGTAATGTTCATAGATAAATCACAAAGAAGAAGAGTGTGTGTATGAAGAAGAAGAAGAAGAAGTTCTTTCACGGCCTTTTATGTTCAATTTCAGGAGAAAAGAGGAACAGGCTCGCTTAATTTCGCTTAACAGCATGTCGACAATGGTCCCAGGACTCGTTGAGTTGATGAACACAAAAGGCATGAAAAACAAATGTGTACGGAAGATGATTGACGATGAGACCGAAGGTCAAACAAAACGGGGAGGCTTGAGCAGAACCTTGAAGTTAAGATTGAATGATGAAAATTTAAAATCGAACTCCACATCAGAAAATCCGAGGGAAAAGTTAGTGAGGGTAGGGATCTCAACACATCGAAATCATCACAGAGCCATTCTATTCGTCTACTCCTATATAAAACATCACATCCTTGCTGACTCGCTAGATAAAGCAGAAGAACAATCTTGCTTCAACAGCTTGCACTCCACATTCTCCGAAGCAAAAGTAAACAAACTCCTCGTCTCCTCACGATGACTCTCTAACCACTCCAAATAAATATAATCTCTCTCCCCATCACCCTTCACCTCCGTGACCGCACTGGCTCCGGGCCCAAACCTCATAAACCTCTCTTTCTTCCCAAATTCTTCCCACGGCTTCGACTTCCCACTCGCAAACGCCGTCCAAATCTTCCCCATCTCCTCCGCCGTCTTGACATGCTCTTCAGGCAATCCGTCATTCTCATTCTGGAACATATACGTAGCGCACATTCCATGATATGACAGTCCCTCGGTCTCTCCTTCAAGCGTCGACGGCTGATCAAAATGATACAGATACGCCTTCCCCCCAAAACCTCTCGCGATGCACAGATTAGGATACTGGAACAACATCACGCTAAAGAAAAACCTTAGCGCTTCTCGATACTTCTCATAACTCATCTCCTCCTTCCTGATGCCGAAGTACACGAGAAAAGTATCGATATCGGCAGGCGAATGGAACACACCGCTCAGGTCGTGCAGGAATCGCGGCTGTGGAACGTGTGTCGAGATATAGTCCACGATAATACCATCGCACTTCGTGTCACCGAGTATGATGCTCTTGCATCTCGTTTCGGGCTGCTTGGCAAATACGTCCCAGTTCAGAGGCAAGTAGATCCCGCACGCCATGGGCCCCATTGGTGCTCTGGTGTAGTGCTTTAAGATCTCCATTGCGTCTAGGGATCGGAGTTTCTCGAGTTTGGCTTCCAGGCCGAAATGAGAGATGTTGAGAGAGGTGCACATTTCTTTCCATGCTTGTCCGAACATGGTTGCTGGCAAGGGACCGAGGACGGGTGCAGAGCCAGACATCATGATTGCGCGGTCAAAGAGAGGATCACCGCTTAGGATATGATAATGGATGCTTGCGCTTCCGGCACTGATGCCGAACGTGGTGACGTTGTTGGGATCTCCGCCGAAACCTTGGATGTGCGACTGGATCCAGAGTAAGGCACTGCGTTGATCAATGAGGCCGTAGTTTCCTGAGCTGGGGAGGTGAGATGGGTGTTGGTTTCTGTGGCTTTCGGTCGCTAGGTCGAGAGAAGCTGCAAAACCTAGGGCTCCGACACGGTATTGGATTGAGACAAGGATTATGGGTGTGCCATTCGAAAGTGCGAGACGACAGAGTCTTTCTGGGCGATCTCGGGGACGAGAATTCGAACCGTGAAGGAAAGCACCTCTACAAAGGTTAGTACTAGTCTGGTTCTTGAGTAGAGTGGACATACCCATGAATCCAAACCATTACAGGAAGTAATGGAAACAAATTATTACTCGGACTCTCAAGAGTCTTCGTAGGAACAGTGATGTTCAGATTCAAGCAACCGAACTCATGATCGTATGGATTGCCATGAAGATTTCCACCTACGGCTACTGATGGGCTCTCAATTTGGATGCATCTTGGTCCGAAGGTTGTAGCATCGAAAGGAGATTCGAGGGTATTTAGAACCTCACTATGTGTCCATCGCTTTGTGACAGTGGCATAAGGGATACCGCGGAATAAGGTAAGATCATCGTCGAGCTCCCCGATCAGCTCGGCGCTCAGGGAAGGTACTTGATAATGAATTGTTTGAATAGTCATCTTTACGATGTGTCTTTGTGAGTCTAGAAGGAGTGAGCAGAAACTTGCGTTGTCCTTTCCTACTTATAGATCTCCTGTTCGCCTCATATACCTTGTACCACGTATTGGTCCTACCTCAGAAGTAGTACGAGAGGACATGACGTCTCTTATGGTATCTCAAGATCTTGATCGGGGTAGCACAGGAGCTCAGAAGCCGCGGTAATGGGCCAAGATTCAAGGGATGAGGTTCTTACAGCAGCAAACGTGGGTGCATAGCACCGGATAGCCTCAATATTGAAAGATTTTCATTGTTGGCATCTGAGCCCTTGATTGAAGATCCTTCTCCCCATGTCTTTAAACTGCAAAGCCTTGGTATCATCAAACCACCAAACTTCTACGCATATTCAAAAACGTCCGCACGCTATGCAATACTTTACATTACTCAAAATCAGTCCTCATCACTATCATCGTCTTTGACAACAACTAGGAATGGCTCTCTCGAATGCCATATTCTCCTTTCCCTCGCTCCTAATACAGCGTCCATCATCTGTTTCGTATTTGCTCGTGGCCTGCCCCCTTTGGCAGGCTGTGGAGGTGGATGCTGCAAGAATGTTTCTTCCACGGATACACTGATTTCGAATTCTCCTCTCGCTAACGCTGTAACGCCGAAACTAACTTCAATAGACTCCATCCCAGGTAATGGTGGCAGAGTTTGCTGAAGAACTCCATTCCAAACGAGCTTCTTGGTGAGATCAAGTGCTAGATTATGTGGTTGGTCTCTGCAAGAGGGCTGCAGCCGCAGCATTGGATGAATGGCGTCTTGGGTACGATTGCTTATGCGGACCTTCAATTCCGAGAAGGCATCGGTAAAAAGCTGGTGTTTTGATGTCCCTTCAGATGCATGGTTGATAGAAATGTTTATTGCAATGTCATCAATTTTGATGGCCTCGATCATCCGCTGTGTTAATCTGATACCGCGGAGCTCTATCTCGCCATGCCGATAAGGTCCAAATTTAGTAGCCCATGTGCCGTGAAACATTTTCAAGATCTCTTCTCGGTACCAGAAAGCCTCCCTGCTAGCTCTCTCCGAATCAGCAGATACTCTGCCTGTACTGACCACAAATTGGCGCTGCCTGGAGGGGTCCAGAGCAGGTATTGAGGCTATTGGATCCTTGAGGAAGATGCGATGCAGAGGAAACATAATCTTTGAAGTGTTTCCTGGAAGAATTTCTTCATCGATGATGCCTGCGTTGGCAACGTCGAGGTGCAAGTGTAATTGGGACGGCCAGGCATTCCGGACGTCTAACACAACAAGGCAATAATCCTCTGGTGTGAACGAGGCGTTTTTGGGGTTTGTTGTGGCCATCATGTTCCAAAGAGAACGTGGGACATTCCCAGTAAGAGGCAGCACATCAACTCTTACTACTTCTACACTGGCGTTTACTGTGACCGTAAGAGGCAGACTTACTTGTCGAGTGTGGAAATTGTCCTGAACTTCTGCTGCAGGTACGCCAAGATGTGCATAATCAATTTGCACCACAGCACTGGTGAGACCGGGTCGTCCAAGAATTTCAATGTCAAAAGTCTCAGTGGTACCTGGAGCAATGAACACTTTCTCGTCATGTTTTTTCTTCCACTTCAGAGCTTGCTTGCGTGCGAATATGAGCTCGCATTCATAAAGCTCGGCCGGCGATGCTTCTCGATTGCTCATCGCAGTCTGTAATGGTGCTTGCGTGGAATCCTTGAATGAGAATAGAACCAAATCAACAGGGGTTTCTCGCGATAGGTTTTGAAGAGTGATTGAAAACACCTGGAGTTCGCCCTCCAAGACCATCAGCGCCGACTGAGAAAGATTTGTAGATTTCACAACCACTAACGGTTGCCGCTCAATAACATTCAATCCGAGGGATTTAGCCTTGGGTGGTATTATGGCAGGCGTCGTAGAAACAGGACCCGAGCTAACACTGACAGGGCGATCCTTTTGTCTGAATAGAGCTGCAACTCCAATTGTCTTGACTTTCACATCTCTTTGAGGTGACCATGGCTCTTCGAAGATGGGGAAGCGCCTTTCTCTGCAACCTCTCACCCGAATAATACATCCTGTGATCCTTAACTCGCCTGCAGCCAAAGGTGTGCCAGCAATGGTAAGGATTTGAGTCCGATATGGTCCAATCACAGTTTTTTGCACTGTGGATTCGAATTGGGCTCCTTCACTCTCCAGCTTGATGCTTTCTATCTCAACGTCGAATTCGTAGGGATTTTGTAATGTGGCGCGAAATACAGCACCTTCGCCAGCGACGAGTAAATTATCGACAGCGGAGGTGTCGGGATTACGTAAAAATGGGTTGTAGATGAACGGATTGACTTCTTGTGATTCGGTCTTTGCACTCGCCCCTGGAAGCTCGCTTTTTGTATGAGGAATTGGTGTTCTTGTGGATTGCAGAGGCTCCAGTTCAATACCACGAAGCAGAAACTCATCCCAATATTCAGCTTGCAGATCTTTGACACCCAGATTCCTCGCAGCCCCAAGAGTTCTTGAGATATTAGTTGCGAGCCTGACTTGCTCTTCTCGGCTCATCATAGGTGATGCATCTTCGCTCCTAGGGCCTGGTGCGACGCCGCTTCCAGCAGTGCGTAACAGGTCGGCTGTGAATCGTAAAACGCCATGAAAATCTGGCAGGGCCTCCGAGATATTTATGCAAGAACGGAGAACGTCCATCTTGAGGACTTGTCCGCCAAAACTCCGAATCGAAGCGTCGTGTAAGATTCGTGCAATTGCGGCGTCATTTGAATCCTGCAACGCAGTTGGACCAGCGGATGATACGACGCCATATATTTTACCGAGAGAGCCAAGAAATAAATCGACGCCAGTCTCAATGTCTCCTTCCCCAAGATCAAGTGCGCCGGCTCCATTTGCGTTGCCATTTACAGAATTAAGCGCTGCCAACCCAGCGGCAGGATGAACTCCCATATCTGCAGCACCTTTGATTCGCGCCTGGACTAAACCAGGAATAAGAACAGAAACTAGGTCTCGCATGACCATAGCCTTCTTCCTGTGAAAACCAAGAGATCCCAGAACCGATGCAATACCGCTCAGAATGATAGTCCTATCAACAACAGATAAACTCTCTGTCGAAAAATGTGTAGGAAACGCTCGCGAAAGTACAATTACAATTTCTGTGCGGGTGGGACGTATATTCAAACGTGCTGTAGCAAGATTGGGAGCTTTCTTGAACGGAATACCGAGCACCATAAGCTGTAGGACTTCATCGTCTATTGTGCCACCAGCTAAATGGACTGCTGATAACAGTTTCGAAAATCTTATTACAGATTCAGAAAATGGATATGGAGGGAGTGACTCTCCAGTATTGTTTGCTGCTCGAGCATAAAGATTGAGAATCCGGTCTACCAATTCTGGAAGTAGGACTGTGAGATTCTGGAGAGAAACCAACCGATTGCTTGCTGGACTTCGTGGGTCTTGAGAATTTGGTGTTGATGAGGTCTTCTCTGCAGATACATAACAGATTTGGGGAATTTGAAAGTCGATGCCAGTCCAGGCGAGCATCAGCATGCTCACTAGAATGTTGTCCAGCGCTTTAGCATGCCATAAATGGTCAAGTGCATTTTTGGCAATAGTGGCTGCTTCGATGAGCTCCTTCAAAGCATCGGACCACCTGCCTGCTTTCATATATAACGAGCCTATCACGATACCAATGCGACCTTTGCCCTTATTTCGTGACCTTTCGCTCACACTTCCAGAACCGAAACCTTGTACTGAGACTTTGTCTTGCTGTTGTGCGTCTCGGAGGGAGTCAGTTGTGGCAAGGCGAATAGGCAATCCAGGATTTGGGCCAACTATTTCATCAAAAGTAGTGGCTAGACCAGGAGTCCCATTAGGGGTCGACGGTCGAGCAGAGGGGGTCGAGGCATTCGAATCGGTTCGTCGCAGCACTGCCGGCATTGACATTCGGACATGGCTTCTGTCTACACTGCCAGCAGGTGATCCCGACCTCGAGTCCCCCTGTGCAGAATACTGAGAGTTCCGACGTGACAACATATCTGCCTGTGCAACATGCCATGCTCCGTTATATTGCCGATTGATCTGAGCTTGGCTTGGAGAGTCGATACTGTTCAAGGCCTGAAGTGACTTGGCCAGCGTGGTCATCTCCGCCAATAGCATAGAAGATATGTCACACATGACCGTTTTCATTGTCGTCCTCTTACAATCTGCTGGTGGAGGAATTGCAACTAGACCCTCTGGCAGACTCCCAAGAGAATCTCGAGGCACATAGTCGAACAAGAGGATTTGATGGACTAATGCCTTGGGGTACCGGTCCCGCAGATCTTCAAGATCTTGGTATAATTCTCGCAGATTGTGCTCTGGCTTGGGTGGTCCATTTCCATTGAGACTCCTCCGCGTGTTCCCTCGGTATGAGACATGGTCCAGCTCAGCGCCATCTGCAAGAGCTATAATCACCAGAGGCTCGCGGTAAAGCTCGAAAGGGGAGAGCGCAACGTGTGAAGGTGGAGGGTAAAAAGTTGTAAGGTCGTATACGATCATGCCTGTGGGAAAGGCTAAAGGCGAAAACATGTCTATGAAGAATTAGCTACTGTTTTTCAAAGGTAGAGTTCTTGACCATTCTCACTTCTGTTCGGCCGCCCATCAGGGCTGATATCCCCCAGTCGAACGACATTCTCTGGCTGTAGTCTGTCCACAAAGCTGAGAAATCTTGCTCGTTTGATTTGGCCAATTGGCAGAAGAACGACTCGTACTCTGGCGGGAGCAACGGGCGAAAGCTGGTCGAGCATACTGACAACATCTGGAATGCGCCGAACGATGTTGAGAGTGAATTCTATGGTGGAGACTTAGATCATCTTTTTTCTAGGGTCGGTATCATGACGTGACTCAAAGGAGAACAAGTCCGAAAGACCTGTAGGCAAGAAAGGCTGTTAATACAATGCTTCCTCCTCGTCGTGTGCCTGTATGTGAGTGTTGCGATCCAGATTTACGGCAGCCTTCTGCATTGTTGGTTTGAGGAGAAATATACATCCGGTCCGAATCGTGACTAAACCAAGAATCTATAGATACTATTGAAGATTGGACGCAATATGTACAGTACCTACGCTTCAAAGATTTGTACATATGTGATCAATCTTTACTCTGTTGCCATTCTGTAGATTTCAGTGCACCATGACCAACCAGACAGTTTAAGTTAGCCTCTTCAAGGAGAAATGGTCGGACCGGAGGCACGGGCCAACTTTTAGGCATGAGGCAACGTTAAATAGAACCTGAACTACAGAGTACATAACTTTATCTTGAGACATCAAAGTTTGATCAAGCTATAATACATGCTCAGTGAGTATAACAAGTGTAAAGAGATAAAGACTGCAGTTCTATGGCCATCTCTTTGCAACCAGCAAACTCCAGTGAGCTTTGCGATCGCTGAATACCAAGAAGAAGGTTGAAAAGAAGTGCCTTGAACTCCTTTGCGACTGGCCTTTACAGTTCTTGAATTTTAGAGTAAAACCCATATTTTGCGGGTTCTGGCATTTTATAAGTCCACTCGGATAATACAGGCGTTGTCACCTTTCATGTTCACTGGGGCTTTGAGATTGGTATGCTCGTAATGAGCTCGCTAGCATTCTCGAGTACCTAGGACTCTATCTGCTTGCACGATCCCTTCGAATTCTGGTCTGCCAGAAAGGATCCCCTCGCCATTCTGAAGTGCTTATGACCCCGTCCAGTTGTACGTTGAAGTTGTACGTTGATGCCTTCAGAGAGAATCCTATGCCTTTCCCTTTCCCTTGCTCTAGGCCTTGCCCTTACTCTTGGCCTTGCCCTTACCCTTGGCCTTGCCCTTACCCTTGGCCTTGTTCAAGTCTTTGAGTAAGACCGGATCAGATTCACGACCCTCAGTCACAGTCTGATCATACCGACATAGAATGCCCCGCTTCTTGCACCAACCGCAAGGCTTCTCCCTGTCACACTTCTTGCGTCGGCGGTTGCATTCCCCACAGTTCTTCGACAGGATGCGGTTTGCAGAGGCAGAGGCAGGGGCAGGAACAAAGGTCGAGGTCGAGCGCTTTCCCTTCACACCGGTAGCAGAACGGTTGCGGGTGGCCTATGGTGGAATAGGTTAGCTATGCATTCGAGGATGCCCTTGGCCTCTTGGTGACTTCGAACCCAAGCTGCCCAGAGCTGAGTGGCGGATCTGTTGTATCCTCGTCTGGGCTGTACCCAAAGTGTACATATTAGAGTCAAAGAGCTGAACGTACCTTGCGACTCTTGGTGTTTGAACCACCATTGCTGTTAAGCAATGCGGTCTTAGACGATCTTAGTACTCGAGGCATGGTGGTCTTGGTTTTTCGGTCGGGGGTGTGTTGTTGTTGTGGATGCAAGGTATGTGCGCAGCTAGATGATGAGGGTGGCTTTTATATTCCCAAATCGGCCGTATGCGGGTTGGCGCGATGAGCTGATCCTCCATTATCGGCAAAAACGATTTCGGTATTGACGCCAACATGGCCCCCTTCAATTGTTATTATCATGTGTGCATTTGATTTTACAGGCATATGATATTTCTTGCTAGAGCAACTTACTGCCCCCCTCTATGGAAAACGCAGTTGGATTTTCCCTGGTTCTTCCAACAGGCGTACACAGAATATGACCCTCAGCGAAACGCAAAGTCATCGCAGGACTTGTAACAATGGTCTCAAAAAGATGACATTGAGTTATGCTGCAAGCATCCTGGGTAATTCAAGAACTCTGTCCTCATTCTCCCCTCGGAAGAGCTTCATTGAAGCTAATAAAGCTCCTCAGCAGATCACTTTTCTGATAGAATTACAACTATGAAGAAACGAGGCCCTGTACAGCTTCCTTAGGTCTCCTTGCATGCCGCTGCGAATGTTCCGAGATACGAAAGCCAGTCGAATCTCGAGGGGAATGCCTTAAGATGTCCAAGTGGGAGGATGGGGGACACATCTGGAAAATTAACATACGCAGCTTATGGGAACAGCGCTGCCTGCCCTTCGGCAGCGAGCTGTAACCTCAAAGATCTGCATCTCCCAGCAAAATAGCTTTCCCAACATGTTCGATACTTCTCAATACCTTTACGGCTATAGCTCTGATGACTTCATGCTCCCGAAACATCCAGCGGATTAACAGAGGTGGGTGTTCAGGATTGCCGGCGAGGTCATCTCAGCGCTCCGTGTGGTGTAATGATGGAGAGCCGCATCAACACAATGAAGTTATCCTATCGAGCAGGAGTTCATGAGTCGAGGACGCCTAGATGGTCCGCAGTAGGCTCATTGACGAGAGAGGTCAAGTCAAACACGCTGGAAATTACATCTCAATATATCGACGACAGTTTAAGATCGTCCTCGAAGCCTACATGCACAATTAACGAACTACTATCACGTCTCATTCGAGGGAATGATCATCAAAATACTAAAAAGTGGAGACGGTGAGAAGCTTGTGCATATTCATTATCTCATCCTTTGCATTGAGAAGAGCTAATGAACGAGACAGAAACTTATGACGACGATCTCCTCGTGACCATCCTGAATTCCGGAAACCAGACTGTGCCCAAGCAAGCATTGCGCCACATCCATGGCAAAATCCCTTCCCAGCCCGAATCTCATTTCACTCATCGCTTCCAGGTTTGTCCTCATTGCGGTCGATCGATGGCTATCCGAATAAACATGTGTATGCTGCTTCCTTTATTTGGAGTAAGCTCGCATCTTATTTCGAAATGGAAGATCGTCGCTGTCTCCTGACGTGGATCTCCAATCGTCGTTGTCCTCGCTAACGTCATCGAACTCAATGTCGGGAGCTGTGCCAGATTCCTCGAACTCGTCAGAGTCTGAGCTTGAGAAAGAGAATTTGAGCTTTCTCTCAATGCTAGATCCTGGAGAAGAATATCCTGGAGAAGAAGGTCCTGGAGAAGAAGAGCCCGAATCAGAAGAGCCCGACGACTATAATCCCGAGTATCAGCTTCAAGATTCGTATATCATAAAGCGTCTTCCAACATTCTTTGCGCTTTGGTTGGTTCAACATTGGAGCGGAACTTACAACAGAGGATCGATCTTGCCATTGGGACGTGTAAAGCATCTGAGATTTGTCAATCACCTTTAATAAGTTTAGTGGCGTCAAGAAATACTTACTGGCAGTCCGCAGGCTTTTCTCTTCATATCAGCATCCTTCCTGAGCTCGCGAAGGTTGCGCTCCAAGAGTCTGCGCAAGCTCATGCCTTGGGCGGGCATCCACGCGCTTCCCGAGTAAGGAACAGTTGGAAGATCTTCGTTGGCTGCGTCTCTCGTTGCGCTTTCAATGGCATTTGCCAAAAGATTCCGCTTGACATAAGCCATGTTGTCGATATGGAAGATGTCAAAAGCTGGGTGCGAGAACGAGAACGGGCGATATTGTCAACAAAGCTGGTGACGCTAGCCACTTCGAGCCTAAGCGAGGGGGTTGGCTTGCTGCGTCACTCAGAGGCATATACAGTACATTCAACTGTAACGGCACCAGGATAGCGTTCTTTTAATCGCTTTTGCACATTAGGGGGTCGCGATAACTCGCTGCGAACTGGACAGACGATGAAGCCTGCTATGGCTAACGGATATCTACCTCAGGTACATGGTACCAGCCAAACCTCCAGCATGGGAAATCAGCCTTCTCGCTAGTTAATGGACATGGAATGCCAAGCTCTTCATATTTGAAGGTGCCAAATCTTCTTTCCGGTCAACATTGTCAAGCACCGTAAATCGACTCGAGATCAGGGCAGCGTCTTCGAATGCCCTGAAAGCTCTTGTGCACCAATCCACTATGCTCAGCTACTTTGTAAGAGCATCGAGTTCCGCAAACATGTCTTCCTACTTGCTGAAAATCTACCGACGTTATATACCACCAATCAAAGCGGGCTCATGACTTGTGGGTTGATCACAAGTGATCAACTAAGAAAGCAAATGAGAAGCAGGGGGTATGTTTGATTTCATTCTCTTACTCTCTGCTCTGCTATCATTGTCTTTGGAACTCTATATTGACATTTTCAACACAACCAAACCCTCTTGTACGGCTAGCACACAATCGTTATCCATGGGAAATGTTTCAATCTCTCCCATTATCGATTGGTCGAAGCTGTTTCTGTCAATTCAGATTTTCTTGCATTGGACGTCTGCACCACTATTTTGCCGGCCGTATACTCAAACACTAGCCAAACATCTGATTTGTAAATCATTGCTTGGAGGGAGTTAGAAATCTCCATTACCGCTCATTCCTTGTGCCCATTGGCACTCTGTTGTCTAGTGGTGTTTCCCAAATTGCTAATGGTAGCTAGGTTGAGGTTTGTCTAAAATATTGGAGACCGCCATTCCTGACTTGTGAGATCAGCCATCCGAGACCACGAGGCAAAATATCCTGCAATTCTAGATGAAATAGCATTAATAGTGCGGCTCTGCCCGCATTGTGGGGGCCCAGTTATGTGTGCTGATGTGTTGATGTTGGGGGTCCATAATCTTTAGTTCGATGACGAACAAATCTCATGGCTAGGCATTAGCAGTCGGTGAATGAGCTCCATTTCAATCGCAGACGTCACTACGGCCGCTCGCTAGAATTTTTGTTCTTCCTCCTCCGTTACAAAATCTTCAACTCGATCTTGGCTTCTGCTGTTCGACATATCTCCATCGACCCACGAACCACCACCCTTGTCAGACTCGGAACTTGTTTGCTCTCTTTGCACCCCATCTTCTATTGTAATCTTCTGCCATGGATGAACCCATTAATGTGCTCCAGATTTTGGAGATTGCTGCTGGGATTGGAAGCAGCCATGGCATCTTGATCAATATTCCTCCCGGCCATGTGCAAGACGGCACCAGATACTCGACCTACAAGAGCGAAGACAGTGCAGATTCCAATCGTGCCAAGTTGAACAGCATTTATCTGAATCTCCCAAAGTGGATCGAGCCTGAGGAAGAGGATTGTGAGCAAACCGATGTCGAACAGAACCATGGCAAGGACATGCAGAACGATAGCGAGGACGACAGGGCTTCGAAGCACGTATCAGACAATCAACTACACCACAGACGTCCTTCGGGATGGATTTCAGTACGTCAAATTTCGTCTTTGTTTTGAATTAACTCTCGCAACCGATCTCGGATTATCTTCGGAAGCAGTTCATGAAAGAAGAGGCATTTCAGCTCTTCTAATGAGCTGTCCGCTTCTAGAATTCTCTTAAGACTGCATACTGACTTGTCCATAGTACAAGACCTTGCTCCAACGAGTCCAGGCTGAAGCACCGGTGGTTGAAGCTTTGATGGCTATGCACAGAACCGATATCGTCCTCCTGTATACCGATAACGATGCGGATGGAATCCACTGGTTTTGGACAATAATTTGTGCTGGAGGTGTTCCGTGTCTTTGTACCAAGCTTCCGGAGGATCCTGTCCAACGTACGAAGCAAATTGTCAATTTGAAGGAAACTCTGAAGGAACCCCTCATTCTCACTTCGAAGAATTTGGAGGCTCAATTCAAGGATTTAGATGTTGATGGTCTCAAGCTCTGGACCTTTGGTCAGATTGACAAGAGCAGACGTCGCATTCTACCGCATCGTCCGTACCCCGGCATGGGCCCTGGCAATTTCCACGGCTTCGAAGGGCTGTCTCTGTATTTTCCTGGGCACCTCAAGCGTCCACAGAGCCTCGCCGTCCTCATGCTCACCTCTGGCAGCACTGGCAACCCAAAGGCTGTTTGTTTGACTCATGATCAGATCATCAGTTCTCTCAAAGGAAAGAGCGAGCTTCATGCAACCACTTCTAAGGATGTCTTTCTAAATTGTAAGTTGCTTCAAACTGAACTCAATATAGCATATTCTTTGATTTTCTTTGGGCGGAACTTTTGTTGCTGAGGCCCAATTCTTTCGATTTCAGGAGACAAAGCTGACGCTCTGTGGCAGGGACCGCTCTTGATCACGTTGCACATCTGCTCGAGATACACCTCCATGCAGTCTATGTAGGAGCCAACCAAGTCACTATTCCAACTGCGGCGGTTCTCAGTAACCCAGTCGCCTTCCTAGAAAGAATCAGTGATTACAGCATCAGCTACACATTCGCACCAAATTTCTTCCTTGGCCTCTTGGTTCAGAAGTTCCCAGATTTCGCCAACGATTTGCCAGATGTTCATGGTAAGTACATACCCATATATGTCCGTTCATAACTATCCTCATACTTACAACTCGTTTTCAGATTTTGATCTGTCTTCCCTTCGGTGCTTGATCTCAGGCGGAGAAGCCAATCTTGTCGAAACTTGTGTGAAGTTGACGCAGCAACTGTACCCCTTCGAAGTCCCGATGTCCTGCATCCGTCCTGGCTTCGGAATGACGGAGACATGTGCAGGTTCGATCTACAATCCGTTCGACTGCCCACATTACGATGTCCAACAACGAAACCAGTTTGCTTCTCTCGGTTTTGGTATCAAGGGTATCAGTATGCGATTCTCCGAAAGCGACGAGTTGGAAATATGTGGTCCTGTTGTCTTCAAGGGTTACTATAACAACGAGAGCGCCTCACGTTCCGCATTCACTGAAGATGGCTGGTTCAAGACGGGGGACATTGGTCACTTTGATGAGAATGGCAGATTGAATCTTACGGGTCGGGACAAAGATTTAATCATTGTCAACGGGTATGAGCTCCAAAATCAAGAAGCAGAGTTCTTTTAGTTAATGTTGATTAGAGTCAACCATCAGCCGCAGGGCATTGAGAATGCAATTGATGACACCAATGTCCCTAGCGTAACTCCAACATTCACCACTGTCTTTGGAATCCGTCAGCCTGGCTCAAACACTGAGTCCATTGTCGTTGTCTACCTCCCAGAGGGACAATCGAATGATGCATCCACCCGTGTTGCTGCCAGTGCATCAATCAGCAAGGCTGTGGTCACTTATTGTGGGGTACGTCCCTACAAGATTGTCCCTCTGGACGAGGGTCAATTGAAGAAGACATCGCTTGGAAAGATCTCTCGATCCAAGCTACAAAAGTCCTTCGAGAATGGGGACTTGGACAAGTACATCCAGCAAGATGCCGAAATCAATTCTGGTTTCATGTCGTCAATGTACCAACCGGCCGGTACATTGACAGAAGAGGCTGTTTTGCGTGTGTTTGTGGAGCGTTTTGGTGCCGTGGGACATTCGATTGGTGTCAACCACGACATTTTCGATCTTGGCATGAGCTCATTGGACATCTTGGGCATCAAAGTGGACCTTCAGAAGTCTTTAGACGTGCTCGACATTCCAGTCACTACCTTCTTCTCGTACCCTGTCATTGTCGATTTGGCTGCCGCCCTCGACAAGATGCCAAAGGTTTCTGGCCGACAAATCACCACCGAGATATCCCCTGACTCCCAGGACATTCGAAAGAGCCTATTTGGAGACGAAGAAAGCGGCAAGGTTGCCTATGATCCTGTGGTCGTGCTCAACCCAAATGGCACCAAGACCCCTATCTTCTTCATCCATCCAGGCGTTGGCGAAGTCATGATCTTCTTGAACATCTCTCGCTACATCAAGGACCGTCCAGTCTACGCTCTGAGAGCTCGTGGATTCAATGGAGAGCCCTTTCACACTTCTTTCAACGAGATCGTCACTACGTACCTCGCCGCTATCCGTAAAGTCCAGCCTAATGGTCCTTACTCATTCGTTGGCTACTCGTTCGGATCTATCGTTGCATTCGAGATGACCAAGTACCTCCAGTACATCGGTCAAGAAGTCAAGTTCTTAGCTACGATCGACCAACCCCCTCTCTTCAAGGAGCGTGCCAAGAGTTACGATTGGTTTGAGTGCGTCCTCACCTTGGCATTCTTCTTGGGCTTCATGGAAGAGAAGAAAGCCTACGCTGTTCTCCCTATCATGCGTCGCCATCAACAGCACGAAGTCCTCGATTACATCTTCGGGCAAGCACCGGCGGAACGCGTCCAAGAGCTCGGCATGGACCGTGAGAAGCTGGCTGATTGGGCTCGACTCGCTCTTCAACTCAAGAAGTGTATCTCAGAGTGGGATCCTAAGGGCAAGGTCAAGCATATGGATGTCTTCTACACCGGTCCGTTGATTGGTTTGGTCGAGGCTGAGAATATGAAGGAGTGGTTGGAGGAGCATCTCATGGTTTGGAGTAATTATGTCGAGAAGGGTTGTGCCAAGTATCATGAGGTTGGTGGTACGCATCGTACGTTGATTAGCCCTCCTCATCTGGTTGGATTCTGGAAGGTCTTCAAGAAGGTCATGGACGAGCGTGGATTGTGAGTAAAGGTTGGTTGGTGTTGTTGGAGTATTTTACGAAAATTTCTTTCACGCGGTCTTTCTGAGTGGCGTTCTTGCTTCGATTTCATCGTGGGGGCGTCAAAAAGAACGATAGATGAGAAGACGATGGAACTTGATTCTGGGGCGTTCTTTTCGGGTTCACCACAGACCTGAGTGCTGGTTTCGCAGCAGTAGATTCAGCTCCTTGCATTTTATTGGATTTCTGATGCTGGTACTGACACGCTAGCAGTAGATAGTCAAATGGAAGTTTTGATTTTAAAAGCATTATGTTTCTGATAAGATAAGGATTCATGTTGATGGGCCTGCCAACGCTGATCCCGGAGCATTTGTGTCCACCTTTAGACCAGAAAGAGCTGCTCTGCCAACCTCGCTCTTGAAGATATCTACAGCACAGCTGACTTCTACAAAATCTTCCAACTCCTCACTAACTGTTTTCAACTTCTCCTTCACGGATGTTACACCTTCGTATCCGACAATGTGTCGAGCTGGAGGATTCTCGTGTCCTCCTATGGCTGCCAAAGCATGCACTGTTTCCAGCACAAGCTTATCTCGTGCATCACTGGGCAATCTTGGGTATCTTGAGACGATCTTCTCTTTGCCATTCTTCGCTCCGTCTATTCTTGTGTCTGGATGCATATTCACGACGTTCGTGAGGATATCTCTCAATCCGGGTGCTGGGTTGATGGAGCTCTCGTATTGAGGCAGTTGAGGGGCGAAGGTAATCTTGTTCGTCAAGACGGTGATCTCCTTGTTTGGCTGAACGATAGTCAGCTTGATATTGAAAGGTGCAATTTCGTATGCTAGCGAATCGCAATATCCCTCTAGTGCCCAAGTTGAAGCGCAATACATTGGCATCCCGGGAGTTCCTATATGTCCACCTATATTTGTGAGAATGATGATGTGGCCGTTGTGCTTTTCCCGCAAAAGTGGTAGTGTCGCTTTGATGAAATTGACTTGGCTGAAGAATATGATTTCGAACTGATCGCGAACAAGGTTCTGTGTTGCAGTCGAGGTTGAAAGCTCTTCGACAGTGCCGACAACAGCTAACCACAGGTCAGGAATATAATACTAATGTCTAAGACATGCATACCTTCCGAGGTGCAGCATAGCAAAATGTCTATGCGTCCAAATGTATGAACAGCTTCTGCTACAGCAGCACCGCATTGTCCCATCACTCGCCCATCGCATCTTATGCCACGTATCCTATCTTTCCATCCTTCCCGGTCTTTCCTCCCACTCCTGCATTCATTGATCAACTCTCTATATTCGGCATTTCGGTCCTCGTCCTCCATTTCTGAAGGCGGTAAGCCCGCTGCGACATAGTCGCCATGTGCAAGAAGTAGTCTGATCAGCCTCACAGCCAGTGGAGACAGCGAGGACGTCAAGAACCATACTCGAGGAGAGTTATGCGTGGCTATATATCGTCAGCAGAGCTCTCTCACTCTTGTCCTGCCACATACGAAATGAAGCAGCAGGTATCTGCACCTTGGCAGAACCAGCCTCTGACATCTTACGCTCAGCCATTTTGTTGACTTTCACTCTTCCATCGGCACATCAATCGTCCACGTCGAGCATTGCCAACATCCCGACCGTAAAATGAATAAAAGGGCAGCAATATAGGCTTCCTAACGAGGCTGAAGATGGCAGGTGAAGTTTCTTCGGCAATTGTTGACAAGGCTGCACCGAAGATTGACAGGGGCTGAATGCTTCCTGCAGGACGCTAAACATCCCACCGAAAAATCTGGGGAAGTCGGAGGCTTCCTGACTCATACATTAACTCTCTCTCTTCCTCGAATTCTTCTCTCCTTCATCACAACGAAGGAAGGAGCCATTGGAAGCTGCAGTAAGGTCAATTGAAATTGTAAGTCATGTTTCTGACAATAAATACGCGTTTGCTACACCCAATACATACAACAAGAAACTCCGCTATCGGAGCATGCACCTTGTTTGTCGCTCTATAATTTCATAATATGGTTACCAAAAGGACACTGACATCTCATCCTTTAACCCCAGAAATTCTCCCTCACCCAAAGCTCAGGAAATTACTTCCTACATCTCCTTTAAGGTCTAGCCCCAGCCTTAACCCGCCTGATTTGTTTGAACCTCTTTTCGAGCGAGTAAACTATTTTCGACGACCGACTAAGAAGATCAAAGGACGGCGTCGGATCCGCCTCTACCAAGACAACATGCCTACCCGAGAGCAAATCACCTATTTTGGCGCAGGGCCAGCTCTGCTGCCCTCAACTGTCTTGGAAACAGCTGCAGAAGCATTGGTCAACTACAACAACACTGGTTTGGGACTGGCAGAGCATTCCCATAGATCCGAATTGGCAACAAATATTCTGAATGAAACCAAAACAGATCTTGCAAAGTACCTTGATGTTCCAGATGACTACGAGATCTTATTCATGCAAGGAGGTGGAAGCGGCGAATTTTCTGCTACAGTGTATAATCTGGTGAACGTTTGGGTGGCACGACGCAAACAGAAGATATTGAAGGAACTGAATATCCCAGAAGGAAAGGAGATTCCTGAAGATGTCCTTCTGAAGGAGTTGCAGAAGGCAGTGGATGAGGAGCTCAAGGTCGACTACTTGGTTACAGGATCTTGGTCATTGAAAGCAAGCCAAGAAGCGGCTCGTTTGATAGGCCCTGAACATGTCAACATTGTAGCAGATGCAAGGAAAGTCAATGATGGAAAGTTTGGAAAGATACCCGAAGAGTCAACATGGAAGCTCTCCAAAAATCCTGCCATGGTTTACTACTGCGACAATGAGACGGTTGATGGGGTGGAAATATCGGGATTTCCTGAAGTCTTGAAGCCAACTGGAGGAGAAGATGACCCAATCGTGGTTGCGGACATGTCATCAAACATTCTATCACGACGGATACCTGTGAAAAACTTTTCACTCATATTTTTTGGCGCACAAAAGAATTTGGGCAGCACCGGTATAACAGTTGTCATTATCAAGAAGAGTCTGCTTCCTCCAGCAGTGGCCACACTTGCTCCAACCTTACTTCGGAAACTCGGTTTGCCGATTGGGCCCATTGTATTCTCATACGAGACAATCGCAAAGAATAACAGTCTCTACAACACTCTTAGCATTTTCGAGTAAGTCCCTCGTCGATGTTATCTGGAAGAAAGCTAATTGTCACAGCGTCTACATTGCCGGTCAAGTGCTAAAGAAGCTACTACAAACTTTCCCCGACAAAGTTGATGGTCAACAAAAACTAGCTGATCAGAAAGCCAAGCTCATCTATGCCGCCCTTGATAAATATCCCGAATCATATAAGGTATAATTGATGTGCACTCCTCGTGTGGTGGCAAGGCTAACAATATCTCAGATTGTGCCGGACAAGAATGCTCGTTCAAGGATGAATATTTGCTTCCGAGTTACACATGTATGTTGACGAATGCACGTTGCGCATGAGATTGGCAAACTAACTTCTGAATAGCTTGCGAGCGGCATCGACGAGTCTGAGCGAACATTCTTAAAAGGTGCTACGGATCAAGGCCTGACAGGCCTCAAGGGTCATCGTAGCGTTGGTGGTATCCGTGCTAGCAACTATAACTCAATATCTTTGGAAGGCGCAGAGAAGCTGGCTAAATACATTGAGGAGTACGCTCAAGGCCCTAAGTAATCCAGCATTTTCCGGGGTTCGACTTCAACAGTCTCAGTGGATCGGGTATCGACAAATACGGAAAATCATTTTGAATTTGCGAGTTTCAGCATGGTTTTTGATTCTGTGCGTCCATGGGTCATAAACTGGAGCAATGGGTTAATGAAAACATCAAGTATCAGCCAAGCACTGCAAGAAGTGAGTAAAGGCCATCCCTTCCCCTCTCAAGTCATCGACCGATGCGTTCGAGTGTTAGGATCATCTAATGACCCTTGCATCGTTCTAGCTTTAGGTGGGTCGAAATGTGCTGGTAGTGTGCTCTTGCACATGAAGTGTTCTTCGTCTCGCTTGTCTGATTTCCCCCTCCACTGAAGCTACAACAGACTCTAAGTCTAGCACGAACACACTCTGGCACCAACACAACTTCTGCCCAATCCAATAACATCGTCCCATTCATAAATTACATGTAATATCTCAGTTATACCCTCTTTTGCACCATTGATTTCAAATCGACATCTGATGAAGTTTCCGAAAAGTTTCCGGGTCACGTGCTTCTCCTGTTGCGCTCCCTTTCTCTCAAGTATAAAGCTGCTGGGAGTGTCGTCTCTTCTGTACTTCTATCAAATTACTCGGGTCGTGGTATTTTGCCTTAGCTATCAAAATGTCTCTTCAAAGTAAATCTCAAAATGAGATCGCCGCTTGGCTAAAGAAGGTATGATGTTAGCTAGTAACGGACGAGGGATTGAGGTTAATGAATGAATGCAGTGGCACGAAGGAGCAGACTCACTTACGTCGGACTACCATCATATGTTCTTCACCAAAGATGCAAAACTCACATATGCCAACAACGAGACTCTAGTCGGACGAGACAAGATCATCGAGGTACATCATCTCCTTCCTTTACCCAACCCACAACTAACAACAACCCTCATTGCAGTTCTTCTCTCAAGTCTTCCCCCTTCTGCAATCCATGCATCACTCAACCCGCTCCTTCACCATCCCTGCCGACAAGAACCAAATCTTCCTCCGCGATACTATCAGCTATGTCGTGAAAGGTGATCCTGAAGCTAAAGAAATCACGATCCCTGCTTTGGGAGCGTTTTTCTTGGTTGATGATGCCGGGGACAGGATTGGGAAGGTGGATCTGAAGGAGAGTGATAAGGAAAAGACGGAGGAGGGGGCGGTGATTGAGAGATTGGAGGTTTATTTGGATGCTAGTGAGGTCTTTGCGAGGATTGTGGGGGTTAGGGATGGGACTTTGTGAAAAATATGTGCGAAGAGCTGGATGAAGGCGATAAGAGATGGTTCGTGAATCAGGCTGAGGTTATCATTCTTCGACAAGTTTGAGAAATGTTTCTCGGATACTTGATTTCATCTCGTTCTCTCTCGAGTTTGTATCTTCATTGGAATTCTTAACGTCAAGTTCTGCAATCTTCAGGCTTAGTTCAAGTTCGAGTGTTCGCAGCTACATCAGACGATTGCTCTTTCCTATTTGCTTCTCGCTTATGAGACGAGGCTGGGCGATTTTACAACTATTTCTCACTCATTACCTTTTCTTCCTTCTTCGACTCCTCTCTTCTCCTAAACACTCCTCCTCGAATAAAAGAGGTTCATGATCAAGACCTATGCTTGGAAGTCCATTGTCAGCTTCGGATCTTCCATACAAATGATTGCGGTTGGACCTCAACTGGTGAGATACAGCACTCGAATGTCAATTCAACACAAGAGAACAAACCTTGCTAACATACATCAAAGAACTTTTCTTGAGAACTGGCTTCTTCAAGTCTCATTGTGCATAATGGCAATACTTGGCAAATCAACCTCGCAGATAGAGGTCCGTCTCGAGAAGCTTCCTATCAATGGAGAACACCCGACCTACTTTGACGAGTATGCCCCAATCGGCGATCGAGAAGCTCTTACGGACACTATCACTCGATACATTGTGCCTGAAGATCAAGCTTACGCTATCAAGATTATCTTCAAGGAAGGCTACGTTTCTGGGAAGTTCGATGGGGGATTCGGTGTCATTGTCCATGAAAAAGCTACCGGCACCGACATCTTTAGACAACAACTAGTAGGTGATTCAAACTCTGAAGATCCCTCGAAAGATGTCATTTATCCCGTTGCAAGTATTCCTTCTGCTGTGGTTGATGGGGTTGTCAAGCAGAACGTTCAGCTAGCGTTCCACCAGCTAAGCCCAGGTAAGCACAGTCTGTACTTCATCAAACTTCAATATTGACATGGGAAGACGAGGAGCTATCTGGCGAGACTGACTTGCTTGGATGTGATGCAACGAAAGTTGGTGGGATCACAGTCACAATTCGGAGAAACAGCAAGCGTGTGATCGAACCAAAACCTTGCGATCAATGGAGCGAAGAAATGTGGAACTATAATTCTCAGCTTGCTACAGGTTCGGACAGTCTCTGGAAAGCTGCCAAGATAGACCAGAAGCTTTTCACCAAAAAGGGCCTCACGCATGGTACAATGTCAGAAAGTCTTGGTCCCTTCTTGGCTCCTTGTGCTAATACCTGAACAGATTGACTGGTGGAGAGACTGGCGGCACATTGCATCTTCCTTCTCGCAATAATGCAAAGTCTGAGCACGTGGAGGATAGGTGCTATCATTTCATCTGCCGAACTGCTGGTAAGTGGCCCAACATTATCCCCAATTGGGATATCTGAGACTGATTGTCCAGCTTTCCTTGAGGATTCACAAATTGTTAAGACTCCTATTCCTCTGATATCTCGTCCGTGGAGATACTTCAAGGAACACGAGCGCTTCAATGTCTTTAGAGACCTTCAAGTAATGTACCCAAGGATTCGATCAGAGCACACCTTGCTGAAACTTGTGTAGAACTATGACAAGGAACAAACTTTGAAGCAAAAGATAGCCGAGGCTGGTCCTCATGCAGATGCCAAGGCAATCCAACGAGATCTCCTAGAGACTGGAGAGATTGTCAACAGATGGCGTGGATGGTCACAGACCTATAAGCGAGAGCGAGAGTCGCTGTTCAAGGAGCTTCAGGTGAGTGACACTGGTACTCATTGTTTTTTATGCTAATATGGTGCGCACAGCGTCGCCGCAACTTCTTTGAAAAGGGCGAATATCCTCCAGATGAAAATCAGGTGGGGAACTCATCGAAGACGGCAATTTCTTTAGGCGAGCTAGCACCCGAGGACAATTCACCTGCCAATGGTGGCACTCCAAGAGCCAGCACGACCACCATTAAGGCGGAACCAGAAGACAATAGGTCGCTGCACTTCAAATCCCAGGCCAAGCCATCCGTCATCGTCCTTGATGACTCCGATGAAGACCCACAGGGAGTGTCCAAGAAGCTGAACTTCAAGGGCACAGTCATCAAGAGTGAGACGACCATCAAGAGCGAGCCAGAGGAATCAAGAAACCAAGTCCAGACTGCATCTCGAAAACGATCTAGAGTAGAAGATGTGAGACAGTCCAAGAAGATCAAGTTGGAGCCTGGACTCAGTTCATCCTCAACCATCAAAGTAGATACAGAGCTCATGCGTCTGAAGGAAGAGGATGAATTGAAGGAGGAAGAGCTGAATGCCGCACAAAGAGTTTTTGAGTTGATTCAAGAGCGCAATAAGAGAAAAGGAAAGATTGCTGCTCTAGAGGCGGGCAGTAGCGCAACATCGACACCTCGCAGCCATCGTCGACCATGAAGTTCTTTTACTCAACAGAGAGGAGCTGCACACGGCGATACACCTCCTATCAGTCTTCGTCTACCACTCCACACTTGGATGGCTTTTATGCCGGTCGGCATACATCTCACATTCCCTTATTTAATATTTCACACAGCACCAATCTTTTCCTCTCAATGTCAAAACAATATCTTCACCACCATTCCAACCAGGTGCGGCGGTGCGTCCATTCATGGGAGACATCCACACTCCAATATTTCAAGCAGGAAAGGAATATATCGGGTGCACAAAAAGACAAGATATAGCGAAATCTAGATCGCAAGACTTCCTAGCATAGATAGTCTTTCAAGAAATGAAACATATTGACCATAAAATCCCGAGGAACACAACGTGACTAGACCTCAGCTAACTCATTCTCTACAATCATCAAAACTTTGGTCTAGCAGCTTTTCTACTTTACGACAAACTATTCAAGAGCACTGCCGAAGAGCCTTTAAGCCCAGTCATAAGTCTACATGCCTGAAAAGTGACCCAGCTCACTACACGTGACCAGCTTGCTCCATTCTCAACCTGGAAATCATGTAGCCAAGAATCTACTCATTTTATAGCTCGGATACGAATATTTCCTAACCGATCTTGAAGTTCGTAAGGTTGTATGTCATATCTCATAGCCAACCTCAAAGAACAGATCCTCAGATACCAACTTGTGGTTGCAATCTCAGAAAGAAAAAGACTTTATACTGATCAGAGCTTGCGATTCGCCAACATTGACAAAGTCTGACGACCCTTCGACGAACAGATTTAAAGGTGCAGGAAGACTCAGCAATATTTGGACTTGCCATAAGCTCTAGGATGACATTGTGAAGCTGACTAAAGCAGTGGTAGATTGTCCCAAAATTGACTATCAATATAAGGGTAGTAGATCCATATGAATAAATACAATGGAATTCCTAAAAATAACAAAATCAGGGTATATTAAAGGGCAGGAAAATGCTTTCTATTCTTCTCGGAAGCTTTGACTCGCTCGTCAACAATAGTATCAGCCCATGAACAAACGATTTTGCAAGAGAAATAACTTTATAACTCGATTCTTCGCATCAGAAAGGGCATTGGAGTTCGCAAAAGAGCGTAGCAGAAATCGCAGTTGCGTTTGACAAGGCCAATGGCTCGGTACAATGACATCAGCAAGCTATTGCGCCCAAATCACTTCCACTAGCCGCTTCCTGAAAATCCTTTGTCGGTCACTAAAGCGCTCTTAAGAAATTCTCCTAAGACCGAATCCCGAGATCGAAGTTCTCTACTTTCAATTTTCATTACATCTTCCAGCAGTGGCATAATAGCTGCCGGCGCTAATCCAGCACTAAACTTCGTGCAAGTGTCTGGATGGGGCTAGCGCTGCGAGGTTGCGGCACAGGCGCCTTAAATATCGTGTCGGCTTCTCAATTGAGATGGTATCACGAACCTCGCATTGAACCTCCTAGACTTAGGAACAAGATGACGAGAGAAGGGGTTTGTGTATATAAGGAGGGAAGTTCGTCGTGGAGGGGAATTAACAACAACAGGAACTTGACAGCGTTAATCATCACTGCATTCTCCAGGTCTTCAAATTAGAGCCTCATATACAACGCCAAAGACAACTCGATAGATTCGCTCCCAAAAAGACAGCTCGCTGCGACACTTGAAGCCAACATTTTGCCTTAAACAACAGCTAGCCAACCAGAGCTTTCAATCCTTTCGGCGCTTCTACCAACCAAGAGCACTACCGACGACTTTCAAGATGTCTTCCACCACCACCGTGGCTATGCCTTCATCGGACTCAAACCCACGCTTGATCACGACGACGCACACAGCAGACGGGACGTCAATCTTCGGCGCAGACAGAGAGGTCTCACTGTTCCGCCCCTTCGGACCCTCAGGCTCATCGTTCGCCGTCTTCGACACTCGCGGGGCAGTGCCGGTCGACAACTTGGAGGCAACAGGGGAGTTCCTAGAGACTCTACCAAGATGCCCACCTGGCGGCGCCACCTTTTGCATCACCAACATCGCGGGTAACTTCACGGTGCCTATGCACCGAACATTGAGCATCGACTATGCCGTGGTTCTGTCAGGCGAGATCGTGTTAAAGCTTGACAACGGTGACGAGAAGACGGTGCGCGCTGGCGAGTTCATTGTCCAAGCAGGCGCCAATCACCAGTGGATCAATCGTACGAACGAGGCCTGCCGGACAATGTTCGTTTCGCTGAGCTCGGAGAAGATCAAGCTTGCTGATGGGACCGTGTTGGAGGAAACGATGCCGAAGAGACCATGAGTGGTGGACGGGTATGTGATTCGCTATGTATTCTGAACCTGGGATGCGGTAATTTGCTGTAATAGACTCGAGAGCTAGATAGGATTATATGATGCTCATATCACCAAGTGTAGATTTCATCCCAGTGTAGTCTCGAATCCGTTCAAATACTCTTCCCCCACGTTCTTTCTGCTCCAATGTCGTGGCAGATAATTGAGCCTTGACAGTCTTTATTGGCCAGAGAAGAAGATACCCGCCAATGCCACGACATCGTGGCGGGCCATTTTTGGTGTCATATAGCCTGCCCATATGGTCGACATCACCAAAAGACTGAGGTACTGTCGATAGAATCTCGTCCGCGAGCCACTGGATCGTTGAGGTACACTCGGTGATGGTGTCAGTGAGTGTTTTCTCTTCCACCACATCTAGGTCTGGAGTGTCCAGAGCGGCCTTTGAACATTTTAGAAGCTGCTCCAAGAAGGTAATGCGAGCTGCTCTGTGATAATCCCATTCGTAGGCCATCCATATATCAGAATGTAGCTGGATCGTGTCTGTGATCCCATTCGCTGCGGGTTCAAGATCCGACCTTTCTGATACTGCCAGGTTCTTGAATGACCACTCTGATGTCTGCCGCCAGCTAACAGCTGATTGGTCAAGTATATGCAGCTCCTGAATCATTTCGACTATAGTGGAGGCTAGCAAGCCACCAGCATTGATCAGAGTCAAGAGCGTTCGCGCACGCTTGCACGTATCGTTGATTGAGTCGGCGTTCTTTTCAAGACGGACATAAGGCTCGTTTTCATTGAGCTGATTTAGCCAACTTGTTGTATCCGAATTTGGACGCATGTCAAATGCCAGCTGCTGTTGTTGCTTCAGAGATTTTAGCTCGGAGAAAGGTTTCGCCATGTCTGAGTACTTACGATCCTGTGATGAGCAAGTCGAAAAAGACTCCAGCCTCTTGAGTTGTAAACCAAGTCTGAGCCTCGCAATCGTAGGATCTGCGCCATTCCTTGAGCATGTGATCCTTTGGCAGCTTCATTGGGAGTGTATAAGGTCTGAGTTTGTGAGCGGAAAACCATGGCATGATGAAATGTGCGGACTTACTTCAAAAATATCAAGAATAACCACGGTCATTAGATCATAATCATCTGGGACTTTTCCCGGCTCAGCAAGCGATTCTCCCAAGGCAGAAAGTGCCATGCCGTAGCACTGTAACGCCTTCATCACAAGGATGTCATTATTCTGATCTTTTGAGAGATCGGCATACGAAGCGGCTCTTACAGCCCATCTCAAGGCGTATCGTCCAGTGACATTGACTTCTTTGAACATGCTGGGCAAATGTTCCAGGAATCCAGGAGAAGATGTCTGGTTGCATGGATAAATGACATACTTTTCCATAAAACTATCAACGGCTTGCTCTTCGACTGGAGGTGCCCTCTCGGATGGCAGCTCTTTAAGCAGCCACGGATGGGGGTTCTTGAGCTTGAGACCACTATTCTCTCCAGGAGCCAGCCGTGAGGGATCTAGATTCTTGGCTGGAGACGAAAAGGAATTGCTGCGTTTCCTCGAAGCTTGTGAAGAGGCCTTCGAGCTGGCCGGGGAATGCGCTTGCGCTTGTGAGGCGCGGGCATGCTCAATCACTTTGTCGGTCTCATAGCGAAAGATGAGGGATGCCTCATCTCGATATCCCTCACAGACTTCACTGCGATTGATACATCGTCGGCATGAGGGCCGACCTTCGTCGCAGCGGACGCCACGCTGTCTGCATCGGAGACACCCGCGACTCAGACGCGCCATAAGTTGATGCTTTACGAAGAAGTTGGGGCCAGCTGGAGGTCAATGGCGAGTGAGATTAGTCGCAATCACGTGAGAAGTCCAACTTCCAAAGTGCATTTTTATATATAATTAAAACAGAGAAGAACCGAAGTATTTATGATCGAAGTCTGTACACTTCATCTATCCGAATTCAGAAAGACAAAAGATGTGATGGATCTCTTTAGATACAATTACTAGATAAAGCTCGTATTCCGAATCGGGCTAGTTCACTCACAACGTCAAGGCCATGTCCAAGCCGCCCCTGAACTCTCTTTCATACTAGAAGAAAGATCTAAGGCCGACCTCGATGCTGTCCTTCGCTTCTTGTCTCTCGAAAGATTAAAAGAGCTCCTCGCAGATGATATCACAATTCCAAACAGCAAAGACACCGAGGTGCGAAGCTGGGCTGCTAAGATTATCAATTTGAAAACGCGTCACAGGCTTCAGGTTCACAGAGCAGACATTTCCATTAATGGTCAAGAGCTATTCTCTCGATTGCCACATCTCTAAGTCATGGTTCCACAAAAGACATCGACTCGTAACTCAAATCCCTCGACTCGCAACTCAAATCCCTTCTCAATATCGACACTTGATCCTGGCAGTTCATCGTCAAGTCTTCGAATAAATCTACCGACGTCTATGAAGGCAGCAAAACACGCAACCAAACACAAGATATAGCCAATCCAGAAAAGCCATATCACAGCAGGTATATTGTGTGTCGAAGACATCGCAGCCGAAGACGACGGCGGTCCTAATATTGCATACCCAGGCACAGCAGCAGCAGCAGAACTCATCTGAGCCCAAGTTGCGGCAAATGTTGCAGATACGCCAGTATCGTTTGTGCAGGTTGAAGGTAAATCGGTTTGTCGTCCTGGAACGAAATTGACAGCCGCACACTAATAGAACGGTAAGCCACAACTTCACGCTATCGAGGTTGGTTCCAATTTATTTACCTGATTGACAGAGCCATCAGTTACCATAGATAGTTGAATGATCATAATGACTCCCTTCAATCCTGCAAAGGAGCCTGGAAGTGGCACACTGGGGTTGCAGTAATCGCCCACACCAGACTGGTTGATAGGAGGGAGAACGATTGTCCAGGGGTTAGAGTAATTGACACCATTGCCGGTGTCGAGAAATGCACCGAGTTGCCAGATAGTCTGAGTATAGTTGGAATACTGCGTTGAAAGTGAGCAAATATTTTAAGATTCAAGGAGGTTCCTACCAGCGCAACAGCATCTCCTTCAACGTGGAAATCCGTGACGTTATCGCTCGAATAGTCTGGAACGTTACCTCCACATGGAAGATAGTCCAAGCCCAGGACAGCACCATCGCTGATGCTGGGAGGGTAGTTCAAGGAAGGCTGGGCGGATGTTTGTCCGAGGAGAAGAGCAGCAATGAGCGCAATACAGAGGTTGACGAGTTGCGACATCTTGACTTGAGAATAGCGCCTGATGTGAGTCTCGTGTTGCTGTAAGAGTTAACAGTAACCAGGTTTCCGCGTTGATGGAAGTGGTCGGCGATATTGATGTCAAATCTTCGCGGTAAGTAGATTTGTTTAGAGGGGTAGTCGAATTCTTGGAACACGCTAGCGCCAACTCATCTTAGAAGCAAAGTTGAAATCATCAAATGGCGATCCGATTGCCGAATATATCGATTCTGAATGTTCCGACAATTCTGACACATTTTAGTAGATGCTCAGCGAATACCTTGCATTTATGATCGCTATTTGGTCAGAGACAAATCTCTGAAGCATTAAAGACCCTGACAACAATTTCCTGACCTATACTCCGTACCCTCCTGACTATTCTTCGCATATGCTTCTTCCCTTACGGCTCCCTCAGATTTGCACCTCCTTCTCATTGGATGTCTGAGGAGCGGGAGTAGCCCCCGCCTTGGCAGCATCCGCTGTGCTCTCCTGAACTTGCGTATGCGGACCCTTTTCAACATGCTCAGCAGTACCGATCTCCTCATCACCCTTTGCCAATTCGGTCACACCGAACCTGTTCATCATCAGTCCTATCTCTTGCGACATTTCCTCTAAAGTCCAACTGAAAGGAGAAAATACGAGAAAGAGGAAACTCACATATCATCCATCCTCTCCAAACTCATTCCCTTAGTCTCAGGAATGAAGAACCACACAAAAAAGAACATAATGAAACAAAAGCTCCCAAAGATGAAATAAGTACCATAACCACCTTTTCCCACAGTCGCTAACATATGCGGAACCGCCTGCGCAACCACGAAGTTAAACAACCACTGCGTCGCTGCAGCGATGGCAACATTCATAGCCCTCAATCTCGCAGTCGGGATCTCAGAAACAATAATCCAGCAGCAAGGTCCCCAGCCGAATTGAAAGAATGCTGCGAATAAGAAGATGCAGGTAAGGGCGAAGTATCCGACAGGTGGGATGGCGGCGCCTTTCACGGGAGGGTCGAAGCGGACATAGAAGCCGATCACGAACATGGCGAGGCCTTGGGCGATGGAGGTCCAAAGGAGGGATCTTCGACGCCCGAGAGAGTCGGCGGCAAAGAGGAGGAAGGCTGCGCAGGTTGTCATTTTGACGACGCCGTAGATGCCAGTTGCGAAGAGGCCGGTGTTGGAGCTCTGGAGAAGATGTTAATGCATTGGAGGTGTGATATCGATCAGAAGACTTACGGGAATGCCGAGATCAAGGAAGATAGTTGGAGCGTAGTAGTTAATTGCATTGCTTGCATAGAGTTAGTTTACGGAAGGGAATTGAGGAGAATGTGCACATACGTTCCAGTCATCTGCTCAGAAGTCAGCTTCGTCTCGAATTGAAAAGAGTGATTGGGCATACCTGTTGACAAACCATAAGTCCGATTGAGATCAAGGCTCTGTTTCTGTTTCCCTTAATAGTCCACATCTCACGTTGCAAATCCATGAAAGAGGCTCCTCCAACAAGTCGCCGCTGTAAGATGTTAGGTGTGGTCAATCACATTGCTAATGGCTCAAATTGACGAACCTCGTTCTCTAATTGGTCTCTCATCTATGCTGCTATTAACCCCGGTATTCATCGAATTTAAAAGGAGAATGCATAACTTACCTCATTCAATTCCATCTGCACGTAAGGATGATCGGGAGGAAGACTAGAAAATGTCAGCTCGAAGAACTTCTTTCTCTATCCCCACGGAACAAAAATAGAACTTACTTTGTGACTTTAGACAGAACCTTAGTAGCCTTCTCCCAATTGTCCTGTCTAGCCAACCATCTGGGGCTCTCATTGCAACAACAGATTCCCAAAAACAAGCAAAGTGCCGGCAAGCACTGAAGTGCCAATGGAACCTGCCAAGTAGCATTATTCGTCTTCACAGGCTTGAAGTTATTGTGCGTTCCGTAGTTGATCCAGAAACTCAGCATGGTTCCAGCTGCGATGAAGAGTTGATAGAGACCGGTCAAGCCACCTCGGATGGCACGAGGAGCATTTTCGCTGACATACAGAGGGGTGAGCATGCTTGCTGCGCCGACACCAAAGCCTGAGACAAGACGACCCACGTAGAGAGCCGAAATGTGGCCGTCGGACGAAGATTGAATGATGATGCCAAGAATCGTAACTCCTGCTGCGATCAAGAGTGAGGGCTAGAGAACTTGTTAGTGCTAGATCAATTGAGATATGGTGGAGGAGCCAACCTTTCGTCCCCATCTATCTGCAACATAGTATGCGATCAAGGACCCGAAGAAGCAACCAGCTTGGAGCGTGCTGACAACTACCGAAACTTCAGTTCGACTATCACACGGGACCGGACCTGAACTCACTGTTGCTGGTCAAAGTAGCTGTCGTGGCGGCGGTGATATTATATTTCCTGTCAATAATTCAGGATATGAGTGCTGAAAGGTAAGATGGACACCGACTTCAGGAATGCCTCCATGACAATGATGCCTCCGATTGAACCAATGTCTGTATCCTGTTAGAGAATGTGCTTTGTGCGAGATACGCAACATACCCCATCCAAACAACATTCCACCAAAACAAGCTTCGAAATGTTAGCATGGCCCACAAATACCTGTTCCTAAGGGACCCTGTTGCCGGTTGTCACTTCGGAGTCTGGAATGATTGGTACCGTACCTGAGCATGCTATAAACTAGTTAGCTCTTAAGTTTGAATTATTCACGAGGATAAGCCTCATCTAGGTGATGGTTCTTGACTTGGAATCAATAGAGAAACATACCCAAAGCAAATACACGCCATCCTCCTTGCTGTCAGCTCAGATTCAATTGATCGAAGGTTGTTGAACTTTACCGTAGATCTCAGGCGGATCACTGTCATTCACAAGTCAGTATGTGGCATGTAGAATGGACAGAGATAATATACCTTTTCATTGCCTCATTCTTCACGATCTTCTGGAGGAAAGTTGTTTTCGCCATTGTGATGATCAACTCTCGAAGTTCTCGTGGTTTCGTTTTGTGACTACCAAGATGATTCGAATACCAGAATGCAACTTCCAACCTCGAAGAACAGATGCTTGATCGAAGACTGTGTCGAAGAATGGAATACAACCTTTTCAGGACCAACGGCTGCAGATAAAACTTTACCATGCAAGGTTCATCGGACCCGAGAAGACGATTATCCCAGCTTGATGCCTCCAACTCGTAATTCGGGCACATCTGATAGCCAAGACCGGGTAAACACAGATGGATTATTAACCAACCAATTAGAAGACACCGGAACGGATAAAATAAGAGCCAATGTCTGGTAACAAAGAAAGACGACAGCAAACAGCCATACGCTACGCTTTCATCCGCATGGCAGATCCTTGCTGAGGTGGACGAGGGGTTGAAGTGTTGACCGGGGCCCCGCATTTGCGATTTACCCATTGATGCTCCTTTCGTACAACCGAGGGGTACGCTAGTCTCCATCCTCGTGAAATCTTGGGGTGACACAGATTCTTGAATAGATACCAGATAGCTATTGATGGAGGAATTGTTCACGGGTAAGTCTTATTTGCAGGCCAAGATACGCTTGATGTTTTAGTCACAGGCGATGAGCTGCGGTGCAGATGGCTGGGAAGAAGGTGTAAGCGTGGCATGTACAGTATTCTGATTGTCGGCCGAATTGTTTGTCAAACAGTGGTGCCGATCCAATTTGGGCTGCATACTCCTTACACGAGCTCGATACTCTTCAGTGTAACCCTCGATGCGGGTGTTAGAAATGTATCCGAATCAAGGCAAGCTCCCTCGGATGAGCGCATTCAAAGCTGTACGAAGCCGATTGGTTTGTTGCAACATCGAATCATGTTTTGAGGCTGAAGATTCATATATTTGAAAGTATATTATCTCATACCATCTCATCCTTGAGCCACTGAGGAATGACAGGTTTGCTGTCCCAACCGTCAAGATAAGTCTCAGGAAGCACGTCTTTCCGAGGAGGTTTCGCATAAATCGCTGTAACATACCAAACAGTCTCGCCTTTCTTTATCGTGTGCTGCAGGGTTGGTATGATTGTTCGTGCCTCTTGTAGATTCGTGTTTGGGTCAGCATTCACATGCATTGCAGTTCTTGGAGTATCGGCTTCCAAAGCAACGATTCCCACGGCGCCTTTAGACATAGCAAAAGCACCGACTGCGCCAGGAGACCATCCTTCTGGGGTGTTCAGATCGTAGTTTCCAATGATCTTGGGGAGTGTTCCTTCACATTTCTTCGAGTCGTAGAGGTCGAGGTACCGACCATCTGGCTTTCTTTCATTGTGAATTGCGAAAGCCCCATCTGCAGTCATGACTTCACGACCTGCCTCGATGTTGTGTACTCGGAAATGCCAGTTCGGTGTAGCTTCGACTGGCGGGATGAGATATGTCTTGATTTTAACATCGGGATACGGTTTCCAGATCGACTTGAGGACAGGCAGGTCCTCATGTGTCTCAATGACAGCCTCTTCACAAAGGCGGCGTGTCTTCCAGAATTCCCCACCATCATCCGACAGTCCAAGCTGAGAAGCAAGAGCAAATTGCTCCAACGTGAAGCATCCAGATGGCACCGAATATGCATATTCACTGCTATATGCAAAGCTTCCGTACTTCGCATGTGTTCCTTTCATCGGATAGCTGCATGCTTGTCCGGATGACAACAAAAGTCGATGGCCTCCGAGATAGCTGATAATGTGACCAGGATGCTTCAGAGCTCGAACTTTTTGCAGCATGTCTGTCGGGTATGGTTCCTCTTTCGAAGTCCAGAAAGCATGATCTGCTGGAACAGCCAAGCAAATAAATGCAAGACATGCCCAATATGGACTCATCGGAGAGTTGTAGTTCTCGGCCATGTACATGTTGGGGTACGCATAGCCAATGGTCAAGGTTCCTGTAGGGCTCCATATCTGGCCTTGAGTCTGCCACCAACGGAGGTTCCTTAGCAGCAAGCCTTTAACGATGCCCCAAGTTAATGGTGCCGGAAGCTCGATGTCCGCATAAGCGCACGCGCCCCAGAACGATGCCATGGCAAATCGATATCCCACACTTCGGCCAAAGGGAATCGCTCGACCTTCCTCATCGAAGTAATGGACGAAGTCCAGAGCATAGTCCTGCGCTCTCTTCTTGAATTCTGTAGCCTTTGCTGGATCATCGCCCCCAGCAATTTTGGCGTACAGAAGCTGCAGGAACTGGATAGCGAAGCTACCACTGTAGTAATCCTGTTGCCAGACACCTACGGGCCCATCATTCGACCATCCTTCTCCTCGATAGAAGGAGTTCAGGTGAACAATGTCTTGCTCAATTTTCTCCTGTGAGTACTTCCCGCCATTCTTCTTCAGTCCAAGATTCGCGAATACCCTGAACCATAGCCCTAAGGTCAACATCAGCACAAAAGTCCTTCAGAACAGCACTTGGGCTATATTCTCCCAAGATTGCCAGAGACTTCTCAAGGCTCATTATAACTAGAGATCATGATGGAATTCCCATACAATTGGTATTTGGCATACTGAACACGCATTAGCTCAGGCGACGATTTCAAAGGCCTCTGCAGTGCTTGGATGTGCTTACTTCTTCTCGTTTATGCTGTTCCCAAGCCATCTTTCAACATTTGGTCGTTCCTTCTCAGACAATGAGTCCCAGAAAACAGGTGCAACTGCAAGTGTAAACCCTAGAGGGCACATTTCCACCATCCGCTGGTCATTGTCACGAGGATCTCCCCAATATTCTGGGCTTTCAGGATTCGTGCCTGCATATGGTTAGCGAACAACATTCAAATGGAAGAAAGGGATATAATTTTCGGTAACATTTCTTCTGCTAATAAAAGAAGAAGAGGAAAGCTCTCACCTTGTTTCAAAGCTTCAATCCACCACGCCGTCCCATCATACTCGCCACCACCAGCCAGCAAACTAGCCAATCCCCACAATGGCCTACATGTCCCCTCGATTTCTGCAGCAGTCTGGTCAAACCTCACTGCACTTCCACCTGGAGTTCTGATCCTCGCCTTGAGAGGAGAGAAATGGGTCTTCAATGGATCAAGCAATGTCCTCAAAAGCTCCTGTACACTCGCTCTATCTGTGATATCAACTTTCGCGAAAGGATGAATACTATCATATCCTAGAACCAGCTGCTTTGATTCCGCCATCTTCGTGACAACGCCAGGTAATGAGAAGTACCGACTTCAATGTCCGTTCGGGAGATTGAGGATTGGGCTCGAATTCGTGGCTTCACGAATGACGAACAATGAGAGGAACTTACCTTGGGGCTATATACCTCAACCTAGAGATGGGCCGAGAGCGGGTGCGGATGATAGCGCAGATGGAGTACCTGCATGCATTTTGGTTATGTGAGTGGGGTGTTGAGTGGGAGGAAGAGATCTGCCGACGCGATGAATGGCGGCTAAATTCGCGATGATGTGGTCACACCTGGTGTGTCATTACAAAAGGGGGCTTTCATCTGATACTGTACACCAAGACGTTCGCTTCCGACTCGCACTGCAAATGGTCCTTCTCCTTTGTTTAGTAACCTCTCCCTACTCATCTATATATATCGAAGTCTCAGCTATTTCTGGATATTGACAAATTTTGAAAGCTGGATAAAGTTTTGGAGTTCCAAGTGAATATCACGGGATTGGCAACTCAAGCAATTACCTAGGTAGAACTCCACTACAGTGCTCAAATATTATTCTTTTCACCTACTCTACATGTGTACCTCGCACACATAGGGTTTATACATCTTCGACTCGTATAGTCTCCGTCATAACTCTGACCATCATGCACACCTGCCAGCGCAAGGAATTCAATAATCGCCGATCAATCCATCTCTCTCCAACTGAGAGAAGAAGTCAGAATTCTTGAATTTGGCACTGCTCTCACCTTCCTCTTCATCCTGCTCCATACCTCCCATCTCGAGATCCGATGCTGGTGTTTGCTAAAGCTGCGATGTTTCTGGCTGGCTCTCAATTGCAGCACCATCAGAATAGCTGGGAATGTCGATGCGTTCCTCGGCTTCTGCCTCGATCTTGACGTTCTTTGCTAGAGACTGATCCTCCTTCGTCAAATCGTATGTGACCGCGGATGATAGCAAAAGCTCAAGGTCCTGCGAGTCTAACGCATCAACATCGATTGGTTCCTCCTTGATAGCTGGCTCTTTCTTGAGGTTTGAGTGGCGAACATTTCGACCTGCTGCATCCGAGGTAAAGGTTTCAGTTGTTGCTACTGATGTTGAGCGACGACGCTTTCTCGGGATCGAATCACCGCTATTTTCACTCTTGATGATATCTTTATCTTTCTCAAGCTCGTCTTTGATCACAATGGGCTTTTTAGCATCGTATAGGGCTGCTGATGCTGCTCGTGTGCTATGACTGGCACGTGGCGATGCAACACCCACATTAGGAATTACATCATCGTCTATAATAATGAATCTGTGGCTTGGTACCAACGACACCTGGGTCTGGACCTGGCCTCTTTGAAAGTCCTTATACTCTTTCTAGACTTTCTGTTAGTTCGTGAGTATCAAAATAAAGAGATTGAAAACTACCTGCAGCGTATTGTATGCATGCTGTCTCTGAATGGGTTCCATCAGGAGCCATGACCGCCATTCTCTGCGGGCATGCTGATCTGAATTCGTGCCATGTGCTATCAGGTAGTCGTCCCTGCTAATTTCTTGAAGCTGGCCGAGAGCAACCTGGCGTTGTCCATCTCTCAGTTTCTCCCAGGTATAGTAGTGAAGTGGCGGTGGCCAAGTTACAACTTTAACCTGTTCGAAGAACTCTCAATGTTTATTAGCCGCAGTATCGATGCCCTAGTTGTAATTGTCAAAATTCACCTGCAGTACTGTATCGAAAATAGGCCATGGCACAGGTGGACGCCTCCATAAGGTACTTCGATAGATAGCATGTCTCCGTGTCGACACGGGAACTACCCAGACTGTAATGTTTCAGCAACATGTATATCAGATCAATTGTTGGTAGGTAAACTAACCCTGTTGCGAATGTTATTCCATGCTTCTTGAAGCTTTCTTGGTCTACTTTTTGTGCTCTGAATACCCGAGTTCCTCGATTCTCAAGTTTGTAAACTGTGGCGGGGTCCTTTGGTGTAGTGGTCACAAGCCGTCTACGTATCAGGATCTTAAATCCTGCGAGTGATAGTGGGTCTATCTCAGAGATGTCCGATTCGGTAGTCAAAGCTTCGTCTGCATGATCATTGTTAGCAGGGGGAAGAGCTCAAATGTCTTAAGTTTTGAAAAAGAAATGGAGCGCCTATCACATCTGTCCCAAAAGCTGTGTAGTTGACGCAGTCCAACGTCAGGACGTGATGCTCGGTGGTGACTTGTTCCCCAAACTTTCTGTCCAAGGAAACACCAGCTACAAATTCTTGACCTCCAGCGAGACGCAAGCTAACACGAACATGACTGTATGTTCCCCACTTCAAACCTGCTTTGACAGTCACTTCCACAGCATACATCTGGCCAGGCTCCGCCACGATATATCGGTCAGCTGTAGTGGCATCAACTTCCTCAGGATCGCCGAACTTCTGACGCTCATCGAAGTATGTATTCTGTGGGATTCTCTTGACTCTGATCTCATACTCATTGCCATCTTCTTGCAGGACAACCATGGTGTCCTAGAGCTCTGGGCGCAATATTAATGACCAATCGTCTAGCGCTTCGCTGCACAGCAAGATGCGTTCAAAGTCTTCTGGAGGCTGAGGAACAGTGTACAGTACACTATGAAGCTATCAGTAGAGGTCATGAAGAGCAAGGGTTGAGTTCAGATAGTCTCGAACGCGTCATACGAATCGCACGCGTTCATGATCGCGCCACGTTTTGAACTTTGAGATTCAAGAAAACGAACTTACGAGCAATCAAAAGGATCTTCGTGGCTCCGAGGACTTTGAGTGAAGAATTATCTCGCGTTGCGGTGGCTCTAAGAAAGGTTGTCTGTTTCGTGGTTGTGTTGTTGGAAGAAGAGATGGAGGATGAGGAGAAAATCAAAACAAGCGAAGAAGATGGAGGCAAGGCTGCGAACCTGGCTCCTGCCTTGTCGAAGCGACCAAGCTAGATCAAAGGATTCACTTTATTTCAACTCAGTATGCTTTGGCATGTTGGTGCTTCCAAATCTTTTCATTCACTTTTCCCCCGCTGGATTCGTTTATTTACTTTCAAATACACACCAAGACTGGGACTTTGTCATACGCTACTACATCAAGGTCATACTGAACTTACTTTTAGGTACAGTACGAAAAGCGGTTGTACTACTGGCAAATTTCGATAGTACAGAAACAAATTGGAGTATGAAGTGCAAATCCAGTCACATGAAATTCTTCAAGACCGATGTCTAGCTAGCAGATATACAGGAATCTACGAAGCTGTTGCATAGTACTATGGTGAAGGGATACAAGTATACAACGCCAAGCACAAGAAGGTCTGGCTATTTTTGGAGCAATCGGCCGTCCAGCTCTGAGATATGTAATAAACATCTTACCTGTATGAAGATTATTAAGGAGCATCGAATATTACTGCAAGACTCACGAATTGCCTCAAATACAAACTAGAAACGTCTCTGGGACAGAAATGAACAGAGCTTTACATGAAATAGCCCAAGCTAGACTTCACAATGTCACGTGGGCATGGAATTGCAAAGCAAGAACTTTTGTTTTCCGATGTCTAGAGGAGTATTTGGTGTGTTATGATGCAGTAAAGTTGTAGAAGTGTGTTGTGTGAGTATCTCATCAGGGGAATATTGAGAAGACGTTGAAGAATCTCGTCCTGAGTTGGGGGTATATGGTTATTGATGAACCGCAGGTTGTCGGACGCAACGCCCTACTTCTTCCTCTTGCGAGCCTCAGCAGCTTTGATCTTGGCTTCCAAAGCGTTTCTCTTGCGCTTGAGGTCTGCCAATCTCTCAGCCTCCTCGATTTCCTCTACAATTCTTTTTTGTTCTGATCTCAATTGCCCAAGGTCCTCGTCATCATCGTCATCGTCAATGGTGATCTCAACTCGACGGCGCTTGGTAGGGCGAGATGCGTCTTCGATTGGCTCTTCCTTAATCTCGAGTTTGACTTTTAGCGGGTCAAGTGCTAAACTTTCAGCAGCAGGAACTGCACTAGATGTCTCTTCAATGGACGCTTGAGAGCTGCTGCTCGCCTCAGTTCGACTAATTGGTGGTGGTTCAGCAACTGGTGCTTTAAAAGGCTCTTCTTGACTGGTCTCCGAATTCGATGTCAGGCTGGGCTCGTTGGTGACTGTGGCGTCTAAGTTATTGTCGGCTGGGTCGAACATTGGTTTGACTTCTTCACGCTTGTCATCTTCCAGGGCAAGAAGTTGCTCAGCTGGGGCCGCCATGATCTGGTTCTGAACTTTTGCTCTCTCATAGTCCTTGTTTGCTTTCTGGGAGTTGCTTAGTGTTTTGAAATCTTCGTCTTAAATTCAGAACCCACCTGTAGCGAGTCAAATGCTCTTTTTTTCTCCCAATCATACATTTTCGTCCAAGGACGCCATTCTTTGGGATCATCCTCACTGTAGCCCCCAGAAGACCTTGGAACAAGTCGCCCTGTCCTAAATTCGACTTCCTCATGTGCTCGAGCTTTGGCAAGATCCTGAAGAGATTTCAGGGCTGACTGCCGCTCCTTCTCATTGAGAAGGTCCCAAGCATAGCAGTGCAAAGCGGGAGGATAAGGAACAATGCCAAGAGGCTCAAAGACTCCTATTAATCTATAAGTTTCTGAACCATCGAATTCGACCATGAACACTCGGCATGTACCTTGGGAACGAGCGAGAAAATTAAAGTTCAGTAGCTCGGTCTTTTCGTGTTTGAATACTCGAGTATGCGTCTGCCGTACCCATTTTCCGCCAGTGAAGCTAAAGGAGTTCAGTATTGTCTCGCTCTCGACTTTTTGTGCACTGACCCAACATTATAAGCAATCCCTTGTTTCTGGAGTGCAATGCCACCAACCATAGTAGCCTCCGACCTCGTTTTACTTGCAAGGAAGTCGATTTGTGCAGATTCGGTCTCTCTCTGGTTCAATGTACGTCTTTTGTCCGGTCGAACCCATCCTGTGATTCTCAAAACTTCCACTCTGAAGCTTCCGAGGTCTCCTATGTCGATCATTGGCTGGCCACTCCCATCTTCGACCCCATCAGCTATGAGGAAATCGTCAGTGTAACCCAGTTCTGAGACAAAGCATGAAAGTTCACCTATCGTCAGCTGCTTAAATGCAAATTTCGCATTCTTGAACAACCGGTCACCAGCGATTACAGACGATGATTTGATAACCATGATCATGTCCTCTTGCAAAGGTTTCTTGTAGGCCATCGCTCCAACTGCACCAACCTTCCTATTGCTCCCTGGCATGTACAAAAGAGCCTTGACCTTCTTGGCTGTTCCGAAATCGTAGCCTTGCTTCAATGTAATCTCGATAGAATAAGTCTCGCCAGGTTGGCCGACAATGTACCTCTTGCATTCTTGACCATTGAGTTTGTCGCGTTCTCCGAGTTTGACATACTCCTCGAAACATGCACCATCAGAGTCCCTCTTGATCCTGACTTCGACTTCGTTCTCGCCTTGCTTCAGAATCGCCATCGCGACGACAGACGTTCCCACGTCCACAATATCGAGATCACCCTTGGACAATCAACGTCGTGATTCTTCTTAAAAGCCAAAGCTGACAACCAAGATCACTATCACGACCTCACAATTAGCCTCTCTCCAAAACCAAAAAGCGAGGACAATAAACTTACGAAGTAGCTCAGCAAGAGTAACTCAGATGAGAAAAGACTGTCCAAGTACCAAGATCTGAAGGGGTAGTTGAGGTTGAAGTTGTTGTTTCGAGGTTGTGTTGTTGAGGAAGAGAGGTGGAAGCGAGGAGAGGAGGAGGGATTCTTTTATAGCTAAGAACGAGGCCAGCGAGACCTTGAGGAGGAGAGGAGGCTACGCTTTCCGGATTAGGAAGTTATGGGATTCGGCTTTGGACTTGGTAGCAACTAGGGAAGACAGGTGAAGTTATGGCTATGAGCAAAGTTAATTCGAAGTCTGAGGTCAGATGTTAGTCTTCCTTCAAGCAACAAAGTACAACAGGCAAAAGTAATCTTGGAAGACTTCCCAGCACAATCTTCGGATTTGTCACAGGTGGTATCATGGACAGCAAAAGCATTTAAAGAGGAACTTATGAACAACTTGTGTTACTATCTCCATTGAACTGAAAGCTTCAAGCTCAAAACTCCTGCCATCCAGCTTCACTTTCCAGAGCCGGACTGAGCTATGTCAAATCTTGAAAGACGAGCGATGTCCCCCTCGCACGCCTGTAACGCACGCACGCTATGCAGAAAGTTACAACTCAAACATCTTACAGAAAAGTACACCACTTCCTATACTACACATCCTTCGCTGATACCCGCCTTAGTGAGATGCTCAGTTCGTCTCCATTGCCTCATTCTTCCCCATGTCTGGTGACGTGCGATCCTCACCTAGCATCCTTTGCCTCAGCCTCTTGATCTCGCGGTGTGAAAGCATGCTCCATCAGCACACTCAGTGGTTCGTCGACATTTGCCCTCATCTCCGTCTTCGCATCAAACCGTGGCCGCATTATCAAATCTTTACTAGACATTATACACCATCATATCACCTCATCTCTTCCTCAGTCATCACCAATCTCGATTGGCTTTTTCTCACTCCCTTCAGGACTGGGCGGGCTCACGACGGTAGTTGGAGTTGGCACTTTCTCCTTTCCCTCTCCTTCCACTGGCATTTCGGCAATTTGTGGCGTTAGAGGTTCTTCTTCACCTGCCTCTGCACCGCCTTCAGATGTGCTTGCTTTCTCCCTACGGCGTCGACGAGCTCGTCGCTCTTCATCTGCATTGTCTCTTCGTCTCGAGCGGCGTTGGCTTTCTCTTCGCTCAGCAGCTTCTGGGTCTTCAACTCCATCTGTACCTTTGATGCCTTGAAGTAATAGAGCAGCTCGTACGGCAATATCATCCTCATTGAGTTCCTTAGGTAAGTCAGGGCTGACCAGGCCATCAGTACCGATAGACTCAGGACTCAGTAAAGCAGCTTCGGCCTCTGGAATCTCGTCTGGATCGGGAATTTTCTGTCCCGAAGCCACGCGAACTTGATGCCTGTTTTGTAACCGTGCTCTCCTCCTACGATCTCGTTGGTCTCTAGTCTGAGGCGCGGCAGCACGCAGCTTCTCCAGCAGGGTATCCATAGCTCCACTTGAGACAGGTGAGTTTGGCGCACTTCCATCCCCAGTGCCACTGATCTTGAGCTGAGCATGTTTTCGCTTCATGGAAGCTTCGTTCTTCTTGCGTGTCTCTTCCAAGAGAATGTTCTTCTCTCGTGACTTCTTCCATTCCGTGACGAAGATGGCAAGCTTGGCAAAGAACTCCCTGCGAGCATTGTCGTCGCTAGGATCTTCACCGTAGAATACCATGATATCATCATAAGTTCGTACCATATCTTCCAAATACAATTGCATCTGCTCAGCTTTTCGCCTGGCATCCTTCATGCATCGTTGTACAACTTGGCTGACTCGGTCTTGCGGGTGGAACTTCTTCGGATCGCTCAGATTTCCAGAGTCAAGCGACATTTGAACATTCTTGATATTGTCAATGTAGCGTCTCGCGTCTTGTTGGAGCTGTTCCACATTGAGTTTTTGGCATGTGACAACACCAGCAATGTCATCGGTGAAGCGTTCCCATTCTGAATATTGTGTTCGTACAATTCTCTCCACAAGATCGGCAAATGTAGACTCGTTTTTGTCGTCCTTAACCATGCCAAGACGTGCAAGTGAGCTGAGCTTGAAACCAGTGGCTTGCTTGTTCGAATCGTTCATATAATTACCAATGTCAAGAATAAGACCAAGAACATTCATCAGGGAGACTGAATCTCGCAATGATTCTGACACAGCCACAACTTGTTTGAGCTTCTCTGAGACCTCATCATACTCTGGTTCAAATGTTCGGGTCAACGCAAGGGCGCGCATTCTTGACTTCCAGTAGTGGTGCAATTCATATGCGGTCTGCAGGTAGATCTGATCTTCTCGGGTGAGCTCAGAAGGATCTTGCTCGCGATTCTCCTTGTTGGCATCTGGACCTGTCCAATCTTTGCTGTATGGTGCCATCAACTTTGCCGTGTTTTCTGGAACATTGCACATGTCTTCCTTCTGCAAGAATTCCATGACGACGCTGTTATCCAAGACTTCCTTGTCACAGTGGATGATCATCTGTACAATCTTCTCAACAGAATATGATGAGAATTTGGCCAGCGAAATTTCTGCCAATGATTAGCCAGGATAACACAACGCTGAGAGTACACTTACGGAAAGTTCTCATGAGATCACTGGAGATGACTTGTTTCTTTTCTTCCTTCTTGCTTGAACCCTTTCCAAGCTGTTTGATCTCTTTGGCCATGAAGAGCTTCTCGACTTCATCAAGAACACCCTTACGTGTTAGCTCTGCATACTTCTCTTCTTTGTCTTGTGGAGTAGGAGCATGCGCCGCCCAATGAGTTGTCTGAGGTGTGTCAACCTTCTCCCAATGCAATGCCTTAAGCTTCTTCTTAGATCTCGCCACTGGTAATCCGAGAGTAGGTACAGCAGCGTATGTTGGTTGAGAAGCAAGGAAGTTGCCTGACATCTTTCCAGGCATAGGCGGAGGGGGTGGTGGAGGAGGCATCATAGATCCTGGCATAGGTGGCGGGGGCGGAGGTGGTGGTCCAGACATTCCAGGCATTGGTGGAGGAGGTGGTGGAGGGGGAGGCGGTGGTCCATTGAATCCTGGAGGCGGTGGAGGAGGTGGGGGTGGGGGTGGAGGTCCATTGAAGCCTTCTGTCTTGTCTGGTTTGCTGCTGGATACAACATCATCGTTCGGCGTTCTTGGTGAGTTGGACTCAAGACTTGGGTGTGAAGGTCCCGTAGTAACCCCGTCGCCCTCTTCATCGTCACTAGCATCATATCGCTTAACCTTGGAGCTTATCTCGTCTAGATATCCCGGTGCTTGCTTAGGTCGTCTGAGCTCAACAAGTCTTGGCTTCTCATAGACTGCACCATCTTCATCATCAATGTCCTCGTCTTCAGGAATGATCTCCTGGGAATTGACAGGCTTGCGAGGGATCCTTGTTTGACGAGTAACACTGCCAAGCATGCTGTTTGTGTAGTCTCTTGGCGGTGTAGCTCCCCCAGCAGGGCGATCTCCATCCATCTCTTCACGGAGTGCACGCAAACGATCGGAAGGACCAGCAGCATCTCCCCATACTCTTCCTTCTAACTTGTACTGAGTCTTTTGACGCTCGATTTGCATTTCCAAGCGATCCATAAGCTTCTCTCGGTCAAGTATACCCTTCATCTGAGATGGATCACTCTGAGCCAGTGCGCCATTTGCACCCTTAGCAGCGTTCGATGCAGCAATATCTTGGGCGTCACGAAGCATAAGATAGAGTTCTCTAGTTTCGAGCTCGTATCTTTGAGCTTCCTTAGCACGAACCATTTGGAGGTTCTCTACCTCAGCCTTGAGAGCATCTGCTTGTCGCTTCTGGGCTTCGATGTATTGGGATTGTTCTTGGATGGTTTTTTGTAGTTTTGCAACCAAACCATCGGCTCCGAGCTCAATTTGTGCTTTCATTTCATCACGCTCCGCCATAGCCGAATCGGCAATTTGGCGCTGTTCCAGTGCCTCATCAAGAGCTTGGCGAGCTTCCGAATCTGTGTGAAGCTTGTCGAGCAAACTCTGAACAGTGAAATTCAGGCTTTGCTTGAGATCCATGTCAGGCAATCTTCGGTCCATAGCAACATAGCTGAGCATAGAGTCCACAAGCTGGAACATCCTTAAACGTTCTTCACCATCTATATCTCGGATGAGCAGAAGATGTTGAAGAGCAGAAACAAAGTAGTCCTGAGTTCTGCTTCCCTGGACCTTAGACATGATGGCATCGACGATTTGAGCCGGATCATTGAGATCTTTAACATCCCCTTCGATACTATCCTTCATACTACTATTCTCTCTGTCCAGAAGATCTTCGTAATCTATAGCTTCATTGGTTCGGAATCTTTCAATCTGCTTGTCGATAACGTCGTATTGGAAGCCTTCCATCTTGGTCAAGATTCTCTTGATGCCACATGCTGTAAATTGTGCTCGAATGTGAACACGGAGCTGTAAGTCTCGCTCAGGAGCATCCACAATCATGTTGATCAAGAATAGTGTAGCTACGGCGTATTCCATGAGAAGGTTCTCCATGCCAATGCCACCACTTCGGACTTCTTCGCTGGCTCCAACAAGACTGCCCATTTTGCCTCGGCCATCGACTGTGACTTCGACAACACGCATCCATGCATCGAAACGGCCGTTCTCGCCATGTTGATTTTTGACATAGTCCATAGCCTGTATGACTTTGAGGTGACCTTGGCCATCTGCCCAATGACATAAGAATGTCAGAACTTCAGAGACAAGTTTTCTTGTGGTTAGTCTTGGTGAGATTAAGGAGGTAGCCAAGGCTACAATGACCTGTTGGTGGTGTAAAGCATCGTCGGCGCCGAATTTGTTGTTCATAAGAGCCTTCAGACATTTCACGATATCGTACTCTCGATCCAGGTCCTTATCACTTGTTGATCCATCAGCTGGCGCGGGTCCCTGAGCTTGCCTTCGGTTTATCTTTCCAAGCACATTCGTGAGTGCTACCTGGCCCTGGCACTCGACGAAAGTCCTAACCCAGCCGATAGGTTGAGTGCGCAAGCTGACCGCAAGACTCTGCAATTGTTTTGCCGAGATACTGTTGTCCATGACCTTCTTCACAAACCATTCTGGAGTGCCCTCTTCTTCTGCGTTGGCCAGCATTTCCATCTCTTTGCCATATTGTCCATACTGTCCATTGTTCTTCGCCACGGTCCGTCGCTTTTGCTCGCCCGAGTGCTCTGTCAAGCGATCTTGATGCACAAGTGTCCATTTCTTTGCGGAAGGATATGCCATCATTTGACGCCGAGCTTGTTCTGGTAGGTGGTGCCATCCTCGCTTCTGCATCAAAGCCAAAAATTCCCTCTCGACAACAACATCATCATCGGGCTGTTTATCTGGACCGAAAGATGACGTCGAATCGAAGCCTGAAGCCTGGTGATGTGGGAATTTCGTTAAACGATGCGACTCTCTCGGCGCATGCGATGGAGATAGAGTGCTCGCAAATGAGCTGTTCGAGTTCGAGTATGGCATGGCGGTTCTCGAAGAGCTTCCAGACGAAAATACGCTTGAACGCTCTGTGCTGCTGTCCACGCTCGATTGGTCATATGAGCTGCGTCCATAAGTTGAAGATTGATTAGTAGAGTATGAATCATATCTCGAATTGTGCCCAGTCATTGTGCTTGCGCCACTTGCTCTGCCAGGACCCCACTGCTGTAGTTGGGTGGTGCGATTTCCAGTAGACGCCATCGTGGTATTCGATACCTGTGGTGGAGGTCGTGGTCCCGATGGATGAGAGCTGCCATTTGATACGGAGGTAGCGTCGAAGGACGGATATTGGTGAAAGTCACTCCCACCTTTATTTAAGTGATGCGGTAGAGGTTCCCTCCGGACGGGCATCTGATCGTTCCTGGGCAGATAATCGACAGGTATTGGCGATCTGCTGTCCGCCGCAACACTGTCATACGGAATAGATGTGATAACTCCCGCCATCATGTTCAGTCCAGTCTGATCCGCGCCAGGCGAATTGGGCCGGTCTATTGACACGACTGATGAGCCTCGCGTATGTCGTGATGTTCGTGATCCCGTGTAATTACTGGCTCGGTCAAGATCTGCCCCCAGCTTGCCCTCGTCACTGACATTTCTCTTGTCCTTCTTGCTGGATCGTGAGAAGAAGGAAGATTTGCCGCCAGATGACTGCCTCGCCTTATCCGCTGAAGACATGATAGGCTGTTGTGAAGTCGGACGTTTCAATCCTCTGTTCCCAATAACTTATGGATCCCCAGTCCTTGTCCAACAGCCGATTCACCTCCCCTCGACCAGTTTTGCTGCTATTGTGTTCTCCGATGTCTCAGAGCCAAGTACTTCGCATTATGCCTCATCGAGGTCCAGTGAGGGTATTCGAGCCGCGTAAACTGGGGAAGCGGGTGCTTTCAGACCGTTACTGCATTGAAAATGATGCGTTAGCATGAATATCCCACGGTCTGCGACGTTGGAGGAGTCAAGGGTGAACTCGGAGGGGATGTTGATAAAGTTCCCGAAGAGGTTTCGCTCTTACCCAAGATTATAAGCTTGCGATCGCGCGGGGACGCTGAAAGACTGTTGATACTCTGTTCCCAAGCAGAAATGGAGAATCTGCAGAAAGTTCGTGCTATCGCCGACCGCAAATGCCCTTGTCGATAATGTTTAATTCGTTTAGTCAAGGGCTGAAACAGTCTCCTCAGGGCTGCATTGATATCAAACAGTTCGAGGGGCACAGACCGTGTGCACAGAAACAAAGAAGTGCCGTACGGCGAATGAGAGAGCGGTAATGTTGGAATGGAAGAGAGAGTGTTTTGGAAGACGTGGAAGAAGGAGAAGTGAGTGTTGCGTTGATGAATTGCGTTCGATCTCGAAATATCCATACGCTCTCTCCTTTCGGTGTCCTCTCTCCAATTGAATCTCGGAGAGGACTAGTTTGCTGCAGCGACCCCTGAATATATAGCGTCGGAGCTTTGCATCCAGAACCCCGACCCACCTTCACAGCCGCCCGCTGACTTGCGATTATTCAGAACCACGATATTACTCAGGAAATTGTTCAAAACGCCTCTCCTTCATTGCACATATTGCTGGCGGGTGCTTGCCGCTGTCGTATATTTGAAAGTGTACCCTCTCCGCCATAGGAGTCCAGCTTGGTCGCAGTGAGCTCATCAGGCTGGGTGAGCATTGAGTCGCAGTCAGCTTCTGCGGTTATGCTTGGACGAGCAGCAGAGAACGACGTATACATACCCCATCCCTCACCAAAGGACGAAATTGTGGATGATGAGAATATGGGGTTGTGGTCGCTTCTCAAGGTATGCTCTTGTCTCAGAGTGGGCGGGCATGGCTGACAGCGGCAGACGTTGATCATTCCTGCTCTCATTTCCCTCATTCTCTACCTCATTATTTCGTATGCCATCGTCCCTCTCTGGAAGCGCTACAGAGGGAGATACAGCACATACCTGCCACTAGACAGCATATCAACAAGGACGACGTCGTTGCGACATAGAATACAGACAGCTGTGTTTTCTCGTCTCATCCCTTCCACTTGGAGGAGAGACTTCGGCGGTGAGCGATACACGGTCAGCGCACAAGACGGTGCAGGCAGCGACTTCGATGACGAGGATGGAGAAGAATTGTATGACATAGACGACGGCCACAGAGAAGCGTTGTCTCTGGATGCTCGCAGGGGAAGAGACCTTGATGGCAGACGCCTCAGCCGTGATCTAGAAGAAGGGTTCAAAGATGATAGCGACGATGAAGATGATCTTCCGAACACTCGACACGGGAGAAATCTGTCACGTTAAGAGGGAGTTCGCCTAGTGATGTGTCGAATTCGAGCACAGTGATAGCCCTCTAGAATCGTTTCAAGAAATCGAACATTATTCTTCCAAAATCCAGGCGCCAGTCTCACGTCTGGTGATTGGACGAACTGTCGAGAATACATCAGACCAGAATGGCACATACAAGAGGTTTGGATCAACAGTAAGGGAGAAGGCGTCCCCTATTTTCTCGCTTCACTCAACCGAGCGAGGATCTTTAGTGATGTGTGCTAGAAAATGTTTATTATGCGGGTCCTACAATTAACTATACTGCCGGACGACCTTGTCCGAAACGCTACAAAGAGCCAAAACCTGATCTGTCGTTGTATCCTGCAGAAACATAAACACAAAAAGGGGTATCAAGCGAAAATAGCCACCACGCAGTTGCCGCAGATTTGTCAATCACCACTCACATCGCCCATTTGTCGCATCTTCCTCCAATTTCCTACATTCATCCTCCCAGACCTTCTTACTCTCACCCACTCTCCCTTCAAAATCTTCTGTAGGACCAGTTCTGCCACAAAACAACCCTCCGAAAGCCGCGAAACCTCTTGTCATCCTCAATACTCTCAATCCTTCCAATGCTCTCACTTCCGCATCCATCCTATCTTTCACCCATCGTATCCTCTCTTTCAACATCTCGCTTCCCTCTCTGCAAAGCAAACATTTTTCTGGCATATGCTCTTCCTTCACTAATTGTGGACTCTCTGCAACTGGCAGTGGCTTCACGGTATGGCCACAAGAACGATAGGTCATTCGACGACGACAAATAGGGCAATTCTGATGTGTGGAATCATGCAGCCATCGAGAGATGCAGAGGTTCCCGAAGACATGCCCACAGGGAAGGACAGATGGTGTTTCTATAGTCTCGTCGACTCTAGCCTCAGCCAAGTCTTCATTGCATATGGTGCAGCGATTCGAATCTCGAAAATCTGCCTCTTCGAGGAATTGCATCAAGCTTGAGCTCGGACTCGGCGGAGGAGCAGGAGGAGAGGCAAGTCCTGCTGGTGGTGATGCGATCTCTAATGGAGACGGGACGGAAGTATCCATATTCGCATAAAGAAGCAACAAGGAATCGTCCAAACAACAATTCAAATCCATGAAAGATTTCCTTGCAAACAAAGAAAAAAGGGTTTCAGCACTCTTCCGTCCCCGTCCGGTCTTTAAGTCTCATGTCATCAAAGGAAGGAGCAAGTGAAGACAAGATAAGGAATGGAAGGATGACCTTGTGCCCTTGTAACTAACATAAGACATTTCCAACATGACCCAGCCCTGTCAAACAAACCAGTCAAATCTGACTCTTCCCCTGACTATGGGTGGCGAGCAACCAACACAAAGCGTCTCGCCGTTGGAAGCTATTAGACGCATTATCGCTTTCGCATGTAACAATATTCTGACATAAGCATGAACGAAACAAACAACTGTATAACACTCTTTGCCTTCTTCTGTTATGCTCTACTTGATGCACAAACATCCTCTCAAGTCCCAAATTCCAAATCCGTATTTACTTCCTATCCATCCCTCAACCTATTCTCCCACTCCCTCGTAGAAACTTGATTTAAGTCCATACTCTCACGTCACGCCGTACTATCAGCAGCCACCCTACCTCCCACCAAAAGATAAGCAGTCCCAACTGACTCGCTCGCTCGCACTTGATATCCCATACAACGTCTATCGTTCGCAAGATATGACGGGCAGTGTCTTAATGCCGGTAAGGGTCTTGTGATTGGGTGGGAGTCATGCGACTCGGTTGGCAAGTTGGTGTGGCTAGTGAGGCTAGGAATAGGGGGTCAGATGAGGGTGTGGGGCTGGGCACAAAAAAGGGGGCTTGTCACGTGGATGATAGTGGTGTGGTGGGATTCGAGAAGCATAGCTGTCTTTGGATATTTTTTGGCGAGAGCGTCATCTTGAAGCGCTAATTTGATTTACGTAGCGGTGAACTCTCGAATAAGAAGAATTTCAGGAGTTTTTGGGTGATGAATATGATTCTCATTACCCATAAATGTCCGAGAAATCCGTGAGAGCCACAAACATTTGGAAAGGAAACATATGGGCAGTATATGAACGACTACCCTCAGATTATTGGGCAAGGTGCAACTTAAGAGGCTTAAGAAGCTTTCAAGGCCAAAGCACCAAGAAGAACTAGAGGGATTGAATGATTGGCAATGCTGGATTGTAACTACGAAAGTGTCTAACCTTCAACAACTAATCAGTACGACCATTTGCAGCAGGCTTCTAAGGCTAAATGATTAGTGTATTCCATGTAATTCTGATGTTTGGCGACCAGAAACAAAACACTCAATCCAATCTCTTCCATCCCACCAATCGCGTACAATATACTTTCGCACAATTTTAGATGCCGTCTCTCTCGAAGAACATAACCCTCGGGATATGGGAAATATCGAAAGCTCTTTGAGAGCAACCCACCTTGCACAATTGTCCACCAGAAAATTGAGTTGATCCTGGTGTGGAACAGCGATGAGAAAATACTTGACGTTAATGCCTCTTCTACTATCGAGCAACTCAACTATAGTGCTCAGCGTTTCGGCAACCGTTTTTAAAATACCAGCCCTCACGCCCTCAAGGTGAAGGTCCTGACCGTGAAGTCGTTGTTGTTTTTGTGTCCAGCCTTTTGGAAGGGACCAAGTACCAACTTTGTTGTATATCGAATTGTGCGCATGGAAAGATACATAACGCATTGTGTCAGCCAGGAGAGCCGGGCATGCGGCAACATGGAATACTATCGACCGAACATCGTTTTGAAAAACCAGATCTCCCAAAATTGGATCTTCTATCAGACTTCCATGTATTCCTTGGTCGTATCTCCGCCTGCTTATAACCGCTCCCACCTCCAGCTCTGTCATTGTCCCAGCAAATCGAGCAGACTTAGGCTCAGGATCTGGAGGCATGGAATATGAAATTATCGCGGGCTTAGTAGTTTCGTAATCATTTACTGTGACGTTGGCCTTTTGTACATTTCTTGATGGTTGTCGAGATTCCTTTTAATGCTACCAGCCAGTAGCTGTCCGTCTGTTTATTACAAAAGAATACCTCAACATCTGCCGGTTGTGCTGTAACAAAGACATCCTCTGCACTCCGTGCAGTGCCAAACGGATTCAAATCCGTCATTGTTGAAGTTTCCGCTGCTGCGACTCCAAGTACAATATCCTCCTGCTGTTTGTTGATGTGTTGATAGACTTCAATATCATTGCCGCTTTCCGTTGCAATGCGTATGTGTTTGGCTGCCAAATCCCGTGGATGTTATTATAATGATCTCGATCGATGCCGTGTATATTGTGTGATCAGTTTGGTGGCTGTAAGGATGGCTGTGCTCATAATTGACGTTGAGAAGCGGAAAGAAAATGGAAAACAGACGGATTCGATTTGTTTTCGCCAATGTGTGACAGATCGGGAAGGCACGAGGTCATGTCTGTCTAGAGAGAGCATACCAGCTAATGATGATGGTAAGAGAAACCTTTCAACACTAGCGTTAGACAAGACAGTTCTGATCCCTTGTCTAGAGCGAGAAGTCGTGGTAATGACGATAATAAGGCAAACCCTCTAACAACAGTGTTGAATTCGAAGATAGACTGACAAGACGGGAGACAGGCGGCGTAGCCCTGTTAATCTGCTAATGACGACGGCAAGGAAAAACCTCCAACACTAACTTTATTTTCGAGGATACATTGGTAGACGAGGCGGAACAGCCTTGTACAAAAAGTTATTTCGCTAATAACAACGGCCTGAAAAAAATCCCAGCACTGGCGTTAGTCAGGATAATAGAGGAGTCGGAACAGCGTTGTATATTGTCTTGTCTAAAGAGAATCAATCCGATAATAACAACATCAAGAGAGACCCTCCGACACCAGCGTTGTCATCGAGAACATACTGGTAGGCAAGGCGGAACAAGGTGGAAAAGCCTTGTCTAAAGAGTTAATTCTCTATCGACAATAATAATAGAGCTAGACAGGACAATAGACGAGGCGGACGAGCCTTGTCTGAAGCCTCGTGTAATGCCTTGTCCAAAGAAAATTAATTGAGAATGACGACTGTAAGGAAGAACGGCCAGCACTAGCGTTGTTTTCGAGCACACTAGCGCTGTTTTCGAAGATTTGTAGAACCGTCCGATCCTTGAGCTTGCAAAATATCAACACCACACTCACCTACCTTTCGAGATTGGAGTTTCTTTCCCCACACATCATATACACCCTTCAGCATAGCAAACGGACGCCCGTAGCTTGCGAAAACTTTCACAGACTCCAATTTGGACGTCTGCGTTAGTTCAGCATTTGCCAGTCTCCGATCGTTTCGGTTTTGCACACCCATTCGTTTCGATTGTGCAGCTTCGTCCCACCGCCAGGATCTCCTTCCCTTTCCCCTTTCACCTCTATCCCAATACCATAATCTCTACGATCGCTATTGTTCCTACGATACAGCGCGAAAGCAGCCTCGAGGACCTCCGAAATCATCCGTTAGGATCGTTTCGAGATCAGAACCTGGGGAATAGCGAAAAATTCACGCAATTCACAAGGCAAGTACCCAGAAAACCCTTCTTTCGTTCCGGTATCATATTCCCATTTTGAAAAAGTGGCGCCACTTTTCAAATGTCCTATGACTTTGGGACATTGAAACTGGTCCATTGATAATCCCAAGAAAACTTTTTCAAGGATTTCCATCTGGCTTTTTCGAATGTGCTAGAGTTTTAGGTTATTGAAAATGGCATTTTGAGTATCCCAAGAAGACTTTTCAGGACTCAAACCCGGCTTTTCGAATGTCCTCTGATTCCAAGGACTTTCACATTATTTTTTGTCTTCCTCAGATCTGGACCATCGGACATCTACTAATCTGAGGCAAGCAGGCTAATCAATATCGAGACCATGCCAGCAAATAACGATAAGCCCTGGGGCTTGATCGTGCCAGGACGTCCACCTACTCCATCTGAAGGCGCCGCGCAGGTAAAATATCTCAGGCTAGAACAAACAAACAAGATACTAATACTCAATTGCAGACTTATTCCAGGGTTGGCCCACCTGGTACTCAGAAGACACGAACCTTTGACAATGGTACTTGCTTGACATTTGGTCCCCAGGTTAGTCACACCAAAAGTAACAGACTGGCAAAACCGAGCTAACTGTCATTCAGGATCTCGTCGATGAGTTTGACGTCTACTCCCATCCGTTTCACGATCAAGTAGTACTGGTTGATACCGTAATCAGAGACTGTCGAGCAGCAAGAAGAAGATACGAGGGTTCCGTCGCCGTATACACAAATGAAGAAAACGAAGAGGCAAACGACGAGGAGAGCCAAACACTCATCAAAGCAGGCGACCCGTTCAATGCTTTTCGACAAGGCGTCACTGCGATGCAAGATATTCCTTCTGCGTCCTTAGTCCAACTTGAGTCTGGCATGTATCGACAGATACCATCAAAGCATGCCTCGTGTGCCAACCTTATCTCGACCTATTCAGTCCTGAACAAGAGCGACTATCGTTTACACCCAGGCCTCAGGCAGGACACCCGTTTCGGTGTAACCTGTAAGCCCTTCGATAATCAAAACTTTAGATTTCGGCCAAGGCCTGGCCCCGGAAATAACACAGTCGGACCAAATCGTCACGTCAACAATAGCGATGGGGAGACAAATGCACAAGTACCAAATGAAGCAGCAAATGAAGGACCAAATGAAGGAGCGAATGAAGGAACCGGCACAGCCGCTCCGAGCATAAACAGAAACGTTAACGCCAGAACCGACCGGAGAACCAATGATATTCCGAACACAAACAGAAATGTCAACGCCAGATTCGACCGGAGCATTAACGGAAATATTCAAGGTCACCAGGGCTCTGACCACAGAGGTCCCAGAAACAGACCGTCGATGAGATTAGACGAGGTACACTCTCAGCGACAGATCAATAAGGCCGAAGACCTGTTCTGCAGAGCGATGTTCGGCTACCGTGCTACCGGCGCTTCTAGGCCAAATCGTGCCCTTAGCAGAGTCATACCTCGCCCTCGGTATCTGGACCGAGGCCCAAGAGGAGCTTCGGCACCAGTCAATGGACGTACGAATCCTGGCCAACTTCGTGCTAATCAACTGCATGCTGAGCGATACCACATTGTCCCAGTAGAAGCCCTAAAGGAGGCCCTCTTCGTTGATGTACGACGACCACTGCAGCCGCCAGTATTACTCGATCAAGGAGGCATGGACGACAAAGTCGTGATCCCCCCACCATGGCTTCAGATTGCCCAAGTTAATGGACTCGCTGAGATGAGAAATAGACGTGCTCCTTTTGGAACAGGTAACATGGTCACCTCGCAATATCTTCCCCAGGAGCACACGAGCTATGGTTATGGCATACCATCGAGACTGCAAGTGCATTCACACGGCCACGCACTCGGTGATGCCCATGGGATGCATCCGGGAATGCAAATTGCCCCTCAGGACCAGAGTTTCGGCAATGGCTACGAAATGCAATCATTCCCACTCCCTAATATGTCAACCACAGCCATCAATCCTCTCCAACAGACAGGCGGCAACGATCGTGGTATGCATTCGAGATTGCAAGGTCCTTCTCAAGGCCAAACTTTCGGCAGTGGCTATGACATGCATTCATTCCCGCTGCATGAAATGTCAGCGGCATCCGTCAAGGAGCCCCTGCATGAACTCGAAGGATCAGCTCTAGCAGGATATATTCCGACAAGCCTAGTTGTGCACAAGGCCAATACCGCTTCCCGGACCCGAAGCGCTGGTGGTAACCGAATCCAAGCACAGGCTAACACTGACTACACTCAGATGTTCGACGAGGAAAATGCAGAATATAAGAAGCGCGGTGAGGTACCACTACAAAGCGATATCTTGAGTGGGGGTACTATCTTGAAAGCTCAACGAGGTATCGGAAATAGTATGGTGGTCAACCAGTCTTCGAGTTATCGACAAGATAACAAGATTGCCACGAAGGAGGCTGCAAAGACTGAGACCGCAAAGGAACCAGCTAAGATGCCCGAGAAGCCATCTCGGCCAATGACATACAAGGAAGATTATGAGCGGAGATGCCGTGCAGCCAGTGAGGCAAGACGATTGAAAGAAATCGAGAGGATGCAGGCTGAGGCTATGGCACTTGAGATCTCGAACCTTGAAGCTGTACGAGTCGAGCAGGCAACCAACCAGGCGGCAAGATTCCAAATTCCTCCTGCTCAAGGCCAATTTTCTGCTCCTGTCCTCTTCCCAGGTTTTGGACAAGAGCCAAGACAGCCGCAGGGCTTTTTATCGGTGCCGCGTCCAATGTTTCCCAGACAAGATTACATGCCAACAAGAACCGATCGTCTTTTGGGTACTTTGGCTCCCATCAATACATCAGGACCTGCGGTGGACAGCAGTGTAAGTCTTCCAGTGAGCCCAGTACATCGAGCCCGGTCGGGACTAGATGAAGTGGTCTCTAAGTTGCCAAGACATGTTGTGACTCGGGTTGCGTCTCAGAATACCCTCCAAGCCAATTCGACGTCTCCTAGTCTCTTTTACCAAAGAGAAGAACTTGCGGCAAGACTACAGAATGCAGCAAATAACTACACTCAACGAAGCCGTAAAGGAGACGGTGGTGCTTCTCAAGCACAAATCAGATCTTAAAGTGTCCTTGGCTGTCCACACAGATAGAGGTATTTCCGTATTTAGCTGAGGATTGGGTAACAGGCGAAAGTAGAGAGGTAAAAAGGTGTTGATGATGGGAAATTTGGTGGTCGAAGTTGAGCGTTCATTCTCAAACAGGGCATTGGTGTCCATAGGGGATATCTGCTGGTCGACGTTCAGCATTTTCTCTCAGGCGGGCATGCATTAGCGTCGTTGATGGGAATTTGCTGGTCGAAGTTCAGCGCTTATTTTAGGGCTTGGCTTGCGCTCACTGGGTTGTGACGGCAGCATTTATGTTATTTCTTGGTGGTGGTGGCGATCCACGGCTTTCCTAGTGTAAAGATATCTCTGAGCCAGTAATGGCATGTAGAATTAGACAGAAAATCATAAAATCCAACTGCTGCTGTGCTGATGTGAAATGATCATGAATGAAACAACCTGGAAGAGGAAAAACGAAGTGTGACTGCATGGATAACTTGAACGCTAAACCAACCCTCTAATCTGATAAGCAACGCATCTCAAGCTTCAACCAAAATCTATTCCTCTCCAAAATGAGGTTCAAGACTTCTGTTCGAAATATTCAGACGTTTTCGAGTAAGCTATGCTTTCGTGTTACTTCTCTACAGTACTGATGCGCTCTGCCAGAGCTTACGGCTTCGCTGTCGTCGCTGGGGAAGGTAGCATGGGTTCGCCTTGACGATGACAATGTGCGCTTCACGATCATCCCAGAAACAGGCACGCAAGTATGGGCGTAAGTGCTCAAATCTCTTCCCATATGTGATAAGAAGCTGAGAATACTAGTGTACTCTCAATAGACTCCATCTTCGAAGACTACACTATCCAATCTGCCGCCCAGAATAACACCATCAACCTCGAACTACCCCTCCCACCCCTCCATCGCGCTCTAAAATCCGCGATAAACGCGACATCTGCCTCTATCCGCCTCACGAAGAAAGATGGCGTACCAGTCCTCTCCCTCACGATCATTACGAACACGATTAGCAGCGGCAACAGCGCGAATGGGTTCCTGAATGGCGCGAATCCAGATCCGTTTGGAGACAATGCGTTTCGGGAGGAGAATCTAGATGCCAACATGGCAGGAGATAGAGAGACGATTGTTACTCAGAATATACCAATCCGAGTCTTGACCGCAGACAGCGTTGAGGGTATTCACGAGCCAAGAGTCAGAGAGCCGGACGCGCATATCATTCTACCATCTCTGATCCAACTGAAAGCTATTTCGGACCGATTCACCAAGCTTGCTATGGCTACGACGACTGGAGGAACCAAAAGTGGCTCTGCAGCTTCGGTGCCAAAATTGGAGTTAGCAGCGAATATGCATGGAAGCTTGAAGCTTAGTATCTCGACGGATGCCTTGAATATCTCGAGTGTTTGGACGGGGCTGAGCAATCCGGAACTTGATCCTAGGCAGGTTGAGGATGGCGAGGATGGGATTGGAGATCATCCAAGTACAAAGTTGAAGGCGGCTGGTCCTGATGCTTGGTCTACTGTGAGGATTGATGGCAGAGATTGGGGAAAGGTGCTCAGCGTTGGTAGGTTGGGCGGGAGGGTCATAGCGTGTAAGCATTTTCCTCCGAGTTATTGTCTGAGACTAATGATCATCATAGGTTTTGCTGATGACCATGCGTTGATTCTCTATGTCTACCTGTCGAATTATGATGATGGTTCTGACGACTCTGTCTTGACTGTAAGTCCTTCTGTCGTTCTCACAAGCTGTTCTGACTATGGACTAGTACTACATCTCTTCATTCAGCTCATAAGAGAGTTTGGTAAATATAGCATTAGCGATGGCGTTAAGGCAGATACCACTTGGAAGATATACCACGAAGTTATATTGCAACAATGGCTGTTGAATATGTGGTATTCAAGCTATCTTGATTAGATAGCTACACGAACATGAAACAGCCTTCACAAATACAAGACGAGACTTTGCGCACCTTTCTAAGCTGTAAATATATTCTCGACGCTTTTCCATCTCTCTTCATTGCTCCTTTCCCGCTCTCTCCAATACTCCCTATCACAACTCCAATGATCCTCACCCGTAACTATACATTTCTCGCGCTTAAACCACCGTGGAGCGTAATCCAACTTATCTTCTTTTCTGCGCCTCTGTCTTTTCCTCTGAAGGTCTTCCAATCGCTTTTTCTCCACATCAGCAAATTCACACTGTCCATCCTCTAAAGCTCTTTGATCCGGCCTTAATCTCGAATCCGTTGGTGGTATATAATTTCTCAACTTTCTAGGAATATCGTTCAGGCCAACCAGAAAGGGCGTGAGACAATCTACCCTATTGGCTCGGCGACGATTAGATTCCCAGATCTGAAATTTTTGAAATTCCTCTTTCCTTTCGGTGTCTGCAAATACGTTGCCAACAATAGTCTCGTTCCAACACCCTGACAATTCCGCACACAATCTCCCCAGCTCATTGAAAACTTTGCCCCTGAACTCACTGCCAGCATCAACTTTGAAACCATCAATCGTACACACCTCGCCCGTACTCCAGTTCCTTACATTAACAGCTCCATACTCCTCAATAACCGGCTCCCCAGAGACCAAAGGCATTTTGACAACCATCCCCGGCTTCCTCCACGTATACAACTCCTCCGTCCCATCCAATAATCGTAGGGTAAGAAACCAAGTCCCGATATGATTAACATCGATAGCCGTCATCCTTAACACATTCCGAGTCGCAGCTTCACCGTGATACGTCCATCTCGGGGACTCTGCACAGATCGCTAACATAGGTGGATGGTGCTGAATCTGTTCAGCGAAGTATCTGTACTTCTTTTTTGGATCGACGAATTCGTATGTCTCACCTAGCAGGGGGTTGAACGATCTGGTGTATAAGGAAGATGCTGAGACATGTTTGCTGCAAGCAAAAGAGGCGACGTAAAGCAATCTTTTAACAGAATCTTTGAGGTCGACAGCTCTGTTGATTAGTTCAGCGTATTCCAGATCTTCTGCATGCCGTTGGAGTTGAGAGAGTGGCTCGTTGAGGGTCACGGGCATGGATGGAGCGGAGAAGTCTTGGGTTATGGTGGTTTTGAAGATATTCTGAAGGAAGTAGTTAGCTCGATGTTCAGGATTAAGTGGGATGTTATAATTACCCAAATTGAGAAAGTGGGACTTTTCTCTTTGTTCAATTCAAGATGCGTTCTCATACCACCTTCGTAGCCCCTAAAGGAGCACACGATGTCATTGGTGTCTCGAGTTGAGCTCTCCTGGGAGGCTGATCCTTCGATTACAACGTCATATGGTGGTGGAGAGTCTTTTTCATTCGGTGTGTCTTCTTGCAGAGCCATTCTTGACTTTTGTCGTGAGGATAGATGTCTAGAGGATCTGAGAAGCCAGGAGTGCTTATTAAACATGTAAAGCGAAAAATCAGATTCAGTGTTTAGTCTTGTATTAAATCGTATAACGTCTTGTCAAGAAGATGCAGAACAATTCAGAGGAGGCTTTGGCATTTTGCCTAGTCTGGCTACCACATGCTTTCTTTCACGTAAAATTACCTAGGTAACACATTTCTCGATTGTTCTTTCGCAAAACATGTATTTTCATGTAAAATAGTCTTGCTTCACTTCCCTACATGTAATAGAAGCGTGAAAATCAGAGTACACCTGCAGACATCATTGGAGGGGTAGCCACAGGAGAACCATAAATTCAATTCCTTGATTGAGTAACCTGGATATACTTATCCACCACTTTGCGAAAGAAATTTTCTTGGCTGAGGTATGAGTCTTTGAGACGCCTGTGATTCACGGATTGATGACTCGTTCTAGTGTGTCAGTGATGAAGTTAGGATGGCTTGGGATCAATGAGGTACGTACCTCTAATGATGCCTCAGGTGTCTCAGCCTTATGCGGCCGCCACAACGCGAAAGTGTGACGTGACTCACGCACTTTTTTCTTCGGTGCAATCCAAACAAAAACAGTCAGTTGCGCCAGAAAATCGGGCCAATTCCAACTTTACTTCACCTTCAGTAGATGCTTTGCCTGCTGAGAGCTGCTAACAGGCTTAAGTGGGTGACATCTGTCGCACAACCGCGACGTTTCTTTTTGCTCGTCAACTCCCAACCTTCGACCTCACTTCTCCATCAATTCGAAGACGATATGTCGGCCAAGAAACGAGGGGCCGAGGTGGCTCGGGGAGGAGTACAACTTAAGACGCCCAAGGGCACAGTGGATAGCTTTGGCAAGGAGGTGATCTTGCGCGAACAGGTCACGTAAGGCTTTATTGCTGGAGGCATTGCGAATTGGAATTGACTGTTAAACAGTTCAAAGATTAGCGACATCTTCAGACGTCACGGCGGCAATCCTCTAGATACACCAGTTTTCGAACTGAAAGAAATTCTCACAGGAAGTGTGTCAACCCACTTTCCCCCATCTGCAGAATTGGTACTGATCACAACTTTCAAGAATATGGCGAGGATGCGAAACTCATATACGATCTGCAAGACCAAGGAGGTGAAGCCTGCGCTTTACGGTTTGACCTTACCGTCCCTCTGGCTCGTTGGGTGGCTATGAACAATGTTACCCAGGTCAAGCGATATCACATTGGAAATGTCTACCGCGTATGTATCTGCTACAACAGAAAATGGATTGCAGACGATTTCTAATATTCTGCAGAGAGATCAACCAGCTATCGCAAGAGGCCGTTTGCGTGCTTTTCAACAAGCTGACTTCGACATTGTTGGACAGTACGACCCGATGATCGCCGACTCCGAGATTCTTCGCATTATTGTCGAAGTATTCAAATCCCTTGAAATCAACATAAACATCAAGATGAACCACAGGCGGATTCTGGACGGACTTTTCGTGGTTGCTGGTGTACCAGAAGAGAAAGTTCGAGCTATCAGCTCAGCGGTGGACAAGCTGGATAAACTTCCCTGGGCCGAAGTGAAGAAGGAAATGGTTGGCGAGAAGGGCCTCCCCGAAGAAGTCGCAGACCGGATTGGAGAATACGTTCAACACAGCGGCAACATAGACAAGATGCTACAGTACCTCCGGGCTGATGCTACTCTATGCGCGAATGAGAGCGTTAAAGAAGGACTCGCTGATATGGAACTACTGGCAACATATTTGCAAGCATACGGCATCACCGACAGAGTCATCTTTGATTTTGCACTCGCTCGAGGTCTGGATTACTACACTGGTCTGATATACGAAATTATCTTCCAACCCACCGCCGCAGAAGCTGCAACTATACAGGTCGGCAGCATTGGAGCAGGTGGACGTTACGACAATTTGGTTGGAATGTACGGCCGGCGGACTGCCCCATGTGTCGGCATCTCATTCGGTGTAGACCGTATCTTGTCCATCCTAAAGGCTCAGCGCACCAGCGAATCCCAATTACAGACCGAACCTGTCGAGGTATATGTCATGGCATTTGGATCTAAAGACTTTGGCGGACTTCTACCCGAACGGATGGCGGTGACAGCACAACTCTGGGACGGTGGCATCCGCGCGGAATTCATGTCGAAAGTGAAGCCAAAGTTACCGAATCAATTCAAGGCAGCGGTCGACGTGCCAATAGCCGTCATATTAGGCGAAGACGAATTGAAAGAGGGCAAGGTCAGAGTAAAGGCCTTAGGATTACCAGATGGCCACCCAGAGAAAGAAGGCGTGTTGATCCAGAAGTCGGAGTTGGTGGCTGAGGTACAGAAGCGGCTGGCGAGGTAACAAAGCGAATGGTGCATTCGAAGCGAAGCGTTTTGTTGTTAGGCTGAGGATATAAACCTTACCATGTTTATGATAGGCCAAGAAAGAGAAACTTGGGCCCTTCTCAATAAAGTAAAAGCCTAGCTTTGATGGCAAAATTACAATGATCATTCAATAAGCTCTTTTTGCATGCTTCTTGCTATTCTGGTAAGGATTTTGCAAGGGTTTTTGAAAGGTCATCCTCTCTCTTCCTTGTCACTTTTCATTGTTACACTGTATGCCAGTATACGGCGGAGAACGAGCAAGCTGCTCGACCAAATTTAGCACTCCCAAGACTAGGTCTCTTCGTATTGCGTATTCCTGACACTCTGGGGATCTGAGAACCATGCTCATGCCAAGAGACTTACTCGATCACTTCAAGGTTGGGCCGGCTTGCTATGCCCGAATATCGAGTCTTTGGATAGCCGACGAGTAGTCCGTATAGCATAACAGAAGCTTTCATACCAATCATCATAGCAGAAGAACTGTACATAATATCTCACAGAATGGGTCGAAGGATGAGGAATATAGGCTTCCGATTTCCTCTTGCAATATTCGTACAATCCTAACATTCAGGAAAGCAAAGATGTAAAGTACTGTACCCCAGTCAGACCAAAGCTCGCCTAACCAACAACAACACCCAAAAACAACCAGCTAAAATAGAACAAACCAAACTCACTCACTCAAGCCGAAAACCCCAACACCGAGCCTCCTCAATGCAGGAACGAAGTGTTTAACCAATACAAGCAACGAAATCCTTACGGCCGCAAGACGTTCTCTGGTACGATCTAATTGTACCGAGTCCGTGCCTGTGCCTCCCGGACCTGAGCCCGTACCGTACTGTACGTGCCACGCGGTTACGGTTACGTGCTGCATGTCAACACGTCCATCCCGTTTCAACACGTTTACTGGTAAGGTAGAGTTACGATGAATGAACAGCAACAAAACTATTCTACCTAGGACAAGAATCGAAAATTAATAAGGGAGGATTCACGTGATACCCCTTCTCTCCCCTATCCTCACTTTTCTCTCCTCACTGTCCCCTTTCTCCGCCCACCGTCCAACACACCGACTACAATACAACCCACTCCCAAGAAATCGACACCTCACATTTCTCCCAATGGCGCTCAGCCAATATCCAAACTTCCACCTCCACCGGGTGCACACTCATCACGCCAACGCCCGCACATCTCAATCAAAAAACGTGGCGAGCCGGGGTCCGGGGTTCCTTGCTACGCGGACACAATTCCGTTTTCGGCAGGGCAGGGCCGAAGGAAGTTTTCTCTCAGGGGTTGGTTTGTGGTTGGTAAACGTGGCTGCGGCGCGAGCGGGATTTTGGGGGTTTGATGTAGGTAGGTTTATGGGGTCTAGATGCGTTGAGGAGGGTTATGCGAATGAGAGGAAGGGGAGAAGGGAGGAGGGGAGGTTTGGGGGAGGGGTTTGGGGGATTTCCTGTGCAGGTTGGGAATTTGTGCGTCCCGTCATTTGTTTGGAAGGTTCGCAGCTTGACTCGTGTGTGTGAAGTTATACCTGATGGCGTGGCGTTCACATCCGAGCAAAGCAATAAATAACGTAGTGCGGCCGCACGTACCTACCAGAGGAAAAAAGGATTCGATCTTCTGGAAAGTTGGTTTGGATGGAGATGGAGATCGCCTTTCGTGTATCTGAGCTCGGGCACGGCCCGAGTACTGGTAGTCAGTCTTTCTTCTAGGTAAAGTAAATCTGGGCCCGTGGCTTATGCCGAGAAAAGAAGTTTTCCCTTTTCAGGACAAAGGAGACGAGATTTTCGACGATTTTCAGGGGCCGAACCGAGGCTAGCTAGCTGGAGTTTTTTGAGTTGGCGGATGGGATGGAAAGATGGAGATGGAGATGGAGACGGGTGATGGCCAATTTGCCTGGTGCCGCTATTGGATGATGGGACGGGACCTCCTGAATTTGGTTGAAGTTTTCGTTGTTCGGTTGGGACGACGAGAGTGAAAATGGATGTCTGGAGATGAAAGAGGAAGCGGCAACTGGTCATGGGGGCTGGAAATGATTCCGTGGACCTGGTCCGGTCTGTCTGTTATCTAGCAGACTAACTGGCAGGCTCGGGAGTCGGGACGACTGGATAATCTAGGTTAAGGTCGCCGGTGCGGGAGTCGCGGAGTGGGTAATTGGTTTCATGCGAAAGCCTCCATACAGTAGGTAAAGTTACGGATGCGGATTTTGCATTTGCAATACATGACTCGAGATGGTGGTGGTGGTGGTGGTGGTGGTGTGGTGTTTGGCTAAATGGAGGATTATTGGGCACGAGGTCTCTCTCCATCAGATGCTTGAAAGGCGTGGTTCAGATGAAAAGAGGCACAGATTTGGAAGAGTGCTTACGAAAGATGTCGATGTCATCCTTTGGGCTGGTGATACAAACTGTACTTTAGTAGAATGATAGTGGGGGAACCGCTTTTGGAACCATCTGGGCACTAATGCAGGGCAGAAACTCGCTGAGGTCTTGGATATATACGCAAGTGGGTATGTATCAGAAATGAGGTTCTATGGTGGAGACGATAGACGTACGAGGGGTAACAGATCGGAGGGGCCGGGGCCTCGTAAAGGTTCAGATGATTTGACATCTTCTGGAGAAGCAGGCTCGATAACGAAAAGGCGGTGGAGGGACAGAGAGTATTGTACTGTAAAAAGAAAGAAAGATACGGCGGGGAGTGTATGAGATGTGGGATCATGGAGGCGACTTGAGACAATTCACGGGAGGGGAAGACCGAAAACAAAAGTCTGGAGAGCAGAAAGGGGAAGCGAAGTGAAGTGCAAGCGACGAGCATGAACCCATACATGAACCAGACCCGATATCCGCATGGAAGGAGATGACAAACGTGAGATGGAAGAAGGAGAACATGCTGCCGACATCTGTCTACTCATGTACTGTGCTGTAGGGAGTACCAGGAAAGTACATGATTCTGCATGAATTACATGATCTTACGTGCATGCGGCCTCCATCTTGGTGTGCAGTTGCATTTTGCATCCCCTATGTTTAGTCGCTTCTCATTCGTTCCCATGCCACCACCAGCATCCATGTCAGATGCACCCGTTCAACGAGCAGAGCCTGTCTGTCTGTCCGTCTGTCTCTGTCTCTGTTTCTGTCTCTCTGTATCTGAGACTTGTGCAACCTTCAATCGTCGTCTTCTCCAATCGTCGTCCAGTCGTCCAATTCTCCACACCCTTCACCCTCCTTCTCTTGCCTCTTGCCTCTTGCCACCCTTCCGCCGTCCTAGGCCAAAACCCAGTCGCATCGGCCAAGGTACGCAGGCATAAACTTCATCCAGCCGCACCCACGCAAGAAAAAACTCTTTCTGATTTTGCATCCTGTGTTTCCGTCCTGCGTTTGAAGATACTTGCGCGTCTCCCGGTGCTGCGTGGTTTATTCGATCCGGCAAGTCGATTGAGTTCGAGCACAGCTACTGCAGGTTATTTTTTGCCTTAGTGGCTCCCTAAAGGTTACCTGCAGCCATTCCGCGACAAACAGATTCGATCTCATCCGAGAACTGCGACGAAGAGCAGCCGCATCCTTTCGATTCCACCTCTGGGAGGAGGTTCTAGGACTTGGGGTTACTATGTTTTAATCATTCTTCCACTCCGTTGAACCATTTCTGCGCCGTCCCGAGGATCTCTTTCCCATCGATTCGATACCGGGATTTGCATTTGCGTACCAAGCGGCAAAATGATTGTGATGGAGGGATTGATGTTATTCCCACCGGATCGGGGAACCATCATTGGGAGGAGTCTTTGGAAACAACGATACGTTGTGCTTGGCACTGGGAGTAGGGCTTCGAATGACCAACAACCACAAACCGACAGCTCGGGTCGAGGCGCTGCAGCACGGAAAGGCGGTTTAAAGAATACTTCCTCGAGACCAAGTCTGGTTGATGTGTCGCAACCGGAACCGCAGGGAAACAAATTATATATCACAATTTACAAGGCAAAGGTGCTTCCAGAATGTCCCAGCCTCGCGTCAATGTCTAACAATTGTATGCAGGGAGATTGGGAATATCTGCAGCAACATGCAGTCTCCGCCTTCAAAACATGCGAAGTTCGACATATTCAACACAAAAAGCAGAGCCCTTCTCTTCCAACTTTATTACTCGAATTGAAACCAGACTCAATTGCGGACAAGCAGCGGAAACGTCGGTCGAGTAGGACTGGTGGCCTGTCCTCATCGAAAGATACACATTCGAACATCCTTCTTTTTCGCAGCGTGCCGGACGAACAGCATAATATTTACGATTGGCAGATGAATATCAAGCCATTGCTGACACCGGATGACATAGAAGAAGGACCTCTGAGTCCTATGAGTCCAGCGTTCAATTTCTCCAATCCTTTTGCGAATCGAGATGCCAGAACCCCAAGTGCGCAAAGACCGGAATTACAACAGCGGGGCTCTCACCAAAATACGTATCCTCATGCGCCGACACCTAGAGAAAGGCCATATGCCATGATTTCTCCATCTCCCAGTCTGCGTTCAAGACGTTCAGACCTCTCTTCACAGGCAAGCTCACAACCACCAATGGGCTTTACTTCATCGCATCCGCAAAGCTACACTACACTCCCTACTGATCTGCCATCTCCTGCTTCGACTTCTGGGTATGATAATCAATTTATTGAGGGGTGGACGTCTGCACAAGGACGGTCATCTGCACTGTCTTCACATACCAGAGGCAGCAATAGTATTGCATCTGCGGTACAACCTCCCCTAGTTGCCTCGACACCTCCAGGTCCACGAGAAACGATTCTAGACCGAGCCTTTCAGATGCGCTGCATACCCGGCAGCGACCGGGTACCCGACAAGGACGAGGAAAAGATAAGCAGCATCGCCCGATTCGAAGCACTAATGCGTGAAGTGGATGAGCGAAAGCAAGCCAAAGCATTAGCTAAATCACCTACACATGAGAGACAGAATTGGGGCCTGGAAGAAGAATCCGAAGAATCATCCGAAGGAGAGCCAGAAGAAGATGAGGACGAACTAGGCATGTCGGACGAAGATGTCGCCATTCCCACACCTGCACAACGAGCACTAGACTATATATCTGGACGCCGGACGCCTCTGCCGACGACTAGACCACTGTCACCCGCACCCCGAAGCCCTCCAATCCCTTTCCTAAACTCACAAGCCATGTCTGCCTTCCACGGCCATTCATCAGGCGGAGGTCTTCGACCACGAACCGGAACAACCTCATCCAGAAACGGAGAAGGCCGACCCAACTCCTTCGCCCTCCCATCCCGCTCCCAATCCACAACCACGATCCCGACCCTCCAACACCAAGACTTCGCTCCTGCGGTTTCTTCAAATCAGAACCTAAAAGCCACAGACCAGAAAGAGAAGCGCAGGAGCAGCACCAGTGTGAAGCGCCTCTCCTTCACAGAGTTCGCCAAACGTCTGTCTTCGACTTCTAGCTTACTGCTCGTGCAAACTAATGCGAGTTCTAGCTCGGGACGTGGCGATGGCAGTGGAAGGGTGAGCAGCGAATTCGGAGCCGACGAAGACCGTACCGGCATGGGAATGCGAGGCGGTGCTGGGACGGCTGCTGAGATGATGGGAGGGAGTAATCGAGACAAGAGATGTGGGTGGAGGGGCAGTGTTGGTGTTTTTGGTGGGGAAGGAGGGTTTTTGTAAACCTCTCTCTGACACCACATTGGATCTGGAACGAAGCAGCAGATCGGATATTCGACATTTACGTACGAGATGAGATGATACCACACATACTAGATGATTGTAATGATGCCTCTTGGCGTTTGTTTGCGGCATGCATGCATTGAGGGAGTAGGAAGGAGTTGGTATACCTATCTATCTATCTATCTCTATCAGCAACTTTCTTTTTTTAAGATTCTTGGATATATTTATGATGAAGGGTGGTTTGCAGGCAGGGGGGAGGGAGGGTGTTTTGTAGATTATTCTTTTTGTATACCCATATTTATATTATTATATTATTATATTATTCTTTTGAGAGATAGGTGGTACGATCCTGACTTTTGGTGGTGGTATGTTGGTCCGGGATTCAGGACATTTAGAACGGAGAAGTACTCCTAATGTTTGGTGCTTGTGTTTATACTTTGAGTGTTTGAGAGAGTTGATAAGTTGGGTGGGATGGTGGGATATTTGAATTGAGTGGTTTGAGATTCGCTTTCATCTGAATTTGAGGTCCTGTAGCGAAACAATCGCTGTCGGTGGATTTGCTGCTGTCAACTTCGTTGCTGTTGTCAATTAATTATTTTGCTGTCAATTGCTTCATTGTTGCCCACTCCCATTCAGCTGTCAACTCTTTTATTGCTGTCAAGTATTATATTGCTGTCAACTCGGATTTAGCCATCAACTCTTATATTGCTATCAACTCCTTTATTGCCATCAGCTCGGATTTAGCTGTCAACTCTTCTATTGCTATCAACCACTCATTGCTTAAAATTTTCCAAATTGATTAGTAGCTGGAAAAGACAGGTAGCCCGTGGCACTTTGGCCGGGCCTCTTGGATGCTAGGAGAAGACATTTCGGTTGGTTGAGGTGTGGGTTCTCCAGGACTCGATTCAGGTTCTTTTATACTCACACCTCAACTCAACCTTCTGCTCTTCTTCCAATCAACCCCTTAAAATTCACCCTCCCAAGATTCAAATTCACCCCACACCACAAACCCACTTTCCTTGCTTCAAAAATTCAGGATCCACTTCTCATCCTCCTGAACCCTATATAAACACTCATCGCCTCAGGAATAAGGCGGCAACCCACCAAAACTGCCAAGATTGACGCCCCTTGGAGCCCAGTGGATGTGGTTTCCCAGCGGCGTATATTATGAGCTTTTGTATTTGTTTGAGGTTGGCAATAGCCATGTTGCTTGACAACAGAATGAGATGGGATGACGGTCACACGTAGACATCGGAAAAAGGTTGGAATACTGACAACTATCAATTTTCTAGTCATTTAGAGTGTTAAAACCCGGGAATTTTTCAAATTGATGTTGGTAAGTTTTCTATTGTCCTGTCATGTGAAGAAGGAATATCGGCCCTTGTTCTACTAGAAACTGTCTAACACTAGAAGACTTATATTGTCCTGGTAGTTCTTTTGTAGGGAGAGTCTGGAAATGATTTTCTTTGTGTTGTAAGGTTATTTTATAGTCACAGAATTGTCTTTAGTTTGGTTCAGCAAATGAATCTTTGCTGCCTATCTTTTCATAGGTGAATTTCTGTTTTCGTAGGTAGTCACGTGAACCCCCTTTTTACCGGAATAACTATTGAAAAGATCCAAGAGATCTTGATACTTTTGCTTGTCAAATGTCCTAACAGCTGATAAGACAATGAGCTTAGATTTCAAGTCTATGCAATATTTCTTCTAGACTCTTGGCAACAATCCTTTATTAGCAGCAACTGACTCTGCGACAACAATTACTTAGGACTCGATAGTAATTAGCATGAATAGGCAATTTGAATACAGCTCCTGGTCTATAGCATACTATGGTAGGATTCAGGACTCAATTGCCGTCGTTCCTAACTCCTGGTAGGAACGCCTGGCTCCAATAGTCTTGTTCTGCCGCAGTAAAGTATTGGTACGGAGATCAAAGCGGTGAGAGGAGTGTGGTATATATAGCCAATATTCTGGAATGTGGAAGTTTCAAATTGGTGAATTTAATTTCCAAAAGCTGAAGCAGTCAAAAGTCAAAGTCTTTCAAGTGAATTCAATAAGAATCCGACCCTTTAGCATCCACTAGCGCCTTTTTGGGATGTATAAACGATGTCTCACGCTGCGAATTTTCTTGGCAAAACATTTTCCGAATGATGCTTTGTACACCTGTGTGGCCGGGACGACGGTGCCCTGTCTTCTACATCTTCAAGGTGGAGAAGTCGATGTATGCGGGAAACAAAGTCGAAGTCTTGTGATGTGCTTTGGCATGCTATATGACGTCTTTGATGGGGTTCTGGGTTGTTGACAGCAATGGATGGATGATGGCAACGAAAGTTTGGGATAATGTTGAATGTTTGTTGAAAAGCCGGAGCTGCTCCTCTCCTCGCTCATTCTCGCTTCCGACCAAAAGAATATCACAAGCCTTTTTTATGTGTGCCCGGGTGCCCAAGCGCATAGCATTGTTCGTGGTGGCGATGGCGTAATTAAGGGACGAAAGGTAGCGAGTCACCGTCAAACCCGGTCAGTCGTTTGGCCCCTTGAGGGCCTAACCGGGCTTGATACCAAAGAAATGCTTATTAGGATTAATAGGGTTCAAATAGACGAAGCTAAGGGTGTGGTGTGATTGGGTGGTGAATCTAGAGCCTTGTGGAGGTAAAGAGCAGCGCTAGCGTACAGACATTGAAGGTCGTGAGTTCTTGTCTTACTTGTTGTCACTATATCAAAACTTTGAATGTCAGTCAATAGCTGGGGACAATTGATGGTGATATGTCGGAGCTAGAATACAGATATTTACAGCTGTGAAGCTTTCATCTTACAATTATCAGTTGATCTCCATTGTCAATCGACAGCTGAGAACATTTGGCAACTATCTGTCGTGAATTGACAACAAACCTTTCTTTTGCAATAATATTTTCTTTGAAAGTTATCCTTACTTGGCACTGAACCGGATGGAGCGCCACTAGGCCTGGCGCAACCCACACGTGGACGTTCTCTTCTTCATTCTTGGTTTGATTGCTGGTGGATCATGTGGTATGGAATTATTTATATTCGCTACAAGGAAAGATCATGGCTTGAGGCTACCTATGTGCTTTCAGTCACCTCAGTTATTTTCAGGTCACGTGTCATGGATAAACTCTGCATCCAGCAACGGAAGCAGACTTTGCTATTCTGGAGAGGTCTCCAATCTTGAGAAGCATGAAATGGCCAGTCATTTATATACACAATGTTGAAAGTGTCCGCTTGAAAATGAAACATCGCTGTTGAAGTCCCATCCCACCTGGGACTTTGAAAACTACCACGTTGAAACTCCAGTAGAATTGTATCCTTCGAGTTGAATCCTACTCCCTACACCTCGAAATGAAACGCCGAGCATGTTGAATAGCGCCAAGCTAAAAATTCCCAGTTGTTGAATTGCCGATGATTTCTCTCCAAGTATGATCGAACGCCCGTTGAAATGCATGCTAAGAGAGGAAAGGTTAAGCTTTCACTCTCGGGAAAAGGAAAAGCGAAGCAGAATGATCAAGGAAATCCAGTAGGACGCCAAAAGTGGAGCTCAGATCGCTTCGCTAAACTCGGCTACGATCCATTCACAGAATTGCTCCCATTCGGCGTTCCATTTTTGGACGTATTTTGCGCGAAGGCTGGAGCCGGTCAGAGCTGTGGCTATGTCGCCGTTCCATTCCTCATTAGTTTGGTCTTCGAATGCAGACCAACGGACGCTATTTTGTGTGAGTGAACCCTAGATGAATTTATCAGTAACCGAGTATGTCAAACACTCTTTCTCTGGCAACTCACCAATCCAGCTAAGCCTAAATTCTCCCAGCCCTGTAATGCCTGCCAAAAATCGTGGCTCAATCCCGAAGTACCATGTCCCATCAACGCGGGATCATCGTTAGACAATGCAGCTTTGACTCCTCTGGCTAACAGGGCAGGCAGCGGATGAGTCTTGATCGAAGAAGTGTATCTCAATACCTCATTGGAAATTGGGCAGCTCTCTATCATGATCTGCTTTTGCTTGACGATATCAATGAGAAGAGGGTGTTTGTATAGTGAGAAAGCATGACCGATTCTTCTCGTACCGAATAAGATGGCGTCGCAGAGATTTTGATCAGTGCTGTCCCCGTGGCCGATACATTCTCCAGCATGGAAAAAGAATGGAATGTTGAGACCCTCTTTAATGCACTGTTCTCGGAACCAGACTAGTTCGGGAGTCAAGGAGTGAAGTGTTCTTCCAAAGTCCTCAGGGCCGACGAGATCATAGCCTGAGATCAGTTTGGGATAAAGCTTCTTGGCTTGAATGCAGATTTTCATGTCTGAAGCAAATGGTTAGCATGTTCATGGAACTTCCAGTGGCAGTCGTAAGATACCTATGACGATATTCTCGGTAGGGAAACTGCGAAGACAGTCCCAGATTAATCTACAACCCCAGAAGCCTTTTCCTTCAGGACTAGCTTTGAACTTCTCAATCTCCTCATTCATGATACCAGCCAGCGCAAGTCGGTTCTCGGTCAACTCCTCTTGTCCCTCGAGTCTGAAACTGCGAGTCATCCCTCTTATTTCTACCCATCTGACACCATCTTCATTGCAAGTTGTCCAAAATTTCTTCAAGAAGGCCCTCGTGATGGGCTCATAGAAGATAATTGGAGTGAGGAGAACAAATGCCGCTTGCATTTTTCTCCAAATCGCATCAACTCCCAGATGATTTCGCACAGCATCGGTTTGCGTCATCGTGCATCGATCTATGAGCCATGCCACAAATCCTTTCTTGCCTCCTGGGAATGCATCGGATGCTTCCTTCAGTGGTATTCTTGAACGTGGTTCGTAATCATGTGACCAAATGCTTTTGCCTCCTACGTTTAGCTTCTTGGAGTAATCAATCAATAGAGTCCCCTTGTCTCTGACTTTCTCGTCAACCCAGGTCAGAGAGACTTTCTCGTCAACTAAGGCGGAAGGGGCAGAGATAAACATCCCAGGCGTGTCAATGGCTTGGTTGAAAACCCACTCGAGATCTACCATTGCCCCTAAGTGACAGTGTAGTATTGCTCCTTTGGGCATGCGTTGGACGATCTTCCAAAGCTTGGTGGACTCCATATGGTTCTTTGCTGAGTTGAAGATCATTCCGGGATAAAGCTCCTCAGATTCAAGAGCAGGATCATGAGATGAGGATGTGGAGGTCTTTGAAGACCAGATTGTTTCATGTTCGTGAAGTCTGATCTTGGCCACGATCGCATCGGCCTGTCTAGCGATTGGCGAAAGTGATTGACGGAACTCATGATCTGAACTTTGTGTCAATTGAATGTTCCAGGGATTATTGGAGATTGGGAGTTGGTTTACCGCTTCTCTGCTCATTTTCTTGTGAGATCAAAGCTGACCGGTTCTTGAAGAACGCTTGGACTGAGTCGCTTTGTGGGTCGGGGCCAGAGTGTGAGGCACTCGAGTTGTCCATGGTGATATGGGTGCGAGGAGAGGGCTACACAATTCGGGAAGGTATGAGGATATATGCTGCAGAGTTCTTTGATGGTTAAGCGAGTGTCAGCTTCAGGGTGAGTCAATCGGCAGCGGCTGACATGTGGGGCCCCTGGCCTTGACCGGTTATTGGTGGTTCAGTTTCGGGCAGGAGAGATACAAAAAAGCAGCAGTAGGTCAAGATGATTTCAATAAAACGATCAGTAAACAATTCCGAGACACTTTATTGGCTCATGAACGTGGGACATATACAGGATTTCAAGCCCTCGGATACTGGTTCAAATAAAGATGCCGTCTGCATGCAGCAAACAGTAACTAATCAAAATGGCCTTTTGCAGATCCTTCAACGCCTACATGGCTCACCGAGTTGATGCTGTCACCGCTCTCAGCAACGAGTTCACCAGTAGCCACTCCCTCCACAACTTGATCTGTGGTGAGACCCGATTCTTTTGCAACTCGGAGCAATTTCCTCTCCTCAACATACTTCCTGCAATTTTCTCTGCCTTTCTCGACATCCACGAACCATATCACAATACTTGCCGCAGTACACAGAGCAAACAAGAATGGAAAACCCATCCAATTGTTGTTCGTATTGTTGATAATTGCTTGAACCACATTTGGCCCAATGATACTTGACTAGAAGATGGATCAGCAAGATTTCCAATGTCTCACTAGAATGGGGTGATTTACAGCACGATTTGTGATGCCAAACAAGCCGAAAAACATGTTCTCGTAACCTCTGGGGGTGACCTCAGACTACAGAGCATTAGCCATATATCTTTCGATGAGAGAGGAGTAGCCACCATCATGGTCTGTGCATAAGCATAGTAAGGTGCTTGAAAAAGACCGAAAATGATATTGTAAATCCAGAAGTCGCGAACATGATGATATCCTACTTTCGTAGTCCACAATCCAAGCATTCCATAGAATGCAAGGAAGACTGAAAAGAAGTTCGTCACCATAAACATGTGTTTCGTCTTGATATTGAAATATCTTTGGATATACCAGAATCCGAAAGTCGACGCGGTGGATGTTGCAGCTTGTGAGAGACCTAGGTAGGTGATCTCGAGGAAGGAGAAGGATACGATGTTGTTTTGAATGACTCCGATGAGTGATCCGGTCGTATTGAGCCCATCAGCCAAGAAGAAGAATGCGACCAGATAAATGAATGTTTGTGGAAGATGTCTGATTTCCTTCGATGCTAGCCATACTTGTTTCCATCCGATAGTGGCATAATTGCTACCTTTGGGCATTTTGGGGCCCGGTCTGGGCTGCTGGAAGATGAACCACCAGATTCCGAGAACGACCCAATCTATAGTACTCATGTTAGTAAATTGAATGACCGCAGGAGGGTGGTACTTGCAGGAATTGGTCAAACATAACGCAAGATTGTTCCCGAATGGATTGCCCTGCAGTGGAAGTAAAACGGAGAGGTTGATGACAAGCGTAAGGAGATAGCCGATGTTTGAGTGCGCTGTCGAAATACTGCTGACATGGTTCCTCTCTAAACTCTCGATATTGTCATATTCTGCCTGGGTAATCTTTCCCTCCTTGAGATCTTCATCTCTGGCTTTTCGAACGTGAGGCATGTATCGAGCTAGTCTAGGAAATATAGCAGCATAGAAGACCAATGTTGCACCCTATATTCTGTCAGCTCAGCCATCAATACAAACAGAGTAGTCTACATATGCAATGTATGAAATTATGAAAAACACCATGGCGGTGGGCCACTGCTCAGCATTCCGGATCGACATCATAGCGTACTGAAAGACCCAGCAAATCGCGGTCAATACAAGAAGTAGCCAACGTCCAAAGCTGCCATAATCAGCTGCGGATCCTAATCCTACAAACATGACCTGTAGTCAGACTCTCGAAGTCAGTAAACCTTTCTTGTATTTCGGGAGTAAATGTGCATATGTTAGGAGTGCAGTAAGCCCCAACTCTGGGGTATGACTTCCAAAACAGCAAAGAATAGGAGGTTATCCTCCGAGCACCTGAGACTTACCGTCATGACAGCGAAACATATGCCGTTCGCAATAAGAACAACACTTGCTACCGACCGAGTCCCCGATCCCCAAGCAATCACACAACCAGCATTTCCACAATTGCCTTTCTGGATTGGTCGAATATCTGGATCCCACCCGGCCTTGGTCAAGACATATTGAAACAGGGCTGGAGCGTATGAATTGGGACCAACGCCGTTGTCTCCCTGCAGGATGTGAGTGTAGCTCACGCCAGTATGGGTTCGGGAACTCACGTTATAGTATAGGTAGTATGACCATAACTCTTTCCTCGTCGTAGTTGGTTGTTCAAACGCATCTTCATCCGCTCCGAACAATTGCTCATACTTTTGAAGATTCTCCTTCATCTGCTTGGTCTGCACATCGTCATCTGTCTCCGTCGATCCGACTGGGATCTGTTTAGAGATGATATCGTTCGAGGTGCTAACCCCAATTGTGTTATCCATATCGAAGTGCACAAATTGTCTCTGGCGAGGTGGGATAACGTTGTTGAATATACTCCATACTTCCCCATATCATCACGCTTTGCCACTACTTCGGCTCTTATCATAGTAGTTCGCAGGCACTTGCCTCTTTGAGGTTTGACAGTTCCCGACAGATTGGTGGGGAAATGATTTTCACGTAAACCCCGCGATCTGGGCCCGTTGCCGGTTTGTTCGGCCAACTTTGGCTCAAGAATGGGGTCTTGAGAAGCTTTCTCTTAGCACGAATAGTCAGACGGTTGTGATGATAATCGGACGGCTGTGATGAAACGTTGCACAGCTCTTCGGTTCTGGACTGAAGGAGGATAATTGCGAAGAAGTGGGGGCACACGTGACTACGACAACCTTATTTGGACCGTCTTGACCACCACACATCACAGGCAGCAGTGAATGGTACATAGGTATCACATATGAGCAAACAAGCGTAATAAGCTCCAAATTCGTTGAAGAGATCTGATGGGTTGCCCTTCATCCGCATGTCGCGCTTCTCAAGGCTTCTGAACAGGTGAATCTGGACTCGTTTTTGTTATGCCAAGTTCAGCTTAGCTTCTCCATTCCCTCCTAAGTATCTATGTATTTGAGAGGAACGTTTGATCGTCAATCTTCAACTCGGAACACTTCCCTTCAAGTACTTTCGTTTCCACCTGAGGTAAGGCACAAGGCTTACCAGCAATCTGCTTGCCTCACATCAAAGCCATCATGGCTGAAACAGCTTCGATTGCCTGGACTGATGAAGAACTGAGAGCCAAAGTCGGACAGGTACGTACAATCTCTACGTTGCATCTTAATAAGCCTTCCCTTATCGGTTGCACTCTTTCGCTCTTTCACTTTCACCGTGGTCCGGATTATTAATCCAACATGCGTCTGGAAACTCTTACACAGCGATCAATAATGTCACCCTCGATATTTCAATTCTCAAAACTATTTCCGGATCCTGGCTAACCTCAAAAAGCTTTTCGTTGTCGGATTTCACGGTCACGTGCCAAGTGATGATATCAAGACGCTCATCAAGGTTCACAAGGTTGGAACCGTCATTCTCTTCCTTCGAAATGTTGCATCCGCATCTCAACTCCTCGAACTTACAAATTCCCTCCAAGCAACAGCAAAGGATGCAGGTCACCAGCAAGGACTGCTCATTGCGATCGACCAAGAGAATGGACTTGTCACTCGAATCAAGTCTCCCGTTGCAGCCCAGCTTCCTGGATCTATGGCTCTTGGAGCCACTGGTGACGCCAAAAATGCATACAAAGTTGCTACTGCTACAGCGGAGACTTTGAAGAGTTTCGGCATCAATATGAACTATGCTCCTATCGCGGATGTCAATTCGGAACCAAAGAACCCCGTCATCGGCGTCAGATCTCCTTCAGATGATCCAGAAACTGTTGCTAGGTTCGTCTCTGCCCAAGTCAAGGGACTTAGTGAAGGTGGAATCGTGCCCTGTGTCAAGCATTTCCCGGGCCATGGAGATACAGCTGTCGACTCTCATTATGGACTTCCAGTCATCTCCAAGACCAAGGCTGAATTGGATGCTTGTGAGTTAGTACCTTTTAGAAGAGTATTCGTTGAGGGGGTCGATTCGGTCATGACAGCGCACATTGCTATGCCTGGAATTGGCGACGCAAGCTTAGACGATGATCATCCTTCGAAGAAAGTTCCTGCAAGCTTGAATCCAGATGCGATCAAGATCCTGAGAGAAGAACTGAAGTATGATGGAATGGTCGTCAGTGATTGCTTGGAGATGGATGGCGTTAGAGCTACGTTTGGTACTGAGGAAGGTGCTGTCATGGCACTAAAGGTTAGTTCTCTCATCCTTGAGCGCAGATCCAGTGCTCATACCATGTCAATATAGGCAGGTTCAGATTGTGTGATGGTATGCCACACCATGTCGGCACAAGTTGGTGCAATCGAGCGAGTTATTCAAGCCGTTAAGGATGGTGAGCTATCGCAAGACACTATTGCAGCATCCGTCAAGAGAGTTGAAACTCTCAAGACCAAGTATATAGCAGATACTGCGCCGATCCCAAATTCCTCGCTCGAGCATGTCGAAGCCAGAAACACCAGGCAAGCAAAAATGGCGGCGGAAATATACGCAAAGAGTACGACCCTCGTCCGAAGCGAAAATGGGCTTTTGCCAATCTCATCGAACTGCAACAAAAAGACTGTGTTTATCAGCCCCGGCAAAACACCCCCTGGTGGCGGAGCAGTTGAGATTGGAGAAGAGAAGACAAGAGAGCCGTATACACCAGATTCATACATCGATGTCCTCCACGCCCATGATCCGACTATTGCCCACATCCGCTTTCGTGATGGCATCGAAATGCCTCCAGAAGAAGAGAAGTTAGTCCTGGAGGCCGATACCCTAATCTTTGCCACTCGAAATGCGACTCAAAGTCCGTATCAAAAGAAACTCGGACTCTCTCTAGGAGAGAAATTTGGGAAGAAGCTGATTGTAGTTGCAACTTGTGATCCATACGACTTCTTAGTTGAGAATGACTTGATCAAGAACTACATAACCATCTACGAGCCAACGATCCCAGCTTTTAATTCAGCAGCTGACGTGATATTTGGCGTCATGAAGCCAATGGGCAAGCTCCCTGTTGGATCTTCTGGCCCTGAACATGATATCAAGACGTTTGATGGCTCTGATGAAGAAGCTAAGAAGATCTCAGAGATGTGGCATGTTGTCTTTCCAAAATGGCCAATCAGTCTTCCTCGCCTAACCAAGATCTTGCTTCGATCTCATGGAAGACACTATATCCATGAGGGAGGCTTTTGTTTGTCTTTCTTCATGGATGGTCCTCACGGAAAAATTGCATCTTTAGGCGTATTGCCAGAGTATCGTGGCAAAGGAATTGGCACAGCTCTACTTAAAAAAGCCCAACGAGAGTTGACTAGCATGGCTGAAGCATCTGGTCAAGGTCCTTTAAAGTCCTTAGCTATAGGCTCGGATTCTCCAAGACTGTGGTGTGAGGTCCCAGTTGACTTCTCTCAAGCTGCCAAGGATTTTCTCATGCACAGAGGTATGATTCATTTCATTCATGACTTCCGAAATGATATCTAATGGTCCCAGGTTTCCGTCATCCAACGAAGCCCACAGCTCAAGACCTGTATCGTGATATCACTAAAGACGTCGCTCCACCTGAGATCCTAGCAAAGGTAGCGAAGCTGCCACTAAAGTTCTCTCCCTGGTCGGCCGAGCTGTATGAAGAAACCATGACGAAGCAACGAGCGAACTTCAAAGGCCTCAGTTGGATTGGAGCTTATGAACAACTCGCGGCCTGGAATCAATATCATCAAGTAATGGTTGCTTTTGATGCCGAGACGAATTCTCAAGTTGGTTGGACGTTGATGTGCGACTACTCCATTATCAGCAACAACTTCGCTTTTCTGCCTTTGATGCCATCGAAAGAGAAAACTGGGCTGATTGCTTGTGTTGGTGTTGACGAGAGTGCGAGAGGTAAAGGCGTTGGATTGGTATTGATGGTAAAGGCGATGGAGAATATGAAGGAGAGAGGTATTGAAGGGGTATGCGTTGATTGGGTCGTGATCAAGGGGTTTTATGAGCGCTTGGGATTCCAACGTTATTGGGAGTACCAAGGATTTGAGTGGTGAACAAGACCAAACTTAATACAAGTCTAGATCTCCCGTGATAATAGGGACATTCAGATTGTGAGTGGAGAATTCAGTTACATGGCATTCAAACATATTTTCTTAGTTGTATTCTCCCCATGGCTGAAACTTCCACACCAGAATTTCAAGTGAGTCCGACATTGAAGCTCCATGAATGTCTCAGAATCTGAGGGACAATTAGATCTTTCAGATGGCAACTATAAAAGTGGTAGTAATCTGAAAGCAACATCAAAACTCCCTGAATGTCCCATAATTTAATGTACAATTATACTTTTAAGGGCGATTGTAAAAGGAAGCAACATCGAAGCTCCATAAATGTCCCAGAATTAGACGAACAATCAGAGTGATTACTCTACCCCCTCGACATTCCTTCTTTATCTTTGAATCAAGTTCAATATAGCATTCTCTGTGTATCCACCGTGTGAATTACTCGAATAGCTAATAGCTTTTAATGCCGTAATCTGAGGAGCGAGCTTCAGCAGAATTGTAATGGCATTGCTACTTGACTGATCCAACTATCTTGGCTCTTAGATCTCGACGACCTTTCCTTTCTCTACATGTATTTCCTCATAACCAATGCTTCGCTTCACGCTCGCCATGTCTACCAGAGCCTCCTCATCAGGACTCGCAAACTCGGCAAAGAAATTGTCTTCCACCAACTTCTTTAGCACATCAATGTTTGGGACAACCACCTCGGCGTGTCCATCAAAGTCTAAAATTCCGGCATCATCATGGATCCCTAGAGCTTGTCCGGTCATTTCAGGTGGTGAATGAAACTGCACCGCATCAGCGAATGAAAAGAAACAATAAGCAAGAGGACATGATATTCAGCAAGTAGCATGGCACGGACGGACATTCATACCTGAGTATAACGGTAAATTCCCTTTTCAGCAAGCCAGCCCTTGACTAGAGAACCATGATTTTCGGACCAACGCCTAGAAATTCACGTGTTATAAGGACTACATATTATTGATCAGAGAACTGGCGCACTTGTGAAACTCCTCAACGGTCAAGGATGGGTGGCATTTGACATAAATATCAAGTCTGACCATGGGTTCAGACTTTGCGCTACCCGCCGGTGCGTTCTCTTTGTTTTCAGCCATGTGTACGCGAAGTATTTTAAGGAAGAGAAAGCTCAGAAAGATGTGGTAAAGAAGGGGACGGCTAGAGTAACACGGTAGTATATATACGACAGCAGCTACAGCCTTTATAGCAAGGCGGGTTGGTACTCACGACAAATCTCCGCTTCTCAGAACAAGCGAACCAAAAGGGGAGTTGATGCTCCACTTCCGCAGCACCCTGCTACTGTACTACTGTTGTCTTCTCATTCATCCGATCCATCCAAACAAAATTCTTGTTCACATCCATTGATGCCAACATGTAAGTCAGCGTGGAACATTGCGACCCAGGAAAAAATCCGTATCGATGTTGGTCTGCAAGGCAGACAGCACCAACATGTGTGTTACTTTATCCAGCTTACCTTGGTGAATATTCGTTCAGGTTGACTGGGAGTGGGTGTGTCGTAGAGGGCTGTCGCCTCTTGCCAATCAAAACCTTCTGGCGTCTCATTCCAACAAACGAGCGCCACAGCGTTGTATACGAGCATTTTATACAACATTTAATTTGCATGATGGATATTAAGGTGATTCATCTTGCGTGCAGCAAAGACACCACGACAACATCGCATTCCAACAACTGCATAGTGGTTGACGAATGCAGTTGAGTGGACAAAGTATTCTCAGATACCGTGCATGGATTTTCCCCAACCGTCAGCACATGTTATGATGATGAGAAGCAGCAGAATTCGATGAAAATGGAAGCCAACATCCTAGAAAGTTTTAGCTTAGAGAGAGGGGGGGAAGTGGGGCTGGTCTACCTGATCTTGGACTGGCTTGGGAGTTGGGGCATCAGACAGATAGATAGTGCTATACATGGTGGAACAATAACGAGGTGGAAGTGTAAGAGTTGAAAATGAAAGGATGGACTCAGCATTGCTCTGGTTGTCATTCGGTGATCGGAATGTGTGGAAATGTGTGGGACAACGAAGCAGCGGCGGTAGGACTTAAGGAGTTGGAGGACAGTATTGAATTGTTCAAGATCCCTCTAACTTTTATACCTTGAAGTATTTTCTGTTCTAGTTCTTTTTCAAGAAATCTTTTCGCGGATCATCATATTTTGTCGCTCGTTCCAACTGCAGCGCAACAAGTGAGAGAAGTGATAGATATTCACTGACTTTGAGTCAATGATCACATTATAGAGACGTGCACCAGCATATGGGTTCTTATCAAATGAACGGGAAGGCGGTATTATTAGGATACCCTGTTCCTGTGAGGCTCCCAAATCGACTGTCACAATCCTCTATCACTGCTCAAGCCAGCATCGATCTCAGCACTCGTTGGATTTTTGGCCGTCGTGCATTCACCTCCTCCCGCAGTGTCTGACTAGCGTTTTCTGGCATGGCCCTCTCCTCCATTTCCTGTTCTCGAAGCTCTTCCGCTTTGTTACGAGCCTTAAATCCCATATATACTCCAACACAAAAACCGACAACGAAAAGTGCCACAGACACTGGGATCAAAGCTGTCCAAGCTGTGAGACTTGGTGTGATTGGATCAGGACAGGATTCTAGAGTAGTATTTGTAAGGTTGAGGGTCAAGTTTTCTGTAAGGTTCGATCCCATCTTGTCACGTTGTCGTGATTTGGTTTGCGATTATGTTGCTATTCGATAAATTGTTGTTGTAGCGCAAAGTTTGCGATGTGGTAGCTATTTGTTTCGTGATTCGGATTTGATGCGAAGTGAGGTCAGAAAAGTCCAGTTTCTATATTTCGACAGGACTCGTGCGACCCTTTTTAGTAGGAGCCGCAGTCTAAGCCATAGTATCATCTTTCCAAACCATAAGCGGCAAAGCTCAAAATATAGTGACTTAGCTGCTCCCCGCTTCCTTTTCTTCACTAGTGGCATTCACACCACTAGCTTTGATTTCTTTATTTCAACGGATCTCGAATGCTTCCCTTTATTTATGTTTCCTAACAATTACAAAGATGTAATCTTAAGCAGTCGCACTTTGGCTAATTTGACTTGCTGTTTCTACTAGAAACATATTGACAATTTGTGTTTGACTTAAGTTTGCCTTCTCATGCTGTCCTTGAAAGCTCAAGGACAGTTCAATTATTCTGCTCAAGTACTGAATGGATGCGCTAAATGTCTATCTTACTTTCCGTGTAGAATCTTCATTCAAGATGTATTTATGTAAATGTTATTTTTGTGTGGGTAAGAACTTGTTTTGTAATCTAGCATCGTCGCTCCTGCCAGATATATTTCCACCACACTGTAGTTCAAACTCAAATGCTAGGAAGATGTCTTCAGCCTTTCTAGAGCAAAGATACGGTAGTCTAATTATCACATGAGGATTCAAGTGCGCTAAAGATGTAGGTTATGGCGTTCTGCAGAGGTTTGTGAAGTGTTCTCATTCTCGTCGTGTTTTCCGCCTCTATCAATTTCCCATTGTATCACAGACATTCTACCAGCCTCTACACATTTCGTGTCCTCTTTCCAAAATGAACCCCAGAACGGAGAATATCTTGCTCTGCATAATGTTCTGCACCATAATGGTGCTTTCAACCCTGACATTGTGGTTGAATAGCTGGATTACCGAGATCCCAGACACTACCAGAACCTGGTCCTTTATCGTAGGGACAATCTCTGTAAGTAATTGAGACATTGAAGGAGTTCAATAATTGAATATTTGTAGTTCTGTGTCGGGTTCATTTGGGCTTTGGCCCGACTTTTGGGCAAGTTCCACTACTGGGACATTGACACTCCGGAGGACAATCCATATTACTATAATTGTCTACTCGACTTTATTTTTTGCGGCCTAGATACGGCTAGCTTTGTTGGGACTATTCCCTAGTCCAAATGTCACATTACGACAAAGCTCAACAAGCCAAAGTCCCGGACTTTGAAGCAAAGTTCAAAGGCCAATGGGCCATTATTTTCATCGATGGCGGTCTCCTTGTTCTGGGAATCACCTTGCTTATGCGGGACACTAGCAGAGTGCTCCCATACTTATACAACGAATGGAAAGAATGGTCTCAGAAGAAGAAGAAGAAGAATACGACAGGATCAAGAGTTTAGATCATGTCGCTATTTGCGGCAACATCGCACCTTCCTTCTTCACTCAAAATCATACACTATATCGGATCGTACAACGACTTCGCAGTTCAACACTCCTTTCATTCTTCTGGCTATACCCTCGTAACATCATATGTCCTCAAAATCGCAACATGAGCGCCGTCGCAACAGTCGACAGCGCGTATGCGTTCACTGCCGCTTCCTATGCCATCATCCTTACTCGCACCTTGCTTCGACGTCTCAAACACGAAAGACTTCTTCCTGATGACTACCTCATACTCTCTGCGATGATTTTCTATGCCTTCAATACAGCTGTCTACCCCATCACTGTAAGTGATGGTTCTCCCTTGTTTGGTTCTCGAGCGCTCACAATAACGCAGGCCTTCTACGGGACGAACCTCACAACGAAAGATCCGAAGAGCCTGAGCCCTAACGAGCTGGAACATGGTATGACTACTTCTGGATATTCGCAGGCGAAGTTTCCAATCCTCATCTACCACACAGTGATCATCGGTTCGAAATGGCTTTTGATCGGTAGACCTATTTACATGTCGTACTTGTGGACCCTCAAAGCTTGCATTGTAGGTTGACGAGCTAGCTCTGGACTATATGGAGCTGACCGGTAACAAGTTGATTTTCTACGCTCGACTCACGGCACGAACGACAGACCTCCTCTCTGTCAAACTAGCTGCAGGTTTGCTTGCTGCTACATGGGTTATGAACTTGTTTACATACTTTTTTGAATGTCGACCTATTTGGCTGTACTGGCAAGTACTTCCTGGTCCGCCACAGTGTGCTGTAAGTCGGTTCCGTCTTACCTCTAATTCCTAACTAATTTGGTCTAGAAAGCTGTACGTGCAAAATTACAATCGTCCGAAATATTCTAAGACTGTGCAGGTTGGCTCAGTAATCATATTTGGAACGGTATACACGACTAAGGCACACTTGGCAGAATCAAAGCTCACGTTACCATAGACCGACATTCTAACTGATCTTGTCATCATGATCATACCGCTCCCGCTTATCTTTCGAGCAAAGAAGCCACTCAAGTAAGTTGAAAAGACCTTGAAAGAATGGAACTGACGTTAGAAAGGACGAGAATCCAGATCTCGTCAATTTTCTTCCTTTGGATCTTTGTAAGTGCATGCACCGTCATTCTTTTCTCGATATCCATACTTACCAAGAAATAGGTGATTGTTATTTCAGCACTGACGATGGCCATCTTTCTCGAGCACCTCGATGAGCGGAGACAAATGATATGGACCCAGGTAGGTCATCCTCTTGCGATACATATGTCAAAGGCTTACGAGGCATTGCTTACAGCTTGAATGTTTCTTTGCTGTAAGTCATAAGCATGGATCTCATAATAGTCTGCCTCCCGATTGATTTGATATTGATGTGTATCTAGACTGTCGCCGCCAATGCTCCGATTATCCATGGCCTTTGGCGTCACGGATGTTTACACATTCGCCAAGGAAGGTTCGGACCAGAAATATGTGCCCCTGTACCCGAATACAATCTGAATGTCCGCGCTGCTACAGCAGAAGCCGAAATCTGTTCTCAAGAGGTCCCAAGATCAAGTCGAGGCTCTCTCGGATTACGCGTTTCTGGTGGTATTCGCAGATCGGTTTGTCCTTCCATTTAATCAGACTTGCGCTCTTTGAAAAGTCTAACGATATTATTTGAACAGATTCGGAAGATCAATGAGAGGATACGAAGTAGTTTCGACGACGCCCATATCGAACAATCCATAACAATCTTACAGGAAACCAGGACTGGACGAATAGAACACCGCAGTAGTGAAGCCGGACCTGCTGATATGTTCATGGGTCCTGCGAAAACCCTTGGACATGTGAGCACGGAGATCTCCTGTGGAAACCCTCCTATCAAACCAAAACATGAATTTGCCAGACTGAAAATGCTACACGGTCATGAATCACGATGATTTGATGGTATTGCTGGAATTTGTCGTTTTGGATACCGCATATGTCGCACAACTGGGCCGAAAATTGCTTGGTGAGAATCGTATAGGGGAAATCCAAAAAGGGATTGAGCGACAGTGGGTTGACTAAGTAATTATGCCGTCCAAGTCCACTACATTGAAAAAAGCTTCAGCATAATTTGTGGTTATTTGACTGATGACCTTCTGTCTCGGTCAGATATGCCTGTTTCCTGCATTAAGCGAGTTGAGGCTTGTTTGATACTTTGCGTACGGAGATTGTCCAGTCGACGAGATATCACCACATAGCAGCTAGCTATTATGCCACCTTGAGCCCCATATTATCTACCGAGTGGTAATCAAGGTTTCCAATCACATTATATCTTCATGCATTGTCGTATGCCGTCCTATCCGTCCTCAAGTCAGCGGTGAGAAACTAATCCGAAGCTGGCGCACCCCACTCTCGCCAACCAATCCCCCCTTTTCCTCTTAGCGAATGACGTGCCTAGCTCGTCTACCCCTCCGCTCGCGTGACTGGCTTCTTGGAGCAATTTTTCAACTCAACAATTTTTATATCTTCATCTAATCTGATTTCTCGCCATAAGTTTCATAAATTCAAGATTATAGAGCTTGAAATAGCATGGCATTTCTTTCCCACATCAAATGGCTGTATCGCGAATTTGGACTCAACTCTCTTTATGATGCGGGACGAGATGCTTGGCTTATCATCTTGGCGAGATGTTGTCGCATGTTTGCGTTTGGGACGAATTCCCTTATCCTCGCGCTGTTCTTCTCGTCACTTAAGTTCAGCGACTCGGCTATTGGACTGTTCATGACGCTTACTCTCCTTGGAGATGTGCTGTTGTCACTTCTTCTCACACTGGTGGCGGATCGAGTCGGAAGACGGAGAGTGCTGTTTTGTGGTTCTGTGCTCATGGTCCTTTCTGGGGCAGCATTTGCTTATTTCGAGAATTACTGGATTCTGTTGATTGCTGCGGTACTGGGGGTTATCAGTGCGACGGGAGGAGATTTCGGGCCTTTTAGAGCTATTGAAGAGAGCATTTTAAGTACTTTGACGAAACCTAACACGAGAGCTGAGGTAATCAGCTGGTATGTTACGACGGCGACTCTTGGGCAGAGTGTTGGGACAGAAGTTGCAGGGAGAATTGTGCATGCTTTGCAAGGGAAAGAGGGCTGGACTTTGACGGATGCTTATCATGGGGTGTTTTGGATGTATTCCGGGATGGGAATGGTGAATATGATTGTTATGTTGTGTTTGAGTGATAAGTGTGAGGCGAAAAAGGTTATTCAAGATGTTAAGGAGGTAGAAGAAGCGGAGATTCTGCTTGATGGCGAGGAAGAGAGGGAGACGGATGAAGGGACTGCAACGCCAATAGAGCCAACAAGCCCGAAACCGATGAAACAGAGCTTCTTTGCTCAGATATCAAAGGATACGCGGTCGTCGATGTATAAACTTTGGTTCCTCCTGATTGTCGATTCTCTCGCGGATGGAATGGTCCCGTTATCTTTAACAAATTACTACATGGATCAGAAATTCCACTTGCCGAAATCCACACTGGGAGACATCACTTCGGCATCCTACTTTCTCGGATTCTTCGGAACCATCTTCGCAGGCCCGCTTTCTCGACGTCTGGGACTTGTGAATACGATGGTATTCACGCATCTCCCCTCATCGGCCGCTGTCCTCGTCTTCTCTCTACCGAAGACTGTTTGGTTGAGCGTAGTACTGCTTCTTGTGCGAATGGGATTAAACAACATGGACCAGGCGCCGAGAACTTCGCTCATAGCTGCAATTGTGAGACCGGAAGAAAGAACGGCTATCATGGGAATCACGAGTATGTTGAGGACTCTCGCCTCGACGACTGGACCCACTGTCACTGGGATACTGGCCGGGCAACAGAGATTCTGGATCGCGTTCGTTGTTGCTGGTAGCTTGAGGATTGCTTATGATCTGGGTTTGTGGGCTATCTTTATTAATCTGAAATTGTTCCAGAATGAGGAGAAGGATGGAGATGGAGAGGGAGAGGTGCTGATGAGGCAAATTGTGAGAGATGGTGGAAGGGAGAGGGAGAATGATGAGGAAGAGTTGAGGGACCTGGTTAGTGAGAGTGGAAGCGAAAGTGGGAGGTCTTCTGGATCTTTGAGAAGGGAAATGAAGGAGGACGAGCTGAATGACAGTGGAAAGTAGGTGGAGTAGATGGCTGGACGCCCTACAGAAGTGAATCTGGAACCAGATTTTGGTGCAGGACAATTCCAATGTCCATTCCCAACATTGATCTTTGAAACATCGAAAGTAGGGAAACTTTTAGAGGACTTGAAAGGACATAGCTGACTGGATCTGAAAGAGGAAATACCCGTAAGCGAGCCCCTTTTCAGGCGAGGAGGGACAAGGAAATTTTGGCTAAAAGGGAAAGTCGGGGAGTCTCCGGCAACTTTAGTACTCATTAAATTAATACTTGAAGTCGAACATTCGCATCTAGACAATATTTAGAATAACTTGGAAGATTCTTGCAGCCCCATAAATTTTAAACAAACCAGACAATCTTCTTCTAATGCGTGCTCTGGCAAGGACAGACAATTACCACGGTGTCGTCTTGTATGTAGCTATTGGAAAGTACTACTGTTTCCTTTGTATGGCTGCCAAGATTCCTCAGATGATTATTACCAAGGACAGCGAGAATGAAAATAAAGCAGTATAATTATAGAACCTGAATGCCAATTCCAAAGTTAGGATATGAGTGAGTGGATCTCGGTCTCGGAATGCAGACAATCAATACGTGAACGAAGCACCAATTGGCCAGACAAGATGTTCATTATCTATCTTGCATCTACTTCTTCGTCTTCGCTCTCCTCACCTGGCATCTGCAAGTCTATCTTCCCATCCATCATTTGTTTCCAATGATCTGCAAACTCCCTCATTCCACTTTCTCCACTCAAACTTGCATCTACCACTTCTCTAGGGAGCTTGTGTGCGCTGTATTGTGGGGATGCGAAACTATAGGCTTCTGGGTCGTTCTTCCTAACGAGTCTTATTTCTGGTTTCCAGACGACTTCCTCGACACCATCCTCATCTTGTTCATCTTGTGTGTCTTCATCGCTGCTCAGTGGTGGCAATGGCGGGTTATTCCCCGAGTCTGGTACTCCGAGTAAGGGTTTCGGAAGTGGCATTGTGAGGAGCTCTAACCAGGAGAAGAGGAGTGGATCAGTTCGAGGTGCCCACGGGTTGACGTCCATGAGGCGGACCTTGTCGTATGGTTCCGGCAGATAAACGTCGAAGACAAAATCCTTCTCTGGAAATGTCCTCTGTAATGTCTTCTCAAAGTAGGAGACAATCGTGTCTCGCATCTGTTCTTTCATCGGGAAGAGAAATTCGAAATGGTTGAGATCTCGTTGGCAGATGCCTATCACTCGTCTTTCTCGGACAAAACACCTAAACTCGCATGATGGATTGACTTTAAACCACTTTCTCAATATCAGGGCGTACTTTATGTCGTCCTTCATCAAGGTCTCGTCCTCGGCACAATCGTCGAATGCATGCTCTAGATCATGGGTTATGAAGTCCGATGATTTGAGCAACAAGTATATGTCATTGGGTGTGGCACATTCCATACTATTCTTCTTCATACTAATCCAAGTTGCATCCTTGGGCGCAGACCAGTTCAGCTTCGGTGCAACCAAGCCGCCTAGCTCTGCGATTGTGTCCTTGATCTGTTGATGAATCTCGGGAAAGTTCTCAGAAGGGTCGACATCCGGATCTTCGTCCCAGCCGTAGCTTGTCGAGTTATCGTTGTACGTTGAGGGAGGAGGGAAGCTTGAGACTTCTGGCGGAAGGACAATGCCATCTTCGCGGATGTATGAGAGGAAAGCCGGAGTGAGTGGTATAATTCGAGATTTGAGGGTCGAAGAACGATATCTGAAAGATTTCAGTGATTTATTTGAGACTGGAACATTTTTAGTATACTTTGGATGCCAGTAATCATATGAACAGTGCAGAATATGCGACTTTGTGACCGGCTTGAAAGGGAGGCGAGTGAGGGGTTCTGGTTCTGGTACAGGTTCATTGGTAGAGCTTATTGCTGGCATTTTGCAGGCCTATCTCTTCACTTTTGGATTTAAAGAGAACAATTCTCCTAGAAAGTAAAAGAGGAGAGAAAGCAAAGCTCAAATACTGAGAAGATTTCGAGTATTTGAGTCACAAAAGTCCATGCATGGAGGGGCAACGGAATTCTGACGCATAATTTAAGGTTCTGCCACGCTAAATTTCTCACCGCCCAACCTTATTTCAGAAGCCTGGAACATTTTCAAGGCCCCTCCAAACAAACATTTTCAGCAAACATGTCTTCCAACGTCGGTCTTTCTACGCCTCGAGGTAGTGGTACCTCTGGTTATGTGCAGCGCAATCTTGCGCATTTGAAACCTCGCGATTATGGGAAGCCTTACTCCACCGACCTGGATAGTCTTAAGCATCGCCAGCGACAACCGGACAAGGAGATCCTAGAGCACGACCGAAAGCGCGAAGTGGAGGTCAAGGTCTTTGAGTTGAGAGACAAACTTGAAGATGAGGGGTAAGATGTTTGATCTAAGGAGGCCCTAGACTGGTGGCTAACATTACCTAGTGTCGACGAGGAGGAGATCGAGACTCAAACTGAGGCCTTGAGAAGGAAATTACTGAAGGAAAGTGAAAGAGGAACTGGACCGAACAAAAAAGGCCTGAAGATGCATCAAGTTCATGAATTGGCAGAGGCCAAAATCAAGCAAGACGATAGGTTCAGAAGTGCGTTGGGGATTAGCAAGGACTACGAGGAGGGAAGCCACTGGAAGAAACAAGAGGAAAGATTGAAGGCCGCAGCGGAGAAGGCGGCCAAGGAAGAAGAAGAACATTGAATGGAGGTCACACGGGTCTCTCACATTGGGCAAGGGGTTTATGGAGTCAAAAGGGTTGTATGGTTGTGGTGTTTCGGCGTCGGAGGGTGCCACGAGAAGCTTTGAAAGGCTCAATTGACCCTTAGAGACCTAAGCAATATGAAAGTGCGATGCGAATTATTTCATTTTGACCATTTTGTCACAGCTTTCATAGCTTATGTCTCTTTTCCCCACTGGCAATCTTCCTGAACTCCTCTTGTGGGATGCCGGCGCTGAATCTTTCTAACCCACCAAAGACTTCCGCAACTCCTTGTGCGTCCATTATGTCTCTCTCCGGCTTTCTGATCAGGGCTTTGATTTTGGTCAAGCTGTCTCCAATCAAATGTTCCCCCAGTCTGTTGTCGATTTCCTCGAACACCAACTTCCTGAACTTCTCATCCTCGTCTTTCCCGCAATCGAAGATCTTGTTCACGAAGCCAACCTGCAAAAGCTCATCTGCAGTGATCCGCTTGCTCATGATCAGGGCCTCATTCGCTTTGCTGATTCCCAATCGCTGGACGAAAGTTCTCGAAGCGCCACCTTCAGCGACAAGTCCGAGTGATGAGAATGGCGTGAGGAGGAAGGTACTGGGAACACAGTATATGAAATCCGAGAATGCAACTAGAGCAGCTGAAAGGCCAATTGCTGGACCGTTAAGAGCTGTTACGAGGATCTTCGGATGAGTCTGAAATGTGTTCGTAACAAACAAATTGTTTGACACGAAGCTCTTAAGCCAATGGCGGTTCAAATCCGTGCCATCAGGCTGCGATCTCGAGATGCTTACATCTGCACCACTAGATCAGAGTTAGTATTGTGTTTGAGATATGGGGCGCTTCTGTATGAACAAAAGGGACCATTTGCCCAGGTCTTTTCAATATTATCCCACTGAGGATGAGATCCTCTGTACTTACGCTGAAAAGTAACGGCCTGTAAGTGATTAGCTGCTGTAAACATCTGGGTAGCAAGCAAATTATGGAAATTACCCTTTCCAGTCAGAACAGTAATGAAGACTTCATCATGTTGTGCCACTTCTTTCATATAAGCTGCCAATTGGTAGTATCCATCCTGAGAAAGAGCATTAAGTTTCTTCTGATCATCGATAGTGATCACGGCTATCCTGCCTTTGAACTCGAGTGTCACAGCATCTGCCATGGTTGAAGTTCCGATATTGTGGGGTATACTAGAAGAGATCGAAGAGAAGAGAGAAAGAAAGGAAATCTTTAGTACTAATATCAAAGATTGGTGAGATACCTTGGGACATGATACATCTCGAGTTGTGGGGTAAGTTTTGACAAGCAAGAGAGCCGACCCAGAGCCTCGGCCTGGGAATAGGCTTGCAGGGACCATGCTTTTTGAAGGGGATTTAGTAGAGCTCAAGTAGCACAATTCTCAACGACCGAAAATAATAGACCCTGTATATAAGCATTTGATTTTGAAAGTTGATCTAAGAATTGCAATCTAAATTGACACAATCAATAAAAATTAACTTAGAAGATACATAGTCACGTGCTTGAAAAGTTGCGGCCTTGAGGCTTGAAGATTTCTCGAACCATCTCGCTCGGATGAAGCTCGACTTGTCTTTCCTCAAGAAGAAGAAGTGAAGCTTTATCCTGGCCTTCAAATCCAATTGATCCAGTACAGAATCTGCAATCATGGGCGGCCCGAATCTCGAAGTCTTCAAGGTCGGCAGTCCCGTCGCTCAAGTACAAAAAAAAAGCACACGAGCTGACTTCTTGTGTAGTTTGGCATGTACATCATGTTTCCCATTGCAATCATGTACTACTACGGAACGAACCTCGATAATCGCTTCTCCGTTCCTGACTTCTGGCCCAAGCCGGAACAAACGAATCGCATACCATTCGAAAAGGACGAAATCAAGTCAGAGCTTGAGAGATTACGCGCCAAGAGGTTATTTTTGAGAGACAAAAGATTGGAGCAGGAGAGAGCATCAGGGAATTCTGGACAGGGAAATGGAGAGTCTTCGTGAAGCTCGGATTTGGAAGATGGCACGAGAAGTGGGTGTTGTGTGGTGGAGAAAGACAATCACCATACCTGAGGCGTTCTGCATTGATGGCGTTATGGAGGGGGCATCGTCTGGGATATGGATAAAACAGGCATCTCCATTCAAAGCTTCACGGTGCAATTGTATGATATGGAATGATATGGAGTGATCTGTGCCTCTGTTTGTACAAATCTACTACAATGTACATGATGGTACTTTACAACAACATCTTCTATGCGTCCAAATTCTCCAAGAGACCTTCCCAGATACCCTCAGATATGTTCACCCCCTTCACAACATTGGTATAAACTCCCTGGACATTGGGATAATCTTGGAGAGCTTCAGCGAATTCAGTCAATGCTTTCACCACATCTTCGGAATCTATCGAGACTCTGGTATCCTCATTCGCATCCCAGATAATGTCTGCGCTTTCCACTTTCAGGCCATGACTTTTCTGCAGAGCTTCCGCGGCTGCCATAGTCTTGCTTGGTTCTGTCCATAGTACAATGCTTCCATCATCATCCGTCTCGACGTCTTCTGCTCCCGCCTCGATAGCTTCGTCTAAGATCTCGTCTACTCCGATGTTGCCTTCGTGCTTTTCGAAAGCAATTCTTCCCTTCTTCTGAAAGAGGTAGTTCGTAGGTGTCACATTTCCGCCATGGATCTTGACTAGATTCCTGACATCTGATAATGTCCGATTTCTATTGTCCGTTTCCATCTCAATTATCATGGCAACCGTAGATGGCGTGATAACTTCCAGAGTAACATTTTCGAGAGCTGCTCCAGTTGCTGACTTTCCTTGTCCTCTTGCAATCGCTGCTTCCATAGAAGCTTTCGGGAACCCAGCTAGGATTGTAAGCAACCAATGTTGCGCTTGATAGGAGGGATTATACCCCATTAAATACCTTTCTTCGCGGTCTGCAGAATCGTTGCTAATCTGGGGTTTGTGTTCGGATCTCCACCATAGACTGCAATTAAATTTAAATATGCTTCTCCGAATTGTTTAATAGATTAACATACGTTTCGAAGCTAAAGCTATATCTCGAGCGAATAGAGAGCGCTCTGCATTCTTTTTCGCATCTGCATTGCCTTTGTCATGCTTGATCTTGGACCATCGATTATGGCCTGATTGCGCGGTAGCAGAAGTTGAGAATTGAAGACATCGTGGGCATATGGACTCTGATCGAAGGCCAAGAGACCGTAAACCTCTAGAGAATGCAGCCATTGCAGTAAATTGTAAAAGTTGTGTATCGATGACTTTTGGAACTCACAATATTTCATTACTGGGTCAAAGTTTATCCGACAATCCTGGACGCACGCTGATTGGCCGACTCCTGAGATATGATGGCCTTGTCTGGGGTAAGAATCTTGAAGCCTACAAAAAAGCCACAACGCTGTGAATGCACAAACCAAAATTCACGCGTCAATCTACTCTCCCTCCCGACGTGTCAATGTCCTCCACTCCTCGGCCGAGCTCCACGAATGGCTCCAGCGAACCTCCTCCACAACGAGTGGAATCATCTAATCCCGAATTAGACGTTAAGAAGCTCCAAGCTCTACCTTCCGAACAACAAGACTTATACCTTCTCACGTTTGTATCGACTCTCACAAAACATGTCGAAAGCTTGGATGCAGATGGCTGCACGGCGCAGCAATTATACCTAAAGAAAGAGCTTATGCAGATTCTCAATCTGTCCGCCCTTCCACCGACGCGAGTGATTCGAAACAATCTGGGAAGGTGTTTTGCACATATACTTGGGAAGGGGGATCGAAAATTACTATTTGAAACGGTCAATGACCTGATCAATATCATAAGTAGTGGAAAGGCAAAGAGCGAGGGAGATCTAAGGACCAAACATGCAGCTGTCTTCTGCTTGGGAGATGTCTACGAAGCTGCTGGAGACAGTGCTATTGGTCTCCATCCCCTGGCATGCTCAGCATTGTTGAAATTGTTGAAGCCGGCTGGAAATAGTGCTGGTCTACGAGCTGCGATCTTCAAATGCTTTGGCAAGATTAGCGGAATGATTCAAGGGAGCATGGATGATAGTACTGCTAGGGACATCTGGAAGCAAGCAAGAAATCATGCCTCTGGCGACAAATCCGCATTGGTACAGATCTCTTCGTGTCGGTGCTTGAAAGAACTCGTCAAGAATACACCCTATTTCGATAATTCCAGTGACTTTGACAGCCTAAAGTCGACAATATTCAAGACGATCGACTCCCCGAGTCCCCTGGTTCGGCAGGCTGCAGGAGAATGTCTGGCAGAGGCTTTGGTCAAGAATCATTCAGAGGATCCCGTTCAGGACAACGATATACCCAAGATCAAGAAGCCAAAGAGGACGAATACCAAACGAATGTCAATGGCCCCTGGTGCTGACGATGATGATGTTCCTCCTCGGCCAGAGAGTCCAGGACCGAAAAAGAGCCAAATATTGGTCTTCACTCTCCCAGAGATGCTGAAACAATTGTCATCGTTTTATGTCAAGATGTCTACTAGTAATCGAGCTAGGGCTGGCATTGCAGTATGTTACACCAGGATCTTCAAGAGTCTGAGTGAGCGAAATGTGGAGACGATGTATATGAAAATTGTTGATCACCTAACGATCGATGTGTTAAGCAACTCAACTATAACGTCCAACCGGTATCGACTTTTGACGACTAGGAGATTTGTTCAAATCATATTAGAAGATGTCATTGGTCAATCTATCCTGGGCGAATCTGGCCAGCTGGATGCTGCCAAACGCTTGATCAACGATGTTCTGAAGAATTATCCACAAGTTATCAAGGAACGAGCAGAACCTAGCAAGCATGCTCTTATTGCTGTGCTCAGTGCATTAGCTTCATTGATCAGGATAGTCGGGTCGGCTGCGACAGTGTTTGCAGATTCTTGTCGAGACGCCCTACTTCAAGTCCTCCAGCATCCAAGCTATACGGTACAAATATACACATCGTATTGTCTACGGACATTCATGCTTGCTTGCCCTCAACAACTCTTGCCATGTCTCACGATATGCATGAATAGCGTAAATCGAGAGCTAAACCTACTCACTACTGGGAGAAATTCTCCTCGTCGCTGCGTTGGGTTTGCAAATGGGCTCTCAGCAATGATCAGTACAGCTCCGCTACAGCCTTTATATGGGTCTGTTGATGTCAACAGTCGTGTTCTATCTCTGGCCACCGGGTTGCTCAAATCAAGTAGCAAGTCAGAATTACGAATATCGAGTACTCAAATTCAAGTAGCGTGGATTTTGATCGGTGGTCTCATGTCTCTTGGCCCGAACTTTGTCAAGATCCATCTCTCCCAATTACTCCTGCTGTGGAAGAATGCACTTCCCAAGCCTTTGGCAAAGGACAACACTTCGCAAAGGTCATATCTCGAGTCTTCTTTTCTGACACATGTAAGAGAATGTGCCCTCGGATCTATCTTGGCATTTCTCCAATTCAACAGCAGACTCTTGACGGTAGATGTGTCGAAACGAATTGCAGCTATGCTGCAGAACACTTCAGCCTTTTTGAAAAGTCTCCCGTCCAAGAAGACCATGGAGGATATCACACAGCGATTGACTCCCTCGCTACAATTGCAGGACTTGGATCTTATGGTTCAGCGGCGAGTTCTTCAATGCTACACAAAGCTCGTCAATCTCAGTCCAGCTGGCGGTAGTGAAGCTTTGATTCAGTCTAATATCCTCACTTTAGCCATCTCCTTCTTCGCAGATCCTGATAATTATACGCCAAGTTCGCTGAGCACCTCCATAGCAAATTCAGCTGGAACCTTCGAAACCGTTTGGGACGTTAGCGATAACTGTGGGTTCGGTGTTACTGGCCTGGTCCGCGGGTTCAAGGTGAAGCCATTGCCAGGTCAACACGAGAATGATTCGCATGATGATTGGATGAAAGAGACAGATCCAGACAATGCAATAGCTAACGTCTTGCTTTCTCCAATCTGCAGCTCCTTAGAGCACGACTCGCTGTTTCTGTATCTTGGGGACCCTGGCGACTCTGACCCCATGCCTGATCCGCCAGCTACAGAGGTTGTTAATGTCGCAATCAAGCTTTTCGCTATCGCATTCCCTCTGACTCCACCAAAGATCCAAGAAAGCATCCTTGAGCAAGTAGCAACGTTCTCCTCGGCTGGATCTCTCCAGAGAGACCCTGGACGCAAGGCTGCTATGAATGTAAATGTCGCCACAGCTCTCTTCTCCACCCTAAAGGTTGCCGTGAAGGAGACACAATCGCCAGCTGGGGACCTAACGAATGCTGCAGTGGAGAAGCTCATGCAAGAGATGATACGCGCCTTTGTCATTCATCCGGATCAGTATATCCGAAACATAGGATACGAAGCCATCGCAAGGCTCTGCAATAGTTCCGGAAACGCTTTCACAAACACGGAAATCAAATACCTCATCGACACAATTGTCGGCAATAGAGAACCCAGCGCCAGAGCTGGCTGCGCAATGGCACTCGGAAGCATCCACGCGCAAGTCGGTAGTATGGCTGCTGGATTCCATTTGAAGACTATTCTAGGCATTCTGATGTCGCTCTGCAATGATCCACACCCGACTGTTCACTTCTGGGCCCTGGAAGCTCTAGCAGGGGTAGCGGACTCTGCCGGGCTGAATTTTTCGGGATATGTAACAAGTACTCTTGGAATGATAGGACAGCTCTATGTGGGTGATACTCACAATGAAGATATCTCATCAGTCGCAACCTCGAATCTGGAGTTAGAACTGTCAACGACTGCCGTCTTGGCAAGATGCGTTGACTCACTAGTCAATGTCCTCGGGCCTGATCTTCAGGACATGAGCAAGCCTAGAGAATTAATCCTAACCCTCGTCGGCCAATTCCAAAGAGAGGACGACCCTCTGGTACTAGGTGGAAGTCTGAGATGTCTTGAACATCTATCGCTGTACGCACCTGGACATATGCATTTTGCAGATTATGTTGTTCTCCTTCAGAAGGACTTGAATTCGGACTATCCAGACCTTCGCGATATTGCAATTGACGGCCTTCACAATCTGATGAAGCGTAATTCTGAAGACGTGGTCCAAGCTGCTGAGTCTGGCTTTGAGGACCAGCTCTGGCTTGCGCTTGATTCGGATCCAAGCCATGATGGCATAAGAAATGTCATATTTAACTGGCTTAGACAGTCTTGCTTGAGTGAAACTGCCCGGTGGCTTCAAAGATGTCAGACGGTACTTGCTATGACGCGACCAAAGGCTGCCGATACATCTGCAGCTTCTGCCAAAGTGAGTGCTATGCCGGACTTGCAAGATGAGGAAGTAGCTGGATTTGCCACAGCTTCTGGTGCTGCCAAGGACGACGGAGCTGCCGCTGCAGGATCAGGCCAAGAACCTTTACGATGGCAAGTCAGGACCTTTGCAATGAGCTGTCTAGGAGAGATATTCGCGATTATCAGCAAAGCCACGCCTCCAGGTGCCGATGGTTCGTCACCAGCCGAGATGGCGTTGCAGAAGAAAGTCGCGGATGTCATTCGCATGGCATTTTCAGCGTCCACATCTAATGTTGTTGAGCTCAGAGTTTGGGGACTTAAGATCATTGACTTTGTGTTAAAGATGTTTGGCAAGACTCCAGATCCAGATTTTGCAGAGGCACCCCTCCTCGAGCAGTACCAGGCACAGATCAGCTCGGCTCTTACCCCAGCATTCGCCGCAGACTCCTCTCCTGAGTTGGCATCCGAGGCAGTGAATGTCTGCGCGCAATTTATTGCCACAGGAATCGTTACCGACGTCGACAAAATGGGTCGTATCTTGAAGACTCTCGTTACCGCGTTAGAGAATTTCTCGACGGAAGCAGAAGTCCAGTCCATTGGCGATCTCAAAGGCCTTAGCTCGAATGCTCAAGTCATGGTGAAGATGGCTATCTTCTCTGCTTGGGCGGAGCTTCAAGTTGCCAGCACGGAACAACGGTACCTCGTCGATGTTCTAAAACCATATATTGGGACTTTAACTCCCCTTTGGTTAGCTTCGTTGCGAGAGTTTGCACGTCTCAGATTCGAGCCTGATATATCGATGAGCCTTGGCCCTCCATCATTGTCTGGTAGCTTAGACAGCATCTACTCTGCACTGAACAGGGAAACTTTGTTGAGGTTCTATCAAGACTCGTGGCTGAAACTCGTCGATGCCATTGCAAGTCTTATCGAACAAGATAGCGAATTCGTATTTGATGCTCTTGATGGCAAAGAGACGGATGGTCCCCAAACAAATGGTCACTCGAAAGGAAATGATATCAATTATCGAGATGAGCCTGTCGCATTCTTCTTTGTACTCTTCGGCATTGCTTTCGAAGCACTTGTCGCTCGACCAGGAAGTGATGCTTTAGCATCGAAAGAGCAGACCCTGGGAATCCTTCAAGCCTTGAAGAAGATCCTTCATCCCAGCGTGTCAGGTCATGCGATCTATCGGGAAGCTATATTCTCTGAGACAATGGACTTGCTTGATCGACTTGTGCTTACAGAAGGTCTTGATGTCCAGGGTGTAATAGTCCAAATTGCGCGTGGGCTGTGTATTTCACATCCATCTGCGACAAAGGGACAGCAACCCGAAGACGGTGATCTGTCTGAAGACATTGAGCAACTCTTCGAACTCACCCGAATTATCGTCCTCGTGCTTGCTGGCCTTCTACCTAATCTCACTGAAGCAAAACAACCAGCTCGCCATCAATTAACAGATGAAGCTGTCTCTCTTGTGCGTGTATCTTTGAATGCCCTGGTTGATGCAGCAGAGGTCTTTCCACCAATCATCAAGACTGATCTTCACGCTTGCATTATCCATATATTTGCTACAATCCTCGGTACAGCGACATGTCAAGCTGTGGTCGTTCCACAGTCACTCCCTATCTTGAAGCGCTTCTTGACAAGCATTTCTGGGTCAAAGAAGAGTACATCCAAACCTGACTCGGACATTGTTCAAATACAAGGCTGCCTCAAGCGATTTTTGTCTATCTATCTGAATGCGCAAAAGCGTGAAACAGAAGCTTCCCTTCCTTGCGTAAAGAACACGCTCCTGGCGACCACAGTCCTTCTCACCAGCGGCAAGAATCTCATGTCTGCAAGCGAACCACTCGTTGGCCGTTTCTTGGATGAGGTTATTGACTGCCTGAGCGATCGAATGGTAAACCCCACGTATCACTATTTTACAACGTCGTGCTAATTATCTATAGACTGCGAAGGTGGCTGCTGGCTGTATTCGAACTCTGCTCTTACAGTCGCCCAAGACTTCTGCAGATCAGAGCATAGCTCGATATCTTCTACCTCGTCTTGTTACATTTGCAACAAACACGAAAGCCGAGGACCCGGAGAATGCTCGTGCATTAGTCATGCATGCTCTGACCACTTTCGTTGCAACATTACCCAGCGCCCAAAAGACAGCAGCAATGTCGTTGCTAGTACCGAGTTTGCTGGCAAGGGCGAATAGTGAGGGTGAAGCTGTTTATAAGGAGACCAGTGCCCGTCTATTAGACCTAGCAGGCAATGACCAAGTAGCCTTCAGAGGGGTCGTTGGCAGCATGACTGACAAACAGAAAGGATTCATGGAGAGTGTGATTGTAGCAGGGCGACAGTCTCAAGGCACGAAAGTTCAAGAGGATGACGGACAAGGACAAGAACCTACGATTGCGCTTAGGATGGACTTTGGCGCCTGAGGTTGATACCACTAAATTTTCTTATAAGATTGTCCGACCAGATGCAGGACATTAGAGGTTGACAAGAGTTTTTGAGGAGAGGTCCCATGATTATACCCAGCAATGAATACAAGATTCTAAGCGTTGATTGCGTTCAAGGACTTGTCATCAAGTATCATACCCTCTGCCTTGTGCTTAGTGAGCTCCGAGCCTCGAGCTCAAGTAAGAGCCTTGCAATCCACGCGAACGTTCGGCCCAGTGCTGGACAAGCAATCAACCAAAATGTACTTCATCCATCCACCTTCACGATCCATATTTATACAGCCACTGAGAATCTCTGTCAGATCACGGCACATCATTTCCCCACGCATGTCCATTAAATTCCTCGTTATAACCATGTCACGGAAGTTCAAGCTCCACTAATTTGTTGTCCATTTAGAGTTGAGCCAGGAACAGAATGTTCTCGGGCCGTTATATATTTCATAGATTAACGAGATCTTGCGGTGCCTGAATGTCGGGACCATGGCGGGACATAAATCTCGATAATTTGTTTGTTCCACGCAGTGGTGGCTGATTGTGATCACTCTAGAATGTCCACATTGCTTCTCAAATGAGCCTGGATCGGTCGTACAGGTAAAAATGCAGCATTTATATGTTTGCGAGTTTCTGCTTTTTCGATTTGTAGTGCACGTTCAAACGTCCGCAAAAGAGTTGATTGTCAAGTGACAACTCCCCATCATGCTTTTCCGAAATTGCGCCACCAGCATCGCATTGCTTGCTTCCAACGCAGCAGCTACAATATATTACGCAGGCGTCGCTGAAAGCAGTGGGGAATTCGGAGTCTGGAGTAAAAGGATCTCAAAGATCGCAAATATCAAACAGATACTGATTAGAATGCCTAGGTGCGACAGCGACCCCTGGTACTGGGCTTCCAGGAACATTTGGCGTCGATTATGCATTCATTAATAAGAGTGCTATCGATGTCTTCGTTGATCAGAACAAGGTCAGACAACGATCTGAAAGAATAGTGCGGCAAATGTGCTGATGAGCCTCAGGTCAACCTCTTCCGAGTAGCCTTCCTCCTTGAACGAATGTGCCCACTTTCATACGGGCTAGGGTCAAAATTCAACGAGACGGTACGCGGAACGTAATTGATTTCTTGTTGGAACTTGACTGATCAAAATCTTCAGCACTTCTCTTTCTTCAAAGATGCAATTGATTATGTCACAGTCAACAAGTCTGCATATGCAATCCTTGACCCGCATAATTACATGAGATACAACGATCCTAGTAGCCAACCTATGACTGGCAGCATCATTGGTGATACGTCGGATGTGAAGGCTGCCACGACGGCCCAGTTCGCTGCCTTTTGGGGAGAGCTTGCAGGACGATTTAAAGACAACGAGAAGGTGATCTTTGGCTTGATGAACGAGGTATGATTGCTCTGTCTGAAAAGTGTCTGAGCTAACAAAATCACAGCCTCACGACATGCCCACAAGCCTAGTTCTCGCGAATGATCAAGCAGCCATCAACGCGATCCGAAAAGTCAATGCAAAGCAACTGATCATCGCGCCCGGAAATAGCTGGACTGGAGGCCATTCTTGGACATCTGGTAGTGATGCATCTTCTCTCATCATGGCAAATATCTCGGACCCGCTCAACAATACCGCATTCGACATCCACGAATACTTCGACTCCGATTACTCGGGTGGGCATGTCAACTGTACCAATCTTGCCTCGACTCAGCTCGCTCCGTTGACGGCTTGGCTTGCGCAGCATAACTTCCGGGCTATGATTACTGAGTTTGGTGCTTCGAATAGTACGGGATGTACCTCCTATGTCTCGGACATTATTTCTTATATGGAAAATAACCCACAGTATATTGGATGGACTGCATGGGCAGCTGGTCTGTACCGAGCTCAACATCCCTTTCTTAATTAGCTACTTACTATTTTTTAGGTCCATTCTGGGGAACGAGCAGTCCTTGTTGCACAGATCAAGCTCATTGGGGAAGTCTGGAACCTGGCAGTACGGCCGCTGATGGGAGTCCCAGTCTGTACGAGACGGTATGGATGAAGACAATTCAAAAAATTGTGCCGAAGACTCTGGTTTGGAAGGGCATGAGTGCATTGAAACCGATGTAAGATTTACTCATGATGATATCAAAAAGAGTAGACGGTTAGTACAAAAACATTACGTTGGCAGCAGAACCTCTAGAGCTTAGATGATCTCTATGAGCGCTGTCATCATATCCCAGAGTTTACGAATTACATTCTCTAGGCAGCTACGATGTTGGTACCTACCTATGTACCTGACCTAGAAGTACCAAGCTTCTGAGTTCACGTGAAAGACACGTGATCATATCTGATCTTGCGCCTACCTATCTCATTTCCATGTTCGTATTTTGTCTTTGAGATTATCGGTGTGAGATCCCCTGAGTCTGCACCTGTTCGTGTTGCCTTGAAGACTTAAAGATATTGAGTGTCCTACTGTCTTTAATAGGTGTGTTTTAATGCGGTAAGCATAAGCTAGTGTAAGCGACTTTTTGCACTTCAACCGCGCCTCCTTTCTGACAGCCTCATTTTTTTATCAATTGTCCAGACTCAAAATGGCCGTCACATCCGTTCTGTCGATAAACATGTTGTACGTATTTCATTTTGCTGCTTGGGACAACAACTTGTACCATCAAAACAGCTACGTCTCACTGTGGCAGCCTTTGCTAGCTACGGAGTTCCTCCTACGAACGGCAGAGCCTGAAGCCTTGTTGGACCGATTCAACCTTGCACAGATCAGTCGAAAGGAATTCTACGATGGACCTTGCCAGCACGTCACCTCAGTCTAGTCTTGCGACCTCATCACCAGCAGACCCTTGCCCAATTGATATCAATGCCAAGCCAGCAGAACTCGTCTCCACGAAGAGAAAATATGATGCCTTCGGTGAAACATTCAAGCATGACAAAGTCGAAAATGAGAAGAAAGTCATAGGTCGGCCAAAGAATGCATGGAGTTCATCAAGATCTCGGAAACTTGTCAGGTTGTATCTGATGACTAGTTTAAATGTGGACGAGATCGTGGAAGTTCTTCGTACTGAGGACTTTATGCCATGGTGCGTCAGCTTGAGCAGACTCTCCACTCTGAACCTAACAAGAACTAGCAAACGAGATGTTCAGAAACAACTACAAAGTCTCCTTCAGACTCGTCCCAGCAAGATTCGATCGCGCGGAGTAATGACCAAAGTCAGACATCAAGTTTTAAGAGATTGTCGAGCATTGAATGCTGGCGGACCTTTGCAAGTTTTTCCCGAGCCTGGCTCGACTGCGAACTGCGATCCAAATGTACATCAAGCTGAAGGGCAGATGCCGACGAAGCCGGAAACGAGCTTTATCTCGTCCGACTTCCATCCTCCTGATTTGACCACCAGTAGTACCATGACGAATATTCGGGAAGAATTTCCTTTTCTCATACCACTGGTCTCAGCAAATGGGCTCCTCCTAAGGTCAGATCTACTCCTACGTCAACCATTCCGAGCGAGCATTTTGAGCACCGACAATCTGCGGAAAAGATTAGCACCCAAAACAGAATCCTTCATTGGCGACGTTATCTCCGTGTTACAGAATTATACCATCTCTGAATCCACGTATATCCCTAGAACGGTCGATTCACAGAGATCGTGGACAGCTTCATTCAGTTCATCATCACTAGATATTTACTCAAGGAATATTAGACTCCATACTCAAGCACCATTTATTTCTCAGGAAAAAGTTCTGTTGGAGCATGGGCTCCTTCTCCCGGGACGCCTCAGAGATTTCGAACCTGTTCATCCTAACAGAACATCAATCTGGGGACGGGCCAAAGAGTCCATTGAAACGTCCAACTTTGCGCCCCGCGATTCGGTGTCTACTTTTATCGGAGTTAGTGGTAATCAGAGCATAAAAAGCTCCCACGATGATTCGTTTGGCCATAATGCTCTTCATATCGCCGCTGCTTCAGGACAAAGATCGAAATACTTGTTAAACCTCATCGATCGTGGAATAGATTTTCGAGCTCGGAACTCTGCTGGAGAAACGTTTCTGCATCTTGTGAAGAACATAGCTTCTGGAGATTTTGTGTATCTGGATGCTTTGTTACTAAGGCTTCAACTAGAAGGATTCGATTTCTCTTGTCGCGATGACCACGGTCAAACACCCCTCCATAACCTCACCCGCCAGTGGTTAGACAAGGAAGCCTTTTGCGGCATTGCAAAGACTCTGCTATCTTACGAAATCGATTTGCCACGTTCGCGGGATAATCTTGGACGCACCATCCTAGGACAAATGATTGATGTTGGACTCGAGATACGAGCCCTTCAGATGCTCCAAGAACAAGACCGTTCCCGCGATTCCGCAGAAAACAACAAGATTCAAGCTCAAGAGAATGAGACAGGTCATTCTCACTATGACGCACATAAGGGCTCTGTTTCAAACTATGGTACTCCCACACTCTTCGAGCCACAAGGAGATATTCAGCTATATGAAATTCACGCCGACTTGCTGCGAACGATATTAAGAGCAAACACTTCTCCACACTACGAAGACGATCAAGGACGTAATGGGCTTCATTGCCTTGCAGCGGTTTGTCTGACCTTGCCCATTCCGTATCCTCTCCCATCAAGCAAAAGCAATGAACAGACTCGACGCGAAGCCTACCTATCCGATCTTCTCGCAGCAGGCGTGGATCCCGACAATTGCGACAACGCAGGCAACACTCCTCTCATGGCGTTCATCACTCACAACCAAGACCACGATGCCACTACAGTAAAGATATTATCCCGTCTTCACGATGCTGGGGTCAACCTGAACCGCCGAGATAGGGCTGGACAAACGCCGTTGCATTTGTCTGTCAGCTTGGGTAGGACCGCAGTGACGAGCTTTCTTCTGGCCCAAGGTGCTAATGTACATGCGAGGGATAGTAAGGGGAGAAGTATTATTGCGCTAGGAATGGCGAAGAGTCGAAAGGCATTAAGTGATGCAAAGTTGTACGCTCAAATAATGATGTGCATATCTTTTGTAGTAGATGCTGCTGGTGTCTCTGCCCCAACAATTCTGCAAGAATGGGCACTGAAATAAAGAAACATATAGTTTCAGGTCTCCCTGTTTTCGACTTATTACTGTGTGCGAAATATGAGGTTTTCAAAGGTGAAGACGGGAAGGGATGGGCGAAAAGTCAAAATAGACTGGAAGCAAGCCATAGTGCACGTTGAGTCATATAATCGAAGGAGGAGCTAATGTACGTCGACTACTAGCCCAATACTTCATCTGTCTTATCGGCGACGTTGACCCCTTTCTCGCTTAATCCCTTCTCAGCAACCCCGCCGCTAACATTCTCTCTCTCCGTACCGAAATGCCAATCCAAAATCTCAAACGTCACTTGCTCTTCCGGTCGCACATAATCCTTCGGCTCACGCCACTCACTCAACGGGAACCACAAAGCAGGAGGACTAATCCAGCAAGCAGCCCAGTAAGTGAAGAAGCTAACCGCCAGCCCGATCGGATAAGCGAAATAATATGCCTTGGTGACACCGAGCGGAGCGTGCACTCCCATGTTGTTTAGGAAGCCGTAGAAGTTGGGTATGATGCCGACAATGTAGGCCAAGTATGCTCGCCAGTTCCAGCCGTGGAAGTAATGGTATGCGCCATTAGGGCAGGAGGTGTAGAGATCGTGAATCTCGAGGTAACCGCGGGAGATGATGTAGTAGTGGCAGAGGAGCACGCCAGTGATGGCTGACAGGAAGATCTGGTACGATGCGAGGAAGGAGATGAATATGCTGGCTGATCCGAGGAGATACCATGGGTTGATGGCGAAAGAGACTACTGCGCAGATGAAGAAGCCTTTTCGTATGGTCAGGTATTTTGGGAAGAGAGCCGCGATGTCGTTTCCAGCTGGCAACGAATTTTCGAATATCGAAGAGAAGATTGCCGAATAGGTAAAGCAAGCAGCAATGAAGAAACATCCTGCTCGATTGCCTGCTGTATATGAAGACGTCTGTAGCATATCGAGATAGGTCAAAGGCGACCAAATCAAAGTCCCAAACACGATTTGACTACTGCTTCCGACAAGATTGCCGATAATAGAGACGATGAGGTTCGAGAGTGGAAATCCAATTATGTTTCCGAGGATCACATCGTTGGGTTTGGTTGCATAACGCTGGAAATCGGCGGCATTGCTTGCGAACGTAGCACAGTTGGCTGCTCCAAGAAGGAAGAAGCGGATGAGTAGCCAGGTTCGCTTTGAGCCGGTTGCAGTTCCTGGCTGGCTGGCTACTGGACCAATACCACCTGCTTTATGCAAGGTCCAGGACAACATCGCTATGGCTGAGACGACGAAGACGAGCAATTTGGCATAGACGAGGCCACGCATCTGATAATGTCCGTTAGTTTCAGCGTCTTTGGGGAACAGTCTAAAGGTACCTTTGGCACTGGAATAACCAAGAAGCAGCAAGTCAAGACCCAGAACACCGCAAAGCCTATCATGCCTCCGGAGTCAAGTGCGGAACCCTTTCCCATCACATTCGGGATATTAGCAATGTGAGGAGTGAGAGCGTGAAGCATAACATAGACACATTGAGCTCCCTGGACAGCATTGACTCCATTCCACACAATCGCCATAACAGCTCGATTGAAAGTCGGCCACCAAGCACCAAAGATACCAAACGAGGCTCGATTGAGAATCGGATACCCACTGCCAACGCGTTAGTATTTTCTTCCAGACAGGAATATAAAAACGAACATATGATATTTTGCTCCAGCGCGTCCATTGAAGACGATAACAATGGCAATCAGGACCTGACCACCAAAAGCCGTACCAACAGATTCCCACATGCTAAGTCCCAATGCCTGAGCACTGCTTGCGGCATACCAGTTCGAAACAGTTGCCGTGGCCGAGAACCAGAAAGTGAGATAAGTCCACAAGTTCCACGTCCTGTCCGCGAGCTTCAAAGGACGGACATCATCATTGTCCAACCACATGTCCTCTCCTTTGACATTTTCAGCGCCCTTTGCTTGTAAATGCGGGGCTGGAATGCCTTCTCGAAAGCGTCTAATCAGGTTGGTCGCCATGTTGGACATCTTGATCACTTGCAAGATCGAAAAGAAGGAGAAGCGGACGCCGAGACAAAAAATGGACGCGAAGAAAACAGAGGCGGAAGGGACGATAGTACGATAGTACGATAGTCGGAGACCACATCGGGCCGGCCTGGGACAATATAAAGTTCTTCCAGATATCTGAATGCCCGCACCCTTATCGCAGGTCCTCTTGGGATCACCTTTACCAAGTCCTACTAAGAGCTTGGCCTATCGTTCTCGGTAGCCGGGGTACATGTTCGCCGCCATTTTGCAGAGACCCAGATTCTCGCCACGAGAACTTGAACCTTGTTGATGCTTCTACGTTCTGTCATTTGTGACGGAAGCACCGAAGAGCACGGCTGGGTGCAGATCGTGCAGAAGACTAATTTCAATCGTTCCGACGCACATGGAAGAACCAGGTGAAGAACACGATAAGGACTGGCATAAGTGGCCCTTGATACGAAACTTTGTGGTTGCACGAAAGCTCTTGTCTTCAAAGATGGGGTGAATCACGTGCATTAGTGGGGTTAAGCCGTATTGGGACGCCGACGACTTTGAAGATAAGATACCACCATCTAGACTTGGCTGCCATCCAAAGTTAGGATGAGCGATGCTACATAGGACGGTACTCGGCGAGAGCCGATGAATGATCAGTAATTGTTGGATTTAAGTCAATAGGCGTGTCGTCAAAGCTAATTCGAATATCGGAGTAAGCAAGCGAAGTCGCGGGGTAAAAGCACGGAGTATATCCTCAGTATAACTGATTCAAAACTCCCACGTATTGTACTCCATATCTTCCAATCACTGGACCAACATTAAAAATGTCTACAACAACCACCATCACGACGCCTCCTACAACGTCCAAACTCGAGCTTCGTACCGCGTATGGTCCAGTATATCGAGATGTTTTGAATACTCCACCTCGGGATTGCACAGCAGCTGAAATCCCAATCATTGACCTGTCCCGTCTGTATTCCGAGAAGTTAGAAGACCGTAAAGCGTTGGCAACGGACATACGAGCAGCTGCCATCAATACAGGGTTCTTCTACATCAAGAACCATGGTATTGAGAAACAGACGATCGCTGATGCCAAAAAGCAGCTATTGGCGTAAGTCCGACTTGTTTAGTTTGATAGCAATTTTCGTACTGATGGTTCCAGGTTCTTCAAACAGCCGATGGAAGACAAGATGAAGATCAGCCAACAATTCTCCAAATACTATAACGGTTACAAAGGCCCAAGACAAACTTTCATCAGTCCTGGTGAGAGTGTCGATGTCAAAGAATCTGTGAGTATTTTCTTTCAAGGACGATGAGATCTTACTAATCTAAATAGATGGGATGGAGGTACGATCCCAGATATGATCCAGACACAAAGGACCTCAACGCCATCCCAGAAGAAGTCAAGCCATGGATTCGGGGCGAAGAATTCGTCTGGGAAGGGACCTCCCAACTACCCGGCTTCAAAGAAGAGGTTCTCCGGTACTGGTCATCATGCCTGACCCTAGCCAGAAAACTAGTGAAAATCTTTGCTCTCAGCCTTAATATCCCAGAAGACTATTTTGATAGTCGGACAACGTATCCTGGTGCAGACGGAGTATTCAACTATTACCCAGTCACCACGGAAGAAGAGAAGGAGAATAACTCGGTAGGGCTTGGTAGCCATACTGATCTGCAACTTTTCACGCTGCTGTGGCAAGATATGATTGGTGGACTGCAAGTGTTGAATAAGGATGGCCAGTGGATCAAAGCTGTCCCTGTGGAAGGGACCATTGTGGTCAACATTGGAGATTTCATGATGAGACTGTGCAATGACATCTACAAGAGTACTGTGCACCGTGTGTATAATCGAGCTCAAGTTGAGCGTGTATCGATGCCTTTCTTCTTTGGTAAGTCTTTTTGCAAAGACGGAGTGAACTTCCAACTGACTTCATGATAGGTCTCAATTTTAACTGCGTCGAGGGAGTCATCCCATCATGCGCATCGGAGAAGAATCCACCAAAGTATGAGGCGATGAGTTGTGGTGACTGGTGCCAATTGAGATTCAAACTTGAAAACGATGAGATGAAGAAGAGATTGGCTTCGGAAGCACAGGCACCTAGTGCCTTGATTGTGGCAGCATAGACTCAATAGCTGCAAAACAAATTGAACGTAGCATTGCCTTGTGCAAAGACTCCCTTCGTGAGCTCATCATTCACGATGCTATTTTTTGTGATTCTGTAGCCATTTCAGTCCGGCTTCCAGTCATACCAGAATTCTGTAGCTGTATCCTCTCATCTTGGAAAGCCGTTGAGGTCCTTGGTGACCGAATTCAGAGCTCCTTCTTCCTAGATATATGCTCATATTACTCTGTGCACTAGCTCTAGTAGGTCGAAGAAAGCTTCTCGCTCCATATCCAACTTCATCAATCCCAACCCTATTAAACATGTCCTCGTCTCTTCAGGATTCCTCGTCGCAATCGCACTGGCAATCTGGCTAGCGTATAGATGTCCAATGATCTCGCGCTGCTCACCACCCGCCCCAAGAAGTGTCTTTGGTGTAAGATGTCCGAGGGGCAGCATGTCCGAGTTGTCTGCAGGTAATGCGGTATCGAACGACGTTGGCGAGGCCGATGAAAGCGGGACTTGGACCTTTGTAATGCTCAGTCATACTCTAAGTTTATGAAGGGAAGGAGAATACCCATTGGGATAGTCGGCCGCCTTGGGATATGGTCACTAAGATCTTGTCTGAGAAGTAAATCGAGGAAACTTCTGTTTGAGTGCCGTTGACGAGACCGCTAGCTAGTTTTGTCGGAGCTGGGAACGGAGATGGCTCTACTCCGCCATCGATATTCAGGTCATGTAATCCTGCAGACAAAGCTGGAGTTGCCATCTTTGTTGGCTGTTTTGTCCTGGAGAGTTGTTGTGTTGATGAAAGCACGAGGCTGACACTAAAGCCTTGCCGATAAAAGTAGTTTTGGCCCCGCTAAAGTGAATTGTGACGCTGGCGAAGATGCCTGGAATTCAGGCTGCAAGCCCTGTTCCATAGGCGTCGATTCACTAATCCCTCTCGTTGGAAACGACGCTAGTGGCTATATTGCAGGGCTCTCTCCAACTTGCTCCTAACAATTTCTTCCGTCGTGAGGCACCCGAATGTTCGTTGGACGATTTGACTCCGGATCCAAAATGCAAGATCTATGATAGGGGAAAAAAAAGGCAAATCTAGCCAGACAGTGAAATCACAAGCGGAGACAAATTCGCCTGCGGTAACAAATAGCTTGACAACGAAGAGAATTATTGACGGTCGTGGAATCGCGCTAATTGGTGATACACCGCCTTGATCTTTCTGCCACTTGATCCAAATATTTTTCTACAAAATTTATCAAATGTTCCTCGCAGAAGCAGCAATGCCCTGACAATCAATTCAACATGGGTAAGTTCGTGCCCCGTCAGCGGAAGCACAAAGTCCTTGCTCGACAAAAACGACAGCATGGATCTCATGAACCTGTCGTCGACTCCAATGCCGTCGAAGTTCTCCCCGCTGCAAAGGCAGAAATCCAGGAGGAGAAGCGTCACATGAAAGAAGAATTGCAGGCGCAGGGAACCAAAGTCAGCGGAAAGAAAGCAAAGAGGTTGGAGAAATATATCGAGAGTAAACTGAAGAAGGATGAGAATCGAGAACTCATCGCCCGATTAGCAAATTCGAGGACAGACACCAGTCACTACCAGAGTAGCAAGAAGCTGGGGCAAGGACACGAAACAAAGAGGGAGAGGCTGGCCAGAGCTTTGAGAGACAGGCAGGCAGGAATTGATATCGACGGAGATAATGAAGAGCTATTGTTTGAGAGAAGGACTATTCGAGATGCCGAAGAAGAACCCGTGTCAGAGGATGACGGCGAACAGGAAGAAAGCGTTGGACTTTTCGAGAATCCAGTTGCAACACCAATCCACACTCTGCAGACTACGAATATCCCTGGTGCAGGTTTGAAACGACCCCTTGAGGTAGACGAGGAAGGAAAGCCTGTGTTAAAGAAACGAAAACGACGTGGAGGCATCAAGTCCAAAGTATCTCTCCAGCCAGAAGTCTCGGAAGAGCCAGAATGGGAAGGCTTCAGCTCCGAAGGGAGTGAAGATGAAGAAGAAAGCTCTGTTCAAGGGTTCGAAAGTACCTCAGATGCTTCAGTGGACGAAGAGGACGATGAAGGTTCGGCATCAGGATCGGAGGAGTCAGACGATGTTGATACATCGGATGGCTCATCCTCAGAGGATCCTGATAGCGACGACAATGATGAATCTGACAAGCCAAAACGATCGTCCGCATTCAAAGCCTGGGCAAGCCAACAGATCAATGAAGCACTTGGGTATTCCCCAGCGTCAAATACTGCCATGGCGACAGAGACCCCCAAGGTAGCTGGCTTTAAGCCTAGAGCACCAGAGCAAGATCCTCTCCCAATTGAGCTACAGCCAACTACAAACACTGGGAGAAAAGCATTTAGTGTTACAGTCGATCGAGCTCAAGACATTCAAGATGCACGTCTTAAGCTTCCCGTAGTGGCCGAAGAACAGAAAATTATGGAAGCAGTACACAACAACAACCTTGTGGTTGTCTATGGGGCTACTGGATCTGGTAAGACAACTCAGGTACCTCAGTTTTTATACGAAGCTGGTTATGGCTCACCAGGTTCCCCAACTCCTGGTATGATTGGTGTCACTCAGCCTCGACGAGTCGCAGCGGTCAGTATGGCCAAACGTGTTGGTGACGAGCTAGGTAATCATGGAAAACGAGTCGCGTATCAAATCCGATTTGAGGGCACAGTTGGGGACCAAACTGCCATCAAATTCATGACGGACGGAGTTCTGCTTCGCGAAGTCGCTCAGGATATCGCCCTGCAGAAGTACTCCGCCATTATCATCGATGAAGCTCACGAAAGGAGCGTTAATACCGATATCCTGGTGGGCATGCTTAGTCGGGTGGTCAAGCTGCGCGAAGAGATGGCAGCAGAAGATCCGTCGATCAAGCCTTTGAAACTTATCATTATGTCCGCAACACTGAGAATCAGCGACTTCACTGAGAACAAAACTCTATTTTCAAATCCACCTCCAGTCCTCCAAGCTGAGGGTAGGCAGTTTCCAGTCACAACCCACTTCGCTCGCAGAACACAACACGATTATGTCGAAGAGGCTTTCCGGAAAATCAGCAAAGGTCATCGTAAGTTGCCTCCAGGTGGATTTCTTGTCTTCTTGACGGGGCAAAACGAGATTACTCAACTCAGCAAAAGACTGAAAGAAGCATTTCGGATTGGTCAATCTGCTGCAGGCCCCCAAGTAAGGATATCCGGGAAGGATGCTCCTATGGAAGCAGAAGACATCGATTTTGGAGATGCTGGCCACAACAACGATCATGACGACTTTGCCGATGAGGATGAGGATGACATAGACATCAATCTCGACGATGAAGAGTTTGATGTTGGGGAAGAGCCAGAAACCGGACCATCGAAGATGCACATCTTGCCTCTATACTCCCTCTTGCCTACGAGAGAACAATTAAGAGTGTTCGAGCCTCCTCCTGACGGATCACGTCTTGTCATCTTGGCCACCAACGTGGCTGAAACCAGTCTTACAATACCCGGCATTCGTTATGTCTTTGATTGCGGGAGATCAAAGGAGCGTAAGTACGATCGTATGACTGGTGTCCAGAGCTTCGAAGTTGGCTGGATTAGTAAAGCTAGTGCTAGTCAGCGTGCTGGTCGTGCCGGTCGTACTGGACCTGGTCACTGTTATCGATTCTACTCTTCGGCCGTTTACGAACGAGACTTTGAAGAATTTGCAGAGCCTGAATTACTGCGAATGCCGATCGAGGGCGTTGTGCTACAATTAAAGGCTATGAACCTGCAACACATCATCAATTTTCCATTTCCTACCCCGCCTGATAGACAAAGTCTAGCGAGCTCGGAGAAGCTTCTCACGTATTTGTCTGCCATTTCGCCCTCAGGGCAAATAACGCAGACAGGCGCTACGATGTCGATCTTCCCCTTATCACCTAGATTCGCACGAATATTACTGGTGGGTCATCTTCATGATTGTCTGCCGTATACAATAGCTCTTGTTGCAGGTCTATCAGCTGCCGATGTTTTTATTGCCGAAAACCAAATCCTACCTGCTCAAGCACCAAGAGAAGACGATGCAACTTTCTCCGTAGCGGACCGCATTGAAGAAGACGCTCGTGCCAAGATCAGGCGTCAATTCAACAAGGTGCAGAAAGATTTCTGCTTTCTTGACGACAAATCGGATGCTATCAAACTTCTTCAGGTCGTTGGAGAGTTTGCTCATGAGCCTACTGAGACTTGGTGTCAATCACATTATGTGCGTTACAAAGTCTTGAAAGAAATATCACAACTTCGGAGACAGATTACCGAACTTCTCCGCACAAATATTCCAGCATTCGCGGGGCTGAAATTTCAAGAAAAGCTTCCACCGCCAACAGCAAAACAGACGAAGGCTTTGAAACAGATGGTAACGGCTGGATTTATAGACCACGTTGCGATTCGCGCCGACCTGTCACCAAACCCTCCTGAAGTTAGGCGAAAGCCAACAAGAGCAATTGACGTGCCATACCTCACATTGTTTCCTTCGCATCTCAAGAAAGATGACGAAGAGAAGGCGGTGTATATACATCCATCCTCACCATTAGCACACATCAGTCTCCAAGAGTGTCCTGAGTACATTGTCTACTCGTACCTTCAACGACCCGCACCCTCACCTACGACCCCGGAAAAGATTCCCAAGACACGAATGCATGCTCTGACAGATATCACTGGCGGTCAGCTGGCCGCCCTCGCGAAAGGAACACCGCTTTTGCACTATGGAAAACCAATCAAGGAAGTCATGCCCAAAATGAAGCATGAAGGAGATGCCAATATAAGAGAATGTTGGGTAATCCCCTACTTGAGGGCAGAAGGAATTGGTGGCGTTGGATGGCCATTGCCAGCAAGAAAAGTTACCCAACGAAAGATACCCGGGAAAGGATGGATTGTTGAATGAATGAACGAAAAAAAACAATACACTCTGAATTAAATCTACGACCTCGCTTCCCCTATTCTATCCGGTCTCTACCATGTCCCGCCGCCGCGAGGTGATTGGTGCAAGAGGCGGATCTCCGAAATGGGCCCGTGACTATGACGCCCCACGTCGGCTGTACTACCCAATATCAAGATTTGCATTCAGACCCCTCCTTGACAGCTCAAGGATGGGATGCATGAAAGTTTTCTCTGCTGCATTTTATTTTTTCTTTTGCCTTTGAGTCCCTATTTCCTATAACGAGTTCCTATATAGAATTACAGTCTCCACCATGACTTTGTTTCCCGGCGTCGCCCTCGTGACTGGTGCTGCTTCAGGTACTCCTCTCACACCGTTCTTCTAATGATAAAGACTCACATCACACGAAGGCATCGGCCGTGCGACGGCTGTCTCATTTGCACTTGAAGGCTGTTACCAAGTCGCCATTTGCGATCGCAATCTTGAAGGCCTTGTCGAGACCGAGAAATATATGCGCGAGGTGTCGGCAACCTGCGATATCTTAGTACATCAAGTTGATATGCTGCTGGATGATCAGATTGAAGGGATGGTACAAGCAGCTGTATCGAAATGGGGCAGGGTCGACTATGCTGTCAATGCTGCAGGTCGGTGCCTCATTTTTCTGCTCTTATGTGTTTCCGATAGTCTGTGTCTGAGTCCTTTCTGTTATTGATGACTATAGGCGTCATTGGCAACAACGACAGATCCACAGACACAACTTCCCAGCAATTCGATCTCATCAACGGGATCAATTATCGTGGGTGCTGGCTGTCGTCAAGAGCAGAGCTAGCCCAAATGCTCAAACAAGAACCACTTCCGACTCACGATGGACGGCCTGGGAGTAAAGGCAGTATTGTGAATATTGCCAGCCAGCTTGGAGTTGTGAGCCGTCCGAATGCACGTGAGTTGCTCTGATGAACAGAGAGTGAGGAGAGTGGCTGATATAAAGTAGCGGCATATTGTGCTTCAAAAGCAGCTGTGATTTCGATGACGAAGAGTGATGCTATTGATGTGAATATACAACGATTCTAGCCACAAAATAGAAGCTGACGAGAATTAGTACTCGAAAGACAATATCAGAATCAACTGCGTTTGTCCTGGTGTCATTGCGTGAGAATCATCTTTCCACAAATTGGATACGATACTGACTTTGATAGAACACCAATGACTCAAGGCGATCCAGAGTTCAGAGCAGCGTTGGCTCCTGCGATAGCCATTGCACCCATGGATAGAATGGGAACAGCGCAGGAGATAGCAGATGCGTGTCTATTTTTGTGTAGTAGTAAAGCGTCTTTTGTTCAGGGGCATGCTATGGTGAGTTTTCTCTCCTTTACAGTCGCATTACCGTGCTGATGTGTATCTGGAGGTCGTGGATGGAGGGTACGTGATTAGCTGAACTCTGATGCGATCTGGTAAAACTCAAATCCGCGTGTACCTCAATTGAACCACGCACTACTTCATACACAAAATGGAAATAGCAACTATGCTGTGTGAAGACTAGGACGCTAAGACGCGTCAAAGTTTTGACACGAAATAGATTGGTCTTTACATCCACTCAGACCCCCACGCCCAACCCTTCATGCCAACTCGGCTATCCTTGACAACCAAATACGGGCCGAAACGGGATCAACTATCTCAATGATCGGCATCAGCCTCAGATCCTTTTCCACCGCAAATAAATTAGCATTGCCGATCTCCTGTCTTGGCACTTCCCAAGTGGGAAAAATCGATGCTATTCTCGACGGATTGAGATATGCTTAAGCTTTGGTTGCATGGAGCTACTGTAAAAGCTTCGCGGTACTGGGTAAGGATCTCCTAGTACTTGATTCTTAAGCTTCAACTTTCCCTGCTTTTAATTTTCACCGCCCTCAATTTTTATCCTCTTCACAAAGTTGTATTGTACATTCATCCCCTCCAGCACAATGCTCACCCAACCCCTCCTCTCCTACCTCCCCCTAACCCTCATATCCCTCATCCTCCCAACAACCGCAGCATACCCCCCCTTCGGACCCTACAACATCACCAACTTCACCACGACCACCACCTCCAACCACACCATCCCAGGCCAGTGCACCTACACATTCAACATAACCTTCGCACCCGCTCCCTCCTACCCACCCGCCTACGAGAGCGACACCGAGCCCGCGTTCGGGCCTACGACTTGTGCAGGGAGCGATCAGAGTGGGTTTATGGCGTGTGCGGATGAGACGGTTAGTGCGAATTTGACGGATGTCGGGGGTGGGAGGGGGAATTTGACGTTGATGCATGGTTTGTTTTGTACTTCTTGGGTTTTGGGAGGGGAAAGGAGAGGAGAGGAGGGGGAGAGGAGAATGTGTGCTAATGAATGGCAGTTTGGCTTGTGCCTGAGGGTCCAGAGACGAGGGCTGCGGAGTATACTGTTATGGGGACGGGGAGTGTGGAGCTTTGTCCTGGGGAACAGCCAGAGGAGTTTCAGATTTTTGCGGATCAGGAACAGGTTGAGGCTTGAAGAGGTTGGTGGGGTGGGGTGTTGTGGACCTAGGTGAGCTTTACGTTGCTTGGTAGGTTTAGAGGATTCATTGCAATGAGAAAGCTTTGCTAATAAATTTGGGTTTTTTAAGGTTTAGGTTGGTATCGGTGAAGCGTCTTGATTTTAGTGGAGAGATTGTCTTAATGTGGTCACACCTGCTTTGTATGCATCCTCTTCTAACATTCGAGCATCGCGAACTTGGCAAAACACAGAAGGCCACCTTTTGTTTCATTTAAATTCTTGCTAGTTTGTTAAGTTACAAAATGTTGGTATCTTCATTTCCTTTTTTTTAGGTTCAGAATCCATGTGGTCACCTCCCCTACGCTGGTTGTACAGCTTCGAGGACCCAGAACATTTTCCTACCGACCTTCCTCTATGTTAGCGAGCTTCTTATCCCAACCCATCTATTCTCACGACTTTAATAATTTCCTTCCCAAAGCCCGTAACTCTGCATTGCCCACGGTCTCACTTCCATGTCTATCCAAAGCACAGTTAACCATAGCAGCAGCCAACTCATCAACCCTAATCGCGTTCCTACTCAAACCTACGACGACATCAGGAACCTTACTCTTCTTCGGCACCACATAAGCTGCTTTGACAGCCACCGCTTCGAAAATATCCGGATTCTGTTCCGCGAGGTTGAAGAGCCTATTTTCAGCCAATCCCTGTACGACCATCAGTTCTCTTCTCATCAACTTAGACACACCTTTGCAAAGCAAAGAACAACTAACCCTCGCCATCCTCCCCTGCTCCAAAAACCAAAGCCGTCTCCCCTGATCCCTCTCCGAGAACGTCCCACTCACAAACAAAAACCTCAACTGCGCGCCACCACCCTCCTTACTCTCTCCTCCCGCTTTCCTCAACGAAATCAACACATTCGCCAACGCCAACGGATACTGCACCTCCACCTCATCCACCATCTCCCCCGGCGTCGGCTTCGCATTCGATCCTCCGAGCGCCCTATCATCATCATCATCATCATCATCAGCCTCTCTCTCTCTCTCTCTCTCTCTCTCTCTCTCCTCTCCCCCTTCTCCGTCCCATCAGCACACTCACCAAAAAACCGCCCTCGCCCCCTCCAACTCCCCCCTCACCTCCTCCTCGAACTCCAAAAAGCTCTTCAGAACAAAAACCCGGATCCGTGGATCACGGGCCGCGATATCCGCCAACGGCCGCCGCGACAGGATGATGATGGAGGTTATGGATGTGCTGGAGAGGAGGTGAGAGAGGAGTTCGGTGCCGATGAAGCCGCTGGCGCCGGCTAGGATTACTTTCACGACGAAGGCGGTTAGGGGCGCGAAGAAGAGGTGCGTGAAGCTTGAGGCGGAGGAGGGGGAGAGGGTTTTGGGGAGGGAGCGGGAGGTGGAGGTGGAGGTGGAGGTGTGTTTGCAGGCGTAGGAGCGGGCGGCGGTTAGGCATTTTTCGGGCATGGTGGGTTGAAGTCTTATGACTTGGAGAGACGGAATGTCTAGGTATTTTGACTTTGTTGGATTTTTTGTTATGAGATGTAAGTACTTGAAGCGTGAGGTTAGGTTAGTTGGGGGTGTGTGGCGCTGGCTGGCTGAAGTTTGCAGCCAGACATTCTGGGGACGAAAACTCCTCCATGCTATGTCTTCCCAGATACAGAACTCTTTGTATGCTTTGTCAAGATATTTGTGGTGAAGTTGTGCCATCTTCGACTCGCAATTGCTCAAAGGGGGGCTTGTATCGGCGGGAAGTTGAGCCGACGGTGATGTTGTTGTGCCGGTATCAGTGTCGTGGTGAGACTTTGAGGGTTCGATATATCAACCTTCTCGCGGGTTTTGAACCAATTGATGCTTTGTTGTTGGATCTTTGGGGTGGAATGTAGCTGCTGTTGTTGAAGGGCGGCTTTAGATCTGTCGAGAGTCTCACAGGGCTTCGATGGCTGGGTTTCAGGCTTCGGGTCACTGACCTCAGCGTTCAAAATTCGGCTGCAGAGGCTTAAGAACTCCTTGTATCTATCTGGTTTGTCTCTTCAACTACTCCTCCGCCTTAAAAGCCACATCGAAAAATAACTTCATAGTCTATCTCTATAAATCGATACAAGTCCACCAACTTTCTCAATCGCATTCAGATCTGCGACCAACTCGATTGTATCCACCAAACCCTTCTTAGATCAAAGCGCACATGTATTCGACAGAAGCTATTGGACCAATACCTGTCATTTCGACTTTCCCTCTTCCTCTTCAACATCGGACGATCTACAGTCCCAACTCCATACCTATGCATAAACTCCACGATCTATCTCAATACCCCACACTCCCCTTCCTGGCGCACGAATCACACACTCCCAATTCCGCTGTTGGCGCGGAGCGCCCACAGCGGGGTCTGGCGGCGACCAACAGTCCAGTAAGGTTACGTCAAACACCCGAGCCTAAGCATTTATCCAGATCCATACTGCAACCCACAACGATCATCACTACCGTCACCGTCCTACCCTAAGATCCCGCCGGATGTCTCGTTGGAATAAGAAATTGCCAGGAACAGGTTTGTATTGATTCGGGCCGTGAAGCGGAATTTCTCCTTGGCGGCCCGCTGGAAGAAAGTTTCCGAGTTCGCCGATGCCATTCATTGTTGAGATGCAAGACGAGGGGAGGGGAGGGGAGGGGAGGGGAGGGGTACAGTAGGTACAGTAGGTACAGTAGGTACAGTAGTTCTTTACCCCGCTGTGGAGACGAACGATCGAACCTTTTCTCTTTGTGCCTGAGTCTTGTGAAGTCATGGCCTGCTTGAGGAGGTAAGGATGTGTAGCGATGATGTCGTGGGGAGATGTACCGACATATAAAAACGTCTGTCTCCTCTCAATTTTCTCTTCTGCTTGGTCCAATCCAATCCAATTCAAAATTGGTGTACTGCTCAAGAAAGATGTCGTTCAGAAATCTGGTCGTGGGAGCGGTTATTGCCTCACTGTTCACTTCCAGAGTGCGAGCGGTGGACAATGGACTTGCGATTACCCCGCAGATGGGCTGTAAGTGGTATCTCTATCACGCCAATTGATGGTCATGCTAATATCTTCAGGGGATAATTGGAATGCCCTAGGCTGCGACGTCTCCGAGGACCTCCTGCTGCAAACCGCAGAGCTGATCGTGGACTACGGGCTCCAAGACTTGGGATACCATTACGTCGTCCTCGACGATTGCTGGTCATCCGGACGCAATGCTAGCAACAACAATTCCCTGATTGCCGATGCGTCGAAATTCCCCAATGGGATGGCGGCCGTGGCGGACCGGCTGCATGCTCTTGGGCTGGGTTTTGGCATGTATTCGGATGCGGGGAAGTATACGTGTGGTGGGTATGCGGGGAGTTTGGGGTATGAGACGGTGGATGCGGATACGTTTGCGAGTTGGGGTGTCGATTATTTGAAGTATGATAATTGTTATAATATGGGGCAGGCAGGGAATCAACAGATAAGTGAAGCTAGGTGAGTTGTGATTCCTAGCATTTTCTTATGTGGGTGATGGAGCTAGTAACAACACCACGCTTTCTGCGCGCCTGAGGGGTTGAGAACGCTGCATGAAAGAAGTCACTAACTGATACTTAGATACGCAACAATGGCAAACGCTCTAAATGCTACCGGAAGACCAATCCTATATTCTCTTTGCAATTGGGGCGAAGACTACCCTTGGAACTGGGGATCAACGATTGCCAACTCGTGGCGAATTTCTGGCGACGTTTACGATAACTGGGATACTTATGATTCCAGATGTCCCTGGTAAATTTCGACCAATTTGCACAATAGAGAATTTGGCTAACAGAAATAGCACGGGAGCTGATGCTTGGAACTGCGGTCTTCCAGGCTTCCACTGCTCCATCACAAACATCATGAACAAAGCCTCATTCATCGTATCGAAAGCTCAACCAGGGGCATGGAACGACCTCGACATGCTCGAAGTTGGAAACGGCGCCATGACAGACGCTGAATACGTTGCTCACTTCAGCATGTGTAAGCCTTCCCTTCTTCCTCCTTAACCAATCCCCATGGAAATTAACAACACTCACAGGGGCCATTGCGAAAAGTCCTCTGATAATGGGAAACGACATCCGCACCATCGCCCCCGCCGACCTCGCCATCCTCTCCAACGCCGCAGTCATAGCCGTCAACCAAGATCCGAGCGGAAGCTCCGCTGCTCGCCGCTGGATATACGGCATCAACGGCAGCGATCCCTTCACCGGCCCTTCCATCCAGCTGTGGTCCGGGTCCCTGAAATCCACTACCGGAGGCGCGCAATCCGACATGGTCGTCCTGCTCATCAACGGCGCGGATGAAAGCATGCCCATGAACGCCTCTCTCGCTGATATATTCGTCGACAACGGACCTGGAGGAACGGCGCCCCAGGTCAAAATGAGCTGGGAGGTCCGCGATCTGTGGGCGAATCGGATGAGTGATGAGGAGGCTGCTGCTATTATTGCCGCGAGTTCGGGGACGGGGAATGTGACGACGGGGTATAATGCTACGGAGGTGGGGGCCGGCAGGTATAATGCGACGGCGATGAGTTATGCGGAGGGGTTGGCGGCGAACAGTAGTTTGTTGTTGGGGAATGTGACCACGACGCTGGCGCCGAGTGGGACGGTTACGGCGACTGTTGAGCCGCATGGGGTGGCGATGTTTCGGTTGAGGGCGCTGCCTACAGGGATGATGAGGAAGAGGGATGAGTTGTGAGGGTGTTTGGGGAAGTGTTGAGATGTTAGGTCTGGATTTTAGAAAATAAACTTCTTCTTTCTGGAGTTTCTAGATAGAGTGAGACAATGCTCTCATTTTGGAAAGGCTTGCTTAAGATTCGTTTGATACAAGATCTTGAATCCATGAACTTCTAACCATCCCAGATCTTTTATTGACTAGCGCTTTTGTATTCACGTCAAGTGCAGTGACAGTCTCAATGAACCGTGGAAGTCATGTGGTTTCGCCTTCTTCGCTTTGAGAGAGAGAGACATGAAATGCTGACAATAGGAGCAGACCAGAGAGCCAATGGTACATCACTGACTGATACATAGCCGATTTCCCCACAGCGCAAAACATATTTCGAAGCCAGCAATAACTTGAGTTATCCATTTCACTTACACCCCCAACAATCTCCCACATTTCTTCCCTCTCCAAAAAAAAGCCTACGTACAGCAAACGCTATATTCAATACAAGAACCGTCTACAACTCAGCAAGACGACGTATTGTCAACGACTTCTTCAACTCCGCCTGTCGGCCACTCAATATCTCATCATATCTAGTTAGTCGCCGAAAGTAGCAAAGAGCTACCACCACCTCTCTCCGTCTTCCTCGCCAGTTGAACCGTACTTTCAGGGACCTCACCTCAACCCAATATCAATATCCCTCATACCCAAAAAAAAATATTAAAAAAAAAAAAAAAAAATTAACCTCCCGGTCTCGTAACCGGATGATGCGAATCTGCTCATCGTCCATTTATTTCTCGCTCTTTCCCCCCCCACAAAAACAAAAAAAAACTAGGAGGTTAACCTCCTTCAAGCGATCGCTGAACCATGTTTTTGGAGGATACTGGACCCGTTCTGCAAATCAGCTGTGCGAACGACAAAGTAGAGAGGCAAAATCCTACTGTAGGCGGCGAGACGGCGAAAGATGGACTCTCTCTCTCGATCTAGCCTCAGCGATGTATATCTATCTGTCGTTTGGCAAAGGGGGCACGAAGCAGCGGGTTGTACGCATTGTTCACGTCGTAGTTTGCAGAGAATATAATCGCTGATAGAAACGCAGACACATGGATGGGGAGGGAAATACTTGCAAAGATTTTAGACTCTAGCTAGCTATGTAGCTGCTTGATTCCAAGTTAGGCAGCAGGTGTGGGATAGCGACGACCCATGTTAAAACTTGACTTGTAGAATGTGGCGCCCTAGATGAACGATGGAGAGGAAGCATTGGCGAGAGATAAGTGATGGTTTTTAGTTTTTCTATCACGGATTGGTGTGAGAGAGCTGTTCGTTGCATGCGGTTCGGATATTGTGGGGTGGGGTGGGGTGGGGGGAGGAGGGTTACTGCGCGGAATTCGGAGGCGAAGTGGAGGTGGAGGTGGTGGTGGTGGTGGAGGCGGATGAAGGCGGTTTGGATGTTGAGGGGTGCTTTGGGGATGGTGATGATGAGTCGCTCTGTTGATGGATGGTAAGTGTTTGGATAGGAAGTGAGGGAGTAGGAGGTGGTCTTTAGTAAACGGTGGACCGAGGGTTGTTTGGGAAAGAGGCAGGATATAATGTACAAATTCTAGTTTGGAGTTCTGTCGGGAGTGAGATGAGTCTGTTGTTTGGCGGAGGCGCAATGGCGTGCTGCTAATTGGGATCTTAAATGTGTTGGTGGGGGTTTAGGTACAGATTTATATTGTCAAAACGTTGCAGGACTTTGGGAATTCTAGACTGATTGTGGGACCAGGTGTCTGACAAGGACTTACATGAATATCCCGAATGGGAGGAGGGTTGTTGAAATTGGGATTTCTTTGGGGAATCTTTCGAGGAGGGTCGAGAATTAAGCTTCCTGGATGTCTGTTACATAGCTTTGGGGGGCGGTTGAGACTGTGTTCCTCCTCTGGGAGAAAGTGTCAAGCTCTTATGTGGTGATTGGGATGTGGTTCTTCATCCTGAAGTGCTGGGGCGACGGTGTGTGGCTTTGGAAATTTGTGGATGTGAAGGTGAAGATTGGGGAAAGATGAGAATACCTGGGTTCTTTACCTTGCAATAGCTTCAAATCAGATGTCAATCAGAGGCACCTTATTTCATGATATCTTTCCAATGGTATCTTGTGGTCCAAATACCTACCACTGACACACTATTTCAATCCCAAAACACTAGTTCCTCTTGACAAAAGAAGCACATGTCTACATTACAGAAATTCTGTTTGAGCACTGTACCTAAATTTCATTGGAAACTCCGTCGATGTTTATCAGACAATAAGTTCGAGAAGCTCGGATAGTATTCAATACGGTAGGCAAGGCATCTAGGTATGGGAAACCTGGGCTGGATGGGACGATAACACGTGACTAGTATGGGAATCTGGGCGGTTGTGATTTGGCCTGGTCTCCCCAAAAAAAAATATCCCTAGGTATCGACCTGGACCGTACAAGATACAAGATCGACAGACCTTTTACATATGTAACTATAGCAGAAACGTCCAGAAGAACAATTAAATAGTAGCACTTGCCTGCCACCTATCGCGGTCACTAACCGAGAAGGGGGGGAAGAACACTCGCAACTTCCAACCCGGAGAGTAAATGCAGTTCATAGAGCGATGACGCGACGATGCTCTTCTCTATGAAGAAGGAGCACCACTTAATGGGCGTATAAAACCCCCCTCGGACCCCATTTTCGCACTCGAAGACTTTTGGTATGGAACAACTGTATTCGCATGCAACAACGCAACTTCGGTATTTGTTTCCGCCACGAGAAAGCAAGACTGTACTCAGTTCAAACTCAAACTCACTTGATTTTCGAGATGCGATACATCAGCACCATGTGGCTCAAGGAAGACTGATCACTTAACACCGCTTGGTGTTGGCAACCACTCCAAAGTTGGGAGTGCGGCTCAGCAACACATGTGGAATCTTTCTAGCTGGATTGACGCAGATCTCGCTCCCGTTTCCCATCATGGAGGATCTTCATGTCCTTGAAGTCTCCAGCCATGACGCTTTGTCCCGAGGGAATGGGACGCTCGGAGGGGACTAGCTGCTTCTCGCTTAGTCTCTTTGACAGCTTGACACTTAAATTGACTTAATATTTCCTCCTTCCGGTAATCCGGTCGCACTTTAGTTGCAAACATTTCTCAAGTGATTTGAATTACAGAGGTGCTTTTGCTCTAGAACTTGAAATATGATTCTTCAGACGTTCAGGGATCCTAGCCACTCGTATTCACGTGTATTAATATAATTTGAACAAAGTCCATCCTTCGATGAAATATTAGGTTTTCAAGTACTCCGTATCAAAATCATAATTACATATGTCAAATACGTCAAAAAAATAACGGCTCGCTCGGTAAAAATGCCTGCCCCACACTTCAAAGGTTCGGTACATTGGTACATTGATACTTGTTTGAGCCTCCTGACCGCCGCTTTAACCATCACAAGATACTCGGCTAAGCTCCACCACGATTCAACGCCGCAGAGCAACAGCTGCAAGCTCAAGCTTTTAGATTCCTTCAGCAATTCTGTGCGAAGTCGCACCTCTGCAAACCCGCCCTCGATCGCGTTACCCGCTCCCACTGAGTAGGGATTTGAATCCTGTCGGGGTACCTTCGCAGCGCACTACTGTACGGTCAGTCCCGGCCGACACTGGTGATAAGTGCAAAGTCCCGATAGATGAGGCTTTGTGGCAGGTTATGGCGAATACATCCGCTGTACCATCTCGAAGTCATCGTGTCCATTTATCCCATTTGTCTGTGAGTGTGGTCGCAGATGCGGTCGCAGGCCAGAATTCGTCGAGATCATTCATCAACTCTGGTGGTTGTGCCACACTTTCTGTAGGCTGCAGCGGGAAACAGGTCAGCAAGCAAATTGCTGTTCATGCTCAGCAAGACTTTTGACGTCTTGTTCAAATGTAAATGATCGTCAAAAATGGGGCGAGGATCTACCAATGTTACCGGAAATTTGGAGTCTTTTAAGGTGCTGATTGAGGCTTCTTGGCCGTACGTATGGGCAGAAAGGAACCGCCTCGTCGAATTAAGGCTCCGGTAAATGGACAATAAATGATCTTGAAGCAGCTCTTTTTACTTTATGGCCTCTTCTATGATACTTTCCCGCTTACTTTTTCTGTTGGCGAAGTGCGCGTGTGTTCAATCCTTCCCTCAGACGCGCAGCTTTAAAATCTCACTGGCCCCATAATACGAGCTACACGACAACAGCATGGGTCCGTCAGCACGGAACGGATACTAGAAGACGTCGTAACTGGTGACAAGATCTCGGCAGGCGGCCGCGATGCGCAGTAAACAAAATTTCAGAGCAGACTTGCTCTCAGGATGAAGACCGCCGCACACATCTTCTAATGCCAAGACTCGGCTTCGGCTGAACTGTCATTTTCTCATCAATGCCCTCACGAAGACGGCCGTTGTGGCATCACCTAATAGGCCCGTTGCTTGATTGGGCAAAGTTGCGATCTGCTTGTTTTGATTGGCGTTAGGTACGACTCCCCTGTCCTTTGGGTGATGTCGCCGCCGTAAACTTACATAAGGACTAGGGCACTGTGTTATATCCTTTAGAATGCAATCTGAAAGATGCGATGTATCAGCACTGATGCATTCGGCAGGTATTCACGCAGATATGCCCGACAGAATCATGCCTCCGTTCTCTTTTGTCTGATCGAGTACTTGCGTTCGAGAGCTTCATTATACTATTATTTTATATAATGTCTAAACCAATTTTTGTTTGCGTTCCCGGAGCCTCACATTCCCCTCTTATCTGGGAGCCCCTAAAAGTGGCTCTGTCATTCCACGGCTACACCGCAGTTCCTCTTGCTTTGCCATCCGTTGGAGGAAATCCACCAACGTACGATTTCGGTGAGGATGTGCAAGCTATCAAGAACCTCGTTATAGAGATATCGGATTCTGGGTCCGATGTGATTTTGGTGTTGCATGCTTATGCCGGTTTACCAGGAGGAGAGGCTCTTCAAGGCCTAAGCAAATCCGAAAGACAACAAAAGGGGCTCAGAGGTGGTGTTATACGGCTTGTTTTCATAATGTCCTGTAAGTCAACTATAGTAGTCCTTTTCCTAGCTACTAGCTAGAGCAGAACAGGAGTTGGGCTAGTCAAAGATCTTGAAGGACCAAAGCTGGAGCCAAGACTTGTCTAGAGACTAACAGCAATACCAGATATGGCAATAGAAGGCTTTCAAGGAGGCTCTCGTGGAGATACCTCTGCTTTTATGCCCTACATGCGCATCAACCTCCAAGTACGTCGGGCTTTCTTGTTATGTGTCTGATTATGGTCTTCTCCCTTGAGAAAGGCATGGCAATGCAACAGCATAACCACTGCCAGTCTTTAAAAGGATGTGGAAAGCTATTCCAGCATGAGCAGACTTTCCAGCAAATTAACAGCATTGTTAGGCCGGAATATCGACAATAAACCCACAAGAAGCTGTCTCTGTCCTCTATAATGACATGCCAAAAGCGGAAGCAGAATACTGGGCTTCGCAACTACAACCTCAGAGCATAGGAGTCTTCTGGAGCAAAACGACTTATGCCGCCTGGCGGTATATTCCTTCAACGTACGTCTTGTGTGGCAAAGATCAGACCATCACTCTTCCTTACGCCGAAATGATTCTCAAGGCCGCACAAGACTCCAAGCCGAACGCGATTGATACGGTAGAGAAGTGCGAAGAAGCTGGCCACAGTGTCATGCTGAGTCAACCAGAATGGACAGCGAATATGCTGAGAAGAGCAGCAGGGGAGAGAATACGATGATAATGGAATAAACACAACCAACGATTCTGACCCACAAACCTCCCTGGCCTCACGATATGTGTCCTCTGCATGCTAATATATGATTTTGATAAGCAGACCTTCGAAGGTGGATTCTGGAACGTCGAATGGCCGTGCATTTGGGCTGAAGTCAGCGTGGCAACGATTACTGTGCAGCATATATGCATTCTTCGTATTCCCCTTTTTCGAAACCACGGCTACGCAAATCCATCCGATCCGAAAGGCCTATGAGATGTTGCTGCCGGGAAGGCTCAAGAAAAAATACGGGCTCCCATTCGCATCGCATCGCAAAAAGCCAAGAGCGGGTTGAAAGGCTCTCTTGCGGGCCGCACGTGAGGCCCCTTTGCGCTTTGCGGTTTCATGTTGCGAAGACGAGGCTGGTGGCCATGATTGGATTACCATCGAAGCGAAACAAAGTTTCGAGCATCATGAATGGCGGGAATGTCAGTCTTCAAGCTTTTTGCACAGACGCGACAAGGCTAAGCTCCATTCAATACCCACTCTGGATGACGGAACATCGAATCTCGCAGGACAAACTGTGTTGCGAAGGAGATGCCTTGGAAGATCCTTCTGCAGGGACGAGTGTCTGTGGTCAAGATGAGAACATAAGAGTTCAAGAAAGAATAAAAAGGGGCCTCGACTCCCATCAAAGTATCTCATCACAATCATCAGCTTCTTCTTCTTCTCATTCCAATTCTTCAGCCAATTCTTTCTATTCTTCATTATTGTCCGGTACAATACCACTTTTTAACAAACCAAATACCAAATACCAAATATTCGCAATGGCCATCACAGAGAGACTCATCCTCCCGGTCACCGGCGGTGTTGACGCCTGGAAAGAGCCCCTCAAGTTTATGCTCCAAACCCTCAAGAAGCAAGATGGTTACATCCGCACACGATGGGGTCCCCACAGCGAGGATGAGAGCAAGCTCGAGCTCTTGATCGGTAAACCATCCTCTTTCATCCCCCCTTTTGCGCAAGCGAGTTGACATCCTCCAGGTTGGGAATCCACCGACGCTCAAAAGACTTTCCAAGCTTCTCCAGCTTTCGAGTCCTCCATGTCCCAATTGAAGACCGTCCTCTCTGGAAAGCCAACTGTGTACTTCATGCAATTGGTTCCTTATGCACCAAAAGCAGTCATGTCAGTAACCCTTTTATCTGTCCCCCCTTTTCTTCATCGACTCCTCTTAAGCGACGAACCCTGCTAACCAACTATCTACCATACAGTGACGCATCCATCGTCCAAATGGTGACCGTCAGCCCTGCCAACATCTCCGTCGAGGAATTCCGCTCCCAGATCGAACAATACAAGACCATCCCCGGCTGCACCGGCGTCGCATCCGGCGAGGCCCTGAGCGAGGTTGACGGCAAAGGCAAGCCATTCGTTGGAGCCATCGGATGGGAGACTCTCGAGGCCAGCCAGAAGGGAGGACATGCTGTTAACATCAAGGCTGGAGATTTGGAGGAGCACCATGTTAACTTCAGATATCCTATCAAGGGTTTCGGTGGTCTGTAAATGGATGTAACAGACGATTCCAAGGGCTGGTAAGGAGATAGAGGGAAGGAGGAATGGTCACTGGTTGGCCGGGTGTTGAGGATGAGGGTGGAGATGGGATGTGATGATGCAGTCGGTCTTTAAGCTAGCATAGATAGATTTCAAAAGCTCATTCTTTCCTTCCCGCTCTTTTACTCTGTGAGCTTAGAATTGAAACGTAGTCTTTCTCGAGATGCGGGAGTTGACTAGATAAAGAAAGGCAAACAACATATACTATTCGAAAATACTCTCTTCCTCTCTCTGCAGCACTGCAGTTCGAATACAGGAAACATTGCAAGTCAGCAAGTCATCAATTCAATTCTTACAAACACAAAGCCACACCTTTATCCAAACAAGCGCCAAACCCGAACCCGACCAAATCCCAATCCTCAACTCCTCTCTCAAACAAACCAACCCCCCTTTTCCACCCTCGTTTAACAACCTCTCTCCATCTTGGTCTCGCATTCGCACCCGAACCACCCAATCCGCACCTCCCATCCCCCCTCAAAGCGGCTTCGCCCCGACCCTCCTCCATCCAGCAAGCCGAAAGAAACCCCGTCCGTCTTTCGTCCGGCATCCGGCATCCACGAGCCATCCAATCCCTCACACGGCACGCCCAAGCCACCCTACTGCACTGCACTGCACTGCAACGCAACCCTCCTTCGCTCTCCCTCCCTCCCAACCACTCATTCAGAGGTCGGGAAATTAAGATGCTTATTATTTCCCCCCCCTCCGATCCGCAAACGCAAACGCCTACTGCTGCAGTACAGTACCCTATCTCCTGACTTGGCCGACGACGACGACGACGTACGCGCATAGGTAGGTAGGTATATAGGTGTATCGTCCCAAGGAAAAGAACCTTAACACTCCTACCTGGCCGGCCGTAACTAACCTGCTGTGCCGCTCTTACACTTTGCCTTCCCCCGTCGTCCCTCCCTCCACTTTTTTCGCAATTTTTCTAGAACGATGCAGAGATGATCGCAGTACCCCAAGTAAATGAATAAATGGGGGAGGTTGGGGAGGAAGTAAGGAAAAAGACTCACATACCGCGTTTCGCGCACAAGAAGCGATGAGAGTGGTCCGCTCGTATCTTCCCGATTTTTTTCGACGACGGGTGAGCATTGAGCATTTACCATATACAGACACGCATGTACGCACGCGAAACGGGTGCGCTGGAAGTAGTGGATTGGAAAGTGTTTATTTTGTAATGCGAGAGGAAGCTATCCTATCCTACCCTGCCAGCCTACGCCATGATGAGAAAGGAAACTATAATGCCATGTTGAGAAGAGGAGAAAGCTAATTTGCACAATGGGTAATACCCGTTTTTTCCCTCCCTTTGTCTTCTAAGAAACGAGCCCACACAAACATCTGTCTATTCATCATCAACCAAGCGTCCTGCATCCCAAGCTTTCTTCGCCGCTTTCGTCAGGGCGTCCAGATCCCCGCTCATCTCGCACATGCCCTTGAACACTGCATCCTTCCCATCTTTCTTTAATAACTCGTGCGGATGTCCGTATTCCACTACTTGTCCCTTGTCGAGGACCAGGACTTTGTCGTAATCGACGATTGTTTGCAGACGATGCGCAATGGTGATGATTGTGCTCTTGAGCTCGCGGATCGTTTCTTGGATCTTGGAGTCGGTGTTGTAATCGATTGATGCGGTCGCTTCGTCCATCATTAGGACTTTGGGTTGCTTGAGCATGGCTCGTGCTAAGCAGAGGAGTTGGCGTTGGCCTTGAGAGAGGTTGTTGCCTGACTCTGTGACTGTGGAGTTTAGGTTGAGGAATATATTCTTGTTAGTTATGGTTGGAGTAGATGTCCCTGTTGGGGTATCAGGTACGACAATCGCAGGAGTGACTGGCCGAGACGCATTTAGAGGTGTTGATGGATTTGTAGTCGACGTCGCGGCGCCGATAAGTTGAACTCTTCTCAGGGCTGTGAAGATATCCTCATCGGTGAACAGGTGGAACGGATCGAGATTGCTTCGAATCGTACCCGTGAAAAGTGTGGGATCTTGAGGCACAATGGTGATCGATTCTCGAAGATCCTGGAGTCCGATGAGACCAATGTCAACATCATCAACCAAGATCTTTCCTCCTTCCGCCTCCAAACCACGGAACAATGCGAGAGCCAGAGAGCTCTTGCCAGCACCGGTTCGTCCTACGATACCCACCTTTTCTAGTGGGCTGATCTTGAAGCTGACATCTCTCAAGACAGGCTCGAGATCTGGTCTATATCTTGTCGTGTAGTTGATGAACTCAACAGATCCTTGACTTGGCCAGTTTGCAGCTGGTCGAGTGTCCTCAATGACGGCAGGAGCTTCTTGCTCGACGTCAAGATACTCCTTAATACGCTCGACCGAGTTCATATTCTGTTCGTTCATCGCGTAGAGTCGAACAAGCCACAAGACGTTTTCCGTGAAACTGATGGCATAACTCAACGATAAACCTGCTGCACCAGCATCAATTTTGCCGATGCTTAAGACTACAAAAGCGCCAGCGAAGAAGGCTACAAGGTCTCCAATAACGTCGATTCTGAAAGCAAGCCACCTATTAGCTGCCCACAGATAGATGAACGGTCTGCTGTGCGTATTGATCCTCAGCATATTGTCTCGGATGAAGCGTCTTTCCTCTCCATACGCACGAATAGTTGTGATACCGTTGAGTGTCTCTCCAAACTGTTGGAACAATGGACTTCTCTGAACAGACTCGAGTCTCTTCAAATCTCTCGAGGCACGGAGGTAGAATTTGCCCACGAAGAAGTACATAGCACTGATAAAAGTAGCAGCAATCAAGAAGCCTGGTGTGATGGCAGCGATCAATGCTACAGTGACGACGATGGACAATGCGCAAGACATAACTCCGATGGCGATGGGAGCGACTTCTTGATCAACAGCTTCGAGGTCTTTGCTGAAGCGGTTCATGAGCTGGCCAAGAGGAGTGACATCGAAAAAGTTGAATTTCGCCCGGGTAACGGATTCCATTAGACGCTGGTGGATTCTCCAGCTTGCAGTCAAGGAACCGAAGAAGAGCCATAGATCTCGGAAAAGCGCAACAAGCATACATGCCATACCGATTAAAGCATACACGGTCAGATAATATCCAACATCCACGTTCGGAGCAAATTTCGCCAGGAGAGACGTTTTGTTCGGGTCGAAGTATGGTTGGATTTGAGATAACCTCGAACTTGTCACCTGGATTGTCGAGATAGTGTTGCCAATGAAGGAAGTGGAAGAAAAGCTGTAGTGGGAGGTCGTTGCTTCTGTCTGATATTGATTTGCCCATTCTCGTATCCAGATGTTAGCAGCAAGACTGCCAAATTGTTGAACACCGAAAACTAGGACAGCCAGAACCCAGAACCACCTGTTATTTCAGTCAGAAATAAATCCAGTGTTTCAACGACAATCTACATACCATGGTCCCATAGACTTCAAGTAGAGAATGATCACCTTCCATTTGACACCACCTTCAGCTTTTGTTTCCTCCATGGCATCCGTCTTCTTGACTTTATCTTTGTCGACGCTCTTAACCTTGGAAAGTCTTCTCTCGGCTCTTTCAGCCATGGACATACGTCTCTGAGCTGGTGTCTCGCCGGGCTCCTCACCAACGAGGGTATCTCCACTTTCATCGCCAACACTAGAAGGCACGCGAGAAGGCATTCTTGACACTTCCGCAGAGCCAGGTCGAGATTTGTTGACATCATCACCTAGCTTACCAGAGGCTATGACCATGTCAGAAGAGCCTTGTATCTCTATCTTGCCGTTATCCAAGAGGACAATATATCGTGATTGTGGTACGCAGAGCGCTAGATTGTGGGTTACCAGAATACATGTCCGACCATGCATCAACGGACCACGAATGCAGTTATCGAAGATCCATTTCGCAGTATGCGAGTCTACTGCACTCAAGCAGTCGTCCAATAGTACGTGCCTTGAATTCGAGTAGAGTGCTCTGGCAAGGGAGATACGTTGCTTTTGGCCTCCTGAAAGGGTGATGCCTTTCTCTCCCACCAAGGTCTGGTCTCCGTTGTCGAGAATTTCTAGATCGCGTTCAAGAGCACAAGCTACAATGACGTCTTTGTATCTCTGCTCATCTAGTGGTGCTGCGAACAAAATGTTCTCCTTAATGTTGGCATTCACCAGCCAGGCTTGCTGTGCACAGTAGGCCACGCTTTCAGTAAGCCCAGTTTCGGGATCAGGTCGGACATCCTCGCGGCTATACCCTCCTGGAAGGAAGACTTTCCCATTGACGAGGGTCATTTCACCAAGGAGGGCCATCAGAAGAGAAGTCTTCCCAGATCCTGTCGGTCCCGCAATGATATTCAAATACCCAATTTCGAATTTGATATCCATACCCATGAGGCGGAAAGTAGAAGAGACTTCGTCTGCAGGTGCTTCCTTGCCACCCCACGAGAAAGTGGCATCCTTGAATCCAATCATTTGGTTCCCTTCCTCGTCAAGGTTGTCGTGTCGCAATTGTTCATACTTCTCTGTCTCATCTTCATTCAAGAATTCTTCCACTCGGTCTACTGACACCTTCGATTCCTGGACATGAGCAATCATATCACCCAGTTGATCCAGAGGAACTCGGAGGATAGTAAAAAGCGAGATAGCTGTGAACGCGACTGAAGGATATAAAGGCTTCTTCTCCACAAGAGTATAGACAAGGAAAGAGAAGAATGTAATGACGACTGGCACTGTGTTCCAGACAGCGACAGCACATGCCCAGATGATATATTTACCACGAAGTGCCTTCAACTCTCCGGCTCGCGTCTCGTTGACGATACCACTGAAACGATGTTCCCAAGCAAAAAATTTAATAATGCGAATATTCTGGAGTATTTCGTTTGTCGTATGAATACGTTTATCTGTAGCAGCCATGATCTTCTTTTGGGCGCTGCCGAAAGCTCGTGCAAAGCCGATGTTGACAGGCAAGAGAATCGCCATCACAACGAGTCCTGGAATACTGCTGTAACCCAAGATACTGTAGAGAAGGTAGACCGCTACGACGAGTTGTGTGGGCGCGGCCGCGAGCAAGAAATGGAGGTATGCGGTGACCTCGCTGACCTTGAACGAATCGACAGACATTAGGTTAATGATCGTGCCAGTGTTAACTTGCTCATCACCACCCTTTGATGTAGAATCCGCGGCTCCTTCGGCATTCGTATCATTCTGGTCAACTTTCTTGCTGTCGTCTTTTTTCTTTCCTCCCAAGCCTAGCATTTTCTTCCATTTGCTCGGTTTCGCTGCGTCTGCCTTGTCCTTCTTGTCACCAAGTATAGTATCACCACCAGCTGCAGCTTTTCTTCGTAATGCCTTGGCATAGATTTCCCCAATGATGATTGCTCGCAGTCTAATGCAAATCTTTCGACCTATCCATAGAGCTTGCCCATCTGCTAGCGACCGAAGGACATCCGTAAATGACAATAGGATAACATAAAGCCAAATGACGTTCCGTGGACTCGTTTCAGGATCCTCGATGTACTCGAGAATAGCCTTCAACAGTAAAGTTGGAGCAAACGTAAAGAATCCAGAAAATACAGCGTATGCGCATTGAAGTACGAGCATGCCTTTGAAATAGCGTAACAGGTGCCATGTCAACGCAGTGGTCTTTCTCAGCTGTCTATAGTCTGCCAGAATTGTAGCGGCCTTGTCTTTGGGTACCAAATTCCAAACTTCCGAAATTTCGAACGCTTTTTTGTATCCTTGCCAAACAATAGCATCGACCCATCCGAATGTTGCAAGAGAGAAGAGACTAGCAAGAGGTTCTTTGGAAGGCTCAATATCGTTCTCCCATTCCAACACCACAGCCTTGTTTCCTTTCCGTGTAGTCATGGCAATTCCGAAAAGGAGTGAGGTCAGAGCAAATTCGGAAATGATAAGAGCTTGTGCGGTTCTGGATCTTGGGTGGATAATGGCAGACCGAAATACAACGATTGAGAAAAGCCACATAAGGGCATATAGTGATGCTGTGTGATTCCATACTCGCGGTATCCTCCAGCTCGTCTTGGATAATGTGAGTCTCGATGTCGTTAGTAATAAGATGTAGGTCCAGGTAATAATGCCCGCCACTGTTGCGAATGTGCCATTGGGACCATATGCGCGAAGCACCAACGCTGCCACATTGATTGCATCAACCCCAATGACCGCCAGAAGCTCAACCACCAGAATTGTATACTGTGCCCGTGGGGCATCAATCGCTGCCACCGAACCCTTCGTTGTCGTCTTCGTCAAGGTCAATCGCCCCCCACCTATGATCAAGCCTTCATCGTCCTCCTCACCAGCAGTCAGAGAACCGTCAATCTCGTCAGACAAACCCTGGTAGGCGACACCATTATAAGTCGAAGCATCGTGAATATCCGATCCATTCGAAATCGATTTATGTTTTGGACTTCGTTTTAACCTGACATTCCTCGAGATGGCTTGTGATAAGAGGAGTAGAAATGAAGCGCTGACGACGATTAAGGGAAAAAGAACTTTTAGGAAACTATTGTCGTTAGCATCCCTAAATCCGCGAGGCAGATAGGATGTCTTACTCTCTCTGCACGCAATTCGTTATATCATCGACCCGCCATATTGGCCCTGGACAATTGCCCAACATCGTCCCGCACTTTGGGGAACCAGGGAATATGCGATGTTGTTGGAGAAGGAGAAGCTGCAGCAGCGGAGTTTGAAGCTGCGACGTCTGGCCTCGCGCAGTCCCGGGATGGAGATCAAACGAAAGAATATCAACGACAGGAAAATTCTTAAGGTATGATGTGTATTTTCTCCTCTAGCAACCATAAGATAAAGTATGGCAACTCGCAAGCTCGCTCCATTAGTCTAGCTCTGGTGTGCTAGACAGGGTCGTTACTGCGTTACTGCATGGCTGATCGTTGAAGCAGCAATGGCAGAATAAATGGCGTCCCACTATCAACCCCACCACCAAGCTTCATCAGATTTATTTGTTACTCATCCTCCCACCCACACCTACGGAGTAACAATGCAGTTATTACTGCATGGGAAAAGCCACGTGCCTGTGCAAGGCAAGTGGGCCCTCAAGACCCTGACTCCTGTACGTGTTGATATATCATTCATGATGTACAGAACCTATTTGTATCGGATTCGTCATAGGATGGACAGAGGGAAAGCGTGAGTGATGATGGAAAACAGGAACAGGAAGTTGGGATGGAAGGCAAGAGCTATCCTTTCCTTTCCCATCTTATCTATGCTATCTGCAAGCAATTCTCATCTCTCAACTCAAACATATTGTCCCCCGCCGCTTGGAACATTACAGACTTTTACAAACCCAGCATCCGTATCTGCACTGTCGACTGCGGAGTCATCACTGAATCTTTATCATTTTCCCTCGCACACCGCTCTCAATTGCATCCTGCATGATTGCTCCAATTGTTGAGGGTGATTGGATGAGCGCAAGGAAGAAGTCCCGAGCTCAACACAAGAATTGACATGGTTGAGGCCACAAGCGAAAAACCTAAGGTTAACGGTCGACATGCAGATGGAACAGACGCAGACCGGAAGAGTCATCCTCGGATTCTGAATCCAGACCACGACCACAAGGACGACGTTGTTGTGCAACAAGTCACAGAAGTTCTTGGACCCGAGGATGTCTTGGACACAGAAGATGTAGTTGGAGAGAAAACCACAAAGGATGAGAATATACTGAGCGACAAATCAGCTTCAGCCAATGAGGGAGCCACCCTGGAAAACGATGTCTTGGAGAACAGATCAGACTCAGCTAGTGAAAGAACGATACTTCAAGAGAAAAATGATTCCTCTACCTCTACACCATCATCAAAAGAAGATGAAGTCTTGAATGGCAAACCAGAAGCCGCCGATGCCCATCATCACGATGTTGGACATAAAGAAGCAACAATTCATCCTCATGATGTCCGACTTGGAGGCCCATCATTTCACTCTGACAATGTTGGAAGTGGAGAATTATCAATTGGTGATCATAGTGTCCGACATACTCAGGAACATGGAAACGATGTTGATAGGGACGACTTGGGATCGAGTCTGATTATTGTTGACTGGTTTTGCAACATGGCAGACCCTCTTTTCAGATTTCCGATTTCCCGATTCGAACCGATGAGCATGACACGAGGCTTAGGACGTCCTTGTATCAAAACTCCCGCTATCAGTAGCGTACTTGAGGATGAAACTTGCACTGAGCACCTGGAGAGTATAATGACTGAGGACAGCCTACCTCCTACAACAGCAGGCCAGACAACTCAAATCCTTCTACAAGCCTCGGACAACCAAAGTGCGATCGAAGATACGTATGAAATTCTTGCTGGACTCAGGCCAGAAGCCGAGGAATCCTTCATGCAGCAAAGCGTATACTCTCTCTGGGATTTTGTTAACAGCCGCCCTCATCCTTTGGAGAATTACCGACCTTCCCACTCACTCACGGCCTTGGGAGCAATGGACACATTCCAATCTCTTTTATCCCTTGAAGGATCGCAAACTTTTAGTCCGAAGGATGTCTTCACTTATTGCTTGTGTCGAAAACTTGGCTTACTCCGTCCCGCAACACTTGAACCTGCTTCACCATTGGGAGTGCTCGTCCCATGTGGAATGTACTGGAACTTGCCGTACAATGATGCTACAAGATTACAACTAAAATCTCAAGTATTCGAGTCTATTTGGACAAGATTGTTCGCCATCGAGGTAGTGCGCTGCTCCCTACGTTCATTCTACAAGAGTGACTTCTTTCATGGGACGATGATACCAACACCGTATGTCCGTACTCTCAACAACTATCTCGCCGTCAACTATAATTACCTCCTCAGATGTGCCGATTTCGACCCGCATCCATTCTTCCAAACCGTGTCGAACTTCTTGAAATCCGATCCAGCAAAAGCAAAACCTTCGGAAAGTGGTAAACTAAGCGGAGAAATTGAACTACTTTTGCGATTCATGGTCCGCATGAAAAGCGATCATAGACTGACGTTCAATATCCCATCTCTCCAACCCATACTCAATGGGGACCTGATCATCGCCACAGCCAACGTCTTATTGTTCATAGCAGTCGAGGGTGCTTCCCCTTATGGTGCATGTCATTTCCCATACCGCCTGAAACGCAAAAGCAGGTTCCTCAGCATCGTCACCCTCAAAGCCGGCATCATCGAATTTGACAAGGACGGTAATCAAACTTTAAGAGATAAAGTCGCTCACAGAGGAAAGAACCTGAAATGGAGGGCCAAAATCAAAGAGCATCGGAGAAACTTCCAGAAGTACAATTTTCCACATCGAGTCAAGGATGAAAAACTCAAGGTTGCGGTTGATGACCCGAATCATTGGGCTTTGACTACACCTTGGGAACATCGTCCTAGGGTTTGGAACAGAGTCATACCCCCCCGAGCTCAACCCTACTATACACATGAACACATTCACTAATCCCAGCACTAACAACATCACAGTCAGAAACTTGGACTACAGGACAGACACTGGATAACGAGTATGAATACAATACAAAACTTGGCTATGATACACATACATCCACCTTATCCTTCCCCTTCAGATAGAACAATGCAAACCCCCTTTCCACAGAAACCAAACCTCGCTCGCAATGCACATAAAAACTTTTGGGTGATTGATTTTGCTTCAATTCGAATGAACCCGCTTATACGCAGCGAATTATCTTTTCTTTTCTTTACAATATCACAGTTTTCCCCCTCCTTCCCTCTTTCCCGTTTCCCTTCCATGCAATGGTATTACATAACACCTCGCCTCCCTTTCCCCTTTTCTTCCAAAGCAACTTCTTTTATTTTATGTAGCCAAGTGATTTTCTTTTCCCCTGATGAGATAACAAATATGAAGCAATGAAAGATGAAGGATTTTCGTTTGGGTGAGGGGACGGGTTAGCCCATCACCATGCCTTTCATGCCTGCCTGTTAAAATAGTTAGTACTGCAGGATGCTGAAAATGGTGGAGAGGGTCATACCATGTCTCCTTCCTTGGCTGCGATTTCGAAGTAGCCGTAGATGATGCTGTGTAGTTGTTAGCTAGTGTACTTAAAGCTTGGAGGGGAAGAATGTGGAACTTACGTGACAGCCAACAAGATACCAGTTCCGGAACCCAATGCACCCAACAAGTCACTGGCAACGGAAAGAGCACCAATGCATGCGCCACCGAAAGCAGCAGCTGTAGGAATGATGCGCTTCAGTTCCTTGTACATGCTCTGCTCTCTGTGGCCAGCCATGACAAGACCTTGGTCTTTGAGCTGCTTGGCGACATCTCTTGGGCTGGAACCAGAAACCTCGATCCAGGTCTTGGAGAAGACGGCGCAGGCAACAAGCATGTAGATGATGTAGACAGCGGTATGGATTGGATCGAGGAGAGCCTCAGTGAAGTTCAATGGAGGAGACATGTAGTATGCGAGACCGGAGACAGCGAAGAGTTGAGCGGATCCTTCTCTGGGCTCCCAGACACCGAAGAGTTGGACGAGGAGGTTATCGGCGAAGCGGGAGTAGAGCATTTGGCTGATCAAGAAGACGTTGGAGGACAAGGCTGATTGAAGCATGATGGGCATGTTGGAGGTGTAGAACAGGCGGATAGGGTATGAGCCACGAGCACCACGTTGGCGGGAGGACTTGACTGGGATCTCAACGCGGAAACCTTGGAGGTAGATGACAGCGGCGAAGACGACAAGGGTAGCGAGGAGGTTCATGACGTTGGGGAGATTTTGTCTATAGAAAGCCTCTTGGAGAGCACGCTGCTTGTTGGGCCATGTGAGGAGCAAGTGGAAGAGCGCAATGACAGCGCCCTCGAACTCTGGTCCACGGCCAGTGTTGATTGTGGTTGGGGAGAAAGCCTTCCAGACAATGGATTCGCAGATGTTGGTAGCAATGAACAAGGAGATACCACTTCCAAGACCATATCCCTTTTGGAGGAGCTCATCAAGGAGGATGACAATGACACCAGCAACAACCAATTGGAGAATAAGGAGGAAGACGACACCAGCGCCGAGATCAGATGGTTGACCGTAGAGACCAGTGAAGACATAAACGGTAGCTTGTCCCATCGACAAAATGATAGCGAAAAGCTTCTGCGCTGTCTGGTAGAGCTCGCGATCCGACTTCAAGTCAAGGTTGACATCGATCAAGTGTGTGCCAGCAAGAAGCTGGAAGATCATTCCCGACGAGATGATTGGCGAAATACCCAATTCCATCAACGTTCCTCTGTTACTCGCCAACATCATTCGCAGCCAGTATAATGGATCTGAGGTATCTGAGGACACGATGCCGTATAATGGCATTTGACTCATGACCAAGAAGATCAATAATGTCAAACCCGTCCACATCAATTTTTGGTTGAAAGGAACCTTCGTTTCTGGTTGCTGCACCTCAGGGAGGATAGGCGTGAAGGGTTTGATGAGATCGAGGAATCGAACTGTATGCAGCAAAAGCGCGCCAAGTTAGCCATCTTGCGTCTTGGACTCACAATTGCATCATGAAGCTGTTGATGCAGGAGGGTGGAAAGGGGACAACTCACGGCCACTCATCCTGGCGGTATTCTGTGGTAAAACCTCACAGACGTGGAAGAAAGGAAGAAGATGCTAAAGGAGCGACAGTGAAAAGGCACGTCGACTCCGCTTTATGGAATTCGCAGGTTGCGCGCGTGGTGATGTGTTCGAAAGGAAATATCGAACAGATCTCAGAGCTGCGTGTTCAGAGCTTCCGGAGTCGCTTGACTGAATTTCGCAGATGTGGCCTCTGACTAGGGGTTGACACGTGACCGAATTTAAAGTACAGATGAGGCTAACGACCCCTGTTACAGCCCCTGAGCTTTATTTGTGACGTTGTCAAGATCCGATGGATGCGAAATGTGCGGAAGAGGAAAAAGGAAAGTCCGTAAAGCTGAAACGGAAGGATTGTTTATTGTTCGGGTTCCAAATGGTATATTATTGCTATTGTTGATGAACGACATCATCTTCAACGTCAGTCTAAAAGCGGGGTTGTTGAGTTGTCATAACCTACTTTCGGGCCCAAGAAAGGCTTCTATTGCACGCTTTTGGATTCCTTCTGCACACGACACTCTTTACCCCAGAAGTCTCGCGGACCCGGAAAGGCAAGACATGAGTCTCAGATATTCATGTTATCAGTTGTATATCATTCATTGGTTTGTTTCAACATCTATTTACAGAGGCAGGATAATGAATTATACTCAACTTCACCACCATAATGCATGATTTGTATCCTCAGCCTCGAACTTGCTATTCTGCCAATTGCTAGCTGATGTCGACTTCCAGTTCCTTAAAATTTGTGCTAATTTGTCCTCACTGCTATGATTATGAGCCCCTGGTTGGAAGGCCTGCAATTTCATGCTTTTCAGAAGTGAAGCAAAATACTTGTGAAATTATCTAGTTGTCATATCATACCCAAATCCCACTCTACTCATCGAGATGCAGGGAATCTTCATGAATATTATGTATTGTAAAGCAGTACTTGTCCATATTTTCGTTCGGCTTATTTGCACCTGCATACTTTCCGTAATTTTGCTCCTCCCACTCTTAACACTTGACCTCCGTTTAATGCACAATTCCCGTCTGCGATCAAGATTTCTAGCAGGCGAATAAGTATCAAATGCTGACGACTAATTTGGCAGCGGTGAATCGGAATTAATTCTGAAAGAGAGCTGAAGGTCAAGGAAGTATGTATATAAAACATCGCTTCCCAACGTCTTTGGAAAGTAAACTTGCATGCATCGCGCAACAAGTGTCCATTCCACCGCTGCCTGGAACCTTTCGTAGCTGCGATTAGCCCGGAGGCTAGGCTGGCTTCGAGAGCTTTGTTGACTGCCGATGTTGTATTCACACGTATAACGAGTAATAATCAGTAGAAGAGGAAACTTTCTTGTCGCTAATGACAGTGTTGTCATCTGATTGTGCTATTGCCAACATCATAGCATGTTGTTCAATCGAGTTGTTCCACCCCTTTTCCGTCTTCGGGACATGCAGGAATCAAAGAATCTAAACATTGTCTCATATTCTGCCGATATGCTATACAAGCTCCGAATTCGTTGAAAGAATTCTATAAATACGGCACTACCCTACTGACTGACAAATCTTGAAATCACTATTTGGGCCTGAGGTTATTGCTGATCAAATTATATGGGCAGGTAAGGTGGTATTTGGAGAGAGTTGCTCTCATAGAACGTAGATATTTTTTGGAAGAAAGCACAGTTGGGACCATGAACCAGTAATAGAACTCGACAGGACCGCTCAAGTTACACTTTTGGGGATGGTTGCCTGTACAAATGAAAATTTCAGACCACAAGAGGCGATTGGTTCTGTCCCAAATACTGTAAAGAAACAAACGAAGCAATAAATGTTCATTGGATATTGATTTCTTTCAGAACATTGTAAATATGACAAGAAAATGTAAACAATTATTGGCGGCAAAGAGCTCACCACAAAGTAGAATATATATCTTAAACACTCTTAATTGACAAGATAGAAGCCATTGGTAAACGGATCTCATCCGAAGTTGCTCTAGAGCCTAGCTGTCAAGATTTAGTTACTTAGGTTAGCACCTAATCAACAACCTAAAATCCGACCTGACTAAACTTAATTAACTTTGCACCAGTTTCTAATGCAAAACATTATCTTGGAAACCATCTCGTGTTTCTTGGTAATTAGTACTGCACATCACCGCTTTTGTATGTGACCAGGCGAAAGCCAAGCAGAAGCTGGACATCGGGACTGGGGTCCCATTGTCGGGATCGGAAATCCACTTTGTGATACGGCAGCACCACGCAAACCATGTCTGATCAACATGCGCGTCGTCGGTCCTCCTCCAGCACGAGCACTCGCTATTACCCTCACCGTCCCAATCACAACCATATGTTGTTGGGGGATCATGAAGATTCGGTGCTGCCCTCTCTCAAGACAATATTGACGTGTGCCAGGAGAAGAATGCGCTCAAGGCAATTTCTGGTGCTGGTAGCCCTCCTTACGTTTGCTGCATTCTCCGTCTTCTACTTACGAGCGCCCCCGTCACTACCTTCCGATACAAATGGATTCAAGCCTCCCATATCGATCCCCAAAATTCCAAAACAACTATCTGCAGGTGGCTCTACGGCGGAAGCTCCAAAATCACATCCTCCAACTTTGAGCGGTTCGCATCCAATATGGCAGCTGGTGAAGGACGCCGAGCAGGACTTTGAGAAGATCTTGGAACACCAATCCAAAACTCTTGAGGAAGCGGTTGCAGAATACAGAAAGAGATATGGCCTACCACCTCCTCCAAATTTCGACAAGTGGTGGGATTTTGCAAAAGCAAAAGGCGTGCAATTGGTCGATGAATACGACTCTATCTACCATACCTTGACTCCATTCTGGGGACTCAAACCTTCGACGATAAGGGCACGGGCACGAGAAGCATTGGGATTCGATGGCAATAATTTAATTGGGGCCTTGATTCGGAATGGTGCTGTCAAGAAGATCAATGGCGGAAGAGAGTGGCAGGAAGAAGCTACGAAAGGTATGATGAAGGACTTCATAAAGTATCTGCCAGATATGGATTTATGCTTCAACATACACGATGAACCTCGGGTAGTTGTACCGTCTGATGATCTTTCGAGATTGGTTGCCATTGCGAAGGATGAAAAGATGCCAGCAGCAAATGCTGTAGAGAAGCCCAGAAACTCATGGTCACCCAAGCCAGCGGATCTCACCGATGGATCACGCTTCGAGGACGTCAAGACTACCCGCTTCAACGTCTTCGCCCATCAACCTACATGGACACATTCGAGAATGTCTTGTCCACCAGATACCCCATCAAGAAACCTCGAAGATGGTCCAAAGGAGGATAACTTCGATAGCTACGCAGTGGGCGAGCTAGGATTTGTCTATAATCAGACAGCATTCTCCGATATCTGCCAATCGCCCTCGTTCAGCGAGTCCTACGGCTTCTTCGATCGACCAAATGCCTACAACCTCGTCCACGATCTCTTTCCAATCTTCTCTCAATCGAAAATCTCCTCCTACAACGATATTGTATATCCATCTCCCTGGTACTGGTACGGAAAAGTGCCATACAATGAAACGGCAGACATGTTGTGGAGTGAGAAACAGGACAAGATATACTGGCGTGGCTCAACCACTGGAGGATTTAGTCGGGACGGAGGCTGGAGACGTCAGCATCGACAACATCTCGTACAGAAGATCAATGCAGGAGACCAGGCTAAGATCCTCGTCAATCGGGGCGGAGAAACGAGTGAGGACTGGCAAGTAAAGGAAGTACCTCGAAGCGACTTCAAAGAGATATTTGATATCTACTTCTCGTACGTTGGGCAGTGCGACCCCGGGGACTGCGACGCTCAGAAAGAGTTCTTTGATATCAAAGAAACGGCCAAGCAAGAAGATGCGTGGAACTACAAGTACCTTCTCGACATTGACGGCAATGCTTTCAGCGGCCGGTTTTACGCTTTCTTGAAGAGTCGAAGTTTGGTGTACAAGCTGGCTATTTTCAGGGAATGGCACGAGGAGTGGTTGAAGCCTTGGGTACATTTCATTCCTTTGAGCTTGAGGGGTGATGAGTGGGTCGAGGCTGTGAGATGGTTTGCGGGAGAGACGTCGGGGAAGAAGGAGGCGGAGCGGATTGCGCTTCAAGGAAGGGATTGGGCGGATAAGGTGTTGAGGAATGAGGATTTGGAGGTGTGGTTCTTTAGGTTACTGCTTGAGTATGTCTTTCACTTCCCTCCTCACTTTTTTATGAAGGACAAACACTAACCACCAAACAGATACGGCAGACTAGTAGACGACGACCGCGAAACCATAGGCTATACGGGCGCATGAACGGGGTGTAAATAACGAGATTCTATATTGTACATTAACAGGACATACGCGTACCTAGGGAATAGAGCGGGGTTGCGGAGTTTTTCAGATTTGCAGAATGGATGCAAGTGAAGTGTGTAAATAATATACCCACATATTCTAGAGCATGATGAGCTGTAGATCGTTGTTTGAGTCTAGATGTGAAGGAATAATACATCTCATGAGCTCCCTGTCTGTCTGTTAGTCTCAAATAGTGTCCTTGACAATGGCGCCCATCATGAATAACGCCTATGATGCTTACAAACTTTCGGATGGAGCTCATGATGGATGGCGCCCATGATGGATGGCGCCCATGATGGATGGCGCCCATGATGAATAGCACCCACCATGAATAGCCCATGATGGCGACCAACTTTCACATGGAGTCCATGATAGATGGAGTCCACGATACTTGCTATCAGTCAAATAACGCCCATATTGAATAGAGCCCATGATGATTACTTTTCGGATAGAGCCCACGATAAATGGCGCCCATGATCACTTTTAAAGTGGATCATGGACTTCATTCAAAAGTTGGTGATTTCTCCGTAGTGTTCGATAATTGAGAAAAGACAAATACGCTTCAAATTCATCTGCCAGACTGTGGCTCAGATCCTACTATACGTACGCTATGCAATCAAGAAACTCGCTCAACTATATCCCAACATTCGTCTCAGCCCTCATAAAATCATCAATCATCGCATAAATTCGTTTTCCTCATATCCACAAATTTTGTATATCCATCCATCCACACCATATATCACATATTTGCATCCAACGTCTTAACATACGGAGCAGGAAATAGACCTCTCTTCCCCATGTACGTTCCATGCCACCAATCATCGTTGACGTTCTTGCACTCCTTGACTTCCGCACCTTTGGGGAACATCAATTCGTCGTCGGCGTCTGGAGCAGGCCACCATGGCCAGAGTGCTACAGCGAGCATACCCACGCCTCCATCTGGCGGGAACGTCGAGTCCAAGGCCATATCTGGAGCTGTAGAAGGAGCTGTTTTCATGACATCTGTGGTGACAAGCTTGGCATGCGTATCGTCACCTCGAATGTGCACGCCGTCGCCCCATGTCCACTTCTGGAGCTCTGCTCCGGAGTGATCTCTAAATGAACATGCCTGCTCGGATAGTCCTCGACCACCGACCAGATCTTGTACGATGACTCGTCGCTGACCACCACGATTGTCCTCGAAGCCCACAATGATCATGCGATGCCCTTGAAGACATCGACGCCAGCCGTTATGGCCATTTTCAGCGCTGATCCGTCGAGATGCAACAAGCTTCGGGTAACAAGTTGTACAAATGTCGTAGTCTCCCGGAAGAGTATTTGGCACTTTGCTTACACAGTAGAAGCAATGATAGCGACTTTGAGAAGGTTGAATCGGATAGTGGCAAATATCACACTTAGTTGAGAAAGTGAGAGGCTTGAACGGCCCAATATCCATGACACCAGGACCGGTGAGAATCGATGCTGAAGGTGGAGTTTTCTGATCATGAGTTGGTGATAGAGGTGGCGTATTGGTCTCAGCTGGTTTGTATGTTAAAGGAAGCAGTGCATGCGTGCAAGACTTGCCCTGGTTGACGCAAATATTGCAAAAACCCCAATCGCCTTCATTGCAAAGATCACATCGCCAATAGCATTCGTTAGTCCAAGCCAAACAACTTGCACAAAAGGTCCCGCTCTGCAGTCGCTTCTGGGGATCTTCTGTGGTAAGTGTTCTTCTGCCATCGGCACCCCCAGGTGCTATCCTTGGTGCTAGGTATCGACTTCCAGTAAGCATATGAGGTCGTTCTACGGCCTCACCTCCTTGGCTGAGTTTCTCCCACTTAGCCCACACAGATTGGCCGAAACCATACCAATGTAGACATCCTAGTCCAGATCGATAGCATGCGAGGCATATGTTCCAATTGCCATTGTGGCAGAGACTGCAATTGTAGTGCATTTCGTACTCAATATGAGGTTTTGAACAGCGATTACATGTTATGGATGGCTCTGGGTACAAGTGCGATCGATTTCTCGATGCAACAGAACCAGAAGAGGTTGGTCTTGTACCACTGGATAGAGCAAATGCTCGATCTGACAACGAGCTTGTTTGAGGGACTCTTGGAGATAAAGGTGCAGGCATTAAGGACTGATCAGTAACAGGAGACGAGACAGCTGAAGGGCCTGCAGCTGGTACGAATATGTTCTCTGGAGGGGCACGAGTCTTTCGTTCTGTCCTATTTGCAGACGTAGAAACATCTTCCATTCTGGCGGCTGATCTGAGCCGAGGGCTAGAGTTTGATGAAGCTCGTGATCGCGATTGAGGAGCGGGTACATCGGCTACTTGGGTCACTACTGGGTCGGTAGTACTTCTAGTCGTTGCTGATACAGATGGTCGAGTTGATGGGAAAGTTGCAGACTGTGGTCTATCGCTCAGATCTGTTTGTGATCTGGCTGCTGGCCTTGCCTGACTCTCCGCTACTGGGACTGGCGTCGTCGAACTTCGGCTATTGCTACTCGTGCGCCGCCTTCTATGCCCTTCGTCTCCGGACTGGACCTCAAGATGAGCTGCCTGAAGAGCACTTATCGACTGTGGAGGTCTGCTTGGTTGATCTTGGCTCACTGAACTTGGTGTTCGGGAATGTGCTCTCTGTCTCCTGGAGGAAGGTCGACCACTATCGTCTCCAGAATTTTCTCGTGAGTCAGGAGCAGATGAATGAGTCCTTCTTGGTTGCCCACCCACAGCACCTGCAGTACTCATGGCACTCGCGGCGCTCACAGCGCTGGTAGCACTAGTGTTGCTTCTCCGTGCTGGCTCCTGTCTGGCTCTTTCACTCTGCCGTCTCCGGAAAGCTTCAGCTATTCTCTCACTGATTTGGTCCTGCTCACTAACATCGATATTCTCCAAATCGATACCATCAAGAAGTCCTTCTTCCCGGATCTGGCGTAGAATCTCCTCTTCCATTTCGCGTGAATCAACGTCCGACGCACTAATGAGCGATCGTAATGAAGATTGGTGCTCGATTTGCCTTGCCGCTGTGCGATTCTCTTGCTCATGCCTCGCTCGTCTCTCAGCACTTCGTCTCCGCCGTCGATCCTCTGTAGACTCTGATTCTGGCTGTAATGTCCCATTGCTGCTTCCAGCAAGCCTACGATCAGACTCAGTCTCTCTCCGCCGCCGCCGTTCACGCTCCCTCTCATCCGTATTCCTGCTGTCCCTGCTGGCGTCTCTACTTCTCGGTGCTCTCGTCCCTTCCGATCGACTTGCCTCCCTCCTCCTCCGCTCTCTCCTAGCTTCAGGAGTTTCCACTCCCACCTCCCTCAAGCTGAGATCCCTAACCTCATTCACCAGCCTCCTATCCGCATCCTCGACCCTCCTCTCCCTCAAACTCTTCTCCCTCTCCTCCACTTTCGGCAGCACATTCTCTCCCGGGGTATATTTGCTCTTCAACTCTTCCTTCTCCTCCTCCGTCTTGCCCTTCTCCGGACTCGCCGCCACGATCATATCCACCAACGTCGTCACTGTCGCATTATGCTTCGTGTCCCTCACCGGTGCGCGACACGACGGACACGTATACGGCGTCGTTCCCTGCGGCAGCGAATTCGGGTTATTGCGCGCAGCTGTGAGCTGCCAGCTGAACCATTCTTTCAGGCAGGAGCCGCAGAAGGTATGCAGACAATCGAGCAGAGTGAGAGGTTGGTAGAGGACTTCCGTACATATCTAGAGCAAGTTATAAGTATCAGTACGTGGAAACTGGAGTCATGGGGCCGGTCTGTCACGTCGCATTCCTCCTTCGCGTGGCGGCGCAAACATGGTACGAAGCTCTGGAGATCACTCACCGAGCACGTCAACTCCTTTTCTAGATCCATACCTCTCTTCTCCGACTCCATCGCCGTTTCCAAGCAAATACGTTTGGTTGTTGCGAGGTTATTGAATTATTTCACGGAGCCTGGAGTGAGGTGGGGTTACAGCAATGGCCACTTCAGCTGCAGGGAACATGGCTGTGGCGATGCGATACGAACGGTGTGAGCTTTTCTGCACGGCTGACGAAGAATATGTAACATGGTAAGAGATTTTACGATTTATTGCGAGGGCGAATATCTGTTTGGGTCTGTCTTGTTTGAGTGCATTCGAATTCACGTTTTGAGTTATCGTTTCCTTAAAATAGCTGAGATGTATTGGGAAGGAAGAAAGGAGTAGGAAGTACAGTCAGGAGGTAAGCGAGGATTGGACAACATTCACGTTGACAAGCTCGAAAACAATTATATTCGTTTACGATTCTAGAGACGGAGGATAGATTTAGCTTTGTACAGATTGCCCGGTCTCTTTTTGACTTCGTCAAATTCCCGTCGAGTTGTGAAGTACAGTCAGTTGCCAGTCTTGGCTGGGCGGTGGTGGCGGTGCTGAGCCATGCATAAGTGAAAGTAAATGCATGCAGTATTGGCCTATCCAATACAACTGTGATGATTCGTAGCTTCCACGAGTTTCGAAACAGGAAGAGTGATCACTCGCGAGGTGGAGAAGCAAAATCACAGGAATGCCGCACTGTCATTAGGTTCTATCGTTACCGCGACGTGAATCATATACATGACCTGAGACCCAGCACTTACTCCATCCATATTTCTTCCCATCATGTCATACCACCTTTTACGCCTTCGCGATCTATACACAAATCCCATAGCCAACCTGGCATCCAACACCACAATAAGGCTGCACCAATCCGAAAACCAAGTTCCCACATTTCCCTCCAGCCGAGCAACAAATTCCAAACTTGCTTCCAACACAGGTATGACTCGTACCGCGTCCGCAAGTACCGTCCGGACTCGTGATGATCTTGGTGGGACTAGAGACGACGCTGCTGGTGGTTAATGAGTTGAATAGCCATTGTGAAGTTGTAGTTGTCACCTTGGTGCAAGTGCCTCCTGCCGGGTTGCATCCTGTGCTACAGTATGCTGCTGTGCTTCCGCAATAGCCATATTGGGAGCAACAGTTTCCAAACGTCGAGCCTAGACAGGTGAATTTTGTCCCACATGTCCCGTCCGTTGATACGGGGAGCGTAGCTGTGGAGGTGGCCGAGCTTGATGTCTTCGTGGACGAGGATGATTTGACTGTTGATGACGATTTCGATGAGGTCGAAACTGTTGAAGACTTAGAAGATGTCGTAGATAGACTTGAAGACTTTGAAGTTGACGATGATTTCAAAGAGGTTAAAACTGTGGAAGACTTGGAAGATGTCGTAGACAGACTTGAAGACTTCGAAGTTGACGACGTTTCTGTATGGGAGACAAATGAGCTCAAGCTTGACGACGGCATCGAATGCACAACGGAAGAAAGAGAGACTGAGTTCAAGATCTGAGTTGGGGATGATGAAAGGTGCAAGCTCATGACAGAGATCGATGCAGCAAGACTTGATGAACTGACAACAAGAGCTCGCGACGATGGTGTCAATGTGCTTGTACTACTCAGATGGCTCGGGCTACTGAGAGGCTCTGTTGTAATATGAGTGCTTATTGTACTCAAGAGGCCTGAATGGCTCAGAGAACTTGTAAACACCTCAGAGCTCATAGCAACTTCAATTAATGTCGAAGAGCTGGGTACTGCTGAAGACAAAGTATCGGACGAAAGGACAGAGACCGATGACACAGATGAAAGGGTAGACAGACTAGTGCTCGTAGAAGACTTTGCCGAAGTTGAACTTTGAGATGTCAGTGAAGAGCTTGAAGACGAGACTCCACAGGTTCCGAATGCTGGCTGGCAGCCACTTCCACAGTAGGTGCTAGCGGATCCACAATAGCCGTATTGAGAACAGCAGTTTCCAAATGTGCTTCCCTGGCAGGTAATAGTGGTACCGCACGTCCCATCCACGGATATGATCAAGGCCGTAGAGGAGCTGGACACAGGAGCCGATGAGGTGGAAGAGCTAGTCTTCTGTGAGGTCGTGCTAGTTGTGGTAAGTTTTGAGCTTGAGGAAGATGTCGATGATTTTTTGGATGTTGATAGCACGGAGCTGCTGCCACTGCTCGAAACCCCGCAAGAACCAGACCCAGGCTGACATCCAGCTCCACAGTAGGTGCTGTCAGACCCACAATAGCCGTATTGAGAGCAGCAATTTCCAAACGTTGATCCAAGGCAGGTAATGGTACTGGAACACGATCCATCGGTACTCACACTTTGAGCAACGGACGAAGTGGAGCTCGGAGCCTTGGACGTTCCCGTGACTTTCGTGCTGACCGTGGAGGTGGAGGACTTTGTTGAAGATGATGAGGCACTAACAGCGCCACCTGCATTCCGATACCAATTTGCGGACGGGTCCCCAAGGCAAGTACCAACAGATACGGACTGGAATCCATTGGCGTACATCGAGGCCAGAATGTAGTTAGTAAGGTTGTAAACAGTTTGATAGTGTATATCATGTTCAATCTCTAGATAGTTGCCAGTAGCAGCATTGATTTGAGCGATAGCCGCATCCCAGATGTTTTTTGAGTTCTGAATGAGGGTCGGCGAGTCGTTCAGATATCCCTCAGTGTCGAGATCAAAGTCTACACTCTTGATTAGCTTCAAATCCATCTCAGAAAAATTGGGAGCAACTAACAGGTGATATGATATCCCAATTTCTGAAGTCTGCTTTCACACGTGGAGTCACATTCAGAATAAGGGGGTCTGCAAAGTGTAAGCGAGAGTAAACCACCATGTAAGCAACAATGCTTTTTTACCTCATATAAGTTGGGAAGTAACCCAGGATATTTCTGAAAGCCATCTCATTATAAATCATCTGGTTTTGGAAGGTGGTGGCGTCCAATGAGGTCAGGTTTTGATGGGACCAAGTATGAGAAGCAACTTGATGACCCTCGGCAATCATGCGCTTTTCTTGTTAGCTTTTGTCGATTTTAGGGCCATGAGACTTTACCTGAATGATAGAAGACCAATGGGTATCAATTGCACCTTTTCCGAGATTGTTGCCAGCTATTTCAATAGTCAGAATTAGTTGAGATGGGGAATATCCCAGAATGAGATTTTCACAACCTACTAACGAAAAAGGTTGCCTTGGCATTGTAGACCAACAACTTGTCGAGGAGATCAGAAGTGTAGTTGTATGGCCCATCATCGAAAGTGAAGGCAATATCTAACGAAGTATGAGTACTTTAGAAGTGCAACTTGAATCAGAATAGTACCTCCAGCAGTAAGACAATCATAAATTCCAGCACCACCATACGGCATCGAGCCCAACACAGGTCTAGCAACGCTAGCAGTAGATGCACCAGATGGCGATTGGTTACCATCACAGCCAGGACCGTAGGCAAGTTGACAATCAGGTCCAGCACAGTAATCAATGCCGACTCCACACCAGCTTTCGAGCATTAGTGGTTTCTTGAATTGATTCAATCTTCACATACCCAGCAGGAGAACAACAGTAGCCAGAAGCACACGTCCCTACACCTGGTCCACACTGTCCATCGGTACCACCAATTTGACGCGTCTCCAATGCTTGGAAGGAATCCTCGGGCCAGCGCTTCTCAACATGGTCCTCGTGCTCCGCAAGAGCTTCTGGTAACGCGTTACGCGCCTCGAGAGTCGAGAGGAACTTTCTCGCGCCAAAAAGCTTTGGCGTGGAAGGACCTTCACGGCTCGAGTGAGCAAGGCCTATAGACGCGAAGGCCCCAACGAACAAGAGCTTGAGATGCATTGTTGGTTGCGAGTCTGTTGAGCTTGGCAAATTCGAAGAAGAGGTCACACGTCCTTGTACGTGTAAACGGCGGATGGAACGCAGGTAAACGAGGGACTGCGTGTCCAAAAAAGTTCCGAGTGCTTCGATGATGAAGGTGAAGGTAGGACAATGTAACGAACGTCGGGAGAACAGGAGCTCTAAGTAGGGCAGAGAAAAGAAGGCAGCTCACACGATTGCCGGGAACATGCAAGTACAGCTCATACGAGACAAAAGCAAACCGGGCCAGTTTTTCTGGGGTTGGTCAAGACATAAAAAAAATTGCTCGGCTTGGATCAACCTCGAGACTCCTGCATATACCAATCGGCTGAGACCTGGACGCTAAGCGGGTGGCTCTCATCGTGGCATTCATCCATGCCTTTAGCACGAGGGGCATGCGATGGATATCCCGACATTGTACTCCATCGCTTGATGATTCGATGTTAGTCTGCTGCAAAATCACCAACGAACCAAGACTCTAAGAAGCGCGTTGCATATGCGGGGGCCCAAGTCGGTCGATGTTGGCTGCGCTCTTGGACGGCATCGTCGTTTGACCAGCGAGATGGCAGCAATGGTAATAACAAGTGGTTGATATTATTGAAGACTGGAGGTACGTGTGCCGTCTAGTTTGAGTTGGGGCCAGTCTAAGGGCCGACCAAAATAGATCCCGCCCTCTTCTTCACCCCTGGGCCTGGAACCTGGATCTGCAGGAACAGGGTTCAAGCAGATCATAGGAGATGCAATATGAACAAGATCGAGGGTCTCTCGGTTGACTACCGAAGCACCGAGATCCATGTTCTTGAGCACTTGCTTTTGCTTCTTCCAGCTCAAAGTACGGGTTACCGGCAGAGAGAAATGCAGCACTGATGCAATGAGAGTCAAGTAGCGGTCCATTCTCCGTTCTTGGCACACTACTGCAAATGGAGAGGGTCACGGCGTACTCTAACGCAAAGACTTTGGTCCTCTTCGTGGTTGTGGAAATGATAGGGTAGATTTGCCCCTCGACGAAGTTTCCTAGTGACACAGCGACCTTTTCTTGATGTTGTGGTGGCCTTCGCTTGAAATTCATCTCCTGAGGCCTGCATGCATTTTGCCTCGACGCCGCCCACGGCAGACCGCAACAAAAAAGCACTCTTCAGCTCCTGTCTCACTCTGCATTATTCGAGGCGTTTTTGTGCTGTACCAAGTGGTACCACTCCCCCGCACTGAACACTCTTCATTACTTGATATCGTCGTTTTGCTTGCGTGTTCATCCGTATGAAGCGGTTGCATGATGCACTGTTCCTGATGACGACCCAGTGGTTGTGAAGATGGCTTGACTTGTTCCACACAGCATCGAGTTTGCCACTGCTGTCAATAGACTCCTGCATATAACGATTTTGTTTTCCTTTTGTTAGTTCCTGAATGGTCAGTTGAAAAAGCTTGTTTTCAGCAGAACGAATATTTGAGTCAAGAACGGTCATCGGGAAGTCCACAATGTGCTCTCTTAATTGTCGCATGCTATATGAGACGTACTGTTTTCAACATAAAGATTTGAAGGCGTAAAGCCAGTATTCAGATGAGATGGCACGTGAGGTTCACGTGTGGATTTATTGTCGTCACATCTAGACAGCAACAAGCCCAAGAAGTCGGCAACAAAACTCTCATCCGTGACAATGTAACTTTCCAACAATACAGAATATTCACTGAGAAATCATAATTCGTCTGAATCTATTCGCTTGGAACCGAGTTGCCGTCTCGAGTCGAATGATTCGGCTGCGTATGAGCAACCAAAAGTGGTGTCTATCAATTAAGCTAAGTCCCTGCTTAATGCGTAACGCCCAACCCCTCACTCTGCTTCACAAACTTATAGTACGTCTTCTTCGTCTTGTTTCGCCAGCTCTTTCCCCACTTGACAACAGCCAAGAAGGTCAACACTTGAGCCAACCCTGCAAAGGCGGCTACAACGAACGCGTTCTGATACCCCATGTTAGTGACCCAAGGCGTTATCCCATAATTGACAGCAAAACTCATGGTGTTTCTTATGATGATAACGGTAACCATAGCTTCGCCACTTAAGTCCTTATATGAGTCAATGCAATAACTGACGCTCAATTGTACACCAATGCAGTTGGAGGCAGATATCACTCCCATTGCAAAGATGAGGCCGAACCACTATTGGTAAAGACGTCAGCAAATTATCCTCGATGCAGTACAAAGTTTAGACATAGCTGTGGGGACCTCCGTAAAGATATGGGACGATGACACAGGTGCATATGAGTGAAGAAAGCAAGACTTACATGCACATGGTGTGCGGCCCCAACGCCCCATAGAATCAGGGATCCAGGAATCAGAATCAATGAAGGGGCAAAAAGCCACAGCCGATACTCCGACTCCAATATACCCTTGTTCCGCCTTGCCAGCCAAAGGACAACCCTATCTCCAATCACGCCAGAGTAGAACGATCCCGCCGCTACACCGATCAACGGACTAACGTAAGAAAGCCCAACCATGGATGCCGGAAAGTTATAGGGCGCCGCTGAGAGGATAAGAGACGCTGTGCCATTCAAGACATTAAACCAGACTAAATTGCTTCCGTACGAGAACCCAGCGTATACCACGGATGGCAAAGAGAAGAAGAGCAGCGGTCTGATCATCATTCTGAAAAGGTGGAAGTCCCTTTTCTTGTCCAGGAGAGACAATTTCTGCAAGTAGGTTTTCTTCTTGTATTCGTCCACGCTTACAGCAGAATCAATGTTCTCAGGCTCTTGCATTACGCCAGTTTTCTCGGGATCAAGTGATGGAGATAGCGTCCCGTCCTTCGGCGTCGATGTTCCGGGTGTGTCTGTTGGCGTGTTCACGAGTTCGAGGGGCTCGCGATCATAATTCGTTTCTTCCATGAAGAAGAAGCAAAAGACGAAGCCGATGGCCAAAAATATCGCACACCAGTACATCACCCATTGCCAGCCTTGATAGGTGTTAATTGAGCCTTGCGACTGTGGTAAGAACACGTACCTTGACCGTCGTTGATGAAACCTGCAAGAACTGGGGCGAGAAAGTTACTACCGGCAAGCATGAACGCATACAATCCCATGTATGTTCCTCTTTCATGAGTAAACCATATGTCGGTGATAGAGATCTCGCAAAGAGACTCAATTGGAGCGCCGACGAAACCTTGCAAGATCTTGCTTCCTATCCATGCCCCATTCGTTGTTGCGTGAGGTACCCAGATCATGATTCCCAGAGTTGCCAACATGCTGAATAAGTAAACGGGCCTCTTTCCGTATTCTGGTGAAAGATCAGTATGACTCTTATACTATATCATGCAGGCGAGGTGAGTTCTCCCGAAAGAGTGTCCCGAGAACTCAACAACCTAGCTGTATCTGAAAATTCAAGGATAATTTTGACGTACGCAAAGCAAGTGCTTGCCAGAATAAACATCCCCAGCCCTGATTCTATCAGTATTGAGTCAGAATCATCCTTCTCTTGACCGTACTTACGAAGAACAAAAACATGTACCCAGTTCCAGCATTCAAATCACCCAATGTCAACCCAGTGTCCTCACTAATGGGTTCCAAAACACTATAGATCGCAGCACTTGCAATTCCGACCATGAGAGTGTACACACTCAAGCTCACTGTACTCAAAAGTTTCCGCCGAGGCGACCAATTCAGAGGATCATCCGGGTCTGCAGAAGGAGCAGGCACGAGAACGACATCTTTGTGAGCAGCTGAGTGTTTTGCGCGGATTGTCCCTTCGAGATCAACGAGATGTACTGTTCCCGGAATCGCATCTTCATCAAGATGACCGTGCCTGAGGGTAGTCATGATGAAATGTATATCACAGACACAACAAAATGAGGAAGTACGCAGAAATCAAAAGTCACCAGACGTCACGCGGCAGAAAAGTCTAGACCGTATCAGAGGGAAGCATGAACCTATATACCCTCTGCACCTCGCAAAGTTGCCCCATTCGTATCACCACCTGCTCACCAGTAACTGTGACTTCACACCTTGTCAACCATGATAAGAGACCTCGATAGATCTCCATTGATCCTACCATAAGCAGACATGTGCATGCGACGTTGAACTTAAGCATTGAAAAGTGGGATGAGTTTTCATTCCCCGAACCGCTGCTAGGATAGTTTGGCAGCGGCCAAGAGGAGATAAAAGATACGTTTTTTATGACATGATACTAATCAAGGCTGTCTAAACGAGGATTGTTTGGGAGCCACTTCGCTTTGTGAATGGCCGAGGGTAAATATTCTGGTCGAAGTGGGATGGGGCAAAAGCTTCAAAAGTGGAAGAAGGCGAATGTCCCTGCCGATCGAGGAGATCGGCCAACATGTCACTTTCACGTGATAGAACGTTCCTTCGTATTTCGCTCATTTTTTTGTTTGGAAACGTTGAGGAATGCAAGTTCTCATCATGAATGGATGTGTACAGAGATCTCGTCTCATCATTTCTCATACCCCAAAGTCGTTGCCAATTCTTGATGGACTGGGAAATGTCACAAGCGAACATCCCTCATGCGGAACTCACATTTTGAACAGTTGATTGATTTGATGCCAAAGAAAGGAGTTCAAAGACAGTATAAACTAACGAGTTACAAAAACTTTTGATTGCCATTCCCGTTCCCAAAGATTCCTAAAATGGATGTCCCTTCCTCGTCCAGTATCTCTTCCCTCAAGCAGGTATTGCCAACACGATCCATAGCCTCAACGTCAGAGCAAAGCATCAAGAGTCCGTGTGTGATGTTCGGGCGGCTTCAGCTCTACCTTGAGCCAGTTCCCGACATCTCAATCGCATCCCTTCCATGCGGCGACGATTTCCGGCGAGGATTCCATCGACATCTATTCCACTGTCCATACCAGCGGCTTCAATATCATTCTCCATGGCTTGCAGAACTTGGTCTTGCCCATTAACAAGATCGCTGGATCGAGAATTCAATTCAGTTGACAGCTGGATCGTTTGCCGCAAAACGCTGTTTGTTCTTTCGAGAGAAGCGTTTGCAATCTGCAAGTGATTGACTTGTTTACGAAGGCTCTTGGTGACCTCCATTAGTGAGTCTCCTCGATCGAAGGCATACTCTATGGCTTTGAGAGCTCTAAAAAATCGCTCTATAACTTCGTGGGAGGGCTTGTCGGTGGCCGGAAGCCTTTTCACCAATTCTGGTTGTTTGTAAGTGGAGCGTTCATTTGCTCTCTGTCTTGTTGGGGAAGTGCCTTACCTGTTCCGACGGCGACTGGAGTAGTATCATTCTGATTGAGGTTGGTGATATGCTCATCTTCGACTTCGGCAGATAAGTTGGTCCATTCTTCACTGTTCGCATCGTCTTCCATCTGAGGCGTGATCAGAAATTAAGCAGCTGGGTGAGAGAAGAAAACATAGGAGCTTATTTACCCTTGTAAATCTAACTTCATTCCAGGCAGGATAGCCATCGGAGTAGACAGCGTTTGAGTTCATGATGTGATATCTCTGGTTTCAAACCTGCCGACCAGAAAGACGTGAAGAATCTGTGCCTAAAGGCATTAGGGAAAGTACCTCTCATTGGAGTGCAGTGACAACGTACTGTGTGTATTGGCAGTATCACGAGTCGTGATCTGGGAAGATACGAATTATGTCGATGAAGAAGCAGAAATAAGAAGCAAGAAATATGACTTGATGAAGTATGGGAAATAGGAGAGGAAATGGGCCGATCTTTCCGTTTGAGCGGGTAGGAACAGTAGATCTGCATCAGCGGTCAGAAGGCAACAACGTATCCTGAAACTTCAAGAACTTGTTGAAAAATATACTCAGTTGTTTTATGAGACGACAATGTACCGAGCAGATATGGGGGAAGAAATTGTGCACGACCAAAAGTCAGAGGCACTGGCAATCATTGGATGTTTGGAGCATAGAAGTGCGCAGAATCGATCAGATTCCTGCATCATTCAGATATTCAGAGCAGGACGACTGGCTACGATACAGGTATTGGAACAGGTCCAACTGGACTGTCGGAAGCCGCAAGATTGGCTTGGTGCATGGCTTCGGTTTCGTCAGCATATCGACGTTTGAGTGATACCAAAGTGACTCACTTCTTGGTCCATACTGATCCGGATAATCAATGGCGGTATGAAAAACGCTCCACTGCAAGATCGTGAGGTCAGCTGTTGAGTCTCTTGGAAACGTGCAGGAATACATGTATGCACAAACGCAGAAACATATTGAATCTAGATCACTCACGTTATCCCACATTTGAACATCCCCCTCTTCTACTGGTGCAGACAGCACGTATTCAGGTCTGATGATCCGTTCTTGCCAGCTGTGGAGCAGCTTTCTGATCTCGACTAGATCATCGACCACCTTCACCTCACTAGTTGGTGTGGCTTTGAGGAACATCTTCCGTACACAGATGCCATGAACTTGAAGTGCTTTCTGGCCTAAGGGATTGACCCATACCATCGGGTACTTTTAAATAATATCAGCGAATTGTAATCGTCGAAGGATTGCGTGCTTACTCGTTTGATCTTACTCTCCTCCCATTCAGGCATCTCATCCATCTTGTGCTCGAGGCCCTCCGTCTCTAAACCCAGTCCGTTTGGTCGGCCTTTGCAATTCTCGATCCACATGTATGGGAAAGGTGCGTATTCCACCCAGCTATTCTCAGCTAACATTTTCTCCTCATCGGTCAATAACTCGTACAACTGAATACCACTGACGAAAGCAGTTTGACCTGGTTTGGTCTTCATGCTTAAGCCGCTGCCATCATCCCAATTGACTTGAATATCAGCCTGATCAGGACATTTAATTGCTCGGAGTGCGGTAAAGTGAGGTGGCTCGCGATCATAGAGAGGAGCATCAATGTGCCATCTCTGAAATTGAGTATTGCCAGCTTCGAATGCCTCTTTACTAGGAGGGTACCTGTGATAATCATTGCTCGCTCCGGCTGCAGTAAAATTCTTGATGCCATAGTGATCGTCTCCTTGGTAGCCTTTGCCAATCAGACGGACATTTGGAGCTTCTGGGATACCATGAACAGTTCTTTTCTGTAGAAATTAGCTTTCATGTTTTATGCCTTAGATAAGATAACTTACAGCAAGCATCCCTCCAGTCTTCGCAAATTGAGCTACGGTTCCATGACCATGAACTTCATGGGCCGTGGGATCCAGTCTTGTGACCAGTTCCCAGTGCTTCTTCACATCAAGGTTATGATGATCCTTGATCATGAGAAGCTGGTATCTGTGCGTAGCTTCCTTGAGAGTTGCCAAATCTTCATCTGAAACGTTGTTCAGGTCTAGGCCAGTGACTGTAGCTCCAAGCTTGCATTTCTTGTCTGCTCCATGCTTGATAGGTGTGATCACCATTTGACTTTCTGTAACTCTTGAAGGAGACATGATGTAGAAGTATGTTCGATTTGGACACTTGAAAATTGCCTCCCCAACTTGGTTCAAAGCAACGAATTTACTTATATAGAACGCATCTACTTGAAGTTCCTACTTTGATATGAAATCGTGAAGCAGATATTGGTGACGGGTAAGGTTCGGCCGAGGAGGGGTACACAGCGGATTTGAGATAAGGAGTCTTCTATCAACGACATCCCATCCTACAGGCAGCGTCGGACGTCCCCGCTAGCACTTGACCGCATGGATGGGCTCCCGAAACCTATTGGAGTTTGGGGTGCTGTTGCAGATGGGTAGAAGCATCGTACGCCATCGTTGAGGGAAGTCTTGAATGTCTCGGACCCGCAGGCAGATTCAAAGTCTCTGTATGTGAGCGTCACTAGAGTTCGTACACCTTGGACTTCCAGAGGTCGAGTCCAGCCAACCTGACTGCTGAAATTTATTGTTTTGCAGACGGAAGAGAGCTGCTTTCAGCCACCTCGGAGTACGTGAAACAATAGATACTCAATTTAACACAAACCAATTGGCACATCACCAGGCCACAAATGAAAATAGAACAGTGAAATATTAAATACAGTATTTGAACTGTTATTGAAGATGAGGAAAGTTTCAATGTGTTGCTGTCACATGACAGCGACGGGCAATCCAGAGCAAGCTTGAAATTACCAACTGCTTTGCGACTTTCACTCAACAGCTTCAGCCTTTCGCCGTCCAACTTCCTACCACACATTGGACGAAGTTCACAAAATGCCACCTCGATTACCACTTTCCGCTGTCCTCAGGGCCAACTCTACAGCATGGAGTAGAAGCTACGCAACAAACCACCGAATACCTCTAGCCTTCGACCTCCACGAACCTGCCAATCCAGCATCCAAAGCTCCTCCAGCCATAATATTCATGCACGGGCTCTTCGGATCCAAGAAGAACAATAGGAGCATGAGTAAGTGAGCTATGTCCTGTCGTCAATCCTTCTTGGGACCTTGGCTAACAGCTATTTTAGAGCTCTTGCAAGAGATCTAGGACGGCCGGTATATGCTGTGGTATGCTCCCATTCCTGATCGCAGAAAGACATTTGCTTAGGAAGCTATAGGACCTCCGAAATCATGGCGACTCACCCCACAATCCGTACCACGACTATTTTTCTATGGCAGACGATGTTGCGGGTTTTATAGATGAGCACAAGCTTCAGGATACAACATTAATAGGGCATTCGATGTCAGTATACCCTGCAACTCTGTCAATTACAGACAGAATGCTGACAGTTCCTAGGGGCGCAAAGACAGCTATGACATTAGCTCTAAAAGAGCCAGACTTAATCGCAGACGTCGTTTCAGTCGACAATGCTCCATTAGATGCCGCTCTACTCAGCAATTTCGGCAAATACATACAAGGCATGAAGAAAATCGAAGAAGCAGGCGTAACACGGCAAGCCGAGGCGGACAAGATATTGCAAGACTACGAAGAGTCTTTGCCTATACGACAATTCCTGCTTGGAAATCTACATCGACCCGCAGACGAAAAGACCCAGAAGTTCAAGGTGCCGTTGAGGATATTAGCATCGACTTTGGATAATCTTGGGGACTTTCCTTACAAGAATCCAGGTGAAGTGCGGTTCGAGAAGCGAGCATTGTTTGTTCGAGGGACGCAGAGCAAATACGTTCCAGACGAAGCATTGCCAATAATAGGACAATTCTTTCCTCGATTTGAGTTGGCGGATATTGATGCTGGGCACTGGGTGATCTCGGAACAGCCAGAAGCTTTTAGAAGAGGTATGTTTGCGTATCACGGCTGTGAATGTATGTGTATTTGTGCTAACTATGGAGTAGTGGTCGTAGACTTCCTCAAACCTAAGGAATAGAAGAAAATGTACAATCTATGTGTATAAGGGTATCATGCCCATCCAATCCAATCCCATGCGATTGCATCCGTGAAACTCCATGTAGTCTACACCATCCAATACAACGCTTAATCCAGTCCCTGTCTCGTATATCGCCCTTCCTCGTCTTCCGGACCCCGCACATAGAAATGCACAACTACTTCCACGACACTGAGATCCTCTCAAGGCTCTCCATCTCCTCAACACGAACATCCACTCCCAAAACCCTCCCCTCCATCCACAGGCACCGTCCCCATCCTCCTCGTCCCACTACTCAACAACTCCGGCTTCTGCACAACTGCATCCACAATCTCGACAAACGGCTTCCGGACATTCTCCCTCGTCTTACTACTCACCTCACAAAACCCCACACACCCCCTCTCCTCCGCCATCTTCATGCCCTCCTCCACCTTCACCGTCCGCTGCGCCGTCTTGTCCATCTTCGCGCCCACGAGATATGTGACCGCACCGGGCTGCGCATTCGACTCCACCTCTTCGAACCAGCGCTCCATCGCCAGGAACGAGTCCCGGTTCGAGATGTCGTACACGAGGACCACGCCGTGGGCGCCGCGGTAGTAGCTGTTGGAGAGGGTGCGGAAGCGTTCTTGGCCGGCGGTGTCGAGGAGGTTGAGACGATAGGCTTTGCCGTGGACGGAGAGTTTCTTCATCTTTGTTGAGAGGGTAGGTTAGTTCTTTGATTTGTGTAGAGCGAAGAGAGAGGATCTACCTTGAAATCTACACCTATGGTGGCAGTAGAGGATTCGGAGTCGAACTGGTCATCGCAATATCGTATGAGTACTGGGCGTTTGTGTTAGAGACAGCCTTGTGTTGTATGCTGTTTTAGGGTACTTACGTGCTGACTTTCCTGCTCCTGATGGTCCGATCATTAAGATCTTTAATGTAGAAATCGACTCGTCGGATGCCATCTTGTTGATCTTTCTGGAATATTGCAAGAAAGTTGTTGAGAGACAGTTACCTGGAAGTGAACAAAAAAAGTTCATGTGCCCAGCCAAGGTTTGATTCACGACGTCAGCGCTGGCCGAGGCACCCTGCATCGCTAAAAATCAAAGCGCCACCAGATTCTATAGCAACACAAAGGAAAAGCAGGGTCATTCACAAAGGGAAACGAAATGAGAATGAATATGACGAGTAGTTTTTTGTGTTTTGCATTTAATTTTTTCCTAGCCCTATGCTAGAAAGAACCTGGGCATGCAAACCACGCCATGATCCCAAAGCAAAGACCTGACTACATGCAAATGACCAGTCGAAAACCCCAAGTATCAGACATTGCAGACCCGTTCATACCTCGTCCAACACCTTCTCCTTGAACTCCCGCTCGACCTTCATTCCTGAATCATCTGTGTTTGACTCGCCGTGGAGGTTGAGAAGAGCGCCAAGGTCGAACTTGGGTGCCTTCAGAAGCTTGACCTTTCGGATGTGGACCTGTAGATTTTAGTCAGCTTAACTCCAGACATGATATCTTGAAAATACGCACGTTTTGTAAAGGGTAGATGCCCTGGGTGGCCTTCTCAATCTCACGACCGATGACTTCGGGGATGAGCTTGGCGGTGAGTTGTGTGAGGGTGCAGCTGGAGGCTTCGCGTTGGATGATCTCAGTCATCTTCTTTCGGATAGCTCTAATCTGCGACGAAGCGGCGTATGTGGTCTTCTTAATTTGGTTCGGTCGGCGCTTGGTGAAAGCAATGGCGAACAGGCGGAGGAGGTAGTCATCGGTGGTCTTGACCGTGATGTTGGCCTCGATCAAGGATTGCCACTTTCGGACGAGCGATCGGAGTTTGTCGGATGTGAAATCAAGACCGTGGAAGTTGGTCAAGCAGTTCTTGCCTTGGACCTCGTCGACGCGGAGCTTGATCTTTCGGAATGCGTGGTCCTCATCCTTCTGGAGATCGGCCAAAGAGACCTCGAAGATTCTGCCCTTCAAAGCATCGTTTGCGTTCTTGAGACCAGTGGTTCTGTTGACGAGGGTCTTTCCAACACTGCATTATATTAGATTATGCCATCAGTTTCGCAGGATAAGGTATCGTACTCTCGAACTTGGAAGGAGGAAGGTGCCTGAAAGAATGTTAGCAGCTGGTTACATTCGTCGTTAACATCTCCAATGCGCATACCTTGACTTGATACCAATCTTTGCGGGTGAAGGGATCCAAGGTCTTCTTCTTGAGACCCTTCTTGCCCTTTGAAAGGCGCTTGTTCCTGTCGTAATGTCAGAGACTGTTCGTCGAGTATTTGCCCCTCCATCGAGTCGCAAATATTGTTCTCCATCGTATCGCCATAATATCCATTGAATCAAGGGAGTCAAACTCACTTTCCGACAGCCATGATTGCGATAAGTTACCTAGTCGCGGGGCTGTTTTGTCGAAGGGGATTGTCTTGTCGTTGTAAAATCGTGGAATCTCAATTTGACGAACTTTCTCGTTGTGTGCCGACCTAAATTAGCGAGTAGCCGAATAAAGACTAGCGTGAAAAGCGCCGTCCTTAATCTCCAACTTCAGAACACAACTTCACCAACCGACTCATCATTACGACTTCAGTTCATCATTGTTATCTACAAGATGGAAAATACTATTGTTTGTTGAATATCAATTGTTTGACCTGGGAAGTGCAATGCTCGGATTCCCTCAAGGAGTGGCAATCAAAACCTCATGAGTCTCGTGTTCTCGGATTCAATATCTAGAACATTACCTGTTACTGAGAGGATTGCGTTCCAGCCTTCTCAACGCCGAAGATACACCTTTCACTGCATGAACAACAAAGGCATGCATATGTATACTTTTTGTGGATTTCTCATTAGATACAAGAGGGACGGACAATAGCGGTGTGATAATCTTCGTCATGATCGAAGACCACATCAGCCCAACCCAACAAGTCTACATACAGCCAAATATTGAACACCAATACCTATTCACGCTCGAAATGCAAATATCCGGAACGCCGTTTCCCGAGCGTTGAGCCGTGCTGTTTCCGACGAAGCCTCGCCGGGTGGTATCATTGTGTTCGTACTGTCATTCCATCGTGGCCACGATTCCGTGGCCCGGTCATTTCGATCATTCAGTCATCCGCACCATTGAATCTTCTTCAAGGCACGCCATTCTCTTGTCTGCTCTCCCTCCTCTCTTGATCCTCATGATACTCTTGGAAGTCCTCGAAGCTTGGGAAGCTGAAGTAATTGGCTGTCTCGACATTAGAAACTGTTGGGACATGTATAGTCTTGATGAGGTAACTTACATTGAGCAGCGAGGACCTCGAACGCCTCTCTTCTCTCAGCCAAAGCACTCTCTGGACTCTGTCCTGGGCTGGAACACATGCTCCCATCGCTCGTCCTCCTCGCGTGTTCATAGCTGTGATGGGTTGAATAGCTCGCCAGTGTCGTCAACAATGTAGCTGCTCTTGAGTTCTGAAGACTGGCTAGATCCTGCCTCGATGCGTTCGAAGTGGCAAGTGACGGTGCCGTTGCCGCCGCTCTCATCAACTTTGGTCGTCTCGACGTCGAGGTCTTTGGTGACAAGGCTCTGGTCTGAGATTTGGAAGCCATGGCCTGGTATATACAATCGAATAAAATATCCGAACCGCTTCTCGAATAAACAAATACAACTTCAAGCACAATGAATGATCCTCAAGACTTCGGACAAGAAAGCAACAAGGGCGTTGAATCAATTAAGAATAAGTTTCCGTCCAGACCAGGATACTCCGGGTACGCTTGAGACGTGGAAGCGGGAGGATCAACCTTGAAATAAGGTGTGTTTGCGTATGTACAAGAACGAATCGTACCCCGTGGTCTCGAACCTTTACTAGAACCTAGAATACACCCAAGAAAGAGGTAGATCCTTACTCATATAAGTAACGCAAGAAAAAACCCACGCACCACATCCGCCATCCGCGAGTCCCACTTCAGAGGCCCAGAACTCACTCACAACAAACACCACCACCCAACGCGCCGCCCCAAAACGAGCAATTACCCCATCTTTCCTGTTCTCCCTCTCGTTTACCATTTGCCACATGTCAACGCGTGAGTTGTTTTGGAGGGAAGTGCGTCCCTGCCCGCAGCAGGTAAATCGGTGTCTGCAAGCCTGATATGTGGAGGGTCGTCACTGGACGGGAGTGCGCTGCTGCAATGGGGCTACTGCTGCGTCTCAGCCGAGTTGCTGACACACGCTCGCTCAGAGGCTGCTGCACTGCAGAAACCTTCTGATAATTTTCCTTGGTTGGGATTACACGAACGACGAAAAATTGTCGGCTTTGGTCTTGATTGATCCATTATGGTCCGCTCTCTCAGGCGGGGAGTAATTTTTACTTTCTCTCTTGCGCGAGAGCTCAATTGAGGGAGGTCATAGTTTAGAGGGGGAAAACTGAATTTACGTTTGTGACACTGGAGATTTTTGAGTCGTTGTACAGGGTGGAGTAATGGCAATTAATCCCGCAGGGAAGAGAAGACGAAAATTCGGTTGTTGGTCCCATTCAGACATGCACATAATCTTGATTTTTTGTGACAGAGTATCTCTGTACTAGGTAGAGTTGTGCCCAACGGAGGCACTCTGCAGGTACGGAGGACACCCATACGCCCACCACCACCAAGGCCCGAGTCAACACAAACTGCTCTTTTCTCCCCGCGCGTGATCAATGATCAATGCTGTATTTGGATCAGTTTCATCTGCTTAGATCCTCATTCGGGCTGTACTCACTCTTCCCAGCTACGGCCTTTGACTGCCGCTAATTCTTCTTCTGTCATTCGATGTCCCGTTGTGAAATAACCTGGAAAAGTACACCACGTTCAGCCCTATTCGGGGTGTGGGGGGATATGGAAGGTCTCACCGGCCGTGATCTTCGCGTCTATTTCGACCCTGGAGTCTTCAGGCATCCAAGACTCGGGAAGCTCGACACGTTCATGGATGGGGATACTGTCTTGTTTAGCATTTTCCGCAGGCGGGTTGTGGGGTAAGGCCATGAACGCACCCCTGACTGACAATAGCATCATGCTTCATACTAGAGGGAACGGTTAGCCATCCGCAGCCGAAGTACAGTACCTCGTTCGAATAATAGAACACTCACTTGCTCATACTCAGCATACGATCAATTTTCTTGATGCCGAGCCAATGGAGAATGTCGGGCATCAACGCCTGAAATCTCATATCCTTCACACCAGCAATATTTTCAGTGCGCTTGAAATACTCCGAAGCCCGGTCAAGGCCACGCTTTCTGGCGTTGTATACCAAGTACTACAGTACGAAATTAGCAAGCACCTTAAGGTAAGACAAAGAAAGTTCATGGGGGTTGCGGATAGTCTCGGAGAAGCATGGGGGTGGGGTGAAAGGGACAAAGGGTCCAACCCAACATTGGATGAGATATGCAGGTATGTTCGAAACAGGGTGATGGATCATTGAGAGTATATGAATGGGTGCTTCTCCGTGCAAGAACATGAGAGGTTCTCTTACCTTTGTGACTTCGCCCAAAGCTCGGCCTTCTTTTCGGAAGTAGATAACTACCCCACTCCCACCCTGCGGACGTCAGCGATCGAGGTCAGATTGGTTCCAACTCTACCATTGACTTACCTTCTGTGCCTCCTTTACGGCCTCTTCTATTCCGAAAATGAGATATGGACGGCACGTGCATATGTCAGATCCGAACACGTCACTTCCGTTACACTATTCTTGCGTCAGTCGATGTTCTGCCGCTCGTGAACCGGGACATGAGGGATATTTACTTCGTCATGAACCCTCAGAGCAAGCCGGACTTTCTCATCTGACATCTTGGCCGGATCTCCAAAGCAATACACTGTGAGGCCCCCTGGGAATGGGTCAGCCAAGACCCCAGCCACGGCTTGAGCAATACGTACCGATTGGAGGTAGGAATAGCTTGATGTCTCCTCTGGTGATCAACTCGGGATAAGATCCTCCAGTATGCTCAAACAAGGATCTCCGAAGAGACCCCTCGTCTGTCAAAAGATAAGCAGATCCTCTATCGAATAAGGTAGAGGTGCATACCAATGCCGAATCTCTCAGCGACACCGGGAAGATACCACACCTGACGACGATTAGAAACGCATGCTCTATTGTTCAAAACACCAACTCACTGGTTCTACGGCAAATTTGGTCACTGCCAGCTCACCACTCTCGTTCAAGCAGACCTTGCCGTCGGGGACACTTGGAATGAGTCAGTTACATGTTTGATTGTACGTCTAGGCAGTCTTACAGTCGACCTTCTCGGACACTCTGTTCTAATTCTGGAAGCTGTTGTTGTCAAGTCAATATATTGTCTGCAACAAGGAAGACTTCTTGCAACCTTCATGTGTGCTCTAGTAATCGCTGGCTGACAGTCAGCTTGAAGCCATGCATTGAGTGGGATGTATGGACTTACCGATTGTTGGTCTAATATCGACTTCGAAAATTTAGTGATTCCACATTCACAAAACCTGGAATCCAACTCTTACCATTCTCCTTCTCTATGGTTTCACTAAAGAGCCATGGGGCCAAATGACCTAGTGGGTCCATGGAAACAATTTTCTTCTTGTCTGCCCATTGGGGGAAAGGTCCAAGATTGGCAGCTGGTTCGGTATTGGTGAAATCGGGTCTGAAAGTCCAGGATCAGCATAATGTTTTTGAAATCTCCCAGAGATGATTTCAAAATCTCAAAAAGTATGCACACGTACCTATGGTCTACTTTGATCTCTTTGCTGGCAACAGCAAGAGCATAGTAAATGGAATATGAGCCGCCATGAGCTCCAATGGCTATATGTCATGTCAGCTATTAATCTGACTGAATGAGTTGAAGTCTTTTACCATTTCTTCTCCTGATAGTAGTTTGGCCTCTAGAAACAACAACTGGACCTCTCTTCTGAGGATCTTTGTTACCCCAGTCCATTGGCAGAGGATTAATCCCGGACTGCCCTGGATACGTCCTTTGTACTCGCACATCAGTACACACCACCAACATAATGGAACGTAGAACAACAAGGAAACTCACGTGAGGATGATTCTAGACGTAACGCTGGGTTTTCTAGCGTGCGAGACTTGACCCGGAGAGGAGGTCACGGCGCCCTCAATCTGAGTGGCAGGCAAGGACGGAGATTGGGGCACAGAGTCATCATCAACGACAGTTTGAATTGGTTCAATCTTCTTTACGGGAACATCTTTGTCTGATGGTGATGTAGAAGGAGAAGTAGCAGCAGCAGCAGCAATATCGCGGACCTCCTTCATCCCGGCGAGGACGTTCACTCGACCACTGATGGCATCCACATTGCTTGCCAGCTGTGTCTGATTGACCTGTAATGCCTTCAATGCTTCGAGAACCTCCTTCAGTAACGCACTCTGATCGGTTGGTGCGGAAGCCATGATAGCTATGTTGATGAATAGGAGGAAGAAAGAGAAAGTGGGACGGATGAAGGAAAGTTCTAGTTTAAGTATTGAGGGTCGGTTCGGGAATTAGGATCCTCGTGCTCTGTTTGGAATGTAGTCACAAGTTCGTAGTGGAAGCGAGTGTTTGCTGGACTGGACTGGACTGGAGTGTAGTGTAGTAATAGAATGTTGGAAGAGAGGAACGGTGAGAAAAGCTCAGCGAATGAAAGAGAAGAGTTGCACCCGCCGTGCCCTTTAAAAGCCATTTGATTTGTCTCCGTTCTTTCCTGCTTCGGAGCATTTCACACTTCACACTTCACTGGAACTGGGCTGGACTGGGACTGCGTACCTAGGGAAAGCTGCGGGGCAGCCAGATAGCGATAACGAAGCCCACTAGTCCTTGCTTGTGATCGCGGCGCAGTCCCCTGTCAGTGCTGCACTTAAACTTTGAAGCGGCGTCGCGCTCTTGTGACAATCTCAACAGAACAAGAAGACTCGAACATCACAGCACATCACCAGAAACATGGTAAGAGAATCTGCCACACTATCTGAGGATTAGGAAGTTAAACTAATTCAATAATCCGTAGGGTAAACGCAAGAAGGCCGCCAAGAAGCCTACGGGCCCCAAAAAGGTGAGTCCGCCCTTGATCCATCTTGCGCCTGGAGACATTCTAACAGTACGCGCAGAACGAACCTCTCCCTACCGTATTCCCCTGCCTCTTCTGCAATCATGAGAAGTCCGTCACAGTCAAGGTCGACAAGAAAGCTGGTGTTGGCCATCTCACCTGCAAGGTCTGCAGTCAACAATTCCAATGCGCCGTCAATTGTACGTACCGCGTTCAGATAGCGCCATGCTTGAATGAAGGACTCCCCGTTAACCATTTCTTTGCTGCAGATCTCTCGATGCCGGTCGATGTGTACTCGGATTGGGTTGATGCTTGCGATGCGGTAGCTAAGGAGGATGGTGAAGAGAGGGCTGCGGATCTCGCCCCGTCGCGTGCCCCGGCTGCTGGACGCCCCAAGGCTGGTAGAGCAGCAACGGAGGAAGAGGATGATGATATTATCGATGATGGCTCTGATGGCATGGGTGGTTATGGAGGAGAAGGTGTGGTTGCGGATGATGAATATTAGGGGGTTCTCTCACTTCGGGCTCAGGTGGAGTTTGGCATGATGCTAGGGGCGTTAAGGAGGCACAAAATGGAATGTCCATCTGAAAGTTTCGGATGAGACTAAGTTGTGACTTCACGGCAATGTATGAAAATGGCTGCGCACACTATATTCTGGTCCAAGTGATTTCATTGTCCCAAGTTGTGTCTATATCAGGGACGTCAAGAAGACTGGTCTCAATCGAGGCTATTTATTCCGGACCAAGCCCTTTTCTTTTCTCACCAAAATTGCATGATGCCCTAATCGTCTACATAGTGTAGAATCTATCACCAAAGTCACCTAGTCCTGGGATAATATAGCTGGAGGCAAATTAGCTTCAAATTTCAGATACTTGAGATGTGGACTCACTTTTTCTCATCAAGACCCTGGTCAATGAACGATGTGACCACCCTAACCTTAGGGAACTTCTTGGCAAAATTCCCTACACCTTCTGGACTTGCAATAAGATTCAAGAACAAGATTCTCTCCTCTGGAACACCTCGAGAGATCAAGACTTCCACAGCCATGGCAGCAGATCCACCTAGATAATGTAAGCATTTGCTCTTCCTTTTCAAGAACTCTCCATACCTGTAGCAAACATAGGATCAAGCAAGAGGACCCATCTCTCTGCAATATCCTCTGGCAGCTTGTCATAGAATAGCTTAGGCTTAGAAGTCTCCTCATCTCTCTGAATCAGGATCTTTCCAATTCTGACCGAACGACAACAATCTCGAAGTCCCTGCTCCATAGCTTCACCAGCTCTCATGATAGAAACACCACATATCTTGCCTTGGAACATGACACCAGCATAGGTTCGTCCCACAGGTGTAGTGACCGTGTGCTCGATGACCGGTAGGTGATTCAGACCTTCTTCAACAAGAAGCCGAATAATTCGGTTCGAGTAGAAGATGAAGTCCGCCCTGTCGGTGTTCTTGTCTCTGATCATGCTATAGGACAATCAGTACGACAAGACCACAACCAAGAGCTTCACTTGGGTACGCACGTGAGCAGAGCAATTAGCTGTGGTGTTTGTGGAAGGACATGAACAGTCTCGTAAGGTACTTCGGTCGAAACAGTAGCAGTAGGCTTCTGCTTCTCTGGACGATAATCTGGGCCCACGCATTGTTTGGGAGACTGAGGCTCTTGTGATGCCATATTGGAGGTTTGTATTTGAAGCTCTTCTAGAGCACGTGAGGAAGTAAAGAAGATTCTGCTGCGATGAACAGACAGAGTTTGTACAATCAGTCAGTGTACATGGTCCGAGGGTGGGTTGCTCTTGTTGAAAATGCCTTGCGCTTGACAGGAGTTCTATATTGTGGAAAGGACAACGAACTCGAGACTGGATTTATAGGTGAATGGAACAGGAAAGTATCGGCCCCTCCCGCTCCTGCAATAAAAAAGTCTCGAGTCCGGTGAATTGGTCCTTTCGTGGTCTCGTGAGAGCGGGGTGAATTGGAGATAAGAATGGTTGGTCTGACTAAAAACACCAGCCACTTGATGGATGACTGAGCCACTTTCGGACTTTTGATGGGTTGCGGCGCCACAGCAAGCGGAAAGGCTGAAGGCAAGCCGACGTCCAGTGCAGTCTGCTTGCGGACAAACATTTCGAGGGAAGCGTGAATTCACATCAGTCACATTTATCTCTTTGAATGTCCCACGGCATGTTCGGGTCTGACGAGCTCATTCCAGAGTTGATTGTCTGAAATTATATCGAGTCTCACTCATTTGTCGCGCCATCCGATCTCCGCTCCCTTTATTTACATCGAACCTTGAAACACACCTTGTTCGCGTTCACAACCTCCTACCAGCAACGCCGATGACGACTTCCAGATAATATCAACATGTTCCCTACATAATCCTGCACTTTCCTTGTCTGCAAAGATCAAAAGGTTGCTCTGCTGCAAGCTGGAGACCACAACTTCAAATGCGACTGCTCCCTTCCTTGAACATCCCTCCACTCAGTCGTCGTGATGGCGACTGTTCGCGATCTTGTGCCTCCGCGCAAGAAGGTCACCACATATGGGAAAGCAGCAAGAAGGAGGATACCCGAATACAGCTTCACGTCACGCAAATCTCAAACACCTGAAATTGCGAAAAGTCCCGATTCACAAGTGTCTGCAAGCACCACGACTACAGCAACACCTACGAAGCTGAAGTCTGTGCCGCGGAGATCAGTCTCGAGAACTCCTTCGTCTGCCTCTCCTCCTTTGGATGTATTCGACGTACCGCTTAGCGACGGCGAAACAGTTGTAGCCGTTCAGCGGCCCATTGCTACGCCGTCGAAGCTTAAGTCTATCCAGTCCAGGTCTGCCTCGAGCACGCCTCCATCTGTACCTACAAAATCTGCGGATGTTTACGATGTACCTACGAGCGATGATGAGGCGCCGAAACGGCGGACTACACCCAGGCCGCCGAAAGTCGTTCCAAAGAAAAGTGCTGCTGTGAAAACTGCCAAGGAGAAGGCTCCCCCTGCAGTATCTAAGGCTATCTCTCGTCCAGCTGTGGACGTTTACGATATGCCGTCTGATGATGACGAAGCTCGAGAGCTCAAGCCTAAGCCAATTGCTCACAAAGCTTTTAGCAAATTGGCGTTCGTTCACAACAAACAAGAGAAGGGTACACATAAGACAGGCGCGGATATGGTAGAGGAAGTGGGAAGCAGAAAACGATTAAAGTTATCTCCAGCCCCCGACCCTCCATCGCCAAGACGCCTACCTCTACCTCCCAATGCCATTCCCCGAAGACCAAAACCATTGGTCAAGCCAGAAGCCTCTGATCGACCTACGAAGCCCTTAAGAGGACGTAACACTTCCCCCAAGGCAGGCCAATTCACCAAAGTAGCCACTGCCCCCAAGTTTGAAGCACCTTTGAAATGGCCTACCCATCCTGCAACCCCCAGAAGGCCGAGCAAATCGAGGAGCAAATCGAACACTCCTGAATCAAGCGTTCCTTCGCCAGGACTTGGTGACGTTGATATGATGGATGCGGATCCTGAGCACAGGCATATCTCTCCAAAGGGTTTAGAGATGTGGCAAGCTCTTTTAGACCCTGCAGAAGACGAAGAGATGACGATTGAGGGGAGTATACCCATCGTCGAAGTGACCCGTGATGAGCCAACTAAGAAGAAGGCACCGGGCTTGAATTTGCTCTCAAGACCAGCTGGAGTCGTTAAAGCCTCGCAAAAAAGTCCAAAGAAACTACCAAGACGAAGGCTGATTGATTGTCTTGTTGAACAAGCAGTTCAAGAATCCGAGGAGAGCTCGGCGGAGGAGGACAATGGATCAAGCATGGACTCAGCCCCATCCTCGAGTCCGGCCGCAGCACAGTCTACATCAAGGGGCCAAAGCTTAGTACCTGAAGCTTCAAAGTTGCCCCCCATTACCTCAGATAGCCAAGGTTCGCAGCCAACTGGCCCGAAGTTTACTTATAGCAAGCAAAGATCTATGCTAGCCGAGGCCGATCTGATGGCAGAATTGGCAATGGACATGCCATTACCACCTATTCAATCTTCGCAGGGTAGAAGAGGTCGCATGATGCCATCTATACCTCTTCTCAAACCTCTGGCAGACTTTCACGACGACGAAGATGAAGATGATTCCACGGCTGCCGTGAAAAGTGTTCATGAAATTAGGAAGCAGGGTGCTAATAATCGCTTCCTGGACGAGACCCAGGACTTTCTTGATCGAATTGGCAGCCCGGGCGAAACACCTGTATCCATGAGAAGATCAGGTCTGTTCGATCTAGCCAGCAAGATGAAGGAAAAGTCTTTCGCAGAGAAATTCCGTGCAAATGGAATGGAGCAGAAATTATTCCTTCATCTGGGCCAAGAAGCTGATATTGTGGCTGGCTTCATCATGGTATCTTTGCTGACTACTGTCCTGCTCGATGGCAACATGTCTCACATCGTAGCTCAACTACGTCGACAAGGCATCACCAGGCTTCTTATCCGCCTTCTTGAATGCCAGTCGCCTATTGCTGTTGTGGCGAAGGATCGTAAAAGCAACATGTCAAAGGTTGCCCAATCACTTCTGATCGAGCACGCAAACGATGTCATGCTGATGCCATCGTGGGATGAGTTGAAGCCCCAGTCATTGTCTCCCCGCACGGTGGCCTTGAAGTGTTTAGAGGTCATGGTTCGACAGACTAGAGATGCTGGAAATGACGGCGAGATCTTCTCGAAAGAACTCACTACAACCCTGTTTGAAATCCTAAAGACCGCTTCTGACGAACGTTCTTGGGACCTCCCGAAGAACAAGCAAGCAATCGATTTTTTCTTGGCGGTGTCAGCTCTAGAAGCACATTCTCTTGCCGCTCGAACAGTCCAGAATGAGACCATCTGGATCAGCGACTATCTACCTATTGTCGCTGATACTTTAGAGGTTGCTCTATCCCAACCAGTCGAAGAGTTCGGCATGTTACAGCTCCTTCTCTTCCGACTCGTCCTGAATGTCACGAACAACAACTCGAAAGCATCTGATGTGTTTGCCAAGCCTACTTTGATTTCGTCGATGGGGCAAGTCATCGTTGCGAAGTTCAATCGAATCTCACGATTTCTGCTTGAGGAAGAACTGTTTGTGGCTGTTGAAAACTTGATCCTACTCGAAGGCGTGATGATCAATTTCGCGGAATGGAGCTCAGCCGCTCGTGAGAGCATGCAAAGTCTGGAAGGTCGAAGCAACGACCCATTAAATGCAATGGTCCAGATCTTTGCGGATAACCAGGACAAGATATCAGAGGTAAGCGGCATGAATTTTAAGAATCAAAGAAAGACAACGCTAATTTGTAATAGGCCGACTCGATGCAAGACACGTCAAAGAACGTTGCTTTCGGCTACCTTTCGGTTCTTCTGGGCAATTTCGCGCTCCTACCAGCCATCTCAGAAAGAATACAAAATAGACAACCCAGAAAAACTCTACGTCCTATCGTAGCATCCATCGAAGAATTTATCGGCCACAACAAAAAGGTCGACATGATAGTAGCTGATGAAGACGGCTACAACCCACAAGCCGGACTCACCGAGCGGCTAGAGAACTTGGTTAATAAGCTTGCTGAACTGAAGGTTGCAAGCAAGTAGATGAATTGGCTTTACAGAAAGAGAGACGGCGGGCTTGAATAGCGGTTAGAATTACACAACACACACACAACTCTGGGCTTTTCATTTGTTTGCAATAGGAGGCAGGGGGCGAAACACTTTTTTAAATATACCCTTATTGCATTTTTGGGCACGCATCGGTTTATGATGAAGGGATAACAGTAAACGGGATCCGCGGTGTTTAATCAGGGTGCATGTACAAGGATCAAGTGAGGAGGAGTTCAGAATGCGAAATGTATGGGTTTCAAGATTGAATTTCATTGTGATGGGATGCTACACTCTCTGCAATCCGAGTTACTCCTCAATCCAACCCCAAACTCGCCATTTCAAGGACTGGCATCGCGTTCCCGCGAACTCTAGTAAGCACGATTCCCTCTTCCTTTGCTCTACCCTCCCAGTATTCACCGTACCTATCATGAGAGTCCATTGTCGCATATTCATCAAACTTCAACTCTATAGTCTTGAGGGACGTAGCATGGCCACGGTCCAGAAGATCAGCCACCCCGTCAAAGATCGCATCCGAACAGTCTCTCACGACGAGATGCTCCAAAGACTCAGGCATCAAGTCAGCAAACCACGAAATTTCCTCCTCGATGTGATCAAAAGTAAAAACTTCCCCATCATAGTCATCCTCGCTATCGCCCTCACTATCGTCCTCGCTATACTCTGCCATTTTGTGGTTGAGTCTAATGAAGTTCACGAAATCTGCGTCAATAATACGCAGTTTCGGGAATGATGCCAAAGGCGAAACGGGATACCAGCGACTTGCTTCACAGGCGAGGTCGTTTGAGAGTACTATTTCTTCCAGGGACTCTTTGGATGCCAAGAGGCCGCTGGCGATGGCGGGATCTACGAATTCCCTCCCCATATCGTCGTTCCCGGAGTCGTAGGTAAAGCGTCGAAGATACGGACAGCAGTACAGTAGGCAACTGAGCGAGTGCGAATTCATACTATTTTTGATGAGCGAGAGATCGTTGATTTTAGACTGAGAATCGTAGATAAAAACACACTCCTTATCCATCTCGTCCAGGAGTCTGTGGGCGCTGACTGTGGTCACGGTATCGAGTTTGAGGAACGGGAGGAGCTCTTTGATGCTCAGCAGTTGCCCACCATCCGTATTCAAAGAGACGCTCGACAGTTTCTGTAGCGGTGCCCCAGGCTTCCCCTTCTCGGTGACGGCGTAGGCCAGAATCTCGTACAAGCGCGGGTATGAGACGAAGCCGCCCATCTGGAGGATCTCGAGACTTTCGAGGTTGGGGAAGAGCGCGAGGAAGAGCGCAGCGGCGGCATCCTAGCTGTCTTCTAGCACCTCTTTGAACTAGCTGTGCTTCTTCTGGAGACGGTTGCGCATTGTAACGGTTGGCAGGAGGTTGCAGAGCAGCTCTTTGTTGTTGGCGAGCACGGGTGTGAAGTCGATTGGATCTTCGGATGTGGTCAGGACTAGGTGTTTGACGTTTTCTGCGGTACGCGGGTGGAGCAGGAGACAGCGGAGGATCTCTGGTCTGGTTGTTTCGTCAGCCACGTGGCGTTTGGGGAGTGTGGAGAGAGACATGATTTTTTATGGTCTTGCGGGAAAGTGGTGTTGGAGCGCGATGGTTTCACGAGTTTTGACATCACGGAGGTGTGGGCGTGGCGCGACTGGCTTCTACTAGTGGAAGATATCATTGTTCCAGAGTCTGTGGGACAATACTAGTGGGCTAAGTCCCGAAAGTCAACTAATGTTCGAGATATAGATCTTTGTTCAATCCGAAGAACTTGCTTTCCGTTTACTTATCTTGTCCCGCAAGCTTTGGGACAATATCATCTTATATATAAGCTTCTACAATAATCCGAACACTCTCAAAATGCTCGTTTCATTTTGCATGGCATTGTCTGTTGTTTGTTAATGCCAATGGCTAAGGTAATAGGCAGCGAAGTTTCTTTGCATTTCTGACAGATGTGGACACTCGAAATAGTTACGCCAATTTCCAGGACCCGATATACGTTCCAGTATTAGTGGATCCCGTTATCGTCTATGGAATCAGTGCAGAATCTTACATTCTACCAGGCTGTGCGCCAGGTGGGCATATCTGTCACCGGGGGAAGTACGCAAGCAAATTCTTGTTCATGAAGGTGTGATTGCAAACGGGAGAATAATCCATCACACAGCCATAGTGGCAGGTACTAGAATTCGCTACCCGAAGAGCTATGATATTTCCTCCCTCTACAACGCTACTTATACTTGATCTTTTGGACCAATCTAGGAGCGGAAAGGTGAGCTTTGTTTTGACCTTGTCCAATAACACATATACATGTTCCTCGTAGTGTTTCCTCCACACAGTTATTAATGTCTATATGATCGTTGCCGTTCCCATTTCCTGTCTCAGCCTAGTCATCGATGTTCTGGAGAAACAACTCGAGAGATTTCGCGGCATTGCTGAGCTGCCCAGGGAGTGTGGACTTGGATACAAGATGTTTGAGAAAATTCAATCCTCTTTTTCCTCTATGTGAAGACGTGGGGAACTTTACCTTGTCAATGTTCGGCCTTCGTAGCCTCAGACACAGCAGCTTCGCTGGAGATTGGTGTGATGTATGCTTTGCATACTATCTCTGAATCTCTTGACCCTTCCTCACCAAACGTTGTACCCAGAACGAAGTTGAAAGCATCGATGGAGGATCTCCTCAGCGACGAGTACGGCATTTGTATCGTTGAATGCAACCTTTTTGGGATTGTCATCCTGTGGGCTCGAACTGGTTGGTTCTCACTCGTTCCCAAAAATCTTGCTCGGGGAGAGGCGGCAATGCCATAGTCAATAATGTCAAGTTGAGAGTGTTAAAATCCTTGGAACGAAAGAATTCTCGATGCTTCGATACATCTTTTCCATTTTTCTTATCATCATGTCAAAGTGGAATTATACAGGGGAAAGATGTTGTCTTAGATAAAGGCAAAGAGCTGGATATATAAGTCATGAATAAGGCAAGCTATAATGCTCCACATGATCCAGGTATCTTTCTAACACAAAAGGTTGTCAAGAGTGCGGAAGAGTTTGTTCGCAACCAAGATCGACGGACTTCCAGAAGAAGATGAGCACTCTCGGAAATCCGGACCTCAATTCGAGACTCCAAAGCTTGAGTTGCTTGGCACTTGACTAGCATGAGCTCTTCGAAGTCCATGAATGAACGGTCACTTACATTTTCACAACTCTTACTACACATAGAGAAAAAAAGTTGTCTTTCAACCCAATAACATTCAACCAAATCACCGGCCTTGACCTCTCTTATCAAGAAGTACATCGGCAAAAGTACGCTCGCTCAACTTGAGGTTGCCATGATGACTTGCGAGCTGGCTAAATTCTTTGAGTCCGAGGACTACCCCATAACAAACCCAATAGAAGCAAAACACGAGGTTCTGAGTTTTTGCTTGCATGCCTCGAACCGCTGAGCACATTTACACTTTCTTCTTTCGAAAATTGTGGACACTTATGCGCAAAAGAGCTGCAACATGGTCAACTCACAAGCATTTTTAAAGCCCCTCTCATTCTCCCAAATCGTCGGGATCATTAGTCGAGCTAATCATAGCGTCCTGATAGCTCCTTCCCTCTGCAAGCTTCCATTTCTGAAAGGAAAATTGAATTCAAAACGTTGTTGCTAAATAGGAAGGAACTGTCCTCGAGCTCACCGCACTAGGCTATAAAACCCCACTTCGCTTCGCTTCCCTCCACTTCTTCTCTTTACAACAACGCAAAAATTCAACCCGACCTAGCTCTACCTGATCAGAGGCACTTCGCACGTTCAGAAAAACTGCTATAGAACCATCAAGATGTTGAGAACATCCTATATGTCATTATCAGCTGTGCAAACAGCAAACTTGGATCTCCAGCGCAATCTTCTCCCTTGAGCCGCGTTGCAACGGCAGCCCTCCTACCACGGGTCACGGGTCTTCTCAACTCTGCCATACAGTTAGCCAGCGAGCTCGCATCAAATCATACAACTTCCGACAACTTGTCACAGAAGCTTCGAAGACTTTATTCATTGTTGAATACACCCTCATACAGATACAATGGCTAGATGGGAAGGAGCTCCTCCCTAGCGAGTGTCTTGGTACAAATCCCTGCCGTCATACGGGCCGTTCCGCATTCCGACAACCTTTTAATCCTTGCCAACTCCAAATCGAAAAGGAGAAAACGCCATCCAACTCGCAGATTGCTGACAGGTGTGACAATCCTATTCCTCCATCTCCTCCAAATTCAAACACATCCATGATCCAAGAACGCCTCCAAACTCCGAATCTCCCTCGAATATCACAGGATCACCTCTTCTTGGGTTTGGGCTTCTTCGTCTTCACACCACCCTTCTGTTGCACACCAGCATCGACCACAACATCTGTACTGGTGCCACACCTATCAGACGGCATGGCACAGTCTTCGCAGTCTTCACCCATCCGGATTCTCTGCCAAATGTTCTTCTTCTTACATGGTGTTTGCACCAAACCAGCGGCTGAACAGTACTTTCCAAGGGCGTAGGTCACATGCTTACATGTGTACTCATGAGCGTACCAATAACACATCTTTGCGAAAGGACGTACTTCGATTCCGACTTGCTGTGCTCGAATTGCTCGAAACACTTGTCGACAAGGTCTGATGGGTCGTGGATTATGGATAGCTATGTTGAGTCTGCAACGTTTCGTCTCGATATGGACAATTCAGCTGAATGGATGAATGCTCAGTAGTGGGTCGACTGGGAAATGGTAATCCTGGAAAGATGTTGTTCGATGAGCTCAAGTAGTTGCGTGAGCGTGCAACGACAGGCTTGAAATGAAGCTTGAAGCATCACAAGCTGGAGTCACCATCTCACCCTTATAAGTATCCCCAGTCCGCCTTACATTCAACGATCGACATGGTCGTTTTCCGGAAGGTGTCCCGGATGCAACTTGCCAAGGTACGAAGGCATCTATGTCACGATCTTAGCGTCTCAGCAGCTCGTTATCACTTCTGATAGACCAGCCTTGGTCCTCGATAAAGCTTTCCGATATTCACAGCAATCACTGCACCCTGCCTGCATTGCCTGTTTGCTCAGAGTATGTGGCCGCTCATAGAAATTCCTGCCCAAATGAGGCGACAGTGTAACAAACGGACCTGGACTTGGTTTGCTCCACGTTTCGATGAGAGGTGTTTGGGAGGAACAAGTCTTCGATATCAGAAAAGGAGGCAAGCAATCACTTGAGCTTGCATGCGGCTCTCGAAGATCCTAACTCGAAATCTGGTTTGGAGTCATCATCGGATCTGTCCGAATTAAAGGGCTGCAAGGAACAAAATTTGGGAAACCATAGAAGCCTGGCAACTAGCCCAGTCAGACAATCGGGCAGGAGAAAATGGACTTAAGGAGTGTTTCGAATATCAAACGGCCAGAGAACATCGAACGTGCGCCAGACGCTTCCAAACCGAAATGATTAATCGGTTTCATTGTCACTTGACAGATGCCCAGAACATCCATTTCAGATTTGTACAAGATGCGTTTTCAGAGACAGCCAAATCGAAACCCAATATCTCTAGGCACGTCGGGCTGGCTCCCTTATATACTGGCTTGGTGATGCGATTCGACGTTCCAACAGGCTTCTAGAAGCAGCAGCAGCAGCAGTCGGTGCTGGCTTCCTCTGCATCCGCCGCGTGGAAAAGAGACAATTTCCGGATCCCTGTGCTGGCTCGCGTCCAGCGACGCTTCACCGCCTCTTCCCAGACCAGACCAGAGACTTGTTTGCCGACCGAGCGAGTGCGAGTGCTGTCCCCTCCCCGTCATCGACTCTCGCAGACCACCACCGGATGAGAGGGGAGGCCGCATATTTGAAGACCAAGTGCGATGAGATGAAGTCCGTCGTCGTCAGTGATGTGCTGGCATCGATAATGGCGAGGTTGGGCCAGTGTGACGAGAAGGAGACGTTATTATAACCGTCGGCCACGAGGTGGAGACGTTCGCAGCAGCACTTTTGCAGCTGTCATTGGGCGGCGGGCTGGGCGAGGGCCTGGAAATGACATGGCGGGTGTCGAGGCGTCGGCCAGTGAAAGTGCTGAAGCAGCTCCTAGCCCTACTGCTCGCCCTCGCGCCCGCATGAAGAGCTGCATACGCTCGGCGATTTCTCATTGAGTGATATGCATCATATCAAAATCAAATCAGGAGCATCGTGCATGGCCCTTGAAGAAGTGCCTGCACACACTACTTGGCGCACACTGATTTTTGAATGATTGTGACTTGGGAATAGACTCGGAGGCGTTGACGGCGGGTCTGGACGGCGACGAGGGTGGCAAAACGTGCCTCGGGATAGCAGCCAGATCAATAACAAGAACAATAGCGGCGATGGATCAGCCAAATGCTCCTAAAGCAGTCTGGTGCCGCTCCGCTTCCTGGAGCAAAGTCTCTTGTCGTCTCGTCCACCGCGCTGCCACGTATCTTGCAGGACCGCTGCATCTACACGCCGGAATATGCAGCTACAGCCTTCATACATCTAGATCAGAGCTTCGTGCATTACCCTTTGACGCACGACGGAGGGGGGTTTCATTCGCAATTGATTCAATTGGAATTGTGTCTGTCGGCGGGCGGGTCTTCTAGTGATATTAAGAGCTTCGTCGTCTGGCTGTCTGCTGCTCCTGCTCCTGCTCTCTTTCTAAAAGATCTTGCTGCCATTGTTGTTGTTCTGCGCGCTTGCTTTGTACCTCGAAAAGCCCTCAGACGCGTCTTGTCGTCGTCCAACGCTCGTTCAATTGTGGGATCAGCAAGTCCCCAGCAGCCGTCCAAGACTTCTCTGTGCGCCCTTTGCTTCTGTTGCACGGCGCCTGCGTATTCTGAGAACTCAATTGACCGTTTTCCGGCTGCAATCTGAGGGACGACCTGGCGACAGGCACATCAACCCTCGTTCTCCATCACCGGCCCCACGACGCACTCTTTACACCGCTTTTGCCTGTCTCAGGTGCATCTGCGCCCGCTGGAGAAGTCGAAATGCTTTGTGCGCATTCCAATCCATCGTTCGAAGGAAAAAAGATAAAGGGATTGTCGCGGAAACCATTCTGCAACGACTGCTGAGAATCCAAGTGGCTGAGTGAGGTCTGTTTCAGCCTGTCATTGGCTCTCAGGTCACTGCCCTCGCGCCTGGAAAGGGCCTGTAATTATAGTGGTCAGTGAAGCTTCAATTGGATGACGGTGGATGAACAGTGGCCTACCAGCGCTGTCTGTCATCTAAAGTCCGCTATTGTGACGTTGGGTCCTGGGTCTGACTGTGTGCAGTATACGTTGCTGGTGCTGGTGCTGGGAAGTTGGGAGTGGAACTCGGGTGTCCGCCATTGAAGAGGAAGAAAGACATCTGGTGAAAAGAATTAATACGACTTCGACCTTCTCGTCCCAGCTCTGTTTTCGTCCCATATTGAATCAATCAGTCATTGGCCTATACGTCAGTAACGCGCTTGAAATAGACGAAGTTCCGAGGTCCGATTCTCTGGGGTGGTGGTGAGGAGGTGTTCAGTTCGCCAAAATTATATCGCGACTTTTTTCCAGCTTCCATCAACAGCGACAATCTCCCAATTCGGAACAACTCTAGCACGACATCATCGCCGAGACTTTCTGCCTCGCAGAGAAATATCGTGGCCTCGAGGCAACGACAGTTAGTCTATCCCACAGATCTAATTTTCTCCAAATTCTTTTCCTCTGTAAGTTGCCAGCAACACTGTTCTCAACATCCACCTTCAGATCGAAGCAATAATGGCTGACCTTTCGCGCATCAGCGAACCTTTCCCGCCTGTAGGAGCAGCGCGCAGGAAGCTTGGCGATCCTGCTAGCCTCAGTGCATATTCATACGCCTCAAGAAAACGTGGTCAGGCAGGTCAACAGCACAAGTGAGTTATCACACGGAACATAGCTCGCCCAAGCTTCGCAGGGCAGTTACTGAACTTCTCACAGATTCTCATCTTACGGCAACAATTCCAGGTTCGAGAGAGGCACGTCTCACAATATTCAATCTTACGGCGAAATTTCCACGTTCGAGAGAGGCACCCTGTAAGTAAACATCTCATGTTGCTCTAGAACTTGTGGGGCAACATGAGTGAAAGCAGATTCTTCGAGATAAAAGGAATCTCATCATTCCAATCTCGATTTATGTTTAGCACTCAGCCCGCTTACATTGTCCCACAAACTGTAGAATATTATCTACTATTCTAGTTTCTACGGTACTCCAGATTTTCGATCTGCGTTGGCTGACCCTTCTCCAGACAAATATTCCTCAACCTCTCGCTGTCGGATATAGCAATGGCGGCTCTCTCCCCGGTTGACTTAAAGTTCCTAGGTCAATTCGCTCGAAACATCGAGGCCGACAATGAGTTACTAGGCAAACAACTCTACAAATTGAACGGTTGCTTTCGAATGCAGGCCGGAGTGGTAGTCAAGGCGCGTAAGGAACGACACTTTGAAACTGATCCTCTGAGCGATGTCCCCACCAATAGAGAAAGAATTGTGTGGTATGCCAGGGAGGCCCTGACTCTATTAGAACAGTATGTTCTACCAATGGTTGCCAACTACACTGAACTGAAGGTTCTGGCATACAAGTTGAAGGCTTCTTGCTATCATCTTTACGTCTTGTTTCACAACCAGCCACCAATTGCCCTCAAGAGCGCCCAGGTTTCCACCCCACCAGGACTCAAGTCACCTCGTACCAAGCTTGACAAGGGCAAGGGAATCGACCGCGGCTCTCCAATCCTCTCCGATCGACCTAGTTCTATCCAACCAACCCATCCGCTAGAAGGAGGACCTGTTGGCGGATACAACTTTCGATTAGTCGATAAGTCGAACTTCTTGATCCCTGGCGTCGACTATCGCACCAAGGCGCTCGAGTGCTTCCAAGAAGCTACTGCATTCGCTGAGAGGCTCCTCTGGGGCAGTCATCCTCTTCGCCTGTCCTTGAAGGTGGAGTTCTGTGCTTTCATCTACGACTGCCTTCATGACCGTGAACGTTCTCGACAACTCGCTGCCGTCACCATCGCTGAGGTCTACAATGCACAAGAAGGAATGGACGACGAAATGTTCGAGGACGCTACAGAGCTGGTGGCTATTCTCGCAAAGATGGCGAAGCGTGGTTTGGCATCCGGACGTGGAGGAGAATCGGCTGGTGGTAGTTCAGGTACTCGAACCGCATCACCTCTACGCTTTGGCGGAGCTTCGCAACACCCAATCGCAAGCCCAGGCATGGACAATCCAATCTAAGGATCATTTCACCAACGACACCATTTCCTTCTTCCATAGACTCTTGATAGCGAAGGCGCACGGCTTGGAGCATACTGAACTTGTAATGGAAATGGAGGGGACTTGGCATTTGCATTGAAAGGCGTTCTTCATTCTGCTTTTTTCATAATTTGTGCATCAACCTGTAATTGTACATCACAACATTGCAAAAAGGACAGGGAATCTGCATATTTCGCATGGTGGACTGCTTTATACCCGACTGACGACTGAGAGTCAGTGCATACTACAAATGCGAGGATGGTAATAGAAGTCTGCTGATTCATTCATTTATGTCGTGCCTATAATGTGACCTCGTTGACTCCGTGAACATCTGGTTAAGAAGGAGAATGAGCATTTTGTCAAGTGGCAGACGATTTTGAATGGTACTCCGCAAACTGCGCTGAGGGCGCGAATCTCGCGAAAGGCGCAAGTTGCGCGAATCGCGCGGATTGCGCGGATAGCGCATACTTCACATTCAACAGGATACTGGATTCAGGTCCCTATCCTTTAATTCTCGGTCACTCAAAACTCCTCTACATTCGAAGCCTGAAAGTTGCAGGGAGAGAGGAGTCAGAACAGGCACGGGTACAGGCACGGGTACAGGCACGAAAGTTGATGCTGTCCGTTGGTTCATTATTTCATTGCTTTTCTGTTCTGTTCCGATGACCTTGATTTAATCCCCATCGCTCCCTCGCTCTCTAAACAGAGGAGAAAAGAGCAATAGACCATTCATTATTCCCAGTTTTCTCATATCGTTTTCCACACTATCAAACGTCCCCAAATCAAGCTTCCCTTCCGAATTCCTTCGATCAAGACGGCTGGCTTACTTACTTAGAACTAGAGTCACTAGCGTCAGTCTTAAACTTGCGCTCGATAAACTCAGCAGCGACCATGCGACCAGTCCAGTTGTAGAAATTGGCCTGCATGTGCAACCACTTCTCGCTCTCGTAGCGTTCGAGCAGGTGTTCTAGCAGGTCGCAGTCGTCCTTGGACCAGGTGGCGTCCGGGACAAGCTTGCCGTAGAGTTGCGGGCCGAAGGAGATGCCGAGGGGGTCTTGGGCTGGGGAGTTGGTGCCTTGGTTGTTGTCGAAGGAGGAGGTGTTGGGGTCCGCAGCGTTGGCTTGCTGCTTCTTGCCCTTATTCTTCTTGTTTCCCTTCTTGGTGGCCTTGTCTTCGTTGTCGTTGAAGCCATCGAGCAAGGTTTCCAATCCGGCGATGATTTCGGCGTCGTCTTTTTCGTGACTACCACCTCCGTTGTCGTTTTCATCACCAGCGAACAAGTCGGCTCCGAAGGCATCATCGATGACCTTGTTGTCGTTTTTGTCAGTGGTTTCTTCAGCAGCAGGCTTGGACGGTTGTTCAGTCTCAGCTTTCTTGAGTTCCTTGAAGCGGTTGACGACAGCTTGCTTACTGGATCCGACAGCGGCGACGATCTCCTTCCAGGACTTGTTGTCAGCTTTCATCTCAAGGATGGTCTTGTCTTGCTCGGCAGTCCATTCATCGGAGGTGGCCGTCTTCTCGTCGGAGTTGTCTTTGTCCTTAACTCCATCCTCCTTCTTGTCATCAGACTTCTCCTCGACAACAGCATCAACAACAACCTCAACATCCTTACCCTTCTCCTCATCCTTCTTCTTCTTGCCACCTCCAGACTTCTTCTCCTCGTCACCCTTCTCCTTCTCGGTATCGGCATCATAGGCCTCATACTGGCAGATCCAATGATACTTTCCACACTCGCAAAGAGCCGTCTTGGCACCCGCAGGAACAGCTCCCGCAACAGCACCCTCGCAGCACGGCGTCTTGCACTTCTCGCACCACTTCTCGTACGTCTCGGGCGCCTTCGCCTCCGGGATGTCGCACTCCTCCTTTGTCTCAGTCTTGGTGGTCACTTCGATTCTAGCCTTCTTTCCGACGCGCTTGCCCTTGCTGGGGATCAGGGACTCGTCGGCGATTTCCTGAATTACGGGGTTAGTATTTGTGAAGGAAGGGAGGAATGGAGGGAGGGAGGAGGAGACGAACTTGAGTGCCATCTTCGTTCACGAGGTACATCTTACGAGCGGTGGCGCGGTCGGTGGTCATGCCGTTCTTGCTGGACTTGGATTTTGCTTCGACGACGGAGATCAGGTTGCCGCCGAGCACCCAGTTGGTGAACGAGAGTTCGATCTTCTTCTTGGTATTGTTGGTCGGCATGATTGCTGATGCGAGAGACAAACAGACAGCAATTGCTTTGTAGAATGTGAGATTGGGGCAAAGAGTAGGCTTGTCTGGGTGCTTGCGTGAGCGAAAGCTCGTATTGACAAGGAAGTTGGGACAGGAAGTTATTGCGAAAGAGACAAAGAGTTGTTGCGCGCGCGCCGCCAGGCTATCGATGGATAGACAGGCGCCGGCAAGATGAGATCGAAAGCAATGATTGTGTGATGAGGTTGAAGGTGGAAAGAGAGGTTGTTTACAAAAGTCGCGCGGCGTTTTGGCGATAGCCTCACTTCCGAATGACGAATGCGAACAGGACGCAAAGAGGCACTAATCTTATTTCGCTTAGCCGTATCGATAAGATCAGTTGGACTTGAACAACCATGTTTGTTTTAAAGAGTTCGCCTTCATGATGGTGTAGTTCTACTCTTGGAATATGTCAAGATATGTTTCTTGGTTTGTCTTCCATATTTGCGTCTTTGAGGCTAGCATACTTCGAGATAAATCACATTGCAGCCTCTAGATAATATACCACCAATTGAGTATTATTGAGTTTCATGCTCTCTGAGTTTCTCTAGCGGAAGTGACTGAGCAGGTGAATGGGAGTTCTTTGCGCACAATGCTGTAGCAAAGAGCACTTCAACGTAGAGCTTGATGCTAATTGTTTTTCTGAAAGCTGTGAAGCGGATATGGTTACAGTTCAAGACTAAAAAGATATTCTAGAACTTCTCTTGCACTTTCACTTGTCATGCATAGGTCATGCAGCTATACATTTTGAGCCAAAGAGTAGGTGCTCTGCAGCCAATGATTGGACTCATGAATTGAGAGTTGCTAAGGTATAGGCATAAATCAGTCTATTCTATGAAGCAAAAGAGCTCTCGAGTCTCAAGACTGCACACGCGCGATTTCAGGTGATGATGATGGTCTTGGGGAACCTTTGCGCGTCATCTGATGCCTCTCTCTGCTTTAGAATTTAAGGTATGCGCTAAAAATAACCTTAAAACCTTAAATTCTTTTGTTGCACGTCGCAAAATGAGAGAGATTTCAAAAGTCAACGAGGACCTCCACCCAAGATCTCAAATGTTACACAGACAGCAAATTTTGGCGCTAAGAACCCGTCGGCCAATCATATTACAGGATTTATTTTGTATGGGATTCTTGTTGAGGAGCTCTCTGGGCTTGTGCTGAGCTGTTGGAAATCGGGAAAAAGGTTTCGCCGGCGCTAAGAACCTTAAATTTCCTTCTCACTCTTTTGGATCTACACATCACATCGACACAGAGGTATGTCCAGAAGTATCTTCGAGGGTCATTGAACTGGAAGTCAAACGAGGGGTGGGGCGCAATCAGCACCGCCACAATTTCCCCACATTGCAATTCTAACCTCATCTTGCATTGGTTTCAGGCACTTCCTATCCAACAAGACACTCTTTACAAGGCGTCTCTATAACCAATCTCAATTCTTGATTTATCAAAATGAAGGTTCTTTTGCTCGTGTGTAGCGTATTAGCAATGACCCGAACAGCTAATGCGAGGTACATCATGTACTTGACAGGGTACTCCTTCTCCACCCCCTTTCCGCATCTCGCTAAAGTTCCACAGGCAACACAATATAGTTCCCGAGTTCTCACTCGTTGAAGACATTACACACGTAGCTATAGCGTTCATGCAATCCTCAGTCTTCAACCAACAGAGCCCCAAATCCTGGCCATTCTTCACTACTGTCGAAGACGTGCGCTCAAGATTCGCTCCTGGGACAGCTATTATGGTCGCCATCGGAGGCTGGGGAGATACTGCTGGGTTCTCTGAAGCTGCGAAATCGGGTGAAAGTAGGAAATTGTTCGCGAAGAATGTAAAAGATATGGTTGATGCTACTGGAGCTGATGGTGCGCAAATCTCCTTCCTCACAGGAATTTTTCTGATGCATGACAGGTGTTGATATAGATTGGGAATATCCAGGGTAAGTTACCTACCATCATTCCTAACGAACTCATCTGATAAATAATAGCGGCAGCGGAGAAGATTACAAAAGTATCCCCAACCCCGAAAAAGCCTGGGAAATCGAAGCTTACCCCTCTCTTCTCGCTGAAATTCGTCAAGCCTTAGGTCCAGACAAACTCATATCAGCAGCCGTCCCCGGTATCCCTCGAGACATGTTAGCTTTCACTTCCACCACCATCCCACTCATTTCAACTTCTGTCGATTTCCTCAACATCATGACCTACGACCTCATGAACCGACGTGACAACGTCACCAGACACCATACTGGACTTGCGTTGTCTCTCGCCTCTGTAGACGCATACCTAGAAGCTGGTCTAGATCCCCAAAAAGCAAATTTAGGATTTGCGTTCTACGTGAAATGGTTCAAGACAGATCCTTCTGCTGATTGCGGAAGTCATTTACCGAACTGTAAGACGACGTTGATGGAAGATCCAGAAACAGGAGCAGATCTCGGGCAGGCGGGCGCGTTTTCTTGGCATGATGAAGTCCCGAACGAATTGAAAGAGAGTTTTGCAAAAGCTCTGAAGGGTGGAGTTTATGATGAAGAAGGAGGAGGACATTACTTTTGGGATGAGAAGGAAAATTTGTTTTGGAGTTGGGATACACCTAAGGCTATTTCGTTGAAATTCCCGGCGATTGTGGAGGAGAGGGGACTTGGTGGTGTGTTTGCGTGGGGATTGGGTGAGGATGGATTGAAGTGGGGGCATTTGAAAGCTACAACTGCTGGGTATCGAGCTTGGAAGGCGAAGCATAATTTGCCTTCTTCGGCGGAGTCTGACAGTGATCTGAATCACATTGAGAAAGATGAATTATGATTTAGAATCACGATCTGGGAGTCAACATTATGATTGTGCTTGAAGAAGCGTCTTGATTATGATTATAAAAAGGAATGTCTTGACAAATATTGTCCCAAATGATTCTTACTCCACCCATGCAACTCCGTACTATGCAGCAAGCAAATTTCGCCTCTAGACTAAATGATCCTCCACATCAACGCTTAATCAGTCTCGACAATATAACACAAGATGGAGCTGATGGAACCCAAGTTGGTAGAGAGTTCAGCTGGGGTGCTGACGTTGAATGGTAGACTTCCGGGCTCTACTCCAGCGGCGTCCTTGTATGCACGGCACTCGACGGTGTTGATGTCGACATTGATTGCTATGCTCGGGTCGAGGATGAGTTCGGAAGAGGCACAACCAGTCCCAGTGCTATCGCAATTGATTGCAGTCAACTGGTTGATCGCGATAGGTGCGGGCTCTGAAACCTTGTTTGGGTCAAGGCCAGGTGATGTAATGACGTTGACGGATACTGCATAGTAGGTATCTCGACGAGTTGGAGATGCAGCTGCGATGCTGGCAATGGCAACGAGAGAGGTGAAAATGGCTGAGGAATGCATTTTGATGTAAGAGGTAATTGAACGAATGTGGTATTTGTTGTGTGTAGCTTGTATGTACTAGATAGAGATGCTTCGAGAGGATAATGAGCAGAATCAAAGGGTTTCTTAGCAGTATATGTACAATTTCAGAGCATCTACAACCCGCCGAGACATTCCAGGAAAAGCTTCCTTGAAGCTCACCAAACAGAACGTTACATGGGCGCAGAAGTCGTGTTTGACATCGTTCCTCGCAAAGCTTCTAGGCTGAGTTTCTTTTCGGGGCTTTTGAGGCTCTCTTCAAGAGGCGCAGCGGCGTAGATCTTGCAGCAATGCAGAGTGGCATCAGCGGAGCCGCAGCATGACTTGAACGCACGGAAAGCACGATTGGTTGATACAAGCGACGAAAGTTCATTGGCAAATAGGAGACTTGACTGTACATACGAGAAATGAGCGAGAGTGACTTGGGATCGGCATGGATGAGTGGTGATGGTTTGCTTAGAAGATCGCTATTTTTAGATTTGGTAGCCTGTTCACGTGAGCTTCTCGTGTTGCCATGAAGATAGCTTTTAAGCGTATCAATTGATGTAGATCCAACTGAATACGAATTCTCTGTAGTCAATATCAGAATTGATCAGCAGGTACGTACGACATGCCTCCCTTTTAAGTGTCATAGTATCACGTGCTCCTAAGTCAGAAGAGGGTAAATTAGTCAGCTACTCGGATATTGAGAAGAGCCCTTTCAACCTCACAGCAACACATCAACAAAGAAAAAGCTCCCCAACTAAAACACACATGAAGGGGACGATGAACACAACGGTCTATGACTTCCCCAGTAACATAGTACCTGAAGAAAGGAATTCTCTGGATGCATTCATAGTCATGCAACCATCTTCCATTGTGTTTGATGTAACAAGGAAGGATATGATCCCAGAACTATGCATGAAATTATTTTCAGGGCATCTGAACTGCTTCTCACACACTTCATGAATGCTTAGTGCTGCTCAATCTGGACTTTGGGAACTGTAAAGGATTTTTTTCTGTTGTCCTATTTCTGCCCTTAAGACTTCTCTCTTAGATTGCTTTTCTTCGCCCTCTTTTTTAGCATGCACCGTTCTCTTCAATGCAATTATATACCCTTTGAACGATACCTTGTGCTGTCTATTGCGACTTCGTCCCATATAAGAGATTCAGTCTCCTCAAATGGCCAACAGTCTTTCTTCCAAATACCACACTCTTACTTACACATGTCAATCATACCATGGCTTCCACTCTTCGCTATGCCTTGAAGGACAGCGGCCATGGCACCTTCCAATCGATCATCATCTCTCATGCTCAAAAGGGAAGAACTCCGGCGATCGTATGCGATCGAAAACTCAGTATCTCGGCTGCAACATCTATCTCCGAGGAAGTATTTGGTAAACTTCCGTTCCATACTGCGAGTGAGCATGAGCAAAGGCTGGCCGGGGACATGAAGGGAAGGAAAGAATACTCTTACCTATGCGACAAACGGTGTAGATGTAAGATTCGCATGCTTAGAGAACATCAACTGACATGGTATCAGGACTGGAAATCAGATTAGAGCCCATTCTCTCGTGGCTGGTCACGCTAAGGGCTGACTCCAGAACAACCTTTCCGTGTCAGGCCCAAAAGCTCACCAGACTTGTGCAACATGGTGATGGCTGATGTTCGAATGGTCTGGCCGAGCGTGGCAAGAGCTAAATTATTTACCCCACTGAAGCTGTTGGATGTTGTCGCAGCTGCCGCAAGTGTTGCCAACATCAGCATGCGAATGAGCTTCATCGTCGATTTGAGTTCTTATTCAACTAAGTGGTTGCATGAGGACCTTTTGGAGAAGCTAGAATGGAACCGTACAGATTGTGGCCCCCATGCTCTTTGGATTTTCCTGTTTCTAAGAATCTTGTTCCGACTTAGGCAAATTTCAACAATGGAACGCTGGCACAGTTTGATCAGCGTGATCCAAGACACCGGGCCTACCAGGTCATGATCTTGCAACCCGTTGTACAGAATGGATGTTAAAAACAATCTCCAGGCTCTGCTGAAGATCGGTACAGTCAGGCCGGCGTGCATTCCACAGCTTCTTCCATTTGTGCTACATACTTGTGTTTCGTGATTCTTCACTATCAATTTTAGCCTGTGTACAGCAAGTGTTGACGAGCTCGTCAACTCTCTTCAGATCGTCCAAAAAGAAAAGGCAACGCTAGAAAAAAACAGCAAAACTTATACCAGCACAGCACGCTGTCTTTCAAGCGTGGTGCACAGGTCAAAGAACCTAATTGAATAGGTTTTTGTTCTCGAGGGCGTATACGTGGTTTTTGTTTTGGTGGGCCCCGCACCAGTTGTAACCCACTACTGGGGAGCTCGCGCTCAAGGCTCTCGCCAACCTGGAATAATGATGTTCACCATTAAACCACATTGACTTTCCTGAAAAAAGATTCGCTTATTAGAATCTATATACGGAGCAACGCAGTTAGCGTCCTTACCGAAGAATCAACTTTATGAAAGAGCTTAGCTTCAAGAGGGATTTTAGCATAAGGCTGAAGCTTCTTGAGTAGCGACTTCAAACTCTATCTGATTTCGATCCCCATGCACAACTACGCCAGGGTCTGAAGCTTTGAATCAAAACCGATGTTGGCATTCTAAAAGTAGATGAAGAGTTCTAGGCACTTTCTTACCTGGAGACTATTTAATTAACCCTTTATTCTCCTTGTCAAAGTTTGTTTACAAACTCTTGAATTAGTCTGTCTGAGCTTCTACATGGGACTCCTCTCTTTAGAGACTGCGAAGTGGAGTGAGTCTGCAGCTTTTCGATCAACGAGCTTTTTCGTCGCACTATTGGCTTGCGAAATGCATTCAAGCCTTCGAAACAAAACCTGTACCTTTAAAAATGCGCGCCAAGGCTTGGATGGCTTAACCTAAGAGCGCGCATCCTTCAAAGTGTGCACTCTTAATTTTCATAGTGTACTTTAGAATACGAGCTTGAGCCAAATAGTCCTATTTGAAAAAGAAAATTATTAGATGCCCTCCAATGTTCGACTCTCTCGTGCTCAGTTTCAAAAACACAGCCTTGTATTTGATCCTCGAGCCCTATGAGAGCTCAACCCACTACCATGCTAAGGCCATCACTAAGATCAGCATTAAAGAGCAAGCCAATTCCAGGAGCTAAATGACCCTTAAAACATACCACATATACCTACCAAGACTTCCCAACAATCGAGACAGCTCACAGACCACACCAACAATGATAAACCGAACCTATAAAAGCATCCCATTGTCACTCCAACTACCTTCATAGCATTCCTCAAAGTACCTCAAAAAAGCATCCACAATACCCAAACAACCAGCTCCCCACAAACCCTCAACCAACCTCCCCAGCCTCCCTCCTTCACCACCGTCGGACATCCATCACCGCCCCTTCCCTCTTCCTTATCACATCCATCTCACCCTCCCTACCCTTTCTCTCCCCTCCCGAGCCCTCCCGAAAATTCGGCAACCAGGCTGAATACCTACCACTCTTCCCTCACCGCTCAATTGACTCAGCTCATTCAGCCTTCCCCCAAACGCGAAGTGCCTCCCTGCCTTAATCTGACCACCGATCTCGCATGCATGCAGGCATGCATCTCCAAAAAGCAACGTACATTATCTCGCAGATGCTGAAACAAAGACGGGTTTTTATCGCGATTACGATTTTGGATTACATTGCGTGCGCGTACCGGGTCGGGTTATGTGCCTCCGAACAAACGGCGACATAGGATGAAAACATCAAATGATTGATTGATTGTTTGAAATCTATGCTATCCCAGAAAACTAGCCTCAAATGTACCGATGAGGACTTTACAAGGTGCAACCGATGCGGAACACGTTCTCTAATCTATGATGACGAATAAAAAATTATGTGTTTTCTCTACTGTGTCCCAAAAATCAACGCAAATGAACCACCCAATCAGCCATTAATGCACCACGCCGACCCAGCAGCCTTTTCGTTTCTCTCAGAGCATACGCCGCCTAGCAAAGGAAAGTAAATTACCCGCCCGAGAGAGATCTAATGCACTTGTGACATGCGCTTCGACATACTATTGAATGTTAGTAGTGAGGTAAAAATGGAGGTGAATAGACTTACAAGTCAAAGAACGCAAACTGACTGGGTGCACTTCCAAACTCGTAGACGAAACGACTAGCAAGGTAACTGCCAAAGATAGAACGGAGGTAGCTATCTGGGACACGTTCAATGATGAGATCCAAACCAATCTTCTCAATCAAAAGATTGGGAAGTGCATCAGCAAGGACAGAGCGTCGAAGCTTGTCATCCTTCCACAATTCGGTCTTTTGCAGCTCCTCATCCAATTTGGTAATAGCGACGCTAAGAGTATCACTCAGAGTGCTTCGCGCAATCTTGGTGCGCTTGTGTTCGCGCCAGATAGCTTCGAATTCAAGTCGAGCATTCTCCTTGATAGTGTTTTGGACCTCCTTGACATATGCTTGGTAAAATTCAGGTGTAACACCATCGCTACCAACACACATGTTCTCAATGAAGCCTTGGTCGTCAAAGCTTAAACTGGCAAGAACCTCCAATGAAGATGAAGTGACACCACCCTTATTTGCACTAGCATCCTTGAACAGGATACAACCAGCCTCCTCAAGACGAAGCTTGGCGTCCTGAGTGATGAATAGATTGGCGCCCTCAACGATGTAAGGAATTGTGGACTTGCCCTTCTTGATGAGCTTGCTGACACTTGAGAGGTCAATTGATTCAGGGCGGCCGCCACAAGGAACAAAGACGTCTGTCAAGCCAGTCTCACGGAGATGGTATGTGTTTCGGAACAAGGTACCGTTGGCAACAACTTCACCGCTTGGAAGGGTGACGTTGTTATCATCGACAAGGACACGGAAGCCAGCCTTGGAAAGCTTTGATGTGTCGAATTGAGAGATCATGACTCGCTTCTTGGCCAGTCGGATCAGCTCCTCATGATCGATTCCGCTAGGATCCACAAGCACACCGCTTCCATCCACGATTGAGGTATATTTCTCATTGCTGAGTAGGATCTCGTTGCTGCCCAAATCGCCATCAGGTCCTCCAGTCTGCATCTTTCGGACCTTGCTGGGGTCGAGCTCCTTCTTTCGGTAGATGCCCTTGACGAATTCCCGAACGGATAGAGTGGTCATACCGTAGGCATCATGAGGGATACCTCCCAATTTTGGAGATTTGCCGGTGAAGAATGATTTCCACCATGGTGCACCTCGCTTACGAGCGTGCTCAGTAGCCCAATCAACGAGATCTGCAGTATTCTCATCAGGACCCATGAATAGAATCTCCTCCTTGCCGTACAGATCAACGATAGGGTTCTTGATTCCAGGAGTTTCGGCTGGAAGTAGAAGATCCATGATGCTGTCAATGTACTTCTCGAAAGCGACAGCTCCCTTGTCTTGGTGTGCTGCGTCCAAAAGAACGACACCCTTAGATCCACCTTCAGGGATATCCTTGTTCTTGCGTTGCTGAGTGTTTGCCAATCCATAGTTCTCGTCAAACATTGATCGAGCATTGATCGAGTAGGCCTCACGGTTGCGAGATTTGACGATACGGATACCTCCTCGGGCGATGTCTCGGAAACGGAGATGGAAACCTCTACTCTCGGAAGTGATGACCAAGAACATTCCGTAAAGAGGTTGAGGGTATTCAATTTCGGGTAGGAAAGAAGGGTTAAGGCGGAAACTCAAGGCGACCTTTGTAGGTGTATAGAAATTTGTCTTCAATAGCGAGTTGTTGAAGACTCGGAATGCAGTCATGACCATCTCTTCATGCTCATTGTTGACAGTCTTGGAGATCAGCTCCTTTAACTTGGCATCAGATAAGACCTCAGCGGACGGTGTGGGTGGGATGAACTCCTCGTGGAAGCCAGGGGCAACTGTAAGGTGGACGCTGGCGAAGGACGAGTACAGTGATCGAATGAGCTCGGGATAGGTTGCAATGATCTCAAAAATGTAATCAGCGGTGAACGTCTCAGTTCTCAGTCGTCTCTTGATCTTTGAGAGAACTTCGGCATGAGCGCTATTGTTGGGATCCAATGCAGAAACCAATGAAGCGTAGTCAGAACCTAAGGCTTGTTAGTAGATCATGACAAACGGTTGTAGATGAACCTACCAAGACGATTGAGGAAATGTTGAACGAATACACATAGACAGTGACCGTAGACAGTCTCTTGCAGGCTCAATCTACCGCTCGCAAACAAGGATTGAAACTTGTTTTGGGGAATGCAGTAGAGTAAAGAGATTTCCTTAGTGATCTGATTGATCGACGCGCTGAGAGGGGGAAATTTCTTGGCATCGAGATTTGTCGCAGGCTTGAGGTAGAGACAGATGACTGTGATACCATTGCTGAATTGTTCAACATACTTTCTAGAGCTAGTAACACCATAGTAGTGGTACAGATCTGAAAGAGCGCTGAACATGCCAGCTGCAGTTCGACGGCGAAAAGCAACAACGAGTCTGACCTCCTTCGAGTCCTCGATATCGAAGACTTCGATAACAGGTCCGGTTCTGGATACTGCAAGCTCAATGATATCTCGGTAGATTTGCTTCGTGTTCCTTGTAGCCTTGGCAAGGAACAGTTGATCAGAAATAATCTCTAACCGAGTCTCATTAGGTGATGGGTTTGGGTCCACAAATTGACATTGGTAGACGAAATAACATCGCATGGTGGTCTTTGATGGTCCAGTACCAGCTAAATTTCCTGGTGAGCGAAAAGTTTCCACACGGAAAATCTTGTTGGTCGAGGCATCTAGGTACTTGCTCTCCAGACGGCGCTCATATTGAGGTCCTCCCATGTTAGTAAGGCCAGGCTCACTGGTGTCGATGTAGATAGCATGGTCTGCAGCTTCCATGTCCAGTCGGATCTCTTGTGTCTTGTCTGCACGTGCAAAAGCCGCAATCTTTGCTGCATAGAGCGAAGTAATGTGACTGACGATGGCATCGACTGTCTCCAATTGAAAGTAGACATCGTCAATACCGAGTTCATTGTAGAACCAAGCGATTTGCTCATCAACCAAGGTCTCTGGAATCCAATTCTTTTCTAGAATCGTTTGTTTTACTATATCATCAAGTCAGCCAGGTGCAGATAAGTAATGCTTGAAATGATTGGTTGGAACGAAGAGCGGTCTGAGATGACTTATTCGGAACATCTAGGAATGCATGCGAGATTATGGTAGGGTCGCATTGGAAACTTCCAAAATGTCCTCGTCACCTGTGATTATTCGCGCACTCTGTTTGAAGAGTCTCGGACCTTGATGTTCCAGTGACCTTTGAATAGCCTCAATTGCAGAGCCAATCAAGACTATTCTCAACACCACCACTAGTGAAGATCAACTAACCTTGGCTCATTTGTTCCTGCTTGCCCTTGAATTCTGGAGCAATATATCCGACAGTGGCAGACCGCAAAATTCGATGTCCATTGCCGCCATTGCCGTTTGTGGCTTTGCCATTTGTGAGAGGCACGCTGAAATGTGCAGGTTGAGGCGAAGGATATCTGTTGGGAGTTCTGACAACGTGCTCAAGTGTCTTGTTGATTGGGGACGCAGAGGAAGGAGGGGAGGAGTCGAAGCTCGCCATGATGTCGATGTCTGCTTCTAAATCGAAGACAGGAAAGGGTTCGAAGTACTCAGGGAACTGTTTAGGTGAGCCCACAAGGTTAGTCGTGATCAGAGTAAGTGTTTTTGCCATTGTGATTGGGTGGCAGGCGCAAAGCCTTGAAATGAGGTAGCTCAGGAATGGAAGGATAGCTGAAGTTGGACCTCATGGCTTCCATGCTTGGAGGGGCAGGAGGTCTTAAGACCTCGACCAACATTGCCATGACTGCCATATCTGGATAGGAAGGAGGGAAAGATGCATTAGCTAAAGCGGACTTACTTTTGGCTATCCGAGAGCGGTGACGGAAAGTTCGAGTTCGAGACTGAGTCGCACTCGTACGAGCGGTATCGTTGCGGATGCGGTTGAATACACCAGCGCACTGGTCGGTCAGCCAAGCCCCTGGTTTAGTTGACTTTGATAGGAGCGATAAGAAAGTTGAAGCAGAAGTAGGGACAAAGCAGACGTACCGGCAGTTCAGTAAGCAGGTAACCGTGGAACCGTGCTGTGAGACTGCGAGGTGTATGAACGAGAGGAAGTTGCGGCGGACGTTGTGCTACGCGGGACCCTGCTGGGTAAGACGTAACTCAAAGATTGAATACTTGCAGCAAATAATCTGAAGGACGATCAAGCTTTAATATCAGTTGGCGAGTGTCGAGGCTCTCTCCAATCTGACAGTCTGACGTGAAGGAGGCGCAGGTCAAAACAAGGTCAGGAGCGTGCAGAGATAAGGAAAGGGGAGAGCTGAGAACTAGGAAGGGATGATGGACGGTGAATGGATGAATGATAGGTTGAATTGAAGTCTCGAAAGAGTCTATTTTACTTCCTGTTGGTATCTCAACTGCATTGGAATGAATCTCGTATGTGTCAATGGGCGTTCCTCTTATAGAGTTGCCATGGAACAATCGTGAAGACGAGATGAGTTTTTTTTTCTGGGGGAATGATGCAGCTAGGAAGTTTGGTACCTGACGATGATGGCGGATGCGCTCTGGTGCCTTGCAATGCGATTACCAGGTCGGTTATTCAAGGCACTGGGTGGCGCTTACTCGATGAGAGTTAGTGAACTGAGGGGTCGTTCGCAAGTGGCTGAAATCACGATTCACATGCCAAGATCTACCTTTAGCGCGTGTCAGCTTCGAGATATACTTCCTATTGTAGTTTACCTTAATTGTCAAAATCATCATCCATACGAGATAGATCCAACACTTGATCGTTCTCCTATTCTCTTCACACTCGTACACTCGTCTACAAGATAGATTCTAGCCACGTGTACTCTTCTTTGACCGCTTTACGCTCCGACAAGTAACAGATTCCACAATCTATTAGGCTTTCTCAGCCAATGTCAGTACTGTGTTACCCTATCAGCAGAGATACCAGCCTTTCTAGTCTTCCCAAATTGAGTTTGAGCGCGTTCCACAGACACATCTCAGCCCCTCCGAAATATTGTCCCAACGGTTCTTTTTGCGTGGCTTCTGATTCGCCTCTGTTGCTATTTCGGGTGCAACTTCGCCTGATCGAAGACGAGGATGGTCAAGCCTCAAGCCCTAGGACCCGGGATATCGCCTCTTGGTTGCCGCTTCACACGCCTTGGTGTCGAGGCAATCCCGTGATGCATGCACCGTGACTAAGAAATCTTCTCTGCCCCGCAGACTAAGCCTCTTCGGTGTTTCTCGGGGGTAATTGAAACCGTCACCAAGCAAGCCGTTTACCATCGTTGACTCTTGCAAATTCCATCGTCGCTGGCCAGACGTAACATTGCAAAGAACACATCATTCTTTGCACCATCTTGGTCTATTTTCATGACACAGACTTGCATTTCTCATTACATATCGCTTAACGCGCGCCTTCCTTTCTCCACCTCCGCCTCAGTAGTGCGTGTCATCGTGCTTCCACCAGTGTTCCCCGGATTCCATCAACTGACCGTTGACATTTCTCCTGAATCCACCAAACCTCAAGTCCACCTTTCCGCTCGACCCGAAACGCATCGTGCAATTCGTGTTCAAAAATCCGTGATCTTCACCGCTGAACCCAAAGTGATAATTGCAGAGAACGCTGGGGCACCGGCCAAAACAATTGCTCAGCTGCCTTCTTGAGCAGTATTACGTTTGAAGAATGTCGTCTTCTGACGGCCAAAGCCAGCACGTGTACAGCAGAGATTATGCACTGGCTCTGGATGTCCAGGATCCTCTGCACGGCATCAGAAAAGAATATGTGATACCATCCAAGGCCCAGCTGAGAGTAAAGTCGTTGCCGGAAGCAGGTACGAGTCGCACGTCCAATCGAGGTTTCGTTGCTGAATCATGTAGAACATTCTGAGTCAACATCATCTGATGATCTCGCAATCTACCTCTGTGGGAACTCACTGGGCGTGCAACCGCGAATCACCTCCATACGGATGCAGCAATATTTCACAACTTGGGCAACACAAGGCGTTTATGGTCACTTCAAGCCGCTTGCCGAGTCTCCTCTACCAACATGGTTAGATGCCGATGCTAGGGCATCCGATTGCATTGCTCCGATAGTTGGCGCCCTACCTTCCGAGGTGGCTGTCATGGAAACCTTGACGGCCAACCTGCATCTGCTTATGAGTGCATTTTACAAGCCGGACATCAATGGCCGCCATAAGATCATCATCGAAAACCAGGCCTTTCCATCCGATCACGTGGGTACCCCTTTTCCCTTTCGGCAAAGGTGCCGCTTTGGCGATGAAGCCATTCCCAGCCTTACTGCCACGTCTTTCTCATGGTTACAAAATGATCTCGTGGATGGCATCAAGTGATGGAATATGACAACATGTTTTGTTCGTATTATCAAACATTTATCTAATTGTCCTACCATCCAGTTTGCAGCAGAATCCCAGATTCTTCACCACGATCTGTCGCCCAGTACGTCTCTAGTCACCATTGAACCCCCAGGACTACCTCAATCTGCACTTTCGACTGCCTACATCCTCTCAGTCATTGAGAAACATGCTTCAACAACTGCTGTGTTGCTGCTCCCTGGTATTCAGTTTTACACAGGTCAATATTTTGACATCCCTACGATCACCAAGGCTGCTCAAGCTGCCGGAATCTTCGTGATCTGGGATCTCGCTCACGCCGTTGGAAACGTCCCTCTCAAATTGCACGATTGGAATGTTGATGCAGCCGTCTGGTGCAGCTACAAATATCTCAACGCTGGACCGGGTGCAGTAGGAGGACTTTTCGTTCACGAGAAAAACAGTCAAGTATCGTCAGAGGCAGGGAATCTGACTTTTGCAAACCGACTAAGCGGATGGTGGGGTAGCTCTAAAGCGTCTCGATTTACGATGGACAACAGATTTGTGCCCATCCCCGGCGCATCGGGTTTCCAGCTCTCGAACCCATCGATCTTGGACATCACATCCTTGAACGCCTCGCTGGAAATGTTTGCCAAAGCCGGCGGCATGCAGCCCATACGCGAGAAATCCGTCAAGATAACTGCTTATCTCGAGACTCTCATCCGGAACATGGCAGCTTACTCCGGGAAGCAATTCGAAATCATCACACCAAGCGACCAGGATCAACGTGGGGCCCAATTGAGCTTGAGGTTACAGTCCGGTCTGCTGGATACCGTCATGAAAGCACTCGAGGAACGAGGCGTCGTGGTTGATGAACGTCGACCGGATGTCATCCGTGTGGCACCAGCGCCGTTGTACAACTCGTTTGAGGATTGTTTCCTCTTTGTGGAAGCGTTTGCCGAGGCACTGCATGTTGCCGAGACGCGGTGACTTTGTCACATAACGGCTGGACGGGAACGAGAGGCTTATGATTACGATAAAATGCATGATGATCTAGATAGACGGACGGCATAGAACATAGAACGAAAATTCTCCTCATGGCTCCTTCTTGATCTAGATGAGGCTGCAGAATGGGCGGGTTTGTTCCCGCTTTGTGATAAATTGCCTTAGCGATCTGCAGATTTGTCCCGCAGAGGTTATATCAACAAACGAGAGCCCCTGAATCACTTCACTTCATCATTGTTCCACAAGGTAACAACCTAGAGTTTTATTTTTATTTTTAAAAAAAGAGATACTTTCAGAGACAGGCTCTAAAAGATAGGTGTTTCAAAGGTCGCTACGAGATTCGAACTCGTGTCCCCGGAAATTTCCAAGTTATCAGAATCCGATGTGCCTGATACTCGTTAGTGGAGCACATTAATCAAGTCTTTAAAGAGATACTTACTAAACCACTACACTAAGCAACCATATTCGTTTCGGTGACGACGAAGAATTATCCGAGATTTGCGTGTTTTGCGTTATGTATGTCGATAGAGGCACAAAGTGTTGCGCCGAGGCTACAACGACTTTGCGACGACAATTAGTTGAATTGGTTTCTTTTCAACAAATGTTTAACTTGAGCATCCATTGCCAATTACTTAGATAACATCAAAATTGAAGAACCGCAAATACAGTAAAACATTTTTTCCCCAAAAAATCTCTGACCTGCTCCGTCAATAACCTCAGCCGCGTCAACAAGGCTACCAAGCCAATCCCGAAACCAACAGGGGTCTCATGCACGTGGCCTGCCAAGAATCCAGTATCAAATCGCCGATACCCAAATCTTTTTCTTGATCCCCTCAACCACAACCCTCCAACAATGTCCGTCCCACGACTGACATTCCTGTACCCTCACCTCTACCGCTCGCTTCGGGTCTGCGAGTCCACTACCCCCAAAGCTCGATTACGCTCCCCAACACAACATGGCACCCGCTCCAAGAAAAGGAATTTCTCTACAGCAGAACAGAGAAACGTCCCTCAATTCGTCCAACGACATGGAAAAGCAGTTGAGCCCTTCGTCCCAGAAGGCCAAAGTGCAGAAGATATGAAAATCTTCACACCTTCCCCAACAACAGACGAGAAAATCGAGACGAACCCATCCTCGTCAGCTCCCCTCTCCGACGAAACGCAAGCCGCGGCCTTCATTCCAGGCGACGATGGCAAAGAAGTCATATACGAGAACGTGCCGCCGAAAGAAGAGCAGCCGCCCGCAGCTCCAAAACAGAAAGAGACGGCGGGGGGACCGATAGAGACGATACTACACATGCCGACGCCGGAGTCGGTCGAGGAGGAAAATGCTGCGAAGCCCCCGCATCTGCAGACGCCGCCTTATGTGCATCATTTCGATACGTATACGTTGGTGCAGCAGGTTGAGGCGGGAGGGTTTACGACGGAGCAGAGTGTTACGTCTATGAAGGCTGTGAGGGGGCTGTTGGCGCAGAATTTGGATGTTGCGAAGGCGGGGTTGGTTAGTAAGAGTGATGTTGAGAACGTAAGTCGTCCCTTTGGCGCATACAGAGAGGAAGAGTGGCTGATTTGGTGGAATAGGAAACTTATCTGTTTAGAGCTGCGTGTTCGGAGCTGCGGACGGAGATTCAGAATAGTAGGAAGAAGCAAGAGGAGACGATGAGAAGGGAACGGACGCTGTTGCAACATGAAGTGGATATTTTGAATCAGAAGCTTACGCAGGAGTTGTTGACACTGAAGGATGATTTGAAGGGGATGTTTGATGATAGGAAGATGTCTGTTAGGAGTGAGCAGCGGGCTATGGAAAGCAAGGTATGTGTCTCCTCCCGTCTCCAAGGAGAGCTTCATTAACAAAACCTCAGATCCAAGAACTCAACTATAAAATTACAGTCATGTTGAACAGCGACAGTAAATCTGAGGTAGAAGGCCTTAGATGGGTCCTGACGAGAAGATCCGTGATGGGTATATTGTTCATGGCTTTCATGGTCCTGACTTCGTTGCGGTATGCGAGTTATAAGTCTCATGAGGATGAGATGAAGAAGAAGAAAGAGGAAGAACATCTCAAGGCTAGTCCGGTGGCGATTGAGGATCTACCCGCTCAAGGGGCTGCGGAGATCTTGGCGGCGAATTAAGAACGGCTGCATGGTGTCAGTGTGTATAGTTTGTCTTGTCTTGTACATAGAGATTATGAGTGTATTTAGACCTTCGTACAATACCCAGCAGACAAGCTTACAAGGCTACTTATCAAACATTAACGGTGGCCCGCAATGGCAATAGGAATTCGTCTCTCTCTCACAGCACAATTCTTCCACTGCATCGTGGCAATTCTAAACTTATGTCGTAGGATCCAGTCTCGCGGTATCTAAAAAATGCTTAGACAGCACCGTGCATCGGCAAAAATCAGGTCTGCAGGTACAAATGATCTAAAAGCTCCCCGCCTCTGCCAAGCACCCCAGGACACAAATAAAACAATATAAATCCACATCCCCTCCCTCCTTTATCCTCCTTCAGCCTCACTTATACATGCTTCCATCAATCCTTCTAGAAGACAAAGCTTACCCCACGTGATCCTGTACGTATCTCGCTACCCCTGTAAGCCACTCCCGTTTGAGCAAACATGATTCCATAAGATTGACACGCCGACGTCGCAATGTTTCCACAACGCTCACTCTCCCACCAGAACGGCCTTCCTACCAATTCCAGCGATTCCATACTGAAGGAGGTCTGTCGCCATAGCGAAGAGCCTTGGCACCATTTATAGAGCCCTCCCAGACAGAACGCTGCAGCCTCTGCATCATCGATTCGGGCTTACATGCAGTCAGTTTGAGCCCCTGGACGCCCCTATTTCGAGATCAGATGAGACCTTAGGAATCGAATTTGGAATACCCCCAGCGTAGTCAGAAATTCCTCAAAGAGAGAAAAAGATGACTGAAGAAAGCTCTGGCACAGGATTTGGTGCCTTCTGGCAGAAATCAGTGGTGGATAAGGTATCCTTCAAGCCCGTCAAGTTTATGCCCAATAATACGAAGCCCGGGAAAGGTAAAGCCTGATTCCTCATTGTGTGGTGTACGCCTTCTGCTACTTTTGGTTAAAATGGTGCTGTTCCGGAGAGTTTGCTCGATGTCTTGTGGTAGCCCGATACATGTCTTGACTTGTTCTCATTCGCTGATCAGAGATGCACCATTTAGGAAAGAAATCCGCTACCGGGGATGGGAAGGAGGATGGGGGGACGGACAAAGGGGATGCTTCGAATCTAACGCAGAAGCAACGTCGCCGGGCACAGGTCCGGAAAGCTCAGATGTGAGCCCACCCCCATCTCATGACCCCTCCCTCCCTCCTTCAATCCTTCGGGAATCGGGACTCGGGAATCCTATCAGATAGCAGACCTTATTGACTCGTTTACAGCGAACACCGGCAGCGGAAAGAGAACTATGTGAAACACCTGGAACAAGATGTAATCAATCTTAGAGAGATGATTGCCCAAGCGGAAACCGAGTCTGTGCTCGTCAAGTTCGAGAATGAGGGTATTAAGAGCGTTCTAAAGAAGGCAAACGTCAATATCCCGACGAGTCCTCCGACAGCTCAAAGTCCTCCACCTCCTCAACAAGACGACTTTGATGATTTTATGGACTTTACTTCTTTCCTAGCCGAGCCCCATCAAAGTGATTTTGGATCCTCAAGTAACTCACCTCACGACATGCTCATCAACACCACATTCGACGAATGGATTGACTCTACTATCCTCCAAATCAGCCCAACCCACAGCCATAGCTCCTCTGGCACCAAAACTCAAGTCCCAGTCTCCGTACCCGAAACAGATATCGCCAATATGCCGAATAGCTACAACTCGACAGACATTTACAACTTCCCAACTCCGTTCACCAATCCACAAGTCTCGAATACTTTACCGCCGACTATAGCTGGCGTCAATGCTAATCAAGCTGCGTTGGCGAACCTTAACTTGGACTTGAAACCTTTACCGCAATTACCAGGCCCGGGTCAAGCTTCCAGTTCTCAGGTTACATCAAAGCCTAGTCGGGTGGATGTCTCGACTATTGCTATAAATTTTATACTGGCGTACGTTTCTCTTTCTCCTCTTATCTCCTTCCTATATACCTCGCCAGAATGTCCCAGTACTCCTCAAACATTCAAGCCTTTGCTTGATAACGATCACCTACTCATCCAATTCCCTTCCTCCCTCTCTCTACCCTCTCCAACTAACAAACCACCCAGCCTCGAACACCCCTGCCGCACACACTTCCACCCCGCCCCCCCAGTCTTCAACCCGACCGCTCCCCCCGGCGGCCACGAACTAATGGCCTCCACCCTCCTCTACGCCACCGCTCCTTCTACCATCTATTCCCCCGACAGCCTCTCCCCCACCGAATCCGCGACCTGGACGGCCCCGTCCCTCGAACTAAAACAGCTCTTCGAGATGAGTAAATCGCTCCCCAAAGGCGATTGGGAGATAACGCCTGTGCAAGCGTGGTTTTTGCTCGTCGAGCGGTATGGCGTGAGAAGTCTGGTGAGGGAGGAAGGAGTGTTGGATCGGTTGAAGAGGGGGTTGGGGCGGTTGGTGGATTGTTTTTATTTTGGGGCTGTGATGGATAGGGGCCGGTTTTGGGAGTTTGTGGAGGGGGAGTTGGGGCCTGCGAGGGGGAAGGAGGGGAAGGGGAAGGAGAGGGCTTGAGGAGGGGTGGCACGTAATTGGTATCTTGGAATGTTTGGAGTCGTGGATCTTGAGGAGTCCTGGGTGGGAAAATGTTGGTTGTAGCGTTTCGTGTGAAATATTCTGTCAAAGCGAGTAAAAATGGGATTGAATGTGTAAATCGAATTGGGGACTTTTCCTGGCTAAATTCTCTGATGTCAGGAGGGACAATGGATTATTTTCCCGCCTTAGAACTCACTTCACATTTGACCAAGTTTGTTGCTTCAAAATCATCTTCCTCATCTATTAGAATATCTCGAAGTCTATCCCAAAAGACCGAACAACAAGCCAGTCCTCTTCCAATACTCCTTAGCAGCCAGCTGGAGCCTTTTACTCGAAGCAGCATCGAGATCCGTTTGAGGCTCTAAACTCTTCTCTAAAGCCTCAAGACCATTCTCAGAGCTTTCTTTGGTGTCCGTAACCTCAAATGCGTTTTGAAGAAGTTGAACATCAAATAGAGATTGAATGGCAAGATCATTTTGTACTTGAGGATCGACGGCCACTTGGGCAATCGTCAGGTCTTCGGTGCTGTTCTCACCACTGGTGGCTTCCTTGTCTTCAGACGTATCAGTGTGTTCGGCAGCTTCAGCGGATTCATCGGCGACAGTATGCTCTTCGCGAGCACCATCTCCATTGGTAGACGTTCCATTGACTTTGATCTCCTTAGCCTCTTCCTGTTCTTTCAGGGCGGGACTCCATCGATCAGAAAGCTCTGAGCTCAGATGTCGTTTCAGAGTGACAATAGCGGCCGGACTCCACAAATCGCGTCCGGATTTCGACATTGCTGATGCTAGACTGTGTAATAACTTGAATGTGCCGGGTGATGGTTGGACTGGTAATTCTGGTTCGCCCTCCCATAATGCTCTCCCTGCGACCTTCTTTCGCTTGATAGTCCTCAGGAATGCCTCGAGCGAGTCTGAAGAAGAGGTAGACGCGAGGTGCTCGTGCAACGTAGGTATCAGTGAGAGGCCAAACTGGCGCAGTGTGGGATTCTTTGGGATTTCTGAACGGATGTCTCTGATTATGCGAAGTAAGTAACCGGATATTTGGCCACTCTGTTCGCTATCTTGATATGTTGACAAAAGAGACCCCAGTTTCTCGTGCAGATCCTTGTATGCCGTTTCGAGGCTGGAGTCTAGGTGCTCTTGGAGCATTTGAGGATCGTCTGTGCTCAGTAGCGTACTTCTTGATTCCAGGCTTAGATCATCTTCAATGTCTTCGAGATCATCGTCCCATTTCTGCTTTTTGAGTTGATCGATAACAACTATGATTTCGTCAACAAGATGCCGCCATGTCTGATAGCCTCGGAACACTCTGGACACAGAATCGTTGCGTCCATATGTTCGTGCAACAACACCTTGTTTGAAGAGAGCTGCTCCATTGGCGATCTCCATTTCAAGCATCGTTTCATCCCATAAGCTTTCTTGCTTATCTGCGATACCTGCCTGCCACGATCCAAGAGTAGCTTCAATCTCGGTCGACACCAGACGTAACTTGCTTACTCTTGATTGTAACAGCTCCACCATTCTCTCATTGACTACTTTCCGGAAGCCGTCGAGTAGTATGGATGGATCGAACCCTTTCGCTTTGCCACCTTCTTTGATCCAAATTTCCAGGATCTTGGTTCGTAAGTCTACCACTGATTTGAACTCAGGCATCTGATTGAGAGTCTTGGCGAATCCTTGCATCATGACTTCAGAAGCCTCCTTTGCCCACTTTCTCAGCATAAGGACGGCATTTGAACCCTCGAGATCATCATGTCTGATGTACGGCATGAAGAAGAGAATCTCGTCTCCAAACCATTTTTCGCATACGTCGAGTCGAAGTGCTTCCAATTCCCTGACACTGGGGTCTTTCACTAGTGGTTTCGACTTCAGGTGTGCAAGAGCTTCGGATAATCGACGCGGTACCAATGCTTGAACATCCAGGAGTGTTTTGGTGTATAGTTCCAAAGCTCTCACTACACCAGCTGCCTCATCCTTTTTCTCACCCTCGTCCTCAAAACGAAGAGTCATTGCTTGACCTTGAACATCTAGAAAGTGTCGTAAGACATCCTTGGCTCCATAGTTCGTAGCAAGACTGTATGCACAGAGTGCTTGGATCAGATCATCCCTGTTGTCTCCAATCTTCTCCAACGTCCTTTCCACAGCCTTCTCCAACCTTCGTCTCAGAATCTTCAGCTTCTTCTTGATTTCATCGACTGCTTCCTTCTCCTGGTCGTTCCTCTGCGGGGTAGCTGTATCCACACTCTTGACCAACAATCGACTGAGCACAAGTACTTTAGCAGCAAGTACCAAATTCTTCCCTTTCCCTTCCTTTGAGTCCGAAGTTCCACTTCCACCCTTTTTCATGAGTCTACCAACTGTGACTGCGCACATATCCAGCACTTTCATCCGCGCACACCATTCTAGATCAGACACCCTTTTGCCCCCTCTTCCACTCTCCTGAAGCTTCGCCATTCCAGCCGCCATCCCACCAACCACTCCTCTTCCACATCCCTTCCCTACTCGGCCAAGTTTGTCCTCCACATATCCAATGTCCCCACGCATTTGTAGAATCGTCTCTGCCGTCCCCAGAAGCTGTCTGTAGCTCCCTCCCACCAACGTCCGTAATCGTGCATTCTTCTCGTCGAGCTCGGATGTCAGGGTGCGGTGGAATTGTCTGACTTGTGGAAGAGGGTATTTGAATGCTTCGGAAGCTGTGGTACATGTTGTCGGGTCGAGAGTCTTGTTTGCTGCCATGATGCTCGTGTTTCTGCCCCTCCGTTGGGAGATTCGAGGGCAGGGAGCGGTGTCGGGCGAAGCTTGGATCAAGGACGGTGCAGATGATCAAGATCTGTCAATGCCATATCTATTACCTTGTTAAGAAAGGGGTCTCGCAATAGCTTCTCCTGCCTCGAATGTATGTTGTAACTTGGAACATCCGAGGATACGACTTTTGAATGGTCTGTGCGCTCAGCCTTCTTCGGGAAGGCTGACCAACGAAAGATTGGATTCGTACTTTCATCAACTTCACCCTTCACATGCACGACAGTGACGAGTGTCAATATTACAGCTTCATCTTCAGAAGATTACCTGTCTGAGTTCATGTCGGAGCGTAAAGTCCGCCTGCTGTGCAAAAGACAGTGTCACTACAGGCCTCGAGATTCAAGTTGTCATCTCTGTACGGCCCTGTCATTTCATCGCATCACTGAAAGATATTATCAATCATGAAGTTGTGCCATTAGCTTCTAGCAATAACAGACATTTTTTAATCAACAATGCTTTTCTGCGTAGCACACGGTGAAGAGGCTTGTAAGGCAAGTCAATCTCGCGTGTCTCAAAGCAAATAGTTCCAGGGCCTTGACCGGGTACCCAAGCGGAGTTACCCTGTCTCTCTATCTCGATCGACGAATACTTGGCAGCGTTGTGCTTTTTGTTGTTCAAAGTCCATGTTGATAAAGTGCTTCGAAGGATGGCATATTCTACCGCCTATGAATAGGAAGTTTCAAATCGACGAGCGTATTACGATATGTTGACAACCGCAAATCGGTTGACAGCGACAGTTTCACTGCAAGACAATAAAAAGAAACGACAAATCACGGCAAGAAACGTCGATCTGGCAGAAAACTGACTTGAAAGGTCTAGTATTCCTTTGGCCGCACGTGGGCTCGGGCCTTTCCTGTCGAAATGCGTATCGCTGGGTCTTGAATCTTTGACTGAAATTCGTCTCTGCGGCCATGTGTGGTGGTTCTTTTATAGACGTTTCGAACCCTGAAAAGTTAGTGGCTGTTGATATTGAATATTAGATTGTGAAGAGAGGTGGGCTTCAACGATGGATTCAAAATAGTGAATCGGGATGCTAGTGACAAGGAAACCTGAATGTGTACAAACGCAGCTTATGAAGTTGCTTGGGCTTGTTGTTCTACAATTGGATACTCATCTCGAAGAATTCATATGCATCTTATGGAAGATTGGTCAGTTTAATTTCATTCTCATCCCGTCAATCTTGTTTGCCATGCATGCCTTTGATGGTTTGTGCTTCAATTCTATACCTAAGAGACCTTGTTGAGACGGGTGACGGCAAGGTGGCATCTGCAGTCAGCAGCTCGAATTAAGTAGCCGCTGTTGTTGATCAAGGCATGATCCAAAGCGGCTGCGGCTCAGCTCGCCCAAGATTCCTCATTAGGAAAAGGCCGATTTGTCAATCACGTGTCGCCGCAAAAGGTGCTGCTTCAAGGTGAGTTTTGGTGAAGAATATGACGTTCTATGATCCTTCGTCAAAGTATTCAACCTAGTTTTCCCTGAATACAGTATAGTCAGTACTAAGGTCTGAAGGACCGAGTTCTATAAAGCTGGCAGGACACCATCGATGGCAACATGCATCTAGCATCATCAGATTCATTTGTTGGCATTCAGCACATCCCTCAAAATGAAGCTTTCAATCACTTACTCCCTAATCCTCTCCGCCGGTAAGAGATTTCCCCCTATAATTGTAATCTTGACATTGCTGACAAGATGACAGCCGCTGCCAAAGCTTCTACCAATTCGTCAAGCTCCACTGTCCCTAGTTATGCTCCCACAAGAGTTCCTTGCCCCAACGATGTAGAGTGGATTCGTCCTGCTGTTGGACTTGCTCCAAAAGAGGCGGAGTATGTTTATGGACGAAAGAAGAAGGTTCTCTATGCTCTCGAAGAATATCTCGAACGCCTCGAACTCGTAGACTTCGACACACGCCAGTACATCCAACTTCTTCGAGCATCGAACTTTTCAAAAGTACCTACACTAGGTTATGCCATTAGCGGTGGTGGTTGGGCTTCTTCATTGACTGGGACTGGTGGTATGAGAGCTCTCGATGCTCGCTTCGAGCCAGCTGTGCAAACTCGTACAGGTGGCATTCTGCAGATGTTGACATACATGTCTGGACTCTCTGGCGGCTCATGGCCAATCAGTAAGTCAATCGTTGATCTTTGGAATATTTAATACTGACTCAATCGCCTTTCAGTGTCGTTTGCTACTAGCAACTGGCCCACGGTTGACGAAATCACTGCGCAATGGCACACCACTATCAATCGAATGGTTGCTACCAACACAACACAGTATGCTGCGAGTGCTACGGATGTCTTTGAGCAGATGGCGGAGAAATTGAAAGCTGGCTTCAATGTCAGTATTGCTGACTATCTTGGTCGAGAATTCGCATATGAATTCATACCAGGCCCTGTCGGCGGTATTGCTACAACGTTCTCTGGCGTGGTCAACCAGAGTAGTTTCGTCGACTACGAGATGCCTTTTCCTATTCTTCAATATAACGAGATCGATACTTTTGATCCGACTTACTTCGGGCTTCAATTCCCAACCTTCAATGCTACTATATACGACATCACGCCGTTCGAGTTTGGTGCTTGGAGTGGATCAGTTGGAGCATTCACGCCTACTGAATATCTCGGGACAAGACTGTCTGGGGGTGTGCCAGTCAACAAAAGCGCTTGCATTCGAGGATTCGACAATGCTGGGTATGCAGTCATCTTCTCTTCCTAGATTGAATACTAATGCTCTTCTAAGTTTCTTGATCGGGACTTCAGCAGATGCCTTTGATGGATGGTACATTCAGGACTTGTCGAATGGCACTGACGCACAATTTGCAAAGCGTTCTTCTCTGGTCGACCTCAAGAGTCCAAGGCGCTCTAAAATATACAAGAGAGCAGGGTTCGGCGACATCACAGCGACTCCAGCTGCATTCGAACAAGCATTGGGTCTGAACTTGACGAGTATGGCTTATGGCGTGTTCCCTAATTCATTCGCCAATCTTACCACAACTTCACCATTAGTCAACCACTCAGCAGATCTGAGAATTGTTGATGGTTCAGAATCTGGCCAGGCAATTCCTTTGTGGGGTCAGATCCAACCTGCCAGGGGACTCGAATTCATTATCGCTTGGGATGACAACAGTGACGCGGCACCCTACAGTTGGAACAATGGTACCAATTTGTATGATACATATTTGGCAGCAAATGCTTCCAATATTCCATTTCCGATCATCCCACCAGCATCGACATTTGTGAACTACAACTACACCCACAAGCCAGTATTCTTCGGTTGTGATCCACTCCTCACAACCACTGGAGATGCGAACGGTCCTATTGTGCTCTACTACGCAAACTCTCCCTATTCTGCATACACCAACTATAGCTACGGACAAGCGAATCAAAGCGCATCCCAGATGTACGACATCTACTTGAACAGCTTTAACCTCGTCACACAAGCCAATGGAACGCTGGATCCGGAGTGGCCTGCTTGCATAGGATGCGCAGCGATTGACAGAAGTGTCGCAAGAGTTGGAATGCAGAGAACTGCTCAATGCGATTGCTGCTTCAAGAAATATTGTTGGGATGGGTCGTACAATAATACTAATCCTGGTGTTGTGGATTTGTCTTTGTATTTGGATCCAAGCTTGGGATTCTTGGAGTGGAACAAGACTCATGATTTTTGAGTGAGTTATGCTGAAATGCTGGAGATATTACCATTTTCTGCTATTTTTTCGTTCTTTCATTTGCACAACGGTGGACATGAGCGAGAGGGATATTAATGTGATGGCCTATTGAAAAATCCGATCGTGCATTCCTAGCTATGAAGACCATGTTGTCTTCCCTTGACAAGCCCTTGTCTTTAGTGATCCTTCCCCAATCCTTCAGCCAGGCAAGTGCCTATCAACGAGTTCTTTACTGCCATGCCACTCCTGATAGGGCTGATCCGTAGGCCTGGTTTTCGAACCCCCTAAATCTCGCCTAAGTTTCCACCAATGGCTGACTTTGGGCCCCTGGAAAGCTGGACCCTAGCCTTGAAGATCACTATCTTTCACGGCATGTCTTGCGCACAATATCGTTGTCCCTGCCAGGGACAGCATCAATGACGCTGTGAATGTGTGAGGCGCAGTCACAACGTTCAATGATCTGATACGGAGCGTCCGACATTTAATTCGCCTCTTCACTGATATTAAATGTCCGAACATTCATGTAATTTACAAGAGCTCTTCAATTGAGAGTCTTCAATTGCTCCAAGATATCCAAGTTACCACTTGCAACAATATACTTACTTCACAAGCATGGTACATTTCGGTGGCAAGCCGTCGACAGGCTGCGAATCATGTCGAGCACGAAAGATAAAGGTACATAACAAGACACACCTGGAGAGCTATGATACCAACGATTTAAACAGTGCGACCAAAAGCCAGGTGGATGTGTCAATTGCGAAAAGAAGGGCTATGGATGCTCTGGCTACCGGGATGAAATCGACTTGAGATTTCGACATGAAAGCCAGCACGTCGCTCAAAAGTCTAGAGACAGAGAGGCAAGGAGGAAAGCTTCCAGGTCACCTCTGCCTGGATCATCAGCCTCTTCCTCATCGGCCAACACGTCTCGCCCTCCTGAATTCTCTCAAAGCAAGTCTGGAAACAGTAGTGCTTCAATGTTGGACACGAGGAGAGCACTCGGCGATGACTTGATATCCTCTCAACAAGACAGCTTCTTGCCAGATCCAGCTCTATCCTACGTGCTGTCTCCAAATCTCGACGATCAAGCTCTAGCGTTCTTCTTCTCAAACCACGTTATCGGCGAATGGCGGGCATCCTATAGAGCCAATCTCAACTCTTACGGCATGGACGATGCCCTCTTCGCAGCCGTGAAAGCAGTTGGTCTCGCTGGAATCTCAGGCCATGCTCACACACCAGACATGAGCGTCGAAGCAAGGAAACGTTACCTAGCAGCCATCCAAAGCGTCAACAATGCCATTGTTTTCCCCGAGAGTGCGAAGAGGGACAGTACCCTCGTTTCCATCATGCTATTAAGTCAAATTGAAGCTCTCGAATGCTCTGCTCCACGATCACTAACGGCTTGGGAGAACCATGTCAAGGGAGCTGCCGCTGTGCTCAAGTTACGAGGAGCGGAGAAACTGACAACTCCTCTCGAGGTTCGACTGTTTGTGCAAGCAGTTTCTGGTTTGATTGTTTGCTGTCTGAAGAATCGAATCCATTTGCCAGACCATTTATTTGAATTGAGGGATGTTGCGGGGCAATGTATGCAGACAAATGCACCTGGATGGCGAATGTTCCATATGCATATGCTGGTCACGCAGTTTGCAGCTGATATCAAACACAAAATACTCACAGATCCGCAATCCATTATCTCACGCGCACTAGAGTTGGACGAAATGGTATCACTGATATTCCTCGATTCAGGACCAGAATGGACATTTGAGACCATATACGACGACTCCCATCCCGAAATCATCCTCCTCGGCCATTACTATGTGTACAAGACATTCATGTCTGCAGAAGTCTGGAACGGAATGCGATCCACTCGAGTCCTTCTCCACGACCAGATTCGGAGTACGCTCCTGAAAGGTTTCGCTACGCAACCTCCTTTATTCTCTGACGAGATATACGCAGTGCAATTCCAAGCTTCAACAGACATCCTATACGAGATGCAAAATGGACTCTTGGCTAGCATCCCACAGCAATTCCTCGTTATGCCTACCTCAAGCAATGCGCCATTCAGGTTCCCGTGGTCGAATTTTCAACCGGATATCTATAACCCAAGTCAAAATTCCTCGCCCGTGTTGGAACGGATACCGCTCATGAGAAATGTTGGGGGATACTTGTTGCCGTGGCTGTTGTATAGGACGGGTAATATGAGTATCACGAAGAAGGAGACCCTGGATGCGATTTTGAGGTTGTTGAGGTTAGCTGGGAGTGAGATGGGGATTCAGATGGCGTTTGTGTTGGCTGAGCATCTGGAGGCAAAGTTTGCTGCTGCGACTGATCACTGAGGTGGGCTTGTTGCTTGAGTAAGAACGACTTAATGATTCAATCTGAATTAAGTCATCCGAGCTCTTTCTTCCCCGAGGACAGGACCTTGAGTGACTATTCTCAGTACTTTGAGAATAATTCCTTTCAACTATTCAAAGAATTTTAGACAAGAAGTATTTCTGTGAATGTCCATCGGTATTTGCGCGAATAGCGCTATTCGCGCTGAATGCGCAACTTTCCCTCCAGATTTGGAAATGTCGGCATACGAGATAAATGAATACAGGATGTTGGACCTAGCTCAGAGTCCATACAGAGCCTAGACTTTGAGCTTAGATTATGTCCTAAAAAGAATTGGAACCATGAAAACGAGAGCCGGACTACTTTCCATAGCAGGAATGATAAAACGTAGTCACCAAGCACATACCGCATCACAATGCAAGCATCAAAAACATCAAGTAGTTACCACGAGCGATACCTTAATGAGCATCAAATCTTGCTTCGTCTGTCTTATTTCTCAAGAATTTGTTCCTGTCTTCGTTGCGGATCCACTCTCCATCGCAGTGTATTGCGATGCCCCGTTTTCCACATTCTTCAATTCGCATAGGAGTCTTCCTCGTTCGAAATAAAGTACCTTGAAAAATGCAATCTCTTCAAAGCAATATAGTCCCTAAAAAGTCTGGAAGCCGGACCTTACATTCTTCTATTACCCTTGCGAATGTTTTCGTAGGTCATATTCCATGCCGTCTTATAACAAGTACGGAGGACCATACCTGTCGATCATGGTAGAAGTAGATTAAACAGCGTTGTATCACTTCTGGCGAGAGAACAGCCATCATCCAAATAAGGATCATTGGCGGATTCAAGTTCGCTGGTCCTCATAGCTGGACGTCTGCTCGCAATTTAGCCCAGACCTGTAAGCTGTATACAGCAGAAGGGCTGCCGTGCTGATGAACATGCAAAGTCATAGCGACGCACTTCTGCTCGACACTAGTCCACATCTTGGCCTTCCTGATAGCGGCGTGATGCTGCCATGGCTAGAGGGAGACATCTCTCCAAGTCTCCCAAGATATCGATGAAAGTATTCAAGGCGTATCCTCAACCTCAGATTTAGAGATGTTGAAGTCAGAGCCCCTCTCCTTCTTAGCCACCCTCTTCGACGCCCCCCTATGCTTCCGACTCTTCAAATGCGTCACCCACTGCACCTCCGTAACAGCCGTAACACCACACATCCCACATTCCCTTCTCGGCCACTCACTCCTGACCTCCCCCACCTCTCCCAGTATCTCCTTCGCCGCCGCACAAACCTCTTCCGGAGCCGGCATTTCCTCGCCCTTTAGCCACTTCTCCGTGATCTCCGCCGCTTTCTCAGAAACATTCTCATCCCATTGCGAGATATCAGTCCCATCCAAAACATAAAGTTGTTTAAGAGCATCCTCCTCCGTTAGCGCGGGGAGCAGTTTAAGTCTTATCCAGCGCGTTTGCCGTTTTGCGTATTGCCGCGTTGCGGCTTTCGTTTGCTCAATTGAGAGGTCAAAGGCAGTTCTAAGTTCCTCTTCTGTCGCTGTGCCCGATTTCAAGGCCGTGAGGTAAGGTTCGAACTCCTTCCACCCAATCGAGACCCAAATTCCCCTCGTTCGGTCAATAGGTCGTTCTTGATTATGAAGGAACGTATCCAAGGATTTAACCTCGTCCAACATCCCATTTTCCAGCATCTTGTCAACTCTACCATCTAACCTTTTCTTCAAAACGTTCGAATCAGCATGCACCCAAAACAGCAGCGTGGACGAAAGATCCGTCTCCGTCTTCCTCGCCACCTGCTCAGCATAGATATCGGAAGCCTTCCTCCCCGTCATCAAAAAAATCTCCAACGACCGCCGAATCTTCCGCCTATCCCGCGGATGCCACCGCTCCGCCATCCCGGGATCAACCTCCCTCAACCACTCCAGCATCTCCCCCGTCTCGGCCTCTAGAATCGGCCACCTCTCTCTAATCTCCTCGACCCCCATCTCCTCCTCTCCTGCTTCGTCCCCAGCCACCAGTCCATCAGAGAATAATAGACTCTGCGTATAATAATGCGTGCCTCCCACCACCACGGGTATTTTCCCTCTACTCCTAATCTCGGCAATTACCTTGCTAGCTTCCTTCCTGAAGCGCCCGACGCGCCACGGTTCAGCGTCGAGCGGGATCTCGGAGAGGAGGTGGTGTGGGATGCCAAGGGCTTCGGAGGGAGTTACTTTGTTGGTTACGATGGGGAGGCCGTGGTACATCTGCATGGCGTCGCCGTTGATGATCTCGCCGTTGAAGCGGAGGGCGAGGTTTATTGCTAGCTGGGAGAAAGGTTAGTGAGAGGAGAGAAGAGGGGAGGGAGGGGGAGGGACTTGGGATTTCCCGGTCCCGGTTGCGCCGAGGATTATGAGGAGGGGGGGTTTGGGGGTCATTGTTAGGTGTTTTGGGGGGCTGAGGAACATGTGGGGGCATGTGTGTTGTGGGTTGGATAGGTATGAAGAAGAGAGAAATTTGAGGACGAGGCTGAGATTGGTGATAATGTATTTTGTAGCCTTATCACGTGGACCATCAGCCTTGTGGAATCTAGAAGAGGACAGGTTGTAGGAACGTTTGGTAGTAGAGGAGGTAGTAAAAGGGATAGTGAGGGGTTTTGCAAAGCGATTGCGGGTCATGAAAATAAGGTGGATATATGATGTGCAAAAATGTAGAGCAACAAAGTCGCAATCCATGCAATAAATCCATCGAGTTGTATCCCCTATCTATCATAATCTTACAGTACGCTAGCAATCATTGATCCCACCCAATATGTGCCCCCTAACCCTTCGAAATAAGCAAAGAACCATCGTTACACTCTCAACCCTAAGCCCCAGCAACAGCCCTCCCAACAGCACCACCCATCTCCCCAAACATAACCCCCTTAAAAATCTCCTCAGGAAGATCCTCCGCCCAGTTCCCCGCCTCCTTCAACGCCTGCTTCCACTTCTTCTTCTCCTCCGTCCCGAGCTGATCCCACGTCCGCTCATTGTGCTTCTCTTGCACCTCATCCGGAATCTGCTTCCACTTCCCCGCATCCCTCAGGTTCCGCACCAGCTTGTCTTCCGCTATCATACGCTCCATGTCATCCTGTCCCTTTTGCTGTGGAGTCTTTGTAACTTTCGCCTCCTGTTTAGCCTTACATTGCGTTCCCTTCGGGGTCGGTGTTGCTCCTCCCGCTCCTGTGACTGTTGAATAGGGGAGAAGCGTTTCAGTTGACGATGGGAGGACTTTCGGCTCTAGCTGGTTGTAATCGAACGGTCGATGGAGCTTGTGTTGCCATTTCATCGGCACGTAATTTTTGGCCTCGAGATATTCTGGCACGACACCTCGGATCTCGAGAAAGCTTTGGATGAAGACGGCAGCGAGCGCAATACCGAGGACTGACATGAGGAGACCCATTGCGAATGCTAATGCTGTGGATGGTAGGGCGATAACGTATCTCGGAGTAGTTGACTGGCCTCTCTTCATAGACAGCGGAACTGGGAACAGGGGAAAGGTGTGCACCACGACCGTGTTGGCTACACCGACGCTGGCGAGCTTCAGGTACTGTGGGGGAGTGTGTGCTGTTATAGGGTGTGCGGGTGGCGTAAAATTGGAAAATGCAAGGGAGGTTATTTGGAGGGGGTGAACATTCCTGAACGAGCGAAATGGTTTGATGCTCGAGACGATGGATATCCCCGCCGCGGCCTGGAAGTCGACCTTGAAGAGATTTAATGAGATGTCGTGTCCGGCCACTGCAATCACAAATTGCGTGTATCCTTGGGGTTCCGAGGGAGTTGTTGGTGGTGTCAGATTGCAGACTGCCATACCGGTCGCTTTGGTGATCCTGTCTGGCAGTCGAACAGACTGAGCAAGGCGACATTGTCCCTTGCCGCTGGGCGGTATTCGGAAGATTTGTAAAACAACGCCTCCATTACTGTGGATGTTCGTGAGCATGATCAAGAATTCTTTCGACAGAAACCTCATAGCTCTGAACTTGGGCGTCGTGGGCTTGTCTTTGCCTCGTGTACCTGGTGTGATGTATATGCATTCCGGCGCTTCTTCATCATCTTCTGAAGAGATCTTCTTGATGTATACATCATGCTCATCGCAGTAAGCGAAGATATACTCATCGTCCCCCGTCTGTATGAAATCCACATCCTCCGCCTCCTTCGCACTCGTAACCGCCCCTCTCGAGACCGGCGGTGCCGTCTTCGAAGTATCAAACAACACGATCTCCGAGTTCTTAGCCAGTCCCGTCGCTACTGCTCCCAGCTGTGGTTTATTCGGAAACGGTTTCGACAGTCTCGTTATCCTCTGATACACATCCTTCTCTCGTCCCTGGAACAACGACGACCTCGACTGTTCCTTAATTGACACCTTCACCCCCCCCTCCTCCTCCTTCCCCTTCTTCCCCTCAACCCCCAAAACCCTAAAATGCGCATTCACCCCCCTCCCCACATCCCCCGGCCTCCCATTCACACCCGCAAACACCCTCCCCTCCGCCCCAACCGCCAAACTCGTCACATTATCCTCCTCCTTACTCAACTCCACCTCCGCGCTCTCCTTCAACTCATTCGCATTCGCAACATCGATCACCGTCTATCATCTCCCCATCACCATTAGCCTCTCCTCTCCTCTTCAAAAAAAAAAAAACCTAACATGCGCAAAAGGTTAAAAAAAAAAAAAAAAACTCACAATCCTATTCCCCACCCCCGTCCGCCCAGCACCACCACCACCACCGACCACCAAACGCGCCGAGTCCAGCGGATCAAAGTCGCACGCGTACAGCGGGTACGACAGCGTCAGTTTCGCGGATGGGACGAGGGGCGCCATATCTCCTTCCTTTACTTGGCGATAGATAATATGGGTGGGGGAGAGAATTGTCAAGCTGTTGTCGTTGTCATGATGAGGAGGAATTTCTAGGCCAGCCTTGATCACAAGCAGGGAATGAAATACCTGGCTAGTGTGGTACGCCCAATTAGAGGCCACATTGAACCACCCCAGCCAGCCGAGGCTAGACCTGAGTGGTGGTGAATTGATCCCTGTAAAATCTGGGGGCGACGTTTTAGTGATGAACTTTCTTTCGATGGATCTTAGATCTCGAACTTGTTTCTTTACAGATATCTATGAGCGCATAGTTGCGCCGCAGTAGAGTGGAATCACACGATTTCATATGAGCGCATATCACAAGTGAAGCCCAATTTTATGTTATGACGTTTATTCTTCGGAAAACCTTAGTTAGACTTCTTTCTCTATGATGCGCCATTTTGCCCTTCGTGCTCTATGATCATTATTCCATTCTCATAACCACTGTTTTGTAGTCATCAAATGCAAAGTATCAACGAGCCCTCAAAAGGAAAATTTCGAGTTCAGCAGAAACCATATCTCCAACGCACATTTCTCAAATGATGCACCACCTCCATGAGAAATCAGAGCCAGACGGTCCACTTTATCCCATGCTTTACCGTTTGAAAGAAAACCTTGTCGTTCGCAACAAAGTACCCACCCCAACGCCATGATTCGATGCAGGCCAGTCAAAGAGGCCGACACGAATGAATGCATTTAGCCCGCAGAAAAGTGAAGAAACCGAGGACGCAAAGCGGAAAGAAATTTCTCTTCAATATCGAAAGCATTTTCATGTCGTCAACGTTATCATTAAGGCTTGGTTCTGGGCTTACTTGGCGTGCTTGCGGAAAGCAAGTAGTTCGGCCAGGCTTGCGGGAGGGCAACCGTGCTTCAAGAAGTCGTGTTGCAATAGTTCGGCGGCTGTAGCTCGGCTACGAATATCAACGCAGAGGCAGACCGACAAGAAGGCCTTAAGCTCCTTTGAAAGTTTCTCTGGAGACTTGAGACGAGGTGTGCCGTTCGTAGCAATCAGGTAAAGGGCCTTAAGAGGTTCCTCGTTAAGGTAGGGCGGCTCCGATTCAATCATTTCAATGGCCATGATACCAAGCGACCAGATGTCAACTTTAGAGCCGTACTCCTTTTGCTTGACGACCTCAGGGGCCATCCAGTAAGGGGTTCCGACCATGGTTGCACGCTTGTTCTTCGACTCGGTCAACTTGGCGCAGAAACCGAAATCGGCTAATATTATGTCAGCTAAATTCCAAGTAAATCAAGGGGCTTGCAATGCTTACTGATCTTGACATTGCCTCGAGCATCAAGCAGAACGTTGTCAGACTTAATATCACGGTGAATGATATTTTGAGAATGCAAGTGCTCAAGTCCTTGGCAGGTCTGTTGTCGTTAGTTTTTTCTTTTTTTGAATTACATAGTGCACTTACCTCAAGACAGATGGTGGAGATCTGTTCCTCAGTAATGTTCGGGTTATTGTCAATTACATCGGTCAGCGCACCACCCTCCATAAACTCCATGACGACCCAAAGCTCAGTGTTGTTGTTGCGCAAGAACGCGTCGAGAAAGTTGACGATGTTCTTATGCTTAGAGTCCTTCATTACCATGATTTCATTAACAATCAGTTCCTTTCTCGGTTGGTGGGCCAAATCCATCTGCTTGATAGCAACCTGAGCCTTTCCGCCTTGAGCGCGAAGAACCTCTCTAGCAACTGGAGAAACAGCTGTTTCCTTGACCTTGGCAACATAAACCGAACCAGAGGCACCTTGACCGATCTTCTTTTGCTTAGTGTAAGACAAGTTCGGATCGTCCTTGGAGACAGCTTCCTTGAGCTTTGCCATAACTTCATTCTCAGACATGGTGGACATGCGAACATCAGCCTTGCGTTCAGAAGCAGCTGGCTTAGCGGTCAATGCAGCTTCGGCAGCCTTAACGGCGTCATTTTGTTGAATACCATTAGAGGTAGGTTGCTTAGCAGCGACATTGAGAGGCTTGACCTGTTGAACGGGTGCAGGAAGACGAGATGCAGGAGCATTTTGTTGACCATTAGCAGGACCACGGGTAGCTGGTTGTTGACCGTTGGGATAACGAGGATCTTGTGCACGCTGGCCGTTTTGGTCCGATCTAGCAGATGAAGCGCCATTTTGTCTGGGGACAGATGAGGAGCTTTGTTGTTGGCTGAGGCCAGGACGCGAACCATTGCTTGGCGTAGGAGCTGATGGTGCTTGTCGTTGGGTACGGACAGCGGGACCTTGTAGTTGTTGGGCTCGAGGGGCGGGGGGAGCAGCTCTGGAAGGATTATATCTATCCGAGGTTGGTCCACCGAAGCCACCACCGCCAATCTCCTGTTGTGCCATAGGTACCTTTTGAGGAAGAGAAGCGTTATACTCCTCAAGCTCGCGTCTCTTCTCTTCCTCCCGCTCCTTAGCCATTTGTTGCATGCGCTGAGCCTCGAGTTGCTTCTGACGCTGCTCCTCGCGGACTTGAGGATCAACATAGTTTGAAGCCATCGCCTGCATCTGCATACGCTGCTGCTGGGACTCCGGTGGAGTTGGTCGTCGGGGTGCAGGACCTGATGATTGCGGCGCACCATAGCTGTTATTTCGCTGAGCACCTTGGTTGGGTCGAGGAGGAGCTACGTTCGTACCACTCAGTCCATAACCAAGCTGCTTGTTTTGGTTCGATGACACAGAGGGTGTCGGGGTCAAGCTGGGGTAAGTCTCGGGTTCATTGGCTCTCTTGGTGATATCCGTGTAAAACTCAAGGACCTCGAAGACAGCTTGTGGGTTACGCTCATAATCCTCCTTGGTAATGGCGGAAGAGTTAAGTAACTTGGACCACTCCGGAGGCAGACCAACAAAGTTGCCAGTGTTTGGGTCATAACCAACATGAACGGCATGGGTGAAGTTCGTAGGATTACTGACTCCTCCCATTCCGGGGCATCGAGCGTAGATGTAGTCGATCCACTCGTAAAGATCCTCATCACCCTTTACCCGAATTTGCATAGTTCTCGTGAGATTATCGTCCTCTCCTGGGTTGGTGGAAGATGCGTTGTCAAGCTTTCGCTTAATCTCGAAGATCGTGCCAGCAGCTTCAACTCGGCAGACTGCGACTACATCTCTCAGAACAATTTGGTATGAGATCTTACCATCTTGTGCCTTGAGGAAATCAAGAGACTCCTTTCTCAAGATAAGGTACTTTTGCTTCCATCCACTAAGAAAGGTCTTGCCCTCCTTGACTGATGCAAGTCCCTCCTTGATGATAGCGATGCCTCCTTGTCCTTCAGTGTTGGATCGAATCGGAAGGCTGACCGTCGAGCCAGTATAGGTCGAGGTTGCAGTACCGGTGATCGGAGAATTAATAGACAATTGGGACATGTTGCCTGGAAGGTTGGCAGTAGAAGGAGTGAGGTTAAGGCGAGGTCGATCGGTAGGTGGGCGAGGAGCTGGTCCAGGGTTCATAAACTGACCCGGAGTGTAGATGCTATAAGCGGTCGCATAGTCAGCCATCGACTCGCATAACAGTCACGGTTGATTATTCAAGCGGGGCGAAGAAAAGGAGTGAATGTGATGAAGCGATTCCGAACTCGAGTTTATACGTCTAAAACCGAGAGCCAACTCTCAGCCACCCAGGCGATCCACCATGGGGGCAACTCCGTGTTTCCAGACGTTGCAACACATCGAGATCTGTGCAGATGGAAAATTTAATCGACATACCTGTTTTGGGAAGCCATTCTGGTCAAATGTACAGATTACGACTAGGCTGGCGTTCGGAATACTTGTAGAGAGTGGTGAATTTCCACTGCGGGGTATCGCAAAGAAAATCGTAGATCGTTCTGAACACTAGAAATCAGTCATCATATTCTATTAATTGTCCTGTTGGACGCTCGCGCATCGATGATACATACATCTTCTCCTCAGATCGGTCATGAATGGACGGTACTGAAGTCGAGACGCTTGGCCGCGATCGAACAAGCGGAGCGAGTCGGTTCACCGTTAACGTTTGTCGAAGGACGCGAATTATGCGGAACTCTAAAAGTCCAGCGGGGTCGAATGCCCTCTCGACAGCCCAGCAGAAGTTGGTCTGCGTCGAAGGAGGAACTCTTTGGGGCGCGTTGGACGTCGTCGTCGCGTTGTTGGAATTATCAGTATCGAGATCGAGGATTCGGGTCTCGAAGGATTCAGTTTGGGAAGGGAAGGGTCGTTAGTGCGGTCCGGCCTCGCGCTAACGGTAACGGGACGTAGCGATCTGGCGCTGGAGCTCCTCCTTGCCTCACAAGCAACAAGCACTGTTGGGTACGCTGGAGCTGACTCTCAAACTAACAAATCACAGCCCGAGCAAGGAAAGGGGGGCGGAGGAGGGAGAAAAAGAGGGGCAGAGAGGATGCACTTGTGAGTTTGAGATAGAGGCAAATGCAAATCCAGAGACAGGACAGCAAGTAAGTACAGGCAGGACATGCAGTCAGACACGGGATACAGCATTCATCTGTGTGAGTGTGTGTGAGTGTCCTTCTACGGGTCGTCGAGCTCGACTCCAGATTCACGGTTGACGCTGCTGCTGCTGCTGCTGCTACTGCTGCCACAGCTATCTTACACAACGTGAAAAAAGAGCCCTGCCGGAAATGACGCTCAGATGGCTGGGAATACTTTCTAGCATGCGACCGATTATCTAAGACGGCGGCTGCACTCAAGATTTCAAATTTCAGTGATATGGGTTGTCTTTCTCTGTCACAGCCGCCGGAATAGTTCATGCCTCAACCTGCGTACCGGTTTCAGCGCGAACCCCCTTTTACTTCGCTCCGTAGGGAGGGGAGGGGGGTTCAAGCGAAGAACAGTATTTAAATGCACGTCTCTTCCTTCGCCAGTGCCCAAACATCTCCCAAGCCATTCGGTCTGCAGTTCAGGGTGAGAAGTTCGAACGCAACTGTAGGACGGGAACCGGTGCTGGGCCATGACTGGGTGGAAACGTTCCGGCGGCAAACTAGGCAAGAGCGCCATGCCGTCCAACGTGAAACATCAGCGCGCAGCTGGGGGCAGGAATATCCTTTGTTTCTAATGAGCGGAGTCAACGTCGCAGGACCCAGCCGCACGGCCCTGACTTGTTTTTGATTTCTGTTTCTGCGCTGGTGCATTGCGCATGTGAGTGGCTTTTCTTTCTTATTCTACCTAGGTACTTTGTAATCATTTTGTCGTCATGCAACAATGTTTCCAAGTGCATCGTTATGTCCGTGATAAATTGTCTGTGGTGCAACCTGCACTCTTTCTTCTGGAGACATCACCGAAGGTTTGGCAGTGTAAGGCTGAGAGGACATTGGGGTTCAATCTGCATAGTGCACGTGTCTTGCATTGCATACAAAGAGGAAAATTACTTTGACATATGCTTTTGATACTCTTCAATAATCTATAACATGCCAGAATAAGTTCTGAGTAATACACAATCGCAAAACCCTTCAAGATTTCTTATCTGACGGCCTTTCTGAAGATTTAAGGAAGAAAACGTAGCTAGCGGACAGGGACTTCTGCTTCTTGACCTTCGAACGCGGGTAATTCCTTCTCGACATCAGCCCAAACCTTTTCACCCTCAACCAGGGATTTGATAGCAGCCAGGATCGTTGCTTCGTCGGCCCGAACTTGCTTCGTGGAGTCACGATCTCGCAATGTGTACGTCTTATCCTGAACGCTTTGGAAGTCGATTGTGATACCAAGGGGTGTACCCAATTCATCATTTCGGCTATATCGCTTGCCAATTGAGGCTGAAGAGTCGTCAACTCGGCTGGACACACCAAGCTTGCGGAGCTTGAGTGACAGGTACTTGACCAGAGGCTTGAAGCTCTCGTGGCCGGAGAGAGGGACAAGGAGGACTTTCGTGGGTGCGACAGTGGGAGGGAATGAAAGGACCTGCGTACTGTTAGCATCGACTTACAAAATATGGGACATGTCTACTTACACAACGTGCCTCATCGCCACCATCGCTGCCACGAGTCCAATAGTTGTGCTCAATTAGCGAATAGATGATTCTCCCAATACCGAACGATGGCTCGATGACATTAGGCGTGTACTCTCGTGTGTTCTCCGTTCGTGTTCGGCGTTCAATAGTGATCAGATCCTTGCTGATCTCAACCTTGCCATTCCCAACACCTTCAACGTCAACGGTGATTTTACCATCGGCCTTCAGATCTTGAGCTAGGGCTTCTCGTTGTTCTTGAGTCAGCGCCTCAACAGCAGCCTCGATTGTCTTGCCATCCTTCTTGAAATGAGGACCGAATTTCTTTTTGTCCAGTTCCACTTGCCATTCCTCGACGGTGATAGGTTGAGCGAGTCTCTCTCTAACCATTAATGAGGCACCAGTCTTCTTTGCGTGGACTGTAAGATCATATGCGCTTCTGTCTGCACAACCAACACACTCAATCCAGCCGTAGCTGGTCAGAAGCTCAGCATCCCAACAATCGGCTGCGTAATGTGCCATCTCATTTGCCATGTGTTGTCTGAAGCGGATCTTGGTTTGGTCAACACCGATCTTCTCCAAGAACAGATGAATTCGAGCCAAAAAGTAGCCCAGGGTCTCATTGTCCACAGTGCCATCAGCAACAGCTTTACCAATGGCTACCTTCTGGACATGTGTTTGACCAGCCAGTTGCGTGTGACGGTTCAAAAGCACAAGCTCCACATCCTTGACCTCGTCAAATCGATGATGTTGCTTGCCACCTTGAGGATCGACATAATGCTCAATCTCAGCCATCAAGAATTCACGGACACGAAGGAGACCAGACCGAGGCGAGATCTCATTTCGATAGGACTTGCCGATAGAAGCAGAAGCGAATGGCATTTGTTGTTGATTGAAGTCGAGGAGTTTTGCAAAGTTGACGAATTGGCCTTGTGCAGTCTCAGGTCTGAGGTAACCAGGCAAGTTACTGCTTGGGCCAATAGCTGTCTGGAACATGAGGTTGAAAGCTACAGGTGGGGTAGGGAGGACACCAGTAGCGGGGTTCTTCAGATCATATTTGGTGATCAGCTCACCCAACTCGGGACCACCATAGTTGTCAATCTACATTAAGTCAGTTTCTTAATCTCCCGCCAATCTCAAGTTAGGGTACCTTGGCCAAGATTTCCTCATACTCCTTGACAACCGCGTCATCAAGCTTGATAGCCTCAGTGCCTTTGACCTTCTTCTTTTTCTTTTTGGGGTCCTCTTCCTTCTCCTCGACTTTAACACCTCTTGCCTCCTTATCGCCCTTCAGCCGTGCCTCGAGGATCTCCTCAACGAAGTGATCTGCCCGAATAATATCGCCGTTCTTTGGGTCTTTGCACATCCAATCCGCAAACTTGTCCACGTGCCCACTTGTCTTCAAGACTTCAGCAGGTGTGAGAGCCGGGCAATCCACCTCCAACATATCCTCCTCCAAGACGAAGTGTTTGCGCCATGTATCAATAATGTTGGACAGCAGAGCACAACCAGGAGGGCCGTAATCATACAAGCCAGCAACACCGCCGTAGATTTCGAACGAGGGAGTGTAGAACATGCGCCGCCGCAGCATGGAGTCCATGACTGGGCGATCGAGGGGCTGGCCCTTTAAAGTGGTGGTCGACATGGTGGGCTCCTTCTTGTTTTGGAATTTGGGTAGTTGATATTTGTTAACTTGTGTGGTTGCTGAAAAGCTTCGTGCGGTAATTCTTTTCGAGAACGTTTGTCGAGTGCGTGCAGTTCGTGCGAAGCTGCAGAAGGATCGCATTCACTTAAGACTCATCCAATTGAGGTCTGAGTCACTCAATCGCAGACACTTGGGAGGAAACTCGGACGGTTGTTTTCTGGTTTCGAAAAGAGTCATCCAGCATTCAATTTGCCAGCCTTGGAGCGGCCGCATGCCCCACTTTTTATTTTCTTGAGAGTTCAAAGTTCTCGACTGGTATTTTCGCTATGTTCAACCAACCCCGCAACGAATATTACAATGGGATCCAAGAAGGTCAAACCGCTTTCTTCGAAAGCGTCCCTTCCTTTCAAGGTTGGGAACAAACTTAAACGCCAAGACCTCGGTGTCAAACAGAAGAAAGCTCGCGATGCGCTCCGCCGAGATGAGCGATTCAAGAGGAAACGAGAGGAGGACAGAGATCCTGAGCTCAGAAGAGAACGATTAGCACGGAACGTGCCGATGACCATCGATAAGAAGCGTGTCTGGGATGATGTGGAAGGTGATGGACTGGGTGTCAGTGTGGACGTAGAACAATTGAAGAGGCGGCGGGTAGAAGAAGCAGAAGCTGCAGAGCAAGAGCCTTTGGTAGAGGATCAGGAAGAGGAAGACGATGATGCAGACAGCATGTTAGACTCTGGATCCGATGAAGAGGAGGAGGATGAAGAAAAGGCTTCTAAACAACGACCACGAGCAGCCTCAAATGCGCCCTCCACTACCAGCACAAATCTCGACCTTACTCCCTCTTCACTCGCACTCAAATTTCCAACACTGTTCTCAGATACACCACCTCCAGTTCCGAAAGTCCTTCTTACGACCTCACTAAACTCAACTCTCCATAACGAAGCCCATCTCCTCTGCACGCTCTTCCCAAACAGCACTTACGTCCCCCGCTCTTCCCACCGATACGGGCACAAATTCTCTCTGCGAGAAATTAGCAAATTCGCTGCGAATCGCAACTATACATCTGTAGTCCTTCTAAAAGAGGACTCCAAGAAGCCAACTGGGTTGACCATCGTCCATCTCCCAGACGGTCCATCCTGTCACTTCTCAATTGCCAATTGGGTCGAAGGCAAAAAGTTACCCGGACATGGAAATCCCACAAACCACTACCCAGAATTGATACTCAACAACTTTCGCACTCCGTTAGGTCTGTTAACAGCAAGATTATTCTTGACTCTATTTCCACCACAGCCAGAATTACAGGGTAGACAAGTCGTCACGTTACACAATCAAAGAGATTATATTTTCGTACGACGACATCGATATGTGTTTCGCGAGAAAAGGGAGACGGAAAAGAGTGTCATCGGACCTGACGGGAAGGCAGTTCAGGGTGTTGAGGGTATCAGAGCTGGATTACAGGAATTGGGACCTAGGTTTACCCTCAAGCTGAGGAGAGTGGACAAAGGCATTGGCAGAGCGGGCAGTGAAGGCGAAGATGCCGTTCAATGGCAATGGAAGGCGCATATGGAGAAACAGAGGACGAGATTCAATCTGTAGACAATATCAAAATTCCGCAAGACCTTCTTGTCCCATGTTCTTATTTCCATAGATCACCTATTATACCCTCAAAAATCAAGCGAGAAGAAATTGATTGGTAGTAAAAACGTACAAATGGAATTTGCTGCTGTGAGCTAAATGCTATATACTGGTAAAGATCAGTGGTATCCAATCCCTCTATCCTCTACCTCATACAAGTAAGTGTCCAAGACAAAGTCTCAAGAACCCCAAAAACAACCGAAACGCCCCCCACGCTCCCAAAAATGCAACCCAAAACCCCTCTCCCTCTTTTCTCCGTCAAGCACTCTCCTTCCACAAAATCAAGGAGCACGACAATAATCATAACTCCGATACCCCCTCCCCCTCATCCACTGACTCTGCCTCTCCAACCCCAACGGATCCACATCCCGATTACTCTTCAAAAACCCCGTCTCAAACGGATGCACATTCGTCCCAAAATACTCCCCATCAAACAACACATCGCGATTCTCCGCACAGCTCACTCCCTCCTCGTAGCTCCGCATCCCATGGTACGCGGCCATCATAGCATCGACCTTGTACCCCTCGGCCCTGATCAGCGACGTCGAGGAGATTTCTGCCGCGACGGCAGAGTCCCAGGTGTGGAAGCACGCGTTGATGCCGGGTGCTTGATGCACGCGGGATGTTTCCGGGGACGGCGTTTTGGCGGCTGCTTCTTTGTTTTTGGGGGGTGGGAGCAGGATCGGGTGCGTGGAGATGTAGTCTAGTGCTGATTGGGGCGGGAAGAGGAGCGTTTCGAGGCCGGTGAGATCGGTGGCCCAGATCATGGATTGGATGTGGAAGGTTGGCCAGCAGTTGGCGGTCATTCCTACGAGCTGTGGTGGTTCGATTAGTGAGTGTTTAGGAGGAGGGGGAAGGGGATGTACATACCTTGACTTCGTCGGTTATTTTCGACAGGTACATGTCGCTCCAGCAAGCGTTGGACCAGTAGGGCATGAAGGGGCCGCGGAGGCTGGCGTTCATCATTATGAAGCGCTTGTAGCCTTTGTATAGGTCGTTTGTGGTCAGAACTTCGGCGTAAGCGCCTAAGTCGTAGCAATCGTTGGGTCGTTGGACGACTCGGATGTTGTCTTCTTGTGGAATCAAAGAGCCGGCAGTAGTCTCGCCGTTGAGGATGAAGATAAAGTCGGCGGCATCGTGGAGGCCGTGTTCAATGAAGAACTTGAGGTTGACTAAGGAAGTGCCTTCTTCTGAATCGGCGTAGGCGTAGAGGATTAGGGGACGCTCGGAAACTGGTTTGCTTTCTTCGGCTGCGGGTTCAGTTGGTGCTATTATAACGTCTGCTGCTGAACCTTCAGTTGGTGATTCCGTGGGATTTGATATCGATGTCTCGAGTCCTGCTCCATTTGTGGGTTGTGGACTTGATTCCAAACTTGTATTTGTATCCTTTCAAAGTCAGTCTGTTGTCCATGAGACTATTATGATGAAAAACTTACAACTGTTGACCTCAATGAGGGCATATCCAATGACAAAAGCGACCATACTATAAACAAAACTACAATCGTAATAACAAACGGCGTCTTGAGCTGTCCAGACACTCCGCCCTTCATGTTTCCTGAAGGCTTTTGTACAACACCCATTTCTATTCCAAGTCGTCGATGGTAAAGTTAGATGCTGCCCAGACTTTGGGGAAGTATCAAGTATATATCAGAGATGATAGATTCCAGCTGCTCAGCCCACTCCAAAAGGCTTCTTCTCGGCTTCGTAGACACTTCGCGTCTCTGCTCCACAGTGGGGTCCTGTCCACAGCCTTATAATCTGTGCCCGTCGATCATATACAGACGCGGTCCTGGGGCTGAATGGATATTAAATAACAACACGGCGATACTGCTCAACAGTGATTGTATAAAGAAACAAATTTATGAGTTATAGAAGAGGAGATATCTTGAAGGAGGGCATGCTCTGACTGGGATCTGTCGATCCTTGCGCAGTGTCCCGCTGAAGTACGCAACTAAGGTCAGATCAGAAGTGGACACAACTCAGATGATGGCTTCAGACGAAGATATCGGCAGCTGAAGAAGAGAAACTAAAGGTGCAATGGTTGGCGTATACTGAAGACCAACGTTGTACGTGCACGAACATAACATCCCGCCGCAGGGCTGCCATCAATCGAGGCCCAAAGATCCCATTCCGAATCTTCAACATACGAATCACCGTCCCCATAGCTCTCACCTCATGCAAGTTGGGCCGTGAGAAACACAACCGCAGGGTTTCTGCTGGGACGAATGTTTGGAGGCGTCCAGGAGAGCGTTGCGTGTGCAAACTCGGAGATGATCCATCAAGGCAGGGTCTCCCCGAAGTGGGCAGAGCTGACCTCGTAGCCATCGAAGACAAAAAGACTTCCACACGTGCTATTCATGAGGTGTAATTGGCTCGATAGGAGGTATCTGGAGCCGTTTCGAGACAAGGTCTGTGAGGGTGACGAGGCCCGCTCCACTACCCGCGAAAGCTGTTCCAGGTTGGTGGGAGAGTCTTTGACACAGTCCACCAGTGATGATGAATGGCAGCACACTTGTGGCTTGACTTGTCGATGTGCGGCAATTAAAAAACAAAACATAAACTTTTCGTGCACCAGCTCGATGCCATTTTGCGTGATCTGGAATCTCATCTCCAGATGGGAGGAAGAAAGGAGTGGCCGGCATTTGGCGGATCTGCTTGGTCCGGCCGGGAAATTTTTCTCACGTTCCGAGTCAAGAACGACAATCTCTACCGGCACACTTCGTATTCAAGCTTCAAATTGTCCGCCCTGCGCAATCTGTAAGAGGGAATTTTGAAATTTTCAAAGTGACATCCAACATCCCTGGCTACCGTTATCCAACCCACACGGAAAATGACAAAAATAAGCATTTCCCCTCGTGTCAGCAAGGAGGGGGCCAAGATGCTGATTTCCCAGTTCCGGAGACGATCAAACAGCGCACCTCGTTATCGCTATTCTTGGATATTGGACGGTGATCACACACGCGATATTCGCAGTCTCATGAACGGGTGATCCGATGGAACAAAAAGGTGCAAACTGCCACTTGACAATTGGATGGTCGAGAAAGCCACAGGTTCTCTTTCGTCTGTTTTTCTGCTCGGGAAATCTTCAAACGCTTCCGTAAGGTTCATGACAGTTGTTGCTGCAGAGTCTGTCACTGTTTGTTTCAACTGCGAACTTTGCTCTGGGTGCTAAGCCGCGCTGCAACACGTTCCACGTCACTCTGCCCAGGCTCGCCATTGGATGTCTGAGTACGAGGGCTATTCATTTTATGGTCTAATCACGTGTGGGTGCATAGAAGAGGTTGATCTCGGGAGTGCTCTGAAGCCAGAAGGTAGATTTATAGTATTATGTGTTAATTGGATGTATATGATTTAAAAATGCTCATTTAGTGATAGCATTTCAGGAGCATTGCACAAAGTTTATCAGACCTGCCTATATTCCCATTTCATTTATTCGCAAAAGTTCTCGCTCATCTCCATATTCTATAATTGTTGAATAGTTCTTGCGCAGATACAACTCTGTTGACGTTTCCTTGTCTATAAATTTTTGCTATTTGTACTACCTAGGTACACTCTGCCAATGCGTTTTATACTAAGCTTTCCAAGGTTGTTGTCCCGTGTAGGACCTCCCACTTCCTCCCCACATCCCTTTGTTGCCTAAACCCACAGGTGCAAGATGCTCGAAGCCTGTTTTGAAAATATCAGAGCCTTCTATCACATCAAACCAGCATCTTGACACATTTTGTGTCCACGATGGAAATTTCAATGGTCACGTGGTATCATGAAATTCGAATGCGACCGTTTACTCATTTCAGTCGAGCTCAATCAAGAGAATATCTACGATCCAATAGCCGTACACAACTATGTTACTTTATCGCGTTTTCATTCCATCATAATTACTCAATGTCGGGAAGTTGAAGGTAGATGGGATTTGAATCCCATTCACTCTCCTCCAAAATGAAAGGAAGGGGCGACTGAATTTTAAGTTTAAAGGCCTGCTTTTGTTGCACATCGCAAAATACATGGCAGTTCCCCGTGAAAAATCAGGTGATTTCTTGCAATATTTCCAATGTACGAAAGTTCCTTCCCGTCTTATCGACCGAGAATGTCTGTTGCATGTCGCAAAAATCGAGAAAATGTCTCTTCCCCGTGGAAAATCAGCTGATATCTTGTAGTATTTCTGTCTACGAGAGCTCCTTCCCATCGTTATTGACTTTGGGTTTTCTGTTGCATGTCGCAAAATTCGAGAAAAATGCCTTTTCCCCGTGGAAAATCAGGTGATATGGAGCGGTTTTTGCAGGATGAAAAGAGAAGGAGCGAGTAGATATAGAGTTTGGCACCTTGTTGTACTTTACAGTCGCTTATTAAATTGGTTCGATCAAGGGCTTTCGTTGATCAGAATGCATAAGCGCAGTTCAAAAATATATTGGGAGGTCTATAAGTCTTCAATATTGCTTTTGATGCCCAGTCTCTTTTGTTGCTTATCGCAGTGTCCCACACGAAACCGCAGATTGGGGATCCCCTGCGGACCAGGTAGCTTGGCGTCCCGTGCTGCTACATGAACCGAATAAGTCTCAATATTCTATCACTGAATCAACTATTCAGTGTGGAGATCCAATTCAACTTGGTTTGTGATGGTTTCATGGTCTGTGCTGAGAATAGAAAATTGTTGAGCTGGATACAACCATACAGCAAAGTCAATACATATGAGATTACTGTTGACGCTGATATATCTTAGGAACGGTTCCTGTTTCTGGGCGTTCCACATACTAACGATATGACATCTGACACAAGCACAACTTCAGCCCTATGGACATTGTGACACCTGATGCCAGACACAACATGTGGCATGTTCGAGAGGCTCAAATACAGAATTAGTGGCATATCCTTCCCGTTGGCTAGGATTGCTTTCGAATCTCAAACTTGAGATCATATATACGGACATTATCTCAGCTATGAATGAAAGCTAGGATCGAAATATCATATCTCTCAAGAAGAATTCTCGAGGTGTCGTGGCGAGAAAAAGAAAAGATTACCCCTGAATCGCTTAAAAGCTTGGCATACCCTGCAGGCATCTTGATGCCGCTAAGAAAAGCTTGATTTACCTTCTCATGTCGAACATCAGGAGACCTTCAACAACAAACAAAGATGGCGATTCTTTGCTCATTCAAGGCCTTCCGTCCACATCATCTCGCCTTCAGCAGTCCTCGGTATATAGTATCATCCTGTGAATATCATGACACATCGACAGCAAATTTTCATTTCACCGCCTCTTTGCTCAACGGGAATTTTCCATGAGGGATTTTGGGTGTCAAATTTCCAAGAGATGGGGCTGAGCTACCACGAGGGCACCGTAGTGCCACTGCACCAAACGTAACTACAATCGCGGGGCACTATGCATTTTTATATGAGCGATTAATGTTACACAGGTAAAGTAGCCTCGGACAGTGCGATACCCCTCAATCTATCCGTTTGGCGTTGAGATCGAGCTTTGGTTCATTTCCCTTGCAGGATCTTGAGGTTCTCGACTGGGCGGGAATGTCATTGGTCACTAGATCTACAGGAAATATTGACTGAAGATGGCCGTTTGAATAATGGCAGTTCTTGGTAGCTTAGGATAGGAACGCATGTCATGGTCCGAATGAGCCTTAACTATCCGGTAGGCACTGTTGGAAGTTTCCATTACGCTCTTTCTTTCCTTTATTAGCTTCTGTTCATCGCGCCTCCCCATCTCTTGTTTTCCTTTTCTTCCACTTCGTCCATCAAACCCTTCACTCTACCATATCGCGTTCCTTCAGTGTTTTCTCCTACCTATTCTCGCAGGCGGTTCCGCCAATTTTGAATACCTCCTTCTCCTCTTATCTCAGAATATCAACTAGACAAGCCACCATGGCTGAAAAAGTAGAATTCGAATCCGCAGACCTACGAGATGAGGAGGTGTTCCATCCAGAGCCACGACCAGGAGCCAGAATCAGATTTGGTAGTCGTGATGAAGAGTCCGGCCGGAACAGATCTCGAGACCGAAATGGCCTAACACGGACAACTACCAACGCATCTATTCAATCAACGGCAAGCAGCAGACAGAGACGATATTCAGTCGACCCTTCTACTGCCCTGCCAATTACTTTTCGTACCGTTTCATACGCGATCGAAGAGACAAAAGAGAAACAAAGAGTCGAGGCGGTCAAAGTCAAGAAGGATGCAGCCACAGAGTTTGGTGATTTGGAATGGCATACATGGTCAATCAAAGAGGTTGAAAATTGTCTCGAGACATCGATCAACCAAGGTCTGTCATCAGAGCAAGTTGTGAGGAAACAAAAAGAATTCGGCAAAAATGCGCCCTCCAAACCGCCCAGCGACCTTTTCTCACGTCTGATTGGATACATGTTTGGCGGTTTTGGATCTGTACTTCTGATCGGTGGGATATTGGTTACAATTACATACAAGCCACTTGGAGAACCTGCCCCAGCTTTGGCGCTGGCTATTGTCTTGTATGCAGTTTTTGTCATTCAAACTCTCTTCAATGGCTGGCAGGATTGGTCATCTTCAAGGTAAGTTTCATATCCATCAAATAAAAATGTTGTACTGACTTCGCCAGGACCATGGCTTCAATCTCTGGAATGCTTCCCGATAATTGTTTCGTCCTTCGAGATGGCAATAGGGTCGAATAGACCGCTGCCAACTTGGTACCTGGAGATATTCTCTATATCAAGTCTGGCAACAAATTGCCTGCGGATGTTCGATTCGTCGAGGTCTCATCAGATGCCAAATTCGACCGATCGATCCTGACTGGAGAGTCGCAACCAGTTGCCGGATCTGTTGACTACACCGACAAGAACTATCTCGAGACTCAGAATATTGGAATGCAGGGTACCCACTGTATTTCTGGCAGTGCGATTGGTATTACGGTCAACACTGGCGACAAAACTGTCTTCGGCAAAATTGCCAAATTGACCAATACACCAAAGACCTCCATGACTACGCTCCAGAAGGAGATTCTAAGATTCATTATCATCATCTGTTCCTTGATGCTTTTCTTCAATATCGTGGTCATCATTTGCTGGAGTGCCTGGCTTCGACATGACCACCCGAATTGGATCAGTGCTGCTGGACTTATTGTTGACATTGTTACTGTGGCGGTTGCCTTCATTCCTGAGGGTCTACCAATTGCGCTCACGGCATCTTTGACGATCACTGCAAATATCATGAAGAGCAACGAAGTTCTATGCAAATCTCTGAAGACTGTTGAAACTTTGGGAGCGGTGTCCGTTATCTGCTCTGACAAGACTGGCACTTTGACGAAGGTAAGTCTGGCTAACTTCATGGTCCTGTCTAGAGATGCTGATCATACCTGTAGAACCAAATGTTTGCCACAGAATGTTCAATTGCAGATAAGAAAATGACACCGGAGGAGGCAAGAGACCGGATGATTAGGTCAGAAAAGGAAGCCAGCAATAACGCCATCTCCCAACTTCGATCATGTGCCGGTCTCTGCAATGCTGGAGAATTCGATGCAGCCACCAACCATTTACCACTGCCACTGCGAAAGATTGCCGGAGACGCAACCGACCAAGCAGTGCTGAGACTGTCGGAAAGCTTCGGTCCAGTCCACGAGCTACAAGTTCTGTGGAAGAAGACTTTCGAATTAGCATTCAACAGCAAGAATAAGTTCATGATTCGCACGCTTGCTCTTGCCGATCCTGCAGGTTTGGATGTGGCTCTTGCTCCGAGCGAGGCAAACGCATGGACCGACAACCATCTTCTCCTGATGATTAAGGGTGCACCAGACATTATTGTCGAACGCTGCACAACTTACGTTGGTGAAGATGGCGAGGTCCATCCTCTTGATAATACCATGAAAACTGTCATCGAAGATATCAAAAATCAATGGTCGAGCCAAGGCAAGCGAATTATCCTTCTTGCAAGAAAGATTCTTCCAAGTCATCAGTCTATCCACAATCCCGAGCACAACACATTCGAGGCGGAGGTTACACAACAAGCTAGCAGCGATCTCACACTCATCGGTCTTGTGGGAATTGTCGATCCTCCACGAGACGAGATCCCAGAAGTTGTGCGCATTCTGCGTCGTGCCGGCATCCGAATCTTCATGGTTACAGGTGATTTCAAGCTCACGGCCCAGGCCATTGCTATCGAATGCGGTATCATTAGCAATCCTCCCGCTATGGTCCATGACATTTCAATGCTGTCCAGAAATGCGGTTGATCAACCTGCAATCAGTAGAGACGTGGATGATAGTGATATCGAGAAGTTCGGCGGAGCATCCACGTCGATTACTCTGAGTGGACCTGAACTGATTACCTTGAACGACAACCAGTGGGATCAACTTTGCGGATATGACGAGATCGTGTTTGCGAGAACAACTCCAGAGCAGAAATTGAGGATTGTGAAAGGTAAGTCACGCATTGAACATACCTAAGATTCAAGACTAACATCCTCTAGAATTCCAAAAGAGAGAAAATATCGTTGGTATGACAGGTGATGGCGTCAATGATGCTCCTTCTCTGAAAGCCGCCGATATTGGTATTGCCCTTGGGAGCGAATCCGACATCGCCATCGAAGCCGCCGATATGGTCTTACTCAATAGCTTTGGAGCTATTGTCGAGGCTGTCAAGTACGGTCGTGTCGTTTTCGATAACCTTAAGAAGACGATTATCTATCTTCTCCCAGCTGGAACCTTCTCCGATTTTTGGCCAATCTTTACGAATGTCATCTTCGGCCTTCCTCAGATTCTCAGTTCATTCTTGATGATCATGATCTGTTGTTTGACAGATTGTGCTGCTGCGACTGTTCTCGCTTATGAAAAGCCTGAAGCGGATGTATTGCTGAGACGACCGAGAAATGTCAAGAAAGATAAATTGGTGGACTAGAAGCTTTTGTTCCATGCCTATTTCTTCCTCGGGATTCAGGAGTCGCTCTGTTCCTTTGCGATGGCTTATTGGTATGCTCAACGCAAGGGTGTCCATTTCTCAGCTCTCTGGCTCGGTTACGGTGTATATCCTCCAAGCTATGACCCAGGACATGTGGCCAAAGTTCTTTCAGAGGCTTCGTCAATATATTTCGTGAACCTTGTAATTATGCAATGGTTTAACCTTCTGGCCACACGAACAAGAAGGCTCTCAATCTTCCAACAACCACCAGCATTCAACAAAGCGACGCAGAATCTCTGGATCTTCCCGGCGATCCTCTTCGCCCTGGTCGTTATCTTCATCTTCTTGTATATCCCAGGTCTCAACACGGCGATCAATTCAAGCCCGATTCCAGTGGAGTATTTCTTTTTCCCAATCGCGTTTGGGTTGTGGTTGTTGCTGGCGGATGAGACGAGGAAGTGGTGGATCAGAAAGTATCCGAAGGGATTGTTGGCTAAGATTGCTTGGTGACGGGATTTTGGATTTGGGTTCAGTATGCATAGCAAGGCGTTGAAAATAGTGGAAATGGTGGTTTTTTGATTTTTTGAACGGAGAGTGTGTTGCATGGGTAGGAGTTGTCGATAGGGAGGTACTGGATAGAAAAAGAGGTGCTGTAGAGAAGGCATAGAATTAGACTTCATGACAGTATGAATTACGACTCACCCATGGCTTCAAGCATCCAACAACATCAGTGTGGCCCTCTCGTTTTCTCTCTTTTCCTGCTCCTTTTTGATTGCCCTCTAGTTTAGCTAACTAGGCACCATCTCGTACCATAGAAACTCAAGCCAGACTTACCTACACCCTGTCAACAACAACCCAGCATTTCACGCCTCTCCCCACTGAAAAAGCAGTAACTCAAATTTACAAAATAAACAAATATCATCGGCCCGAATCTACTTCCTCCAAATAAACGGAAGGAAAAGGGGGTTTGAAGTTCGGCACGTGAGACGGGCGTTAGTGTACCTAGGGAATGGCTCGCTTAATTGTGTGGAGGTCAGTTTAACCTCACTTCACTTTATCTCTTGGCGTGAAGAGAAGGTCTGGTTCGCGAGCGTGGAGGTCAGTTTAATCTCATTTCGTCTCTTGGTGTGAGGGCGAGAAAAGGTTTTGAGTTTGGAGCTTTTGGGGAGTTTGGGGACTTCGCATGCTGGGGAATTTGGGAAGGGATGAGAGGGGTATGGGAGAGTGGTGGTTTGGAAGGGAGGAGGAAAGAGTGGAAGCAGGAGGAGGGGAAGTCGAGTGATTTCGTTTGGGTATCTTGATGATGATCATAGTGAAGTGCTGTTGTTTGGAGGAAATTGAATGTTAGAGCATGTTTCTTTTAGAAAGGCTGAGAAGAGGCGAGAGGGGTGTGGTGAGATTTGGCCTGGAAGGAGAAGGGAGAGAATAACGATGAGCAGGGAGAGTCGAGTGATCTGCTCCATGCGGCGTATGTGAGCTTTAGTCTTCATTCCATGCTGATGGATGTTGAGTGTATCAGACAGCTGGTTCAAGCAGCCCAGACCTTCTGATCGTTCTGATAGAAGAGGTTTGAGGACGGTAAGGAGGGACCACGCCTAGTGGCTTGTTGCCTGAAGCCGATTCTGGTGACCGTGGGCAATTGCGTTATGTTATGCTGCTTCGTTAATCTGCGAGAATGCATTGAATTGTTGGTAAATGCCGAGTACGCGAGTCTATAATGAAGTCTTGTCGAACATGGTGGAAACTTGGAGAAATGGAGTTGAAGAGGTTTGGATTCCTGTATATAGAGCCATTGAGAAGCTTGTCGAAACCAAACTTGTCTCACTCGATGCGCTTATACTAGTATTTCGCAAATCATCATATATCGAGACTTTCACGTCCAAGTCTCCTGCAGGAGCTGGATTCTCGAAGTTCGTGTTTCGTTGAGTAAGATGACCGGCAGCCTAGGTACCGCGTGAGATATACTTAGACACCGATCTAATGTTGAAGTCACGCTAGCTATCACCTTTGCGAAGTCTTCCTCTTTGGGATGGTGCGCTTGTTTTTGCGATAGCTCTCAAGCGCTCCATCGTCATAATTTGCAAACCTTCCAAGAAATCTTCTTATCTTCTTCTTCGACCCAAAATCCATCACTTTCAGCAACGAAGTCGCACAAGAGCATACCAATTAGCTGCCATACGATATAGTTCTCCTTTACACTCTGCATATCCTTTGTCATCTTTAAGATCGCACATCCTCTGCGCAATCTTTAAAGCCTTCATAATGATACCCTCGAACGTTCCGAGACTTCCAAACGAGCTCTGGATCAACATCGTCAAGCAGGTCCCAAGAGCTGATCTCCCAAATCTCTCCCGTACCTCAAAGCAACTTCATGAAGTGACAGAGGAGCTCCTTTACAGCGAGTTTGAGACGGCTCGTCGTACTCCACGATATGGAACGACCCCGTCTTTCAAGAAAGTCTTCACACGATTTCTGCGTACCATTCTCGAGAGACCAAGTCTGGCGAAGCTTGTCAAGCATGTTACCATCCGCTTTCCGATGGACCTTCGCAAAGGCTTACCTACGGGCTCTGACATGTCCTTTATCACATCGGACCAAAAATCTTGGCTGCGACATGAGATGCGCGCTATCGACGCGGGCACCTGGGAAACAGCCTTTTACGGTCATAATCCCCTGGATTGGTTAGTTCCCTAGACCATCTTGAAGAATTTTCCTCTTCTTATAACGAACGAACATGTGTATAACTTGTACTGATTGACGTAGGTTTGACGCTGCCGTTGCTTTCTTGATCCATCTGTTCTCTAGAAGTGTCGAATCTGTTACCCTCCTCAACCAGCGTCTGTCCCGGTATCATCACACAAATGCAGTTCTACGAAGAGCTGCCATACTTCAGAAGCAGATGGTTGAAGGTGCCGCGTTGTCTCATTTGAGATCGGTCCGCATTTGGAGCTGTAAGAGCCTCTCAGAGCCGAGCGTGAATATCATCGTACCGTTTCTGCGTCTAGACTCTGTGAAAGAACTTGTGTGCCACAAGACTCAGGGTAGCTTAGCTTCACCAGCATTGAGCGCTCCTTCACAGCCGTGGAGCTCGCTCTCTGACATTCAATCTATTGAGTTCAGAAATAATCAAAATTCAATAGTGGAACTGGCAGCTTTGTTCCGATCATTCAAGGCGCTGAAGCGGCTTGGGTGGGTTGACCGAGCTGAAGATATTAGCGAGCTATTGAGTATAATTAGTGTTAATACGAGACTTCAAGCCAATCTTGAGGAACTCATTTTCGATCAACGGGAAGAATTCTGTTGGTTCGAACCACTTCCTGTTTATAACTTGAGCCGGCTCACAGCATTGAAGATCCTTGCGATCGATTACATGTCCTGGACCCCCCAAGATTTGTGTGGACCAACCACTCGGACAATTGAAGTCTTCGTTGCATCTCTACCATCGTCATTGGAGCGCCTAAAGATTTCAAGATGCCGAGGAGGCTATGCTCTTTATGGAGTTGAACATATTGTCAGCTACAAAAAGACGACACTTCCTAATCTCAAGCAACTCACGTTCGGCTTCGACGATGCAGACTGGTGCTCGGCTACTTCACAAATGCTGGTAGATAGTGCCTCGAGATGTTCCAGGGAGTTGGGAATCACGTTCTCAGCCGTCTATGAGAAGATTGGCCGTGTAGGAAGTCGCGGAGAGCCGTGAGGGTAACAGACGGCATATGGGTCTCGAATTTTGCCCCCGTCGGCTGGTTGTTGAATGAAGTTGAGGAATTTGACACGAATAGACTAGGAAAAGATTTGGAATGGGACTTTCCTGACCTTAGTTCTTATTCATATGGGAGATCGAACTCAATACGTTGAGCATAGCTCAGTCTAGAAGACTCAAACTACGAAGAGAGTATCTACAATGTAATACAAGTTTTGCCATCTCACGAGAAGCTATCATCTTTGACCTCTGAACGTGAACTGATATTAGCGACTTTCCTTTGCTCTTTGCTGTCCGTAATACGGAACCGAATTTGTCCAGATCGCCCAACATTTTATGATCTGTGGTTGTGTAGTACAGTAAAGCCGAGTTTGGATGGACCATAACCTTGAAAGTTGACAAAATTAAACCTGTGGGCAATGGGAAAACAAGATTGGAGTTTGCTCTTAGCCATGCAAATGAAATTGAATAGCTTGCGTAGCCAGGGGTCTTGCTTTAAAGTATTGGCAGTACCAGATATGAAGATGAACAGATACATTGACATGCTTACCATAATTGTAGGAAGTTGGGACATTGTCAAAACTTACAGACTTGAACTAGAGTCTCTTCACGTGCTTAACCCATGAAATATTCAGGTGAATCGGAGATCTATCTTCCTAGGTAACTAAGATTTCTTTGCGCAATTATTCGCGACCCCACCTCTTTCCTCCCACAACAAGTCCACCTCTTCCTCCCAGAACAAACCCACCTCTTGCTACCAGAACAAATCCACCTCTTCCTCTCACAACAAGTATCTCGAGCCCATTACACCAGGCACCTTCAATAATAACTCTAATTCGAAGACCACGCGGAAAGATTAAGATTGAATCCGACAACACCCCGGTCTCAATCAATCAAGCGCAAAACGACACTTTCCATCCATCTGCGTCTTGTTCTCTAACAAACCTCCTCCTTCCTCAACCCAACGATCTTCAACTGCGCAAGTCTTCCGATATCAACAGTGATCGCAGCCATGCCTCCAAGCCTACCGTCAGAGCTCTGGCTTGAAATCATCACACTCCTTCCAAGAGCAGACCTCCCGAATCTAGCGAGAGTCTCCAAGACTTTGTACGACTTGACTGTGGAGCCGCTCTATCAAAATGTGGATCTCACGAACCAATGGAATTCCCACAAAGCTACCGAGTCCTTCTTCTGGACTGCGATCAAGAGACCGGGATTGCTGCGCCTTGTGAAGCAGGTGACATTTCAAATTCTGACGGATCCTTGGCTAGATAATGGCGCCACTCTCATTTACCATCCGGATGCATTGAAAGAGTACCGTTGGATTCAAGATCTAATGATCACCTTTACTTCTAGCCCAAGTCAAGCAAAGGAGTGGTGTTCTGCGCTATTCGAAGACGAAAATTATCTGCCTGTCTTCGACTTTCTGGTTTGTATGATGTCATGGAGCTTAGAGTCACTCACCGTATACGATTACGGCAGAATATCGAAGTACAAAGATCATTATCTCCCGGGCGCCCTCCTTCGAACCACACAGCAGCCACAAAGTGACATGGACCATCCCTATCCATTCTCTCGCTTGCAAGAGGTGAAGCTTTACCGGGAGACCTTCAAGAGTACCTTCCAGAGTATCGACTCGATTATACCATTTCTGGAACTGAAATCCTTGAAGCGATTTGTTGGTCAGAAATTTATCTTCAACGATTCGTCTCCGCTTAATAATGAGCTCACGACATTTTATGTGGAGTCACTTGAACTCTGGGATTGCAAATTGCCGAAAGTACCCTTTCTTCAGTCTTTCAAGGCTCTGAAGACGTTCAAATATACTTCCCAATTCGAATGGATGCCATGCTTTGCTGACATCATGCGGGTTGATCTTAGAATCAGAGAAAGTCTTCAAGAAATCGTCTTTGACGACAGGATTGAAGAGTGTATTGAAGGCCACCAGTGCCCACTCGATCTCACTAGTTTTAAGGTATTGACGAGCCTGGAGCTATCTTCATATTCGTCGGTTGGGAGCCCTAGATGGCGCCTGTTTGAATACGACGCAGATTCTTCGCCCATATTTACTTCTCAACAAATACAGGGCTTCATTACTAGGTTGCCAAGATCACTGCAATACCTAAAGATTACCGATTGTATCTACGAGATTATTCCTTGAATATCGAGTTTTGTTGATAACAAAGATGGTTGCCTTGAAAATATCAAGTGCCTGACCCTGGCCTTTAGTAGAGGGGAATGGGGGGAGTTGATCTCGGGTGAACGCCAGGAGCAAATCAATGAAGCTAGGGGAGTTGCAAATAGTAGAGGCGTAAAGCTTGTGCTTTTGGAAGAATAACGTACATACATGGTCTATTCTGACAGCAGTCAAGGTGGTGGAGAGGCGAGCTTATTAAATTGGATTACTGGAGATTTCGAATTAGGAAGTAGCCTAGGAAGCTTGGCAATCAGTTGACCCGAAAAATGAGCGCTGCTTCTTTGTCTCAAAGGCTAGGTTGTCTAGACTCTGTTAGCTGTAGAAGAATACAAAAGTCATCGGAGAACTTGCAAATTATCGATCTATGTGATTTTCATGCTCTGTATAGTAAGCCGCGTAATGAATCATTGTACTGTACTGTACATGACTTACAAAACTCAATTGTCCACTTCAAGACCGAAAATTGAACTCGGAATATTCTTTCAACTCATCATTATCACCGCAGTGAGCTACTCATCTTCGGACCTTCGGACGTGTATTAGGAGGAGGTATTGACTAGTGCCTTTCGCCTTATTACCTACCTAGGTACTTAAGTTTTGTTCGAGCGAACTTCTGACCCATCTTCCTCCAACACTTACAACTCTCAACGCTTTTTGAGAACGTATCGCTTTGAACGCGTTCGGGACCAGATTGCACTACTAGTAACTCCGCACTTAATTATCCTAAGCTAAATCATAGGACAATCGATGACGCTACAATTCGAAGCTTTAATACGATTATATTTCTCTTGAGCGTGCAAGTAGTCACTCGTTTGATTAGCGATAAGAATAGGAATTATCTAGAGGGCATCATACTACTAGGGACGTACGTGTGCCCTTTTCAACATACCGTGCCAGATATCTTTGACTACTGCTGCTGGGCTTAGGTATGCAATTGTCGCTGCTGCATTCTTCGTCTACCCCGACGATGCCACTGTTTCACCCGCCGCAAATGCCTTGACGAACCTGTTTATACGAAGTTGATCCATTGAGTTGGAGAGGGAGCGGTATATCATATCAGCAAGGTCTTGACATTTCAGCATTCAAAATAGTGGTATAGGATGTGTGGTATAGCAATAAGGGGAAAAGCCTGTTGACGTTACAGACTGGCAAGATCAGATGGTCCTGGTTGTAAGTAACTTTTTACGCGAAATAACAATTCATGTATGAACCTATGGGGACTTCTAATTCTTCCAAATTGAAGTGCCGAAAATGGTGAAGTAAATGTCTCTGTGGGAGAACCCGATCAGTCTGTCGCGTGCAACACTACCAGAAGTGACTACAATGGAGGCCTAAACTGATACACCGCAAGGCTGGAGTAACTTAACACTGCGCCCTTGTCTCAGATCCTGAAGTTCAGGGTTGGAATTTCTAGAAAATGTCATATCTACTCTCCCCGTGACCGTACCTTAAGCCCTAAATCTATCACGTCACCTCTCTGTCACTTAGATACAATTAGAAACTTGACAATGGATCCGTGTCCCCTGGTAAAGACATACTCTCACTCCAGCCCCATGTTCTACTTAATCCTTTACTTTTACTACCTACTCAAAGTAGCTCCCCTGCGAGTGACCCGGAGGGTTGTTCAACTCAACCTTTTGGAAACGAGCAGTTCGATTTGACTTTCCGCCTTCAGCGTGTCCCGAGGCGCCTTTATTCGTGGAGAAATGTTGCTTGAGCGCACGAACATTGAGCTGCTGATACTGGCAAACCCTGCTCTTTCTGGTACTTGTTAGCCGCACTACAGTCATGGTGGTAAGCGTGACGAAGCACGGCAGCGATGAAACTGGTTGTATAGGACTGAAGGGTATGCATGGCGGTAGAACGAAGTAGGTGAGAGAGGAGTGGAAACTCCGGGTGTGGTAATGGGTATTAAGCGGGCGTCTGTGATGCTGTGACCGCGCCTTCTGAATTAGGTGAAGGGTCCCTTTGAAGGAACATGTTGCCGTCAGGTGTAGATGAAGCATTCCTTTGTACAGGGTTGTTAACGTCGGGAGTAGATGAATGATTCCCTTCCAGAGGAATGTTGCTATCGGGAGTAGGCTGGGGCACCCTTTTTCGCAGCTTATACCATAACATAGAGCCAATACACGTCAGAAGGAGAAACGTGGTTACAATAGCCATGATGGTTCTGCCCGGGTTTCCCAAGAATTGATCATCAATGCGTTGGATAGACCATGGGTAGCACGACGACTTAACGGTGATGTACACTCCGAGGCCTAGGTAGAGGAAAGGTATCACCATACTCATATACCTCTTCACTAGACGCACGACACGCTTCTGGCCCATGATCAGCCAGGCAACGAGACACCACACCCCCATCAAAATATAGTATACGACGACGTATACCGCTATCTCTGCCCCTTTTGCTTGAGAAAACAGTGGTATATATGTCCCAATGTTATCTCCCCCATTCATCAACGTGATGACGGCAACTTTCAGTATGGCCTTCATCCCGGCGATTTTGGATTTCCCCGGGTCTTCTTCCTCCACTGGGAAGAGAAGGTCGAAGAACTTCCAGACTCCTAGGAGGATAGGCAATAGACCAAGGAAACCAATGGGTTCAGAGGGAAGGACCAGTGCGACACCGAAGCCAATCATGCTAATAGTGATGATTATCGTGAGTCCAAGGTATTGGCCGATAGTAATCTTGAGGGGAGTCACAGTCTTGCTGCTGGCTGCTTCAGCAAAGAAGGTGACCAAGACGAACATGTCGTCGATATTGGTGATAGCGAAGGTACTGCACGCAGTTCCCACCGATTTCCCGAACTGCATGATGGCGAGTAGAGCAGAGCAGTGATAGCTGATCCTAGTGTAGGGGAGTGGTATTGACGGGCGACAGTCGTGGGCTGAGTACTGGGAGTTGGGCTACTAGACTCGTGGGTTGGAGGGGGTAAGAAAGAGGTCCCTGGGGTAAGAGAATTGTGTTTCGGGTGGCAGTGTTCCTGACACGGAAATAGCAATTGGGAGGATGTTGGGAGGATGTTGGGAGGATGTTGTGAGGATGTTGTGAGGCTGTGGAAGATTGCTTGATCGATAGAAGATTGCCTTATTGCAAAAGTTCGGCGAGGGCTTCGACTAGAGACTAGAATTGGTCAGGAAAACCTATTTTGCGAGGATCTGGTGGATATCAATAGATACCAATAGATAGGAAGAACTGGCATGGACACCCAGATCAACACCACGGGAGCACACCAAAAGATCCTTTATTGTGCTTGATCGAGGAAGACAACGACTAGACGAATGGAAAGTGCGAGATCTACTCTCGAACAGAGATCTTGTAGGACTTGAAATTAGTAACAGGAAGGGAAATGCGAAGGTAGCAACACTTCTGGTGGGCACCAGGCTGCCAAGACGCTATTCTCGTGTGGGCATAGCTTTGTCCTTCTTGAGCTTTCACCGAGAACCTTGTCGTTGTGATATTTCCGTTATCAGCCGTCAGTAAATCCGAGAACCGCTGAGACAGATTAAGATTATTATCAAATAGAAAGTAGAGTCTGACGGTGAAAATTTAAGAGGAATATGGCTGTAATCGAAAGGCTATGTTTTAAGTTGCGACACGAGTTACAACGCCATTCCATTCGATAGTAAGGGTGAGATAACACAAGGTGAGCTGCGATAGACGGGCTGGGGATGGGAGAGAAGACCAGAGGTTGCGAAAGGGGCGATGAACTTATATTTGAGGGTGCGGCTCGCCGTTTCCAGACAACAATCATCACGGGACCATATCGTATCCTCGAACTTCTTTATTGCTTTCATTCTAAATCTCAACATCTGTACTATAATGTCTATCATAATTCGTCCCAACTTAATGATAAACTCACGACTCTTTATGCTAGATCCTTTAATCTCACGGATTACATATTGCCGAAAATACCCTTTCTTTAGTATTTGAAAGTTCTAAAATGATTCGAATATACGTTTCAAATCAAACATATTCCATGCTTTGCTGTCTCATGTTTATGATTAAATTAGATAGCTACTGTAAAATATACATAGTTATAAAAAGTATTAGGAATGTGAATCACGTGGCCTACGCGAGCTCGAAAGGGGGGAGGGCTGGAGAAATCTGCTTGACCATACCCCGGTCAATTGATAAGAGCTTATCTAGCCCTAGCGGAGGAAAATTTGAATTTACTGAGAAACGGCGTGATTCTCTATAAACCATCATCTTCCCGGAACTTCACAGCTTCTTTCCAAGACATCTTCGTCTAACGCAGTCGTTCGTCCCATCCATACACACCCGCGAAAAGCCACAGAACAAAGACAAAATAGCAACATGGGAGAACTTACAAATGTCGAAGCATCCGGGAAGGATTCGTCTCCTTTACAGAAGCACCCAGACAACATCGCAGAATCTCCCAAAGACAAAGCTTTGGTCCAAATCGAGCAGATCGCAGCAATTCGGAACGCGTTCGAATGCGTTGTCGCCGACGAATCCATCCAAGACTACGCCTTGAGAAGCATTGCCGGAGTAGTTGTTGGCATCATAAAGACATGGCAAGAAAGAGCTCTTGGTAGAGATCCAGTCGATTATGCCCTTTCTTTTGGACTTCATGGACTGTCAATCACGCTCCGTCAAGTGCTGACGTTGGTGCCCGAAAAGTACCAGGACAAGATTGTCCTTTCGGACCATTTACAAATTCGCAAGGGCGGCAGCTGGGTGGATGAGAGTGTTATGAATGTATTGGTTGAGCTTTCCGCGACCAATACCGCTGCTGGCGCTCACTTCGCTCGCGGACTATTCACAGACGCCATCAACAGCTGGGATGTATTGACACGAGAAGAGGGAGTCTTTCCTACGCGCCTTGCTTATCTGAACGACGAGATGAAGAAGGGGGCAACTGATTGGAACAAGGACGGCTCTTACACTGTTCCCTCCGACAAGGATCGTATTGTGTTCTTCTGGAATTACTACGAGCATCACTGGACTGTCATAGGCATCCAGGTCAAGGGCAAATCTTGGAAATACAAGTTGCATGATTCTTTGGAAAGCACGAGCCGTTACACGAAGGATAGTGTTAAGACTCTGGGCATTGATCTATGCGGGTTGATTTGTGAAGCTTCAGATATGGACAAGCCTGAAAAAATCAAAGTCGCTCATCAAGACTCAGCGCAACAAGCTAATGCCTACGATTGTGGTGTTTTTGCGGTCGTCAACGCACTTGCACTTCTTCGTCGAGCCACACCTCCAATCAAGATCGACCCTGAAGAGACTCGACTCCAATTTCTGGTACAAATATTGACGGCTCTTGATGCTGGTCTCGGGGGAGCACCAAAGCGAGTGTAGTATCTGCACTTCGGAAAACCTTAAAGGGCTTACACTTGCTCTGGGATACAACCAGTCTTGGGAAAGGTGTTCAGAAGTGGAGAGGATCTGCCTGGAGGTTGCAGAAAAGAACGGGGTCAAATTCATAATCGCCTCAGAGCCGGACGATAGTGTTCTCATGGAGAGTAGAGCGTTCACTATTGAGCTTCCGAGGGGGGTGTGGACGATGAATACTGGTTCTCTTTCAGACAATCGATATCGCTTTTGAATGCATTGAGAGTCTTCCGAAGCGTTGTTTGCTTTTAAATGATTACAATGATTTTTTGAGAACTTTGAAGTGGTCTTTTGATGCATTATTGCCGAGGCGTGAAAGGCGAAGACTTTCGAAACACTAAGCACTTGACACAATAAATCAAACCAGGAAGTTTGTAAATCTCCAAGAAGAGTGGCACGGGAATGTGAAGCAATGTCTCCTATCTTGAAAAACAAAGTATTCAAATGATATGTCTCACCCGTGACCAGAATAATCACGTGCTGCTTACTGCTTTCAGTTGCAATGTGCTCGCTTCGTGTCCGACATCATGACCTGCCTTCCTTCCTAGACACCGACATGCAAAATTCAAACGACTTCGAACCCATCATCGACCCAACAGGTGTTGCATACATGCTGACACTCTCTGATACCTAGGCACTGTTCCGTACGACGGTCTGTGTGCGAAACGAGACGTCTGCAACCTGATGATAAGTTTGAATTCGAAACAGGAAGACTTCAAAGTAGGAGCAGAGTAAATGACACTAGATGACGAAAGCGCAAAGATATCACTAGTCTCAATACCTTCCAGTAGGTGTAGGATGTACACCTACTGAGTTGTGAAAGCTTAGCTCTGTTGGTATTCGGTTAGTTCGCCCGCACCAACAGCGCTCAAATGTTACTAAAGCGAGCCTCAGAAACACTCATTCACTCTCAAGGCGTCCTGGTTCATGACCTCGTCAATGACATAAAGTGAATTGGCACTTTTATGTTTCGGATCGGAACTAGTGCCATCAGTTATAGGGAGCCTTGTACATCAAAACAACACCACTTTCGGGATCGGCACCACACTCGATTTAAACTTGCGCCTTCAACGATACTCCTTCTTTCAGCTTGCGACTCTCATCATGGCGAATAAACTTGCAAATGAGCTCTGGATCGCTATCATCCGCCTGGTCCCAAGAAGTGATCTCCCAGAAGTCTCCCGCGTCTCTAAGCGCTTGCACGCCTTGACCGAGTCCATCCTCTATTCCGAAATAGATACCACAAAGCATAAGGATGGACCTGACGCAGCTCTCGCATTACTGTATCGAACCATCGTCAGTAGGCCAGATCTAGCACTCCATGTCAAGCATGTAACTCTGTCTGTCATGACTAAGGTTGGCGCAACACAATCGGTCCGTGAATCTGGAACATTGGATACATCCTCCCTTGCCCCTAACTACGAGGAACTCTTGCAAGGCTATTTAGCTGAATCCATGCTGTCGCAAGATGTCCTGGAAGACTGGCATGCGACTATTCTCTCGGAACGGAATTGGGATGCTGTCGCTGCCTTCATCCTTCTTATGGTCTCGGAAAACGTTGAATCTCTCACTATGGATAACTATGGCGCAATGTCTAGACACTATTTCATAAATATTCTGCTCTCACATGCACAGCATGCGCATGCACTTACAGAAAGCCGCCGTCCATTCTCACAATTGCAAGAGGTAGCTCTCAATAGAGGCGCTAGTATCGTCAATTTTATGAGATTTCGATCCATCAGACCGTATCTGACACTGGGATCAGTCGCTAAATTCACCGGTCATGACATCGCTGATGCGAATACAATGTTCGATGCGGGTAGTGACTCGTGGACTACTGAGTCTATTGCCTTGATCAATTGTACCGTTAATGCCCCGACTCTGAAAAACTTCCTATGTGGATTTCAAGCGCTGAAGTCATTTGAGTGGGTTAATGGAAAATTCATACCAAACGCCGAGTTCTACAATGCCATTCAAGGTGTACCAAAATTCAAGTCTCACCTCGAAAAGCTGATCATTAGCAATCCACACCAGGGTAATATATGGAATGCTTCCGTTCCCGCCTTCGACTTGACGGACTTCGCTGCGTTGAAGACATTTGTCGTCCCTTCCCTCACTGCTCTCGGACCTTTAACCCGAGAAAACGCTGCCTCCAACAACGATAACACCGATATGGGTGATGTGGAGGATATGTTGGATATGGATGACGCTATCGAACCTCCCGGTTTCTTCTACTCTGCCAGCAGAATCAATGACTTCACTGCCGCATTACCACCGGCGTTGGAGTCCCTCAAGATTACGGCTTGTTCATCGTCAATGTACGATTGTGCGCTGCGCATTGTCAGTACGAAGTGCAAAACTCTGAGCAATCTCAAACAGTTGACTCTAGTTTTCACAGACGAGCGTACTGGTACTGCACGCAACTCCCGCAAAAAGCGCTATGCTCCTTCGAAAGGCAGATTGGCAGAATACAAGATGATTGCTAAGAAGAATGGAGTTGAGCTCAAGTTTCTGGAGTCCGTCGAGCAAGCATAGTGAGCATGGATAATGAAGGACATGAAAGGAGTTATGGGCGTTGGCTCGGGCGTTGTCATGAGCGAGGATAGTCATACTGTTGGTGTAAAACGGAGCTTCTCTTGCAGGTTACTGAATTTTCAAACTCCCATGTCTAGAGAATAGCGAAGAAATTCTAGGACAGTCTTCTCCTCATGATCTTGCAAGTGTTGCGAGCAGACGAGGCTTAAGCCCGAGGAACCTCGGATAAGGCTGACAATGACCCCGCATTGCGCTAATGTACGGTACTCCAACATCCTCGAGTAAGCAGGAACCAACAAGGAGAGAACTTTAAATTATCCTCATAAATCTTACATCTCCAACCTTTCCAGCAACTATCTTTCTGTCGTAAATTATCTGCTTTTACTTTCGTGCTTGCTTCTCATCAAAATGTCCAAAGCTGTACATGTACCTTTCTCTGAGCCACCATGGTCAGTCTACTGCAATTTCTGTAATAGCATCTAAGGGTTTCCAACGAGTAAATCAGTCAAGTGACTTTACACTGATAGAGTTTTACAATTATATCGTTTTGATTTATATAAACTGGGACTAAATCACCTCAGGCTCATGGGACTTCCCTCAGCATACTACAACGACTCGCACCGAAAATGGCAAAAGACATGCCGCTCCCTCGTCGACCAACTCCTCATGCCCCAAGGCGGAGAATGGGAACGAGCAGGCGACGTCCCAGGTCCCTTTCCCTCCCCTCTCTATCGTAACTCACTAACACCCCCATCCCAGAGGACCTCTTCTCCAAATTCGCCTCAGCCAACTTCCTAATCCCCAATCTCTCGGCACCTCTACCCATCACCTGGCTCAAAAAACTCGGAATCCACTCCCTGCCCGGCGGTCTGGCCGTCGAAGACTTCGACTACCTGCACACACTCATCTACGTCGACGAAGTAGCCCGCACCGGCTCCCTCGGCCCCGTCGGTGCCGTCACAGTCGGGTACGCATTCGGCCTGCCTCCTATCCTGAAGTTTGGATCCCAGGACCTGCAAGAGAGGTTTGTGCCCGATGTGATCACGGGGAAGAAGAGGATTTGCATCGCGATCACGGAACCGGGTGCCGGGAGCGACGTGAGTAACATCGAGACGACGGCGAGGAGGAGTCCGGATGGGAGGTTTTGGGTCGTGAATGGGAGTAAGAAGTGGATTACGAATGGGCTTTGGAGTCATTATGCGTCGATGGCTGTTAGGACTGGAGGACCGGGTCCCGGTGGGTTGTCGATGCTTGTTGTTCCGCTGCTGGATACGCCTGGTGTTAGTATGCGGCGGATCAAAGTTGGAGGGCAGACGGCTGCTGGTACGACGTTCATTGAATTGGATGAGGTTAAAGTTCCGATTGAGAATTTGATAGGGGAGGAGGGGCAGGGAATGAGATATGTGATGCAGAATTTCAACCATGAGCGGTTGACGATTTCGATTTCTGTTAATAGGTTGGCGAGGGTGGCGATTAGTTCGGCGTTTGAGTATTGCTTGAAGAGAGAGGCGTTTGGGAAGAAGTTGATGGATCAACCGGTTGTAAGGCATAGGTTGGCGAAGTGTGGGGCTGAGTTGGAGAGTCATTGGGCTTGGACTGAGCAGTTTACTTATTGTATGACGAAGATGAGTGAGGAGGAGGCGAATAAAGAATTGGGAGGTTTGACAGCTTTGGCAAAGGCACAGGCAGGTAAGGTACTAGAGGTTTGTGCTGCTACTGCTGTGTTGCTTTTTGGCGGGAACGGTTATACGAAATCGGGACAGGGAGAGATTGCTGAGAGTGAGTGTTGCTTGAATGTCTGAACATTCGAGAAAACATTGCTGACGAGAATAGGAATCTACCGTGAAGTCCCAGGAGCACGCATACCCGGAGGCAGCGAGGACGTGATGCTCGATCTCGCCATCAGACAACTCGTCAAGAACTTCCAACGAAAAACGAAAGAGCTAGAAACAGAGATGGAGCGACCGAAAGGATCCTCGAAGCTATAATTTCGCATTCTTCGGAGTCCTTTAGCATCATAAGATTCTATTAGATGATTCTCTCTACCAACACAAACTCACATCTCATGCCCCGTCTTCTTCACAGCCCTCTTATAACTCTCGGTAGCCTCACACTCCCTAATCCACCTCTCCACATTCTTCCACTCCCCAACCTTCCTCCCCGCCGTCAAATCCCTCGCAAAAATAAACTGGACACTAAACAACACCATCGTATCAGCAGCCGTAACCCCCTCCCCAACCAAATCCTCCTCCCCTCCAACTCCCTCTCCAACCAATCCAAGTCCTTGCCCACATTAACCCCCAAACCCCCCTCCAACTCCGCCAACGCCCCACTATCCCTCATGCCCCGCGTAGCAAACCACCTCGCATACGTAACCGCCAAACAATGCACCATAAACGTGCCCTCCGCCGCATGAACCCACATCCGCACCCTCTCCCTCTCCCTCTCCCCCTCCCCCCCGCCCCCCATCCTCCCCTCTTCATCATATTTCTCCACCAAATATTCCGCGATAGCGCCACTCTCACATAGAGTGATATCGCCATCGACCAGCGTGGGCGCTTTACCGAGCGAGTTTCCGGATCGGGAGGCGAAGTCCGGGGGTGCTTTGTTGTTGATGCGTGGGAAGAAGATGGAGGTGTAGGGGAGGGACAGTTCTTCGAGGAGCCAGGCGGTGCGGATGCTGCGGGAGGATTGCAGGAAGTAGAGGGTTATGTTTGGGGGTTTGGGGTGGGACATTTTTGGGTGTTTTTTTTGGGGCGGGATGTAATGCGATTGGGAGCAAGGATGAGAAGGAGGGTTTGATTACAAAAGGTACGAAAGTACTGGAATGAAGAAGTTGATATGCTGAAGGGAGGGTTCATCGACGTCACGGCCACTAAACCACGCCGTTGTATGTGAGGTGTGGAGACTTAATTTTTGAGACGAACCTTAAGTGACGGCACAGCCAATCCTGGGGTAAAGCTAGCGCGACAGGTATTTGGAATTGAGTTTTTCTTTTGACCTATCCTATCCAGGACGTAGAACCGAGGGAAATAACCAAATGTATTGTATATCCTGCCTATGAAGCTGCAGCACAATCCTTTGTGACCCTCCATGCGCCGAGACCCCTCCTCCCAATTACTCTTTTGATCGTAGGCCAGAATCCGTCGTCGCCGAAATCAAGATCGTCTAAATTAAGGTGCTGTCTGTATCGCCAGACTTCTTGGAAGTGTAGTCCTGTTTCGAGGTTTGATGTGTAATTGTCCAGAAATGTTGCGGACAAGGGCGCAATTAGATATGTGCCTTCTTGCTCATCTAGAAATGCTGTTGCATTTTCAGAAGGCTTGTGGCAAGTCGCAAGCGCTCCAACTTCTCGGATCATTAGAGATCCCTTCATGCCCATGATATCGTGGGTCCGGAGAACCTCATTCTTTCCATTCAGAAGCCAAACAGGAGGACTATATGTTTTCCACCATATCGCCTGCGTTGCATCTGGTTGCTTGCTCAGAAATACCTGAGTCGGTACAATGCCTCCCTGATGATAAACGCCCATCAGCGCTCCAAAGATGACATTGAAGATAATCCAAGCTCCTGTCCAAACTCTGAGGTGTGTCTGGCTCTTGGGTAGTTGTACAGAGGAGAGTATTAATGGAACGGTTGGAAGAAGGAACCGTGCCTCCTGGTGTTGAAATATCGAAAGAACGAAAACGCCTGAGATCGCAGAGTACAAGCGCAATGAAGCATGTGGTCGAAGAAAGAGTAAGAGGGCTGTCGGGCCTATGAGTTGTGGCAGATTAAAGAGAACATGCTGATACCACGGATGGAGCCCATGCGTTGCAAGATTGCTGGTTGAGAGGTTGTAAGTGAGGTTATTAAGAGGCGTAATCGTCGGGTGGGCAAACAAATAAGCCCAAGTAACAGAGTGTTCGGTGTAGAACTGCGTATCTAGATAGATTGCGACGAAGGTAGTGAGGAGGGCTGATATGATCGCAGCAATAAGAGCAGAAGGTCTGGTAGATTGTCAGCAGCTTTCGAGATGAAGGTGGTCTGCATACTTCTTGAAAAAATGGGGTATCAATCGAAGTCCAGGAATGAGTAGAAATGCCGGGAAAGTAATCCGGTTAAAAACACCGAAAACAACTACAAAAGCAAGTATAGCTGAAGCAAAAACAGAAGATCGTTGCTACAGCAGTCAGTACAGATTCCCACGCCCAAGAATATGGCATCCTACCTTATTCTCCACGATTCTGTGTATCAAAACAAGACTCCATGCCACAGCCAGAGTCTCTATCGAATTCGAAAATGTATGTGTCTGGTATGTCCAAGTGACATATGATGATGCGACCAACATAACTGCAACTCTTCTATGCCTCGGTGACTGCACCAGTTCATGCAGAGCCCAGTCTTCCAACACAAAGCTCAAAGCAAACATCAACACTCGCAGAGTCCAGAACACAGCAATCGGTGGTATCTCCCCATCGTTTCCATTCCCAATCCATAACCACCGCAGGAGTAGCATCGGAAGGCCGTAGACAGGCCATAATGGAAAGACACTTCGAATAGGGTTCTCGGAGGTAAATTCCCAGGTTAGGCGGACAGGATAGCTGAAGATTTGACCTGTAAAGTCTTCTGTTAGCATCTGCGCATCCTAGTAGAAGCAAATATCGGTGGTTTGGTAATGACAGGAGCTCAAGAAAGAGCTTTCATAATTGTGTGACTCGAATTTGCTTCCCCAATCAGATCCCAACTGTCGCGCAAACCACGGCAGCCATCAAACGGAGTCTCTTACCAGCTATAACTTCAGGACCTTGGAAGTTCTCATCGGGATGGAGATAGCTCGGCGATAGAGCAAAGTAGAGTCGAACAAGAACAAGAAATAGATATGCGCGCCTCCACATTATGGCTTGACAATTACATGCGACGGGGACATCTGTAAGAAGGAATTCGCAGACGCGATGAAGAAGGTGCAGAGGGCATTGGTGATGCTGGACCTCTGAGGGTTCTTCGAAACCGTTGGGGACTCGGAACCTGATATCTGGTTTTCGGTGATGGACGCGTTCGTTCTATTGACTAGGATGCTGATGCTGACAGAGGCGGCCGCTTCAGGAAATTGTGGGAAGGGAAAGCCAGAAAGGGGCAGGGGAAGGAGAGAAATAATTTATGCTGCTCAATTTATAATTATGAAATTTATGAAGAAGAAAAATAATACTGTAATGTACAACAAGTCTATGGTGACTCAGACGGAAAGGCCCTCCATTTTCTATTGCAGGTGGCCCCTTGCATGGGAAGATCAGCCGGGCAGCCTCACCTGCAAGCTGTGAGAGCTCACATGAGAGTGGAAAGGCATGATATGATATGATATGATGTTGGAAATTGATAGGAGGTCCTAAGAATCTGGCCACAGCTGGGCTGATATGCTCGCGACAATGTACTACTTACTACTGTAGATTTAATGGGAGAATTAAAACGATTATTATGTGTGCATTTATACAGTACTGTCTCGAATTCCATATTGAAAGTGATTCTGGCACCCGTCACAAGGCTGAGAAATTGAGTGCAAACGCGCCCTAGACGCGTTTCGTGGAGGGTTGAGCTTCGACTTCAGAGCTCGTCATTCGCAGCGAATCGTTAGTCACGCCTTCTGACAGTGCATTACATCGGTGAACAAACAAAGGACCATTCTCCCATTTTTTGTGCATTGACGCCCAATCCAGTGACCTTACCTTCTGTAACTTACATGTCGAATCGTGTCGAATCGCGGCTTCTGCCTGCCAGATCTATTATTGTCCCCAGGCTGCAAACAGGTGAAAGTCTTTAAGGTCGCTGGTTCTTTCTGGACAGTCACATACTGTACCTAGCCGCACCTTCAAGGAGCACTAGGCTGCAGCGCTTTAGCGAGAGCGCCGTAGTCCAAATTAGGATTTCGACTACAAAACCACCTCCATTATTCCTCCTCCGCTTCAAACCCATCTTCCTTTCAACAACTCCTCCCACCACACCACCGCAACCTCCACTTCAAGAACAACGCAACTTCATACCACTTCTTCTCATACATACCACCATCAATCAAAATGTCTGAGACCAAGATTCAAAAGCTCACTCTTGTAGCCAATGATGGCAACAAGATCGAAGTTGGTAAGACACCCCACCCCGCCATACTTGCGCGCCGCACAAAGAAGATTCTTCTTTACTGACACATGCGCAAATAGATCGCCAGGTTGCTGAGAAGAGCGTCCTGATCAAGAACATGCTTGATGATCTCGGAGACGAGCAAATGTCCACTGAGGTCCCCATTCCCAATGTAAGCCCCGCACCTCCACAACCCGCCGAATGCGCTCCTCTAACCTTCTCGCGCTCCACAGGTCAACGATACCGTCCTCAAGAAGGTCATCGAGTGGTGCGAGCATCACAAGAACGACCCCGCCGCTCCTCAAGACGATGACTCCGACTCCCGCAAGAAGACCACCGATATCGATGAGTGGGACCAGAAGTTCATGCAGGTTGACCAAGAGATGCTCTTCGAGATCATTCTCGTAAGCGACTTTCTATGACCTTCATTGTTGAGGACGCGACTAATTTTCTACTCACAGGCCTCCAACTATCTCGACATCAAGCCCCTCCTTGACGTCGGATGCAAGACCGTCGCCAACATGATCAAGGGCAAGTCCCCCGAGGAGATCCGCAAGACATTCAACATCACCAATGACTTCACCCCCGAGGAGGAGGAGCAAATCCGCCGAGAGAACGAGTGGGCTGAAGATCGTTAAGCGTTCGAAGCTGAGATCTTGTGGGGTGAATATCAGGACAAACGCCCATGTTCACCTTCGAACACGACCGCGTTCCGTTTCTCCTTTGCCTCGCTGCATTTCTCTTCAGCTGTGCATGCATACCAACGGTGCTTCTCCTTCCCAACTTCTTCAACGCGACACCTCCTCGACATCCCTCTACATCACGTCACCAAACCACCCGCTCTGGAAATCTCTTGTCTCCGTCTGTGGGCTGGACTTTTGGGCATTGCACTTGCGCTCTGGTCCTCTATCTTCTTTATCGTTCGTTTTTCTTTCACATTGCGACAAGCCTATGGCGTGGCGTTCCGGTAAACTCTGGCTTTGCGAGGGGAACATCAGGCATGGGTTTCTCTATTGAACTGGGCTGGCTTTTACTGCACAAAGGTAGTTAGACCTCCCATTCGAGTAGAACGAAAAAAAATACGTCAGTATCTTTGCGGTGCATGTGATTGATCTGTGAATATTCGCTGTCTGTGATGTCCTCTTTTCACAACGTCATACAGTGGTCATGTTTGTCATTCATCTGAGGACTTCTCACCAAACGCGCTCACAGTCCACTTCAAGCTTTTAATTTCAAAACGAAGTCGCGTGCTCCTATTTAATTCTCAATTGGGCCTTTTGTGACTTCAAAATACAGACATCTCACCCCGTCCCACATACGATATACGCTAACACAAAATATCTAGTTCAGCAGATCTGTATCTCGTTCCCGCATTACTCGATTGATAAGTTCGTAGCTAACTTCTGACAAAATGCTTAAGTTTCACGAATAGGATATGGTGGATGATGGGGAGAGGTGGAGAGGTGGAGATTGAAGGGCCTGTATCTGGTGGGTATGGTGGGTGGGTTTGGAAATAAATACGAAGTCTTCTAGGAGGGAGGGAGAATAGGATTTACAATCCTTCTTAGAGTCAATCCTAGGAAATTGAAAAGTGCCAGCTGCTGTGATTCCGGAGTCGATGTCCGAGTTGTTGTAAAATTGCTCGATCTCAGCACCGAGTCCGAATCAAACAACATCACAATTCTCACCCCACCACAGCACCTCCAAGCTCACACCTGCACCACAACCCCAACCATCACAGCACCAAGATATCAAGAGAAATTGAGAAAGGCAACAACATCTTCATTTGATTTCTGAATTCATTGTCCATGCCCCAAAGCAAGCAAAAGAGACGCCATCCATCCCTATCATGCAATTCTCAAATGTCCACCACCGTACCACCCTTCCATCCATGCATCATAACAGTTTTTCCATCTCGAGATCGTAGACTGATTGACGGGGTATCCGAGAAGAGGGGATGATGTTTGTTTGAAGGCGAGAGAGAAAGAGAGGGCGAGTACTCTAGATACCGATGCGGGTCTTGCGCCAATGTCTCCTCTTTGCGTTGTATCTGTGACGGGTCTCTTGTTAGCATAACCGTGATCCTTTTCCGCGAGAGGTTGTAGGCTTTGTGGTGAAGGGGATGTGGGTGGGGTAAGAGGAGTGTATCGTACCGGATGGTGTTACCAGTCCTCAATCGGATCCATTGAGGGATAGGTCTGTTCTGCTTCTGAGCTCTGGCGAGCTTTTGCTTCGTACGGAAAGACTTGTGGCTCTGTATCATCACCTCATCATCAGCATCTTTCCAATATCAATCCAGACATCCAAATATCCATCGTTCCCTCGATCTCGAACTCAACACTCTCGCCACACATCATTCCCCATCGCAGACCAAGAGCAGAGCAGGAGATAGGGTAGTAGAGAGGTAGAACAACGTACCGGCATCGTGACTCTTGCGTCGTCGTTGTCGAGTTCGTGATTGTTTTGTCGTTGAACCTCCTCATCCACCAAGAAAATTCGCCAAATTTCGTGTGCGGCAACCTCGCTAGTGTAATCCTATCACCTGACTCCTTCCCCCCTCAAATCCAAGGCAGCGATAATAAGTGTCCGAAAACAGATAAGCTTACTTTGCTAGCGCCGGAGCTGGCTGGGCAAGCTCGAGTGAGCAGCAGCAGCGAGCGGCGTTTTGGGTGAGGCTGCGAGCGTCGGTAAATACCTACCTACAATATTACGTCCGCCGCCGTCAAAGAAGAGTACATACATTCTACAGCTGTTCGCGAAGACGATATTCCGCGAGGACTTTTTTTTCACACAGCAGAAGAAGGCGAAGAGAAGTAGAGAAAGGGTTCTTGCAGCAAGGAAGGGAGTTAGGGAGACCAGGTCAGCGGTCAACGGTTACAGGCTTTCTTCTTGGGGGAAAGGAGAGGACAGCTAAGCAGAGAGAGAGAGAGGTGCTAAGATGGGTGCGAGCGTCTCGTGGTTATCGGGGATGCTGTGGGCGAAGAAGGAGATTCGGATTTTGATTTTGGGTCTGGTGTGTTTTCTGTCTCTTGGGTTTTGGGGTGGAAAGTGAAGTGGTTGCTAATCAGAGGGCGAGTAGGATAATGCGGGAAAGACGACGCTTCTTTATAGACTCAAGGTGAGTTTCCTGACGGGTTTATGGGAGGGTAGGGGCTGACTTGATGGCAGATTGGAGAAGTGGTTACGACGATACCGACGATAGGATTTAACGTCGAGTCCGTTACATACAAAAATCTTAATTTCAACGTCTGGGTATGTTGCTCTCTCCTCTATCTTCTGCTATCTAATAAGAAGGATAGGATCTCGGTGGACAAACTTCGATTCGACCTTATTGGCGATGTTACTATGCCAATACAGCAGCTGTGATCTTCGTTATCGACTCGACGGATATCGATCGTCTGGGCACAGCTTCGGAAGAGTTAGCAGCGATGCTGAACGAGGATGAGCTGAAGGATGCGGCGCTGTTGGTGTTTGCAAATAAGCAGGATCAGCCGGGTGCTAAAGGTGCGGGCGAGATAAGTGAGGCGTTGAAGTTGGCAGAGTTGAGGGACCGGAATTGGAGTATCGTGGCTTGTAGTGCGGTGGATGGTAGGGGTGTGGATGAGGGGATGGATTGGCTGGTGGTAAGTTGTCCTCTTCCTCATCATTGGAGAAGAGGCAAGAGACTAATAGTGGAAATAGCAAACTGTACAGCAAGATTCGTAAAGAAAGAATTTACTGGTACAAAAAGCCAGCTTGTATCATCACCGCATTACTGCTATTGGGTAAAACACGACTGGAAAACACACTACCTGAATGCATCACGAAGGGATGAATGGGAAGAAAGAAGGGAGAGTGAAAAATGCCTCAGCTCATAAGCCAAAGGGGTACCAAGCAGAGGTGAAGAATGATACGATAGATGATGAGATCCATATGAGGCGCTTTAGCATTTAACTTATGGAGTATGGCGGTGTTCTTATTTCGCTTTTGTAAGTGTGCAGTGTAGCTGGACTCTCCTTGATCAGTACGGTAGGTATACGTGATATATATACAGATATTCCTCTGTCTTTAGAGAGTCAAGGCCCCGAAAGCCGGGGAAATCGAAGGCTTATGGACTATATATTTCCATCCGAGTACGGCTACTTGAGTGCAAGTAGATGTATTGCTGAACAATTTCGGCATCTGACTCTGTTTCCAAAGCCCGTATTCCATAGTGTGGAGAGAACCATCCGTCATTGGGTAAGTAGTGACACACGATCACCAAAAGCAAACGGCTATGGCATATTCTCCACGCCTTAGAAGTACCTGAGGAAGGCTTATGTTGAAAATATGGGGTCGAGCAATAATCCGGCTTCCCCGGACGAAATCACGCATTTGACACGAAGTCTCATCCCATAAAAAGATTATCCTCCTTCTGGTCAAAATTCTGCAAGTCACACGTTCAGATTGAACCATTTGATTTTGTAACTAGATAAACGAGCTCCGCATTTTCCCAATCCAGGTGCGTATGCTGATGCTGTTCATAATCGCATGGCAGCTCGCAGTGTGTAGTACAAGCAGCATGACTAAGTCCTGCTACAGGCGAGAGGTCTAGATTTCCGGGTTATGGTTATGTTGGTAATGAAGTCTACTTGCGGGCGGGTGTCCTCCTTGTATGTAGCTATGCTTATCCGATATTGAAGTCCCAGGATTTTTTTTCGAGCATACGAAAGTATGTGCTTCTCTTGTCATCAAATGAGCAGCATTCATTCCATTAGCAGAAGTGCGTGGTGGTGTTCTATGTTGGTTCTCCTGCAGGTAGAATTGCTAATACCCGAATAACCAGAAATAAATGATGGTGCTTTACTACTGTACAGAGAAGCAGAATGTGGTCCCGAGAAACACAACAATTGCATCCCTATTGTCGATAAGGATAGTGGCGTCGACTGATTGCCCGGAACGCGGAGAACGGTGAGACATGACCAATGCAGGCAAGCGCAAGTACAAGTCCTCGTACAATATGCATCAGAGTGGGGCTCACTTATTTTTCGACTTGACGTGCGTATGAAGCATCCTACGTCACATCTCTCTCAACCGCAACGAACTAGAGGAGAAAAGAAAGCAATTGACAAATACTGAGAAAGGGATCTCGATTGTCTTATCGGGGACTCAATAATAGCTTCATTAATCTAGCTGGAGTTGTCCATGTCTCCGTTAGCAGGACAGCTAGAGGAGCTGATCTATCAACGGGACTTCCCTTTCTCGAAGGGTGGCACGACGTAGTGCCAGCCCTTTTGCTCTCGATTTTCCGTCATATCCCACATTTCCAGGTTTGACAAGGGTATTTGCTGATTCCCGAGGGCTGTCTCCGCGAATGCTCGAGGTTCGAGACCGTTTTGGTTGCTAATGCAGTTGTAAAAGGTCGTCCGTGATTGGATGTTTACTAACACGCCACTACATCATTCTGCTTCATTTCTACTTAAGCTCCATCCCACCTTCTTTTTGACAGTTTCATATCTTTCTACCTTTTACCAGATATCTGATCGATTAGAATATTGCTAAGAATTCTCGAAATCTATAACGATAATCGGCATACCATATCTACCACTATTCAACTACCGCAATCATGGTTGCAGACGACAAGCCGGCATCGACCTTCAAGTACGCCCAAAGGCCGTTCTACACAACTTCCAATGGGTGTCCTGTCGCGGATCCAGAAGCCTTCCAACGTGTTGGCTCCAATGGCCCGCTCTTGCTCCAGGACTTCCACTTGATTGATCTACTTGCTCACTTCGATCGAGAACGTATCCCCGAGCGTGTTGTGCATGCGAAGGGAGCCGGAGCTTATGGAGGTATGTCTCAAGTATTCCTGTTCTGATGAAGCGTCTGCTAACATTTACTGAATAGAATTCGTTGTCACTCACGATGTCAGCGACCTCACATCGATTGATATGCTCAGCTCGGTCGGCAAGAAGACCCCCTGCGTTGCCCGATTCTCTACAGTTGGTGGTGAGAAGGGTTCACCAGACACCGCTCGCGATCCTCGTGGTTTCTCGATCAAGTTCTACACGGACGAGGGAAACTGGGATTGGGTTTACAACAATACACCTATCTTCTTCCTCCGCGATCCGACCAAGTTCCCTCTCTTCATTCATACACAGAAACGAAACCCGCAGACCAATCTGAAGGATGCGACAATGTTCTGGGATTACCTGTCTACTCACCAAGAGGCTGTTCATCAGGTCATGCATCTCTTCAGCGATCGTGGAACGCCATATTCGTATAGACATATGAACGGATATTCTGGCCATACTCACAAATGGACTAAACCAGATGGGACATTCAACTATGTCCAAGTCCAGTAAGTTGGAAGACTTTCTAGCACTTAATTCGCTCCTAGCTACCCTTGATAATCCTTGGTGTTCGGGGCTTGTTGCTTTCTCCCGATTCTCATAGCTTTTCCTCATTGAAAAGAACCCTAATACTAACTTTCTGTAGCTTAAAGACCGACCAAGGCAGCAAGACCTTTACCAACGAAGAAGCTGGAAAGATGGCTGCCGAGAACCCAGACCACAACACTCAAGACCTCTTTGACTCCATTTCTAAGGGTGACTACCCCAGCTGGACCGTCTACGTACAAGTTCTCTCTCCAGAGCAAGCCGAGAAATTCCGATGGAATATCTTCGACTTGACAAAGATCTGGCCACAGAAGGAAGTCCCACTACGACCATTCGGCAAATTTACCCTCAACAAGAACGTCGAGAACTACTTCGCTGAAATCGAGCAAGTCGCCTTCTCGCCCTCTCATCTTGTACCCGGCGTTGAACCATCCGCCGACCCAGTTCTCCAATCTCGTCTCTTCTCGTACCCAGATACCCACCGTCACCGCCTCGGCGTCAACTATCAGCAAATTCCAGTCAACGCTCCTCTCCGCGCATTCAACCCGTACCAACGTGACGGATCCATGGCTGTCAACGGCAACTATGGCGCTAATCCCAACTACCCATCCTCATACCGCGGCTTGACCTATAAGCCCGTGAAGGTTACAAACGACCACGAGAAGTGGGCCGGTGCGGCAGTGTCTTTCCTGTCCGAAGTCACTCCCGAGGATTACGTCCAGGCCAAGGGTCTCTGGGATGTTCTTGGCAAACAAACTGGCCAACAAGATAATTTTGTCAATAACGTTGCTGGGCATCTGAGTGCGGCCAAGGAGGATACTAGGAAGAGGACGTACGAGATGTTTGGGAGAGTGGATAAGGAGCTGGGTTCGCGTATTGCGACCGAGACGGAGAAGCTGGCTCCTGCTCCTACGAGTCAGGCTGCCGGGTCTGCTCAGGCTAGGATCTAGATGCGAAACTGAGGGTGGGAGGCGACATATGAGATAATGATGCCTGATTTCAGTTTTAGTGATGAGAATGCCATACCCATTTGCTCTTGTCCTTTCCCGTACTCTATAACCGTGAAGTGTTGTCTCTAAGTCATAGTCCATAGTGATTAGTTCTCACTTTATGGTTATGAAAGTATCAAATGTTGAAATCAATGTATCATTTATTTTCCGTGTTACGCAAAAGTCATCGAGTTGAATTGAGCCGCCCATCCCCAACACCAGCTTACTCCTTCCTGCATGCTATCCAAACCCCAGGCTGACCATTCCCTTTTCCACTTCGTGCTTGATATTGTTAGCATGTTTTAAGACTGGGGAGACATCGAAGTACCTCGAGAATCCATCCCGTTATGGCTGCAAGAGAACTTTTGCTTGAAATGAGGAAACGACGCTGATCTAGAGAAGCAAAGGTCAGGATTCTGCATAAAAGGTCAGCTCATGATCCTGCAGACACGCCTGCCAGTTAAGGGAAGATTCACCATTTCAATCCTCCTCGGGCAAGGACCTCATCCAGTGTATCTTCCGGGACCTCGTCGCTGACCTTCGTCTTGCCTGGACCGTGTCCTTGCTTCTCTAGAACGCCCTTCAGTCCTTCGAATTCGTTGATCATGTAGGTGAAGAATTCATATAGGGTGGCGTCGGGGAAGACTCTTATGAAACCTGTGTGCATGAACAGGATAGAATCTATGAGGGTGATGTTCTTCTGGGCTGGGGCCGAGGCCGTAGCGGTGGGGTTTGGGGGAGATTGGGACATGGTTGGTTGGAGATTATTGGATTGATTTGCGGGGTTGTAGTTGATATGGCGGTCCAAAGTTGGAGGTGGGTCTTTTTGGAGGGGAGCTTGAGATAAGGAGTGAGGAAGAGGTGGTGTTGAGTTTCAGGACTTTTCAGCTCTTGAGTATGGCGTGACTGGTCTTGTTTAAGCCTTGTACGCTAGTCCTTATCTCTTATGGAAAACTCTATCGTTTGTTTAGTGCGCGACTTACTTGGAATTAGGTGGTGAATGCTTGATTGAGATCCATACAGTTGGGAAATACTTATAGCTCTCAGGGCTGAAGGTGGGATAAAGTTTCGCTTCTGGTGGAGATGCTTAAGCGAGCCCCTGAACTGCAAGGTGGAAGAAGTATCACAATTCATTGTCTTTCGTTGCTTTACGTTTATCGAAGCTCAAGAAGGTGGGCGCTGTCTCAAGTTATTCAAAGCTGATTTTGTAGCTCCCCGTTCATGAAATAGAGCTAGGAGTTGTAAAGTCTACAATGTAGACTTCGACGAATCTGCAGTGTTATAACAGCCGAAAATGTTGCGATTCCAGCCTTGCAGGATCAACAGAAGTCAATGACTCTGCTTTGAAAATAGAGATACGTTTGATCTGGTAATAACCTCGATCCTTTCTTACCATTCTTATGTAATTTGTAAGAAAGCCTTCCGCTTCCATCATGACACTACCTGTCAGCTTCTTGATCTGGCTAAGCTTCTTCAATCGTCACTCGCATCCCTTTACTATCACCTCTTGGCATCGCCAAGAAATAGTCATGTACAGGAATGACATCCGTCTCATCTGTTTTATACAAAGCCATCCTCGGCCCGTTCGGACGAAACATGATCGCGAGAGCCAAGTACATCTCAGCGTATGCCAAGCTGCAAGTACAGTACCTATTAGTTCACATCTCTTTCAAGTGATTGGCTGTTACTAACTTCATTCCTGGGCAATTTCGTGAACCTTTAGAAAATGGGACGTAGTTTCGGTTCATGAAGGGATCGCAGTCCTCAAGCCAGCGCTCGGGCTTGAATTTGAATGGCTCGGGATAGATGTTGGCATCGGTATGCATCATGAATGCAGACATGCCAACTGGTATCTAGGAAGTAATGTCGAATATAAGCATGACAATACTTCCGAGCATGATTGGAGAGAAGTTGACATACGCCTTTTGGAATTGTCCACTGCTTAAATTGGAGGTCGACATCTGGAAAAACTCGAGGAAGGCGGCGCATGGTCCCATGGCTGATGCTTTTGTATTTTTCTCATTAGCATACTCACGGATTCAGGGTTTTCAAGCATGTATCTCCCCACTCACCGTAACCCCTCCCTCACACACGCATACAAGTACGGAATCTTCTCCAGTTCAGCCAACTTGGGGATCCTCTCTGGATAGCCACCCATAACCTCTTTCAGGGACCCTCGTAAGCGCGCCTCTAGTTCTGCGTCAGCGAGGAGGAAGTAGATGATAGTTGAAAGTCCACGAGCTATTGACATAGTGCCTCCAGCTAAGATGGCAACAAATTCGCTCGCCAACCGCTCAGTGGCTTTATCGGACTCGGGCATGTCACTCTTCAGAAGATGCTGAATGAGTGTCTCTGGCATTCTCCCTTCTGCTCCTTCCTTTTTGCTCAATTTAAGAGTCCTCTTTGCGTCCTCGATTTTGTCGATTGCGAGCTGTTGGATGCTTTAGCATATGAAAGAGTGGATAGAAAAGAACTGACTTGGCGGAACGCTTTGAATCCAGCTGCTCCTGAATATAGGCGAAGCAGAATAGAGATGGGTATCAGCTTGATCCAGCTAGCATTTGCATTAGCTAAGATTGTTGACAGACCAAGCAATGATAAATGGTACTCGCCCCAGAAGAAATGTGAAATGCGTGAAGACCGCGATTTGTCTAAAGAATCTGCAGACAGTTGTATGCCTAAAATGGTTTCAGTGGTCGCTTTCCATCGGGAAGTAGACACAGATTTCTTTACCAATCAGGAGAGAACTCAGGATCCATGATAAGAGAAAGCGAATCGACAAGAGTGATGCTCCCAACCAAGTCACCTGCCACTGCAGCATAGACATGCTCCATATTGACAGTTTTCCCCGTGCCTCTCATGCCCTGTAGTCGCCCATCAAGCAGCTGGAGTTCATCGATAATCATTGACTCGTAGCTCTGGACAGCTTTTCTAGAGAAGAAAGGATCCAGCGGCTTTCTTCTGATGCGGTGAAGATCATGATCTTCGGATGAGGTATGAGAGCCTGTTATTACCAATCAATGTATTGTACTTGCTATTCAGGATAGTAGAGACTTACCATCAATTCCAACACCGGCTCTGGAAGGAGGGAAGATCTGGCTGTGCCGCACCGATCCACCCACGTACAGCGTGCTGTGGAAATCGCCATCCCGGATCGTAAGCTCCCATGGGTTGATTCGGACGATGGGACCTGATCAGTTTTGGTAAGCTTGAATCCCTCTGACTTCAGTGCTAGGGCTCAGATGCTATCATCTAACTCACCATATTTGTCGTGCAAGTCACTGATCTTATAAAAATATTGTCCAGATTGAACAACATCGTAGTACACTTCGTACCATCCGCTTATTGCTGCAATTCTAGGGCCTGGGAAACCAGCAAGAGGGGAGAATACAAGGCGATAAATGGCTAGGAGAATACCGTAAATGAGAAGAAGGAAGGAACTCCCAAGAAGTAGCAAGTGCCAGTTGCTGACTCGAAGATCCAGAAAGTCAAATCTATGAGCTACGCCCTCAAGATGCTGCCAAGATAACTTGTTCTGAATCATCCTGAATTCCTGCACGTACCTGTTTTGGACGTAGCAGAACTGGAAACAAGCTTCAAGTTTGCGAGAAGCAGTCTGGTCTCTTTATGTAAAATTCGACATCCATCTTGCTCAGCTGAGCCAGCCTCCACAGCGAGGGAGACAATTCAGCAGCCGCAAGAAGCTATCCTTGCAGGAACTTTCATGTAGAGGATTCCCATATCCGATAAACCAACATCCGTGCCTCTGCTGTGCTCCTCGGAGTTTAGTTGACAATGGTTGGTGTGACATGCGGTGACTCGCAAGTGGTCTCCCGACGAGAAGACTAGTATTTGAGTGGTTGGTATGTACGAGCTTACTTACCACTTTGCTTGGACTTGTGATTTTTATGTCATGAGTGCGATCTATCCAATGTGATGGGATTGTCCCAAGCCATGGCTACCATTACACGACCACCACAAGAGCAGAGATTCCATGACCCGGTTCCAAGCTTCCTTCTTGCCCGTGTCTTCATTTCTTGAAGCTCTTCCACTCCATCCCCGCACTCGCCACAAAAGCAACCGACGCCCCAGCAGCCCCCAACAAGAACGTCCTCGTAATAGCCTCATCATACGCCAGCAACGCACCTGCCAATTGCCCCAGCTGTCCATCGTCACTCAACAACTTCCTCAAACCCTCCGCCCCCACATTAACCACAGCTTGTGCATCAAGGGAAGGTGTGTATTCGTGCAAGGAAGAAACGAGACGGGAAACGAATATATTTTCTGCAATGGCGAGGAAGATTGCTCCTCCTAGGAATTGGAAGAATACGACGATCGAGGTCGCGGTTGTGAGGTCGTGGGCAGGAAGGAGCGTCATTAGACCGATCAAAGGCTGGGACTTCTTAGTATGCCGAGTCTCGAAAAAGCAGAGAGACATACCATCTGAATCACGCAGGAAGCTCCAAATCCAGCGAGGACCTGAATTCCGTTGATCATAGAGTTTCCAGTGTCGACTTTGAAAGTTGAGAAAATGCCAGAGCCGATGGCTGTCAAGCCTGTACCGAAGAAGAGCCAAGGGTTAAAATGCCCGAATTTGGTAACTGGAAGATTAGTCTGGGACAGGATATTGAGAAGGAGGAGACGTACCCAGACCGCCAGTCAAGATGGAGCTAGTGAAATTAGCTAGTACAGTAGGTAAGAATCTGATACCGCTATGCACTGGACTCGCTCCCTTGATGACTTGAAAGTACATGGGAAGGTAATAAGAGATGAGTTGTACACTTCCCATTCCAAGAAAGACAATCGCCATAGCACTGAGTATGCTTCTTTGTCCAATGATTCTGGGTGGAATGGAAGCTTCGTCTTGTTGTCGCCATTGCCATGCAGCGAAAAGAATTATGGTGAGACCAAAGCCGACGAAGAGTCCAATGATGGTGCTTGATTTCCATGCGTATTTGTTTCCACCCCATTGGACGGCAAGCAGGAGCATGACCACGGCGGGGATAAAGAGCATAAGGCCGGGAAGGTCGAGATGTGACATCTTTTCTCGAAAGGGAAGTTTCGTTTCTGGCCGTTCGGCAGGGCGGAAGACTAGGAGGATGACGAAAAGTGTCACGGCTCCAAGTGGAAGATTAATGTAGAAGCCTTTCGAAAACTTAGCATGATAGCATAGGCAAGTGAAGTTGTTGAAACTTACACCACCTCCAAGAGAGACGTTGTGTGAACACCCCTCCCAAGATTGGACCGAATATGCTTGAGATACCGAACATCGAAGCAATGAGACCTGTATATACTGTGGGATGGTAAGCTTGCTTCTAGTGACCATAGATACTGCTTTCGGGTAGATGAAGCACAACGAAACCGCTCTCTCGATTGAGAGGCGAGGATTTGCTGAAGAGAAATGAAGGGTAACTTACGAGGACGTTCACGAGGAGTAATTGAATGTCCCAGGATTATCAGACCGCCAGAGAAGAGCCCAGCTGCTCCCATCCCAGCGACAGCTCGTCCAACAATGAGCATCTTCGAAGACACAGCCGTCGCACAGAGTAAGCTACCAAGCTCGAACACAAACACGAAGGCGAGATATGTCCATTTTAGGGAGAAGTATTGGAAGAGTTTGCCAGAAAGTGGCTGTAGCGCGCAGCTGAGATGAAATATCAGCACCAGTTTAACAATAACTACCTAGGGCGGGACATGGAAATTTGTCAAAGTCACTTACACGCAGATCAGGAAAGCACTTCCATACCAGCCCACATCATCAAGAGAGTTGAATTTCGTAGTGATTGTAGGAATTGCCTAGCGTGTGAGTAACAGACAAAGCATTGTCACGTAGGTCTTACTGTAGCTAGAATCGCATTGTCCTAATGCAAGTCAGTATCTGTAGGTTAGCGAGAGCGTAGATGCACAAACTAATCCGACCAAAAGTACAGCCATACACAGTGCAACAAGCATCAAGGCAAGTCTGAACCCAGTTATATATTGCGACTCATCCTCTATTGGCTCTTCAACTGCAGATTCATGTTTGTCTTGCTCCAGAGCTTCTTCAGTCGAAGTATTGTCATGGCTGAGTCCCTCGGGAGACTTTTCGGTCGATGACATGAGGAAGGAGAGACCGGAAATAACACCACAATAGAAGAGAAAAAAGATGTGAATGAGCTGTGAGAGGTATTCAAGTGCTGAAAATGAATCATATATGTCTGTCGCAACATCGTGTGATTCCGGGTACCTGAGCCCGGAATTTAGCAATGCAATCTAATTCCGAGATTGGCAATATGGCCCAGATACATAAGGCGGATCCCGCAATTGACCCGAATTCTCTTGCTTTACTGAATAGGTACCTCTTGCTTCGTAGGGATTATTCTAGTCCTTCTCGTATAACATACAGTGGAAGTTGTTTGTCGTCGGAACTCGCCCGGGGAGCTGACTGCGCCCCACCCTACAGTTCAAAGTTTCATGAGCGACGCAGGAATTTAGATCTAAAATTCTTCCATCGTTCCCTCCATAGGTATAGTCGATTGTTCCAGAGCCCCAGACCATTCCGACAAAAGCTCAGTCCATTGCTCGTCAGAAGTGGTAGAGTTCGATATCGTCGCGGCTGAGAAATCAACACAACGATCCACGATGGTGCTTAAGATATCCATAAACGAAAAGCCAGGGCGTGCGATCTCGGGGATCGTGCTAAAAACAGAAGGATCAGATGACACCTGAGAATACCAGACCTTAGTTTGCAAGAACAAAACGTGGATATGATGCATATAATCATTAGCACCAGCAGGACCCGAGAACGCCATGACATGTTCCGTTTTGTTGATTAAAGCAGAGATATAATAGTCATAATTTGCCATTTCTCGAAGTTGCACGGCGTCGAGAGTGGGGGTATCGATGCGCACTGCGAATGTTCCTAAAACCAGCACGGTATAGACCAACCCAAGCATGTCGGGTAATGTGCTATTGATGATACCTTCTGATGGGAGGGACAGAAAATGATCAAGGAAGTCTTTGCATGCTTGAAGACAGCGCATGAGGCTCTCGCTCCGGGCGGATGAGTAATACCATGACTTGGACCTAATTTGAGGATATAACATTTGGTCCTGGGGCAAGGCGGCCGCATGAAAGCCAACCTCGTTGATATGAATGCGTGTGACGTGAAGCTGCATTGTCAATTGGACTTCAAAGTCTATTAGCAAAAGATTTAGCGTGTCGAGGTGTACAACCAACCATTGTTCCAGGCTTCAGACGAAATTGAGGACTCGATCTGATTCAGTTGCTGTTCAAATGCTTTTGACAGGACGCTGATGCGGCCAGCATCCAAAGGTGGCAGTTCAAAGTTTGCAGCATAATCAAAAGTCTCACTGACCTCCTGGGAGAGTCGTTGAAGTTGGATGAAATAGGGAAGAAGTCGATCAGTCTCAGCCTGACCTGATTGAGATAGAGCTTGGGCACATTCTTCCATGTAGCTTGAGTATTTCATGTTGTTTGGTTTGCGAAGGCCATGACATATTCTAATTCATATCAGTAAGAGTCAAAACAATAGGCGGGGGATTCTTTACGAAGAAGATATGTAATAGCAACCCAAATAGACCCTTTTTGATTCCGCGTCCTCGGCAGCCATACCCGATAGAAAAGAGGATGGCTTCGCGATGCTAAACTTTTGCAATGCATTACCGAGACTTCGCGGAGGTTTGTTGATATTGATATCTGCTGCCAGCGACGTGGCCATTTGACATAATTGATACAGTTGCTGATTCTCGGGATCGAAGTAGAAATGATACCTGATTGCTGTCAGTATGTGAAGTACACCACCAAGATATTCCCAGGTCTGAAGCAACTTTCAAAATCCTGGATTGGAAAGAAAGTGAAGAAAGACTTCTATTCTCCAATTTATCCCAGCGTCGATGAGAAATCCGAACATGAATGAAGTACAGGGTAGAACTCAGATCATACCATGCAATATATACTAGTAATCCTTCCAACAGATCCAATGACCTTTCTCCATTAACTATGAGTCTTCGGCTGAGATTCTCTCTCATTTCTCGCTCAAGTTTCGCTTGAACCTTTTCATCCCCAGAACTTGCGAATGTGAGGATTGAAAGGAGAAGGAAAGGCCGATGTCGACGAAGCGCATCTACCGACATCCCTTCTGGAACTATAATGAAAGGAAAACTGCTGCAATTCGCTTGGAATAGGCGTAATGCTTGTTCAGCTTGCACAAAGTTGACGATTCCTTTGGAAATAACATCTTGTATCTTATCGTGGCGGGAGTTAATGACGGAGTATATAGACTGGTCGGTGCTGCTGAGGCTCTGGGATATCTGAGGCTGAGGCGAAGACACAGGGAAGTTGAAGTTGGATGGGAACACTGTAGGGTTTGTCTCATTAAAAAGAGTGAGGTCGGTTTGATCACGTGTCGATGCAGGAGTCAAGGAACCTGCAGATGCAGAAGAAGTATCTGGCCGAGCTGGTGCTGACGAAGTATCGGGTTGAACAGCTGACGTCCCAGTGGTTCCAGCCTGTGCAGCTAATAGACTTAACAGGCCTTCGAGTTTCTCCTCCATTTCCGCAACCCGTCTGTACGACATCCGGTCAGCAACACATTTCTCTTAAGGCGGGAGAAACAGGGGCTCACATTCTGGAGTTCTTGGCTCGCTTGGGCCGTGGTTTGGCTTCCAGAAAGATGCAGTTCTTCCCATCCTTGAGACATCTACAAGGCGTTAGACGATTCAGACAATGATCATGTGTCAGCTTAGGGCAATACTTTTGACACCGATTTGGATCATTATCGCTGGGTAGACATCGACCTTTCGAGCTTCGACATGTCTCACACGAACGACGCAATTTAGGGGTTTGTTTGTTCGGACTCACTTCTGCTTGCATCTCGTCCGTGTCCATGGTTACTTGGGGACTCAAGATAGGAGGTTCGGATTGGTTGTCGGTACTGTGCTCTGCGGTGTTACGGAACACGAGAATCACTGGAATCGACGTACATCGGAAAGCAAGCAAAATCCGCGGCAGGTGGATGCTTATATTGATGTAGAGTCGGAGGAACAAAAGATGTCTGATGTCGGATCCGGATTCTAAGTTAGATTCCTAGATTCCGCCGCCGTGAGGCGCATGGTGTGGCACAGTTGAGACCCACCGTGGCGGCTTGAATATCTCCCGTTGGCTGACGGGAGGCGATCAGCCACGGGGACCAAGCGACCTCGTGGGCGTCTCTCCGCAATTTGAGGACCGAGACGTTCATTGAGACTGCGATATATTCAAGTGAAATGATCGACGAACATATGATGGACCACTTGGCCGATGAAAAGTCACTTGACGTGCGAGTCTGAAATGCACCCAGGCATGTAAGCACTCGAAACATTGTATTCTAGGGGTATCTATATTCATGAAAGACAAGTATGCACAAGAATTTTCGGCCAACCTCGTCCCATCGTAGATCACTACTGCTTATCAACATTTCCATCGTCTGGACCTTCTCGAGAGTATTGCCCGTCCTGAGCTTCCGGACCAGTATTTGGTCTACTCACATCTTTCAACTCCTTCTCCCTCTTCGAAGCAGCCTCCATTTCCTCCCTTTCATCAACAGTAAGATCACTTCCCGCCTTCTTGATCTTTACGAAAAACACCAAAATCATAAGAGCAGTAGCCGCGCAAGCGACCTCGAACCAAAACACGGCATGGTAACTCTGTCTTAAGCCCAATCTCGCTACCGTGTATGTGTTCACGATATCCGCGAAACCAAGACACACTGCAATCCCCAAATGGAGTAGTAGCATAATTACCGCACCTGCGAGTCCCTGTTGTCTCTGTGGGAGAGAGGTCGTGATGAATACATTTGCAACGTTGAACGTGATGTCGATGCCCACTGTTGCGCAAATCATCGCTGGGAAAATGTAGGCCCAATACATAGCCCCTTGAGGAGCAATGGCGAAAAGTAGAGGTGCGATAATCCAGGCTATGCCGGAGACTATTATCAAGACGGTGCCTGGAAGTAGATGCAAGACGAACCCGCCAAAGGTCGAGATGAGACATCCCCCTAATGCCATTGGCACGTACCATGCGACTACTTGAAGCGGTGATGCGCCCATAACATTTTCCATGTAGAATGTTGCGTAAAGCAGGAAAACACCAAGGCTCCCGTAAGTGAAAAATAATGCCAATACCAGGGCAGACATGCTAGGTACCTTGAACAGTGAAGCTGGTAATACTGCAACGTCAGGTGTTAGCAAACATTTACCAGACATTTGTCGCGCGTAGAAAGTCTTGAAACATTCCACAAGTTCAGAACCTTCGAGCAATTCAATGTCTGAAGACTTCTGGAACAAGTTTGGAAGCAATCAAGGGAGTTCGAAAACTTACATGGCTGCTCGGCAATACGCGCTTCGACATAACCGCCTGCGACAAGTAGCAGGGAGCCAACAATGAATAAGACATAGATGTACGGAGTTTTCCATTGTTGAGGTGCGTGGGAAGAATCGATAACCGCGAACGTAAATAAGATGAGGCCGCAGACGATCAGGATTGCTCCCAGCCAATCCATCTTGATCTTGATGGGGTTATTACGTTTCTCGAGAATATCCGACGGAACCGTGAGATATGCTGTTACAGCGGTGATAAAAGAAAGAATTGTTCCGATGTAGAAATACCACTAGATGTCGAGTTAGCCTTTGTTTTGTCATGAATGAATAGAATCAAATTGTGAATTAAGGTTGTTCTGGAATGATCTTGGTTGAGAAGCGAAAGACATGTATTCAGATCGAGTGAGACATTCTTGATTTCCACATTGATCGTGGATACAGCTTGAATCGCCGACCTGGATGAATCGTCGTATACAAGTGAAGACGTCGCTTGCAGGGAGGTCTTCAAACAGGGCAATAAGGAAACCTTGACTTACTCCCCATGTAGTATACTCAGCTGTTAAACCAGCAAAGAAAATCCCTGTGAAAAATCCCAAAGGCGCACATGCCCCATAGATACTGAAGACGAGATTTTTCCGTGGGCCTGGTCGGTAAATACTCCCCAATATCATCACCGAGCTGGGAAGAAACGCAGCTGGCCCCAATCCCTGTAATGCTCGACGGAAGTTAAGCATAATCTCGTTGGTTGAGAATCCAGCAATCAAGCTCCATATCGTAAGCCAGACAAGTCCAGCGACATAGACAGGATAGCCACCAAACATGTCGGCAGTCCGGCCGAAGATCAACAAGAAGCTGGCGACCGTCAGGGAAAAGGCGCTTGCCGGCCATGTTGAAGATGCAGCAGGGATGTTCAAGTCTTCCATAAGCGTGGGAAGTAGCACTGTGAAGCCTGATACGAAATATTCCTATGATTGTAAGCATTGAACAATTGCCTCATGGGGAAAGCGGGAGACCAACGGAAAGGACCTGAGACATGGAGACCGAGAACACAAAGCCGACTTCAGCCCACAACGATCCAAAAACTTCAGGTCTTTGTCTTCCAAGGCGTTTTATCCTGGCATGATTTGACTCTTCGATTGCTGGCGATCTTCCCCCATGTTGGTGATTTTCTTTTTCGAGGGGTCCAAGGGTTGTAGGACTTGCAAGACTCGCAAGCTGTTCCCGAGATGGTCTGGTGGGAGACAATTCTTGAAGTCGGTTTGAAGTATTTCGTGCCATGCCAACAATGGTTGTAGAATTATCGTGAGGTGCTGATGAGGTTGAATGGTTTTCGGCAGAATAGCAAACCGTTTGCACCCCACCATAAGGCGCAGCAGGTGCTAAATTCCTATTCTCAGAAGACATGTCTGGTTGAATGATTGTACAAATTAAAGAGGATTGGTGAAAATTATTAGAGAAAGTTTTATTTGAGAAAACGCGATAGGTGCCGACGGTGATCAAAAATTCAAATGAGAAAAATCGAGGAAGATGAAGTATTCATATGTGCAAACCCAGCCATCTCTTGCGGTGAGAGCGTTAATGGGATGTGGAGTGATTGGTAAGGGAGGTCAAGGGCGTCACCATGGGCGTCACAGTACTTATACTCGGTTGTTTTGGGGAGTAGATCCGGGAAAGTCGTGCCAAGCCCCAAGAGGGCCCGAATAAAAGTCTGGTCTAGTGTGAACGATTACTCAATCGAATTCAAACCAAAATGGAATGCTAGACAAATGTCTATTGATAAGTCTGACATGCTCAAAGACGACAATGAGAGGCGAGAGACAGTGCCGGATGCCCTCGACGGCAGTAAACACTGTGAACGAGACAAAGAAATCTTAGGTCTGGTCCAGACAAGGACAGGGCGCTTTGCAGGGCAACATCTTGGATGAATGCTTGATTGAGACTGCTCATCAATGTCAAAGCACTTGTGAGATATATTGAAGAGATTCGTGATCACGGCTGGTTGTGCACATGTAATTTTTCCTGCCCAGGTGTGCGCTCAACACAAACTCCAATGTTTGGCTGCCCACACGTGATGCAGTCTCTGACGCTAGTTCCACTAGCGGCCGCTCGAATTTTTTTCGACTACAAAGGCTTCGTTTCCCTCTTGGAAATCTCTTCTTTTTTCTTCCTACATCAGTAGGTTATAATTAATACTTATAATCTTATGGACGCTCCACTACGGTGGCTTGCTGAGGGTTATTCTTTGTCGCAAGACATAAATGGGTCTTCCTCCGTTCCCGGCGTCCTCGAAGAAAGGTGAACGCTCTTTCCTATCAGCCGACTTCGCCGTTTCTCTCGGACGTTGACTGTGGGGTGGTCTCTACAAATATACATATACAATTGGGTTGGAAGAGATATTGGAGGTGTGCGCAGGATCTGCAGAACGCGAGGGATTTGGGTTTGATTCGTTGAGTCCTTTGGTTCTGCGACGATCAAGGAGGGTGGCTTGAACACTGTGATTCTGCTTGCCTATGTGCCGTGAACATGATGTGATCTGCTGTGTCATACCTGCGCGCGGAGGAGTTCGGATTCTAGACTTTGCGATGAAAATTTCTTGGCTTAAGTATTCACTTCGCGCTCTGAAAATGGTTGTCTGCATGTGTGGTAGATATTGTCTACATTCATGTGCGGCGAGGGAAGATTCTGCACGGCACCCAATACATACTACAGTATAAATAATTTGTCACTATGTCACGGTTCAAATAAACAGATATTTTTGCAATCATTGCATGCTTGGGATTTCTCATCTAGCTACAGCAACAATTGGTCGCACTTCCGCACCGGCAAGGCATCTCAATGAAAAGTGCTCAATATTAAGAGTATCTAGTAGAGACGCTTGGGAGGAGACATAGAAGCCTTGATCGTCAAGCTGCCCACGTTTTGCCAGCCCTTCTTCAAGAGAGAGACAAGGTAGTTGATGGCCAACATGATGTTAGAGATCAATTGATCCTCAGTCATGTCAACATTGCCAACCGCGACACCCATGCACAAGACCTTCTTCAACTGGAACTTGATGGTGGACTTGACTTCGTTGATCTTGGAGCTCAAATCTTCGTTGTGGGAGACTGGGGTAGGGAACTTGCCAGCTGTAAAATATCATTAGCATCACAATTTACAATCAGCGCAGTATGAACATACCCTTGGAAAGACCAGGACCCAAGAGACGAGGAATCTGCTTGATAAGAGTGTCGGAAGCGACGAAGGCATCGTACTTGCGTGCGAGCTTCTTGATCAACTTCTTGTTCTTGTTGAGCTTCTTCAAATCGTCAGAAGACATGGCATCAACACCACCGTGCTTGGCACGATCGATATCATGCTGATCACCGAGAATGCTATCCCATCATGTCAGCTTGAAAGCTCTGCCAAAATCGGCATCCATGTATCGATCGTTGACGTACCAGATGCTCATGTTTGGGCGGGGAACAACTGGCAGACGGACGGTTCCGGAGAAACGCTTGTCACGTTGAGGATCATAGTTCTTGAGGCCGATTTGGAGTTCGACGGTTTCGAGGAAGTTTCTCTTCTTGGTCTCGAGAGAGTATTGGAGGAGTTCTTGGACGTTGGTACGCACTCCGGCTGTGGCGAAATTCTGTTAGAAACTGCGCAGAAGCATCCAGGAAAATGAGAGCGAGCGCAACATACCGACTGTGATTTTAGACATGATGACAGTCTTCCAGTAGAATTTCTGAGGTTCTAATGGTGAGGAATTTGCGTTGTATCGTTCGTTGTTTGATCAGAAAGCAGCGAATTTTTGAAATCGGTCTTGTGGATGGGGCGGGGAAAACTTTAGGCGAGTCACATGGAGAGCTATTCTGAATCCAGCTTAGTCTGCCTTGATTGTCTCTCTAGTTTCTCAACCGCCACCATCATTCCAGTACATTGGTCCATCTCATTCGACCTCAGAATTCACCACCCAAAGATCTTACGTCCTTCAGTCAGGATCAATCACAAAAAACGCCTCTCAACCTGCTACAGTCCAGAGACACTCCGCACTGGAACGTGCCTATCCGTGCAAGAAATTCAGCCTTCAACTTGAATACCAACACGAGTACTTATGATTTGTAGTGACATGTACATTCTTTCTCAGCTTCACGAAATAACTTTTTTTGTAACTGCCTTCATCAACAAGTCATCTTCTTGTCTTGCTCCTAAGTTTTCCTCCAAATCCAAAGTCGCCACGAACAAGAATTCCAGTATCAAACGGGAATGAAACCTAGTGCTCTTTCCACCCTCCCTCATATTTTTCAATTCAGCAAAATGTTGTTGGGTGGCATCCAGTCTTTACGGTCTCCGTGATAATATCGGTACCGCATCCTTTCCTGCAAGTAGGACATACTCCCCATGCTGTGACTGTGGCAGTTGGAGTCTTGGGGCACCTGGAGTTTGCACAAGGCACTTCCAGTGTAGCTTTATTCAATTTGATACACATTGGCTCAGGCCCACATGTCGTCTGAAGTGGACAATTTACTACACTTTGTTAGTTCAAGCTCCTGCTGGTACAATTCGGAGGAATTGCAACTCACTGATGCCAGTGAATGGAACTGTCGTGGTGTATGTGTAGCAAGAATGGTGCATGTCCACTGGTGTTGCAGTATTTGAGGAGTTCTTCTCTCTGGCAAGGACAGAGCTGATGTGCTGTGGCCAGTCATTAGATGTTCTTTATGTGATCGAGCCGACGTACCACATGAGTGCCAGTGCAAAAATGTAGCTGTATTCATTGCTATTGTTTGAGACGGTCTTTACTTTTGTTTGAGATTACATTTGATATTACGAGAGTGGAGATAAGAGCTCGTTTATATACTCGTCATAGGGTTTGAAGACTCGTCCAAATCTCCTGACAAGCTCGGAACTAGGCTTTCAGCCGGAGCAGTCACCCTATTCAACTCTCTTGTTCTTATTCGCCAGGTACAGGTTCTATACATCATTTCAATTTCGGTTGCCATGTGAGGCGTTGGACCCCTTGTTTTGTGGTATATTAAATCGCACAAAGTTCCAGTTCTCGTTTAATGATTTGCTCTCACGAGGTTTTAGAGCCATGGTGGTATGACAAATCCTTAAGAACATGTTAACTGGGTTCCACAAGGCTTGCGGAATGGGCAGTTCAATAGTTCATCCATCCCAGCACGTCCTAGCGCAATTAATTAGTGCTAATTCACACAGAGCAAATGTTGTTAGACGACAAGGTGAATGCATGTTCGGTGCTAGCACTCTCATCAAACCGCATGACGGATTGCATTACATCCTCACTTTAAAGATGAGAGATTCAATCATCTATCTCGCCCAAGATGTCGGTGCCGGATCCATAAATTTTCACCTGTGAGGAATTCGTACTTCACCAAGTTTCCCGTATCTTCGCACACCATTTACGTGAATGATGAGAGAGATAGGAGAAACAGTATTGGGATGTTTGATACTCCGATTGCGCTATATGATCTCTTTCTCTTCAAGCCCTTTTTTGAGCACATCTAGGGGACGGAGAAGTAAATCGGGCTATACGAAGTCAATATACTTTTTTGAAGGAGTCCTAGTACTATTGAGGCCTTCAGGGGAAGATCGCTGAGAAGAGTTCCAAGAGAAGTATATAGCCAAGATATAGAGTTTCAATCTTAGGATACGTTGCTAGTTTCGCCTTACACGTTGGCACGTGATTCAGACCATTTCAAATCTTGTTGCAAAAGTTTGGTGCAGAAGCTTAGCTCTGGCCAATCATGCAGCAAAAATCTACTTTTGGTTTGAATTCAGTACCCTGACTCGCTTTCGGTTCTCTGACTCCGCCCAATGTCATCACCTACCCTATATCTATGTTACTTTCCTCAAGTCTTGCCTGACTTTCTGATTTCATACAGTGTCATCCAAACCTCAGTCATGGGTATTCATTCAGAGAATAAATCTCAGACCTACAATTCAGTGTCTTCGTCCAAGAAAGAAGATAATGAACGCGAAATTATCAAGATACCAGATCTTTTCGAGCTATTCATGTCTCGGACACCTACGGTCAACCCTTTCTACGAACATGTCAAAGACCAAGCTTTAGAATGGGCAACCGAGTAAGTTCTCGTGAAGCTATGGAATGGACTTCAATATAACTATTAATTAGCATATGTCATTACAATACCCAAGAAGCTGAGCGAATGCGTCGAGGAGACTTTGCTTATTTTGCAGCTGTCTCTGTACCAGACGCAGATACCAACAAATTAAGGACTGTTAACGATTGGTTGAATTGGGTATGTAAATCTTTTGACAGCGTTCATCATTTCTGTACACCATCAACTGACTCCTGACACTTAGGTTTTCGTTTTCGACGACCGTAAGTTCTTCCTTACTCCCAAACTAAGATCAGTATGGAACATGTTACAGAGCTAGATGATGGGCATTTCTCTCGAAACGGGAAGACTGTGGAGGCCTTTGAATACATCGATAGCATGATTGCAGTTCTCGATGGCGAAACTCGGCCAGAATCTGACCTGTCTACGCAAGCATTGAGGGACGTGCTGAAGAGTATCTGGGAAAGAGTCAATGGTGTAAGCACTCGGGTCATTTCTCATGCCAACCGAACATAAGCTAAATAGAAGCTAGGATCCTGACTGCGCAGACGGTATGATTACAACCCCAGCACCCTTCATAACAACGAATCTTAACCTTTCCAGACGCCAAACTCCGCTGGAAGCAAAATATGACATCCTACCTAGCCGCTCTCCGCGCTTCCATGACCTACGAGCCATCTGATAACCTGGAGAAGACCGTTGGAGGTTACATCGACTATCGTTTTCATAGTATTGGTGTCCTTCCTTTGTTTAGCTTCATCGAGTTCGGAACTCTGCCCGCACATTCACAAGTGGATCACTGATGCTAGTAGGTATGCATACAACCTTACTATACCCGACGAAGTCTTCAAGAATAGATCCATGCAAGAGATGCAGCGAGTTGGAGTTGAGATCCAAATGCTGTATGTCCGTCCATTCATTCAATTCGGCTTGTCTCCGTTTATTGCGCTAAATACTCGCAGCGCAAATGATTGTGTTTCTTACCGTCGAGAGAAGGTCAGTTGTCATACTAGCTCAGCCTCTTCGTTCCCAGCTAACCACTGACATTCATCTGAGTAGGCTAACGACTGTCCCCACAACATCATTTACCTTCTCCGTTACCACGGTTTCTCGGAACAAGAAGCTTACAACCATGTCCAAATCCTGCTTCGGAATCGATACAAGGAGTGGTATCTTGCGCAAGCACAGTTGCCGACATGGGGGGAGCGAGTAGATAGAGAGGTTCAGTGGTATATCAAGGGAATGCAGGATGTCGCATTGGCGAACGCGAACTGGAGGTGAGTACGAATGTGGCTGGATTCCCTCATTTCGTACGGTAAAGGCTGATGTGAGGCAGTTTCCGGACTGAACGATACTTTGGGGGCGATCGTGAGCATGTTCGTGAGACAAGGGAAGTTCCTAGCAAGGTTGAATGGCTACCTGGGATTTTGGTAGAAGGCAAGGCAGAAGTTTAGATCATGTCTGGAGAGAGACTTTCCATTCTGAAAGGCACCTTGCATACTGCAGTGCGGGTGATCAAGTAATCTTACCTCAATTGATCCCGCAACGAATACCACCTTGTCCAACTCACGAAAGGGATACAGTCTCTTTCTACTGTCCTTACGAATCCTAGATGTCCGCCTGCTTATTTGTCCATATATCCGAGCTGTTCGTATGCTCATATCATCCCCCTTCGATCATTTGCTCGCTCGGATATTCTTACGATTATCTGTCAGCGTGCCGCAAAACTGGCATTGAGCATGCGTCCGAATTAACAGGACTAGAAAAAATAACTGACAGCGTGTGGGAGAGCTTAGACTACCGGCACAGCAGATCAGAAGTTTGATTCTCTTGGGGCAGATAGGTGGTGTCCTAGCGTAGTATCGACGTTTGGTTGATGCTCCACAGCTATAGGCCGATCAGTGGTATGTGGGCGTACATCTCACTTCCGAGGAGGAATCCATCGAGATGTAAGCTGGTGTTTATTAGTCTTGATGAATTACCTTGTGACTACTTGAAGGATTATACGAGTATCCTTGCTGAATCCAAGAATTGAGATTTGGCGCGTGCTTGATTGAGGCAAGTCCATTGACTAATCTCAGCCTCAAGGTTGAGAGCCTCGGTGATAGTGTAAGCAAGAAAAGAGCTGTAGTACTTTTCTATGTTCTAAATCTGTTGATATTACTCCAATATTTTACACAAGATCCGTTTCCTATGTACCACCTTTTGTCGCAGACGTAGTCTTACACTTATGGCAGCCATATATTTCAGAGACTTGCTCTCCCAAGCCTCAATCACGCAAGTCGTACTTCTTGGATCGGCCTTATTTGTAAGTAGTAATCGCTCGTCTTCCAATTTTCCAGGTTTGAGATTAACGTAAGCTTTATTCAAGGTTCTGTCATACAACATTTTCTATGTAATCTATAACCTCTATTTCCATCCCCTGGCCGACGTCCCCGGTCCAAAGTTGTGGGCAATTTCCAGAATTCCCTATAACATTCATACTCTCCGAGGCACAGCAGCAGTCAATTTTCTCGAACTCCACAAAAAATATGGACAAACCGTTCGCTACTGTCCCAATGGTATCGTGTACTCCAATTACGGGGCATGGGATGAAATTTACGGCCCGTACAAACATGGGCAAAAGTACATGGAAATGGATCCTGCAATATTCGGCGGTGGCCTTACCTTCACGGGAGCTTTACAAATGTGATAAATCGGGTTCAATTGTTTTCAGGGGAACAGACTTTGCTGACTGAAATTGCCACATAGTACCAACGCGATCAACGCGATCAACGGCGAGCACCGTCGGCTCAAAATGCGCTTCATGCGTGCTCTCTCTGCCAAAGCCGTTTCAGCTCAAGAGCCGCTAATCTTGAACTATGCACAAAAGCTCATCGCCGGTATGAATCGTGAGCTTCTGAGTCCCTCCCATGAAGGGATGATCAACGTGGCGGAATGGTTGTCTATGGCAACATTCGACGTCATTGGAGACTTGGCTTTCTCTAAATCCTTTGGTTGTTTGGAGACCGGGACACTTCATCCATGGATCAAAGTTGTGTTTGGTGCTTTCAAGGCATTGCCTTGTTTAAGAGTCGTCAGAGAAATTCCAGGAGTGCCTTACATAGGTTTGAAAGCATTGTATTTACTGCCCAGAACTATCAAGCAGAAGTGGTTGGACCACTTTCATTATGGAGCGGATTTGATCGATAAGAGGATCGCGAGCGGGGAGGATAGACCGGATATGGCTCATTATTTGACGTCCAATGAGGGATTGCCGCTGACGTTGAATGAGATCAAAGAGAATGCTGTACAGTTGCTCACTGCTGGGAGCGAGCCCGTAAGCTCCAGCTTTTACTCTCTCGTCTTTGAAAAATTATAGCTTATCAACGGATACCAGACAGCAACCTTCTCAGCAGGCGTTTTCTACTTTCTGACTAAGAACCCGCCCGTCTATGAAAGGCTCAAGACCGAGATCCGATCTGCTTTCACTTATCAAGATGACATTACTCTGGCAAAGCTTGCTCAACTGGACTACCTCAACCGTGTGGTCCGCGAAGGACTTCGTGTGTTCCCACCCGCTGCAGACATATTCCCTCGCATTATTCCCGAGGGGGGAGAAGTCATAATGGGAAAATACCTCCCGGAAGGTGTAAGTGAAACCAGTCGAAGGGATTCTGAATCTAACATCATTACGAATAGACACATGTCTCCATTGGTGCATATGCAATCTCTCGTGACGAACGCAATTTCCCCGACCCCGATATCTTTGATCCCGAGCGCTGGCTTCCCGAACATATAGCAACAGACGCTCGTATGAAAGCCTCTCAGCCGTTTGGACAAGGTCACCGGTCGTGTATCGGAAAGATGTATGCTGAACAGCCCAATCCTCATTCCCTTCTTGTCCCAATCTTGCACCATCTCCTAATGATCTCACTATCCTGCACTTGAATTCTTGACTAACACCATCTCACAGCCTAGCACACGCGGAAGTGCGCCTCCTAGTCTCCTCACTGATCCTCAACTATGATTTCGAGTTGCTTACGGTAGATCAAAATTGGATCTCGGGATGCAAAGTATACATTGGATGGGAAAAGATTCCACTCCGATTTCAGACCACAGCTTCATCGCAGAACCAATTGAGAACGTCGGTGGAGAAGCATGTTGTCGCTTTCGGGGATTTCAAGAGAGAGACGAGTATCGAGAGGTAATATTGAAGACTGTCAGTGTTAATTGTTGGCCATGAGTTTGAGGATGAAGCACGATTCGGCATGCGTGAAAACCGAAATATTCCGTATTCTCAACTGTTACTTTCTACCCGATGTGACTTTTCCACTTCGACCCGCGCCTTGCCACAAGTGTCTCGCAATCGTGAAATCATCTTTTCACCCGTCACAAAGCTATTGATATTCAAATTGAACTAGTACTGCTGGCAATCTAATATCCTTTTGCCACGATCACTTTACCCCACCTTCCTTAGTAGGCAAGTGGGATAAACGCAACGCCTTTTCGCTCCTGTGCCTGAAATGCAGTGTCAATGTGGCACATGTCTTGCTGATAAGACGAGCTTAGACCGATTGTCACATTTAAATAGATTTGAAAAACATAGTATTGCATTCTAAATATAACATCAGAATGTAATCAAAAAACAAGCCATGCATTTGGCTAGATTTCTCACCCTCATAGGGAACCTTCTAAATGACAAATGAAATCAGCAACTAGTTACCCTTCCAAATTATCTATCCAGACGCAATTTGTTGTCCATTGTATGAACAGTAGAACAAAGTGAACACAATCTGGCTTTTCCCTCCAGGTATGTCCTGAGCCGTCGCTCCTGCCCCAGCATCAACACTATACTTCATCCAACAATATCCGGGATATTCGAGAGCTCCAGATGGTTCCACGCAATTCAGAGTCCCAATTTGATACCCATTAGTCAATCCCGAATAATAGTGATCTATATAGGTCGAGGTTCCTTCAAAGGCAAGATGCACTTTACAATCCTGAGAATCGTTCGTAATCCCGATATCAAGATCCACACCAGGATAATACCAGTAATCATGCGAACATAATCACTTTGCTTATCAACGCCACCGCTGAAACTTTCGACCCACTACGAGGTATTCTGCCCATCGGAACGAGGGTCTCCAGCAACAGTCCAGACGGACCGCCATTGATGTATGCCTGCTTGAAGGGTCATGTCCAGGCAGTGTTGGCGTTCCTCCCTTATTTAAAGACCACTGAGTCCGTCAACACCGCATTAAGGTGGGCAGTAGCATACAACCACGTGACATTAGTAGAACTCGTTCTGCAACACCCAATGCTGCAAGTGAATGGGCAATTTCAGGGTCAGACTCCTCTCTACCAAGCATGCAAGATGCGCAATCCGAAGATCGTCAAGCTTCTCCTCGAGGCCAATGGCGATCCAAACGCCTTGATAGTAGGACCCGAGCCATTCTCCTTTCACCAAGCCAGGACCGGAAGTTATAAAAGGGGATATACTGCATTATATGCTTTGGCAAAATGGGAGCCGACCTCTAAAGCTAGCTGGCCTTACAAGACTGATGAGCCTGATCCGGAAGCAACGATAGATTGTTTCAATCTGATGTTCAAGGCGGGAGTCAATGTCCACCAGGTGGATGTACAAGGGAATACCGCAATGCATCACGTCAAGGAAATCGTAGCATTGCGTATCCTGCTAGAAGCCGGTGCCAACCCAAATGCAGTCAACGATAACGGAGAAACAATCTTACACCGTTGCGAGAACATGACCATTACTCGGCTTTTACTGGAAGAAGTGAAAGTGGCTAGTAATCAAAAGACACTTCATGGTGGCTACACTCCATTGCTATCCTGGCTGAGTAAGGGCAGTGTCGAGCATGCGCTCCAATTGCTGGAGTTCGGTGCAGATGCTGGAGTCGTAGACAATGATGGCAACAGCGCCTTTCATCATGCAGTTGGCATTCGGAATTTCGGAGATATTGGACAACAGCTCATCGAGAGATTGGTCGCGGCTGGAGCCGACATAAACTTCAAAAATCACAGAGGACAGACTCCTTTGCATATCTTAGGTACTGGTATCAACAATGTTTCGACCAGTACATTTGACGAGAAAGCTTTCACGGCGTTGATAGCCGCTGGAGCTGATCCAGAATTGAAAGACCATCGGGGCCAGACACCACTTTTCCAGAAAGTCGGCTCTGGAAATCTTCGGACTGGGGAGCGTATGAATTTGTGCGAGATGATGACTAAGGCCGGGGCGCGTATTGATACTGTGGACTCAAGTGGATGCAATCTATTGCATTCTTGTGTTTCTAATGACCCAAATGACTTGGAAATTTTCAACTTTTTGGTCAGCCATGATGTCGATCCAAAGCAGACGGACAATGATGGCAATACATTATGCCACAAAGCGGCATTATACTATGCCAAAATGCGTTGCGGTGCAAACAGCCACTCTCTTCAGATATTCGATGTATTGATCAAGTTGGGCATTCATCCTGGTCAACCGAACTACTCAGGGCGCACCGCCCTTCACCTTCTAAGCAGTATCCTCCCGGGTTGCCTTGACAACGGGACGACTCTCATAGCTGGAGAGACTACAGCATTTGACTGTGTTCTGAAGCTTCAGAGTAGTATTGATTCGGAGGATAGGAAAGGAGTAACAGCACTTCATTTAGCTTCGACGTTCTCTGAATATCAGACAAGAAGACTTTTGCAAGCAGGCGCGGATCCATCAAAGGCAACTCATGAGAAACTGACTGCACTACACCTCGCTGCAAGGTCTTGGCAACCGAACATCCTCGGCATGCTCCTTGATTCATTGAAGTCGCAGAATAATCAAGAAGGGTTCTCAACAATAATCAATGCGAGAGACGGTTACATGCAGACGGCTTTGTTTTACGCTTGCGCTTCGGGACGAGTTGAAAGTGTAAAGCTGCTCATTGATGCAGGAGCTGATGTGGACGCTCAGTACTATTCTTGCTCTCCTTGGAAAGGCTGCTTGGCCTTTGAGAATGAGGCGAATAATTTGCAGTTAAGCAACGTCCAGCACTCTGGAGATAGGTCGCGAGCTGATGCGGGAGGCGTTATGATTTTGGACACGACTCGGCCTCAGCTATTCAAGCAAGGAAGCTATTCCACTGCGAGTCTGGACGAAATCATTCAGCTACTTTCATCCTACGCACCAAAGAGAGAATTTATAGAGAGCGCTATTGCTGAAGCTGGAAGGCTGGGGTTGGACTACACGATCGGCTGCTTATGGCAAGCACGTAGAAATCTTGGAATCGAGGATGAGTATAGATTTAATCTCAGCAGTCACACCACTCTGTGCAAGAGACAAGCCAACCGAAAGGCACTTGAAGATACTTCTTCGAGACTTCAGACATCGCTATCGGAATCGAACATACCCTTCCGACAGCTGATGCAGATGCGCGAATACGATCTTGTTAGCGAGCTTTTGCTAAAGTCAAATGGTATGGAAATCGACGAAGATGGAGACATGGTCATAAACCATCTAACATCTGGCGGGTTTGCATCCATTGTCGCACGGGTAATGACTCGAGAGGCAGCCGGGAAGCTGGAGGATTGGGAATGGTGTGAGCAGCATACAACATCCTCTCAAGTCAGAAACCCCTATACCAAGCCAGAAAACGTTCAGCCTCTATTATTGACTGCTTGCAAACGCGAGCTGCCCAACATGGATGTAATCCGAGTCCTAGTCGAGAAGGTTGGGGTCAATATAAACGCTCAAGACCGGAAGGACAACCAGTACTGTCCACCTGGTGGAACTCGGTACGCGCACAGCAAGAGTGCGCTGCACTATCTTGCGGGGGGAAATAACTGGTGGCATGCCGACGCTGTCAAGTATCTCGTGAATCAGGGTGCCAATATGAACCTTCGAGATGAACTCGGCCTGACTCCGCTGGCTTCTGCTCTAGACCGCATAGGGCTGCTCACGTTCAACAGGAGTGCCGTGGAAATGTTCATCAAGCTCGGCGCTGATGTAAACTCAGTTGACAACAAAGGTGTTTCTTGTCTCGCACGAGCGGGCGACGATGTTCAAATGATCGAATGCCTCATCCAACACGGGGCCGTTGTAACACCATCCGCACTGATTTCGGCAATAAAGAAAAAGAGTCCCGAAGCCCTGAAAGCTCTACTCTCGCATGGTGCTAACCCCAACGCCAGACAAATTCCAAATAAGGCTGAAGAAAATGCAATGTCATCGATGTGGTGGGCCAGAATGGGCCCAAGTGGAGTGAGAGCACCGCAGGTAGCGGAAGAGATGTACCCGCTTCATTTCGCGGCTATACAAGAACGAGTCGATGGCGAAATCAATGAAAACTTAGTCAAGATCTTGCTGAACCATGGGGCAGACCCATGTGCACGGTATTCAGAGACAACCGTTATCCACCGGATCATTGAAGAGAGCTACCTGGTCCAGCTGTTTGTTGCACTTCCGTCTCTGGACCTCGAGGCACGCGACTCTTTGGGTAGGACTCTCCTGATGGTCGCTTGCTATTCCAGGTTTGGCAGCAAAAATCAAGTCGCAGCCACTACATTGCTTGATCGGGGTGCAGACATCCGGGCTCTTGATAACAACAACCAAAATATTCTCCACCATCTCCTTACTCCAACATCAAACTACGCTAATCGAGAGCTCATTTCTCGGATTGCAGCTGAAGCACCAGAACTCGTGAATGAGGCCGACAAGCATGGGAACACACCGTTTCATTTCGCCATTACTCTCTTCCGTCATTCGCATCGGACCAGTAAAGGAGAGGCAGATGCTCTTCTCAGAGCAGGTGCAGATCCAAAAGCAGCAAACAACGACGGTGATACACCAATGCATCTCTTATTTGGGGGAGAGTGGGTCATTGGCATCGATGGAATGGTGAGAGATGAGCTGCGCGAGGTCTTCGACAGCTTGCTGAGAATGGGTTCGGACATCAACGCACGGAACGGTTGCGGCGAGACTCCCATATTTGCGTTCTTCAATAATGCAACGATAAAAGTTGAGCCTACAAAACCCTACCAAACTCCTGGCGAGTATGGCCTTCAAAGCCAAAGAGAACGAGACGAATCTCCAATCTATAGGCTTTTCGAAGAGGCGGGTGTGGATTGGTTTGCTGTGAACAATTCTGGGGAGACTCTGTTGCATGTCGTGGCTAGAAAGATGATGAGCCATGTGGATTCACAGAAGGTCTCGAGGTTTAAGTTTTTGTTGGGGAAAGGGTTGGACCCGATGAGTGAGGATGGGAATCAGAGGACGTCAGTCGATGTTGCTGCTGAAGTTGGGGCGAAGGATATATTCGGGCTGTTTGAGAGGAGGTAGGGAGCGCATGATGGGAGTTCGTTCATCCAAACTACTAGATGAAAGAGGTAAAGCATCTGAGGCTTTGAGACCAGAGTGTATACCAATTATTTCAACCATGTGGCCCAATGTAACGGAATAGAAGGTTGAATTCAGGACGTGCAAATAGAGCTTCCTAGACCATGAAATAAAAACCCGTTTGAGCTTGCCAATGCCAAAGTAGCTCAGCGAGAAAGTCCAATTTTCTTTCCAGTTTTCTTCAGTCCATGGTTGCATGATTTAGTCATGTTTAAAACTACCATTCACTGCCACTTGGTTTCTGCTTGAAACCAACGTCCCTCATCCTGAGACCAAATCAAATACAGAATTGTTATGTAGAGGAGACAGGGAAGCAAATTACAAAATGATGCCAAACTCGCGAGCACTCTATGGCAGGCAGAATACTTCCGCAGGTAAGCAGGAAACAAAACACATTCAGAGGGTAATAAAGAAACTTTGCTTCCCTCCCCTTGCATTCTATGTTCGTTTTGAAGAGATGAGAAGAGAGCGAAACATGGAAGTAGTTTCTAAACACGTGACACCAACCGCGTAAATGGATCTTCTGTCGCGTTCAGTCGACGCGTCTCAGCATCACCACATCAAGTCAACATAACAGTCATGGCAGTCACCAAAGGCGAAGAAGTGGGCGAGTCTTCCACAGCTGCGGCGAAGAAAGCGCTCAAGCCAAATCCCAATGGAGTCGCGAACTATGAATTACCATGGTAGGCAACTTGGTCGAATGTGTCTAAATATGTTAATCCTTTCAGGGTTGAGAAATACCGTCCGGTCTTCCTGGACGATATTGTGGGCAACACAGAAACAATTGAACGACTAAAGATTATTGCGAGAGAAGGGAATATGCCACATGTCATTATCTCTGGTATGCCGGGCATTGGAAAGACTACATCTGTTCTATGTCTTGCGAGGCAACTGCTGGGAGATGCATATAAAGAGGCTGTCTTGGAACTGAATGCTAGTGACGAGAGAGGTCAGTAATGTATAGTTTACTGCAGGAAATTAGCTAATCTGTCATTGATAGGTATCGACGTAGTACGGAATAGAATCAAAGGTTTCGCTCAGAAGAAAGTTACACTTCCACGAGGCCGACAAAAACTCGTTATTCTCGACGAAGCAGACAGTATGACTTCAGGCGCGCAGCAAGCACTTCGACGAACGATGGAAATATACTCTTCTACAACTCGATTTGCCTTCGCATGCAATCAGTCGAATAAAATTATCGAGCCTCTGCAATCCAGGTGTGCAATCCTCAGATACTCGCGGTTAACGGATGCACAAATTGTGAAGAGGTTATTGCAGATTATCGAGGCAGAGAAAGTCGAATACAGTGACGATGGACTGGCTGCCTTGGTCTTCAGTGCAGAGGGAGACATGCGACAGGCCATCAACAACTTGCAGTCCACTTGGGCTGGGTTTGGTTTCGTTAGTGGAGACAATGTGTTTAAAGTTGTCGACTCTCCTCATCCAATCAAAGTCCAAGCAATGATCAAGGCGTGCTATGAGGGTAAAGTGGAAGCAGCATTAGAGACGTTGAAAGAGTTGTGGGATCTAGGATACTCAAGTCACGACATAATCAGCACAATGTTCCGAGTCACTAAGACCATACCGACATTGAGCGAGCATTCGAAGCTAGAGTTCATCAAGGAGATTGGGTTCACGCATATGAAGATCCTGGAAGGAGTCCAGACCTTGCTCCAACTCAGTGGATGTGTGGCAAGATTAGCGAAACTGAATATGGATCCGAAGCTTTTCATTGTAAAGAAATGATAGTATGAAGGAAGCATGGCTGGCGTTCAAGGAAATTTGTAAGGAGGGTTGATTGGCGTACACAACCAGATCTTTGCAAAGATTGGGACTCATGAGTTTATGAACTGATATCATACAATCGTATTCTCGTACTGTACAGCAGCCTTCTTATGAAGACTTGGAGTTAGACGATTCCTCAAACTCCTTTTCATAACTTTCCCATGTGGCTCTATCACGCAATATGCGTCTCTGCATCCTCATTTTGGCTTCATACTCTCTGATTCTATGATCAGCTTCTAAGCAGCCGCCTAGGATCATTCCTAGATAAATTAGTTAATTATTCAGGGTCGAAATGTCCTTGAAAAGTACCTGACATCTGAAGGAAACTATGTCCGGCTTTTAGTCACTGCACTTCACATATGTATTTCACTTCGAAACTCACACTTTAAACTGAATGGTCAATCCTCTATAAATCGGAGAAATCCCATATCCAACCCCTCCTAAAAGAGCTGCAAAAGCTCCCCACTAAGATGATCAGTTAACTTTCTCATGTCTCATTACAGATGTTTGTGTACCTTCACAGCTCCATAAAGTGCCCCTCGACCTCCTTCCCAGGCAGCATCGCTTGCTTCTTCACTCCGAAGTCCTCCAGATGTATGCATTGAGGTTGGTGAGATGCATTGGCGAGTTGGAGATGCTGGTTTTGGAACGTCATGAGTTTGTTTGCGGGCTTTGGCTAGCCGAGCAATACCCGAGTTCGGCGATAGGAGGAATTATTTTCAAGAGTTTACAACGATTTTTGTTATGTATTCACTCAAAGTAAAAGTTGGCTTCGAACCTTCGACATAAAACTCTCGGGGCAGTGTGAAGTCAGATTGTGTGGATTATGGGTATCCAATGTCTGAGCACGATTCGTACTTTTCCCTTTCTAAGGATAAGTCAGAGCTCGAATTGACCCCGCCAAATCTATTGTTCTATGTCCAACCATACTTTTCTTCATGTACTCAATGTTCCTTTCGTACTTGGTATCTCTCCTTCCCTTCCAGCAACCCTACTTGTCGCCTGTCGAATAGCCACCGCCAATGCCTTAAAAGCACTCTCAGCTCTATGGTGATCATTATCCCCTCGCAAACAATCGACATGCATTGTGACTCTGGCAGCTTGCGCAAAACTCTGCATACAATGTGGTATCATCTCACAGCTCAAATCTCCAATCTTTTCTCTCTTCAATCCAAGATCAATAACGCTAAAGGGTCGGTTCGAGAGGTCGACAACTGCTCTTGAAAGAGCTTCGTCTAGAGGGGCATAGGCAGAGCCGAATCGTGCAAGACCAGCTGGCACTCCCAGAGCATCTTTGAATGCTGTACCAAGTGCTAAACATACATCTTCAGCAGTGTGATGGTCGTCAACTGCAAATTTGGAATTAGCATTCATCTCAACCTAAAGCAGGTTGCTAGAACGTACTATGAAGATCACCCTTGCAATTGAGTGCCAGACTCCAGCCAGCATGTTTCGCCAATGCATGGAGCATATGATCCAAGAATCCAATGCCAGAATTTATGGCAATTGTTTGACTTTTGGAAGCTTGTGACGCATGTCCATCCCCGCCATTCACTCCATTCACGAGTTTGGCATCTGTGTCTGTCGGAAATTCTCCTCCATCTAGATTGATCGCAAGCACAATCTTCGTCTCGTTCGTATCTCGCGCAATTGCCGCCGAGCGGACTCGTTGATCTGTTTTAGCAACCATTTTCGCAAATTCGTCTTGAAGATTGTCGATTTCCACAAGATAATTTTCCCCACATTTTGATCAAGCGGATTAGACTCCGCGCTAGCGGCCGCCTGATAAAAGATAATCGAAATATTTCCTTCGAGATTTCCAGCCACCGATTGTGCTGTCGCAAACACGAACATTTCACAATGGCACCTTCACGGACGTCAACTGTCAAGTCGAAACACGCAACGAATAAGTCGGGAATCAGGAATAGCAAGCAAAGCGGCAAGCCGCAAGGGGATGGGGTCTCGAAGTCGAAGAAACCGAAGAGCAAAGGACCTCCTCCGAAACCACAGAAGAGCGCGGGGAATTTAGCAACGTTGAAGAAGAAGAGAAGGGTTTATACTGAGAAGGAATTGGATATCCCAGCGCTGAATATGATTACGCCGGTTGGGGTGGAGAAGCCCAAGGGAAAGAAGAAAGGGAAGGTTTTCGTTGACGATAGGGTATGTTGATTTCTGCCATATGCTTGCGTGAAGAATGAAATGCTAATTTATATATAGGAAAGTATGATGACTATTCTAGCCATGGTGAATGCGGACAAGGATGGCCAGATCGAGAGCAAGATGATGAAAGCTCGACAAATGGAGGAGATTCGAGAAGCAAGAAAAGCCGAAGCAGAGAAGAGGCAAGAATTTAGAAAGGCGAAATTGGATGAGACGAAAGAGGGAATGAGGAAGAAGAGAAAGAGACCAGCGGGCGAGGAAGAGAAGAAGGAAAATACAAGGAGCGAGGCTGCTGCAGGAACCAAGCCGCTCAAAGTTAAGAAAAGGAAGAGTGTATCCTTTGCTTAAAGTACGAGATGCGGATTCGAATTTGCGGCGTTTTGGGGGCCATGAGCATTGGGCGGTGTTTATCAGAATTAGGTGGCCAAACAAAGTGCGAGATACCATGGGATCGATTTTCAATCGAACTAGATTGCTCTATCAGTGGCTCTTTTTGCTAGAAGCAGAAGGATATCTCTTTATGTACAGTCTATGTCTACAAGTATTCTATATCAAGTGACCAGTCTACATCTGCCATTTTCGTCGCATCGAATCGTACTCAGCACCACTTTGGCTATGTTTTGTCACTCCGTTCTGAAAGATGTCAACGGGAGCGGTGACATCTACTTCGAAAGCCATCTTGTTCAAGAAATTTGAAGCCTGGCAGAACATTAGCAGTTTTCTAGTGGCGAGAATGAAAGTCCTTACCGGGCGGGCGTGCCATCTGTGGCCATTCATCTCGAACCAAGAGAGATGGCCACCCAAGGAAGTTGTACACATTACAGCATATGGAGTTTGTTTAATTTCTTCGTACGGGAGTCCTTCGTCAACCGCAATCTACTGGTATTTAGCCACAGTAGTGACAAATTCGGTATGAAACTTACTGGATCATCCTTGGCATTGATAACGAAGAGAGGTATCCTAATGGCAAATAATGAGTCTGTTGACGAAGCATCTCTATAGTAGGCTCCTTCTGTCGGGTAGCCCCAAGTTGGACATTGAACATGCCGATCAAACTCGTAGAGATATTTGACGGCCCGAATTTTGGCAAAGTCCAGCTTTGGGTTTTTGGCTACTTGATCATGATGAAGCTCGATCAGTTTCTTCAAGTTACCACCCATAGTTTTAAGATACACCTCCCTGCCTAGCCAGGTCCGCTGCAGAGCAGCTGAACTAACATCGAGGTTCCATGGATTCGAGCAAACAACAGCAGCTTTAAGCTGGCAAGCAGCCCCTTCTTCCCCAATGTACTAAAAGGAATCAGCGATAATCCTCGGACAAGAAAAGAAACCTACATTGGTTAGGATATTGGCACCTAGAGAGAAACTATAACATAATCAGCACTATGCCCGGGCGAAAACTAGGAAGTGACGTTCGAACTCTTCCACATCCGGTGATCGAACGATTCAGCTCATGAAACAAACCAGCTCCACGGTGCCCATGGAGAGGACGTAGCAAATCAGAATGAGAGTGCAACTAACCCAATGCCAAACAATGGTCTGTTCGGAAATGTCTTCCTCAGCCACAAAATCATTTGTCGAATGTCCCACGTTGCACGAGCATTGAAGAGGATACTGCTTGTGATCTTATGCATAGCACAACCTCTGGAATTGATGACGCAAGCTTCCCATTGCTTTTCACCCTCCGCTCCCACGAGAGGAGCAATAACATGCTTCAGATAGATTTCATATGAGCCTCCAGAAAGACCATGAAGAACCACCAACATTGGACGGGTATCATCAGAGCTGATAGAACTAAATTCGTCATCTATGAAATACGTCGTTCTAATGGGAAGTGATGTATCCTTCTCCGGAGAGGGACGAGAAATGAAGTCTACAGCGAATGATCCTGCAAATGCTGGATCTTCATTCTCAAAAATCTTGCGCTTGTAGTACAATGGAGGTCCATCGTTTTTGACCGCGGTCCACTAGATCTCGAGTCAGTCATGCTTACAAGGCTCATGTAGAATATTATAAAAGGTGAGGGTGTTGGCATTCGAGAAGAGTATGTGACTTGAGGATTGGATGACAGGCAAACACGACTTCTTCTACATACCATTGTCTGTACATGGCCATTGAACAACAATGGATTGAGTTTGCATGGCGGGGTAGCTTCCTCACAGATAGAGAGCAAGTCCGTAGGTGCCCCATCTTTCCTTGTCAAAGACAGCGGAGTTGTAGAATGCGTGAAGTTAATCTTAGCACGACCAAGCCACTCCATTGCTCGTTAGGACTGTCGGACAATACGTCCAGGCAGTAGGCAGCAGCAGGCGTTCTGTGCTAGTAATGATACAACGGAACCCGGTCTTGAACGAGCAGAAAGAGAGAGATTCTAGGAAATTATGAAGAGAAGAAAAGTAAACAGGAAGAAATTGACACGAGATGGATACACTGTAGCGTCCCCAGACCACTAACCTTGTTGAAAACTTGAAGGTCCACGTCTTGCCTCGGTCTGGTATGGGTATGGGTATGTCGGAGTTTATGATGTCCGACTTACGCTAGCGAAAGCGAATTGGAGTTTGGGGCTCGACGTGCCTGCATCGCGACTCTTCCAAAGATGAGCCCCTCCAAGTCCGCCAGTATTACGAACACCCGGGAGTGAAGCATGTCGTATCAAGGCGGCCCAGCGCCTGGAAATGGATACTGGGCTGGTCAAGATCCGCCAAACGCGTACAAGCATGGACGGCCCCAAGTTTCCAACAATGCATCTGCCCAGTATGAACAGCCACTAAGTGGAAATGGCCAGTCCTGGACTCAAAATGGCCAGACATCGTATGGAGTGAATCCCATGTATACAAGCAATGGTTACCAAATGCCAACTTCTCAAGCGCAAGTCCAGCAACCACAATACATCTCACCTGCACAACTCCAACAGCAAGCGCCTGCACGAGCACAGCATTATCAGCACCCTTCTCAGCTATCCAACAGCAGACCGACTCCAAACTCGTTGTCTAAATACACCCCAATACCGCCTACCCCAAGCACAGATTCGCCTTTGGACACTGCTATGTTGCTAGTCTCCCTTGCTGAAGAATATTTCGTTGCTGCACACGAACTTGCGCCAGCTGCCGCACTTTCCATGACCAGTACAAATGTGGATGTATATCAGAAGCTGATTGCTACGGGCTTGGGATGCTTGGATACAGCTTTAAAACGCGTCAGACTGGCACCCAGACAGGAAGCAAACATACGCTTGCGGTACGCTGCAGTACTCCTCGAAGAGACTGAGAATTTCATGGAAGGAGAGACAACTCTAAGCAAGGGTATCACGCTTTGCGAGAGAGTGCGTGATCCTTATACAATGTCTGTCAAGCCCAGGACTAATACAATATCTAGAATCATTACCACGACTTGAAGTATGCCATGCAATTTTTGCTTGCGCAATTCATGGCGAAGAAGAATCCAAAGGCAGCTGTGAAGGCCCTTGATGGCTATATCTCAGATGCACATGCGTGCGTCTTACTCTCCTCATTACTAACCGCTCTTCGCTGATTGCTGAATAGTTATCAACACTTCTCTTGGGTTTATGCATTTCGTTTCCTTCGAGCAACACATTCTTTAGCATCAGGTAACCTTACAGATAATCATGCAGCGGTACAAAATCTACGGGCCATTGCTGCAGTCGCTGAGCAACAGGATGATAATGCTATCTTCATGGCAGCGTCTTTGATGGAAGCGCTGGCATATCTGAAGACACCTGGCTCGGATGCTGTTGAGCAAGTGCAATGTCAGATTGCTGCATCTCAGGCCTATCAAGCCGACCCGAGTTGCTGCATACCACAACTAGCCGTCTTAACTCATATAATTGACGTTGCTAGCAGCATTCGCCAAGGTAACACCACAGTCATGATGAGCAAGTTGAAGGATATGCAGAGTGTGATGGACGACGCTATGAAAGACCCCAGCTGGAGTACTACGAGCGGCGTCATTTCTGTCCCCATCAAACGAACACCTAAGAGCTCTTCCATAATCAGTCAGGACACCAGAATGATTTTGGGTATTGGCGAGGATGGTGGAGATAATCTTATGATGACATTCTTAAACAAGAAAGATGCATATTCCATCTCGTTAGTAAAGCCAAACCTTCTGTCGAACTCCCACTCACAGTACTCTAGTTGCCTTCTTACCGGAATGGTGCTTCTTCACAAGAACTCTAGCGATCAAAAAGGATTTAAGTATCTAGCAGCGGGACTCGAATACATTGATGGTAAGCATTGATGTACTTTTGGGTCTGTTATCACTGACATTCATAATTCAGAAGAGAGAACACCCGTCAAAGTTGCATCTAGTCTCCTACCGGATCTAATAGCGAGACGACGTTGGCGCGGATTGATGCAATGTTATTTCCAAATCTATATGGCATTTTGTTCTGCTGGTCTGACTGATTGGGCAAAAGTCAAGGACTCCATTGATAAGATACACAAGACCGCTCTAGATTTCGAGATTGACTTGGCAGGTCCATTGGAATGCCTCACTTTCTACCTCACCGGTGCTTACCATCAGGGCATTGGAGACTTCGATGCTGCATTACGGATTTTTTCGAACGAAAGATTCAGCATTTCGACGTCTAAGAGCACCACCTCATCGTATGCCGAGCAAGTTGAGCGTGATATTGCACTTCTTGCGGCACTAAATACCCTGTGGATCCTCCAAGACAAACCGCGTCAAGATCCGACCTACAACCTTGTTCTCATGGATCGCCTCGAACCAATGTGTGTCCACCACCCCAACAAGGATATCGAGACTGCTTTCAACCTGATTGCAGCCACCGTTACAACGAATCCACCTACGGAACTCTACAAGGTGAAAGCCTATCTTAGGGCAGCATTGACTCGGGCTCAAACTACTGGGAACACTCAATTCCTTTGCATTACACTGAATGTGATGTGTAGCCGGTTCTTCTCGGGTGTTGTAGGCGACCAGGCCGAAAAAAGTGCCAAGGCTGCATCTGTTCAAGCCATGAAGAGTGGCAATGTCCTGTGGATGAGCGTTGCAGATGGCATGCTGGCACAATGCTATGAGGTACAGGGCAAGAAGGTCGAGGCACAGATGACTTCAGAACAAGCACTTATGTCGGCAAAAAAAGCATTCCCAGGGGTTTGAGTTGGAAGGAGGGTCGGTCCAGCGTTTGATACAGGTCGGATTTTGTCATAAGGAAAAGAATTGCTTTGCAGGTATAGCTACATGCGGGCTGGAGTTATCAGAATGGTGGGATATTGGCGCACTTATACCCATTTGCTTCAGGCTTCGAAAAGTAGGTTTGTTTAGGTTTGCTTTCTACAACAAAGCCTACCTAGGTACATGAGAGACTATCAAGAATCAAGGAGATTTCGTTGTTCAATGTGACACTTGAAATGTCGTGTTATATCGATTTAGGGGATGTACCCACTATAATAAGAGACGTTCTAGTGTCTGGAGTCACACAACCAAGTATCGATTGGACATTATACATGGACATTATAAGAATTATGCTTCCTTCAATGTCTGTTTTGAAGAGGGAGAGATGCCCCCTGAAAAGCTGGACCCTTGTTAGACCCCTGCTTGGAAAACACGCTAGAGCATCATCGAACAAAAAAAGTTTTGGAGGAAGTACCACAGAGTCCGATCAAAACGAGTCAACCACGATCAGATAATCTATGTTTTCGTCATTGTCGCGGGGGAGCTCGAAAATTGCTCGACCTCACATATGCTCAACATGTTTAAGCAACATCCTCGCGGCATCGATTCCTCCTCTCGATCGCCCAGCTGCAGTTAGACATGCTCCATATTCAACAGCCATCGATTCTACACAATCGAACGATGGAGATCAGGCAAACGAAACCGTACCTGCTGCGGCTACGGATCCCACGAATCCAGAAGAATCGCCAGCAATCAGGAACGGTAGGTTGCCCTCCAGGTCCAATTATGTACGCCGAAGACTACGTCGTCGAGAGCCCGATAGCAGCAGACTTATTTCTAATTCGCACATGACGCTTGACGCTCTGAGGGCATCGCTGGAGGCCGAGGAACTAGAGGAAACGGCACAACCGCAGAGGTCTGAAGCTATATCCGGAAAGGGCTCAAAAGAATCAAAAGCGAAATCTGCGAAGACCAAACTACCACCATCAGTAGCTGCTCGAAAAGTAGCCTCAAAGTTGACACCAGAAGCAGCAGTATCTGCCCGAAGAGTCGCTTCAAAGTTGGAGGTTCGCCAGACTGCTTCCAAGAAGACGAAGACCAAATCCAAAAAGTCAGTCCAGAGCACGTCCAACACCAGCCCCGACGACGCCGCCGAAGATTCGTCTAGTCCAACGGTTAGAAGAGCGGCATCCGATCCGAAGAGTAGAAGAGGAGGTCTCTCCAAGGAGCCTGGTCTGAAAATCATCCGAGCAAAGGGTAAGGTCCCGGAGAACAGTAGAGAGTACAAGAAACTAGATGGTCTAGCCAAGAGGCGGCAGCAAGACGTAACCCATAGTGCAGATAGGAAACGACTTGTCACGGCGATTCAGGACGGGAACCTCTCCGAACAAGAACGGCGAGAAGTGTTGAGAATATTGCGAGCTTCACTGCTCACCACTATGACTTCCAGCAAAGAGTCTAGAAACACGAGAACGTCTGCTACCCATCGGAGTCTGAAAGATGCCATGCTACGTCCCAATCCTCGGGCACCATATCAGCCTGTACAACGAGTTGGCATTGAAGTCCCATATGTAGTTGGAAGCCCACGCGCGGGCAATACTCCTCCAATCGCTAGAGAGCCGCCTGGACCAATTGAGACGGCTCTTGCGCCCAAGTTCTTAAGAGGCAGTATGACTGCACATGAAATAGAAACAGTCAAGGCTGATAATCTGGAACTCATTCCGATTGATAGCGGCCCTCTGAATGTTCCTAAGCTTGCTTATGGTCTAGAGCGAGTTCTTTTCAACCCAGGCGTGTATCAACTGCAAGATCCTCGAACTAGAGTATTCAATTTTGACCCATACCTGCAGACTATTATGCCTGTCGACGAATTTGATTTCAATGCTCTAAAGCAGTATGTTACCTCGTCAAAAGATGATACCCTGTTGAGCAAGGCAGCTGCAGAAAAGAAAAAGTACACAGGATCAACTTCCAGCATGACTGCTTCTCTTGCACATTTCCATTTCCTGCTCTCGCAATGGAGACTCATTAATGTTGGGAATCTTTCAAAAATGTTTCCCGTGCAATACCATACATTCACAGCCTTCCAGCGTTGCCCTACCTCCATATTTCTGAGGTGGAAAGATGGCACATACGCGATTGACGCGGACAAGCAATTCGATGGAGCTTCGGTCCTCAGCATGCTCGGCAAATCGATGGAGAAATTGCTGACTCTGCCTATGGAAGATTTCGAAAAGTACAGAAAGGGGAAATCAGACCAAATTTCGGAAGAGGAGCGAAATGAGCCTGAAGCATTTCATTATACTACCATGGGAGACTTCCTCATGAGATCGCAATTAGATGCTTATGATTCACGCCTACCAGGAACTGGCATGTTTGATCTGAAAACTAGGGCCGTCATCTCAGTCCGCATGGACACGGACGCCTACGAAGAGGGCCGTGGTTATCAGATTCGGAACCGTCATGGCGAATGGGAATCTTTTGAGAGAGAGTATTACGACATGATCAGATCAGCTTTCTTGAAGTACTCTTTACAGGTCAGAATGGGCCGCATGGATGGTATATTCGTCGCGTTTCACAACACAGAGCGGATCTTTGGTTTTCAATACATCAGCCTGGAAGAGATGGACTACGCGCTTCATGGCTCGGATGACAGGAGACTTGGTGATGCTGAGTTCAAGCTCAGTGTGGATCTACTCAATCGTGTTCTTGATCGTGCTACTACGAAATTCCCTGAGAAGTCACTTCGTATACACTTCGAAACACGAGATGCTGTCACGCCTTTCATGTATATTTTCGCTGAGCCTGTTGAAGAAGACAGAATTGAAGAAATCCAAGCAACTAACAGGGATAAGGCTGAGGAGTTTGAGAGACGTGTCTTGGGTTTGGAGGCCGAAGAACGCAATGAGCAGGAGAAGATAGCTCAGTGGAATGCTCTTCGTGCTCGCGTGGAACGAACTATGAAACAGGACGAGGAGGCCCCAGAGCAACAATTAGAAGGTGCCGAAGATGATGCTGATGCTATGACCGAAGAGGAGCGACATCAAATTCAAGTGATCGTGTCCGGGAACACTTTGACTGAAGAGGATCACGAAGAGACGGAGAGACTTGCTGATGAGGAATCGGACGAACTGGAGGAAGAGATAGATGGAGCAGCAAGTGAAGACTTACTGGAGACTGAGGAAGCAGACGAATCTGAGAGAGAGGTGGAGGAAGCAGCGAGCGAAGATGTGGTGGAGAACGATGAAAATACGAATGAGGATGATGCTAACTTGACTCCTCTGTTAGAGGCAGATCAAGATCTTGAGGATGCTGGAGAATCCGGCGAAAGTGGCGAGGTCGAAGTCAACCCGGAGAACGAGTCAAGCGATGTTTCCGAGAAGGGAAGCACTTCAGTTGAAGAAAGCGAGGAGGTTGAGGAAGACGACGAGAATACCGAGTCTCTCTCCACATCCGATACTGAGGATGTCGAAGCCGAGGAGACCAAAGAAGAGCCGGTAGAGGGAGCTACCGAGAATGAAGACTTTATTGACGAGGACGCTGCGCGAGATGTCCCTAACCCCACGATCGCCAAGACTAAAGGCATGCCTCATCGTGAGGAGCCTCTTTTGGCCATGACACTCACGATCCGCAATCTAGTTGATGGCGAATATGTTGCGCAGCCTGACGCAGAAAATTATCCTCCTGGTGCGAAATGGGACGTCGAGTACGCACTAGCCGAGGTGCAGGACAGAGACAGAGCAGACCTGCTGTACAAAGCATGCAAACTCCGACGGAAGAGAACTTACACCAACACGGTTGATTTGACTGCAAATGTGTTGCAGGACGCTTTCTTGGAGCGCATCAAGACTTTGAGTCGAGAGGGGAGAGTATGGAGGGATAAGCAGAAGGAGATTGAGGAGAAACTTCCGCTCAGAACTTTGGATGAGACGTTGCAGAAGTCGAGTGAGATTAGGAACGAGGAGAGTAATGATGACAATGACGCGCATGACGAAGAGGGGGAAGGAGAGGTCAAGTCATGATTTCATTTGTATCATACAATAAGGCGCCGGTTGTAAAATAATTGTATACTACTATTGTCTGTATAAATGTATATAGTACCTAGACTCGTTCTTGAGAGAACAATGTACAACAGAGATCATCTCCAAATTTATGTATATATTCATTCGCGCAAGACATACTTACCTATCGTGGTGGCTCGGGTATATTTTCGCTTCACAGAGGGAAAAAAAAAAAGCCAATATCTCTACTACCAAAGGAATAACAAAAAGTATCGTTGCAAAGATATTGAATGCACCCTCCGGGAATCTGTTCACATAATTAGATGGTGTATAAGTGTATAGGTACAGGGCTTCTCACCGAACCCGGAGCCAGCGCATGGGAAGCGCTGATTTTACCATTAAACCAAGGGTGCAATTATCAGATGGATGATTGACTGCAATCATGTCCTTCCTAAGGCTAAAATTTGCTTATCTAAATTCATGATAAACAGTCAAAAACTCCTGCCAATATAGGTATAGCGGCCGCTGTGAAGTGCGGAGGAAGTCACGTTGTAAAAGAAATTGACAGTTTGGTAAAGAAAGGAGGGCAAAAGAAACATGTAAGAAGTAAAATCAAGAAATAAGAATGGAAAGTGTCCTCAGAAAATGGTGAAATTGACCTCGGTCTAGTCGCGGTTTTGCTCTGCTAAAAATCCTCCCGAACCAAATCGTCAGCCTCGTCAAAGCCAAACCAAGATTTCGATTTCCTGTGACCCTCTTGCCTACCACCAACAAAGCACAAAATGAGTGCCAAAATCGAGAAAATCATCGTGCGATTACAGGGCAAGTATGTGAATTCCCTCTCTTCCCCACATCCCCCTTCCTAACCTCCGGTACAGAATCACAGAAGGACAATTCTACGAAGCCCAACAACAAACCCGCGTCGTCGCAGCCCGCTACGTCAAATCCGAATCCTGGGACGCGGCGATAGATATCCTATTCAATGTCTCGCAATCGCTGTTGAAGGCGGGACAAGGTGGCAGTGGCGGTGATCTGGGCTTGTTCCTTATCGAGACGTACAAGCAGGCGGAGTTGAAGCCGGATGCGACGAGTAAGGGGAAGTTGTTGACGCTGTTGAGGCTGTTTGATAGTGAGGAGCCGACGAGGAAGAAGTTTATTGGGGAGATGATTGCGTATGTTTCCTCTGCTTGTAGAGGAACAGACGGTGGTGCTAATGAGATATAGATGGTCTGCGAAGTGCGGGGAGTATCCTGCTGGAGAGCCTGAGTTGCATCATGTTGCGGGATCTCTGTATGCCGAAGAACAGGAACCGTATGAAGCGGAACGACATCTTACACTGGGGACGAAGGATTCTCCAGAGGTGTTTACGAAGTTGGAGTATGAGTGGTATACCCAGGACGATTCGCATACAGCGGCTCAGTATGCTGCGAGAGCGGTGTTCCCATATCTGCTTGTTGGCAATGTGCGCGATGCTACGAAATCACTGCGATTGTTTACGAGTCGATTGACGGAGGCAAATAAGGGGTTGAGCGTGCAAGATGTGAGCAGCAATAGCTCTGATATGCGGATCTATCCCAGCCTGCCGCTACTTAATTTCTTGGGTTTGTTGCTGCTAGCTGTGCAGAAGGGAAGTGCGGACCTATTCAAGCAGTTGAAGAGCAAATATGCGCCGTATATCAAGGAAGTGGGAATATGGGATGAGGCTTTGACCTCAGTGGGAGAGATGTACTTCGGTATCCAAAGACCAAGACAGGGTAATCCTCTCTTCGATATGATGGGTAGCATGTTTGGTGGAGGCCTTGCTCCACCGAAGCAGCAACAGCCAAAACGTGTTGGAACTTCAGCACCAGCAGCGGAAGGATTGGATTGAATGTAATGTCATTCTGAAAGATCATCGCTATGAACCAATCTTTTGCCGCTGTCCCAGGGTATCGTGAACGCCGTGAATGCAAAGGAAATCCAAAACTCTTCCCATCTCATTCTAACGCATCGAATGATCATCCTCGGCTTCGTACATCCAATTGTCCTCTGCCAATAGTGCCATCTTCGCTCGCAGACTGGCCTTTACAGCATCGAGAAGTTCTGTCTCGATATTAGCTTCAGTGCATAACAAATAAACAATAGCATCTGCTCACCAGCAGGCTCACTAGGAGCTCTATTCCTATCTCTCTGATGATGCTTCACCGCATCCGCCAATCTTTGGCGCTCCTCTATCCCAGTATCAGCCTCCCATCCATCCATGTCAGAACGTGTATGCTCACTCTCCTCCTCCTGCGTATCAACTCCTTCTTCATGCTCATCGTCGAACGAAGTCATTGGCAAATCCCCTATCTCGAACTCCCCATTCTTATCCCTAATTACTATTTCAGAGGAATCGGATTCCGGCTCAATGTCTAGACGTAGTGTTTCTGTAGAGGTGGACGTAGAGCTGGTTGTAGGTCGGCGGCTGAGATGTTGGTGGAAAAGGTTGCGACGGACTCCCGTTGTGGGGCGGGAGGTGCTGCTGGTGCTTGACGTTGCTTGTCGTCTTTCGGGCATTGTAATAATGTTTGATCTGTCGAAATGAATGGTAGGTGGGTGTCCTCAGACAAAAGGAATATTTTGTTGTGGGTTAGGATGAATGTTGTTTGGCTGTGAAGGAATGTTTTCTGGTCGAGGCTGAGACGAGGCTTGCGTGTGTGGGGTCGGCAAACCTCCCTAATCAACCATTTTCTTTATTTATCACTAAGAGTTTTCGCCCGATTCGGTTTCGCAAGTCATGACTGAGAATAGCTTCGAATATGAGTAGCACTTTTGAGATACAGCCTATTGGCCGCTTTGTGGGCCAAAGTGCTGCCATTAAGAGACCCAAGGTACGCATCTTTCGTCGGGACGACACTAATCCAATCAGTAGAGTTCAGCCTCGCTCTGATATAATGTTTCAGTCAAAATCCATTTACAATTTGATCATTTGTCTTTCTTGCGACGATGCTCTATTATATCTGGCGTTGTCCTACCTCGGTCCAGCACAAGTGTCCTAAACTAAGTCTACATTTGAGAGCTGTCTACTTACAAACCTCTCGAAGTTAATCGTATTGAGTTCATTTACTTACTTTTGAATAGGAGATAGCTTGCTTTTCATACGATGACCAGCATCAATTCCGTCTCGATGATTCCTCCATTAAGTGGTACTATCCACCAACTCTGGGAGCAGATCTGTCCAGAGGCTTTGATACTTTTCAGAAAATGGACGATACTGCCGATGATCACCTTGATAGCTTGCTCAAGACGATCATTAATTATGAGCAAAAGGAAGGCAAGCGTGTCGAGACAGACTTCATCACATGGAGAGGGATGATGACCAAGGTACGTTAAACTCGATGTTCAAAGTAGGCGCTAGACTTACGTTAGATTCAGATTATGGGAGCAATCTTCAGTGATAGAGATGGGTACGTTGTCAACATCAAGTTTCACAATAGCATAGCTAACTTTGAACCAAGCTTTGAAATGAACGCTACGCTTTTCCAAGTGGGCGATCCTCCTAGAAAATTTCAGGCTTAGCTGACAAACAATGTGAAGGATACAATGTATGATACTCAAGACGACATTCAGAGAGGGTTTTGCTAAGTATAACAGCTTCATCGAAGAACACCATGCATACAAACTTCAATCACATGCACGGCAATCGGCGCAAGCATCACAACCTGGCAGACCATCTCAAGATATGATGAGTTTCTGGGGTGAGTAATAGTATCACAAACAGCCAAAAAGATGTTACTGACAGTTTAAGGATACAAATTCGAGACGTTATGCTTGTTGCCAAAGACTTGGGCCGAAACCCCAAGAGACTACATCGAGAACCGGGAGAACGAGGTCGTCAGCAATCACGCACAATACTGCTCGATTGTTAGGACAAGCATTGGCAACTCAGTCTTGATACTTGGTGGCGAAGTAGATGCCAGTATGAATCCATTCGTGATCTAAAGGCTATCACTGACATCGTCTTAGTCTGGGATTCAAAACCAACAGATGGTAGCCCAATCCATTGGGTTGAACTGAAGACAACCGCCGATATTCGAAACGACCGAGACATGGTCAATCTGGAAAGAAAACTGATGAAGTTCTGGATTCAGTCTTTCCTTCTGGGGGTGCCGAAGATCATCGTTGGCTTTAGGACACCTGATGGATTCTTGAAAAGAGTTGAGGAAATGAATACTGCTTCGATACCCGGTACGGTCAAAAGGAGTGGCAAAGCAACTTGGGACGGGAACATGTGTATTAATTTTGCAGCGGCGTTACTTGATTGTGAGTATTGTCTCTGCTCCTCGTCGACTATTGCTAAGCTTTCACAGTCATCAAGGCTACTGTTACCGGAGATGGCGTTTGGAGGATCAGAAGGAAGGAACGGTCACCAACTATCGAGATATTCAAGTCTGAAGAGACTGGTCATGGCGACATTCTCTCTGATGAATTCATCAATTGGCGAATCAAACTTGCGTTGAACAGCAAGCAGACTGAGAGTCTCAATGCCGGGGCTTCGTCAACTGCGATGGATGTTGATAGAGCATGACTTCGGTTCTACATGTAACTACTTACTAGCGTACTCAGAGGACGGTTGCCTTGAGACCTCTTGTACGAATATCAATATGTACATGCTAGGCACGTGACCATCTACCCCTTCAGGATTCCGTCTCCAAATCATGTCTTAAGCCCTTGTCGCTGTCAAGAGTACTCGATGTTGTTCTGATTCGTTTCGTCTTTACTAAGCCGCAGGGTCAGACGTCAGCACATCGGACTTCCGTGAGACATTTGGGTACTTACCTATATTTGCGCTTCCGATTATCACGATAACTCAAACCCTGTCTCCATAAAAACATCGCGACCAACAAACATCTGAAAGTGTTTCCGAGGCACAACTTCACAAGCACTGCCCCCAAAGACACACCTTAAGATCAATTGGATCACTCGTTCTCCAATAGCCGAATTCACCTAATCCAAGACATCCTTCCTGTCTGGGCCGAGGTCCTGCCAAAAATTTCCATTTAGTCAACAAAAATCTTCCAATGAGGAAGACAACCTGCAGTACAACTGCGCAATTCCTTCGCAACACATTGAAGCACGCGTCTCGTACTCACTCAGTCCATTACTCTTCGAGTTTTGCGACCAAGATGGCGAGTACTCCAAAATCTACTCCGGTATCGCCCGAACGAAAGCAGAATAAGTCCACGTGAGTCACTTTTTGCAACGGAGCAAGAACATATGATTAACAAATATTGTAGAACTCTAGATACCTCCCATCCGATTGAGGTCCGAAAGCAAATCCGAAGTCATGGTCTTCTTCCTCCCAATGTCGAGTCTCATGCTCTTCAAGCCCAAAGATGTAAGAGTGGGGACCATCATTTTGTTGGGATTTGCTGAAACTCATTCACAGGCCTCAAGCAATTGGCTTCAAAGACAACTTCTATTGAGAAGTATATCTACTTGAGCAATTTGAGAAATGCGAATAGCCACCTCTTCTACCGCTTGCTGCTCGACAATTTCTCTGTAAAATTTCCTACCCAACCACTAAATCTCTGATGTACTAATCAAAGTTTTCCAGACTTTGACACCAATTCTGTACACTCCCGTCGTCGGTGAGGCGTGCTTGAAGTGGTCTGAGATCTATCAACGACCAGAAGGTGAAGTTGTCCCTCCTAAACCTCATGGGTTTCTACCAAGTTGCCCCCACGGGCCTTGATGGACACCCGCTGGCGGCGACGAATCACTTTTCAAGTAGATTTTCACGTACTAACTGTTTTAATAGGTCTCTATGTCTCTTGGCATGACCGCGGAAACATCGCCAATGTATTGCGCAACTGGCCTAAGCCCAAGGTCGAGATCACAGTCGTTACTGATGGCTCGCGAATCCTTGGATTGGGTGATTTAGGCGTCAATGGAATGGGAATTCCTATCGGCAAGCTCAACTTGTACACAGGTTGTGCTGGTATCCGACCTGAGAATACCTTGCCTTTGTGTCTCGATCTCGGAACCAACAATGAGGCTTACCTGAAGGATCCTCTCTATTTAGGTGCTCGTATGAAAAAGGTGACCGATGCTGAGGAAAAGGAGTTTCTTGATGAGTTGATGGTTGCTTTGAATACTGTTTGGCCAGGGTAAGCGCTTCTATTATACCAAGCGCACAGAGGCTCATCAAGTCTAGGATCGTTGTCCAATTTGAGGACTTCAAGAACCCTTTTCCTGCTCTTGAGAGATATCAACATAAATACTCCTGCTTCAATGACGACATTCAAGGTAAGTAAACAGCTAAGGAACCTAGGTTTGCCACCGTACTAAACACCAATATAGGCACTGGAGCTGTCATCTTGGCTGGTATTATTAACGCTTTGAAGGCAACTGGTAAACCGGTCAAAGACCAACGAGCTGTCTTTATTGGAGCAGGAAGTGCTGGCGTCGGAGTGGCTAAGCAAATTGTTGAGTTCTTTGTGAAGGAAGGCTTAACTGAGGACGAGGCACGACGATGCTTCTGGTTTGTTGATACGAAGGTACGACACTCATTTATTTACTCGTTTGGCAATACCTAATTCATGCAGGGGTTGATTACCAATGATCGTGGAGACAAGCTTGCGCCTCACAAAATCTACTTCTCTCGGGATGATAACAATGGCCAACAATTTAGGGATCTTGAACAAGTTGTCGATTACGTCAAGCCCACTATGCTCCTAGGTCTCTCTACCATTCGAGGTGCTTTCAATAAGACGGTTCTCGAGAAGATGGCACAGTTGAACGATCAACCCATCATCTTCCCACTTTCCAATCCTTCAAGCAACGCTGAGTGTTCCTTTGAAGAAGCTGTGAAGTACACTGATGGGAAGGCGATCTTTGCGAGCGGCAGTCCATGGCTACCCTTTCTCTACAAGAACAAGATCTTGCAACCAAGTCAAGGAAAGTAAGTGATCAATGCACCCCTAAATGCTGCGTTCGGTTATCTAATTATCAAAAGCAACGTCTACGTCTTCCCGGGTATTGGTCTCGGCGCAATCCTCAGCAAGGCAGTTCATATCAGCCAAGAAATGGTATTGTATATCTGAATGAACATAGTCCTACAATCTATCTAACAGCAAACAGATCTACGCTTCAGCTGTCGCTCTCAGCAACGCAACGAACGCAACTGAGATCAACGACGGCAAGCTATACCCTGACATGGACCGTATCCGCGACGTCAGTGTCATCGTGTGCCGAGAAGTAATCAAGGAAGCTCAAGCCCAAGGACTTGATCGCGAAACCTCCATTCGAGGCATGAGCGACGCTGATCTCGACGCCTGGATTCGCAGTCGCATGTATGATCCTTATAAGGAGACTGGTGTTGATGAGGGTGTTCAGGGTGAGAAGATTAGAGGCTCGCCTGTTAAGAAGTCGCTTTTGTGATTTAGATACTAGTGAGGGAGGGGTAATTGCGGGGTAGTTGGGTCAGATTTCTGTGAGATATAGCATAAACAAGGCGGCGCTTTCACGAGCAAAGGAACCAAAATGGGTAGAAGTGGTTGGCATACTGGTTGTACAGCACGTTTCGCCTTTCAGATCAATTTAGGTATCCGAAAAGTTGGGAGAAGATTTTGCTGATTCCCTCGAAAGAGGTTATTAAACTTCTTTTCCTCGAGAATAGCTAATTAAAATGCCTCTGTAGTCACTTTACTGCACATGAACTCAACGACACATTCTCAGTCTCACGGTACAAAGCAATTCGCAATAAGTTTATTCGTTAAGGTTGTTATCTCTATTTCAGTCTACACAGAATGTCGTCTACGCAACCTATCTCTCTCTGCCCACCCCTTAAGTCTCTCCACCTCTATTGCATCCTTCCTCCAACTCTCACCCCCTCGATCCCTCAAATACTTCAACTTCAACCCCCAAAGCTCCGGTCTCGGCAAAGGAGATTTCTTCTTCCCCTCCGCCTCCTCCCACAATCTCTGGACGTTCTTCCCCACAATCTGCATCTCGATTTCCTCTCTTACCTTCTTCGTCCTCTTGCTCCCTGCTACTTTTACCTCGACAATCTTGTCAGCGACGAAGTCATATGTGTCCCATTCGGTGCGCTCCTTATCGTACCCCTTGTGCAAGCGTTGGATACAGAAGTCTTCGCCGTTGCGGATGCAGCGGGTGCAGGATACGATGGGGTCTTTGGAGCGGTTGACGAGGAGGGTGTGGAAGTAGATGGTGTATGAGCATTTTAGGTGGGAGAGGTGGCATTGGAGGCAGGATCTGAGGAATGGGGGTTCTGGGTCCTCGGCGTCTTCGGGGCTGAGGGGGCCGGGAGATGGAGGTGGAGATGGAGGCTTAGTTGTGATGTCAAGTTGGGGACGGGATCGAGAGGTTGGAGGGGTCTGGGGTGGTGTTGGTGGTGCCATTTTTCGGTGGAATCTGGAGTTAGCTATGGTTCTTTGGTAGGGCGTATAGGTAAGGTGATACTTAATAGATAATATAGGTACTTGATGTGAGACAGCAGGAAGTGGTCTGGAACCAACGATGCATTTGTAGGCGAAAGCAACAAAGAAGGGTACAGTACCTACAAAGCTTTGTTACAACTTTGGAGGGGTGCTAAGTAGATTCTTGAACAGGGACAATGGAAGAAGAAGGTCATTGTTTCAGAGTGACAGAGACTGACAAATGTAGTCCGAGTCCAAGACAAAGAAAAACAACAATACCATTGTTTGGAATTCCACCAAAAAAAAAAGGAGCTGTTACAGGTGCTGATTGTCCGTCTCAAAGTAGGAAATGCAAAAACAGGAAAGTCTCCACCTTCTTTTTTAAGTATCATACCATAAGCTCAATGTCTGGGCTATTCTGAGCACTCATCTCTGTCAAAAGTTCATAGATCGCTTCTGGATTTTGAGTTAATGATTGGGAGAGGAGGGGTTGTTAACATAGGCACCAAAAAGTTTCTAGACAATGAAAGTCCAAAAAAATTTGTAGAACGCAGAGACAATGTTCTTTTTGTGCTGTGAATAGAAATGTTAGTACTTACATCTTGTCCCATTGTCCGTCTCTTTAGGTGCTATTAAGGATGGGTCAGTTCCTCTCAAGCAGGTGTGGTGCTGCCAACGGCACCGTTGGAAATGATTAGGGCCATAACACGCCCTGGTCCTTTCGAACTTTAAGATTCTATGCTGTTGAGGTCAGCAAGCGAACTCAAACAATTTGTTAGAAGTGGTAGAGGGGATTGTCTCTGCGTTCTGAACCAGTGGGACGGTGAGGCGCCACTAGCTGATTGGTTGGAAACAAATTTGCTTATTTAGCTATATACAACACAGTTCGTTTTGTGGACGGCCGGTACTCAACCAAGTTAGGAAGGTACCAATGAGTACCAATAAGTTGGATCATGACAATGCACAAGTGGAAGACACCATGTAGCGAATCATGATCAGAATTTAATGAACATTTGACTTTTTGCGTCGGATACTAGACTTATCATAATGCTATCTATATGCTTGCCATACCATAGAAATTGAGATACAAGCTAATATTGTGATTGTCCGGCAGTCTGCCTGACATTGCAAATGGGTTAAGTGCGGAGCAGATCCTACAATCCGAGAATACAAGCTCGAAAGAAGTATTCACAAAGAACACAAAAATCCCACGTCCCGACAGTCTAGGTTCACCAGGAAGACGAGAATCGAGGTGAATCACTGGAAAAACTGCCAAAAAAGACTCATCCTGTTTACATCCTGCGATGTTCGCTTCTTCATCAGACTAAGTAGCGCAACCACAACACCTCTTTATGGCTTGCGCCACACAACCCACGTTGCGACAAGGTTCAACCTGATTCTTTCAGCTTCAGGATCTCGGTGTCGAAGGTTTCTAGACACTGCTTCTATCTTGATTTCGTCCGTCGCCTTGACCAACGTTGATTCACTGTCACGGACGAAGTCATATCTCTCGCTTGCCATCAAGACCTGATCACTTGAATCACCGCGGAAACGAAACTGGATTCTGGGACACCTTCCTCTCCCACAACCTGGTATTCTGGCCAAGAAACGCTCGCTCTGATCACTCCGCGATGTACAACATGAACGTTCTTACGATTCTGGGTCTGGCTATGTGCTTGAACCAGCTCGTCCTGGCTGTCTCGACCTCAACTAAGACCATTGCTGGAAGCACATCCTATGTCACCAGGACCACCACCGAAGCTACTGCGATTTTTACTACTTCGGGAGGATACACACTGTCGGAAATCTTTCCAACAACCGAGTTATGGACCGCGATGGTGTATTCTTTCACTTCGGGTACGCAGGAGTATACCTATACTACTACGGTGCCTCCAAGTTATTCATGGACCAGCTTCTCTACAGTCTATGGCAGGTAAGTAGCTTCCACACTCACTGCCAAACTCGAGCAAGGGAGAAGACTTCCAATTATAGCATAGTGCTAACAAGCTATCTGCAACTTCTAGCGCAACCGGCCTCATAACTTCGGCGCCAACCTCTTCGACTACGGGAGGACTTGGACTTGGCACTTCTACGCCGCAACTCACTTTGACCTCAGCTCCAACTTCGAGCACGTCAGCAGCTGTGACAATGGTCCATAGCGCCAATAACACGGGCGTGTATGTTGGTGCAGGGGTTGGTTCCGCCATAGCTGTCATCGCATTCTGTGTGCTAGCATACTGTTGGTATACCAGACGCCAACGTGCTAAGGAACCGAAGAAATCCCCATGGCTTACACGAAAAGAACATGAAGAGCGCGAAGAACGTCGACAAATAACATTAGAGAGGCAGAAAATGCTTAGAGAGCACTTTGCGGCTGCCCCAAAATCACGCTTGAGTACTCTAAGTGCATGGTTCCATCCTGGTTCTAAACCAGCCCAGCACCAGCAAGAGATATCGCATCCGAAGCTATTGCATCCATACCCTTTCCCAACGGGGCCGAGCGGCATTCTATCACATCCTGCGCCCACTCCTTCACCGTTTCCGCGCCCACCTCGTCCAGCATCCATTGGCCAGTCAACTATGTCGGAAATGAAGTACGGCAACATCCCAACCAACTTCAAGGCACAACCGGAGAATAGACAATACGAAAACATCGAGCTAGTCAAGCAGCCTACGCAGTACAGAAACAGGACGAACATGACGACGAACCCACCACTTCATGCACCACCCAGACCTGCATCGTCAATATACTCGGAGCAATTGGTGATGAAACCTTGGATCCGGAATAATGGGCCTAATGGTACTCTGAGTTACGCCATCGATCAAACGATCGAGAACGTCCAAGGATATTCAGGACCACCGTTGAACCGAGCTCACTCAATCACCACCCTTGTTCCGCCCATTGTACCTGATACGTACGCACACCATGACCAAGAATCCATCTACGAGCCTGCCGACGAGAGGCCTGAATGGGAATTCCCATCAGATGCATCATCTCACCATGGGAACACTGAACAAGACGAGTTCGAGAGGAGCATGAACAGAGCAAAGGCAATGGATTTCCTTGAGGGTGGAGAAGGCAATGTGTCACATCGTCGTGCGGCAACAGATCAAGAGTACATTCCACAAAGACTACAGCCTGGTGAGCAAGGTCGATCGACAGCACCGCCTGAAGAATCTCGACTAGGTAGCATTCAAGGTCTTCGCAAAATCAGAAATTGAGGCATTCGAATTCAAATTGATTTGTGAGATCAATATGATTGGAATCGAGCTTGGCTGGCTACTGGAAACGACTTGGTTTCTTTCAAACAGCCATGACTCTCCAGAACTGCTATGCAAATGGAAGAGCTGAAGGACGAAGTTATAACAAGCGCAAGGGTGTATGAGTATGGTGTATGAGTATGTCGTGGGCGTATCCGCTTTTTCTTGCTTCTGTGTTCACCAAGGTGCGTTCATGTTACCGCGACTTTCATGGCGGGAGACACAAGCCAGACTTCAAATGACTATGGGGGGTTTCTTATACTTTGTTTGCGCGAACTCAGCAATGGACTAATTCAAATCTTTTGACGGCACTCGCCCACGTCCACTTAAAGCTTACAAAGGTGATGTGGTGTTTGTTTAGTTGAGGTTGGTTTTGAGGATCCTCCGGACCTCTTTAGCTTCGGAAATAACAGTAGCGTCTTTCGGACTTAAATTTTCCCTTCTCCAAAGCTTTTCGGCTTTTAAACGTCATGGTGTTTGTACTTGACGTAGAGAGCTGCGTGACCATGATGGCTGCTGAGAGTCCAGGGTAAGTATTTAGCAAGTGCTTCAATAGTCTTTTTGTCAAGCTCTTCCTGTCTTCTTTTATCTATATCATACACACCCGACAACAAACATGCCTCCTTCCGGTCTTGCAATCATTATTGGAGCTGGTCCAAACACTGTAAGTTGCAATTATCAAGCATGGAAGCTTCCTACAACTAGCAGACGCATTCACCATAGCTTTCTATCTTTTCACACCTCCATTGGTGTCCCTTTCAGAGCTTTTCTTAACTCCCAGACCTCTTCTCAAGCACGAGCTGGCTCAATCAAATTCCTAGCTAACAACACCAGGGCACTGGCATAGCACGCATCCTCTCCCACCCCAAGCATGGCAACCTGGCTGTAGCCCTCCTCGCCCGCCGACCTGAGAACCTCTCCTCCGTCCGCTCAAACCTCGAAAAGACCTCTCCAGGTAGCACAATCGAAACCTTCTCCACCGATACTTCGCCCTCCCAGCTCAAATCCGTGTTCCAATCCATCCGCTCCCACAACTCTTTCAAGAATCTCAAGCTCAAAGTAGCTGTATACTCAGTGAAGCATTCGAGCAAGAAGCCATTCATGAATGAAACATATGAGGAATTTACGGAGAGTTTGGATCAATATGTTGGTGGTGCATTCACATTCTCCCAGGAAACTTTGAAGCTATTCTTCGAGCATCATGGGGAGAAACCTCTTTTTGAGACGGGAGAGAAGAAAGGGACGTTGATATTTACTGGGACATTGGGAGCGTTGAGATGTAGTGCCGAGTATGCGGCATATGGAGCTGGACGAGCGAGCGTGAGACAGTTGGCGCAGACTTTGGCTAGAGAGATGAGTCCTAAGGGTGTGCATGTCGTACACACGATTGCAAATGGGGCGATTGAGGACAAGGATGGAGAGGATCAGAAGATTGGGAAAAAGATGAGTGCTGATGCGGTTGGGAAAACATATCTGTGGCTTTCACAGCAGGAGCCGGAGCTATGGACGCATGAGTTGGACATGAGGCCTGCAGCTGAGAAATTCTGAGGCAACATCCCTTTGAATGAAAATTAAAGGTATATATAAACTGGGTTCGAAACGGTTTCATGGCATTCATTGCAACGAAGCATTCTTCAGAAAAGCGTCCCCCTTTGGACAGTCTCCAAATCTGCAAGCGCAGTAATGATGTCTATAATATTCCAGTACTGTTGATATATGTATGTTCTTCCGCAAAGTCCTTCATCGCTTGAAAATTCCTGCATTTATGTTCAACGCCCCATCCCGCTACTCCTTTCCTTCCTATCTCTGGGTATTCCACCGCTGGTTCAAGCGTCATATCTCCTGCACACATCACCGCTTGTCGCAAGTAGTCGAAACAGTGGTCGAGATGCACCAGATGCCCGTCTGAATCGTGCGATATGTTCATCAGGCTGCCGAAAGCTGCTTTTAGGCTTGCCTGTGCAAAATAAATGTTAGTAAGAGTAAATGGCACTTGTTGAGGAATGGAGGGATCGTACGATGCAGTGAAGTTGATGGAACATTGAGATGCAATAGTATTGCTTCTCTATTGCAGTTCCCCCATCCGGAAGAGCGACTTCGACAGGGACTTCGATGAACCCTCGTCCCGCTATTTGCCATTGTCAGATATCGTTACTTTCATCTTGTTGGAAGCTCGAAGTACCTGGTTCTAATCTGCTCCATGGATCATCTTCTGACATGCTATCCGCCGCAGTCTCGAAAGCTGGATCTGGCATGAAGACCACATCGTCGAAAGGAACTGTTCTATCGTCAGAGAAAACCATCACCGTAAATTGAAGAGCGACGTACTGTCGATTATGCCATATGTCGCTATATTCGGACTCGAGTCTGAAGGCAAGACAGTGAACCATAATGCAGCAGTCAAAATATACAGCACAGACAGAACCCAAAACCCGACTCGATAGCTCAACAGCCCATGTCGAGAAGACAGCTGACTCGAATACTCTGTCTTATCATACTCGACAGATTCTTCATCGACAAGTTTCTGGTAGCCCGTTTGCTGAGAAGTTTCGAAATTCTTCGAGAGAGGCATTGGAACAGATATCTCTTCTCAAAAGATCAGACGAACTTGAATAAGAAAGAAGATATTACAACATCACAGAACAAGAACATTTCAGGACTCTGAGAAGCCTCAAACAGCCTATCCAACATCCAACAGAGGCTGATCAGAGGCGGCCTTTTCCCATCCCACCTCGCCATCACTAACCAAGCATCTCCAAGAACGGACATAAGCATCCCGATAACCATGCCAAGGATCAAACCCAATGTTGCCAAGCTGAGACCCGCTTCCCCATCAGATAGAAAACTAAGGTTGCGCAATTGTCCCCAAAATTAGCGCTTTGGGACTAAGCGAGGGAGGTTAAATGCGTCAAGCTTCGCGGAGGTGTTTCGGAACCTGGGTCCTGATACGCTTCCGAGAAAGGATGTTTTAGCAGGAACGGTTTGAGGCGTGGATGATCGTCTGAAAAATGTCTGGGCGCATATCTGACAGGTATGCAAGCTTTTTCAAATGTGACGTTATGGATTATTACTGCCGAGAGAGAAACTTTCTGTACTCTTTTTTCTTTTCTTTTTCAATAATGGCTTGTATTTCTGCAAATTTTCAGATTTGTTTCGCGGACATGTTCAGGGGAATCACTTGTTTCGAGATGTGCACGGGAAATATCCATGTCTCACTTAGTCTTCGGGACTTGCTTAAACAGCGGCACGGCATTAGTCTCCGAAGCCACGAGTTCGGTTTAAGGGAAAAATAAGAGGAAACCGTGAAGCTTTTCCAGATGGTTCCTGAGATGGTTGATGATCACAGATATGCCCAAGTAAGATGGGATTCAAGCTCTGTGTAAATATATTTGGGAGGTGTATTAAGCAAATTTGTTCAAGCCAAAGACAGATGCACCCGGTAGCCTTGGACATATCAGCACCCAAGCATCTTCCATTGAGCCAGCACTGTAACTTTATCCCGATACCATACTATTGGCTTTTTTTGCACTTCTTGATTGGTCGTCTTTGGGCTGATTGAGTGGGATGTGGTGAGCCCGTTCTGTCTTTCCTGATACATAACAGACAGACTCTACAACAACTGGCTCTGAGGAGTGCTTGGCGAATTCTGCATTCCTTTGCTCGGAATATCAAACGCTTTATTTCGTGAATTAGGTCGTGGTCTTGCTTTGCAGCTGTTGCCTGGATATTGGAATTTAGGCCAAGGCAGTGGGAGTCTACAAGAGATGCTATTGAAGCCTTATGGTAGCCAGGCGTTGCCTTCAATTCTTGACTAGACTTCTGTCGTTCATTCTTCTAGCCTTTCGTTGTTCTGGAGAAGTTTTGTGTCTCTTCACCCGATTGCGATTGACCACCCATCTCCTCGAGGTTCATGTGTCAAGTTCGAGATTCAACGTATGCCGACGCTTTCTGTTCAGCTGCGAGTTCTTGGTTTCCTCTTCCCTGCGTCGTGCCTCTGCCACTTCCAAGGCGATCTCATTGATTGCTGTCATGATTCTTCGGTTTGCAATGTCCCCGGATCTCCACTTGGGGTATGAAAAACTGCCGTACCAACCAAGACATATCCTGATTTAAGCCCAGCACTTCTCGTTGGCTCGACTGTTGTAAAAGAAGTACTGAATTCATCCTTTGGTAAATCTTTCAGAAATGGAGAGGACATTCCTTTGAATTATGGGTCGTGTAAAACATCACTGGTGTCTTTCGACAGAACTTGGCTTTCTAGGATATATCGGACCGCCAGATGGTCAGCTCCGTACATTGCCTTCGTACCTTCGATCAACTCTGTAAGAAGAGTAGCTGTTTCATCATCTTTACCTAAGACATTGCGACATTTTATCAAGGAGAACATAGCCAGTAAGCGATCAGGATGACCCCTGCGATTCTCCTGATGCGAACGCACTACATTGGATAGGATTCGTTCTGCTTCCTCATATCTTCTTGCACACATAAGGATGCGGCCGTGGTGTAATTCCCCGAATAGATAAATAAAGTGATTTTCGCCAAGGTCTCTTAGCACAGCCGCGTGTCCAGGTAGGAATATCCGCAAGGCCTCGTCAGTTTCACCGCGGATAGCATGGATACGCGCCAAGTTAAGGCCCGCCCACAGAGTATGATAGTGCTCTTTGCCAAGCTTTTCCGAGCGTACTGTGTAGACTTCTGACTCCAATTCAAGCGCATGCTTAAGATCTCCTGGTTGGCCACGGCGAAATGCGGCTCGGTCGAAGTATGCCATAGCTAGATTGTCCATGGCCTCAAGCGTAGCCGAATGCGATGGACCAAGCTTAGCCTTCAAACCGGTAAAGGCCTTGGACTGTATGCTGACCGCCTCGGTGAAATCGAAGTCCTTACCGACTGCACGACCTAGACCTCCCATAGCTTTTAACGTCTGAACGTCATCACTACCGAGAGTGTTGCTGAGGCCTTCGACAGCAGCTGCGTGTACCTTGCGCGCCTCTTGAATGCGGCCTTGTAGCCACAAACTCGAGCCGTAAGAATCCATGATCTGCAGGGTTTCGGGGTTTTCTCGGCCAAGAACGTTGATGCATGCGTCTAGAGCCTGCTTCAAACCCCCAACAGCCTCATCTATCTGTCCAAGTTGCCAGTAGGTCCGTGACAATAGCCGCATGATGTTTATCGTCTTGATGTGTTCCATGCCCAAATACTGCATCACAACTTTTGCAGCATATGATTGCAACCTTTCTGCCTCTTGAAGTTGGGATCTTTGGCCTTGTGCATATACCAAACTGAATTTCACAAGCTGTTCCAGTCGTTCCGGAGTTATTGGGGAGTACAATACTGGCCAAGTCCATAACCTAGATTGCCTATTCTTGGTAAACATTGTTTGGATTTTCAGCTCAACATCTTGGACATGACGTACGTGCGAAAGCAGATCTCCACGGAACGCTTCTTCTTCCTCTGTGTCGTCCAAGGGTGGAAGTAAGATGGCTCGAGAGAGTATAGTTGCTGTCATTTGACACCAAACTGCTTGCTCGACAAGTGTCATCGCCGGCCTCTGCCTCGCCCATAGATGGACCGCTGCATGCATTGAATAACATTCACCTCGGTCCGAACTTGTCGAAATCAGTGAGAGCTGAGACAGTTCGTGAAGCCCTTCTCGTAGCCTTGATTGGTAGGAAACTTTGGGCCCATGGGCTTCAGACAAGAACCTTGGTAGAACAGGGCGGTGGCCTAGTTGAGAGAGAAGATTGACAAGGCGTGTGATAATGCTTCTTAATGCCTGGCCCCGTGTGATCTTTGGAATCAATTTGCTGTATGCCTTTCCCTATCCTTTGTGTATTCTGTTGGCCAGTTCAACTTCTGGGTTCGACGCTGCACGGAAGAAGATGCTTAGCTTAATCTGTTGACGATCGAGGAAAGAAAATATCCTCAAAAGATCTAAAGCATCTTCGGAAGCTAGTGTCTTCTTTGCTAAAATGCCACTGAGGATCACTTCGTAGGTACTATAGATGGCCGCATTTTCTTGTGAGATTGGAGTAGAAGCATTTGGATCCTTCGTCTGACGGATGAATTCCCAAGTTTCTTCAAAGACTTCAAGGTAATTCTCAAGTGTGCAAAGGTGTGAATGAATCGTTGCCCCAGCATGTATGAGGGCAAGAGGTAGATACCCCATAGCTTTAGCAATGATACTTGCAGAATTGACTGAGGATGGTTTCCAAGGCTTCGGCTCTTCCGAAGCATTCAGGAGCAATTCAATCGATTTTTCCTCATCTAGTCCATGAAAACCAAAATAACGAGGCCCGACAGTACCGTGTGTTTTGAGCAGCGGATTCCTGGTCGTTATGAGGATGGTACCAAAATTGCTATCAGGAAAGTATTCTTCCACAGGGAATCTCTCGTGGTCCGCGTTGTCGAATAAGAGCAACCATGGCTTCTCGGGTCCAAGACTTGAAAACCAACTTTTGACAGCAGCTGGATTAGATGCGACCTTTCCGATCGTCGAGAGATTGGAGAACGATTGTTCTGCGTGCCCCTGGGAGCTTGCATCGAACCAAAATACACCCCAAAAGCTATCAAAATTAGTCGAAAGTCTGGAGTATTATCGTGATTCGATCAATACCTTTGCTTATTTTCTGACGCAAATTTACAACAGAATTGCGTTTTCCCGGACCCAGAAAGACCGAAGACCACGAACCTTTTTTGTGTGCAGAGAGGACCTTCGGACGGTGTAGTGGTAAGGCAATTTTTCAACTGTTCAAGCTCGTCCTTACGCCCAGTAAAGATACTTCTCACAGGTTGCGGTATGAAGAAATGCTTGTTTAGATATGCGAAAGCTACCGCTTCCTTTACGGATTCAATAGAGGATCCAAGCTTCCAAATCAGTCTTTGCACTACATATTTTAAGATGCCTCTCTCCACTCACCGTTCTTTCAGACGGGGTGATAACTCTTTTTAAGGAATCTATCTTCGATACCAAGTCGGCACCCAGACTTTGGATGGATGCGGATAAGTCCGAATAAGACTTGTGGGACTCCTGCTGCGATGTGCGAGAATGAATACTAATATATGTCAGCTAGCTAATTCCCAGCGAATTATTGGCAAAAACTCACATGCTGACCGCTGAAAGACTGACTTGTAGCGCAATCTGATGCGCTTGCAGCTTTTCCCGTAGTGTGTTTAACCCCCTCTCCTTGGATCGCTGCTTCAACCACTTGCGTACTTGGTCAAGCTTGACGTGTTTTCCATTTCCAGAATGTAGAATCTCTCTCAATATTGCCTCAATCCGTTCAACTATGCCCTGACAGCTCGCTAAAGTGTTTTGGGTTGCGCGCCAATTTGTACTGAGAACGTCCTGCTGGTCGGGATCTATTCCAACTACTGATTCCTCCTTGTAAGTACGCTCTGCTAGATCGTTGAGAGCTCGCAGTGAGGTGATCTCTTCGGAGAGCTCCTCCAATTCTTGATCCACTACCCTAAATCCATCGTGGGCATGTTTTAGAAAGATTGCAAGCCGCAAGCAAACATCAGCCAATCCAGCTGTGCCTGCAATAATAGAGAATGGATCCATGAAGCAAAAGTGTCGCTGCAATTGGACGTGACTACCACTTCAGGATGACGATATGCCAAGCAACACATCAGTGAGACAGAAACGGAAGATGAATTATGGGACGATCGCACCACCACCTTCTGGCCCAGAGCCTGTTATAGCATGCTGGCATTAGTTGAGAGATGGATGGGTTGGGTAAGCATCCATATGGAGGCGGCATCTTTCGCACCTCCCGCCAATGGTAACGAATGGTAAACTGACAATTACTTGCCTCATTCGCCAGCCCTAATCTGGGCAGAGACAGTCATTGGAAACCTGAGCCGCCGAACCGCAGATTTCGAGCCAACACAAGTATGATCGGTCCTCAGTCCTTCTTTGTCCTCGTAAAAGGGTAGGAGAAACATACCACTACACACTGCAGGCGGTGGGGTCGTGGTGTATTGTAGCGGTGGGCGGTTGGCGGGTGAAACCGAAGCTAGTCTCCAATCAACTGGAGGCGTCTTTGTGCACAGATGTTGCAAATGTCGTCTTATTTCTATCGCTCTCTCTCATTTTCGCTTAAACGCATCTTCTCTCAGCCTTCCCTCAATGGGCACTGAGACTAGAACTGATTTCGAGATTGAAAGCTTTCCCTCTCGCTCAAAGTGCTTTGTATACTGAAGCATGCCTGCCAGCGCTGCTTTTCAAAGCGGAAGTGATTTCCTCGCATCTTTCGCTTATATCCGACCATCGGCATTTACAGCTCTCCTCTTGCTAGCCTCGATATGGATATATGTGAGTATCCGCAAGGCTGTTATATACCGCGTATGTACTCTTCGGCTGGACAATGTCTGGACCTTTTTCGTTGACTGACGAGACGACGACAGCATGATGTTGAGCTCGGCAAGCGGAGCGGCTGCAAACCCCCAGCAGCCAAGCTCCTCTATCGATGGCCGCTTGCACTAGACGTACTTAAGAGTGGCTTCCAAGCAGGACGCGAGAAGAAGCTTCTTGCCTTCTTCACCAAACACTTCGATCAGCTGAGCCCAACTGCTGAAGTCAAGATCCTCGGAGGCATTGGCTTTGTGACGCAGGACCCCGAAAATATAGAGGCAATCCTCTCTACGCATTTTGAAGGTAGGACACCAGAGCGTCTCTTCAACCTACACAAGTCGAAACCTTTACTCTAACCTTGAAACTGCCTTAGATTTCCATCTTGGACCTCGCAGCATGGCTATGAGGGCGATGATCGGTGAAGGAATCTTTACCCAAGACGGTGCTGCCTGGAAGCACTCACGGGAAGTCCTTAGACGGCAATTTGCACGGATGCAGTACCAGAACCAGAAAGACTTCCGCGAACATTTAGACCACCTGATCGAAAGGCTGAATACTTGTTCAGGTATCATAGATCTCCAGCCAATGTTCTATCGACTGACGCTGGACACGACCATAGCTATGATATTGGGTCAGCCCGTCGAGAGTTTCAAGCACGAGATTGGAGATCTGTTCTCAAAAGCCTTTGACCAACCTTCTCTAGTCACTGGTACACGTGCTCGGCTTGGGAACCTGTATTTCCTCTACCGTCCCAGGGGTTTTTTCGAAGCCTGTGAAACAATCAAAAGATACACTTACCAGTTCGTTACAGAAGCCTTGCAGCGAGAAGCGGAAAGCCCTATCGAGTCTGAGAAATCCTCGTTCATCGCGGACCTGCACCGCGACAACCAGAATTTGCAACTAGTTCGAGATCAAACACTTAATGTGCTGATCGCTGGACGGGACACCACAGCTGCGACATTGTCTTATGAATTGTCAGTATCCGGGATTATTACTACAAGCAGCGCTAAAACTTCGTATCTAGCCACCTCCTTTTGCGCAATCCAAATGCACTGAAAGCTCTGCGGAACGAGATTGACACTGTTGTTGGACAAGAAAAGGATATAACCAGAGCACACATTCGGCAGATGCCATACCTGCACAATGTCCTCAACGAGAGTGAGGAATAAATATCCCTTGTTCACAATCACACACTTGCTGACAACTAGATCCAGCACTTCGATTATATCCGCCGGTCCCGATCAACACCCGCTTCTGCAGGAAGACGACTGCTCTCCCAGTTGGTGGTGGTCCAGACGGACGTTCACCACTCCTAGTTCGAGAAGGAATGCTTGTTGCATATTTAGTCTACCACATGCACCGGCGCAAGGACCTATATTCTCCAGACCCTCTGGCTTTCCGACCCGAGAGGTGGGAGGGCACGGAACTTGCTAACATCGGTTGGGGCTACCTTCCATTTAATGGTGGACCGAGACTTTGTCTAGGCAGTAAGTTAGGCCCTATTTTCTATCGATGGAGCGAATGCCGACTACGGGAAACCAGAGGATTTTGGACTCATTCTTGCTTCCTGTGGTATCGTACGAGTCATCCAGGAATTTCCTAATATAAAGCTTGCCCCAGGACAGGTCCTGGAAGAACCGGGAACAGAACGTCAACACCTCACCCTTACTCTGTCCAACGCTGAAGGGTGCAAAGTCATCCTTGACTAGGGAGTGTATGGTGGAAGCGAGTCTTTCAATTCAGATCGGGATCGAACGCCTGTATTTCCAAGCATCTCATAATGCACCATTTCTAATTGAAAGCCTAGCTTTCTTTTCTGCAAATCTTTCAAGTACTTTTTTGCTCCTCAACATTAAAATAACCTCGATCGCTGCCAACAAACCAAAGAATATGCTGAAAGAACTTGAGTTTCCAGCTTTGAAATCTCACGCTTAGCAGAAAACAATTCAGGTACGAGAAGGTGGCAAACCGAAGATATTCCGAATCACGTATTGTGGCAGAACTTTCTCCACATAAGAAAAGGAGAAGAGATGATATAAATTTTACGAGCTCACTCATCCTCGAAGACATACAACTCCATCGCTTCTGAGTCATGTCATCGACTATGTGAAATGAAACGTGGGGCTGTGAGGAAGGAAGAGCAGTTCCTTCTTGACATGAAGAGGTGCGGCTCATTACCGAGCTCGTGTGCATATATCAAAAATCCGCTACCAAAACGCCATAACAGGAGCTTTAACCGAGAACTCGTGTCTCTATCAACAATGCAAATGTTCCGCATCAGCTTACATCTCAATCTCCTTTTTCGTTGCTTGTCGATCCTGCAAGCCACAACCATCATCTCCGGCACTGGAAAGCCACGCCGAGAAGGATCAAACAAGTCAAGGAGCCCTAATCCTATTTTAAGGCAACGTAACCTTAAGCCTCCTCAAACCTTCGAGAAGCACCCATCAATCATGCATAAATTCGCAAACTTACCCAAACGTTCGACATTTGGTTTAGTCAGACGTCAAACCAGTGGGAGTCCCTTCATCTCTAATTCCGTCGGGGCTGAAGATCATGCCTATATCAGCGATGATTGACGTACTGTAAAGACTAAATGATGAAATGGGATGAAACTAGTTTCTCGTCAGTGACTGCGGAGAATCCTTCCCCGGCCCTAACATCCATTCATAAATGTATGGAATCTTGCTGTTGGGTTTGACCACCTACTGTGATTGTTGACAATATGGCACCTTCTCTATTTAATAGGTATGCACTTGCAAGCAAAAGATGAACAACTTGCTAAATCTCCACAGGACAATGCTCCCTTCTTTCCTTTCCGCAAGTCTGCTATTCGGCGCGGCTTTAAGTTCGCCATCAGAAAGACTCCAAAGTAGAGAAACAAACCTCGACCCCGCTATCAACATCAACTTCCCAGATCCCGCTGCACTACTAGATACCGACGGGACCTGGTACGCATTCGCCACCAACGGCAACGGGAAGAACGTCCAATCCGCCAGCGCACCATCCATCTCCGGTCCATGGACCGTCCTCTCAAATGACCTCCTGCCCACCGTCGGTGCCTGGTCGAACGGTGCCAATGTCTGGGCTCCAGACGTGAGGATCATCGGATCGACCTACGTCCTGTATTACACAGCAACAGACGCCGCGTCCACGAACCAGCATTGCGTAGGAACAGCGACATCAGACACAATACTGGGGCCGTATACACCGCAATCTGACACCATTGCGTGCAACATCACAGCCGGCGGTGCAATCGATCCCAGCGGCTTCACGGATACAGACGGTACCCATTACGTAGTGTACAAAGTCGACGGAAACAGCGTCGGCCACGGAGGAAGCTGTGGCAATACCGTCGCCCCCATCGTTCCCACGCCCCTGATGCTGCAGCAACTCGCCGCCGATGGCATCACGCCCGTCGGATCTCCCATCGAGCTCCTGGATCGCGGCGACGCCGACGGTCCCTTGATCGAAGCCCCGCGGTTGATTCTCGTGAACGGCGTCTACGTTCTGTTCTTTAGCAGCAATTGCTACTCCACGACGCTATACGACATTAGCTACGCGACCGCGTCGTCGGTCAAGGGCCCGTACACCAAGAGTTCGGCGCCGTTGGCGGTTACGGGGAATCCGTTTAATCTGACGGCGCCGGGAGGGTCGACGGCGACGGCGGATGGGAAGAATATGGTGTTTCATGCGAATTGTGAGGCGGGGAGGTGTATGTACGAGACGACGATTACCGTGTCTGGGACGACGGTGTCGATTCCTTGATGTGAGGTGTTGTGGGGAGGGGAGGAGAGGATTAATGTAGGTTATGACTGATGTGGAATGATCAGAGTTCGTGTATAGTATGTTATGTTTGTGAGACATGTTTTGAGACGTGTCTTGTATATAAGAGCTGAACAGTTAAAAGAAAGACTTGCAGCTGAGTCGTGTCAGTGAGGTGATAGCGACGATTTGTATTTCTTCACCATATATGCAGTATCTCCATCTGCAGCACTGCCTCTTCTATCATCGGTTCCAGAACCAGGCGCATATAAACACCTATCAAGCCCACTACCTCCGAGTCACGATAACGCACGCACGATCGATACGTTCATACTTCCTCTCCAGCTGAATTTCGGGACACATGTACGGTAAGTACATCACAAAAGTATGATGTCGTGGGAGGACATGAACAGAACACATGTCTCTGAACGGGTCTTGCATGCATAGGAGTTCATGCAGGTTGAAGGCTCAGTCCCGCGTATACAGCCTTTCCCGCAGCTCCTCACGCAAGCCCGCAACCACTCTCTTCCCTTGCTCGAAGCGCAATCCCGCAAGCAGCCATCCAATTCATCACACCTTCCCATCCAAACCACCCCTCACAACTCAAGATAAGCAAGTAAATATCCTCCCATCAATACATACATACATACATACATACGCCCCCAAACGCCCCCCTCCCCCTCACTGGTCCACCTCCCTTCATGCACAAAATCCCGCCTTGCCTAGCCCGCAGCCGTCATCCCGACCACACATATACATGATCACAAGCCCACACCACGAATCCCATCCACCATCCACCATTTACAGCCCATACCTAGGTAGATTTAATCTGGATAAATACTACACCTCCATACACAAACCAAAACCAAACTCACGCACATTTCCAGCCCATCAATCAATGCACCCTGTTCCCCTTAGCGCTCGGGAGCTACCGTCGCGGTGGAACTTGTCAAAGCGCACATAACGCACGTACGCAGGCACGCAGGCACGCACGCACGCATGCAAATCTACCTGTCTGTCTCTTTTCTGTTTGTCTCTTTTGTTTGTCTCTAGACGGTGGATGGATGAGGTGGGTCGATTATGCAGGTTCTGTCACAATTTGCCGCGAGAGCGCTTCTCGGGGATGTACGAAGGTATGTGGTGCTGGGGTGTGTGTACTAGAGCTACTGTGCCTTAAGCGCACGTTTTGATGTTACCTACCTACCTACCACGGTGTCAGTCAATTACCAGTTCTCGTGATGCATCATCGCCTTTTGTTTTGCGGTGAGGCTTTTTCTCTAGTCGAGAAATCGAGGAAAAGAAAACGGGATTTCGAAGTCATCGAAATACAGCTTAGAGGGTGATGATTGGTCCCCCCCTTTTCCCAGCAAAGGGCTGCTCAGCTCGACTGCTCGACTTCGCATAAAACAACCGAATTGTGCAACGCTATTCATTCAATAACCTTATGAAATCGCCTTTCCCACCAGGATGTGTCTCTCCGCAGCGTTTGCGCAGCCCTCCTATTCGCCTCGCTTATTTCTGCCCCTCCAGGATGCTCAGCCAATGATTCCGGTCGCCGCCATGCGACCAAGCGCGGTTTAATCGACCGCGCGCCGCTGATTGGGCAGTTGTTTCGGTGAGAGTTTAGCCAGTGTCCCGAGGATGTGGTTAACGGCGACTAGGACTACGACCTTGAATATGTGAGCGATGCAGCAGGTGTGAGTGGTCGGGAGGGGAAGTGGTTGGCTGACGGGCTGGGGGAGGTGTGGGATGGGGGCCGGGTGGTGAGAGGTACGGGTGTGGAGGATGTTGGTAGGGATGCAGGTGGGTGAGTGGGTGAGTGTGTGTGTGTGTGCCTCTGTTGCTCTCTTTATCGATTGCGAGCCAGGAGGAGTCTGTGTTGGACTGTGGTGGTGCTGGTGGTGCTGGTGGTGTTGGTTTTTTGCCATGGAAGGCGCCCCCATTATATGATGGACTGCTTTTCCTCAGCCTTTTCATTTCTCCTCCTCTACCTACCTCTCAACGTCTTTCTTCAAAGGCACTTCCGTGTGTGGTTGTTTTTTTGTTGGTTTTTCGTAACTCGAGAAACTGGCGTTGGGTTACTCATGAAAGCCACTTTGTCGAAAACGAGGCTGCGTTTGGAAGTGTGTAGTGGTGGTACGAGACTGGGACCAAGAGTTACTTGCTGAGCCTCAGCCTCTTGTTTCGTGGCCGTCTTCAAAATGACCTCTTACTCATCCTCCTTCTTTGTCTTCTGTCTACTTGTGTGTATTTGTACATCATCAGTGTGGAGTCTTCAAGTTACGCCAAACTCGCCTTGCGCAACATTCTGTCTGGACGATCCAACGGCAGATGTCTCGGATCCATATTCTTCCAACACGAATGGGTCGGACATCGCCTGTAACGATGCAGACTACGACAATACTGCTGTGGGGAAGAAGTTCAAATCGTGTCTGAATTGTCTTCAAAACAGTACGGCCTCAAGTGGGAGTGAGAATGATCAAGGATGGTTCTTCTGTATGTTCACTACCTATTGAGATTGTGGTCTGGGAAGTCTGTTGATGCTAATGAATATAGATAATCTTCGATATGCATTTGACACTTGTATATACGCTGCTACGAATGCTTCAGATCCAATTTCGACTCCTTGCTCAACAGATACCGTCTGCGCGCCTCTGCAAAGTGCTCTCGAAGAGGGCATTCAGGATGCTTCGACTATGGGAGACGAGTACTCTTACTGCGCTGCCGACAATAACGCTTTCGTCGGCCCAAACTTGGGAGCTTGTCAAACATGTCTGAGAGAAAACAGTAATGTATTCTACCTGTCAAACTGTAAGATTCTCCAACCTCAACCAACAGCCCTATACTAACAGACCATCAGTCCTCGTAGCCCTCGACGCAGGCTGCCAACAAGATCCCCTTCCCAGCAACACAACAGTCGGCCTAAACACAACCCTCTTCTCCACCACCCAAGTATCCATCATCTCCCCCATAAGCACCTCAATCACCCCCACCACCAAGCACCACAAACGCCTCTCCACCGGCGCCATAATCGGCATCGCCATAGCCGGCCTCATCATCCTCCTCCTCCTCTCCGCCATCTCCTTCATCACCATCCGCAAGCGCCGCAACGCCACCCGTCTGCACCTCCTCCGCTCTCCCCTCGACTCCCGCTTCGGCGCCGAAAACATCACCGCGCCCAACAAAGGCGCCTACTCCTCCCCTCAATCCTCGCCTTCGCTCCAACAAAAAGACAACAGTATCCAGATGCAACACGCGCCCAGCGTCCGCAACTTCAGTTTCTCGCGACCCTTGCACCGAGCCGGGGAATGGACCGGCGCTGCTCCTGCTCCTGCTCCGTCGTCCATCCACTCGAGCAGTCCGCCCGGCTACGAGACGCCCGTCTCAGGCGTCCCGGCGCATCACGCGTATATCCCGCCCCGGGACCCGGATTCAGCAGCGTCCTACGACCCGAACTCACCACTGTACATCTCTCCGCCTCAGCCTCCCGCCCCGCCGCCCGCAACATCGCCGTCCGCGTCAACAGCGTCCACCAATCCGTCGCCGCGGTACATCCACCGGTCCTCGCCGTCCATCCGGACCCTCACCAGCCCCGCGCGCTCGCCTCCCTTCCAATTCTCGCCTAAGCCGTCGCCGAATTTACCGCTGAACAGCCATCCGGGCGGGGGCAGCGAGGAGGAGGCGAAGAGGGCGCGGGAGCGGTTGTATAGGGAGGGGCTGGGGGGCAGGACGTTGGTTCATGGGCGGGAGGAGGTCGAGGTCCCGGTGCAGGAGACGAGTCGGAGTCCGGAGAGTGATAGTGGGAGTGAGGAGCTTTGGCCTGGGAGTTATTGAATACAAAGGATCCTTGAGAGAGGAATAGGAAAGAGGAATGAGAGATCGGTGTAAGAAGGATAGGGTGTTGGCATTTTTCCAGGCAACGGAACGGAATGGACAGATATGGGGATAAATTTGTGAATTTGGATTCTGGTATCAGGGTAGGTGGAAGGGCGTTTGGCGCAAGCCGTGGCGTTTGGAGTTGGATGTTGGGATTTGGGCTATGGTATGCTACATGAGAGTGAGGGTTAGGCTTCACTTGCGACGTTCTTTAGATATCACAGACGGATAGTAAGTTTCTTTGAATTATAAATATATAGTTTTGACTATTGCGTGATTTTTAGTTGGAAAGTGTGAGGTGTTTGTTATTGTGGTTAGTATCTGAGGTCTCTCGGGAAATCTAGCAAACGTGAAAATTCTACCGCTGGAATCCTCAAGACGATCTAGAGATCGTCATGAAACGGTCCTCGCGGCTTCACAAACGCCATTTTCAAAGCCCATTGTCTCGCACGATGCGCTGCACCCTTTGCACCTATCAGCGACGGATCAACGTCGAACATAAAGCGCCCCTTGTATTCCGGAAGTGACGCTTCGATAATCTCCTTGAAACCCTCCATTCCCTCCCTCGAAGCCTCACCCGCCAGAATCACGCCTCGCACTTTGAGCTTCGAATCTTTTATACCATAATACTCTGTCATCTTGACGATCATTTCGTCCATGAAGCCCTGGATCGCAGACGCTACTTGCTGAAAATATTCGCTGGCAGGGTTCTTGAGATGCTATGTATATATGTATTGTCAATATGAGTGAGGCATGTGTTCTTGGCCACAGGAGTTACTTGTGGCGATAAACAGAGAATTACCTACCTGGCTATTCCCCATCTCGCCATACTGTAAGAATTTCGCCTTGCCCTCGGGAGCACAATAATAAATCCGTGATCGACAAGAACCTGCACGTAAGGTAACGAGGCGCAAACTCAAGCACCAAAGCAAAATTGTCTTCGGAAAAGATATCGCATCCTTCTTGGCCCCCAAACATCTTGCAATTGTCCAGATGATGCGCTAGGCGAGCTGCATTGTACAGAGCGACAATTTGATCATAGGCGTCGTCGTCGTCGTCGTCGTCGTCATCTGGGAAGTAACGAAGACGAGGACTGGATGCTGCGAGTCTGAGATTGAAGATCGGCTCTCCTTCGAAGAAATGTGCGGGGCAAGTGATGGCGCGAACTTCGAGCGGTCGAGAGAGGGCGGTTTCTGTTGCTGTTTGGATGCTTTTAAGGGTGTCTGCGTAAATCGAAACGGCGCCGGCGTCGTAATCTCTATACTAGTGGTGGTGAATTTAGAGACGTCCAGAAGGAGGGAACTGGGTACTGACAGCTCCTTGCGCTTGTCCGTCCATGTCTCCCAGTAATGATCCTGCCATTCTTGACTACTGTTGATGGTGACAACATTGATCAATTCGTTCCGAGAATTGTAGTATGCGGATGATCTGTTATATTAGGAGGTTTCTTTTCTGCGAAATGGAGGGAAGTGTTTACAAGTGATATTTGTCCGAGGCTCATTCCAATGGGGTAATCAATGGCCTTAACAGCGACCATCTGTAGCAAGAGAGTTAGGTGTACGAAGACACGTCGAGTCGTTGAAAGGTAAGCCATCCAGCAGACTACTAACTATAGCACTGATCACTATCAAAGATGCTTCAAGATGCGCGAAATGCCAATGGATGGATAACCTTGATTGTGGACTCATGGATCACTTATTCATGTTGATACGTTTTCAGTACGAAGAAAAGAAGAGGCGCAGACACAGAAGCGCGAAGATCCCAGTGCGGTTGACCTGAAGTCAGGCTGTCATGCGAGCTCGAAACACGGCCGTTGTTGGATTGCAGAAAAGGATGGATGATGTTTGGCTAGTGCTGCCTACCTTCCCTCACAGAGGCTTCCACCGAAAAATTGCGCGGCAGTGCAAGGTCAGACCCGCATTCCATGAATGACAACTTGAATTTGTATGAAGATATGCCAGACAGAAAAGACAAGAGTCTCAAGGTTACTGGTTGAACTTTGCAACACTACCTATCATGTTAGTTCCTCCAGAGGTCACGACCCAACCAACATGATCCCACGACGACACAAACATCTCCCCATTGGAGCCCACAATGATAGTTAATTTGCGGTCTGCCTCCCAGGAGAATATTCAATTCTTCCTTGATGTGTTATCATGATGAAAATGCAAAGTCTTTAAGTGCTATGGCAGAATTTTGCTGTCCTCCCTATCATTAATCAATGAAGCATTGTACGTGAATAGAGCACTTCCAGGACCGTTATCCCACTACATAATGTCGAAGTTCTGAGTGATGTCTTAGTTGATTTATCTGTTGTTCATGCAAGCTTCTGTTTCATAGATCCCTTGACGCCCAGAGAGGGTCTTTGACTAACATATTATTGGCGAAGTCCATAAGGACACTCACTTCTATGGAAGAGTTCGCATGTTGGCAATTGCTGGGGCTGGAGGAGGTTGAGGTTCCGCCGGTGCAGCAGGAAGCGAGTCGGAGTCCGGAGAGTGATGATAGTGGGAGTGAGGAGCTTTGGCCGGGCAGTTGTTGATGAGATGAACATGCTAAGAGGGGGAAGATTGGGATGGGAATACATATGTGTAGAGACTAGGAGGAATGTGAAATGGGAATGGGATGGGGATGGGGATGGGAATAGATTTGTGAGATTTTCTGGGCCAGGAAAGGCGTTTGGCGCGAGCCGTGGAGTATATGGATGGGTTGGTTGGATTGGAATTTTGAAGTGAAAGGAAGGATGGTTGGAGTTCACTACCACGTTCGTTTAGATACTTATGGTACATTGCATGGGGGGGGTTTTTTTTTGAGTTATATACATATATCCATCTTATACACAGTTCATAGGAAGGTGCTGAATGATCTGGTAGGTTGATGTGAGGTGAGACGTCTGAGAGGGCCTCGCTAATAAGCTATAGAACTTGTGATCTACTTCCTACAAAGTCCAGCAGGGCGGACGAGAGGCGTTGGGTATCACAGCTTAAGTTCTTCTGATACGAAGCGATGCAATAAATCAGTAAGTGGAATCAAGAGACCATGATCGCCATCGAGTCAGAGAGCGAAGTTATGCTCAACGAACAATCAATCAACCATCAACCCATTAAACCCAACGCCAAACACCAACATGTCAACAAGTAGTAGATCCCAGACATGATGATCACATACACATTCATTCCTCACCCTCCCATCTATATACCACGCTATATACCCCTTCCCCCGTCCCTCTCTCCCTCCACTACCAACCAATTATGCACAAACATCCTTCACTTCCTTTCATTTCAGATCCATGGGGTATAAAGAAAAAAAAAAAGCCAACAAAACCAAACCAACACCTCGCAACCAATACCCACTCCCTCGGGCCCCTTATCTTCACCAAGAAGTGCCGCGCCACCAAAAAACAATTCAACCAAGCGCCGTGACCACGCCCTCGGTACTCCATTCGCAGCCTACCGATCGATTAATCGATGGATTCCTCGCCCCCATCGCAGCATTCATTCATGCATCATGGATGGGGAAACACCAACATGCAACGCTAGAGAGGCAAAGGAAAATCCAACATTTGTTCTTCTTCTTCTCCTTCTTCAGTCGGAGAAAATGAACGAGGGAGAGATCAACCCAACCTCGGGACCCTGCAGCCGCCACCCGTACGTAGCGCCTCCTCCCTTCACCTCGTATCAAGAAACAATCACAAGCTCTCTCTCAACCCTCACATCGCATCGCCCCTCCTCGCATCCTCCTCTCCTAATCCCAACCCCCCTCTCCCCCTGCCATACCCCGGATGACTCAAAATGGGCGCCCAACCCGCGCCCCCTCCCCCGCCCTGCACCGGCGTAATCCCGAAATCCTCCACCGCATGCTTCCTATCCAATGGATACTCCCCCGCACCACTCATCACAGCACCCATCTCGATCCTCTCGCCCCTCTCATCCTCCGGCTCCACGACCGCCTTCTTCTGATCCCTCGGCCACCCCTGCTCGCCCCTCCGCTCCACCGCCGACACAGGAGACGTGTACGTGCTTGAATACGGGCTGAAATACGCTTTCTCGAACCCACCCCCTCCTCCTCGTGAGATGGCCGAATCAGGGTGTCCCGACACGGGACTTTCATCTACGATTTGTCCCCACGCGTTCGTCGTGAACAGCGGTTTTTGACTCTGCGGCGAATCGAAGAATTGCGCATGTCCGCCATTATTACTATGCTGGCTGGTTTCCAGCGGCGTAGTTCCATGTCGACCAGCTTGCCACTCGTATCCCGACGCCCTAGCTTTCTCAGCCAAAACGCGGCGACGACGTCGTTTGCCGGTCCAGACGATGCAGCAGCCTGACATGATGAGCAGGAACAGCAGCCCGCCGACTGCGATGCCGATTTTGGCACCGAGGGAGAGGCCGCCGGATGAGGGGTTGTAGGACGAGATGGGGGTTGCGGAGGGCGTGGTTATGTTGACCATTGTGGAGGAGAAGGGGGTGCCTGCTATGGAGAGGGAGCCGCCGGGCGCAGGTTGCTGGAGACAGGCTGCTTTGAGGATTGTTACGTCTGTGAATGGATGGGTTAGTGAGGGCGGATGAGGGGAGAAGGAGGGGATGTACAGTTTGCGAGGTAGTTCTCGTTGCCCATTTCTTGGAGGCAGGAAGAGCATTTTGGGACGGAGACGCTGTTCAGAGACGGGCAGTAGGAGTAGGGGGATGCGGATTGGTTTAGGTTGTCGTATTCGAAGGCGCCTTGGAGGGGGCCGCATGAGAAGCTATTCCATAATAATTAGCAGACCTTCAAAACAATCTGGAGAGAGGATGTCTTACAGTGTTAAACAAGGAGTATCTGTTAAAGCAGTATTATTATCCAAACCAAATAAACACCACGAGAGCGCATATCGTAGGTTATATATCGCGTAATTCAGATCCGACACCTTGGACGTGGGATCATAGTACGTGCTATTCAGCTCGCACGCAATGCACTGCTTGAACGTAGCTCCGTACAGAGAAGAATAGTACGCCAGATCGTTACAGGTCATCTCCGAGCCAGACGTGCTGGTCAGGGAGTTCCCGCACACGTCTGCGCATTGCGGGGATGTAGGATTCACAAGAAGGCCATGAGCGAAGGTGGAGAGGGTGAGGATGACCGGAATCGAGAGGGACAACATTGTACGACGGTGAGTGACAGTAGGGTATACGAATCGTTTCGATGGGGGGTTTTCTCTAGATTCCGAGTCTCTTGCCCGCCGATAAGAGCTTCTTGCTACATGAGCTTTTCGTCTGTGGTCGCAGAGCGGGGTTCCGGATCCTGTGCTGCCTTTCGGATGCACACCGGAGAGGGGCACGACGACAGTGATATATCGCAATGATAGTCTGAGGTCAGTCGCGATGTTGACGATGTTGATATTTGGCGATGTGAGACCCGGAAAGGCTGGGTGAGAACGCCACTGTCCATATACATATAGCAGCTCACCTGCACATCCTCAACCAGACGGTATTGAAAATTGGCGAATGGTTCCCATCCCATCCCATCCCATCCCATCCGTAGCTCCGTTTTGTTCGTTCCTGCCAGCGACCCCTGCTGGGTGTCACAATCACTACAGTACAGTACAGCGTGCAGGGAGCTCGACAGGCCCTGGGAGGAATACTGTGCTGTAGCTGAGTGTGCTGCAAGGGCCGTGCAGCGCACTGATTGGCGATCTCAATGCTTGGTATCGAGTGTGGCGGGCTCTCCGCACTCCCTCAACGGACGCTCCCAGCGAATCACGCCGTTTTGGTGATCACGAACCCTTAGAAATCCTTACTGTAGGGAGTGGCCGTCGAGTGCATGATGGGGGCCAGCCGATGGGGTCTACAGTAGTACGTAGTAGCCATGCATGAGTTCCCTCGCGAGCCATCTGAATGGTGAGAGCCGCGACACACGACTGCGATGTGATGTGATGTGATGTGATGTGATGTGATAACGAGCGCCGCCATATGAGAATAATTCCATTCATTTGAGGTGTCAATGGCTTGATTCTGCCTATCGTATCATGGCCAACACAATGTGCCAAGCTTAACCTTACCCAGTGCAGCAAGAATCGTGGGACTGGGAATTGCAGTACAGTAACGGCCCATCGCGAATCGGCATTGACGTTCTGCTGCGCCGCCGGCACTGTGATAATCCAACATTGAAGCTGTCTGTGATGGAGCTGATCATTGGCCCCGGAGCGGCCCGTGGGGGCGAGAGGGTAGCGCGGCCCGTTGAGTGGCCCATTTCCACAGCATGAACATGAACATGCGTGACGGTTTCGCTTGCCCCAGAAAGAGTTCTCCCCTTTTCGTCTACGCGAAGCCAACGCCATCTCAATGGAAGCCATTCCGAGATCTCTGGGTCTCAAAAGGGGTCGTGGGCGCCTGGAAAAACGTCTGTGGCTTCATGAATTCGGTGTTGGTTTCTTCTTTTCTCCTGCCCCTGTGTCACAGACTTTTCGTTAGGGCTTCGAGGCAGCCTGCAGGAGAAGGCGTCCAATCAACGTGATCTTGAAATCCGGCGGTTAAACTTTCGACGTGCAACAAATCGTTGGGTTTGTGCGCCATGCATGGATGTAGAAGAGGTCAAAAAGTGAGAAGCGAAGAGTATCTTCATTGTTGTCATTGTTATTTATCCGCAAGAGGAAGGCGTGGTCATTCCTCCAATACAGTGGTGCGATTTCCCAACATCGGGTAACTCCCTAAGCGCCCTCAAACATATCCAACTCTCTTGTTGCTACGCTGACATTAAACGAAGACAACGAAACTTGTGGAGATACCCTGGACTAGTTCGAAACTGTATATATGTACCTCACCAAATGTGACGAGGCATGTGTATGTTGGCCACCAGCGAGAAGAAGTAATGAAAGCGAGGTTCGTATCACATTATGACACCATATATACAATATTGCCGCTGTGCTTTCTCCATCCATATCGCGTTACGCTGCCTAGCCCCGCAACACATATGTTCTCTGCTTCTCACTTGGTATCTTCTAAATTGTTCCGAGACTGTCTCTTCTAACCCGTCCAGACCGCTGGACCTGGGATTTGATAATTGGCAATATTGGATGCTTGATAGATGTTGATGAGGATGCCGGGATCTGTTGCTTTGTATGCTCCAGGGAACGCCACTCCTGGAGGATTGACTGTTCCAGTCGAAGCGACATTGACTTGGAAGCAAGTCATATAAAATTGTGCTCCACCAGTCGAAGAGGCGGCATGAAGAGCAATAGCTTCAGCGCGAACGAGATAGTTTCCCGGTGCCAAGGTGGCAGGAACTTGCACGCTTCGCTTGCCGCAGTTGTCATTCAATAAATCCTGGTTGTAGTCAGACACTTGTTCAACAAACGAATCATGCTTAACATACAGTTCCCCATTTCTTGGTGGTCGGACTGTAGCCATCCTCGGCGATCTTGAACCATGAAGTGGGCATGCCTGAAGCTGCATCGGCTACCTTTCCCATATATACCAAAACAGGACCATAATGATTGCCTCCAATTGCTTGGGTCGTGCATGATCGATCATTGGGTTGGGCATGCATCTCGACGGTGATATTCTGACCGGCTTCGAAATCTTTTAGACATGGAAAAAAGAATCGAGAACAGAGATACATACCAGTCACTGGACATAATGTGGCAACGGGCTTTGTGCCAGCATTGCATTCGATATCTGTAGTCGTGACGCTAGTCACAGGATTGTTGTTGAGAGGAAGGCGAGCACAAGTCCCTGCTTCATCGACACTGATAAATATCTTATTAGTAATTGGAATATAGCAACGAACACGTCTTGACGTACCCATTTGACCAGAATTCCTGGAAAGTAGAATGGGCAACAACAGAGCTAGCTGAGGCCAAAAGACCCAAAGCGGAAACAGAGAACTTCATAATGTAAGATAAGCACAGAAGAAGAACCAGATACAAAATTGAGCAATAACTGAAGATGCACCAAGCACAAAAAACAGACGTATCTTCCTTCTTATAAAACTTCCTGTGCCATCACAAGATTCGCCGAGTTTGGAGTAAACACGGCGTTTTTCAATGTGGGGTGCATAAGTCTGGGGTATGAGTGGTAGGACAAGACATATATATTACCTCTTCGAACTCTGCCTGAATCTGAAACGGGATCCCGCTCCGGCAGAAGAATAAACAATTTAAGGTTAATTGAAAGAGGAAAGAGACAAACGACCGAAAAGATTAGAAAGTCCTTGCTTAAGGATCATATGATGATGGGTACGTAGGATGGAAAGCTTGATTCTGCAGATAGATGAGGTTCCTAGGCGAGGAGACAAAATGTGCCGAACATCCAGGTTGCCAAGCAAAGGTGATTGTGCATTTGCGAGCAAGAACGCGAGAGCGAGGATGTAAATACATGTTGAGCCCAATGACTTCATGCTCCACGTGTCAGCAACAATTTTTCGCTGGAGGTCAATATAGTAATGCAGCAAGGTAACGCGGAGATACGATGCTCGAAGAAGAACGCGCCAGCTGATACGGCACACGGCATCGTAAACAGCGTGCTTCTCGGAGAGCCTCATGTTGATGTAAACCCATAACGGTGTTCTACTCCAGAAGTGATGAAACGCCATGTCGACATTGCTGATGACGGAAGTTGATGAAGCTAAGTGGGCGAAGTTTCAAAGAAGTTGACTTTAGCGGCTTCCTACGTGACGGAGTTCCGCTTTGGGAAAGAACGAACGGGATAATTTTCAGCGCAAGGCTTTGATTATATCTCTCTGATATCACCTCATACGTCTCTTTAACCGTTGGTGCCATGTTGAAGAACGCTTTAGGAGACGAGACAGACACAAGTCACGTGGAGGGAAAGAAGAGGGTCAAGACTCAAGAGATATTGTATTGCGCCACAGAGAACCCAGTAGGAAATTTGACATATGTTCGTTGGCACCTAATCCGTGGGTATTGTACACATATCTCCCCATTACTCCTTCTCACTGCTGTTGGGCATACTGGATTGTCCTTGTCTTTGCAGAGCCACGGCGTCATAACCCATGCGCGGTCCAAACTCCATGCTGCAAACACAAGAAAAAGTTTTGAAAAGACAATCATGAAATCCACGAACTCCGAAAACCCCCTCCCCTAAACACCGTATCGAACTACCACTGGGTACTCTTTGGTCGTGGTGAAACATGTCTACTTCTGGGTCCCAACTCGTTCCTTGTGAAAGATGACTCGTACTGCGAGGAATTTTCGGATCCTGAACGACTTGGTCGGTTGACTTTTGCATCCAGTTCTCCTTCTGCTTCGTCGTCTGGTTCAGGTACCACTTCAGCACAAGGTTTGTGGTGTAACGCATCGACAGAGGTCGATTGAGCAATCCGATTATCGTTGAACCGAGCGCGACTTAGTCGCCGTTCATGTGACAAGAAGTCTTCGAGGACTGGTAAGTTACCGAGTAGTGGTGACTCTTGGAAAGGTGGCGGTGAGTCCACTAACGTTGGTCCGCGGGACCGACTAGCATTTCTTGATTTAGGGGAAGATGGCCGGGAATGTGGTGCAGGCGTACCGTATCTATTATTTCCCATGATAGAATATATCTCTTGAGACTGCGGGATTGGAGTAGGTTGTCTGTGTGTCTGTCTTGATCCGGGCCTCGGAAGAGGTTGTTGAACGGGGGGAAAGAATGCCTGCTTGAAAGGGTGATCAACCGGGGAGGATGGAGAGAATGCCAATGCATCGGTTGGGGCCTCGATTGGGGCGGGGTCTGTTGAAGTACGGCCAGTGTCTACGGAGAGCCCACTGGCGATACTCCTTGTTGAATCGTTTGGGGATGGCGATGCTGATTCGAAGGTTGGGCCTGGGGCCAAGTTCAAAGATGCCCTGAGAGGTTCTCTGGTTGCTGGTTTCCTAGGTTCGGAGATCAGTTGCATCTGGGCACGCTTCGATGTGTCGACCACAAGGAGTTCCTTCTCGCCTCGGCCCAAGATACCATAGACCTTGACTTCTCCACTTTTGATTCCCAGGACAGCACTTGTTCCAGAATAAACAGCCTCTTCCTCGACACCACATCGATTGGCAAACACACAAATGATCTCTTCTTCGCCCTCATTTCTGATCAGGGGTTCAAGACGTGACAACCAGTAAGACAGAGTTTCCATGTCCGGTTCCTTAGGTTCTCTGCTGTAAGACCTCGCATCTTCTCGCGTCAACCATGCCATGGACAGGACGACGAGATTGGCTTCCCGGTGGAGAATGTGGTATGCGAATTCCCAAGCGTTCTAAGGAGCTTCGAATTTGTACGGGTTGAGATCCATACCTGTAAACTTATTAGTGGGACCCGCCAGGTCGAGCCCAATATAACTTACGCTCGAAGGATTTTGTAGGCCACTTACAGATTCCCATGGCCACATTCCCAAGTCCTGGTATTGACCCCTCATAAAATCCATCTGGGCCTTCCAGTGCCCACGTCTCATCCGTGTAGTAGAGAAACGACTTTCGGTAGTTCGCGATCGTCTCGCCGTCCGCATTGACCGTAATGGCAGAATTGTAGTACTCCGGCGAGGCTGGCCACCTCAGACTCACGTCGACCTTCTCTGGATATCCTACAATGACATTACAATTGTGTTTCAGGGCCGTAGTTCTCGCCCAGAGTGAGGTGATGCCCGACGTAGTGGGCTCGAGGTAAGGACTGATGTGCTGCAAGGAACGAAAGTTGTATCCTGTTATCGCTCGTTAGATAGATAGTCTTGCGCTTGGTGATAGCTATACGATATATTGACAAGACAAGTATAACGACGAGTCGTAGAATAAATATGATCAAGGGCGAGAAAAGCGCTTCGACAACCATACCAGAAAACGCCAACTCAGGCAGGACGAGCAGATCCAAATTCTTCGGGTTCGCGCGACTAAGAACAGAATCGGCGCGATTCAAGTTATTGTCAACATCGCCCACCTAGACTTATCAGCGACACTCCTCTTCAAAGCGAGATCAAGTGTTCTCATACCTGAGGGGCGAACTGCAAACAAGCAATCCTCATTCTCAAAACGCTTCACTGCCCAATGCATGAACGACGTTGCACGGCTCGTGTGTGTGCACAGAATCAAAGGATAAGCTCAGTATGTAATGAACGAAGATCGGCTTTAATCGTAGAAGAAGGTGTGCAAGAACGGGCCAAGGCGGATCCTTAAGAGGAAGAGCGGTGGCAGCATCCGTGCGCACTGGATGTTGGCCGATATGGGCTGGGAATCCTATCGTGAGCCTCTGCGTGAGCGCGCGAGTTTGTCTTTGCTGTCGTGGTGGGATGCAGCCAGAGTGAAATGGTGCCATTGGCCCGTTGGAAGGCAGGTGCCGGAAGCGCTTACTGTACATGCATCTTTTAGGCGTGGCCCACTTATCAACCGAGCCCCAGATCTCCCCTTAGATCCCTGTGCGTGAAATGAGCAGTCGCCTTCTTTCGTCCAAACTCAGCGTCAACTGTTTCAGAACTTGATGTTTCGGAGGGTGTGGCCATTCAGAGACCGAGTTCACGTTGAAATGTCGATGAGGATAGCAGGGCAAGGCAATAAGACGCAGTGTTGCGCACAGTCTTCTATCCCCCACCCGCGGTGATGGGCTTGCAGCTCTCAGAAGCTTCTTTGAGGTCTCAAGCGAGGTGGCCACGCTCAGAGAGGCCCCTACACGATGACGCTGTATCCTATCTTTAGCGCTGGCGGGTTTTCTCCTGCTGTAAGACAACACTTCGAGGCTCTTCCTATCAAGTAGTCATGATGATGCAACCCAACGTGCAGACGTTTGCTACACAAATCCTGTATATCGATTGACATTCCCCGCAGGACACCATTACCTTCTTTACCCGTTCAGACCATAAAACAGCAGATGTCTACCCAAAGCACAGGAGTGCATAGAAGGCTAAATAGAAACCAACATTCTAGGATCTCACTCTCGGGCTATGTTTAGATCTGGTTGGCTTGCGATGGTCTGGGTTTGTCCCGACGACTTGGGTGCAAACGTCAGACGGCTTTGATTGGCCTTTTCCGAAGCCAAAGACGGGGCTGAAAGTGTGCGGTGAGCAATACGTTGCATTCCTTCCTGGCCCCAACATTGGTCATTCAGCGCCTTCATGCGGGAACTTGGTTCAAGAAATAAAGATTTACGAGCTCATATGGAGTACTGGGCGAGATATCTTGCTGCTTTTCGACTACAGTTGTGGCACATGCTCCAGAAATGCACTTGCTAGGCATGATCTGCTGCTCGCTGACAATTTACCGAATGTATATCCTCACTACAGTCTCGTTCGAGAACGACTTTTGAGTTGAAGAACTTTGCGCCCAATTGCTGACATGACACAAAACGATAGTCGAGATGACCAAAATCCTCCTCTAGTTGCTATCACATCAGCGACATCATCCCCAATCACAAGCCTCATTCCCCAAGTCATCTAAGCGCCCATGCACACCGACCGTTTCCCACTCCAAAGGCGGCGCTTTGCCAGCACGCCTCACTCCAACAAACAATATAAGTTCCCCCCCTTCCCGACAGTCTGGTCAAAACGCTCATCTCGCAAAAAGTTGGGAAGTCACCTTCCCATCAAGATTGGGCTTTCCTACCCGACCCGACAGTCTGGTACAGACGAATACGCCATACGCAAGTCCTTGTCCATAGGTGCAGCGGCTAAAAGAGGAAAAATGCTTCTTATCAATGCATGAAAGGACAAGTATTGGCTCATCACGGCCCAGGACAGAACCAACATATGCCGTGTCCGAGCCGAAAGAGATCGGCTAGTGTTGTTGGTCTTGCTCACTGGTAATCATGTCTACTGGTCTGTAGCTCTTTGAAATTTGTAATGCAGTTTCGAGTCTTCCAATCAAGGCAGGTATATAGGCATTGTTGGACATGCAAGCGTTAAGAATTGAAGTATCACGAGAGCGTGAAGATCTGCAGACGTTGGAGAGTATGAATTGTTCGCAACTTCGTGGCATGTGCAAAACCAAAGGGGCGACGTTGGGGGCCGGGGGCGCTTAGTTTCCTGACATATGTGACAAAACGAGACATGCGAGCCTTGTTGGGTGAGGCAAAATCATGCTGGTGGCCCTTCCGTTGACCATTCTGGGGCAGACTAGCAGACTCGCCAACTTGTCTCACGGCCGCGGGCGAGAGACACTTGTCTTGACAACCGTACTGGAAACGCCTGATGTCGACAACAGCGCGTTAAAGAAATCCATTCACAAACTTTCATCAGTACAAGCAAAGAACTGAAAACAACGATCTATTTTTGTTTCATCTCATGGGTACTTTTTCCATGGCAAGACATCTCTATGAAACGGTCTTCTCAACCAAGAAGATGCCATACTTCTCCTTGAGCTCCTTCATAATTGGGTCGTTAATCTTCGAAGACATAGGTGCGAGAATGCCCTTCTCCGAAATCGTGCCATCAAGGACTTGCTTAACAGCAACACCGCATGGAACACCGACCAACTTGGCCATCGCAGAGTAGCCTTTCGGGTCACCATACTCAACCAAAGTCGATGTTCTGGTCTCCTTGCTACCGTCCTTGTTCTCAATCTCGAACTTGTGCTGCAGCATGACCAGATCTCGCTCTCCTTCCTCGAACTGCATCTTATTTTCGAGCGTGGCACACAGGGTATCTAATGGGTTACCTCTTGGGATGATTTTCTCGTCAGAGAAGATTCCAACCCATCGCAGTCCGGCAATGATGCGCTCCTTCTCCTCTGTGCTCTGGAACTTGGCCTTGGATGCAATAGCCCATTTCAGGTCTTCTTCCTTGGCCGAAGTAGCAGTGAGGATCTTTTGAGTGGCTTCCTTCCAGGAAATTGGCTCCTTCAGGTAGTCTTGTGCATCGTCGCTCAAAAATCCCATATCAACCAAGACACGGATGAACTCTGGGAAACCTTGATATCTCAAAGTTCCTCTGATGATCGTCTGTGCCTCTGGGATGTTGTATCGCTCCTTGTACGGAGTAGAATCTCTGTTGGGGTAGGCAACGAATGCGTAACCAGGATAGATGAAGTATGGCTTTGCTTCGCCCATCAAATCCTTACCCTCGACTTCGACAATCTTGCCATCCTTGTAGTACTTGGCAGCATTTCTCAACGCCAATAAGACACCACGAGACGACCATGAAAATTTGTAGCCGAGTGGATTGTCCGAATCCTCAGGAGCTGGCAGACCACCACAGTATGACAAGAACGAAGTAATCTTCCCACCAGCTTTGTGAACCTCCTCAATTGTTTTGATAGCGTACAAGTGGTCGATTCCAGGATCTAATCTTGAACAGAGTGTAAGTATACCTAATTGGAACGGAGCGTGGAGAGTACTACCCAATCTCGTTCATAACCGTAATGCCAGCCTTCTTGGCATCCGCGTCCAGCTCAAGCATTGCAGGTGAAACGTAACTGGTTGTGACGACATTCTTCTTGTTTCTGATCGCAGACTTGATAACGGTGGCATGGAATGTGTATGGGATCAAGCTGATCACCAAATCGTTCTTAGCAATTTCAGCATCGAGAGCTTTTTCGTCCGTAACATCGAGGGAGATTGGGAAGGCATTAATAACATCAGCAGACAGCTTCTTCGCAGATTCGAGAGTTCTGCATGCTGTGGTACATTTAGCAGAGTTCTCCAAGGTGGCTTTGTTTGTCATACCGACTGATACCTCAATTCCTGCATCACTGAGAATATCAAGAGTGGGTCGGGTCACAAACCCAGCTCCCAACATGAGCACTTTTCTAATTGAACATCAGCAAAGTTACCATAAACTTTTATCAAACACTCACTTTGATCCAGCCATGATTGCGATTGATTTTGTCAGAGATTGTAGAAAAGGCTCAGTTGAAATACTGCAATTGAAAGGATCTACACCTTTCGCCGAAGACTCACTCGCCAGAAATATTCGGTGGGCTCAAAAGGTTTATTTTGTTTGGAGGGGTCGTGCGCCGATAAAGGAGAGTTGGAGTCTAAATTCACTACGGCTGACCAGTGCCTGAAAAGCTAGTCTAGATTAGGTTAAAGCCAACTAGATCAGAACAGATCCTCCATTCTTCAAAACTTCCTTCCCCACGATCTTTGCAACGTCGTCACTTTCTTCACGTTCAACACTCGAATCCGCCATCATGTCAGCTATGGATATGTTCTGGGCAGCTCCGCCCATCTCGAGGTATGTTGAAATTCGGTATTGTTTTCTATTCGTGCTGATACTGATATAGCGCAGAACTTTGGCTGCTTCAGCCTTTGTCCTCTCGATTTGCGTTTACACCGGAATGATACCTTTCTATTGGGTGCTTTTCCATTATTCCAAGTTCATGGTTCTACCTCCGGAGCTTTGGAGAATCTTTACTTCATTCCTCATAACAGGGAAAGATCTGGGCATAATATTCGACACATATTTCTGTGAGCTTTTCCTGCCTCTAGGAGGTATCAGAGCTCCAGGCTGACTAAAATCAGTATACACATATGGAAGTAAGCTTGAAACAGCTTCGCCGAGGTTCACGGGACCTGGAGACTTCTTCATGTACATCGTCTTTGTGTGTGCGACTGTCTTGGTAAGCATATTTTCTCCTTCAGCACCCCTCCCTTTGCACCTCATATTATCTGCCCGCGTAGTGCAATTCTCCCAACTATTGCGGTTCCTGGAAATGAGGAAGATTACCCCTGCACTTCGACTGGTCCGTCATTCGCAATCAATCCAAAGGGCCTGTTCGCGGTGTAGGCATGGTGGGAAGTTCCTTTGAGAAAACTCGTGTCGATTCATCTACTTCACTCGGGTGGTTGTGACTCCCTACATCCCAATGTTCTTGGAACAATTTATGATTTCTAGATGCCGAATATATCTGACAAATCAAATAGGGCTTGAACATCTTTGTCACAGGAGGAATGATATTTACTTCAGCATTGGTGCTTGCCTTTGCCTATACCTCCACTCAAGACGACAGAGGTCAGAAGGCGACCTTCTTCATCGTTACTATTCCAGCACAATGGATTCCATACGCGATGCTGCTCATGACTTTCATAATGGCTGGTCCTGAAGCCGCAAAAGTACAAGCTACAGGACTCGTTGCAGCTCATCTGCACGACTTCCTGACACGTCTGTGGCCAACATTTGGTGGCGGGAGAAACCTCGTCCCCACGCCAGCTTTTGTCAAGAGGATGTGGCAATCGACCGAAGCCAGTGTGGCCGATCGAGCATACGGCACAGCATTCACACCAGCTCAGCGAACATCAGGCACATCGACGGGAGCAGCTGGTGGGGTCTTGCCGGAGTCGTGGAGGAATAGAGGCTCAGGTCACAGGTTAGGAGGTGACTAGGGACTTGAAGGCTTTTTGGTGCTCGACCCTAAGTGAGGAATGAATCATCATTTCAGTAAATCCTTCCCTCCCCGTGATTCAATGCGATTTCTACTTCAATTGTGAATCTTGCAGGTCCATGGCACGGTTACCGCTGCATGCTGGGATATCAAATGTGACGTCTTGGATAAAACCTTCACAGTTTGATGCTCAGTGAACTTGGTATCATAAGATACGTTCCGTCCTATGTCCAAGGTCGTCTTTCTGATACCTATATTACTTCCTGTGAGTAATGTTACCGGTGAGGCTCCTGCTGTGTAACATCCCTTGCATATGCTTACCTAACAGCGCCTCCTTAAGAAACATCCAACATGAACATCAAAAGCCTCACTTTACATCCCATGCACATGAATTGGAGGACAACCTGGCCATGAGAGGCCTAGGCAGTGCTGGTTTGTACTTCGTGAGTATTTCCATCTCCAATTTATGCCCGCTTCTCTAAACATGTTGTTGGAGCGTCCATAATCGCCCGTCACCACCCCGCTCTCCATCATCTGGTCTGATTCATATTGTTGATCGAGGAAGCTGATCGTTCACTTCTGTCTATCACACCAGTGCCCCACTAGGAACAAAACTGTTTAATGTCACTGCCAAGTACTACCGTCATGCTTCAACCAAAACTCAGTGGACCGAGGACCAATATACGCGTATAACAATTCATGGACTCTCGAATGTTTCGAAGTTTATTGCTCACTCCATCGCCTGTAGAGAGAAACGACCGCCGATAACCTTCTTGGTTCACAACAACCGTCGGATGAACGAACTTGAGGACTCTAATGCAAGCATCGGTCTTGTAGAGAACGAGAATTGTCAATTTGCGAAAGGCTTCGATGTTGAAGTTTTAGCAATCCCTGAAAATACGATGGCCACTCGTCTTCCGACAACACTTCACCTTCGATATATGTCTGGAATTCTCAAGACAACGCAAGGCTTCGATGTAGAAACAGAGCCCGATCTCGATCCATATGACTGGGACCCTCAGCAAGCCGAGTTCCTCCACCACAACCCTGTGATCTTCCAGGGCGACACATCTGTGTTGAGCTTTGGAGCTGATGATAATCGAAAGTTGGTTGTGCGATCTGATCTAATTCCACAAGATGTCAACACGTATAATGTGAAGTACGTGCGAAACGAAGATGCAATGAAATCACAGGAATATATCAGAAACTACATTTTGCCAAGCGCGCCACGATACGTTTGTTCAACTTTGAATGGGATAAAACATCGACTAAGGCCAGACTCGATAATACTCTTTTTGTAGGGAATTCCAGGTCTCCTCGAGCTGGTGAACCAAGAAGTTTTTCCAGATCCCAAAACCAGGCCGAACTACTTGGTGGGAAGTTACAGTCACCATATCGTGCGTATGGCCATATGTTTCTCTCCATCACTTCATCTACAAAGTACTGTAATATACCAGATTGTCTCATCGTGATTTGTAGACCTTTCATATTACAGGCCAATTACACTGACACGATTTTATCGCTTTACAGTGGTCAGCACCTAGACACAAGCTGCCAGAAGATCTAATGTCTACACTGACAGTGGAAAGCTTCCATGCAAATCGTAGCAAGCCTGTCTTCGAAAATCCCATTATTGTGGAGCACGATACCGACGGTCCTGCTCGCTTGTTTCTTGGTCCTGTCAGCCAAAATAGAGATAACGAGACTTATGAGAAATGAATGGAACGACAAAGGACAGCAAACTACCTCACAAGTGTTCTTCTTGGAGCTGATAGTCTCGGTACAGAACTTGTTTCAAGGGAACAGCTCCTCAGACGTCGATTGAGAAATCACGCTATCAAAGCCGTGGTATGGCCCATGACCATAATTTACAACTGCCTGAATACAGATATCCTCAAAGGAGAAGAGCGGAAAGAGACCGCATGGAAGCTGATTCGAGAGATTTCGGCCGTGATGAGAGGGAACCTTCTAGATTTGACGCCAGACCTGCTTGCGCAATACGTTGGAAACTATATTGTGGACCCTCCGACCGAATTGAACCCCTTAATAAGCGATGTTGTGCAGGGTATAGATAACGACATAGATGTAAGTTATTCTATCATCATCATGATGAGGCATATATGCGAATCACATTATTCTTTACTTTCCGACCAAACACAATCTCTTCGTGCAATGCCAATGCTGATCGGATCGAATAGATGATAACCGGCTGGACAATGAAATACGGAGAACAACATAATCCTCCTTACTTATGTCCCACAAACCGAAAAGTACTGCAACAAGTCAAAGATATTGCAGAACAAGTCAAAGAGCATTGGGCCCGGCTGGAAGAAGGACATAAGGAAGCCTTGGACCGGGAAACGGGCAAGGAATACATGGATGAAACAACGAGGAGATCCAGCAGACACCAGTCGAGACGCAAGTATAAAGCAAGAGACATGGATGGACTGATTAAGAGCTGGATACCCCCAGAGCAGAGTGCCGAAACGGCAACATGGTCTGCTCCAAAAGACCACAAGCCTGCTACCACCAGTGCCGCAACGCCAGAACGAGCTGATGAGAAGTCAATCACCGAAAAATCCACAGAAACAAGAACCCGCCAACGCACGCCATTCCCAGAGCCCAAACTGGCGGGCACAACCAGGATGAAGCAGAACAGCTCCAATCATGTGGACACGAAATCAACCAACCATGGTGCGAAAGAGGGAAAAGAGAATGACGAAGAGGCAAAGAGGGAAGCTTCCCAATCAGCGACCCAAGCTGCCTGGAAGAGACTTGAGGAAGTTAAAAAGGAGTTCGAGACGTTGGATGCTCTCAGAAGATCTAGAGCTAAAGCTGATCATCAACACTGGAAAGATGGAGATGTAGTTCGAAACGTTGGATGTTGAACTGGGAGAAATAGATCTGTATAATTCCGAAGGATGATCAGTTAGCATTTAATTCAATAAAGATAAATGCATGCAGCTCTAGCCTGCATTGTCAAAAGTCAGCTCTGTCTCTCTTTGCATATGACAAACTCGATTTCCATGTTCACCGAAGCTATTAGTTCTCGGATCATCCAGAATTCACACTAGATAGCTCATTTTTCTAGGTGAACGAAACTTGGGAACTTCTAGCTCTGTAACAACTCTAATCTGCTATTCTCCCTAGACCTGTATTCAATTCTTGAAATTACTTACCCAGCTCTTACTCGATAGTGGTTCAAGCTAGCCGCTTATGTAATCCAAGACTCTGTTCGCTAATCTCATGCTGCACCTCAGAACTTCCCTCCACATCGGATTTAACAGCATCCATCTCCATCTTTATCAAGCCACACATCATTCGTGTGCTCATATGTGATGAAATGCTTGGCCAGGCTGAGACTGCCCCGGGCAGGGTCCCACCAGTCACAGCTGTTGTACAAAAATGTGCGACTCTACACCACTAATCCTACTCCTAAAAATGACCCAGTTGTCCGAGAGGATGAGCAGTATACCTTCGATCCATACCGTATGGACTGGACTCCAGAAGAATACGCCCGCATCTTCAGGGAAAGTCCATCAAAGCCCTCCGAGGCTGTCAGTAATGGCCAACCAACTCCTCCAACTCCAGAAGACCAGATCTCAAGCGAACCGCCAATGCACCTCACACTAGAGATCAAGCGAGAGGAAGTCGATGGGAACCGGAAGAATATCGCGATTGGCAAGGAACGCACAGAAAGAACGAGACTATCAGATCAAAGGAAACAGGCAGCACGTGCTCTCCAGCAAGCCTCTAGGGATAGGGACTTGAAGCCCGTCGACGGGAAACGAGTGAGGATCCGGCGTATTCTGGGGGAGACAGAAGCAGAAGCAGAATTGAAGAGTCGAAGAGTTAAGACGGATCCCGTGATGGGGACTATTCTGAAAATCGGCATGGATACAGCGGTGATTAGACGGGAGATGTCCGGGGAACCATTACCGGATGAAAAACTGGAGGTTGGAGAGCCGAGAGAGGAAATCGCAAAGCATCCAATACTGAAGATTCGGAAATACATGCAGCCGCTGATCAAGAAGTTCGTATCGAGGCTCACTTGGGAGTCTCCAAACGAGTCGCCGGAGCGGGACGAAGAGCGAGATCCAAGTGCTCGAGATCAGGAGGCGTCACAGGATAAAGCAGTTGTTATTCGGAAACACATATCTGGCAAAGGTTCCAACAAACTGAACCCAAAGCTCGAAATTCAATCCGCACCACAAATTCCACAACTTCCGGTTCGGACGCTGCCCTCAGGTGAGAATTCAGACGCTCAAACCCCACAGTCCCAACCAATCCTCGAGCGAAACGAAGATCCGGACCCAGGTGACCCAGAACCACCACCACTCATTCGGAAATATACAGCTTTGTCCAGGGGAGATTCACAGAAAGAGAAGATTAAGCGGAAGGTGCCAAAGATGAGGATTAGGAAATATGATGCAAAGCTGCGTCTTCAAACACCGGATCCTGATTCACCGAGGGAAAAAGCGAGGAGGTTGACGTTTGAGGGGAGGGGGATCTTGGTTGGTGGGGAGGGTGATGGGAAGGTTGAGCCAGATGTGTAGGAAAGTTAAGGTGTGAGGAGATGCTGATGTGGATTTACGATACTCGGGCATATATAAAGTGGGTCAGTGAGCGTTGTGGTTGTAATATATACCCCAAATGTAAGATACTATAAATTTTCATTGCTCAGTCACTTGATTCACATACGTCCAGTTCTGATGAGTAGTAATCTGTGGATGACTCTTGAGCATCATCAATATGTATTCGAAGTAAACCTATGTACAAACCCCCTAACCCTAATAAACACTACACAAAAAGCTCTATCAAGCCCGTGACCACCCCATCCCATCCCAAAATCTACAAAACCCCAAGTATCAGCCCCTCCTTCCTCTCACCAAAACCAACTCCTCCTCCCCGTCCCCTTCTTCTTCAACCCCCCACACTGACCACTGTACTCCCTACTCGTCACCGGATTCGGAATAACCCCCTTCTCCACCCCATTCAAGAACCCCCACCCACCCGGTCCCTTCGCACTCCACATAAAATACCCACTCGCGCTCCCCTCAAAAACGTCCAACTGCGCCTCAACAAACATCCTCATCTGCTTCACCATCGCCGCATTCAGATCGTCGAAATCCGCGCTCTGGCACTGACACCCGGTGACCGCGCACGTGGTGCCCGCCGTCGTGGTACCGTCCGGGTTCACGCAGACGTTTGTCGCGGCGGAGAACTCGCCCACGTAAGTGGGCATCACGGCGTTGGCGAGCGCGAGGTCGGTCGCCCAGTTGCATGCTTCGGTGATGTGTTCTGCTTGCGTCAAGGCGTTGTCGGCGTCCGTGTAGAGTTGGTAGAGGTGCGTGTCGATGCCGAATGTCTTCTTTCCGTCTCCGATCAATGTCGAGGCTACGTTTGTCCATGCTGTAGCGCCCTGGAAGGCATCGTGCATCACAACCACCAGGCTCGGGTTCTCGATCACGGCTTTGACTGAAGAGTAAGCTTTCTGGGCCCAGGACTGCGTCACGCTGAACTGGTTATTCCCGTACGAAATCGGCTCGTTCGTCATCTCGAGACCGACGACCACGTCCGCGTACTCCATAGCCCCGTATTTCTTAGCCATTGTCTCCAGGACGGCGATCGAGGCCGCGAGATTAGCGTCCGTTTGCCAGTCGACGGAGCCAGCGTGGCCCGAGTTATCGAAGCCGTTCTGGGAGCCAGGCGACCCGTGGCAGTCGACCCAGACGTACATGCCCGCGGCGCGGGCCCAGGTGATGGCTTGGTCGAGGTAGGCGTCGGCGCCGGTAAGGTAAGGGGTGCCGGTGTTGTTGTAGGCCCAGTAGCCGATGGGGATGCGGAGGGCGTTGAGGCCGGTGGCAGCGAGGGCTTGGATGTCCGATTCGGTGTAGTAGGTGCTCCAGTGTTGTTGAAGCGCAGAGGAGGCCCCGGAGATGGAGTCGAATGTGTATTGGTCGGCGGCGTTGGCGAAGTCACCTGTGAAGGCGTCGCTGTCCATCCATTTCTCGAGGACGAGCCAGCCACCTAGGTTCACTCCTCGAAGGAAGGGGATTTTGGTGCTTGTGGTTGCTGAAGCTGCTGGTGCTGCCGATGTGGAGGTTGAGCGTTTGATAGAAACGAATGTCGATGAAGATTTTTGAGTGACGCTTGAGAACATGCTAGGAGTCTTTGTAGTCTGGGATTTTGCAGAAGAGTTTGAAGCCAGAGTCGTTGGGGCGGGAATGGAAGAGGTGTTCTGTAGAGTGAAGAAAGGGAGAGCTGATGATGTTGAGCTTGGCGCCGTTGAGTTTTTGGAGTGGTGATGATGTGTGTGATTTCCGCCAATGCCTCCAGTTGGACGAGGTGAGCCACTTCCAGTGCCAGTCCCGTATCCTGACCAGAAAACACCCGATGGAATTCCTGAGCCTGAAGCTGCACCTGGGTAAAAGATTCCAGCTGGGATAGATGTGGTAGTGGGAACACCAGAGTATACAACTCCTCCCCATGTCCCCACTGGCATTGGGACAACTGTCACAGTGCTCATAACAATCACGACATCCGTCGTAGATGCTGCTGCTTCAGATGTGACTGTGCGTTTGCGGAATCGAGCAGCTGCGGGATCCGAGAGGAAGAGGAGAGCTAATAAGGTGGTGGGTAGTGATGTCCACATTTTCAAATCTTTGAAGACTTGCTCCGAATTTGCAAGGTGTATAAATGAAGGTGTACGATATGGTTTGTTCGTGATTGGTAGGTTTGTAGGTTTGAAGACTCAGCTCCAATTTCTGAGTAATAACTCGAATGTATTCTGTTCCAGACAGAACTTATATATGCACCAAGAAAGAGAGACCAGCCGCAGGCAGGGCCAAGAATTGCGCTGCAAAATCGAGAGGCAGTGAACGCCTTTTGTACTGATGTATATCGAATGCCTCGGTAATCTTTTTCAAACTGAGACTTATGAAATTCTCAAGGGTACAGTAGTGGCTGGCAAATCGTAGGTGGCAACGCAAAGGAATGTGAATGGAAACTTGGTCCAAAAAAAGAATGTCTGTGATAAAGAATGTAATGACGACGAACAAGCCACAACAGCAAATGCAACGACGACGAAAGACGTTGAACAGAAAAAGAGAAAAGGAAAGAAAAGATACCTACGGGCGCAAGGCCATAGATATTTGTTCAGGAGAATGCATGGGGCGCAAAACTTTCTGCAAGCTCATCACTCTGCCCCATTCGCAATAACGATGAAACTGGAGGGGCAAGGGGGTGATGTGAACGAGCTACAGGGGCATAGAAGCCGTGATTGGATAATTTCAACGTTTCGTTTCAATGCAGGGATGGAGATCATGAAACAGAGCTTCAGCCGCTCGCGAACGCAACTGAGATCTTGAGATGATCCACGATTCCACGAGTCGGATCATGGTGGTGGAGAAGATGAGATGGTCGAGAACAAAAGCTCGGATGAAGTCAGGGGAGAGTTGCGCCCCTGAATCCTGAACGGCGCGCATCATGGGGCGAAGGAGCGCGGAGATTAACCATAAGATGGTCTGCCGTTGGCCTGTGCGACTTTGTAATCTTGCGAAACTTTGGGAGTTGATAGAGGGAGATTCAGGATGCGAAGATTCTTGTAAACAATATATGTGAGGAGAGAGAAGTTTGCAGATCTGATGTGAATAAGAAACAAGTTCCTTGAAAGGCGTCCGGCATAGATTCGCTTATGTCAGCCCCTTACACGTGACCCATCTCCTGGTTACATCGAGGCCTTGTATGTAATTATTTCAAGCTGTTTCGCCATTAGATCAGGTTGTTGAGTTACTAGTTGAGTATAATTTGCCTCTCCATGCCGATGTTTGAAGTCCTCACTCTCTGTGTTCCGTTCATGCAAGCCTGAAAATGGTAAGCACCAGATATGTACCATCAGAGATCTCCTCTGCTTCTCATAACAATTCTAACATAATCCTTCAACCCTAGAAAACTCTTCACCTCCCCTCAAAACTCTCCACAGCCTTAGCATAATCATGATTCTTCCACACCATCCCCTCCTCATTCCACCACGCAATCGTAACCCCCACCATCCTCACCTCCCTCCCATCCGCCTTGTCCGGCGTAAAATCCACATCCCCACTCGCCTGCTCAACCGCCGTATTATAATTGAAGCTCAGATTCCATTCCCACGTCGTGAAGTTCTTCGAGCCGCTGACGGCCACCGTGCTGACTTTGAGGTTGCCGCAGCCCGAGAACATGTTGTTGAAGTAGGTTGTTAGGCCCGCTTTGTCCATGTTGATCGCGCCCGCGCCTGGAGGGAAGGTGTAAGTATCAGGGAGGAAGGGGGGAGGGGACGGGTGGTACCATAGTCTGAGTAATCGAGGCCTTCGTCTATGTAGTGGGAGAGGAGGGAGTCGACTGCGTGTGTATTGATCGCTTTTTCAATCGCCGCTTGACGTGCCTCGATGAAGGCTTGGTCTGGATTGTTTGCCATAATGAACAATGATTGAGCTTTAGCAAGGGCAAAATAAAAGACCGATTCTACAACGAAGAAACCTGAAAGTTCCTAGGACTATGTTCAAGTCGTGCAGCGAAGTCTATGTGACACCAACGCGGGGCTGATGTCTCGATATAAGTAGTACATGAACGGCATTGTGATGCAATGGAGTGAACAGCACATGCTGACACTGATCAACCGGAGCTGAAAGGAAGATGGGGCAATAAGTCACAATTTATATCTTGTTGTGCGGGGAGTGATCATCTGTAAGCTCGCATTCTGTACGGACTAGGAATAGCGCCAACCTGTCAAATGTGCCCCTCCACTAACCCAAAAAATGGTTTAGACAATCATACATAGATAGAATTGAAAAGATCTCTGGAGGGAGGATTGAGGACTAAATGTAGATAATAACCCACTTGGGTATCACAAGACTCTGGAACAGGGTGATTATGTAAAGGTATTTATATTCCCCAATTCAGACAGACAATACCAACTCCATTTTTACCCTACCCGCTCTGCAACTATTTTGCAGCACGTATGATACAAATCGAACGCCAGTATGCAACTGCACAGCGATATTCCAGGAGCCATGCAAACAGATCATCCAACCCAACGACAAGTTGATTAGAATTAATCGCTGTCACTCTCCTCGGTCTTCTTCCCCTTGCTGGCCCGCTTCTCTTTCTTCTCCTTCTTCTTTCGCTTACGTTCAGCTTTCTCCTCGGCAGTCTCACCCTCGTGACGCTTTCTCTTCTTGCCACTATCTTCAACCCCGTTACTGATCATCGAAACATCAGCAACCGTGGTATCAGCATTGACAGGAGGAAGTGCTGGTGCAGCCGCAATGTCTGCCTTGGTAGTGGTCTCAGCAACGGGAGCAGCGACTGAGCCATCAGCCGGAGCGTTGAAATCTGTGTACTCGGAAGTCCATTTGGCAGGTGTGGCCTCATTGGCACGACCATACTTGTCGAGTTTGCCATCGGCCTTCATCTTTTTCTTTTCGGCGGCTACAGGACCGAGACCCCATCGTCGAGGATACAGATCTCGTTCCATGATGCAGCGTTTGACTTTGGCAACTACGCCATGATCACAGGTGGAGAGCTCGACTGTGGACATTTGCGCGATACCTAGCGCGATGGCTTCACCTTTTGTGGTCATCAAGACAACTTCTTCGTGGACTTCAATGCCAGCCTCTGAAAAGGAATGGAATTAGTAGGTGTTTATTTGTAAATGGAAGGACATCATACCATATCGAAGCAGACCTGGAATCATGAGCTTGGCACCATAACAGACGGCATTGACTGCGCTGTCCTTGACCACGATTCTCTTGTAGGTAGTAAGAAGAGTCTCCAGAGGAGCAATCACCTTTCGCAAGTATGACTCGTCGCGGGTATTGTCCTGCATCCATTGAGCGTCCAACACATCGTGAAGGGTCACCATATTCTCTTGCTCGTCCATAGCACCACTTCGTACTCTTCGAAGCTCTTGCATATGAGCACCAACACCTAGCAACAGTCCCAAGTGTACACAAAGTGTTCGGATATATGTTCCTGCTTCACAGCTGACCCAGAAAACACCGAGATGTCTGTCATTATCGAACTCGTATAGCTTGCTCTCGTGGATCGTTCGGATACGGAGTTGTCGCTTGACGGCAGAGATCAGAGGAGGTCTTTGGAAGAGGGCACCAGTTAAGGTCTCGAGCGCACGCGCAAACTGTGCTTCCCCACCAGGCAGCTTATCGTGGAGTCTGATAACACAAACGTATTCCTTTCCAGCACCTTGCTGTGATTTGACAAGTCTGGTTGCGCGATCTATGCAGACGATCAAGCATCCTGTGACTTTGGGATCAAGTGTACCGCTGTGACCTGTTTTCTCGACTCTGCAGCACGCGTCAGTGTACCGGTAGTGATCGCAAAGACCATAAAACATACCTTAACATGCGCTTCACCCATGCGACGACTTCGTGACTGGAAGGGTTCGAGGGCTTGTCGAGGTTTATCACACCAGAGGAGATATATGATTTGAGGTCTCTCTTCAATGGTGTGCAGCCATTGGGGATAGGCGTGAAATGTCCGGTACGGACGAGTACTGCAAATTTGTAAGTATTCTCCTGAACAAGGTCCAATTGAACATACAGTTGTTGTAGTTTTTGAGCAGCAATGGCCATGTGCTGGTATCGACAGCTGGTGTGATAGCTTCAGGCCTGATGGTATAGTCGACCTCCTGGTCCTTCTTCGACACAACTAAAGCCATTTTATCGGTTCGCGACTGACGCAGACTCGAGGCTCACACTTTTCTGTCGGTGTCAAGCTGGAAGGTCGAATTCTGCATGAACTCGAAATATTTCGAGAGCTTTTTTTACAAGCGAAGCTAAAGGTGTGGAGAGCGCGCTAACCTTAGTGGGGAGCTTTCTATCACGTGCTGCATCAATTCCCCACTGACGAGGGCTCCTTCTTGCCATCTACTAGGACATGAGCGTTGTTTCATTGAGTTTTACTTTCAATCAACTCTGTCTTTGGCCAGTCATCACCTGAGACACATACATTAGTAATATTGTCGGAAAATTAAGTGTAAGCCATTTTTGTTGAGACATATGCTCTCCATCCTACCTAGCTTTGACGAACAAAATATGGTATTCTTTGTGTTCTGTGTCTTTGCAACAAACCAGCTCTGCTGTGTATGCCATTGGGATAAAAAAAGCGATCATTAACACTACGTCTGTCTCTGGGCACGTTTTCTTTCCGTGTCCAAGAGAGGAGAGTTTCGACATTTATGTTTGCGGCGTTAACACAAATTCAGGTCTCTGTATTTGATTGCAACGAACTGATGACCAGTGTAAAGCAAAGGAAAGCAAATCCTTTTACACTAGCTATCTTCTCTCAAATGGTTTCCATGATCCTTGTAATGTTACCCCTCTGCCACTCGATAAGTATCTTCATAGTCTCATCTGAACAAAACATCATCCCTTTTATCAGTGTTGAACTTCGGTCTGAGATAAAGGCTCGTTAGGCTACAAAGCTTGGAGTTCGAACAGTTTGAACGGCGTATCGAGTTTGTACCAAGCTGTACACTGTTTTGAAAGCTAAAGAACTCGGTGCGAAATGTGATGCTTACTTTGAGTTGGAACGATTCGTTGCGGTGTAGAAAGCAAGCCTGCAGTGGCAGAGTCCTGTCGGGCTCGAATAGCGAGCTTTGCTGGACTTTATATAAAGGAGTCTGTAATGTTTGCTAGGCTGCCAGTAGAGAAGCTTGGAATTCCTCCTGGGCTAGAGGCATGGAATATGACGAGGCCTGAGATAGGAAATTCTGCTGGATTTGCGGCGAGGAGCTTCGCTGTAGTGACTTGGTTAGTTCTACGTACTGGGTAAGTTGCAAAGCGAGATATTTTATCGAGTTTGTAGTGTACGAGCATGAACAATAGGAAGTTGCACAGGTACTACCGAATGAACACTCGTTCCTCCTCTGTTTTGGGATATTGAGGTACTTTTTAAAATATGATTTCTTCTCGACAGCTACAACGAATCCGATGCCAATTCCGCTGTGACTCGAAACACGCAACACTACTTGAAGGCAGAGACAGGTTGCTTCCGAAAGGAAACATATCTTTGTACCAGGGATTAAAATTTACCCCTGCACCTTGGAAAAGTAGAGTCAGGCCTTGTTTCTTCGAGAGGTATCATCCTTGTCAGATACTGCTGCTTCATTTACACCACAAAGTCACACTCACAATGCAAATGGAACAGGAAGTGCCAATGCCCCTATCGGGATTGAATTACTATCTCCTACCACATTGGGTATCATCATTCGTTCGTCAATACTATGTACAATACAATCTCCAACGCCCTTGTAAATGCATCATCCAGAGAACACCATTTTCCATAAGACTCCCCTCTTCGTACTGAAACGAGATTCGAAGCCATGAAAATGCGCCAAGTGCTAACAGACTGATAGTGACAACGAAGGCCACATCAAAACGCCCTGTCCATGATAGTGACAACCAAGGCCATGTCAAAAGTCCGCCACACAGGCCACAAACGCCACAAACGCTATTGGTATAATCAAGAAGAGGAGCTTCGGCTCTTACTCTTCAAGAATAATTTCATATACTCACGATACCACTCTGCACCTTCATCCATCTTCTCACAAAGTCTCTTTCTGCGGGCAAACAAAGCCTCTTCCTCCTCAGACCAGAGACTCTTCTGCTTCAACTTCTTATCCTCCGCATCACTCTCAACTCCATCCATCAACACTTCATCATCGTCTTCCTCTACAGGAGCCTTAGCTGGTACACCTCGGGTCCATGCTTGAACCTTTGAATGTTGTGCCTTCGACTTGGTGATACCATCGAACGAGCGCTTCTGGTGCACAACGTCCTTGGCGGCAGAACTCGCAAGTGGTACGCCATTGGGGAGGGTGACGATACCTCTCGCCTTAAGTCGCCAATAATCAGATTGGACACCGCTCTTCTGGCGGCGATGCTCATCTCGATCATCATAATTGGACATCAAGTGGATTCTTGATTGACCATTGAGATAGGTAGGATCAGAAAGCAGGGAGCGACGGAGAGGATCGTCAGTTCTGTTGTGCTTGTGTCCGTTGGTAGGGGTGGTGGATTGCTCATAACGTCGACGCTTTTTCGAAGAAGACTCATTCATAACTGCGCGGATTTCTTCCTGCACGATAGCACGAAGCTTCTGCTCCGGGTCATGAACTCCTCCCAAGACACCAGTGTCCTCCAATAATCTCTCCACACTCTCATGCTCCTCTCGGCTTTGTCGGCGCTTAGCGGTCGTCGAAGCTCTAAACTCCTCCACGAGATTTTCCTTCTCGGCAATCTTCTCGGCTCTCTTGCTTGCCATAAGTTCCTTCTTGAACTTACGAGTCTCTCGTCCTCTTCTCTTCAGCCCTAACTTTCGTGCGGCTTCGCGCCAGTTATGAACGTATCTGGTAGCCAGGCTACGGTACCTGAATTGATCTGCTTCAATTCTGGCTTGGTCGTTGGCCGCCGCGTCTGCAGCATTTTGCACGTCTGCAAAATACTTCGCAGCAACATCTAGGAGGATCGTTCCAACACTATGATCCACAAATTGGTCCATGAGACCTCCCTCACCGGAAAACACCCATTCTGCAACTCCAAGGATCTTTGTCTTGGCAGTTGCTGTGGGGGCAACACTCGGCGCACCGACCATTGAGGGACCTGCAGTCGCGGGGGTTGTGCTGGCAGGAATAGCTGGCATAGTGTTGATCGTAGCTGTAGGAGTGTAAGGGGTGGTGTTGGATAAGGGCTTCGGCGCTGGTGGAGTCGTAGAAGCAGCATTCGAGACAGTAGGTAATGGAATTTGCTCACTCATGGGCTGGACAGGAGCAGGCGGAGTATCTGAGTGTTGGGTTCTTGGCACAGAAGCCTTGGGAGTCGTCGTGACAGCGGTGGGATTGCCCGCTGAAACCGAGGTAGGGGAGGACTGTGACAAGAAACTAAAGAGTGGCTTAGGTTGGACTGCAGCTTCCGGCTCCTTGGCTGGAACTGACGAGTCCGGTGATGTGGCCTTCAAAGGTCCAATTCTATCAAAGAGCGACATAGGCTTTGAGGTGGTTTGTTCAGGTGGCGTAGAACCATTTGGTGTCGTGGGAGCGGCAGTGTTGGTCTCTTGTGATACAACTGATTCTTCTTGCTCCTCCGGCATGGCACTAGGTTCCGCGAAACGTGCACCGGTGGTAGAGTTGTCTTTAACGAACAAGTTATCCTCTTCCTCTCCCTCCACGGATGCGACATCGTCTTCTTCATTCTCGTCGCCAAAGACGGTGAGGTGGATAAGTGTAGGAAGCTCATAATCGCCTCGCTTGCTCTCAACCAACTCATAAGAAAATTGTTGAGGAGATGCTGGCCAAGCATCACGGACAGCACTTTCGCTGATGGAAAGGTATTCCTCCTCCTCTCCAGACTCGAAATGCAGACCATGCTTTTCACCCCAAGGCACAATTTCTGCTTCATCATCAAAACGCAGATAAGTGTTCAACTTCGACAAGGTCCAATCTTTTGTTTGGTCCTTCTGACGGCGGTAGGATTTGAGGATGCACTTAATGATAGATTTTCGTACATCGTTGAAGCAGATTTCTGCAAAGCATGCCATGATATAAGACACACTGCTGTCCTGGACAATGGTGAAGAATTTTGAAAAAGCAGACAATGTGACGTCGAATTCGGTATAGCCACTGGTTGCTGCCGGGTTTTTAAGAGGGCCATGGCTATCCCATACACTTTGGTAAGCCTCGACCAACTCGACCGCAATTTGATAGACTTCAGAGAGTCCCCAGAACTTCCAATCCAAGGTCTGAGCCTTTGTCAAGGCGTCCTCATCTCGACGGTTGAAGAGTAGGTTATAAGCACGGAATTCCTCTTCATTTTCGCACTCAATTCGTCGAACCTGGCAGTCTTCGTATGCATGAATGAGCGAGGTTAATGTCTTACCCAGTTGTTCATGCTCTTGTTGCTCAACAAAGTCTCCTGCATTAACGCCTGGTTCTGACATGAGGTGGAGAGCAACGACGTGGAAACGAGTAATATTCTCGAGAATATAGACTCGATCCAACATCTCTTCATCAGTAAAATAACTGTGGAAAACGAGGTCTCGTCGGATTGCTCGGGTACGATCCCAAATGAATCCGTGGGCTGAGGGAAGTTCCACATTGGCCAATACGTTGTCGATGAGGTAGTCAAGCGTATTTCTCAATGCCTTCACGGTCCGAACCTCGTTGGGGAGAGGAGCTTCCTGGCCTGCGGCTGATCGTGCCAGCTTCTTGACCATAAGCTCAGGAACAGGGCCGGCTGAGAATGTTCCATTACCAAGATACTCCTTCTCAAGCTGATCATATCTACGCTCAACGATGCGCTCCGCGGTTTCAAGTTCTGGACACATATCCTCGCATGTGCCCTTGAACACGATGGCATCCTCGAGTTTCTTTGGGACCTCAGGATCGTCAATCAAGCCTGCCTGTGTGAGCACGAGACGAGATTTGTTTCGATACTCTCGGTAAGCCTTTGTGAAAGCTTCCCAGGCTGCTGGGTTCTCCTTGGCGTCCACAGTTGGCCATTCTGGTCCGCGGACTCTTCCTCTGGCTAGGACAGCTTGTATCTTGCCGTCTAAGGATTCTGAAGTCTCGCGATTGCGAGATGGTTGAACTGTTACTGGCGCAGTTGACTTGCGGTTGGTAGATGGTTTGCTAGCATTACCATTCGTGGGAGTAGTATGGTTAGGGCGCCGGCTGCCTGGCTTTTCAGAAGGCTTTGGAGAGGGCTTTGTGATGCTAGCGAAAGGGTCCACGCTTGGAGCTCCGAAAACACCTGTAGTAGTGCTTGATGAAGGGGCAAAAGGGTTGGACTTCTTTCGTGTGGAAGAGGATTTGAATCGGTTGCTATCACCATTACCAGAAGTGGAGAACAATCGGGAACTCTGTTGGGGAGCTGCATCCACCACATCTGAGCCACTAGGAGCGCCGAAGAGCCTAGATGTCTTCTGCGCGAGATAAGATGGTGTAGTCGAACTTGTAGAGACATCGACACCATTAGTAGCTGCCGCACCACCAAATGGATTGGAAGCAGATCGATTAGTCTCATTTACGACTGCTGCCCCACCGAACGGGTTAGAGACAGTTGGTTGGAAAGTAGTTGGGGTAGCTGCCACAGAGGCCATAGATCCGGAGTTCGTGTCTTTGCGGAACGGATTATAGCTAACGGAGGTTGTATTTCCTGGAGGAAGCGCAAACAGTCCCGAAACCGGTTGAGAAGGCGGATCGAATGTATTAGACGATGTGCCGAAGGGGTTCTGTGGTGGAGTCGCAACCGCTGTAGTGGGTGCAACAAAAGCCTCAGATGTCGACTTGTATGAAGCATTAAGCATCTTGGCTTGATCGCTCCAAGAGAGGTTTGCGCGGGAAGGATGAACTGAATTGTCTGTACGAGGTTGAGATGGAACACCGAATGCGTCGTTCAATGGTGATCGAAACATGGTTGTAGGTTCGGGAGCTTCACGCAAACGGGAAGGATGAACTGAAATGTCTGTACGAGGTTGAGATGGAACACCGAATCCGTCGTTCAATGGTGATCGAAACATGGTTGTAGGTTCGGGAGCAACTTCGTGAAGAGAAGCTTTATCCTTTTCAGCCCGGCGGTAATAATCAATGAGATCTAGGAGTGGTTTCTCTGTGACTGGGTCGAAATGCAGACGAATATCGAATGGGTGTGGGGAGGACTCGAAGGGGGTTGTTGGAGAATCGAGACGAAGGGAGTATGGCGGACTTGATGGCGGGATTGAAGACGAGTCAATTTCCATAAAATCTGGGGTGGCAGATCTGACGGACGTTCCTTTCATATGGGTATCTCCAGGAAACGGAGAGGCGTCTCGACTTTGTGTCTGCTCGAATCTCGGATAGTATTCTGGAGACGGGGATCGTTGATATTGCTCGAATCTCTGACGGTAGAGGGGAGATGGAGTCCGCTGAGCTCGCTCGAATCTGCGACGATCCACTGGTGATGGTGTTCGTCGAGATCGCTCGAATCTCCGACGGTCCACAGGCGATTGTGCTCGTTCAGATCGATATCCCGTCTGGTTGAAGTTATCGCCGTTTAATAGTGCGAGACGATCTGGATGAATCGCAGGCTCCGTCCGAATTGGTTGTCCTCGAAGCTGAGTAACACCGCGCACCGAGGAAGCAGAGGTTCGTTCTTCGTAGTGTCTGGCTCGCTTTGCAGCATTCTCGCGCTGCTCGTTCTCGTAGACTGCGTCCCTACTATCTCGATTTAGTGTTCTCTTCTTGACTGAATTATGACTGCGAGAGTCATAATGTGCCTCTCTCGAAGCCCGTGGGCCCGATGGAGGAGCAGGCTGTGGGCGGTAGCTGTCAACGGACTTACGTGAGGAGTAGTGAACTCCTCGACTCGTTCCACCGTGACGACTGGATTCTCTCGAATAGTCGAAATCGCGAGCTGCGCGAGCGTTAACTCGTGGTTGCGGCATTTTCGATCTTGTTCGCTGTGAGAATCATGGCCGCGGTTGGAAGAGGAGAAGAGGAGAGTAAAAAATTTTTTTCTGCCGAGCCTCGCCGCCAAATTGGTGCGTTGAAGTCGAACTGATGCTCTTGTTTATATTTTCGACTTCAGTACAGACATCGTCGCATAGCTCAAGGTCATTCTGCGCTATACCACTTTCGGTGAATTCTGCCCTGGAATGCATCACCGCCCACGATCCACACGCCAAATCACGCTTCAGCCACAGGCGAAGAGGATGCACAGACATTTATGTGGAGATGAGGCGTTTGTATCTTAAGTTGCTAACAGACTTGATATCTTTATACAAATTCTATCGATGCACTATCTCTCACTAAGCTTTTCTAAGCAACTTGAATAGGAGAGGTGTTTTGCGGCTTTAGAGTATTCAATTGCTGACGGACTTGATATCTTTATACACTCTAAGGCGGATGAGGAAGGATACTCTGACATTTATGTGGTGAAAGGTGTTTGCTTTATTTAGATGCATTATGAGACAAACACAGGTATCATGCAATGGTAAAACGTCATGCTATGTCCAGCCTACAACGCCCAATCCAATGCTAATTCCTCATTGAATTCTCCAGATCAAGCCTTTTGTGTGCGAATTCTTGCTGGTCCAAGGCCTTTGCGGACTTCATCAAGTTGCTCCATACCGCTTTGATACTTGCCTTTCTTGACGTGTTTCTTACCGCTCATCGAATAGTTGCCCAAGAAGTCATCCATTATGTTATCGAAGTCTCCTCTCATGGGTCCCTGGACACTTGATGCTGTTGAGGAAGCGGCAGAGACAGATGCTATATCATCTACGTCTTCATTGTATTGCTCTTCGATCTTTTCAAACCTTGCATCCAACATGGTGAGACCTTCAGTGCGGAACATCGATGAGGAGGTCATGGAATAACTGGATGGATTCGTCAAAGCTCCTTTCCTCTTCTTCTTCCTGCCACCATTCGTAGTAGTTGTGATCAGGGAAGACTGGAGATCAGACTGTGATAGTGCTGCAGGTGACACTTTCGACTTCTGCTCCCGCTTGAATTTGCTGAAATCTTCCATCCAAGCGCCGTCTCCGTGGTCCTCTCGTTCATCGTTTACCAAGTCAGCTGTAGGAACAGGTGCATCCTTGTACTCTTTAGCTGGCTTCTCAGTCTCATCCGACTCCCAACCCTCGTCCTCTTCGAACGCATTCTGCTCGAATTCATACTCATCGATTTCCTCGCCATCCTTTGCAAGTTCTCCAAAGACATCATCCTCTTCGTCCACATATGCTTCGTCTTCCAAAGCTTCCAAAACTTCTCTTAACCGAGGGTCCATATCTGGTTGGAATCCGGCGAGCGCATCTGGAACATCTTGCTGTGCTTGATACGTGACTCTTCGAAGGTTCTTTGAGGGTAGGATATCTTCGTCTAACAGAGCAGTATCTCGGTCCTCGAGACTCGTGTTCTTCAGCGCATCTTCAAGAGATTGTTTTCCCTTTCCCTTGCCCTTATTCTTTGGCGCAGAAGCTTCGACAAAGTATGCTTCACCGTCACCAGTGCCCAAGTCTCGCATATGCTGCATGTAGTCGTACTCGGTATCATCGTAGTAGATTCCATAGTTCGCAGCTTCCCCCTCATTCTCTCGTATTTGTTCCGCATCCAATCCAAGCTCTGAGGCCAAATCATCGAGTTTCTTGACTTTATTCGAATTCGGGAGCGGGGTGGGATTTAGAACCATAGACGATGCGGATTCGTCGTGGATGAGGGGATCATTTTGCGGTCGATGAACCAGTGTGAAATGCGTAGCAGTCTTCTTATCAATCCATCCTTTTCGAGCCATCTTGAAGGTATTGACTAGTTATTGGTAGAATGTGTAGAAGTCGAGAATAACTTTCGAAATATAAATTTTAGTGGGACAAAAAAGTTTTGGCGGGGTTCACCAGTGGTCCGGAAATTTCGTCACCAAGGGTTTTGTCGATGCTCGATAATCAAAACCCCACCTCAAGAATCCGAGACACAAGACCTCTACAACAATAACGAGTAGACTTTCTTGTCACGAAGAATCACAATTAAAGTTAACGTCTATCTTGCGTCAATATGGTGCTTGCTAAGTCCAAGAATGCCGTTGGGCTGGGAAATAGGTATGTTCGTAAACCTGGGAGTCGGCCACCAAACTCATGTTTTACAGTCTGATGAATGATCGATTTGGAAAAGGCAAAGGATCCGATCGCAAGAAAGTCACGACTGCTGGAATTCACAGGATAAACCATGCTACAGGAGAGACTGTAAGCGTTTACTTCAGAAGGGTGTTAGCAGAAGATTAACATGTCCTAGTATGTCACGAACGAGAGGAAGGAGGCCAGCTGGGTCAAGATGCGCTCAGTCACGGAGCAAGCGGCCCTCGACGAGTTCTTATCTACAGCAGAGTTGGCAGGCACAGATTTCACGGCAGAGAAGATGAACAATGTCAAGATTATCCACACCGATCAGAAGAACCCATACCTATTGTCAGCAGCAGAAGAGAGGGCAGCAGTCGGAAAGCAGAAGGCGCATAAAGGCAAACTTACCGTACCTCGAAGACCAAAGTGGGACTCCTCAACCACCCCCGAGCAACTCGATCGCATGGAGAGAGATAGTTTGTTGGAATGGAGAAGAGGGTTGGCCGAGCTACAAGAGAATAACGACCTCCTCATGACACCTTTCGAACGAAATCTTGAAGTCTGGAGACAATTATGGAGAGTTATTGAGAGATCTGATTTAGTGGTCCAAATTGTCGATGCTCGGAATCCCTTGTTATTCAGATCAGACGATTTGGAGAAATACGTAAAGGATGTGGACCCTCGAAAGGAAAATCTGTTACTAGTCAACAAAGCAGATATGTTGACCTTGGAGCAGAGGCAAGCATGGGCGGATTATTTTGAGGCTGCCGGAATTTCCTACAAATTTTTCTCGGCCTCTTTAGCGAAGGAAATGAATGAAGCTCGGGACTTAGAGGAAGATGACAACGAAGAGGAGGACGAGGATGAAGAGGATGAAGAACCCGCTGCTTCAGGCTCGAAATTAGCCCAAAAAGCTGGGAAGCTTGACATTGAGGATCACGATCTTGAGCAAGATGACGAGACAGATGAAGGAGAAGAGGAAGAGGAGGAAGATGAAAGCACTCGAATTCTGACAGTGGATGAGCTCGAAGCTCTCTTCTTGCTACATGCACCAGAAAACCTTGGTAGGTCACCCATTGGCATCATAATGAACATTGTTGACATTGTTTAGATGCTGATTCGGAAAATCCACGAAAGACGCAAATTGGATTGGTAGGATATCCCAACGTCGGTAAATCGTCCACCATCAACGCTTTGATTGGAGCGAAAAAGGTCTCTGTTTCTTCAACGCCTGGAAAGACGAAGCATTTTCAGACTATTCATCTCAGCGACAAAGTGCTCTTATGCGATTGTCCAGGTCTTGTGTTTCCCAATTTTGCGACTACCAAGGCCGAGCTTGTGTGCAATGGTATTTTGCCAATCGATCAATTGAGAGAGTTTACTGGCCCGGCTGGATTAGTTGCTAAGCGCATTCCTCAACCATTCTTAGAAGCTCTATATGGTATGAAAATCAATATCAGACCTCTAGAGGAAGGCGGAACTGGCATTCCTACAGCAGAAGAAATGTTAGTTGCTTATGCCAAAGCCCGAGGATTTACGAGAACTGGCCAAGGACAACCCGACGAGTCAAGAGCTGCTCGGTACATCCTGAAGGACTATGTCAACGGGAAGCTGTTGTTTTGTCAGCCACCTCCATTAGACGTCGACCCCATGGAATTCAATAGAGAGCTTTACGACGAAGGACATCTTCCCGAGAAGCGACGACAAGCATTGGCTTTGATGGATTCGTCCACCGATGATCATGCTTCAGTCGCAGACTCGGATGTCATCCCTTTGGAAGGTGCTAAGTCACGAAAACTCGACGGAGCTTTCTTTTCCCAGGGCCAGGGGAACTCGGCACACCTAAGAATGCCTTTCAACCACAAATACTCTGAGCAAGGAACAGCGAGCGGTAAGCAACTTTCAGGTCGAAAGCAGAAGACGATGCTTGCTATGGAGAAAGATGTCGATCCAAGCGATGTAGCGCTGTTAACAAGCAAAAAGCACTTCAAGGGTGGATCGAAACACAAGGGAAAGCGAAGAGCGAATTATTTTGAGGATTGAGCTACCTTACCGTGGGTTATTTCTGTGTTTGGGATTTCCATCTTGCATTAGCAAGATTAGAATGGTGGCTAGGTATTTCATGGGGAATGAGGTATGCATCTGGAGGGCGTTTGTCTTGATGGGTGGGGTTTCTGTCACTCATCAGGGAACGTCAATTAAGCTGACACATCAAGTCTCCCCAAATGCTGAATTCGCTTCTCGGTGATCATAGTGATATTGTTTTAAATCTTGTAAGATCAGGCGATTATATGAGAACCTTGAAACCCCTAACATGCTCAGTATCGGTTCTATCACCAAAATCATGAGTAAAGCGATCGATTGAATCTTACCTACTGGTCGGCTCCTCCTTAACAAACTTCAAGAAGGGGGCAACCACGATAGACAACCTCGGTCTATGTCCGCCATTGAAGACTCTAATTGAAAGTGAATGCCGTACATGCCGTAGGCAATCGTTTCGTTAAAAAAAAAAGTGACCTGACCTCGTACCATGGCGGCAACGTTATTATTTACTCGGCGAGTGAGACATGCATTTCAACCTCGGCTCCTCCGAGGAACCGAGAGTTTGTGGAGAAGCTCACTACCCCGGCCCAGCATTGAGCTAAAGAGTAACATCAGAACACCAAATTAAATGTTCCTTCCATCCCAATTATTTTGTCTTTTCATATACTTACTTATTCATTGACCCAGACTTATCTTTGAATCTGAGAGGATAAGACAACTAAGAATTAGCAAATATGTCTGCAGATATTCCCATTCTTGTGAGCTCCCCACTCCCTCTGCCCCGCGTTTCCAGATCACTAATACGGTACAGGCGGCGAACAGAGTCAGCGATCGTGCGAAGAAGACTCTTGACATCGTCAAGCAATTTGTGGAGGAAAGATGTATTCCGTGAGTAGCTATTCCTTCCATACTTTGATCTGCCTTCAATGGCCGCCATCAGCACAGCAAGCTGACCATCTGCCAGAGCCGACCCCGTATTTGCAGCACAAGTCGATGCAGGTGGAGACCGATGGGACCACCACCCTAGCGTTATCGATGACCTCAAGGAAGAAGCAAAGAAGCTCGGATTATGGAATATGTTCTTGGCCAAAGGACACTACAAAGAGGGCGCTGGTTTCACGAATCTCGAGTATGGATTGATGGCAGAGTACCTTGGCAAGTCGAGATGTGCTTCAGAGGCAGTCAACTGTGCTGCACCGGATACTGGAAACATGGAGGTGTTGGCGAAGTATGGCAATGAGGCACAAAAGAAGGAGTGGCTACAACCATTGCTGGATGGTAAAATCCGTTCAGCATTCTTGATGACTGAGCCGGATGTTGCTTCTTCTGATGCTACGAATATTCAATTGAGCATGAAGAGGGAAGGCAATGAATACGTTCTGAACGGCCAGGTATGGACCAGCTAATACGTATGCCATTCGCGGTGCTGACATCGTGTAGAAATGGTGGTCCAGTGGTGCTGGTGACCCACGGTGCAAGATTTACATTGTCATGGGCAAGAGTGATCCAGGAAACAAGGATGTCTACAAGCAGCAATCAGTCATTTTGGTACCGGCAAATACTCCCGGTATCAAAATCAACAGGATGTTGTCAGTTTACGGTTACGATGATGCACCACACGGTCACGGACATTTGTCATTCAACAATGTCCGAGTCCCAGCAAGCAATATGGTTCTTGGTCCCGGCCGGGGATTTGAAATCATTCAAGGTCGTCTTGGTCCTGGACGTATCCATCACGCTATGAGAACCATTGGTGCTGTAAGTACTGGATGTTTATGGCCCTGACATATTTTCTGACTATACTAGGCCGAGAAAGCTCTCGAATGGATGCTACTCCGAATCAACGATCCTAAGAAGACTCCGTTTGGAAAGCAACTGAAGGAACATGGCGTAATCATTGAATGGGTAGCTAAATCTCGCCTTGAGATTGATGCCGCTCGTCTCGTGGTTCTTAACGCTGCCATTGCGATTGACGACCGAGGAGCCAAGGGAGCTCTGAAGGAGATCGCTGAAGCCAAAGTGCTTGTTCCTTCGATGGCACTCACTGTCATCGATCGTGCAGTTCAGTCCTTCGGTGGTGCTGGTGTCTGCCAAGACACCCCTCTTGCCAACATGTGGGCTCAAATCAGAACACTGAGACTAGCAGATGGACCCGATGAGGTTCACTTGCAACAGATGGGAAAGAATGAGAATAAGAAGGGCAAGGCGGTCTCTGCAAAGATCCTGAGGCAAGCTGAAATCACAAAGGATTTGTTTGCCAAATACGGTGTCAGCTTGTCACATATTGGCCCCAAGTCGAAACTGTAGATATTTTGTGTAACTCAACATTTTAAAATAAAATTGAATGACTGGTCATGAATCCCTACTTGAACAGCACAGCAGATCGTGACTCAATGATCCCCTGATCCTCTGATCCCCTGAATGCTGCAGGTTTGCGTAGTGGGGCAAAATCGTCACTGGCGATGTTCGTTGCTGATGGCAACCGTCGTTGTTGACTTTCTCGCCTCACTCACAAACTTTTAAGAACATCGAACCCACTCTCATACTTTCCACCACCACCTCGAATCCTCTCAGCTCCTCTCACAATTCAATAAACCTTCCCAAAAACACTGTCAATCTATACACAAAGCAATTCGATATGTCTTCCAACGTTCTCTCCGACCGGGACGTCAATGCTGCTGTTGAGGCGAAGCCCGATGTTAAGAGCATGGAGTACCACCGACAGGTCTTGCAAAGCAAGCTTGAGGAGAACCAGTAAGTAGCTTCTACCGTTCCATATTTCCCTCCGATTGCATTTGGCTAATGCTGTATCTGCAGAGGCAAGCAAACATACATCTCCCCATCCGATACCATCATGAGCCCTTGCACCGCCAAGCTCAGCGCATACCGAAGCAAGCAAGTCGGAAAGTAAGTCTTCTACACACAACTCCACCAAAGCAGCGATACTAATAAGCATTCCTTCAGGGCCAAGCCCAAGTCCCTCTTCGCAAAGACCTCCTCCAAGAACCTCGCTTCCGGATCCCTCTTCGGCGGCCAAATCCCCAAACCCGAGACTGAAGACCAGAAGATGGAGGATTAGCACCTTCTATCGACCGCATTTTCACGACCATTTCTATTCTTTGGCGGTGTACGATATACCCATTTGATTGCACGGGCGAGGAAACTCGTTTCTTTCCACACACAAAAATTTCCACATTACGAAAACAAAAGCGAGCACAGATGATAGCGACATGTCCTTACACCAAACACACCGATATCGAGAATTCTTTCCATGGGATAGTTGATGGAGGGTGGTTATGGGTATTGATTGTTTGCTTTTGGCTGTTGCTATGCTGCGACGATAGGCCTAGGGAGAATATTGCGGACTAAGGCGATTGTGATGGCATTGGGTACTGGAGTATACGGGCATTCTTTAGAATCACAATGCGATTGCGTTGGTTTACGGGCGAGCAATGAATGACTTTCTATGACCATGGATGCATGAGGAGTGTGAGACTTCCATTGAAAATGCTTTCAAATCAACTCCAGACTCCTCTTCAGTCCCTGTCTATGCTCTCCAATTGCTCACTATACTAACTACATCTTCGTCCGCTACAACATGACCCAATCCAACTCTCTGGGGAACATGTCTAGCACTAGCTCCCCATACCAAAGCATACTTAAACGTATCCTTCAGCGTCCTATGAATCTGATCACACACATCCTCAATCGTGCTCTTATTCCTCACAATCAGCGCTTCTCCGAAATCAGGATCAACGCCCTTCCTCTTCGTGTAAATCCGAATAAGTCTCAACTCCTGCCAACACCTCTCCACCACGTCCTGGATACCCAAATCAAGCTCGCAGCTCATGACCACCGTATTCGGTTCCCTGGCCAGCTTGTCAAGAAAATCGAGAGACACGCTGTCAATTTTATTGTAGACATACAGGCACTTGATGTACTTTCTGTGGTCTTTCATGATCACGTCGATGAAATCGTCAACAGTGACATTCTCGTCTCGCACCAGGACCTCGCAATTAAGGATCTTGTAGTCGCGGAGAATATTGTACACCATTTTCTGATCGATGTTCTTGGGTGGATTCTGGAAAGTGATTTTCATACCTCCTGCTGTTTTGGGCTTGAGGTAGATGTTCCTATCTTTGTCAGTAACTTACCAGCAAGGTAAGGAGGATGCTACTAACGGTGGTTCTCTATTCAACCTAATTCCCACGGCCTCCAACTCTGCTTCCAAAAGTGCCCTTTGTTCAGCTTTCTTAGTAGCATCAAGAATCATGAGAATCAAATCACTGGTTTTCGCAGCACTAATGACCTGTCTTCCTCTTCCCTTTCCTTCAGCAGCACCTTCGATGATACCAGGCAAATCTAGGATTTGAATCTCGGCACCGCCATACTCAAGTACACCGGGAATAGCAGTCAAAGTAGTGAAAGAGTATGCTGCAACCTCGGATTTCGTCTTCGTGATTTTGGATAAGAAAGTTGATTTTCCGACGGAGGGAAAGCCGACGAGGGCAATACGAGCATCGCCACTTTTAGATACGTCGAATCCTGCTCCTGGTCCACCACCAGATCCTGGACCAGGTTCGAGGAGCTGTGCTCTGTAGCGGGCAAGTTTTCTGGGTAAGGTATAAGCTGCCGTTCTTCTGGACGAAGAGTGGATAGAGTTACCCTTTCAGAAGTCCAAGATGATATTCTAGAAAGTTTCAGCAGCTATCACGTGTTGTAAAACCGAACGGAGACTTACCAGTCGCCTTATTCTCTGATAAAGGTCAGTATATATTTCGTCTCTCAAGTCCGATGCGGTATTTATGGTTATGTTGGTTGAAAGAGGGGTACAGCGGGGTACATACTCTGCGTCCTTCGCATCTCCTCCTCGATCCTGCGTTACAGTCAATACACGCCTTTCAAAGTATGGCGCTTGACTTACTCTTTGATCTTCTCCGTAATGTTCACCATCTTGGCGGTATTGGCTCTTGCTTTCTTGCTATGCAAACGATCGATGATGCGGCATCAGATTTGATAACATTTTATGAGGGGCGGGCGGTATAGAGTGGCAATTAGTCGCACACTAAGCCCTTTATGGCGGCTAGCTGTCTGTCGGCTCGCTTGAGACTCGACGACATCGATGCTGTTTGATGGCTGGTCAATGCTGAGTCCTTTGAGACTTGCTACCAGCCACAGAAGCCAGTGCATTGCTAAAGTTACTTGCGTTCATATGTTTCACCAGTTTATGTATTGCAATTTTTGACCCGAATCTCTGCTTCATTCTTGCACGCACTTATCTGCTTCAAAATTCCTCCGAAGAGGAGGGTCAACGAGACCCAGGCAACAAACACACACACCACCAACTATCCCCCCTCACTTCTTTCCACCGACGAAAGGGACCACGATCGATCCAACCACGACCAACAGGAGGACAGACAACCAGAACACCCGGAGCTTGTGATGAAAAGCCCAGCCCAGGGCCGACTTGCATCGAGCGAAGGATGCCTCGTCGGCACCCGGGACTTGTTGAGGAGGAGGAGGAGGAGCCAGACGGAGGGAGGGACGCTGAATGTTGGACTCGAAAGCCCGCTCGATCGGTGTGATGGAGTCGACATCACTTCCTGCCTCTTGTACAACATCTAGATCTCCGTCTTGGTCTTGTGGGACGATGCTGCTTCAATTATTCAAGTCAGCAATGAGCTTTTCAGGCCTACAAGTGTTGATCTTCTGTGAGAGAATCTTACCGAGCTGATCCTTCGAGTCGCTTGGCCCATGATACGCGCTTTGTCTGCTTCTCCATCTCTTCTTGCTTGCGGCGGTGGCTGGCGAGTAGTCCTTGCTTGTGACTGTCTTCGGAGGCAATTGAGTAATTTGAGAGACTGGAGCCAGGGAGCTTGAGTTGCGCGAGTCTTTCCTTTGAGATTGGAGGGAGATCGAAAGAATTGTTGTCTGGAACTCGCTTGGCGAGGAAAGAAGCTGGAAAACCTGATTGATATGCCATCTTTCGAGTGCCTCGCGGCCTGGTCTGTCGGCTAGTTTGTGATTTTGACGTGGATTTTGACGGGGATTCTGAATCGAGGATCACGATTGGTCGATGTCTTGAGCAATCGTGAAGCAAAAGCGAGCGACGTGAAGAGAGAAACCCCAGATAATTCAGAGTACCGAAAACGTTCTTGTTGTAGGAGGAGGAAATTCAAAGTCGAGGCAAATGGTTAACGGCTGACTTGTGAAGAGAGCAGGTGTGTCGGAGGTTGGAAGTTGGAGGATTGAAGTCGGATCGAGACGAGAGACGAGATCGACTTGCGAAAGCAGGTGTTTTGGAAGCTAGAAGCTAGCACACTGAAGTCGGATTGAAATCATATCGAAACGAGACTGAGCTATGTCGGGTCCTGAGGGCAGAATCAAAACCACGCTATAATAGCGTGCTTTCCTGTTCTTGTCTCTTCAAATCTTGGTCCATTTTGACAAGATTAAAACCACGCTATAGTAGCGTCCCTTCCTCTTTTTCTCTCTTTAAGGCTTCGTTTGTGTAAATACAATAAAGACCACGCTGTGATTGTATTCTTTCCTCCTCTTCCCTCTACAAGGCTTTTGCACAAAGTCAAAGCAGGCTGCAATTGCGTCCTCTTCCCAGTCTCTTGCGAGTGAAAAGCTTCGTATATTATCATTGAGAGCAAAATCAAGCCCACTGGAGATTAGCTCCCTGTCTTACTTTTCTGCTTTCAAAGATTTCGTTCAATAGCACTGAGGGCAGCATTACAAATGTACTATATTTCCTTGGTCTTCTGCAAGTGCAATGCTTTCACTATTACCACCGAGGGCAGTTTTATAGCCACGCTATAACGGTGTCCCCTTCTTGGTCTTCTGTCAATGCAAAGCTTTTTCTAAGTTTACAAAGAGCAAAATCAAAACCAGACTATAATATCGTCCCTTTTCTTGTATTCTGACAGTGCAAAGCTTCGTTTTACTTTTGCCATCTTGGCATTGCTTTATCGTTCTCTTACTTCTACTTAAATAGTGGGGCCTGTGATATCTCGACTCTATGTTCCCTAAGGAACCACCTGGACGGCCATTATACGTCCCAAAGGCTAAACCTAATAAAAATTGAGTGCACGGTCGGGAAAAGTAACCGGTACAACTTCGGGGCTCAGCCCTAGTCGAGTTCTGCCCTGCTCTCTGCCCTGCTCTGTAATCTCTTCTATTTCACGATCCTAAAGCCCTTCTCTCCCTCGCTCCATCTCTTCCCCCATTTCTCTTTATCCCTCTCTCTTTTTCTCACTCTCTCATCATCTTAACCCTCACACATAGTTAATCATACCAAAACAAACTTTTTATTTTAAAATTAATACTCTTAAATACACTATTTCAATATTAATATTTATAAAATAAAATTTTAATAAATATCTCAAAATTGAAAAACATGAAAAATAGTAGCTTAAAAACTTATGCTAAATACACTTAGAACTTTTTTTTGCATAAGCTAGGCCGTTTGAGCCTTTTTTGCCAAAAGTAAACCCCCCTTACTAAACTACTCCTCTGTCTCACTCTCCCTTGCACTCTCATTTAATCCCTTACTCTTTCATATTCTCTCTCTTACTTATAAAACAATATACATTTTACTTCTAAAACCCTTGCAAACTCTCCGCACTCCTTTACCACCTTTTATCACTTCTCATTTTTATAGAAAATTAATAAACTCGAAACCCATATTTTTAGCTACGGACGTCCAGTGTACAGCCGTGGGACATACAGTGACCGTCCAGGTGGGTTCGTGGGGGTTGACCTCGTTGAGGTAATAGCGCTTGTGTTCGCAGCAGTTCTTCAAAAGATTAAACGATAGTTGATTGATAATTGTGCAAAGAGCCATCACGAAACTCACATCAAAGCACTCTCTCTTTTCTCAATGGTTAGAACACAAGAGAACACAGCGATCATTGCCGGTGTTATTAATGTTTCACTCACATTGTCCTCCACAGTTTCATCTAGCGTAACTGTTCAATATCTGATTGACATCTGCCATATCACAAGTGTTCTTTGCCGGACTCCGGACTAAGGACATGCATCATTCTCTTCGTTGAAGAACGATTTGCCACATCGCTAGCAAGAGCTTGGCAAGCACGACTGAAACGTGGAGAAGTCTAGAGTCGGAGCTATGCAATAGCAGAGAAGTCCGTAAACAATCATAGATAGTTCTGTTGACTACTAGTCGACTTCTAGTCTGCAGAGAGCATAAACCAAGTTACATCACATTCATACGCAGCATGAGGTGAAGTTTCCTCTCTGTAGCAGGCAGTATTACAGGACGCCATCAAAGAACCTATCCGATATCCGCGGAATAGTGATAAAGTGAATTGTTGCGGTAATGTTTTAGTGAGCCTTGCTGCATGAAAACTCAAAGATTTATGATCTCTCCGAAGTTGTCATACCTAGGCCACTTGCCACGTGTCGTATCATGGACCTGTACCTAGGTACATGAATCGTATTGGAGTGTCCCGTGCTTGAGCGCACAATACTATGGTTCTGTGGCACTATGGCCATGTAATCAATGCTAGTATGGTGAGATGTATCGTCTAAATTCATTGCTAGTGAGTTAACTTCTCTGAAGTAGAGAAGGAAAATAGAGAAAGCAACCATTTAAGACCACGAAAGACAAAATTATATTGTCGCTCTTTGCTGGGATCGAACCTTCAACATAGGCTATCCTTAAGACTAAGAAATCGCTGTGATAACATTACACCATGAGGCTATACGTAGTGCAGGATTGGGTGTACATGTTCGGAAAGTGAAGTACAATCATCTTTTCGTTGCGTATCTACGAATCAAGTGAGGCAATACTTTTGAGTATTTCCACAAATTTCGTTGCGTGTCTACAAATCAAGTGAAGATTCAATTTTCTGCTTCTGGTCCTTTCTTTTTTGGTGAGCAAGAAGGGTGTATGTGTTGTATTAGGTGTCGATGATCTGATAATCAAGTCTTGCTTGCATGTTCCCTTATTTTTCTTTGAGCTCTTTGACCTGTCTCTGCTGGACACTAAGCTGGATGTGATTGATTCCTGGCTCCTTGTCAGCAGCTTAGTGAGGTGATTCAACACTGATCGATTCTTTTCTTAAAATCGCAAGCAGACTAGAGAAAGACACCATCAGACAGGATCAAGACTTCGTCACAAAGGGCAACCTGAAGCGATTTAGCTACTTAAGATTCATGTAAATGCATTCAATTCATAATACCCTACAAACGCCATTGAAGCAATGCCAGCTCCCCACCGCCTGAATTGAATACTCGATCAAGCTGTGAAACCTAACTTTCCAAACAAGCTATCCATAGCAACCCATTGTCGACCGCACTTATCAAGGTATTTATCTACAACGCTCTTTAATGTACCAAAGCGAACTCTGTTATGCTCCGCCAATGCCATTACACGCTCTATGAATATGTTAGCTTGATTCATCGACATTAAAATCTCCCTTGGCTCACCTCTATCGCTTCCCTTTGCAGCACCTTTCGCTTTCTCAACGTCGAATAAGGTCGCAAAGTACAAAAGCTGGTTGTACATCATCTTCTCAGTATACTCGTAGTGCATCTTGCCTAAGCAGCCTTGAGCGAGACCTTTCGGACCAAGACATCTGTGTCCATAGACACTCATTTGTCGTGTCCGATTGCCGCAAGCTTGATCATCACAAACCAACCAGCCTTCATAGTATTTGCTTGTCTGTTGGCGGATTTGATGTTCTAGCTGAGCTACGACCGAGAGGTTCGAAAGCACATGTCCGCATCGACACGTGATTCCACTAGCAGAGCAGCTTTCAAGACTGCCGGCAAGTCCCTCAAATCCAAAGGTTGCCTTGCATGCTCTGCAACGAAGGGTTAGGCGGTATGCATCTTTGAACCGGACTTCGTCATCAATCTGACTTTCAAGAGGGTGTATTTCCGCCTCGTTGCCACCATTCGAAGTATTGTTGTTGATGCTATATTTCCGAACATCGAGACCAAGGCAATCCGCTAGCCGAACAGTATCAGTACCAGTTATATTGGCGCACAATCGCTCAACCGGTGGGAAAATTTGCTTATATAGGTACCACTCCACATCAGGTGCGAGGCCCGAGTCCGCCTTTGCCACATCTTGAGGTGTGAAAGAACGCTTTGCTGGAGGTTCCGAAGTGGTCTTTCCATCACCAGTCACGATGTAGGCAATGACATCGTCTTTTCTGACAGTCTTGCCTTTTGAAAGCTCTCGCAGCGCGACTTGTACTTGTGGCATGCTGTCGGCATTGGGATAGTCTTTGGGTGCTTTTCCAAGCTTCGTGTAGATAGTATACTTGTGGACCGGCACGCCACCTTCTCGCATCTTGGTCGAGATTTCTCCAAGATACTCGTGGATACGGGTGATGACGACTTCAGGATCATCGCCAGAGAGGATCTCATCTAGAAGCTTTGCTGAAATCTCTTTCGACAAATTGCAGTACTCGCGACGCCTCATATCCAGACCTTTAATCTCCATCTTTTCGATAAACTTGCCGTCGACCTGAACAAGATTGATCGCGGCATACTTCTTCTTAGCTTGAAGTAGAATTCGTCTGAATACATTGTCGATGTCAATTTCCAAGAGGCGGTATCTGTCGTTGACAGCTTTCTTGAACTCGTTGCCGACTTTGAGAGCATCTTCGACATTATCGACGTTGGCATTAATCATGACAGAGTCTGTATCACCGTAAACAACTTGAAGAGAGTTGCTTTCGGCGAGATCTTTTGTGCTTCTCAGAATCTCACGACCTTTGTACGTTGTAAGGACAGCCAGAGGTCTAGCATAAAATCTAGACTTGGTGTAACCCAGACAACCGTACATAGAATTGGCAGTGAGCTTGAGAGCGAGTTGCTTGATGTCCCAGGTGGCCAGCTGCTCGGTAGTAGCATTCTTGTCCTTCATCAAGCTCTTCACTTGTCGTCGACGACTCACAAGCGTGGCGATGAGCTTAGGCAAGATACCAAGATCTTGATCTGTTGGAACTTCCGGCACCTGATCTTCGTCGTCGGACTGTAGAGCTGTTAGCACCATGTAGACGTAGAGCATCACAAAAAAAACCTTACCAATTGAGTACGATCGACTGTTGTGAAGCAAATGTTGAACTCCTGGATGATACTTGGGTATAGAGAGTTGAAATCCATGACCAGCACAAATTTGTCGTAGAGTCCTTTCTCTGGCTCAAAAACAAGACCACCTTTGTACTTGTCCTTCTTCTTCACGTCTCCGCTTCCCTCGTCTAGATTGTCTTCCTCGGCTTGTGCTTTGCCCTTATACACGGCTTTGTCAGGACAAATGTACTTGTTTCGATGAAACTCGTGGAGCAAAATGTACTCGTTACGTTCGGCACGGGTACCAGTCAATGTCCTCGCCCAAGAATTGCCAGCCAGATTCGTGAGCACTTTGGTCAGTGGCAGCATCTGAACCTTCAATGCCAGAGCAGCAATGAAGAATGTGTCAGCCTCGCAGTGGGTCACGTAGTCCATAAGGCCGTCTTTTGTGGTGGCCCATGTTTTCAACGCTGTCTCGTTGTCGATTTCACGGCGAATTGTTCCAGGAAGATAGAGACTGCACATCTCGGTCAAACTCCAGGAAGTACACTTCGTCATTGTCGATTTTCCGGCATCGTTAGCTAAATCGCACAACAGACGTCCAGAGATCAGGGATCGCTCAGCGAAGAAATTGCCACCCATTTTGCCCATCGAGCTCGGCCACTGGGTGCGTCTCATGCGACCTATACGAGACCATTGGGGCGTTTTCTTTGCTTGGAGGCGATTAAGTAGAATACTGAAGTCCACACCCTCTAGCTGATGACCAATGAGGACATCAGGATCAATCAAATTGAGTTGTGCTAAGAAGAAACTCAAGACCTCTGCTTCTTGTTTGGCAAGCTTCACATCCCCTTTGGCCTTCCTCTTCACATCGCTCTCGAATCCAATAGGGAAGGAGTTTAAGGTTGGCCGAATGATCGTGAAGGAGCGGCAGGGAAGTTGCTCTGGAGGTGTTGTGTCAGAAAGAGAGATGTTCTGGTACACCCTAGCACTGATAGCTAGAATTTCCTGTTTGTTCTCTTTGACATTCAACACAGTTCGTAGTGCGATACTCATCAAGGTCAGAGGTGGCGCTTCCAGACCATCACTCTCGCTCATTGGAGTGATCGAATTTGGCTTTGATACTTGGACCTCCAATTTGCAGTGAGACGAGTTGTTCAGTACGCCAAACTCTGCATCTTCGATATTCAGCCAGCATGGTCCCATGATGTTCTTCCACAAGACAAATTGCTCAAAGAGTGGCGTATTTGTGCCGAAAACATGCGAGAACGTTGAACCTGTTTGATGCTCAGGTTGCAATTGGGGTTCTAGAGAAGGTCAGCCTGTTCCAATCTGAGTTGACATGCAACTTACTCGAATAAGGATAAAGGAGTTTAAGATATTCTCCCTCCTTAGGGACGTCAGGTAGCTCGAACGCGTACTTTCTTGAGCATGGCTTGATTTTATGCATTCCGACTCTCAGCTTCCCCATCAATTCGTCAACTTCTTCGTAAACATCTTTCATGTCGATTTCTTCCGAAGTATCACGGCCGTGTTTCTGTCGATACTGTCGAGGGAGGAAGAACAATTTGCGCAAGATGTTGTCTACTTTGACAAAACAACTGGCATAGCCTCCCGTCTTCTTGTTTTGGACTTTACCGAACAAGCATAGAGATCCATTGATTTCAGTGTAGTCGGTCCAGAACATTCGTAAGCTCCCATCTTCTTCGATAGCATCGTGGTAATCCAACTTCCCAAATGACATGCTCTCTGATGACTGACTGCTGTTCATGACATTCAATCTTTGCGTGACGTCGTTCCAAGCCGAGGCATCAACGTGTTGTGTAGGAGCTCGTGTTGGAGACGAGCTTGCGGGAGAAGGGTATGCTTCAGTCTTCTTGATTTTAGGTGGAGGCCGCGTGCCGGACCGATTCACACTCGCAGTAACAATTCCGTCGGCTTGCGCAACTTCCATCATATCATCGCCGTCTTCATCCTCGGCTTTGACGCTGACATGGGCTTTCCTCTCGACGGCCTTGACTACTGGAGATGATGGTTGGGGGTCTTCCATTTGCATATCTGCATCCTCGATATCATTCATGAAGTTATCATCTCCGTAGTCTTGATCCTCGGGTGGAGTGGCAGGCTCTCTGCTATCAACCAGCTTGGCCTTCTTGGGTGCATGACGAGGAATTTCATTGACGGGAGACAATGCTCGAGCTCTTCTTTTGTCTTGGATCTTGCGTGACCTGCTAGCTTGAGGCACATGGCGAGGCACATTGGTATCTACCTCGTCGAGTAGCCCGGAAAGAAAGTCGTCATCTGCTTGGGTCTTGACAGGCTTTTGAATGTCAATGATGTTCAACAGCATTGGAGAGAGAGCATACCTTAGCTTTAGGCTGAGCTGTCACAGGACCCTTCGTGAAGTAGTTGCTTATGCCCTTGTCTGTCTTCTCCTTCTTTGCCTTGTCTTCTTCGCGTTTGCGTTTAGCTATTACGTGTGAGCGACCATACAACTAGCACAAGTTGTGGGAAGGTGTAAACTAACCAGCTTTGCCCGCTTTGCCTTTGGCAGGCAATTCCTCCTCACTCCCGGTATCATATCCAGGTTGACGATCCCATTCTTCTCGGCCATCATCTGCGTATCCCTCTCCATTGTCGTCGATGACGAAATCGTCCTGGTTCAGGCGTTCTCGGACAACTTTTTTGTATCCATCTTCATCGACTTCTTCGTACAAGTCGGCTTCCTGTTCGACTTGGTAGCTGTCAAGACGCTTCTTGCCAGACTCTCGAAGAGCACGTAACTCGGCGAATTTCGCCCTTGCTGAAGCTGCTTTGGACATACTGAAGGACTGGGAGATGATTATGACTAGAGCATGCTTCGAAAGGAATCTAAAAACTAGAAATCAAAACAGAGGTAAGTTGGTGCTGAAGTATGGAAGTTTGGTGGTTGGGACCTCTTTACCGAAATGCGAGGGTTCTTGACGCGAATGTTCGCGTTCATCAACGCGACACCCCTGTAGAGCTAATGCAAGAATGCCTTAAAGCCTGAGCCGTCATTCAAGCTCGGCTGGGACATTGAAAAAAAGTTTCGATGAATGTATTGTTCGAAGTCATGAAGAGTATTATCACCACCACATTGCAATGTTGACTTGCTACGGATGCATGCGACATTGCTTGCAGGCAATTATTGGTAATGCTGCCGTTATCTCCAATTCCTCCAACAGACGACTCGCCGCAGGGTCAGGTATCTATGGACCCTTTGTCCAAAGCTTTACGACAGTCACGGCTGGAAGTCGAAGACCAAAGTCGAGCAGCAACGACGACTTTCAGCCACCACAGATCAAAACAGCACAAAAGTCGAAGCCAGAGCCCCGCATCAAACCCGAACTACTACCATGGCAGATTAAAGCGCAAAAGCGAGGGAATAAAGGTAAAAGACAGTCCGAGAGACTTCTGAGAAAAGAGTCGCCTGGAAGAGACATTACCGACCGAGAGATGTCACTGCATCTCAAGTATTTGAGAGACCCAATAAAGCTTGCAGAATTTGTACGCGACACACTACGACATGACAACTACGACCTTGCCCAGAAAGTTGTGAACGAAGCAAGTTCACGGACATCGTGTACCGTCAGTTGGAACCATATCATCGAGTGGCAGCTAAGTCGAGGAAGGATGAATGCTGCTATCAAATGCTACAATGAGGTAAATTGGAGATATCATGTCTAGAAAGTCATCTGCTAACTTTCTCTGCAGATGAAAAAAAGAGCTCAAGTCCCAGATGCTCAAACATACACTATTATTTTCAATGGTTGTTCGCAGCACAAAGATTCGGACAATGCCCTTGCCAAAGTTTTGACCATGTATCACTCAATGCTTACCGAAAAGGCGCCCATCCGACCCAATACGATACATCTGAATGCCGTTCTGAAAATGTGCGCAAGGGCAAGAAATATGGGGGCTATGTTCTCGATTATGGATCAAATGCCAAAGAAAGGCCTCTCATCACCCAATAATCTTACATACACGACTGTATTCAATGCTCTCCGTATGTACATCGTCGCTGGTCCCAGAGATAAGATGACGCCTATGCAACGGAGACAATTTCAACAAGAAAATATTCTGCATGCACGATATCTTTGGGCAGATGTTGTTAAGGCGTGGCGACAAGGTGATATCTGGATAGACGAGGAGTTGGTCTGCGCCATGGGCCGCATACTGCTCTCTGGAAACGAGCAAGACAACGATGATGTCCTGTCACTGGTTGAGCAGACTATGAATATTCCTCGACAAGTGCCTAGGAAAGGCACCATTGAGCGTTACCGTCATGATCCAGCAACTCAAGGTCAACAACCCACCGAAATTGTGGCCCTTAGACTAAAAGACCCCTCAAACCCAGATGTTGAACCTGCCCAGAAATTAACCCTTGAATCGAAAGATACCTCGACCCTAGATGTCAAACCTGCAGAGGATTTCCCTCCCGAGCCAATCTCTCCTGTCGTGTTCTCGAACGGCGTTTCTGATGTATACGCAGCGCCCCGCCAAAACACACTGTCTCTTGTCATCCAATCATTGACTGAGTTACATCTCAAAGATGTTGCTGCCAAGTATTGGGAACTTTTTTCGAATGACTACAATGTAGCACCTGATGCCGAGAATTACCATTCCTATCTACGGATCCTCCGCCTCTCCCGATCTAGCACAGAGGTTGTCAACTTGATGATGAAGATGCCTCGACAGTACATGCAAGCCAAAACTTTCCTGATTGCAATGTCCACTTGCTCTCGGGACAAGAACAATCGTCACGCGTTTGCTAACGCTGGCAAAATCCTCGACCTCATGCAAACCACCCTCCAGGAGCCCGAGATCTTAGCCCTACAGCACTACCTCGAGGTTGCAATGACTTCTCCCCCCCACACTGGCAAACAAAGTTCATCCAACAACAACGAGCCCAGCAAATACGAACAAGGAAGACAGATTGGCCGCGCCCTCCAACGCCTGGAACCTTCAATCCTAACTCTCAGATCATCGCTCGCCTTCCGCGACCCTAGTCTCCCAGATCTCGATCAAACAGCACGAAAGACATTCGTCGACAATATTATCGTCATCATGCGACGCATGATCGCGGCCTACGATATTCTCATCAACAATGCCATGGTACCGATGAAAGATCATCGCCACCTCAAGGATCGCAGAGGTATTCTTGCAGCGTTCGTGACGAGACATAAAGCTGGTCCTAGAAATGGTGCTCGAGTGGGCGGAAAGCCAATGGATGCTACCTCCACTGTCAACCCTGAAGGCCTAGCTCCTGAGCTGCACCGTTGAATGTTGAGGCGAACAATCTTCGAGCGGTGAGAAGGAGGGTCTGCTTCTTAACTAAACAGGCTAAGAGGAGACCTTTGCGCTACTTGGAATTCTGGTGATCTTGGTTTTCGTTCGCCACGAACAGATGGTCATTCTTCGGAGCCAGTCTGACGCACCTCATCTCGAGTTGTTCGTGTGCTTGGAAACGAAATGTTGAAGAAATAGTGACCTACGCTTTTGGCAGAGCTGGCTGTCAGGACAGGCGATTCATGTACATTCTCCATCGGGAGACACATACTCTCCCATACCATGTACAGTACTGTATACCACATAAAACCTAGACTCAAATCAAATTCTGGATAATGGATCCATATGGAGACCGTGTTTCATTGTCTAATGTGTATCTTCGTGTTGGATAAGAACGAGCGTCTCATAATACATGCAACCCAAAGCAAAAAGTCCTTGCTCCCAGTGATAATACTTTCATCTCGCCATGCTTTTTTTGATATCGAATGATTGAACCTTTGCCGCCACTACAAGCATGATAACGATACAACTCGCATAATGAAATGAAAGGGACATAAGAGCAACTCCTCAACGAAGACTGGGATAATGTCGACTACCGCGGTCTTCCTGGGAATATCTCTAGCGCTTCCTGCATCGTGCTAATTCTTCTCCAAAGCCAGGGTCAAGCTCCGTATCAGCATCACTCAGACCCGAAACATACGTGGGAACTCGTTTCAACGAATTCGTAGAATGTGAAGCGATTTCAGTGCCGACGCCAACATTTTTCTTCGAAGGACTTTGTATGCTCCTAGGAGTGGTGGTACGACCTGGTGGCATCGGGATTCCAGGAGACGTTGTTTGTCTGTGAAGAGCTGGCATCGCAGATTCGGACATTAAACCATGTGCCTTAAACAGATCAATCAATGAGCTGACCTTTGAGCCTTTGCCAAGTTGACTTTGGCGAGCTGCTTTACCGACGAGACGTATGTTCAAATCTTCTGGCGTTACTAAATCCAGGCTCTGATTAGACGCCATCATCACAGCCTCCAGGAGATCGGATTTGTTAGCTGCCCCAGGTTCGCCGGGGGTTGCTTCGTGTGGCTCGACCTGACTACATATGTCGTGTTCCAGCGTTGCGAGATTTTCTGTCTGCTTCTCTGGCTCGATCACTGTGGTATCTTTCAGTTCGGTACTTTCAGAGGAGCCTTCAACTATCTTCTCGACTTGCACGTCTTTGTCTGGTCCGCTATTGCTTGACATCTGGCTTGATTTCCGAAGCATACTTTCGCTGTATTTTGTGAATGGAAAGCCCCCAGGAAAAGATGTGTTCGAGCTCGATCGAGTCTGGGAGCATGTTGCGCTTGAAGCTTCGTTCAATTCATCCGCTTGAGCGTAACATTGTTCAAACTTGCCTCGCTTCTTTAGACTGCCATATTTGCTTCGCATTTCCGGCGGAGCCAGACGTATCTGCTCCCGACCCAAGGTGTCCGTCTGGAACATTCTACGTTGTGCCACTTCTGCCTCGACCCATGAACTCCACTCTGGATTTTGCTCCAGGACCGGCGGATCTTCTTTGTTGTGTCTTCGGCCGTTTTCGAGATCAAATAAAACATGGAGGCTCGGAACTGAAGTCTTGGAACCATCCTCTATGCCAGCTATATTGATTGGTGTCTGACTCATACCTTGTGAGACTTCAGAACTATCTAGAATACCATGTTGATTGCCATAAGCATACTCGATGTGCTCCACGAGTGGCATGTCGTTGGAAGAGTCTCCCACGATGTTAGCATGAATATCAGCCTTTGAGACTTGAAATGGTTCTGCTTGTAAGCATTTGCTCTTCTTTACGACCCCCAGATCCGAGCTGGGAAGCAGTTTGGTTGTGCATTGTGGTGTTGGATATTGTGAAGAGCAAATCCTGGATTCAGATTTAAAGGAGCACTCCAAATCTGCGTCAGAATCGTAGTTCTCTAGCTCTACTTGAAACATGGGTTGTCGTGATGGAGGGAAGAGCTCTGGATGTCTAGCCTTGAACTCTCGTCCAAGCTGCGGCCATGTCTTGGTGGCTTTAAGCTGACTCTCGTTGCTATCTTCAACCAAAATGTCCTCGCCGTCCAATAGAATGCGTGGGAGATGTGGATCCAGAAGCGCCCCCTTTTCCTCTTCTGGCGTAGAGGACAGAGACTCTGAATACTGGCTGCCCAGGAATTCGCGGGCTACATCAGAGTCGACCTCAACTACATATTCTTCGTCAGAGGCAGTCCAGCCGATTTCCCTTGTGCTTTCAAAAGCATCGTAGTTGTCGCCCTCAATTGCATATTCATCATCACTCTTCGGGCCGCAGCTGAGGCTCTTGGAGGTATCAAAATTGTCAATCGTTGAATCAACGATTTCTAGCTCCGTCCGAGAAAATTCGCCCCCAGCCTCTGGTTCTGACAATTCACATTCAGCATCACCGTTGGGAGAATTGATGGAAGTATCGTCTGCGAGGCTGCAATCGAGGGGGCTTGGCCGAAATTTTTCAAATGCTTTGGACGCAGACAATGTCCCTCGCATTGCAGATGATTCCGGTTTCATATCTTCAAGGAAATCGTGAGCCACCGCTTCAAACAAGCTATTTGGTTGTAGTGGAAGCCAAACTAGTTCTAAGCCTTTCATCTCCAGTTCCACAGAGTTTGGGGGAGGCGATTCCAAATTTTGTGCGTGGAGTATCCTAGTCATTGGATCGTAGACAACAAAGTTTGAGATCTTTCCCAGATTGTAGTCGTACAATGCAGCAACTGCTTTGGACTTGGTCTCGAATGTCTCAGTATGAGCAGCGGTATCCTTGCCGGCTGGGAACCGGACTTGAACCGCAGCTGTGGAGACAACCCGTCGCCGAGCGGAGTTTGATCCTTTTTTTGACAGTGGGACTGACTTACACCGGTCTTGCGTGAAGGCTTTAGGGCACTCAGGATCTTTTGACGTTCCTACTATCCTCTCGGTCGTGTGTGGAGGAAGAAAACCAGGACTTCCCTTGTTGTGGTGATCGTTGCTTAGACTTATGGGCTGAGCCGATGGTGAAACAGGTTGGTAAGGCAAGTCGAGCTCGAGTGAGTCTTGCAGGCGCCTTGTTGATTCCGGCAATCTGTCATCTGCAGAATCAGCTTGTTTGCAGAAGATTTCATCACAAGACTCGGCTCCGTCTTTCCCATTCTGCACTCGTTCTTCGAGGTTTTCGGGTCGCATTCCTCCAGGGCTTATAAGCGAGCTCAGTTGAAAGGGAACGTGAGCTGTAGATTTGAGACCTTCGGTGAAAGTCATCTTATCGCTGGTGCCATTTGTTATTCCAGATCTGCCTTTAGCAGATGTTTGGCCTTTTACGTATTCGGCGAGTGCGATTCCAAGGTCAATTTTGACTTGTTTAGAAGCTGGCATGGCATTATCTTCTGACCCAAAAGAGTCCTCAGACGAGTTTTCGACCATAGATATAGTGCTGGGGCTGATTACTGGAGATGGGATTGTTTTGATCGAGGCTTTGCATGACGAGGTCTAGGAATTGTCAGTATCTGACCTAAACAAGCATCGTAGTATCTGAACGAACTGCTGTCTGAAGTTCCTGCAATATTCTGCTTCCACGCGTCATGGAATCCTGCACATCATTACTGTCCATGCCGAACTGGTAGTTCCGATCGAACCGCGAGCCCAAATTCTCGTTGAAGGCAAGCGCCTGATGAAGTGAAACAGGTCCGTTCTCTAAAGGGTTAGGCAAGTCCTCGGAAGATTGATTCATATGGAAGTTCTTCGTCATCTTCGCGACTGTCAATTTGATGCTCCGAGCAATGAATGCCTTGTCTGTCTCATTTGAAGCTCTGTTGCCAGTTTCTAGACTTCTATACCTCTCATTTCGTTCTTGAAGCCTTTGCCGGAAATTTTCATCAATATTGCCAACATCCCAGGTCAATCTCGGGTCATAGTCTACGAATTGTACCTTCTTTCGGAGTCTAGGCTGGTCGTTCGCCTCGTGGTCAAGCCATGATGGAGGAGGCAATCGGATAATATCGTCTTCACTCTTAAGACCACCCCATTTCTTCGTTACTGGGACTATGCCAGCTTGAGGGGATAACCCAAAGTCAGAAGGCCTTGGACTTAATCTCAATAGGTGATTAGCTCTCGTTGTTTGCAGTTGAGGAACTCAATGTTACCTGTTTTTATCATTCAGGGGAGGTGTATAGTTGTCCGCTAAGAAGTCCAATGGCTGAACAGCGCTGTATTTAGCTGGCGATGGAGTTGGCGATGTGCGGTCTTGGCTCAGGCTTGATGCTCCGCTCGGAGATTCGCACGCTTGTATGAGTAATTGAAGATAAGAATCGGGAGTTCGTGGTCTATCCCCCTCCTCGTCCCTCATGATGGAATGACTCTTAGGCTCCTCTTCAGCAATCGTTGGGGCATTGCTATTCCCTATGCTAAGTTAGGCTCTGTGTTAAGCAATGAAAATGGAGCGTACATGTGGCAGTTGATTCAGAGCAAATTCTTCGCTCATCTGCAGGTGGCTCCCGTTCTCTCACGGCTGCCACAATATTAGAGCGAGAGGCGTGCGGGTTAGACTACTCACTTATGATAGTCTTACTTGGTGGGTTCTCAAAAGGGTCATCACCACAATCACTGTTCTCGAAGCGAACACGCAGCATCGGATGCATATGATAGATCGGCGCTTCAGCTACGTCTCGTGTAGTGGTATGTTCTTGTTTACTAGGAAGCCTTTCATCTTCCCGTTCGTTCTGAACACTCTGATCGACAATTGTGTCGGGAGTTTCTGACACCTTATCCAGGTAGCTGAGGCTCTTGGAAGAGAAGGATTGACGTTTGGTTGAGCCATATTGAGGTGAGTGTCCTCGAAGGCTTGCATTGAAAAGATTGGTGATACTCTTGCGTCGCTTCAACTGGGCTGACGGCTCTATTGCTGAGAATCAGTGTATGGCCTGTTCTGATTTTCAATGAACTCACCTGGTGCATCATCGCTCTTCGTCGGAGAAGCACTTCTTGATCTCTTAGGACTCCCTCCTATGCTCCAAGTGCGTTCTTTGTGCTTTTTTGGAGAAGAAATGCCATCGAATAGATCAGCTATTGATTTTCGTCGTTCGGGCTTAGTAGGGCTGCCATTATCATCTGTAATTTGGCTGTGGCTACTGCCTTTCAACCTGAATGTTCCCCAGATTCGAGATCTTCGATCAGAGAGAGTGGCGGGCGACTTCTGGGTGTTGCGATGGCGGAACGACCAATGTCCCCGCGATTGTTCTGAGGTAGGCGTTCGAGGGAAATGTCCGAATTCAGCGCTGATGGCAGCGGTCTGGCTAGGTGATGCTGAAGCCATAACGTTTCTTGCTCTATTAATAACCTCAATCAACACCGTATTTCAATGATCAACTCTGTTATGCTTGGACTTCCAGTGGAAAGAAGAAGCTCTAGTTATGTAGTAGGATCTTGGAAGTAATATTGCTTACCTATACCAAAACTAAGACCATGGGAAATGGAAGACTATGATAGTCGCTGTTAATCAATTGTGGTGAGTTGTGGTCTGGAAAAGGAAGAGAAGAGAGAATTTTCCCAAAGAAGTCACGACAGCACAATGGTAGCCTCGCGCCTTCCTCGTTTATGATAGGGGCAGGCAGCCTCGTCTCGGTTCACATTTTAGCGGCAAAGAGCCTCGCGAAACTCCGTTTTTAGATCCAACAGCCTTTTTCACCAGCCAGATCGCGTCGCAAACATCGACTCTTCAGCATTGGATCTTCCTTCCATTATTCCGGATTCTTAAGACCCAAGTTGTTGTCTCCATCGGACGGAGTCGTGTTGAAAAGCAGCAGATACTACTAACCTTGATCAACTAACCTGACAGATAAAGCATGGCTCCTACGAAACCAGCTCTCGATCTGAACGCGATGATCTCTGCCGGTGAGTGTTTTGCAACTGAGACAGTCTTCATTGCTAACAGCTTCGCAGATCGACAACGCCGCAAAAACGAGAGTCTCGCTCAGGAAATCTTTGGCAAGAACCGCAGAGCAAGTGCGCCAGGGGCAGGAAAGATCAAGGCGAAATCTGGTCCTGTACCATCTTTGGCCAGCCGTATTGGCGTCGCAGGTATCACGAAGGTATGGATAACAAATATTCTGGGCAGTTCACTGTTCTGATCTGCCAAAGCGAAGCGCGTCAATCTCAGCCAGACCAGCTCGAGCTGTAGCTAAACCACCAGCAGGCAATGTCGATGCTGAATGGACTCATGACCTCTATGCATCGAACAATGGTACTCCAAATGTTCCCCGTGGCCCAAGAGCTCAGCGCCAGAACCGCAACGATAGATTACACTTTGCTCTCAATGGTTCCGCTTCATCTCCAGCACTGAACAGCCAATTCAACATTGTCGGCAATGCGAAGCCAACAACTGGTATATCTATCAAAGGCCTTGCGTTGGGTCCATACATGGTCGTGGCAAAGAATTTGGCACCTGGCACAACAGCGGCTGATATTGAGAGTGCTATGATACCTATTGGTGGAGTTGTACTGAGCTGTCGCATCATCGCGGAACGGCCAAAGGTCATCGCAGAGCTTGCATTTGAGACGAAGGAAGGTGCCGATAATGTAGTTGACACACTCAACAATCAAAATGTAAGCAGCAAGGAGTCGGGCTATTGGGACCCTGCTGATTTGTTCCTTTCCAGGCCGATGGCAATATCCTCCACGTTTACCACAAAGTTGGCCCCCTCCCTGCAACAGTCAAAAAACAATTGAGCGCCAACCCTGCCCCCATCAGCCCTGCTCCACGCGTTGCCACCCCTCTCGGCCCTCGTGCAGATCGTCTAGACGCGGATCGGTCCGATGATAACCGCTCGTATGGAGGATCAGACCGATATACGCCCAGAGACCGAAGCCGCGAGCGTGAACGTCGACGAGATTATGACCGAGACGATGTCATTGACGGATCATACGGTTTCGCTGATTCCCGAATGGATACCGACAATGACAACCGCAACGATCGAGGCAGAGGACAAGGTCTATACAGTGACTCCATGATCAACAATCGCGGTCGAGGACGTGGCAACAGTTGGGATAGAGGTCGTAACAACAACGACAGGCGATCATACAGATGAAGCAGCACATAATGTTTGAGTAGTTCTACATCCAAATCTAGCAGTATTCCGAGGGACCTCGCACTATGCCACAGAAGTCTTGTGTCTGTAAGGAACAAGAGCATCTCAAAAAATTTCTCCAGAGAATGGAAAGGAAGTCAGTTTGGCGTTTTAGGAGCAAATGACGATTCCCACAAGCTGTAATTGTAGATATAGTAGCGGTGCTTCGAAATTAAATGGTTGCTTCATAATAATCCTGTTCCCAGAGTTCAAAGAAAGGAGTAACCAATCCCCGTCCAGAAGAAAACACAAAGGAGAGACCAAAAATAAGCTCCAACTGTTCACGGTACCATCATCCCAAAGAAGGACGATTCAAGCCCACTTTGCCCCAGCCTACATTACCCTGATATCACAAGCAGACGGAAATCTCCAAGTCCATTTCACATGGAAGCAACTCCTCTCCCCACACTCTACTTTCTAACTGATACCAAACAATCAACCTGACATATAAATCTAAATAAGTAGTCCTCCCTTTGTAAATCCATGAGCAGCATGACACTTCCGATGGATGGAGAGTGGCAGACTAAAGGTCCCGCTGACCCAAGTAGTCCATTTCCTCGATTCAAGCCCTAGAAAGGACAAAAAAGTCAGTTCTTGAACTCGAAGTCCATCCTTCGAAATTGACAATCTAAGATTTTAACACAAAATAATTAAATTCGAATTTATTTTACCTAAAAACTTTTTTTATTACAATATCTTCTACACTAGCTCTTTAAATTCGCAATCTATCCTTCACGACATTTTAAAAAGTGTTCGACTAAAAACTTTTTTGAAATATGTCTAGCATAGAATCTTTTCCTACAAACAACGCAGGTGCGGAAGATACTCCAGACCTACTAAAGATTCAAACGATGATAGTTTCGAGTAACACAGTGCGACAACCTCTTTTCTAGAAATATGGCGCCGGTTCTCTTTCGTAGCCGGGGACGTCTGTTAACTGCGAGCGTCATTACAGTCTGTCGTTCCCATGTGTTATACAAAAATCTATTATCTGGCTGTATGTTGCCTAAAAGAGGCTGCGTGATGTTAGTCCCTGAGGATGCCGCCAAGTCAGGCGATTATCACACAGGAAGTCCTTTTTTTGACTCCATGAGCATTGGCTACAGTTTCTATTATTTTGAAGTAAAGATTCATGCAAATACTGTTCCTTGCAACATGGCCACGCACTGATAAATCATAATGGTGTCCGTTCTGCTTTCCTTTTGAGCCTCCAATGGACTTTTCAGCCTCAACAGAGTGAGTCTCTTCTGCTCCGTATCATACCGAGGCAGGCTCCACAGAGCAAGAAATTACTCTATGGAGACCAACTCTCTTGGCCTGGATACTAAGAAATTCCTCATCCTTTGCTGCGAGTCGTCCTTCAATATCGCACGCCCTACCCGCCTATATCTCCCCCTAGGGAGCTTTTCAACAACCAAAAAGGTGGCTTCATGTCCCACAAAATCGGTCCATCCCAAGAAAACCAATCGCAAATCTTCTAGTCCTGGTTTTGACCAGTCAAAATCCAACATTATTTCCCCACTCGGAAGACGGTTGCCCTTGCCTGGAACACATACACGAGAATATCGACGATCACATGAACATTGGTCTCCACCGGGACATGTTGGCGGCTTGTTTTGTGGCCGCTGCAAGGTGAAAACAAGAGCCTCCAGAGTTAGAAGCGCATGCTTGACCTGTCCGAACGGCGCGTTAAGGAAGGTGGGCTCCACTACACAGTCTACCATCCTCGCGTTTGGGAGCTTCACATCGCCGAGATGGACACCAAAGGGGACAGTCGACCATGACCAGCTCGGGGACCCGGTTGGTTTGTCGTAATTCACTCCTTTGAAAGTCGTCTTCCTATCAAAACCCCCATATTTATTGGTGCTCCAAGCCAGGTGCTGTATTATCGAACTCTCCCAAAAACCCACGACATACCTGTCGCCCCAGGAATTAGATAGTTCAGCCACTACCCCAGCCAGAGCCGGAAGGCGGTCTGACATAAAGCTCAGGTCCCTCCGACTGTACTCTTTGACAAGCGCCGCCCATGTGGACGCCTGCATCTCCTCTCTCCTAGTCATCGATTTGCTTCCCCACGTCCCAAGGCTTGTATCGTCGTTGGGCTCACCGAGCACGGCACTCGGCATGTCTGGGCAGGAATAATCCTCGTATGATAGGTAAGTAGTCTGAACTGGCTTAAATCGCAATTCGCCACATTTCAGCAATAGCTGGTTCGTGTCGAAAATCAATAGGCGTGGTGAGAGAAGCATCTCCTGTAATGTCCAGCCCCTGGAGAACAATGGCTGACTGTCTTCCGGGACCACATCTCTGAAGCCATGCTCGATGATTTGTACTTCTCCGCATATTGAGTCGTCCACGAAAAATGGAAGATGTGCAAATGTTGGGTCGAAATTGGAGCCTTTTCCCTTAAGGAAGCTATCGGACGCTTGAGCAACCCCTGCGGCAGCAATGGTGAACAGGGCCTGCTTGTATATGGTACCCATGGAAGATAGTTGCCCTGCCTTATCGGTCTCGTCATCCTGGATAATGCAGAGGGCATCGACCCAAAGGTATCTCACGCCAAGCTTCCTGCATACCGTGATGGCATCTGAAATCGAGTTTGAAAGATTCGATGGCAGACACTGGATGTAGGTGCTGAGTGTCGCGGCCGTTGTCATGGTTTGTGGATCTTCACCCCAGCAGTAACTCAGGGCGGCGTATTCCCCCTTCTCGCCAGGTTTACTTATGTGAAGTCTTGGTAACGAAACCTCGCCTTGGCGGCCGACGTCAACAACTCGTCGCGGTAGCTCACGAACGAGGTGTTTTGGACAGAATTTATGTTTGTCATGACACTCCTCAAGCCAGTCGTGGATCACGTTAACGGCGGCAGAAGTCAGTTCTTTGCCTTGCCTTCTCCCCGGAACATATTTGGCCGCAGGATTATCTCGATGCTTTATGAGCATTTGTATACATAAGATAGGAATATAGGGACTTTTACATACCTTCAGATGTCACCAAATGCAGAAGAGGACAGTTCGGTGATACTCCTCCATCAAAGGGAATCATAACTTTGAGGGTACTCAGTTGCAGTTCGTGCAGAGGGTCACCAGTTGTCCCCCCGAGTGGGAGGGCCCCATTCCGCCAATCACAAGCTTCGGGGCTAGTCGAGCGTGAGCTGCCATCGTTGTTGAAGGCTTCATTGTTGACAGCACGGACAATAATCTTTTCGTCAGTAACCATAGTGAGTTCAGAGGCTTCGTCGTCTTCGAATACCCAGTCACGTTCCCAGTCATCATGCTCCGTCAAGTCCCATATGAGCTCGCAGAGTTTACAGCCCATGTCAGCCGATTGTCGAAGCTGGTAATAGCTGTAGTGGCGGTAGCCGTCTTCCACCAAGGAGCGGAGACCCTCTAAGGTACCAGTCATTTCCTGGCACTTGATACAGCATGTATCCCGACGCCGCCGCGCCTTCTTGTCTAGCAGGGCGCCAAGGTACTCTGAGCGTCGACGCTCCTCGTCGTTGTCTACATAACGATACTGCTCCTTCAACCTCGCCACTGCATCGCGGAAGATAATGGATCCGCCATTACCGCCTTCATCCAGGCCCATGACCACTTCGTATTCGCCTTCACACACATCGAAATTCCCTTCCTTTTGCCTTTTGAGACGTGTAGCAACTTCCTCTTCTCTAAAACAATTCTCTCTTTGTCGTTTGGAAAAATCACCTAGAGCCAAGGGTGGAAATTTCTCCTCCTCGTCGTTGTTCTTTAAATTGCAGGCCATTCTTGAACACATCCGACGTTCCAACCTGATAGCAGCGTCAGCTACGAGACAATTCTAAAACAGACGTCAAAATCGTCAGGCAAACCTTGGACGCTTTGGTGCAGTTATTCTCAAAGTTGATATCAAGGTAGAAGGTAGATATCAGAGCCTTAGGAGACATGGCTTGGCCACAGGCGGCCAGGCGCGTAGTGTTACATGTAGTGTGTAGGTGCACCTTTCGGCCACTTGAGATATCATTAAGCCTCAATTCATGCTGCTCCCAATGCGAAACAGATTGGGAAGCGACACCCCTGAAGTAAGCGGGCCCCGTCAAGACATTACTCGTAGTGTTTGAGGCGGTGCTCCCCATTGAAAGTTCTAAGTTGGAGGGAAAAGAGTTTGCGGCGGAGGCATATGCGAAGCTTCAGGCTATCATTTGGGAGTCGTGATGCAACAAAAGAAAGCCCACGCGTCGGAGAAGCTTCTCGAGGAGACTCTGAAGCTATTGGATGGATGGAATGAGAAGACCCAGCAACGTCGAAGATTGATTCAAAAGACCGTTTCCAAGGCATTTGACTTGCCTATGGCATCGGAGCAGATCGAGATTTGAATATACTAAATGCGAGGTTGTTGACTAAGATATATACTGTGAGACCGAGAATAATAAAGATTTAGTAACGTGTTAGTAAAACGAAGCAATATCATCTGAAAGTGCTTACTATAGTCTTGTAGCTTATAAGTTTAATGAAGCTATTAACGTATGCGCGCTCACTCGGGCTCGGCCAACACTATCAAGATTCCTGTGCATGCAATTCTCGCACACGTCTTTGAGAGCTGGTACTCTTCGATCACTGCCGCATCCATTATCAACGGTTCACCATGCACAGCAAAAACAGATCACAGCAGCAAAACAAGCAGGATGCCTCAACGCTCCATTCTCGATGCAATATGAGTCTTAGATTACACAGGTTGTTGGTTCCTCCTTTCTTTCTTGCAATGATGATTGAGGGAATTCATGCGCGCAAAATGAACTCCAACTCCCCATCCTTGAAATGAATCTCTTATCTCAAGGGAAGTAGCACGCAAGCAATCAATCAATCCATCTCCCTTCTTCCCTCCCTCGATGCAGCTATTCCCGCCCTAGAGGGACTCATCTCGACGTCGCGGTTTCGTTCAATGTTATATGAAAAAGAAAAGAAAACTTCCTACACTATCTTCGTTCGATGGATGGCTGGAGAGTGCTGAGCAGAACAATGCAATTGGGCACGGCCCTGTGATGTTTTTGTTTTTCGCATCGTGTTGTGCGATTTCGGGTACCAGCACACCAAATCGTTCCAACCTATCCATCCTGCTATGCCAAGCCATTTCAGTTGCCAGTATGTTCAAAACCCAATCTTTGAAGGCGGTGTAGTTGAGGCAAATATTAGCTTGGCGTCGCGATGCCTGCTCGGAGCAGGCGTTCAGAGCAAGTTATGCTCAATCAATGCCATTGGCTTTGTCCCATGAATCCTTCTTCCAGTGTGCGATCTTCCAAGTTGCGGATGAAGTCGCGGTTGCTTCTCTGGCCTTGCTGTCCACCTTGAGCAGCTCTACTCCCTCTCCTCCGAGCACTGCCAGGATTTCCATCTGGGGCGCCATCTGGGGGCGGTGGGTAGTATGCAGGGCTTGGTTGGAGCCGGATGGGTTGACTAGGATCAAGATGGCTTGCTACTCGCTGAATAGTTGCGGGGATACCACCTTGCTGAACCTCCATTGTAGAAGCTCTTTGACGACCAGAACGAATAGCTGCCTGTTGATAGAGGGGCTGTTGTTGTGGTGGTGCTGCTCCATACTGGGCCGGAGGCATTTGCGTTGGGGCCTGATTCATCATACCCATTTGATTGTAGGGTCCAGCTTGTTGTGAAGGATACGGCGGTGGGGCAACTTGATGGCTCGTGCTTGGAGAGTATACGTTATTGTTGGTATTGTACATGGGCGGTGGATTCGGAGCTGGTGGGAGATATTGAGCATTAGGGACCCCGGCAGCGTACTGGTTCTGCGCAGCAGCGTGCATTTGAGCTGAGTGTGCCTGAGCTTGAGCTTGTGCCTGAGCAGCCTGTGCTCTTTGCTTGCTAAGGGCCTCAGCCTGCTGCTGCTGTTGTGTTCCAGGCGCTGGTGACCGATTGATAGCGCTCGATTTGAGATTCATAGGGGGCACGAAAGGCCCGGTGAACTTCTGTTGTGTAATGAAGGGATGCAATTTCGCTTGTTGAGGTGACCATCTCTCGAGAGGATTGATGTTGAGTAGCCCACGGACAAAGTCAATGAATGCAACACGGTTGTTCATTTCTGATAAATATTAGTAGCGAACACAAGGTATTACAATATTTGACTTACCTCTGTCAATCTCGTTCTGCTTCATGTTTTTCCTGGGCATAGCGTAAGATCGAATGATCTCTGGTAATGTCGTCGCCTGGAAATACTTCTTGCTAGGTTGCTCTTTCGTCCCATGTTCGCGAGAGTACTGTTCCATGCTCTTCAAGTGATACGTCCGTCGACCAAAATCATCTACGTCGTGTCTCTTTTCGAAGAACTCACCAGACTGCTTCCCCATCTCCAACATCCAATTTGGAGGATTGCCTAACATTTCGACTATGCGTGAGACCTGATTGTACTCCGATGAACCTGGAAACAAGGGAAGTCCCAAGAACAGCTCCACCACGATACAGCCCAGTGACCACATATCAATTGCAGACGAATATGGTAAACCTAGTAAGACCTCGGGAGATCTGTAAAATCTCGACTGGATGTATGTGTAGACCGTCTGGCGTTCGTCGCAGGCAGATCCAAAATCGATGATCTTGATGATAGGACTTTCGAGATTCTTGAGGAGGATGTTTTCGGGTTTCAAATCGCAATGGATCAGTCGAGCTTTGTTCAACAAGCTTAAGCCATTTAGCAACTGCTGCGCAAACACTCGTACAAGAGTTGTGCTTAGGCCTCGGAATTGATTCTGTTTGATCAACTCATAGAGGTTGACACTCAGCAGCTCGAACACTAGACACAAATGCTGTCGATGAATGAATGTATCCTTCAGCCGTAGAATGTGGTGATCGTCGTTCTTATCGAGCTTCGTGTTGAGCTACAAATTTGTTAGTAAGTCAGATTGAGAATACCCGGAGAAAGCAATACCAAATCAAGCACTGAAACCTCCATCATACTCTGGTTGAAGTACGCAGTCCTGTTTTTGACAACTTTCACTGCAACAACTTCTTGTGTCTTCAAATTTTGGCACTTGACTACCTGCCCAAAGGTTCCTTGGCCGAGGACATCGAGGATGAGGTACCGGTTTCTGTGGCTCTCGTCAGCTTTCCAACTCTTCAAGAATATGGGAATGTTAACCTCGACACATACTTATGACCTGTCTCCTCAGACCCAAGAATGTCATTCACGTAGAGGATATAGTCACTGTCCTCATTGTCAAAGCCGTCGTTCTTCACACCCTTGCTCGGTTTTGTTAGGACTCGGCGAGGATTTCGAGAAGATTCGTATTTGAAGCTAGGATTGCATATGCGGTATGTCGATGGCAGATGACTCGTGAGAGCTTGTAGCGGCTACAATTGAATATTAGCGCCCGCAATTCCAACACTTCTTGTGATATACATACACTGATAAATCCTCCTTCTGGATTTGCCCTTCGGAAAGCTGGTTGCAAATTGACCTTGGGCTGCAAGTCTGCGGCAGATCTAATCTTCGTGAATTCAGGGACCGGCCCTCTACCAGGAGGTCCTTGAGATTGCACAATAGGTCTTCGGGGCGATTTGGGGTCATTGCCAAAAACTGCGTTCAACTGCTGTGTGGCAGAGGCCGGGTATCCTTCATTGCTCGACGCATACGGGGTGATCGGCGGTAGCTGCTGTGCTTGCTGACGATTTGCGTAATATGAAGTCGGCGATGAAAAGTTCCCAGGTCTTGTTGGAGACTGTCGAGATCCATACTGACCCTGACCTGTTGGTGAAAGTGTCTCCATAGGACTGTATCTCTGAGCTGCTGCGGAGGGTAAATCGTTGCTAGCTCGTTGTGAGTGATGCGGTCTAAGAGGATACTTCTGCTGCGTATTGTATGGATCCCCAGCATCTTGCATAGCTACGTCGCCGTTAGGAGATGCGGAATGTGAATGCGCCAATCCGCCCTGATATTGCTCGTAGGTATAGCCAGCTACTTGAGGGGTTTGACCTTGAGCTTGAGCGCTCCCGTTGTACTCTCGTTCTCGCGCCTGGGCAGGAGGAGGGTTACCGTTGTATCGGTAGGACTGCTGCCATTGTTGGTCCATCGCGATCAGATATTACGAAGAGGTCCTGGGGAGGTCGTGGTCCGGTTCGCAGGAGGCTGTGGTGGGCAGCAAGATGGGAGCACTGTCGCGCCCGGCGTGAGATGTGAGGCGTGATCCAGTTGCTGGGGGGAAACGCGATAGCAACGATATTTGGGTCGAAAGGCCTCAAAGAGGCAGCTACAGTTGGAGATCCAAATGCGTGGTCAATGATGCATCGCGAGTTGTGGATTCGAGGGAAGTGTGAGGTCTTAGGAGTGACGAAGGTTGCCCTAGCGTCAGGTTGGTGAATGAGAATCCAGACACTGCCGAGAAAACAAAGCAACAAAAACCCTCTCACACATGCAACGTTAGTCCACAATGATTCTTCTGCGCGCTTGCTTGAGAGATCAAGTCATGAGTAAGAGCAGAGCAAAGAGCTGGTCGACATTATTCTTCACTTTATTTCTGCAGAGTCACACATTTTGACACATCAATGTTGAGGGGCATTCTGTCACGGACTTTTTTTCTTGCTCCCTCCAAGGATGGTTGGACCATTAGACGCGGGCTTCGTGGCTCCCAGGGTCATGATATCAAAGTGGGTACGGGACGTATGCAATCCAGGCAATCCAAATATAAGTTTCAGCTTGGTAGGCTGGTCTTACTCGGGCTCTCTCCTGTGCTGATATTACTGTCCCCAATGCCGGCCGCCTTCGATTGTCTTTCTACAAGACATGGAAAACCGCATAGGTTCACCTCAATCTCGATATGAAGTCACAAAATGGCATAGCTCCATGTTCAACACTCTCCAAGCTCTCGACTGGTTGGGCTTGGCTTCTACCTTGCAGCCCAATATGCCATGGCGTTTTTCTGGATTGTGGAACCGAGACGGCATGGCTGCTCGTCAGAAAAAGATTCGCCTGTCAGGATTCCTTCTCGTATGCCTGTCCATTTTGGGACACTTACATCTTAACTGGTGGCTCGACGATATCATGATGAGGTCCTTCGGATTTGATAGGTGAGTATGCTCGAGTTGTGCTCTCACTCTGTGGAAAAGTGCCTATGGAATTCTCTGTCAATAGCTTTTCCAATTCTGTGGAAAGTTGCATTGTTTGGCCTCTATAAAAGAACCAGAGCTAGGGAGCTCTTTAAAATTAAAATACGCGCTTCGTTCCCTACTTAGGTACGGCACGATGGGTTTCCGAAGCTTCCCCACAACTAAAAGGTCACACAATGGATTCCCATGGGTGAATAATGCCAGCGATTTCTCCAGAAATTTTGTTCAAAACAGCAAACAGTAAGTCGGCGTCTAACAAAACCTCCAGAACCCGAGCGTCATGATTGGTTGGCAGCAGGTGAGTGCATGCGCGACTCAGTACATGTTGGCTTTGCGAGAACATACTTTTCACATTGACCAGAGGCAACAAAAGTATGTACACATTGATACATCGGGTCAGGCCAGGGTATCTATAAACCATACTTAGACGGTCGTCCCATAAAGCTCCAAGTATATAGACCTGGCTTTGGTGTCATGGAGACAGGTAGTCTTTACTGTATTGGCGATCTATGCTCAAGGAAAGGAGAAGTTTGAAAGCAAGTAGTTGAAATATACTCCAAAGATAAATAATGATAATAATCAACAACGAATCCCAGAAGACTTGAATTCAAAAATATTGCATTTTGTTCTTTCACGTGAACACGAGGACGAGGCTGAAAATTAAGTCGCGAGAAGGCTGTTCACCCCTGTCAGCAACTGCCTTTCATCAATGACGAATGCGGCATCTCACCACCAAAGAATTTCTACCATCAACAACCTTCATGCGACATTCTCGGTGGTAGGTACAGGTGGCATACAAAACTTCGCCTAGATAATACAGTCACTTCATACTGGTCGTCCTTTCCTTTGCTTACCAGCCTTACCTTCTCTTGAACGAATTCACTTTCGCTGCCTGCGCGACACATTTCACCTCAACATCGCACGACGTGAAATATTACAAACGCACTCTAAATTCATGTCGACTCCTGCGCTCTTTATCTAATTTCATCTCGCCGTTCGACATGGCTTCGCAAGCCGAGTCATCCACTGCCATCAAAGCCGAATCGAGTCCCTCACCCGAAGCACCCCTCCATAATGTCAAACTTCATCGAGAAGAGACAGACACCATCGCAGAAGCTGCAGCTGCTATCGCAGACGAAACCTTCGAAGAAGAAGTCAAGGATGAAGTCACTACACCGATCGACGAAGCTGCGGCCCTCGCTGGCTTGACGGAAGATGTTCGTGATCAGGATGACTTGGAGCGGGACATTACCAACCAAGCCAATCAAGTTATGATTGAGCAAGAGGACGAGCGAGACCAGAAGCGGATCGAGAAGGTTCAAAGTAGCATCGACAAGCTCGAGGCAGAAAGACAACGTCAACGGCGAAAGCTCGATACCCTCAACAACAATGCTATGTTGCGCAAACGATGCATGGACGAGATTGCGAGAATTGCTGCCAACGTCGCCGCAAATAAGCAAGATATTGAGGATATTCGGGGTCGTATTGATGCCAGGCATCAATATGATGGGATAGATGGAGAGCCGGATGCGGCGGGTGGCAATAAGAGAATGCCAAATGAGAGTCAGAGAGACTTCTTGATCCGAACCGGAAAAATTACTCCTTTCTCTCGTATGCAAGGCAGAGGACCTGCGGAGTTGAACGATGATCTTATAGGAGCTCTAGCAGAAGCTGAGGAGGAAGCTGAAGTAGCAGAAGAGCAAATTGCAGAGTCGTCAGAGCCAAGATCACATCAAAATCTGCGGTTACCAGGCTTTGCAGATGCTGTCGGCACTCATGAAGATGTTGCAGCTGGCGAATTTGGCCTTCGACCTCGGAAGAAGAGAAGACTAGGAGATGGCTCTGCTACATCAGCGCCACAAACTCGCGGATCGCCAGCATCTGAAGAAGACTTCACCCCAGGCATGTCTGAGGCCGATGACGATGATCTTGCTGGAGATGACGAGGATGAAGATGATCAAATCATGGCTAAGAGCACCACCAGAAAATCATCTAAGGGGAAGGGGAAGAGAAACGTCGACGAGACCGAGGACAAGGTCGACCTTGCTGGTATCGATGATGGTAATGAGTCTATGTACCAGGCTCGATTGCAGAAATGGGTTGACAGTCGAAGTGCAGCTAGACGGAGAGGGTCTCAACAGGACGAAGGTAGCGAAGATGAGGATGCTGCTGACAGTAACGATGAGAAGGAATGGTTCAAGCCCTGTCCTGGAGCGCCTGACCACAATTTTGACAACGGCCTCAAGCTTCCAGGCGATATCTTCCCTGCACTATTCGACTATCAGAAGACTGGCGTTCAATGGCTTGGAGAATTGTACGCTCAACAAGTCGGTGGCATCATTGGCGATGAGATGGGCCTTGGAAAGACTATACAAATTATCTCATTCTTAGCTGGCCTTCATTACAGCAAGAAGCTCACTAAGCCAATCATCGTTGTCGCTCCTGCTACAGTGCTTCGTCAATGGGTCAACGAATTCCACCGATGGTGGCCACCTCTTCGAGTCTCAATCTTGCACAGCTCGGGTAGTGGTATGCTTAATATCAGCAATGAGGAACGTATGGAAGAGGTCGAGGACTACTATGGCCGAGGAGAGAAGCTGTCGAAGTCGTCCAAGGCTGCTAAGAAGATTGTTGACAAAGTCGTTAGACATGGTCACGTTCTAGTCACAACCTACGCCGGTCTTCAGACTTATGCAGATGTTCTCATTCCAGTCGATTGGGACTACGCTGTTCTTGACGAAGGACACAAGATTAGAAATCCCAACACGGCCATCACCATCCACTGCAAGGAACTTCGAACTCCCAATCGAGTCATTCTTTCTGGCACGCCTATGCAAAATAATTTGGTCGAGCTTTGGTCTTTGTTCGACTTCGTCTTTCCCATGCGCCTCGGCACTCTCGTCAACTTCCGACAGTCGTTTGAGGTTCCTATAAAGATTGGTGGTTATGCAAATGCAACCAACCTACAAGTTCTGACTGCTACCAAGTGTGCAGAGACTCTCAAAGAGGCCATCAGTCCATATCTACTGCAGAGATTGAAGGTCGACGTAGCCTCTGATTTACCAAAGAAGAGTGAACAGGTTCTATTCTGCAAGCTCACGAGACCACAGAGAGAGGCCTATGAGTTGTTCCTTGCTTCGGACGACATGACTTCAATTATGAATCGTACTCGCCAATCACTATACGGTATCGATATCCTCCGCAAGATCTGCAACCATCCTGATCTTCTTGATCCCCGATTGAGAGGCAAGCCTGGCTATAAATGGGGAAACCCTAACAAGTCTGGCAAGATGCAAGTCGTGAAGGCTCTACTGGAAATGTGGAAGCGCTTTGGGCACAAGACATTGCTTTTCAGTCAAGGTGTTCAAATGCTGAACATTATCGAGGAGTTTGTGAAAAGTCTTTCAGGCTTCAACTATCTTCGAATGGATGGTGGTACGAACATCAAGGATAGACAGACTCTGGTCGACCGCTTCAACAAAGATCCTGACCTTCATGTCTTCTTACTCACTACGAAAGTTGGCGGTCTTGGTGTCAATCTCACAGGTGCGAATCGGGTTATCATCTTTGATCCTGATTGGAATCCCTCGACTGATGTTCAAGCTCGGGAGCGTGCCTGGCGTCTCGGTCAAAAGAAAGAGGTCACGATCTACAGACTGATGACTGCAGGCACAATCGAGGAGAAGATCTATCATCGTCAAATTTTCAAGCAATTCCTTACCAACAAGATCTTGAAGGATCCAAAGCAGCGTCAAATATTTCAGATGAAAGATCTTTACGATTTGTTCACTTTGGGCAGTACAGAAGAAGGCACTACGGAGACAGGCGAGATGTTTAAGGGTACGGAGGTTCAATTTAACACGGCCCCTAAACCAGCTGCGATTGAGGATAACGTCGCTGTCCAGGCTGCCGGTTCAGCATCTGCTGTCCAGAACGACATCGTCTCTCAAGACATCGTCCAGAATGCAGGCTCTCCTGCGTCGCCACAGGGAGATGCAGACGCAGAAGTTCGCAATCTCACTGGTGTTGCAAGTCTCGAAGCTTTTCAAGGCAGTGAGGATGAAAAGCCACCTTCTGACGAAGCCAGACTTATGGAAGGTATCTTCGCCAAGTCTGGAGTTCACAGTGCTCTTGAACATGATCAAATTATTAACGGCAAGAAGAAATACGCTCCGGACCGCAAAATGATCGAATCCGAAGCCAAGAAGATTGCAGCTGAAGCCGCAGCAGCACTTCGCAAAGCAGGAGACGCAGCACGAAGCATTGCTCCTGGCACTGTCACCTGGACTGGTGAGTTCGGCTCTTCGGGTCGCCCAACGAATATTAGACGCGGAGCAGGACCCAGCTCTGCAAGCGTCCTTGCCGGTCTCGCCGACAGACAAGGCATCACAAATTCCGCGAGCGGCAGTAGTTCTCGTTCCGGCACGCCTGCAGCTACAGAACGTCCAGCGGCTGGTAAGGACTGGATCAAGCTAATCCGCGAGTACATCAAGCGCCAAGGTGGTTCTTGCCCCAGTCAAGCTCTGGTCAATCACTTTGGTCGAATGTGTACCACTGCCGCTCACAGTGCTCAATTCAAGCACATGCTTGTAGAAATTGCAGTCCTTGAAAAGGGACGCAATTCTCGAATGAGAGGTAAATGGGTTCTGAAAGATGAATTCAAGTAGATAATTGGGCTTCCGAAGAGCTTCGGACACAATAGTTCTTACGAGGGCGCATATTGCATTCTGATTTTATATTTAGCGAAGGCGTATCGAGGGTTTAGGCTTCATGATACTAAAAATGCTGCAGATATGGGATGAGGACATAGAAATGCATAATAAAAGCTGATCTCAAGTCTTGTATTGCCTTTTACTTTGTGAAGTCTAATGATTTGTTCCTGCTTTGTTTCCAGCCTAGCACAAGACCCCTAAACACACTTCTGATATCTGACAATAATAACCTCCCTGATATCTAAAGACCTGAATGATAGTTAGCCTCTTATGTACCTACCCTTCTCTTCTCCATCCATCCATCCATCCATCCATCCAGATCTACAACCTCAACGTCCGACTTGTGTACCCATAGAGTCGCGACAGAGGCAACATGGTACTGCTCCAAAACCCTTGATTTGAACCACTTGAGGACCTTCAGAAGAATTTTGATGTGATTAAAACACTCTTGGATCGATTCCAAGTTTCGAATCGAATATATTTGACTTATAAAGTAGTATCGGAGATAATGGTTATTTTCAGCTTGAAAAGTGGAGATTCTTGGATGAGAGAGAGGTAGGTGATGGAGGATGTTGAAGGATGTTGAAGGGTGTTGGTTAAGGGATTTGTAGTGCACGGCTAGGGAAGGATCGTGGTGTTGTGGAGGAGCGAGGGGTGGATGGTTGAGTGGGGATTAGGAGAGATTGTGGGGAGAAGGGACAGCAGGTGAGAGGAGAAGGTAGAGGAGGACAAGGTAAGGTAGCAGGAAATAGCTAGCTGATTTCATGGTTGGCACTTAGGGCAGAGAGACTTTGCTGGGGAGGGGGTTCGATATCGTGACTGGCGTTCATCAGCATGAGGAATTCGTGGTTAGATGTAAGATCTTACTTTAAAGCGAGAATCACAGTCACAGAGAGCAAGGGAACCCAGAATAGTTTTAAGAACGGTTTTGTACGACTGATGCTGGCTGGCATGGCAAACGAATTAAATATTTGTACAATTGTGTATGTCCTCCACGACGAATCCTCCCCACACATGCTTTCCCTGAAGAAATCCCAGATCTGGCAACGTAGGTATCGACTCCAGCCTCCCCAGGACCCGCCCTCCACCATCACCCTCCCGCAAAATTACATACCAGCCAGCCAACATCAGCAAAAAAGGAGAAGCATCGCGCGCAGTGATCCCATAACCATGTCAACGAGTAACGGACGGATCCACCATCGTAGGACAAGTGCCAATGCGAAATGCAGCAAGCAACGCAACGCAAGCAGCAACAACATGCATGCAGTAGCCCCTCGTTCTCATGAGCCATTCGCTCAAATACCGAGATGCAAAAAAGGAAATCGAAGTATTGACACAAAGCTTTTAGTCGTTGGCCTGAGCGAGTCGGTCTTCAATTCCGTCCCGCAGGTCAAATCCCGTGAGCCAAAGGAAAATTTCGCAAATCAGCAACCTGTCTTCCCACACACCGGCCGAAATATGCGCAGGAATGAAAAAATCAAAGAAATTCTTGAGGCCGAATGTAGTCTATGGGTCGAATGTTGAGGTATCATCGTATAGTAACAGAGGAGGAACTTTTAAGACACGTTAGAAAAGGTCCGCCGCAAATGCAAGATTAGCCCGCCGGTCTATGCACAGAGATTATGATGCTTTCGAAAACACTTTTGTGCATGTCATCGGATGATCATGAACCGTTCTCGTTCTTGTCATCAGGCTTGTCTGCGTTTGCAGGTGTTGCCTTAGACAAAGCCGGAGAGACGGACGTAGAAGGTGGTGACGTTGGATCTCCATGGTCGCCAGATCCCAATCCTGCTAGTAGACTACAGCAAGTTAGATTGAGCCAAATTACGAGGATCTGAATGTGACATACCTGAATGCATTTGCGGAAGTGGCTGACTCCTTTTCCTTCTGTTGAGGTGGTGTGCCAGTTCTTGATGAAGCTCCAGAGTCTTCGCCTCCTCTGCTCAACGAACCACCAGGACCCATCTTTCGTCCACTATTGCTACGTGATGAGAACATGGATGTGGGGCCAAAAGACATTTGCTGACTCGAGGCGCGGTTGGTGTTCTTGTTGGTAAGACGACGGAGATCATCCATGCCAACAGTGTTCTTCTGGTAGTCTGGTGGTGGTTGATTGCCGTACTGGTTCGAGAAATTTCTCGAGTCACCACGACCCATTTGCATGCGTCCACCACCGCCACCGCCGCGTTGACTACCTCGGGCGTTCTCAGCAGCCTTTTGGGCGGCTTGAGCCTCAGCCTGCTTTGCGTTAGTATATGACTTCAATGCTTTTGATAAGAAACTTACCTCTGCTCGGACTTCTTCGAGTGTCTTCGGACCCTTGTTGGTCTCCTTGGAAACCCAATGCTTTCTTCGCAGGTCGATGATGTCCATGAGCATGAATCTCAGCCGACTTGGGAGTTCAGGAGTGTCGATCATGGTCTGGATGCGTTGGAAGTAGACATCCATCATTGGCTTGCCCTTTTCGGTGCTGTCGAGGTTGGCACCGATTGTTCTCAGAAGCTTCGTCAATGACTCGATCTCAGCCTCATCAGGAATGCCGGTGTAGTCGACGAGCTTCTTCACACACTCGTGCATGATACGCTCTGTAAGCATGCTCAACTTGTAAAGCTCACCAATGAATTGGACAAGACCAAGACCACGACGCTTGGCGGCAGCGGCAATGTAGTACTCATCAGAGAGCATGACTGCCTCCTCGGTCTTCTCCTCACCGCGCTCACCTTCCGGCTTGTCTGGCAGATCCATCTTCCAGCCACGCTCGAATTCCTCTTGACATCTATTCAGTAGGTACTTTCTGAAGAGATTACCACCAGAGACGATGTTTCCATTCTTGTCCAAGATGCTCTCATCCTTGATGTCGGGACTCATTGTCTCCAACATGCGCTTGCAGAATTTAGCATACATAGAAGCCCAATGAGCCTCGTCAGTAGCCTTCTCGAAAGTGAGTTGAATGACTTGACGCAGAGTACGTCCGTCAGCCTCGTCCTTCGATTGTGCTGCAATTGCGAGGATTTGATCCGCGATCTTGTCGAATTTCTCAGGAGTCATCTTATTCAGAGCAGCCTTGACCTTCCGCTGGACCATGTCAGGTTCCATGTGACCAGTTCCACCTTGCGCACCAGGAGTAGGGCCAGCAGCGCCAGTAGCCGACTGGGAGGCGCCGATGCTGCGGGGCTTCCAGCCAGTCTCAGAGACCTTGATGGGCTTGAGTTCCATACCGGCAGTGAGAGGCATTGTCTTTGCGGCTTGGGCCTCAGCTTTGGAATTGGTACCTTGGTACTCGCGCTTGCTACCGCCACCGCGTCTGCTTTGTTGGCGCGGAGAATGAGGAACGTTGTTCATGTTTGAACTAGACGGAGTTCGCTGCATAGGATTGCTGCCAGGGAATCCAGCGCCTCCTGGGCGGTTGAAAGAGGCCATGGGATTGATGGGAGGTCGAGCCATTGTGCCATTGGCCATTTGGAAACGCATCTCGGAGGTGGTTCCGGGAGGAAGAGTCTTGCCAGGTGCGCCGGCACCGAAAGAACCCATGGCAAATGCTCCGGGTGGGTTGTTGCGGGTGGAATTTTGTCTTGGACCCATACCACCTGGTGTTCTCGTCGAGCCGGTTCTAGCTGAACCTCCGTCACCATCGCCAATGAGAGCCTTGATTTGAGACTCGAATTCCATTGATGGCTTCTCGGTGAAAACCTTCTGGAATTGCAACAAGAACTCTTTGTCGTACTTGAAGCTCTTGCCCTTGGTTGTGACAGCAGTGTTGAGCGCAGGATTGGGAGAGCTGATATTTGGCGGGTAAATCGAGGAGTTGAGAACCGTGAGGAAGCGAGCTGACTTCAAAGATTGAAGAGCGGCGCTCGGTTGCGGTGGCTCAACAGGCTTGGTGTTGAGAGGAGCAAGATTGAGAGCAGCAGGCTTGCCACGTTTCTCAGAAGCGTTGATCTTGGGAGGTGGACCCATGGAGTCATCAGATGCTGGAGTCGATGCACCACTGTCTGTTCCCAGAGTGAGGTTGGAGAGCTTCGATGCCAAAGTGCTCGGGGTATTGGGAGCATTCTTTTCCTCCTCCTTTGGCTCTGGCTTGGCAGTCTTCTCATCAGCCTTAGCCTCAGCTTCAAGACGCTTCTTTTCACGCTCATCCTCGAGGCGTTCCATCTCACGTTCGGCTTCTCGGAGCTTGCGGTCATTCTCTTCAGCCTCGGCCTTCCGCTTCTCTTTATTAGCCTCTTCAGCGGCGGCCTTCTCTGCAGCACGCTTGGCTAGCATTTCAGCTTCCTTCTTCTCACGGGCGGCTTCAGCCTCTTCCATTTCTCGGATCTGGCGTTCGAACTCTTCCTCTTCCTCCTGCTTGGCCTTCTCAGCAGCAGCCTTAGCCTCAGCCTCTTCCTTTGCCTTGGCTTCTGCTTCTTCCTTAGCCTTGGCTTCTTCTCGTGCCTTTTCTTCCTCCTTCAGCTTGGCCTCGGCAGCTTTGGCAACCTCCTTCTCTGCAGCGTCTTTCTCTGCGGCAGCCTTTTCGGCTTCCTTCTTGACCTTCTCCAACATCTCAGCCTTTCTCTCCTCCGAGCTCTTCGTGCTGATGCTGCTGCTATCAGTTCGGATATGTTGAGGGGTTGAGGACTTTGGTGGAGGAGTCGGGGTGGAGGACATCGCGATTGGAGGTGTGCGAGTTCTTGCACTAGCACTTGGAGCAGGAGAGGCAGGTGCCTTGATGCTCTCAACGTCGAGTGCTTCACCGTCAGGTCGTCTGATAGTGATCGCAGCACTCTTTCTGGCCGGTCTAGAGAAGGCGTTAGAAGAAGGAGTTGCAGCACCCTTGGGCTGAGGAGTGTTCGTGTGAGAGATTGACGGAGTCATGGAAGGTGTCTGTGGCTGTCCTCCCATGCTCGAGGCTGGTCGCTGTTCAGACATTTGAGAAGAATTCCTGGACATAGGCTGTGCTTGAGGAGCATATTGGCCTGGAACATATGTTTGCTGGTAGTTGTTTGGCATCTGGAAGCTGGGTTGTGGTGATTGTGGGGGACCAGAAGTCATGTAGCCCATGTTTGCCATTTGAGGATACATGAAAGGAGCGCCTTGCATTTGCATGCGGCCATCGAATGCTGGCTGTCCGTAGTATGACTGCTTCATAGTTAGATATCTGTCGAAATCACCACTAGCAGGCGACAAATCCATCTTCTTGATGTCAAACGGAGTAGAAGGAAGAGGGGGAAGATTGGGGAGCATAGGAGTGGAATGAAGGAAGGGATTGGGAGGCAATGAAGACGAGTCCACAGAGACTTGAGGTTCCATAGGAGCAGCATGCAGTGGCATTCTATGAGGCATAGAATGCTGCTGGGCCATGTGCTGCTCTACTGGTCCTCCGAAGTTTCTCTGGCTGTTATCACCAAGATTCTCACGGTCTGGTGGCATACGCCCATCCAGCGTGTATTCAACCGCGAAGAGCTCTCTTGCGGAATCTTGTGTGATCCGAAGGCGACTGTTTGAGTACTGCTCATTGTTCTTCGACTTCTGCTTTTTGCCTTTGTAGGAATGCTTTTCGTTGCGATGATTGAAGGAAGAAGTAGGGCGTACATTGGGGGTTTGCATGTATTGCGTGTGTGGTGGGTAAGCTCCGTATTGGTTTTGCATTGGCATAGCTGGGTTCGAGTTCGGTGTGCCAGGCATCGCAGGAGCAAGAGCGGGACTTCGTGCAGGCTGAGGCGAGTTTGGGAATTGCTGCATTGGTCGAGGTTGACCTTGGAAGGGAGGTGCCATAGCATTGCCGCGACTCTGATTCTGAGCTCGATATTGTGGGTTCGAGGGAGGGAAGCCGCTCATCGGTTGCTGCTGGTAGTTCTGATTATAGGGGCCACCTCGTCCACGACCAGCTTGCTGGAAGCCACCACGTCCCTGAGCAGGACTGGATTGGTTATTCATCTCACCTTGCGTAGGTTGCGAAGGTTGGCGAAGATGTCCTGATTGCTGGTTGCCAGGTGCAAGATTGCCTTGCGAACCAGATGGGTGACGAATGTGACGCTGTCGAGGCGGCTGATTAGTAAAAATTTCGGCGCGAAAAGAAAAGAATATCAAACTTACCTCTCCGTCGCCACCAAAGCTGCCAAACGCGACACCGTTTCCGCCCTGTCCCAAACCAGATGGAGGTCGTCCACCGCTCGCAGATGGAGCTGGGATTGGAGTTGGCGAATGCGAAGGGTCGGTAACTCTTGGGTTCGAGATTGGAATCGGGGCCGAAGCAGCAGGCTGTGCGCTTTCAGGAGTGCTGTGAGAGACCTTCGGAGAGTCATGAATAGATCCAAATTGGATATTGTTCTTCGCTCCACCGACTGGGCCACCATTCATACCGTTCGCTGAAATTGTGACTGAACTCTTGCGGCTGTGTTCGCTCGAACCATTGATTGCAGAGCTGCTATGCGCGATAGCAGGTGCAGAAACTGCCGGTACAGCTGGAGAGACCGAAGGCTTGCCGTTCACCGGCGAGATCGAATTCGACTTTCCATGTTGTTGCTGTACCGGCGCAGCACCTCCGACAGCCACGACGGGAGAGGGAGTTGAAGACGAACCCGTCGCGATCGGTGGCGACGAGACGGCCTTCTTTGCGGTGGAAGCGTACGACAAAGTCGATTGCGACGCGCTGCTGATCGAGGAGGGCTGATTTGGGGTTTGGGTTTGTTGAGGGACAGAAGTCATAGGGTGAGATGTTTCGAAGGTGACCTCGTGTGCGTTGGTAGAAAGGTTTGTATGACGTATCGCGACGAGCAAGACGATGCGGGATATCCTTCGCAGAAGGGCGACCGGATCTCAGACCTGATCTGTTCTATTAAGGCGTGTCGCGGAGACGGTGTGCGGAGGAGTGGAGAGCAAAGGGAGTCGAAATAAATCGCTACCTGGGCGAGCAAGATTGGAACCTGCGAGGCGCCTCTCTTTTTTTTTCGGGGATGGGGATTGAAGGAGTGTGTCGCTGCAAATCGTCGAAACGGGCGCAGGCGAGATTATTAAGATCGAAAACCGGAAAGGTATCGAAGGACTGATCCTGCCGCGATAGAATCTTCTACAGAATAGAAGATTGTCGCCGGATAGTATTTGGGGGAGATGTTGTGGTGTTTCTGAATGTGCAGAAAAGAGGATGAGGAAGGGGAAATCTCGTTCGCTCTCTGGTCGTAATAATTTTTGCTGCTGCTGCTTAGGCTCGCTTAATATTTTAGCTGGCCCCTTCCGTTTCTAGCAAGGCCCAGCCAAGACGTGTGAGTGAACGGGGAGCACGGCTGTGTAGGGCCAACCTTGCACGCAAAAAAAGATACAAAGACTCCGATATCCAGCCAGTCAGACTGTGCAAGACAGGATGCGGGTCTGGGATGTGAAGAGGTGCTCAGGTTGTCCGGGTATCAGATGTTCGGTATGGAGATGGTCGACGGAGCATGATATGATACAAAGTCTCCTCCTCCCGCACTCACTCGTCAGTCAATTATATCTGCCCAGATCTGGACCCTGATCTCCATTTCCATTCACAGAGTATAAGCAAGTCACAGTCTGGAAGCTCTGGCCGACTCACGATCATACCACAGGCACACTGACTGACTGCACGCATTCTTTCCTTCTGTTCTGGTGGACTCACAATTGCATTCTTCCTCACGGACTCACGAGCTCACTGGGATCCTTCAACTCGTTCTTGGTCGTATAACGAACAGACTCACACGTATACTGCGCCCTGTTGTTTCTCCGATTCATGACTCCCCCTCGACTCTCTTCTTCTTCTTCTTCCTCTTCGTCTCTCCTACTAGCAAACGGACTCGCCATTGGATTTGGAATGCCTCCTTTTCCCTCTCCTCCTCTACAGTACCACCCATGAATTATGGCTGAAAACGCTTTTTGGCCCTTCACATCCAGACTGGCTAGCCAGTGGTTCAGGCCCGGCAACGCGGCCTCCCTTCTCGAATTTCCATGAATTATGGCTGAAAGGAGCAGACTAGTGACCGTTCCGACGCAGCCTGTATTGTAATCCAGACGGCAACGGCAACCAATTGAGGCCCAAAGGGGCATTTCTTTTCTGCCCAGTCTCAGCACACTATGCATCAGAATAGGCATAGCGTGATTCAAAGATCTGGAGTCGCATGGCAGCACGAGCACGAACAAGGAGCGTAAGCCCAGCATTCTATCATACTGCATTGTTCCGATGCTGATGGATATCTCCTAATTCCAGATTCTAAATCCGTACAACTTCTATGCAACGCTCCTAAAACTTCCACTTACACAAAATATTCTTCTCCTCCCACGCTGATGCCGACATAATATTTTTTTTTATCCGGCTAGAAGAAAAAGTAAACCCAAGACGATCAGATCACGGTGCTTGGCCTCCCGAGCCATGCTGGGACGACTCCTTCAAACGCGCTGGGACCAGGACCAGGACTGACCCCTTGTTTGTTCCTTGGGCGCCGCCGAACGATTTATTCCCCTCTTTCGTCCGACTTGCTGCAGACCCAGCGCACAACTCAAAGGGAGAAAAAAATCCAGAGAAACATTTCCCGCGAGAAGCAAACAAATACCCCACTCCATCATCAGAAAAGGGGGTTTTGTCTCTCTGGCCAGGATACGGACAACAGAGGCAAAATATCCTAGGGTGAGTCAAGATTCAAGCTGAGACTATGGATCAGACTACTAGCTTTGATCCCTCATGTTTTTGACTTTGACTTCTGTGGCACCTTCAAATCTTCAACAGCCAATACATTCCTGATGTACGGGAAGCCCATCCAAGAGCCTCCCATGCTTCATTCTCTGAGTCGCCCGACTTCTGCTGCGTCCGCTTCGAGAAATGTAGTCATGACCTGAATCGCCCATGAATCAATGGCCACAGAACGGAATCGGATGACAAAAATCGTAGAAGGTCTCTTGGAAGCTTCGAAACACTCGCCGTGTGCCAGTGCCACAATCAGCCGAAGGTTAGGCAGCCCTTTAGAACAACTCATCCCTATCTTTCGCTGTGTCGTGGGGCAGAGGCAAACCACTCAAATCACCTACTATGGAATACATCCAACCTCATACCACGAATTCGACTGCCGGCACAGCACACGCGAAAGCGAATCGGTCTCCTCCAGAGCCTGCTTGGCTGACTTTACGTTCAATAAAATCTTCTGAGTCATACTGACAACCATTTGTGCTTCGCCCTGCTGCCAGTGCCATTCCATTGCTCACTTGCGTCGGCAAATGCATGCAGTCAGTTCAGTACAGTACGTATCTGCAAGTTCCAGTCCCAACGCGGTCGCTACTCCTGAATCAAGTAATCAAATAATTTTTATTCGAGAAACAAAATCCGTCAGCGTCTGCTCGCTCAGATGCGGCGCAATGCGCATCCAAACCCCCAAAATACGGGCTCCCGTGAGGCGTTCTGCTCGTGCAGACGGATTGCACCCGATCCCACCTGCACCGTGACGACAGGATCCTTCCCTTCTCTGCAGCCCAAGGCCCCCAACCAACGATCCTCAACCAACATACAGAACGAACGAACAAAAGATCCTTAACTCCGTCCCACCACATCCCCCGAAAAATAAAGAAAGAACCCGCCTTGCAGGCTTCCATCATATTTCTAGAAAATCTCGCCACTTTCTCCCGGCGTTACACAGTCCTGTAACTTCGGATGGTCGCTCTTCCAGTGATATAACTCCTACAGTACTTACTTCTAGATATAATATCAAGTCCACTATCAACCACTTTCCAGAAACCCGAAAAATCTTGAAGCAACCCCCAGCAAAACCTGTGGTGGAAATTACTTCTTCCATCCTTCCCACCCTTCCAGAAGAAGCCCCCGAACGAGCGCAGCTCCTCGCCTAATAGGGCAGCGCAAGCGAAATGTCTTGCATCTGATCGCCAACATTCCATTCCGCTGCTGCGGGTGAGAAGAGCCTCATGGTAGGTCGGTGTGGATTCATATGTGTGCTTGCATTTTTTCGTTGAATGTCTTTCTTGCTAGAGAAGAAGAAGAAGAAGAAGAAGAAACATTCTCTTACGTGCTAGATGGTATAGATACTTATTCTGCTGTTGTTCATGCAAGCCACCGAGCGGTGTGCGAGGTCCCGAACCCCCTTTTTTATGTCTGGTTTTTATGGTGGGTTTTGGGTGAGGATGGGTGAGGGTGAAGGTTTTGTGATGGGTGGTTTACGATGTGTAACAAAAGTTGGGCTTGCGTTGTGGAGTTTTTCTATCATCGTGCTTTCTGACGTTTATGTTGTGGAGGGATGCTCCTCACTCTGCTTGCTGCTTTTCTTGCTCTGAAAATATCAGGCCGAGAAAGGTCAGCTTTCTTCTGTGAAGTATCTTCGTTGCATGTCAGTCTCTCAATGCTACCATTCTTACTATTTGCAGGAGGCATCACATATCTGGACTCTGGGAACGGATTCATGCTGTGACAGCTTCTCGAGCGAGCAAGCTAGCCGCGCTCTCTGGATCCGCACCAAAATCTATGGATGCATTAAAATCCGAGAGGGCTTGACCAGAGTCAAGAAACTTAATTGGAGTTCCAGATATGCTGCAGAAGTTCTCACCTGGCACTAAAGACGAAAATCAGTTCGCCTACCAAACATTCTTTTCATGTCCCACCTGGAGCAAGACTCGATTTCAACTCCATCATACCATATTTCTTCCAACATCACACAGAAACATACACAATGAAGCAGACGTCGAAGAGATTCCCATTCCCTTCCAAGCACACACCCCCATTTAATCACTTAAAATCTCGACCACACATGTCAATCCTACATGCAATAATTTACGTTCATGTCATCACGTTCTACCAAGGCAAGAGAAGTTTGGGACCGGCCTCCTTTTTTTGTCTGGAGCCGAAGCCGAGCCCCACCATCCGAAGTCTAGAACCATGGTATGTATCTATGTCAAAGTCATCGAGTTTGGGTGTGACTTCACCACTTTACTTCGCAATGTGGAGAGTTTGCTTTATCGTGGGTTGGGTATGATTTGTTGTGGGGAGAAGTGCTTGGACTTTGTATCCACTCCTTCCTTCACAAGTTTTCAGGGTCTTCTCTTCCAGAACAGTACCCGTCGCCTTCCTTTGTCTACGGGTGTCCTTATTGCACTTCAGAAATATTTGGCCTTGTTACTTTTTTCAAATATTTTCGAGATGTGGTTATTCAATTTGAGATTTGCTCTGTACTCGATCCTCGTAACAAATGCAACAATCTGTTCTCTAGACAAGTGCATAGCATATTTGAAGACTTGATCTGGTCGTGTACTTTCTACTTCTGGACAGAACTTTCAAAGCAATATCCTCCCATTCGAATTCACTCCATACTCAATCCTTGTCACAAATGCATCTTGATATAATTCACTTATTTACCATCCTGTTCCTGACCTCCCTCCACAGAAGATGGGCTTCCTCAGCTACTATAAATTAACCCACCTAGTAGCCAGATCAACTTTCTCTCCTTGCATATTGCAAACCACAATGCAATACAGCATCCGCTGCGGTTGCCCAGTCTCTCGGGTACAGCGTCATTCTAGAGAACCAACTCCACCAGAAACCTGTTCCTGGGGGAAATTCCTCTCGCCCAGCAAACATTGTTTTCGTCACGGATCTTCTGCTGTCAAGTACCAGATTGGTGTCAACATTACCCATTTCAATTTCTATTATAAGCTGAGAGTTGCTTCCAAAATTTAAGCAGTAACGGTCTTGGCGATGAAGTTTCTGAGTTGGTAATGGGCCCTGGAAGGATGGGAGATCAAAGGCTTTTCCTGTATGTGTAGCCATAGATCCAAGGAAATCAAGTATGAAAATAGCTTATAGGTCAGTAAATTCGTCTGAGATTTCTTGCTCCATATCAATAAAGAAATACAAAGCTCAGCTTAAAACCCAAGAATGCACCCGCCCCCGCAAGAGCTCTACCCGGGTGCACCCGGCAGCTCTGTACCCGGCTACAGTCCGGGTTTGGGCACACCCGGCGACAAGTATGGCTATTGTATCGGGTGTAGATTTGTTTAAGAGATCTTGCTCCATATCAATAGGCTTCGGAAGTTGACGTGCCATCTTGAAGTGGAAGAGTGTGTTGAAGGCAGGAGTAAGAAGGTTGAGAAACGACATATTTATAGACGTCTTTGGCTCTGAAATTTTCTCGTGATTTGCTTCATTATTCACGCTTTTTTGGCGATTGAATAGATACGAGTTGTTTCTTGCTCCATATTAATAGGCTTCGGAAGTCGTTGCGCCATTTTGAAATGAAGGGCAAAGGAGTGTGTTGAAGGTAAGAATAAACAAGTTAAGTGAACGAAATAGTTGCAAATATCTTTAGCTTCAAATCTTCCCGTGGTTTACTCTGCCATTCACGCATTTTCTGCCGTTGAATAGATATGAGCGTTTTCTTGTCATGGAAACCTTTCGAGTTGAGATCTTGGTGTTCAGAATTCACGTATCTTCAGCGCATTGGACAAGGAAGTCGTGTCTCCCATTGTGGACGCTTCTGCTGCATATAACGATTCACCCGAATTAGACGCTTGATCGAAGCAGGATTTTCTTGCGAATCTAGGCGCCTCAGGCGATAATATATTTTTCTCGTGGGCAGGAGATCTATAAATCGCGGGGTCGCTTCACAGAAGATTGCAGCAACTCCGAGCATCGCACACCAATTCATCACGGCTCAACCCGTTTCGGTGCAGTGTTAAAGTGAGGGATTTTCTGAGTGGGTAGATTGTCATTTGTTTGCCAGGAAAGGTTTGTTGTCTGGGTGGTGGATGTATTGATAGTGGAGCGGGGGTTGGCCATGGAAAAGAAGTTGGCAACAGGAAGGGAGTTGACAACAACAAGCAGTTGACAATTGAAGGTTCATCTAAGGGGATGGATGGGAGGAGGAGGAGTGAATGTAATGTCTTCACCAATAGCCAACTTGTCCTTGGGTTTTGTGATCGAAAAGTGAATTGCAACGGCCTGGCGGGGGAAGTAAAGGGAGGAAGGGTATATAACACCACACCCAAAACCAGAAGTAAGTGAATCCACAAACCCACCAAAACAGATAGATTTTGTGAGTTTATTAAAGTGAATTTTTTGACGGCAAAATCGTTTGACTTGAAGCAAAATATATAAATACCCCCCTCACGGCCTTCCTTTCTCTAAATTATCCACAAAAGAAAGCAAAGAAGAGGTATCTGGCGGGAGTACCGCCGTCTTGCATTTCCAAGATCTCTGCTTCACCATCTAATAGTCTAATGAAATGACAACAAACAAATACTTGACAATAGGACTAACCCTTTATCTCAACATCCACAACGCCAAAAAAATAAGGATCGAAATATTACCCGGCATGGCCTGGGAAACGAGCAAGAGTAGCGGTGGTTTATATAGATTTTCAAGAGAGAGAGCGGTACTCGATAATAAGAGTGAATGATTGATTAAAAGCAGACACTCGACAAGGAATTGTGAATAACTGCTAAGAGGGGATGCTCGATAAGTAAGTGCAAGTGATTGTTTGAGAGTGAATTGTTGAGGGATGCTCGATAGGGAATCGTGAATGTTTGTTTGGATTGAGGATAACTCAGCCGGGCACAAACTCTCGGAATGAATAGCATGTGTGACATCCACCTGAACTTTCACAGACTCAAATCCGCGCTACTTCGGACGCTCGTACGAATATTGGGACAACCTCCTTGTATAGTCGTAATATCCATGTATCATACGAGCTGGTGGCTCGGAGGATGTGCCAATCTTGTCGCGTATGAATAGCTCTTGGATGAGATGTCTAAAGAATCCCGTGGCTAAAGTGTATGTGCACTTGGGATAATTAGTGTGGACGAGAAAGTACGTGAACATTTTGGTATTGGACGCCAATTGACTAAGATGACAACAAACAAAAATCTCAACAACAAAACTAGCTACCCACCTTATCCTACCTACCTACCCCGAATAGAATACGAGGATAGTTTAGCATGACTTGAGAAACAACGAAGATTGAAGCTCGCCAAAAATACTCTGTAGAAGTCAGACATCAGAACCATCAAGCACTGGGCAGTCTGTCTTCGGCCTATCTGTGATGTTATTTGGATACCATTCCAAGCAGAAAAACCTCTCTTTTATCGTCACTAGCGTGCTTTGGGAAACTTGGTTGGCTGCTGACCGATGAGTTTGGGTGAATGGGACTGTAGTGGGATAAACGGAGAGAGAGGTGAAGATTTGTGCTTGCTTGCCTGCCTTGAAGTGGATGTTCACTCTAGCCAAAGTCGGGAAAAGTCGTGAAGTCAAGGTACTTCTTCTAAAATGCTGAAGTAGGACCTCGAGACCAGACGCTTCGACACGTTCAAAGTTGGGATCTAATCTAGTCAGTCATGGCCCCAAGCAGTCTTAACTTACCTCAGCACCCGAACCTTACTTGACCTGGGCATTAATTTCGAGAACCCTCTTGACTTATCATGGGTAAAGCCATAAATCCAAGAAACCAGCATAAGAATTAACAAGAACACTGGAAATATTGATAACAGAACTTTAAATCGTTATGACCAACTGGATTGCCATACATACACTGCCCGACCCGACACCTTTGCTTCCTGAGCCATAGCCCTCGAAGGCGCTCCGGAACGCCAATTATCCCACCATGTCAAATTTCGCTCCCAGCTCCAGACCTGCCAAGATGCATCGAATACCCCGAACCCAAATGCAATAGACGCTAATGCTACCATAACAGATTCCCATTTATCCAGATCTCGAGTTGGTGGAGATTCAATATATACGCAAGTAGAATGCATCCGATGAGGACGAACAGACTAAGGCCGGCTAGTCACACGACGGTGCATCCAGAGCTCTGACTGCTGTGCAGGAAGAGGAAATGTCAGCAGTTGCTCTAAATAAGAGCTCTCGCTCCTGCCCCAGAAATGTCTTCGTCCCCGTTTGGCACACATCGTCGAGTGCTCGGTCTCTGCCCTAATATCTCCTCTGTTTCAATCATTCTCCATGTCAAAGTCTGCAACTTCGTTGTCTTCAAGTTGAGGCTGAGGGCATGTTTAGATCTCTCTCGGATCTGTCTGTTGTTGGATGAAGACTAGGTCAAAGATTCAACATGACTACAAAGGACAACCTGCTCCCATGCAGCTTGAACCGAGCACTACTTCCAAATCTTCCTTTCAAGCAACCCATCCAGATCTCGCAACTAATTCCAAAAAGACATAAAAAGGAGTATAGGTATCCACATCCTGGCAATTCATGGATAGGACACCGGCACTACCGGCAGGGAAGATGGAGATCAACCGCCTCGATATTTATGACGGGGAACATACCATCTTTGTTTTTCAATCACCCTCGCCCACAATGCGCAGATCTTGAGCCGTTCCCGAACACTTGACGTGTGCAACAATCGATACTTTTCTGTTTCCGACAGAGGGAGGACGTTGGCGAACCACCATGGAAATATTGCTGGATCCTCGGGTGGTGGCCCGTACACCGCATATACTCTACTGTGGAGCCACGGAGCAGATTCGCCCTCCATCTTCTTGACAAAAGCGTAACATATGTCGAAGAGGGATTGAGTTGGTGTGACGTGCAATTCGGCTCTGTCGCTGGCAACGGTGGCTGCTTTATCAGCCTGGGATCCTTGGCTAGTAACAAGATGATGTGGGGGTGCGTTGAACACGGCTTGTGCGGAGAATGGTCGTTGTGGAGGTGCGCTGGTTGTTTCTTGAATCTCCAATGCTTCTTCCTCTGCAATGGATATGTCATCTATCCTCACGATATTTCCAACCGTGTATCCGTCTTTAATGCCATATTTCAGAACTCTAAATTTCGAGACACCCTTTGTCTCCAGAAGACTTCGGCCATCGGGTAACCTTTGTATGCTCTCGATCTCTAGCAGGGTCCCGTACTGGTAGAAATGTACTGGTCCGAGGTGACCTTGAGGTTCTCGTTGAGGATTATGCAGTAACATACCAAATCTGCCGTCGGTCTGTAGCGCGCGCTCGATCATGAGTCGGTAACGGGGTTCGAAGACGTGTAGAAACGTAGGCATTGCCGGGAAAGAGAGCGTACAGACAAATAGAGGGGTGCTCAGGTCTGATTTGGGAAGTTCCTCATCCAGTGATGATATATCCGCCCGTAGAGCCATGGCTTCTGGGAAAAGACCAGATGCGATCCTAGCAAGAGGTAGATTGATAGGAGGATTCTTCGACCGGATAGTAGGAGCAAGGACTTGAGTCGTTCTGCATGTCGGACATGACAGGGAATTTTCTAGTACTGATTGTATACAATTCCTGCAGAAAGTGTGCCCGCATGTAGTGGTGTGTGGCTCCAAGTACACATTCCGGCATATGAAGCAATCCAACTCTTCCCTTATAGCCTCTTTCATGTGTTCCAAAAGTGTAGAGTCTAGATCTATAGACCTCGCGTTGGTTGGTGACATCGGTATGTATGTAATTTCTGACTCGTATGCGAGCTCTCCCATCTCTGCCAACGTATAGGTTGCGCTCAGTCTCCCACCAGGCAATGTTCGAGACCGAATTTCATTGCCTTTCAAAGAAGGTATTCCGGCCATTGCCCAACTGTCCTGCTCTTCGACGATGGTAAGAACTTCGGAGGCTTCAGGGGTGATCCTGCATTCGTTGATACCTTTTTTGACTGTCTCCGTGATTGCTTTCAGCACATAATCCGTCCCACAGTCTCCAAGAACATGATCACCCCCACATCCCGGCACTGGACACTTGAACCCTTGCAAACGATGCTGGGGATATGAGATATTTTGTCGTGTGTGTGTCTCCGTTGGCATACATTTCCTGCATATTGCATTGCCGCATGGCAGAGCGACAGGCTGTACCAAAGGATATGAGCAATTTGGACATTGTATCAATCTCACAACCCGTCGCGCGTCTCTCGTGGCGTCCAGAGGACCATCTTCGTAGGGGATATCTGAGCTCAGCGATTCGTTGACCTTGCCAATTGTTGATCGGTTCGGAACAGCAGTGTTGTTGAGGGGAAGTGAGGACATCAAAGGCGGTTGGACAGGCTGATACGCTGTCACTCCTCCTGAATCGTTTTCTGTATGGATGAGGGGACCGGCCCACGGGCTCGAAGTGCTCGCTGAAGTTGCCAGTGTATCTGCCAGCTTGTCAAGAAGGAGATGGGCGGGAGGAAAATCTGATACGTATATGTGCGGGTATCGTATTGGCAACGCGGATGACCAGATCGTGTACGCAAGGAAAGGAAAATGGACATGGAGCGATTTTAAGAAGACATTAAATCAGAAGTTAATCATGGCATATGGTGGATGGTGTATTGAAAGAGGTCATTAAAGAAAGGCTTCAAAAAGCATCGGATGCAAATGCCGTCAGCAAGCGCGGGTAGTCATGGTCGAAATGGAAGCGGTGGGAAGTGGAAGGGGAAGTGAAGTCCGAGAGACTGGTCAATGATGTCTCGAACGCCACACATGCGACGACCTTGATAAAGTGGGGCGCAGACCGTTTGGGAGTATCCATCGAGATCAACCTGCACCCACGAACACTCAAAAATGATTCTTTTTTATTTATTTTACACCAGCCCTTCTACAATTTCTCTAATTCGATGAACAACTCTCTACATTTTTCATAGCTCACATCTGATCCACATGCATCACCATCAACGTCCCCTGTACAGTTACATGTCAACCCCTCCTCGTTCCTGTCCATCAGCTGGCACCCCTCCCACCGCACGCTCTCACACATACAACAGTCGCATTCGTACTCGATTTGATAATCAAGGCCGAATGGAGCGAAGACGAATCATGTACGTACATTATATAGTATGTCGTTCTCGTTAATGCTTCAAGGTGATTTGTTAAAATACGGAATGCAAACGCAACGATCCTCTCCCATGGCAAGATCGTGAGTAACAAGAGAGATCGCAGCCATCGAAGCTTGACCACAAAATGGTGTCCGCTGCTAAGATGTTAGGGCAGAGCAGCCTCCAGATATCTCAGCCACATCCGATTAATAGTGGGTTGCAATATATCATCATGTGACTGAGCTTGCTTCTCTTTCTAACGAGTTTTCTATTTACTTATCCACGAAACTTATGCAAGAAATCAAGCGATTGAACATTAGGACGTTAAGAGGGGACACCTGTTAACCCCATCATGCACATCACTCTCTCTAGCATATGTCAATATCAGATTGTCACAACACCACTTTTTTCTCTCGCTTCACATGAAGCCGTCATCGATTCCCCCTTTCTTCTAGCAGCCGCTTCTGATTCGTCACAGTCAACCTTCTCTTGATGTTCTACATCTCGGTCCCGCAAACCAGGAAATCTCCATTCCGGACGTAGGTTGCATAAGCTCAGCTTTTCTGGAAATCTACCGACGCCGACTAGAGTCTAATGAACCAAGACTCAAATCAAGACTCAACCCAATACCGGAGATTCCTCCGCTTCCGACGACGATCTGTGGCGGTGCGTACTGTCTATATTTTCCTATCCGGGACTGGTCTTTCTCCAGATTCTAGCTGTCACGGCATTCTTTCCCCTGCTCTCGTATCATATCAGATCCGGGCTAGACACGCGGATGGCGGATGCCCGTCGTTCGGTGCTCGCCGGCTCTTCGTCAGCCAGATTTAGTCTGCCTGCTGATAGGACAACAGGACACTGAACTGGTATCTGCCAATTTCAGCATATGGGGTTTGTTAACCAGCAATCATTGAGCGAGGAGACAAAGCGAGTTAGTTCCTGAGTTCGAGCAAAGTAGACGACTACTATGCTTACTGCCACTAACCTCCGGTACCATTCGGAATACGGGCGAAGCCAGTGTCAACAACGCATGGCAATGGCTACCACTTGTCTTCTTCCTAGCCGGGCAAGTTGCAACCTCTCCAAGTAGCAAGACCTCAATTGCAATTCCGAACTCATTCCATGGTTTGAACCACCGTCACTTATTAGTTACCTAAATCACGCAGCTTTGGTTTTTACTCTTTTCTTTCATCTGGTGCTTTCACCCAAGGCTGGGCTTTTTTTCTCCGCTAGATACGAGCTAATCAAGATTTTTTACTTCCCGCTTTGCCTACTACATGATACTATCAAGATTAGCCTCACATTGAAGCGAAGAAAGATATCAAGTAATGGAGTAGTAGCTTGGCGAAAGAAGAAGCTTCCTTTAAAAACTCCCCCCCTACCCCACGCTCTCATCAAAACATCCATTGATGTCTGAAGAAGATAGGAATCCCACTTGCAACTTGACAGAATGCCAATTCAATGGGATGTCAGGCTTATAGCAAATATGCAACGAAAGTCTCACGGTCTAGCAGCGCTTCGGACATCCGAACAGCGCACCATGCAGCATTGAACAAGAACTTTCCTGAAACAAACCGGACTTTCTTCAGACGCCGCACAGTGAAGGCTTTCTCATTTGGAAAGTGGCTAGCTATCCACCTGAGGCGTAGTAAATTTTCCTTCGCAGTCCGAAGAACTAAAAATATGCAAAACTCATTTTCAAGGTTTTTTAAAGCTTCCAAAACATTATACAACCAACATGAACACATACCCCATTCCCACCCTTTTCCATACTCAAACAGGAACGTCCTTATGTGCTGGCCACGCATTAATCGTATTCTTCGCCTCCGCCCTCTTTACACCTGGCGCCAAGTGTCCTCGCTGATACGGGAATTTCTTCCTAAAATGCTCTGCAATTTGCGTCCTGGTAGCAACCCAAACACCCTCATGACCGTTGATATATTTAACAATCTTCTTCAAGGCTCCGAAACGACCTGGCTTGCCGATACAACGACAATGAAGAGCAATAGTCATCATCTTAGGCGAACCTTCGCAGCCCTCCTCATACAGTGTATCGAAAGCTGACTTCACATGATCGTGGAAATCTGTTGGTGATCCAAATCCAGTTGGGACATTGAACTTGTAGTCGTTGCAATCTGTTTCCTCTCATCAGCACTGTCTCTCCCCCACTACCAAAGGACATACCATAAGAATAAGGAAGCATCAACATGCCCTCCGGCTTCTCGACATCCTTCTCCGCAGGAACATCAACCCAATACGGCAAATCATCCGCATAAGAATCCGCCTCCCACAGCAACGGGATCCCCATCTCCTTATACACATCCCACACCAGAGCATGTGACCTACTCGACAATCGCCCATAATACCACCCCTTCGGCGGCTCCCCGCAAATCTTCGCAATGGTCTCAATCTCCTTCTTGATATACGCCTTCTCCTTCTCCGGCGGCATGTCCGCGTAGTCGATCCAGCGATACGCGTGGGATGCTACATCGTGGCCGTTCTTCACAGACGAGATGCCCACGGAGGGGTTGTCTTCGATGGCTTTTCCCACTGCGTAGAGCGTGTATTTGTAGTTGTAGTTGTTGAAGAGGCGGAAGAGGCGCCAGACGCCCGAGCGGGAGCCGTAGTCATATTCTGATTCGATGTTTACGGCGCGTTCTTGGACTTTGGGCGTCCCGCCTGGGGCTTCCCAGAGGTGGGTTTCTGAGTGCATGTCGCCATTTAGGACTGTGTGTTCGGCGCCCTAGGGTGGGAGTTAGTGGGAGGAAGCGGGGAGGGGACGGAATTGGAGGAGGGAAAGCTTGCCTCTTCGTAATTGATCACGAATGACACTGCAATCTTTGCTCCATTGGGCCATTGAGGATTGAATGATTCCTCGCCATACCCAACCAGATCTCGAGGGAAATCATAATGATCATCCCACTCAAAAGGCTTCACTTTGAGAGCTTCGGCCGAGAGACCATACGGAGTAGACATCTTGAAAATCAAAAAACAGTGCAATTGATCTTGTACAGTGAAGAGAAAATAGAAGAAAAGAAGGAGAGCTTAAATATGCATTCACAGGAACAGAAGCTTAGAGCTACATCACCTCATTAAACATCTCCACATGAGCAGTTTCGTGGACGAGAGCTCCAGGGTCTCGGGCATGAAGCTTCCTGATAAGAAGGCCGCGGGGTAGCTGTCACCAATGGAGGGGCAGGAATTGGGTTATCGGGGCTGATAAGAGTGTTGATTGTCGTTGTTCCGATAGATGTCCCCACTCTTGAAGAGAAGGTTTCGCCGCGCTCTTGGTAGTAAGCTGGGAGACTAACAAGTTCCCTCGCTTAAAGTCAAAATGACTCCAAAAGAATCATGAAAAACTTTAACAAAACATTAACAGCTCATCATGATGAGACGGGTCATGATGAACTGCTTAGTACAAGGGCGAACCATTGTTTATCCTTAGCGGCCTCTTTTCGGTACGGGTGTTAACCATTCCTAATCCGGCCTTGCTTTGTTTTGAGCGGATTACTATCTCTTAAATCTTTATGCTCTAACTCGGCTGCTAATTCTTGGAGTAAGAAATCCTTATTTAAATCTATATGGGAGTTAGCTAGAGCTAAGCCGAAAGTAGAGGGAGCAAGCGAGCTACCTACGTAGGACGAGTGATGGTGAATGTAGCAGCCTTGGTCTATCTCCTCGCGGAGCTGTGCTTCTTGGTGCAAAGTCGAGCAAAGTCAAGGACTTTGTGATGATGTGGATTCTTAGATTCATGGTATTTTATGAATTCCAGAGAATTTTGAGTTTCTTTCGTTGTGTTTGTCGTTGCATTACAGCCGCTCCATTTAATATGCGAGCACTTCAAGCGGAGGCGACTCATCTTCCTAGTTTCCAATAACAGCTTTATAGCATTTCGTAAAACTGTCAACCATAGGACGTGTAGTCGAGACGTGGATCATTGACGCTATCGTGTCAACCTCCCCTTCATGTACAGACATTGAAAGCTCAGATGCTCTGCCATGTTAATGTCGACGAAACGAATTGCGTCTTGATATTCCACGAATGTTCTCGAATTACGATCACAAATTATTCATTATAGAATGATGTTGACCAGAGATCATTCCCATTCTTTAAAACAGGCTGTAGAGGTTATCTTTACTTACCTCACTTTTCAGAAGCAATTGAGGACAAGCTGCTGTCTCGTGAATGTCCTTCATAGATCCAAACTTCCAATGTACATTTCCATCCTTGATGACGACCGAATCCCACATTCATAGAAACACATGTACACATGAAATAGATTCCTTGCTCATGCCACTTCAACGATCGTAAGCTAGCCTCTAGTGGATTCTGAAGGCTGCTTGACTTTCCGTTTGAATTTTCCAGCAATTTCCTTGGAAGAACACTAAAGTCAAAGTCAAGAAGAGAGCTAAGAGCAAGAAGCGAGACGACTGACTGTCCGACAAACTTGGGAATATTCGAATCCGACTCGCATTCTGTCTACATTTGGCTTTGGCATTTCGGCTTTTCCGAAGATTCATCACCTAGCAGCAATTGTTGGCCATATCACGCAGAGGGACTTTGAATCTGCTTGGCGCATTGCATACATACTGCACAGAATTTGCAGATGAAGGTCTGGCACCAATTTCGTAGAGCAATCACATCAGCTTCCTAGCTAAGCTATGAAGACCCTGACTCATATACAATAACCGTCACTATAAAAGCGTTGCTTTCTTTTAATACTGCACCCATCCTGAGATGTGAAATACCTCATCACCTGTATTTTGTAAACCTTATCAAAAGATCTCTAGACTCCCTTTTCCCAATACCCGATATCGGTAAAAAGAACCACATACTTCCTTCCAGACAGATAACTTAGCCTTTCGGCTTTCCTCAACATCACAACTCACTCCTACCCCTCCCCTCCTCCTCCACCGGCTCACACAACCCCTTCCCCCCTTTCCTCTCACACCCCCTCGGACACCTCACCCCCTCATCAAACTGCCACTCAAACCACGCATCCGTCTCATTCCTCAACACACCCCCAAGCAACCTCGTCGCGCCCGGCAGAGCCCCCGCCTCCGAAAATACATCCGACGACGAAAGCGTGATCTGAGACCACCCTTTCTCAATCAAATGCCCGATACTGGTCCCGAAAACACACTCTTTGAAGCCCGACCACCGGATCGCGGACGCGCACATGGGGCACGGCTCGGCGTTCGTGTAGAGCGTTAGCTGGTGGAAGGCTGATAGGGCGGCTTTGGGGGTGAGTTTGTAGGGTCCTGATGGGTCCGTGAGGATTTTGGTGCAGTTGTTTATCCCGGATATTTCTCCTGGGAAAGATTGTTAGCTTTTGCTGTGATGGCTGGGAGAGGAGAGTCGGGTACCATGTAAAGTTGGGTTGCCTTCTTGTATGTTCTGGTTCACGCTATAGCAGATTAATTGGCCGTGAGGAAATTCGGGCGAGGTTGCGGTGTGGTTTACGATTACGGTGCCGAAGGGGGCGAAGGGACATGGTGAGGAGAGTTCGGGGAGGGCGGCGTTGGCTTTTCGCATCCAGTGTGCGCGGGTCTCGAATGGAATGGTGTCTGTTTCGACGGAGAGGTGATATTGCGATTCATGATTGTGTTTTTGGTGAGCGGATGAGCCGTGAGTGAGTGAGGTGGATGAGGAAGAGAAGCACGAGGCTGAGGATGGAGAGTGGGTACAGCATGGTGAGAAGTAAAATCACATTAATGGAAGGAACTTCATTATTCGGAAAGACTGGAATTGCTTTGAATCTATATCGAACACGAAAATATCTTCAATCCAAACATATTTGCATTATGACCCCTCATTGCCCCTCATCGTTATGTCATTCTTATCATTCCGCATTGGTCATCGATAAGCAAATCTTCTCAGCCTTGTCTCTAGCCTTGCAGCAGCCACAACCAGCCCTGAGGCTCATCAGTGCTAAGTTCTCTTTACTTAAAGTTCTGACCTCCTACATCTTCGTGACATGTCCAAAGTCATGATATATAATCCCAAACCAACAAGATCAATAATCGTGAAAAGGCTCCAACCATGACTCGCCACCGCGGCGCAAGGATCTTCGGACGGGCATCCGATGAGCTTCCATCGGAACTGCCAGCGATAAGGCTGTTATCAATCAACACTATGCAGCCCACTTCTGGAATGGAAGCAGCGCCAAAGCTTTACGAACTCTGATCCTGGCCGATTTGGAGCGAGACATGGAGAAACCAGTCAATAGCCGGAGAGGGTTTTCTGAATTAGATTGGGTGCAAGATACGATAGCCATTGGATGCCAGGTACGTGAGGTATTGGGCGCATGGGTACGATTCCCAGATAATGGGGAAATGCGCTTGATAAGCAGTTCACAAGTCTTCAGGTACCTACTTACTTTGACTTCTATATTTATTTTCGAATATTTCCTTTCTCTGGGGTTTCTTATCATTCATCGTCTCTCGTTCTCACAAAGGCTATTCAACATGGGTTCCATCCTTCGCGTCCCCTCCAAAGTTTCAGCTGAAGAAGCAGCTCTCCCAGGAAACGGCATTGCAGCCAAAGAAGAAGCTCCCACAGGACCAGCATCAAAGATCTTCACGCCCCTCGCAATCGGCAACGGCACCCTCACACTCTCCCACCGCATCGTGCTCGCTCCTCTAACAAGAAACCGCGGACTACCACTCAAACCCACTGCCACACCCTCAGACCCCAACAGAGTATGGTATCCCGACTCTCTAGTAGCAGAGTACTATGCCCAACGAACCACACCAGGCGGTCTCCTCATCACGGAAGGCCTCCCCCCTAATCTCATCGGAAACGGCATGCCAGGCGTCCCAGGCCTCTTCTGTCCCGAACAAGTAGCAGGCTGGAAAGCCGTTGTGGAAGCTGTACACGCCAAAGGAGGCTACATATATGCTCAATTATGGAACGCGGGACGGGCATCAATCCCACAGCATACTGGGATGCCGACTATCAGCGCAAGCGCCACACCGTACGAGGACGATGAATGCTATCCCTACCCACCGCCGGGAGAAAGCAAACAAGTCCGCTACAGGGATTTCCCGCCCACGGAACTGAGTGTGGAGGGAATCAAAGAGCAGATTGGTGATTACGTTCTCGCTGCAAAACGAGCGGTTGAAGAATGTGGTTTCGACGGCGTAGAAGTGCATGGTGGGAACGGATATCTCCCCGAGCAATTCCTTAGTAGCAATATCAACAAACGCACAGATGACTATGGCGGTTCGCCCGAGAAGAGATGTCGCTTTGCTTTGGAGTTGATGGAAGCACTGGCTGAAGCTATAGGAGAGAATAAATTGGCTATCAGACTAAGTCCCTTCGGACTGTACAACCAAGCGAGAGGGATGCAGCGACTGGAGACATGGGGCCATCTGTGTAGGGAGTTGAAGAGGAAGCATAGATTGAGTTATGTGCATTTCATTGAGCCGAGATATGAGCAAGTTCACAGCTTGGAGGAGAAAAATAAATGTGAGTCTTCCTTTATCCTCGTCACTCCGCAAGAAGAAAACTAAAACAGGCCACAGTCCTCGAATCCTGGGGAATTCCTGATGTTTCTTTAGCTCTTTTCCGCGAGATTTTCGGCGACACGCCTTTTTTCACGGCGGGAGGCTGGAATGATAAGAATGTTTGGGGAGTTCTTGAAGATGGGACTTATGATGCTTTTGCAATTGGCCGTCTTTATCTCTCCACGCCAGATCTGTTAGAAAGATTGAAGGAGGGCAAGAAAATGAATCAGTATGACCGTTCGAGATTCTATGGACCATTTGAGGACAGAACGATCGGGTACACAGATTATCCCACTTGGGAAGGAGTCGAGGCTTGGGGTGGGAAATTGGTTGACTGAGGGCTGTACATATCACTAATAGGTCTCACAAAAGAAAATGACATAGAGGAGAAAGCCGTAGATGGTATCTTGCATTCATGAACGCCATGTCATAGCATTTTTAGTTCCCATATCCTCGCTATGCAAGATCGATCTTGATGCATCCGAAAACGCCGCATATTGTACAGGTATAGGTAAATTCAAGGTCCCATATGTGCTCCTTATTCAGCAGCATCCTCGGTCACGATCTCAGTGACGGCTGGAGCAGAATGACCATTCTCACCATTATCTTCGATACTGGTTACTTCTTCGACTGTGGCAACTTGATCGCTACCTTCATGACCGAAGATGTAGTCCTCTAGCGCCTTATAGGTCGCTCCAATATCGTCATTGATGATGATCTTATCCTGGAAACCCTCAACTTGGGATTGCTCAATCTCCTTGAGAGCAATCTCGAGTCTCTGCTTGATCTTCTCGGAATCGTCTAATCCACGGCGCTTAAGGCGTTCTTCGAGCGTAGGTATATCAGGTGGAGCAAGGAAGATGAATCGAGAGGCGTATCCTTGATCTTTGAGTTGTTGAATTCCCTGTATCAAAGGTTAGTGCATTTCTCATGGAGAAGGCATGATATGAAACTTACGTGGTAATCCATCTCCAGAACAGGTACCTTGCCTTGAGCAATAATAGCCTCCACCACCTTTCGGCTTGTGCCGTAGTCATTGCCGTTGAAGTTGTTGTACTCCAAGAACTGGTCACCATCACGCATGATATCGAATTCCTCCTTGGTGATGAAGTAGTAATGTTGACCATGCACTTCTCCTTCTCGAGGTGCTCTGATAGTGTGAGAGGCTTTCTTGCCGAAGGCTTTGGGATGCTTATCCATGAGCATGTTCACCATTGTACCTTTTCCTACACCGCTGGGACCAGAGATGATGATTGGTCGTCGATCTGTCGGGGCAATATTGGTATCCATGGCTTCTGATTCTTCTTCGTTGTTGATGACAGGCTCTTCGGGCTTCGGGTCGTCTTTGAAGATGTCGTCGATCTTCTCTGAGCTCTCGATCTTGTCGAAAGCCACAAGTTTGCTTCCAGTCGCGATTCGCAAAGCACGCCAACTCTTACTAGCTTTAGCTTCGATTGGAGCCTGTTTCGCTTCTTCACCTTGGGCGCGGTCGATGTCGAAGTCGTCGTCCAAGATGCCGGCCTCGTATGTCTTTACTGAAGGGACAGCGTATCTGGAGCTGTCTTTTAACCTGTCAATGTTGCTGCGATTATCACTTTCTCGAAGGAACTTCAAATCTAGTGAACCAAGGGAGTTTAGTTTCACCCTCTTGTTGGTAGTTCTCCGGGCTGAGGCTTTTGCGCTAGCGTAATCATCGGGCGCGATAGCAGGCCGAGCAATCGAAGGGCAATTTTCCACTTTCCAACGAGCCCAGTTCTTGTCTCTTGAGAGAACAGTTTCGATCATACGGTGATAGAATGGACCTTCGTAACCCTGCTTCAGATAGTCTGCAACAGATGACTTTGTCTCAATAGCCCATTTCGTCTATAACTCGTTAGTGAATGTTTCCAATTCACCCGAGGCGGACAGATATAGGCAGCGTGAACTGTCTCGCAAACTTACATCGTCTTCACTTAAGGTCCAATCAGCATACATGACAGACTTGTTTGCGTTATCAGGTAGCGAGGCTCTAGCCAATTTGGCCTTTGCTCTGGCGCTGAGGGACAAGAGAAATTCCATGATAATGAGAACTTGCACTAATATATGTCTCCGAAAAGACAAATCACTGATCTATAACAATATGTTAGATGACCTAGACGTTGTCAAGGAATGCAACCACATACCTCTAATTCAAACAGATCTGGGCTTGTCAGATATTTCGGGTTGAAAGCATTAGCCAAGTCATCATCTCCCAACCCTCGCTTCCTCTTTGTACCCCTTTTACTTTCGTCAATAACTTTGGAGGGACGTCCAGAATTCTCCGCTTGAACAGACTTGAACACAGCCATTGTAGCCTCGAGTCCAGATTTGAAATCTGCAAAGTTCTCAGGATGTTTGGAGTCAAATAATCTCTTTGGTTGGCTGAAATTCTGTTGGAGAGCCCAGAAGATAGGATATAGCTCATCAGAGGCCATGGGTTTCTCAACTTTCTGAAACGTGACTCCCTTGGCACCGGTAGTAAAATCCTCGGATGATTTCTTAGAAGCTCCATTCGCGATCTTCGCAACTGGCGCAGGGGGCTTCAAGCTGGTATCGGAGTCTACTTCCATCGTGGCCGCCTCCTTGGGAGGTAGTTGCTCGAAGGCCGTAACATTTTCCGTGTGGTATTCGCCACGAAGGTTGACGGAACTTCTATCTCCAAGGGGGAAGCTTTGGAATAGAAAGATAAAAACTCTCCCACAGAAAGCTGTATCTTCGGCGCGAGAAAGTCGTCGCAGAAGTTCGTTGCAGCTTCTAAGAATGACCAAATTCTTCGACTGAAAATGCTTGGCGGTAATTCGTTCTCTTCTTGACTCTAGAAAATCGAATATTTTTCGGCATCCTGCAATTGTCTGGCTATCCAGGAGCTCTTCCACAAGCCAGAACAGGAGACCAGACTCAGTATGTTCATCATCGGAGAGGATCGATATTATGTCGAACAGGTTCCACAGTCTCACGAAAGAGGGCGAATCGATAGATGTAGTGGCCTATGGGAGGTCAGATATGTCTTCGTATGCTCGTACTGATGAGAATCTCACCAGTAGGTTGTAGAATATGGGTCGGATAGCAGTCTCGATGACATGCTTCTTGAAATCGGCAGAGGTCGTAGGAGAGAAGATAGACAGAATTTCCTCGAATGAGTCTGCCAGATCGGATTTGTTCAATGGAGGATCCACCGTATCCGTCTGCTTGACCTCTTGCGCTTTGTCCAGCATCTCCTCCATCAGGCTTCCAAATTCATCAACAGCTTCAACACCGTGCCCTGCCATGGTTGCCATCGCGCGCAATTCATGTGCGGAATAGAATTGGTGACGATCTTGCGTTCATCGGTGTCAGTACGGGCTTTGTTGAAAATTGGTGACTGTTCGCGTGCGGCGAGAGCTAGCATTCATCGACATACATTGGACATCGCGACAATGGCAAGGCTTGCATTAGCGCCGTTGGAGCTTATTTTATCAGCACGTGACCTTGAAAATCGCGAATCGCATTAAATAAACAACGGTCGAACCACGAAGACGCGCTGCACAATTGTCGGCAAATTACGATTACGATGGCGCCGAGGACACGAGTCAAAGAGGCAGCGAAGCCGCAAGTCGAAGATGCCAGACCGACGGTTGCAGATGTGGACGGAGAAGATAGCTTTGCGCAGCTTGCAAAAAGGCACTGGTTGAAGACCACGAAGCGGGCTGCTAAGGTGAAGGTCAAGCTAGATGTGTTGAAAAACGAGATATGGGATGTCCTAGAGAAGGATGGTTTCCCATTCAGGTCGCTGCTGGTTCTAGAGAATCTGCAGATCTTAGAAAGGTGCGAGCTCTCCTGGCGCATTCTATAACTACTCCTAACTTGACTTATAGCTACCTATGGCCAGGCTTTTCCGAGGACTCGTCGAATCACCAGATTCTATTGATTGTTTTGATTGCAAATGTCAAGACCAGAGAGCATCTGCCAGTATGGGGTAAGCATCCTTCGACTCTGTGATTGAAGCCTTGCTAATACAGCGTAGACATCTTCACAGATAATCCAACAGAATTCTCTACCCTTTTTCGCAGAGTACTTTCCATGACACTGGATACGACATTATCTCCTACTATCCGAACATACCTCTTGTGCTTCATCATTACATCATTCCAGTCACTCGATAGTGGAATAGTAAGGAAAGAATGCGCTCCGCTGGTTTCGATTTCCATATGGCATAACATATCGACCGAGAAGAAACGAGAGCGGAAACTCGACCAGAGTGTTCAGCTCAGAAAAGCATGGAGGGCCTCAGCCAAGCGTTATGACGCTGCTGACGAGGAGACGAAGCCTCGACTCCGGTTTGAGCGCTCATGGCTGTTCACTTTGGTTTTAGATTTTCTGAATCAACTCTATAATGAGAAGATCAAGTCTGGTAAGACTCACTTACACTTTTATTGCTACCAGAGACTGATAATCCACTAGAAAATACTCGTTATTGTGAACGATTTATTGAGTTCCTATCTGATCTGCAGAGTCAATTGCCCACCCGGAGATATGTGAACACCCTTCTCCAAGATCTAAATATTCTTCCCGCGATCAGACTATCACCAGCCTTTAACGACGAGGATAATAGTCTGTTGAGAGACTTGTATGCACTGCTGAAGCACTATACGTATTTCTCGATCGATGATCACAATGGTATTCAGCACACCAAGACTGAAGCATATGAGAAGCATTGCGCAACGCTCGCTTCATTGCAAAGGACTGCGTTGAAACACTTCAAAGACAAGCTGACTATTCTGGCATTGTCAAACTATGGATCTATCGATAGACGTTCAGAGCTTGAAGGCCATCTCGAACCCTTGACAGATGAGGACATCATCCAGCTTTGTGATCTCCTCGACTTTCGCACCTCGTATCCATCCTCAACGCACGTTGTCGCAGACCGAAGATTTCTCATTGAAGTCTTACTCGCGGGTCACGAGAAGCGGAAGACCTTCCAAGAGACTGCTCGTGATCTGAGCATATTACCCACCGAACTCACTCTTTTCGAGCCCACATTATTGAGAAATGACAGCTATAATGGCTCTGAACCTCTTGCGATCCCCAAGCTAAATTTGCAGTACCTGACAGTGGGTGATTTTCTCTGGAGATCGTTCATCTTGCATCGCTGCGAATCGTTCTACGAGATCAGAAATCATGTCGAAGATGTGATCAAAAGATTACGGCCATCAATGAACCGATCAGGGCAGACTAATTTTGAGGGATACTCAAGAATGGCGTTGCCTATTTCCAAGCCTTCGTACGTGTTTCGACTCTATCTCGTGGGCTCGTAGCTGATCTTAAATAGCATATTAGAAGTTGTTCCCCCATTGGTTGGACATGACAAGCCTTCAGCTGTTCGTGCGGAGATATCATTAGATGTCAGTCGTCTTGCTGATAACGTAAGACAAGAATGGGAGACACTCCGACCTGACGATGTTATCTTCTTGCTGGCAGTCCAAGCCCCAGACAATTCGAAGATGATAATGAATGGCGGCGAAACACCTTCTGATGCACAAAAGATTGGCTTGAAATATCTTCGAGCTGCTGAAGTCACACAAATCCTGGACGAGAAGGGCCGCTCACTGCGAGATCAAGACAGACAGAACGGTTACAGTCGACCACGCTTACGGAGGTTGCAGGTCAAAATTGATGCTACTATGTACAAGGAAGACATGGATCGAGTTGCTAATGGGAAGCCCGATATTTATGAGGGCATGAATCTCATAGTACGCCGTAGAGGTAGGGAGAACAACTTCAAGCCGGTTCTCGAGTCGATACAAAGCCTAACCTTATCCGATGTACCTCTGGCATCATGGCTACACGAAGTCTTCCTCGGCTATGGCGACCCAGCAGGTGCAACTTACACTCATCTTGCAAACCAAATCAAGAAGATCGATTATAGAGACACGTTCCTAGATTGGCAGCATCTTATCGAAAGCTTGCCTGGGAAGACTCTTGAGCCAAGTGATGATGCGGAGGGCAGTTTTGGGCCGCCATACGTGCTTCAGTCAGCCCCAAAGATCGATGAGCCTGCGCCTGCTAAGCCATCCAAAAAGAGACGTCGTGATGCAGAGCCGGCGCCACCAGCGATTTCCCCTCAAGCAGTCCAGATCTCAACCTATAAGCCTCCCAACACAGGACCATATCCCATGGATGCTCCGAAACTAAACCATGTCCGCTTCACCCCCACACAAGTGGATGCAGTGATTTCGGGGACACAGCCAGGATTGACTGTCATCGTGGGACCGCCAGGAACTGGAAAGACTGACGTTGCAACACAGATCATTAACAATATCTATCACAACTTTCCAGAACAGCGGACCCTTTTGATCGCCCACAGCAACCAAGCTCTTAATCAACTCTTCCAAAAGATAGTTGCTCTGGATATTGATGAGCGCCATCTTCTCAGACTTGGTCATGGCGAGGAGGAATTGGACACCGAAGCCAACTTTAGTAAGCATGGCAGAGTAGAGTCATTCTTGGAAAATCGTGATGGATACTTGAGAGAAGTTGATCGTTTGGCTGCAAACTTTGGCGCTCCAGGTGCTCACGGTGCATCTGCTGAGACTGCTGGTTATTTCAACTCGGTTTACATCGAGCCAGCTTGGACAAGATTCGAAGAGGTCTCCAAAGCGCCGGACGCCACAGCAGAGGCCGTTGTAGCGGCTTTCCCATTTCACTACTACTTCTCCAACGCCCCACAAGCCCTCTTCCCTGCAGATGCAGACAAGGTTACGGTGCTTGACATCGCCAATGGCTGCTATCACCATGTTCGGAAGATCTTCACCGAACTTGCAGATGTTCGTCCATTCGAGATATTGAGAAGAGACCGAGATAAAGCCAACTACCTCCTCACAAACGAAGCCCGCATCATCGCCATGACATCAACACACGCCGCCATGCGGAGAAGAGAGATTGCTTCACTCGGCTTCCATTACGACAACGTGATCATGGAAGAAGCAGCACAAATCACAGAAATCGAGAACTTCATTCCCCTAGCCCTCCAAAACCCAAAGAATGGTCAGATGCCATTACAGCGAGTAGTCCTTTGTGGTGATCACTTTCAAAATTCACCTGTTATCCAGAACCTTGCATTCCGACAATACGCAAACCTTGAGCAATCTCTCTTTTCTCGGCTCGTCCGTCTTGGTGTCCCAACCATCAATCTCGACCAACAGGGCCGTGCTCGTCCTTCTATTGCAGCAGTCTATTCTTGGAGATACCAGAACCTCGGAAATCTTCCTGTCGTCTCCACAGCGCAGGAGTTTGTTACAGCCAACGCCGGTTTCAAGTACGACTTCCAGTTCATCGAAGTTCCTGACTACAAAGGCAAAGGCGAATCTGAGCCCACACCTCATTTCATCCAGAACCTAGGCGAGGCAGAGTATGCTGTTGCGATATATCAGTACATGAGATTGCTGGGCTATCCAGCTGAGAAAATCAGCATTTTGGCTACTTATGCTGGTCAGCGAGCATTGATCAAGGATGTCTTGGCACACCGATGTGCAAAGAATCCGCTGTTTGGTCTTCCCAAAATTGTTACTACGGTGGATAAGTATCAGGGGGAGCAGAATGATTGTGCGTAACTCCCACTCCTCACGTCTCTCTTGATGATCCTTGCTAATAATCTCTTGCAGATGTCATTCTCTCACTCACTCGTACCTCTCGTGTCGGGTATCTACGAGACATCCGCCGTCTGACTGTCGCTCTGTCCCGTGCGCGCCTCGGTCTGTATATCCTTGGCCGTCGTGTAGTATTCGAGTCCTGCTTCGAACTCAAACAGGCATTCGACATCTTGCTGCAGCGTCCCGATAAGCTACAATTGGCTACTGGGGAATTATGGCCAAGTAACAGGATCTTGAGCGAGGAGGAAGATAAGAAAGTTCCTGGGGAGACCCAAATGGAAGGACTCGAGCATCTAGGTCAATATGTTTACGAAATGACAAATGCGAAGGTACAACAACTGCGCGCTGAGCGTGGCCTAGAGGAGGCGGAACTCATTGCACCAGAGGAATCCGGGGTAATTGATGGAAATGAGGAAGAAGAGGGTTATGTTGATCCAGAGTATATGGGCGAAGACGACGAAGAGGAGATCGAGGGAGAAATCAAGGAGGGATTTGAAGCCGAGGAATGAAGATGGGAAAAGTGTATTTTAGGGATACCGGCCAACAAATTTGGCATATGTACTGTATAACTGTACCGCTCGTGCGGAGCTGCACATGAAATGAATGAATGAATTCTGATGCTCATATTCTGCTCTGAGGTGACCATCTCGGTAAGCGAGCTGAAGCCGATGTGCAAAAAATTTCTTTTCCAGAAAGTACGTTGCAAGATAGTATCAAATTAAGAATTTGATTAAAAAAAAGTTTGACCGGGCTAGAACCTAACCCAGTGGGTTAGGTTCCTCCCGGCCGATCAGCCCCAGCAGAACTTGCATCTGCAGCTCTCGGTCCCATCGATACCGATCGCACGGTATTAGGGGGGCGCCATGAAGGTCTAAGAAAGGGGCGCCTTTTACTCGAGCGTGTTACTATTACACCACAGGACCTGTGGGAAACAAAAGTGCTAATTAAGATTATAAGGTGTGCGGAGTGGTGAATGGAGTTAGGGGTTTTGAGGTTGGGATGAAAAGGGAAGGAATGGTTGGGGGAAGGAGCGTCTGCTAAGCTGGGGAAGCAGTGGTACTTTTAAATACTTGGGAAACATTGTATCACCAAGGCAAGTGTTCGGGAAGAGTCTTTGTAGACATTATCATTATCATTTCAAGTCTCTCGCCATCGAGTAGTTTCGTTATGGTCGTTGCCGTACAATGCATCCATCTAGTCATCAAACAGAGCCATCATAAATCCCATCGCAACAGCCGGCAGTATACCCATAGCTTGCCTATCCTGCCTACCAGCCATTGCAGGCCCAGTTCTCTGACCACCTTGCATCAACTCCTGTTCCATAATCCGCGCCAAAACCCCATCATCCCTCACACCGCCAACAGCAAAGTCGTTAGCACGGTTCCCAATCCCCATAAAATCCACTCCCAAGCCCCCTCCAGCCGTTCCACTATATCACACGCGTCAACACCGTCCTCAAAACCGACACTTCACGCAGTAACAATCAAACGATCAGCACCAAAGCAAAAGGGAGGCGAAAATTGCAGCATGGCGCGCGAGAGAGTGAGACTCACCTCCTGCCACATGTGCTCTTGCACACATCCCAATCTCTTAAACAGGCGTAGCACCATTCTGCTCTGCAGCGACAGGTCATGTGGAGACAGCCTTCGGTGCGCTCGAGTATTTGGCTGCATTTGGGACATTGTTTCCAGCCTTTCTTTTTGGCTAGTTCTTCGACTTTTTTGCCGTCTTTGTCTTCCTTGCAGATTCCCGGGTGCTCTTTCATTTTGCAGGCGACGCAGGTTCGTAGCTTACAGGTCGGACAGGTGGCTATGGGTCCGTGGATCGAGGATGGAGGTATGAACTTGGAGCAAGATTGTGAGGCGCAGTAGGTTGGTTTCTTGGTTGAAAGTTCGAGGAGGAGGAGGTCGTACTTCTGGATGAAGGAGCTGGATAGATGGGCGGAGAGATTGGCTGTGGAAATCGTTTTGCCACAACATTTGAAAGGTGCGTGTGATTTGTATGCACTCTTGAAAGCGCCTGGTACTGTCAGTATTGTGTCGTCGTCGAGTAAGTGAAGGCGTCTCATACCTTTGATACAGTCACCACAGTATGCATGGTCGCATGCGAGAACTGCCATTTCCTTCTTGATCCCAGCTTCCATACATGACACACAATCTACCTTTTTGGGTCTCGGCTCCTTTTCCTTCTTCTCTGGATCTGGTTTCCTCCTGTGATCAGTGGTGGTGCTTGGGACGTCTCGCCTCCTTTTCTCGTCGCTTATAGACACAACGCGTTTCTTGACCCCTTCGTTAACGCTTCTTTCCCTCCCGAACCTCACCTTCTTCACGATTTCTGAGAGACGTTTCTCGTCTTCTTCCCTCCGCTTTCGAACTTCATCGCGGTCCTTGCGTCTTCGGTCTTCCGACCGTTTATTCGCTTCAGCTGCAGCTTCACGCGCCGTCATGTCAATTACCCATTGAGCCTGGGACTTTTCCGCAGCAGCTCGGTCCCGTCTCATTCGCTCAGTGTATTCCCTTTCCTTCCTCTCCAAATCTTCTGTATATCGTCTTTGTTTCTCCAGGCGACTCTGCTCCTCACGAGCAATCCGTTCTGAGAGGCGTTTAGCCTCTGCATAGGACCGTTCGACTTGCTCTCTGCGGCGCTTCTCATCTGCCTCTAGCCTTCGCGCATATTCCATATCTCTTGCGTCCAATTCATTCCATCTCTGCGGCGTATGTTGAACAGTAATCATTGGAGAAGTGGGAGGTTTAGACTCCTTATCGTTCTCCGACACCGAAGTGGCAGGAGTGAGTATCGATCCTATGGAAGATTCGCTTGATCGTTCCGAAGAGCTTCGATTTTCAGTTGCTGGAGACAGAGGAAGTAGTGATATAGGGGCGTTCGGATGCAGACCCAAGGAAGGTCGAGAACGACGAGATTTGGACTTTCTTTCTAAGTAGTCGTGTGCAATCTTTCGATATGGCTGTTGTCGTTGAAGAAGTGGCCGTTGCTGTTCCTGCGTCACGATTAGTCAAAAACTCCATGACCACCACCTGGGAACGAATAGGAATAACCATACCTTGCTCCCGTTCAGGTCCCGAGCTCTCTTACTCGGTGCCTCATCATTGCTAGGAGAGGGACCAGCAGACGATGCATTCGTTGGTTCAATCCACTTTCCCGAGAATGGGTCCACGAAAGAGTCCTCCGTTACTTCATCCAAGAAAGGACGTAATGCTTCCACGTCCACTTCAACGTTGGCATTGTCATCGTTACTTGGCTCCTCTGGATCGCTCTGCCATCTCCTAACCCTTCTGGCAATTCGACCAGTATACTGAAGACACGTCTCACTGGCAGCAACACGGACTTGGTGATCTCGCTGACTTGAAATGTCGTCTGTCGTCTCAACACCCTTGCCTTGCCGGGGTAGCTTGGATTCTCGTAGCTTTTGGGTATGCGAAAGGAAAGCAAGATAGTAGGTAAGAGCTTCCTGGAGGGAGATACTCAATTCCGACTCTGTGAAGTCCATCTTTGATCAGAAATCCCTGGAAATATTGACAGAAAGAGATGAAGTGTGGTGAGGCTCCGTCCAGTTTGCATAGATATCTCGTGTACTACTTTAGAAAAGCGCATGGCACTGCTGCGCATCCCTTGCCAGCGGACTGGAAACGGTCAGCTCGCAAATGACTACTTGCATGGTGGCGTACAGTTAGAGAACGAATCAAAGCAAGGAGCGTTGTTGGTAGATGGATGCCTAACAGACTTGTTCAGGGCAGCGGATGAGGCTCAACTCGATAGCGACGACACCGAACAAACTACCGAGTACACGGAAGACTCGAAACTCGCGTGTGGACTGCCGTAGAGGATGTTGTCGAGAATCGAGCTTCAGAACGTCCTGCTTTTGTGTAGACTCTCCGGCCAAGGATGGCTATATCAAGCTTGACTGATGCAGTTCACAGGTATCCGTCGCTGCTTTTCCAGCGTATGATTCGATCTCAGCCCATGATAAGGCTTCAAGGATGACAGAGCCTCGATGGTTTGCGGGGTGGTGCCAGATAGCATACAAACAGGGCGTTTGTTTCGGGTGGTGATGCAGCCCTACATGCCAGAATGTCTCACAATCGTCTTCGCTTGTACTGACAACGAGACTCACCGAGTACCATTCGTGACGAGGACTTCTTCGGGTATAACTATCCACTCGGAGTTATTGCGCAATACACATGAAAAGTATTGACAAGCAATGATTGATGAAGCGAGACGATGGGAGATCGGAACGCAAAGTTTGGTCCATAGTTTCTCCACGTGACTATGCCGAGACTTCTTCATAGCTGTCGACTCTTCCTTAGGAGGCTTTAAACATATCATGCTACTTCCTTTAACAACTTCAGTTACGATATGATGCATGTCACCATGAATCTTTGAAGTGGAAGACTGTCTTCATCACGTGAGTCATCCATGTACCGTAATTTCAATTTTGATGCTAGCACATCAGGCTATCCAATGTCATTCCAAGATCCCATCCTATTTCAAAATTAAGATACAAAACCGGCATTATGGCAGTCCTCTCCATCGCTACAGTTTTGGCAGTAAGCATTCAGATTGAAGCATGTTTGCGTCCACGTCGTGCAAACACCAAGATTCTGGGATCCTCCGCCCATACACTTCACGGTCTGCCCATAGCAGTTCACATATGCTTGTTGGCAGCTTTGCTGATTTGAGAAGGTGTTAGTCCTCCCGCACCAGGAGCCATTCTCCATCTCACAACTTGAGGTAGATGTTTGCGAAGCTGCTGAAGCCTTGCTGCTTGTCTTCGATGGCGATGGTGTGGACGATGTAGCTACCTTGTCTATCGCTCCTTCTTGCCTGCGGCGGAGTTCGCTGTCACATTGTAGATTGCCATTCGAAGGTCCGCAGGTCAAGGTATCGTCAGTAGGTTGAGTTGAAGCGACAGAGCAGTTTCCGAAATCAGATTGGCAACCAGTAGAGCAGTAATCTGCAGAGCGTAGAGGTCAGAATAATTCAGAGACTTCGGTATTTCTCACTAACGCATTGAGATTCCACAGTAACCTACGTAGGCAAATCAGCACAGTTCACTTCACTTTGAAAGTTTTCTCTTCACTCTGGAGTGAGGTTGTGTGAAATTCTATTGCACTCACCATACTGTGAGCAACAGCCTCCAGCGTTCACTGAAGCATCGCAGGTGTAACCGTTGTTGGCACCACCGTAAACATCTCCGCAAGTGTTGTCAGGGCTGACAACCCGTTTGGAAAGGAACGGATGGAGAGTAGCATCGTCGGATGAAAGGGCATAGCTCAACGTTGCAAGTGTGAGGCCAAAGGCCAATGAGACGATGTTGGTACGCATCTGGTGGGAATCGAACTAAACGAAATTAAAATTGTAAAATTATCAATAACGAAACGAAGGATAGAAGTGATCAGAAGACTGAAAGGACAAAAGTAGCAGTGAAGCTCTTTTGAAGACCACGAAACGAATGTTCGCTCCAGATGAGGATGAGCAGAAATTACTTTTTCTCCCCTGCGGAACATGATTGAATATATGGAATGAAAGCTTATCGCTGGTCATGCCCCTTGACCCCGCATTAATCAAAGCACCTGCAGTCTATCAGGGAATCCAGCATGGAGCTATGCTCGCTATGCAAAGTATTCGGGGGGATCCGGTCTAGTCGTGCGCTAAGCTCAACTTTGAGCTCGTCTCTCATTGCCGAGTGCCCATGAGTGGCCGTGAGATGCTAATTATATGGACTGCGGAAGAGATGATATGAATCTGATTGGAGGAACGCGTGGGATCAGAGGAATCCGGAGAAAGCGCGAAGGCACGAAAGGACGATCGACAATTGTGGCTCAGGGGCAAACATTAGAGTAAAGTCTGTCCGACGCTAGTGCTATTTGGGATGCATGCATCCGAGGAAGTTCTCCCTCCTCTGCAGCTCTGAACTCAACACTCGTTCATTGCAATGTCCATCTGAACACAACATTATCGAACCGAGCAAGGCTAGAAATATCATCTCAAGCGAGTTAGGCATATCTCTTCGATCCGTGGACCTCTGTATAATGGGTTATCTGTGAGGATTTTCAGCAGGACCCTGCTTCGATTGGAAAGATGCGAAGTTGGCGTTCTTACGTACATTAGAACAGGCTCTGCATAATCTACGTTCCGTGTACTCGTATTGTCCAACTCGCGCAGGAATTTGAGAAGCTTTTGGTCATTCACCAATTTCGCGAGTGCTGAGATTCACTCGATGGCAGTCCTGCGTTCACCTAAGTTCCTTTGATTTCTTGCGGATATACTATTTTGGGGGCTCATCAGTATCCGATTTCAGTACATGCTTGTTTAAGTTCTGAGATACTTGGGATTCTGAACTATTTTGATTTCCCAGAAGTCTCTAGCCCAGGCCCAAGCAAGGGAAGAAGCGTGACCTCGAAACAATGAGCAAGTGCGCCAAAAATATTTCACCCTTGACCAGATCCCAATTTCCGAGATACCGATTGTATACATTCCTCTCCCAAAAGATCGGCATCGACATATATATCTCTGCGTCAAGGGCACTTGCGATGGAATAAGTGTGCAATTGGATCTTTATTGTGCTTATGTCAAGTCTAAGTCAATAGGCCTTGCAAGTTCAACATTGCTTCAGACTTTTACAGGGTAGGTCGCGAAGATACATGTCACATCACAGCACAGCGAGAAGGTAAGTTAAAGATGAAAAAGTGTTCATGATTTCGCTGGGACCTCGCGAACGAGATCCAGATATCCAAGCGCCCTCCTTCCCTGACAGGAAGTTCCAACTCCAATCGACGAGATAGAGTACATATACCAAAACCCAATCCAAATCCAAATTCCAAATACAAGCAAGAAACAGAAGACAGAAGAGATTTCTTTTTTTGGTGATTGTTTTCTGTTTTCAACTTTTTTTTGGTGTGCCCATGGGAGTACCGTTAAAACCTGCTGCATATTGGTGGACAGTCAGGACAAAAGGTATACTCCCATCTCCTCCAGTGAGTCCGGTACTTTGTTGTTGTTGTTGTTGTTGAAAAGTTGTTGCGACAAGAAAGCCAAGTTCATATCCCTTCGTCCCTTAGGCCACACGTCTCCATCTTGTGTGACCCAAGGGTACCATCCCAATACCCAAAATAAACCAAGCTCATATCCCACTCGCCTTTGGACCTCGGTTGCTTAGTCAGAGAAAATGTCGTATGCTCGTTGTTGTCGTTCTTCTTCCGAGGAGTACAGAGGTGGATCAATGTTGGTGGTGAGGAAGTCGAACGTTTCGATTTGCTCCTCCTGTTGTGGAACATCGGAAAAGGTGTCGGTGACTTGTCCGAGAGGTTGTTGCAATGTTTCGTCAAATGGTTCAAGATCCGGAAGATTGAAAGGGGTGTCGGTGGCTTCTCCGAGAAGTTGTTCAAATGTTTGATAAACTTGTTCAGGCTCCGGAACATAGGGAAGGGTGTCGGTGACTTCTCTGAGTTGTTGTTCAAATGAATGGTAAGATTGTTCAGGCCCCGGAACGGGAACGGTGTCGGTGACTTGTCCGAGAGGTTGTTGAAATGTTTGGTCAAATTGTTCGACCGGAGGTTGAGCAACAGGATGAGCCTTGGTGCGTTTTGATGAAGATGTTGCTGGATCATCATCATCTCGCTTTCTCTTGTTGGTGGTTGCTTCGCAAGTTGGACATGCTGTGATGAACATCCACAATGTTTCTTTGGTGATATTTTCGGAGAGACCTCCACGCAGGTACTCCATAGTCGCGTCTCGGCCACGGTGCTTTCCATCAGGAGCAACATGAGCAGCGACAAGAAGAAGATAAGAATCTTCCAAAGTTGTGATTGGTGCTCTCATACATCCGGTCAGACAGTCTTTGTGTTTGTCGTAGAAAGCAAGAAGTTTCTTGCGGGAAGCCTCCTTCTTGTTGGAAGCGACTTTAAGTTCCGATTTGTTGTATAGAAATTCAGGGATGCGTAGTAGTCCATCCTTGTCAAATGTATGTTCCTCGACAACTTCGTAGTTTTTGTTGACCTTGAACTTCCAACTGGCCAACTGACTAGCGGTAAGTCCAGTTGTAACGGGATTCCCGCGAAGAAGGTTCATCATGTCCTGGATTCTTTGCAATCTTGGAAACTTGGTATCGAGGTCGCGGGATTTGAGATCTTCCTTCGCAACTCTCTTGAGACCCTCGACGAAATCAAAATGAGAGGTGATGGTCCTGTTTTGGTGTGCAAAATGGTGTTCAGGAGCCCATGGAACCCAAGTCTTTCCTGGAATTTCATAGATACTGGTATTTGCCCAGAAGAAATCGTCGACTTCTTGGGCTCTGCTTGCTTTATTGTCCTTGCGTTGTCTAGACAATAAATCAGCAGCCGCCACTATAGCATGCTTAAGGTTGCATTATCACGGCCACAGAAGTCATGAGTCTGAACAATACATGAAAAACACAAGCACGAAGAAAGTCCATCCCAGGCTGGACTTCTCTTTGAGAACCAACTTCAAAAACAGAAAGTGATGAAGAAACAAGTGGAAGTACCAAACTCTGTCAAACAATGAAGACAGCCAGAAATCGAATACAATATTTTCGGGTCTTCGCTGCTGTGTTCGGAGTTTTGAAATCTCTGAAAACAGTGGCACATTTATAACTATCAGAAATCAAGTCTACTATTATTCACTTTCTTTCGGCTTTCACTACAGCTTCGAAAGTCCCGAAGTGGCCTGAACATTTGAACATTCAGGATAAAATCTCAACTCTACAACTCTACAATTCTACCATTTTCATGTCATTTTCGCTACAATTTCAACTTTGAAGGACAATTCCATACTACGAAACATACAAGGCGGCTGCCTGAAACTCTATCCGCCATCCGGAATTTTCGCGGTTGCGAATTTTCTTGGAGTTCAAAGATCGTGTATACTCACCTGAGTAGAAGATTGAGAGGGGAGTGATGACTAAGCAGACTACAAATTTTGTTGCACGTCGCAGAACATTTGAATTTCCACTGCAAGACAACCAAAAGAAGGAAAGAGCTACAATTGCCTGAGCCACTTAAGCCAATGGGGTGCTGGAAGGGGTCCCACACCTCGAAGACGTCTTAAGGGGCTCGACAAATTAAGCGAGACGAGCGACGACGACGACATGCAGCAACAAAAGGTAAAAGCATTACAACGATTGCGGTAACTTACAACAAGATATATCCGGAATGTGATGATGGGTCCTTGTATACTTACACTGTTAAAAATTCCAAAGTGGTCCTGCGGCTGGGTGCGAAAAGCAAAAAGTCCAGTTCGTGCGGTGCACGTGATATTTAACCGAAAACAGACACTCCTCGTACTTGCCGTCATTGAGTTGAAGTCTCAAGCCCGTGGGATCCTAAGGCAAAGACTTTATACTTTCTCGTGACTTACTAGTGACAAAGCAAACTCGCACACACGCACAGTGCTCGAATTTACTGAAAATTGCTGAAAAATCCAGGATGGAATTGGCGTTGAGATGCAGCTTCCTTGAAGACTGCTCTCGTTGGCGAGGGAAGCTGCTGATCAGTTTTGTCGAAGTTCGTTTAAAGTAAATGCAGGAACAAGCGAAATGCAATACATTGAAAGCATAAAATGCGAAAACGATGATCGACTCATGACTCTGTGACCGTGACCGTGAACCATCTCTGCACTGCAGAGCGACTTCGACTTTTGATCGTCGAGAGAAGGAGCAACGCATAGCAGTCGCATTTTACGAGGAAGGGAGAGCTGGTACTTACTTTTCGGGTTGCCGAGCAGGTTCGAATTGTTGAGCAGACTGGTGTTGAAAAGCTGTGACGGGATCGGGTACTTGGTCATAGAAAGTGCTGCTGTTGTGAGATTTGACATCAAGAAAGGAGGACGCCACTTACTTTCCGATTTGCTGAGGAGGCAGTAGAGCGTACCAGATGGGAACGACTCCTTGGTTATAGATGGTGCTGCTGTTGTGAGATTTGACATTAGGAAAGGAGAGAGGTACTTACTTCTCGATTTGCTGAGCAGTTTCGAATTGTTGAGCAGGTTCGGATTCATTGAAGCTTGGGAATGGTTGATTGATGATTGGAGAACTACCCGTGGGATAGTTGTTGGTGGTGTTGTTTTTGGCGTTGTTGTTGAATTGTCTATTTCAAATTAGATAAAGATGAGCAAGAAAGAAAGATTGTACTTACGCTATTTGATAAAGACCCCCATACTGTTGTTCGAGGGCGGCAGCGGCAGTCGCCTTGGCGAAACTACCAATTCGAATCAGACGACGATGATGAAAACAGAAACAAAGAGTGTACTTACTATTCTTCAGCTTCTCGGAATCCACATCTGTCTCTGTGGCATTCGAGTCCACAGTTTTGGCTGTTGTTGTGAGAAATGTTTCAACAGGGTGAGAGGTCTAGGTACTTACGCATGGCGGAATTTGAAGAATTCTATGTCGAAATCTCCTTCGTCGGTGAGAGCTTTAGGAGAAGCGAGACTACCAATTCTAAATCAGAGAACGATGAAAACGGAGAAGAAAGAATATACTTACAGCACATCGGTTGCCTTGTAGGTACATGTCTCTATGGTATCGTGACAATTGCCTCCACAAGTGGAGCTACTGTTGTGAGAAATGTTTTGGCATGATGAGAGATCTACTTACCTGTGGCTTTTGCTGATATATGAGTTAGTGATGAATGATTGATTGAGGAAAGGAGTTTTCACTTACTGCATATGTGTTCTGAAGGAATCGATGTCGAAGGTAGACTTTGGGGTGACAGAAGCACCGGTGTTGCTGTTGTTGAAGGCCTCCATTTTGATCGCTAACGCTGTGAGAAAGAGAGCTACGAGGGAGGATCAAAACTTACTGATTGTTGTTTTGTTGGTATTGGTAAAGATTGGTATGTTGAGGTGCTGAGTGCTAAGTTGTGTGGTGTTAAGTGTCGAATTGGGTGTATTGTTGTAGATTTTTGTGTGTGCTATGTTCATATGTGTTCGGGGTAAGGAGAAAAGCAAGAGAAAGTGGGAGATTGGGGGGGTTTTTATTTCTCACAGAATTCAGGACTGTGTGTGGGTACTAGATAGAAGAGGGCAAATGAAGCATACGACAATTTAAAAGAATGGGACACCAAATTCGCGCGCACAGTGTTGACGCTTCCATTATTATCTGGGAAGAAGACATCCGTGGTGTTTTCCCTGACTACTTTCTCGTCTAGTCCTCAAACGAGGATAGGGGAGAATCAGACAGAAGTAAAGAGTCCCCTCCATCAACCTATACTCAGCAACGCTCCTCATATATCATCATCCTCTGAGTCAGTGTCCAATTGCATCGTCAAGTGTACGCTCTCATCACTTGAAGATTCTTCACCTTCGGCCCCCAAAATACCCAAGTTGGGGGAGCCAGCTGTTCCAGCTCCCACCATGTCGACATCAGCAATAGCTTCCTGAGAAGTGCGCACAAAGCTTGAAGATGATTTCGTAATAATAGAGTTCAACGCCGGTGTTGTTGGTTCGGCAAAAGCGAAAGCGGAAGGGGCATCTCGCGGCAGTGAAGCAGTTGTCAATGCCGAAGGACCATTGGGAGGATTGGAGTCACCCAAAGGAGCGACGACACGAGTTGTTGCTTTGCCATCGAGGTCCTGATGTGTGGAGGGAGCATCAACAGGAGGTAACATATCCTCATCTTCATCATTGGGCTCTTCGTCGACTGCATCATTGACAGGTGGCCGTGTGGGCGTAGAAGGAAGGAGCGGCATCCGAGGCCGGAGCAGAATTTCGACAGTGGCATCATAGCCAAACTCTCTTGTCAGATGAGGTAGAATACTAGCCATAGGCTTCCCATTCTTTCCAACGAATGGATTCAGAACAGAGGCTAACATAGCATCTTTGTTGTGACTCAATATCGCAGTGCGCTCAATCAAAATACGGATCGAGATGTCGACGTATTGCTGTGGCAAATGGGACAATGATGTAGACAGTAACTTTCTCGCAGAGAGAGTGAGGTCTGTACTCTGAGCTGGACTGGTCTGTGCCACCGTGGATATCTGAAGAAAGGTGTCGGCATTGTGTGTTCTGCTCGCATGTGACTTTTGCGACAGTGAGGTAGCATTATTGACGAGACTTGGACTCAGAACTTCAAGGTCTTTGCAACATGAACGAAGTATATCGTAACACTTTCCAACCTGAGAACGAGTAAGACTTGGTCCAATGTGCATCAATACATCCACAGTGATTTCGTAAGCGACAGTGCGGAACTGCTGGTCGTGCTTGCCAAAGGGGAAAACCCAAGCCAATTGATCAAACACTGCTTGCGCAACAGACAAAAAGCTTCCACCGAGTCTCTTTGCCACCTTATTGACGAGTTGAAAAGCAGCAATATAAACACGAGGCAGGCTTGCGCAAAGCACATCACGTTCATCCCGATCAATGGCAGGATGAAGTCGAGCACTGGCTCGTGTGCTCAAGCTTGACGATGTAGGAATAGCAATAGACAGCATTCTATTCAGAACGTCCACGATACTCCCAAGCGGTAAAGCAACAGGCGCAGATGTCTCTTCCGTCAGGTACATGGCTAACATCTCCAGTAGGCCAGTGAGGCGTTCGATACCAGCAAAGATTCCATTCCATGGCGGCAGTTCTTCAGAGGTATCTCCACCGCCACGGAGTTCTTTATTGACGTCCACAGAAGGGCCACCATATCCTGCGCTAGATTCCCAGTCTTCGATAACAGCCCTGAACACTTGATCGGCGGTAACATGCGTCTCTTTGATGAGCTCACGCAAAGCGTTAGCCCAATCCTCTCCACCCATGTTCTTCGCAGCGGTCTGGTGAAGTACAACATAGAGGCGGCGAGCACTCTCCTTGACTGAAGATGGAACAAACAGACCGTCAGAGATCGTAGAGGCGATATACCGACGAACAACTGTATGAATCTGTGTTGCGAATGGACGGAAAATGCTGGTATGGCGCGGAACAAGCATAGAAAACGCCTCGAAGATAGTCTCCTCAAGGGATGAGGGTAACATAGCAGACTTCGTTGTTGACTTCGGCGATACCAAAGCCAGACACGCCGTTACGAAAGCCGGCAGCGTTGGTGTGGTAATTTCTCGAATTAGAGTCTGATATTGGTGTGTCATAGTATACAATTTTGAGAGTGTTACTATAGCTAACTCTTTCGTAGAGACAGCATCAGGCTTCTGTATAACGTCAGCTACTGTTTGATACAATTCTTGGTGGGATTTACTCACGCCAAGAATAGACAATAGTCCGCGGACCCAAGATTCCGAAGCATTCAAGATCTCCCATCCTCCAATTTCAACTACAGCTTTGATCAAAACAACAGCAGTAAACCTGCCCTCGGTACTCTTCCCATTGAGTAGAGTCGACAGTTGAGTTTTCAGCTTATGCACAAGGACAGCAGAAGACGAAGCTTCCGCCTTGCCAGTAGCAACGGCAGGCATCGACAACGGTACCTGGCATCGCAAAACATAACTTAGAAGAGTTGGTGTCAGACGTGGAAGATCAGACACCGCAGTCGACGAGAGCAGGAAGCACAGCACCCTCAGCTCTGGAGGTAGAGACATTGCAAGGAGGGACAACGTCTTATATTCTCTTGCTTCTAATCTGAACTTTAGCTAGCTACGAGAATTAGACTGCACAAGCAGTCAAGTTTCCAACGCGCTTGACGAAAGGCTTCAGTTCAGATTATCAGAAAGTAGCGGTTCTTCCAAACTGATGATTTTGATTTGGACCGAAAAAGCTGTATTCGGGAAATGCGAAGGTTGAGCAACGGGAATGAATGTCGGGAAAATTTCTCTTTTTTGTCAATAATTCTTGATTGAAATCAACTAATCCGAGTTCTTGGGCTTCGCACATAGGTTAAACTCGTTCTGAAAGTGAGAAAAGTAGATTTCTACCTCGTCTTGTAATCAATGGGACCAGATGAAAAGATAATGGTTCGAGGTCACGGGATCCTCGTGTGTTATTCGTATGACTGCCCAGGTAGAAATGAAGGGCAGCTTGAAACCAGCTCAACGCTTCCAGTATCGTGCGCGTTGGCGGTACTGAGCCTCGAATATTGCTGCGCCTCGCCGTTGTTTTTCCGTTGTTAACATCTGTATAATTGAAGAATTCGAGCTCAAAATAAAATAGGAAAACCAAAAAAAATTGCGGCCGCCTCGAAGTCGACTCTGATTGGCTGCATTCAACACGGCTGGCGGATGAACCGTGCCAAGAAAAGTAACCAACGAGCAGTGACGAAGGTCCACCGGCATCGTTATTGTACAATTAATTCACTTTGATTTCTCTCCAACACCTTCTTTCATTACTCTGTGCGACCATGCGGATACATCTTGAAGTATAATGCCAGACAGGTTCGTCGCATCCAAACTTCAATTGGGAACCCTCCTATCCCAGATATGAGTGTAAGTTACCCTTTTCTTGGCTATCGCCCAAAGACTGACTATCTATTATGCAGCGCGAACAGACCAAGGCGGCCCTGTATATTCAGCAGCTGGACGAGGCCCGCTGTAATGGAGACTGGGATGCGGTACCGGAGTTGATCAGGAAGATCAAGAAACACGCGCCGCAGCGGACTTGTACGTCCCAACCTTTTCGAGATTCAAGGCCTTCCCCTTCCGTGTCTACATTACGATTCAGAGTAGGATGGGATGGGATGGGATGTTGACTGTCTGGTATAGGTCTTGCAATCACAGCCGAATCCGAGCATGCAGTCGTCCAAGCCTCCCACACTAGACCTCTTACTGCACGGCCGAGTACTGCCAGACCCGCGACTGCTAATACGAGCACATCTGCACAATCCAGTCTACGACGATATATCGACCTTCTATTGGAAGCAATTGGAAATGAACGAACATACGTTGAGGATGAATTCCAGGCACGGGTATGTCTTGGCTGGATTCATTGGCAGATGGGCGAATTATCACTGGCCGTGAACAAGCTCCCGCATAGTATAGAACAGGACTTTTCACAACTGGATGGTACCGATAAAGAGTCGGCTGAGTGGACGAGAGTATGCGCGCTCAAAGCCTCTTACCTCAAGGGTAGTTCACAAGAGAAACTTGGAGCTGTCGCTGAGGCATTGGACACATACGAATCAGCCCTACCAGTTCTTTCAAGTATGTCCAATCCAAAGCAAGGCAAGGAACTGCGATGTTGGACAGAGTTGTACCTGACAGGATTCTGTATACTGTCAAGTCAAGCCGTGAAGTCCAAGATGTCCTCGATCCTGGAGACGGAAACGCTTTCAGCTTTTCGGTGTTGGGCAAGATTTTGGGATGCTCAATCAGCTGCGCCAACAGGCGGACGTGCAGTCGATGCTGGCGTTCCACGGAGACAAGTCTGGAAAGAATACTACATCACACTTTCTGATTTGCTCCAACAAGATCTGCCCTTTCCTACCACATCACTTACGACTGCCTATGTTGAGACATCTACTAGACTTCAGCAGCGCGCTGAGCTGAAGAGAGTGGAAGCACGATACGAGACTCTTTTGCTTAGCGAGGTCCAATTTCCAAAAGCCAACGAAGCCAGTGATGAGGTTGAAGCGTTTGCAGACATTGTAGTGCAAAATTGGAGAGTACTTTGCGGCAGTGGTTGGGACGAACGGGACCTTGGAGAAGGAGGGGCAGAAACTGTTAGCCGAGGAGTCCTTGATATTCTCTACCGTGCGGCAACAAAGACATTCCACTCAACGGCAGTATTGCGACATCTCTTCACTGTTCATTTGGCAGTCGCGGAGTTCGATTTGGCGTTCAAGGCCTTTGATACTTACCTGGAAATTGTGAAGAAAGGCAAGGCGAGGGTCGACAAGACTGGCGAAGCGGAACATAGCCTCGACGACGACGAAACAGTCCTGAAAACTGCTTCCGAGTGTATCAAAGCTTTGTGCAGGTACGGATCACGTCAAGGGACTGAGAAAGCCAAGGAACTCGGTCACTTCTTCGAGGATTGGCTAGATAAGCATCATCCGAATATCGCACATAATGGAAACGGACGTTTGATCGAGAATGGTAATGCTTCAGCCACATCCACAGCCATTGTCATTGCACCAAGAGTATTTGCCGTAGCGTGGCGCTGCATTGGTATCGGTCATGCTCAATGGTCGCGACTGACCTACGATGCTTCGTCGAGATCTGAGATACAACTACAAGCTATCAAATGCTTTCGCAAAGCTCTATCACCAGAATACGAAAGCACAAAAGATGTTGAGACTCTTTTCGCGTTAGGAATGGTGCTAGCTGAAAGAAGAGAATTACCTGCTGCAATCGAGGTTGTCAAGGCTGGACTTCTCCCCAACTCGTCATCCAATCACACGAATGAACTAGGCCCCCACACCCGCAGATTTGCTAGGGAACGTTCATTGATACCTCTTTGGCACCTTATGGCCTTGCTACTTAGTGCTAGACAAGAGTTCACGACTGCCGCAAGATCTTGCGAAGGAGCTTTTGAACAGTTCAGAGATCCTAAATTTTTATTCGGAGAGGCAGATCTCCCGGGTACTTACCGAAGCGCCCACCTCAACGAGAAAAGATCGCCACAACATCAAGGAATAGTAGATAACATGGATGATTTTGAAAAGCAAGGAGTCCTTGAGGTCAAGATGACCCAGCTTGCATTGATCGAAGTGCTTGAGGGTCCCGACATTGCTGTGAATGCCAGTGATGAGCTCTTGAGTCTTTACACACGCCTTTTTGGAGACCCTCAAAAAGAATCCGCTACTTCTATATCAGCAAGCAATACCCTCACGGGCCCACCAAAAAGTTCTGCTGGAACAATAAGGAGCATAAGAGGCAGCATATTCAGCCGTACAGGCCGATCGTCGGTGCGAAAGCCTCCATTGAGCGGAAATACGATCACCGAAGAGAAATCAGCGTCTGACCTGAGGCCACACACAACACAGACTATGGCAAGCATGAGAGCACCAACCATTCATGTGACCAACGAGAATGGAAGTGCGACTAGCCGCAAGGAACACAGCCAACATCACCACGAGAAACTCCAGAAGCGAAATGATAGCGTCTCAAAAAAGAAAGGCGGAAGTCTTCGAAAGAGGAGTGGTAGTACATCCCGAAAACGAAGTAGTAGCGAAGGAAACAGTGCTCGCCCAACAGTCGTTGATGATGAAAAGTTCTTCACTCCACCGTTGGACAGTGCTAACCATGATGAATGGTTCAAAGACAACCAAACAGACTCCCGTGAAGGTTCAGCTGGAAATGCTCCGAATCAGCTCAATACGGTATCAAGGCCACTACCTCCAAAGTCACAACAGATGAATTACAAAGAGAAGTCCCTGAAACCTGCTTACTCTAACCCTTCGATTGCCCAAGACAATCGATTGCCACACATTTCACCGTATTCATCATCCACGAATCCAGTAACTCGATTTTCCAAAGAACAAGAAAGAAGGCGGAGAACGACCATCTTGGTGAAAGTTTGGCTATTGATCAGTGGTTTTTATCGTCGCGCATCACTGTATGAAGACTGTAGAGGCGCCATTGCAGAGGCAGAGAAGCTGGTCCGAGGCGTAGAGAATGAGATCTCTAAGGATACTACTGGAAATATATCTTCTGACCAAGCTGGATGGGCTGGTGGCAAGTCTGTTGGAGAAGTATGGGCTGATGTTCTCGCAGAGGTAAGTGCATCTTTATTGGTTATGACTGGCGGACCGTGGCTAACACAATAAAGCGCGGATATCTTGCCGTGGCAGAAGCCTCTCCTTATGACGCTTTAACACATTTCGAGTCATCTCTGACATACTTCGCTGATCATCCCGCTGCGATAATTGGCCTCTCGAATATACTCCTTGACGTTTACTCCGAAGATCTCCTTCCTCCAACTACGATACCCAAACTTGAATTACCAACGCTCCTTAGTACACCTTCACAATCGACCCTTAATACTTCAGCTCCACCAACGACTCCACTCACGAATCAGCCACCTCCATTAAAACACTCTTCTACCATACCTTTGGTCTCTCACGGTCCACTTGGACTTCCAAGCGCAAAATCATCTGGAAATAAGAACAAACAGGATCTAACTTCGACCCCTAATTCACTTTCTTCAGGACTTCAGCCCAGCTACAAAGAATCTTCGACGGCCCTTCTTGACCGCTTGGCAGCAAGAGATAGAGCATACGGACTGCTCACAGGTCTTACAAAGCTCGGCACAGGCTGGAACAACAGCGAAGCATGGTTTGCACTTTCCAGAGCTTACGAAGAAGGTGGGCAGCCTGATAAAGCAAGAGAAGTTCTTTGGTGGTGCGTAGAGCTAGAAGAAGGTAGAGGCGTGAGGGATTGGAGTGTGGTGTCGAGTGGTGGCTACGTGTTTTGACGCCTTTGCGTTTGCAAGCCATGTGTATTTCACGAATTCGCAGACGTATATACTGAATGCGAAACGCTGAGATAGATGAGAATGAGATACCTACTTGCGTCTGTTTTACGTTTGGGACCACGTGTTTTTCTTCTCCTGCGCGCGTAGTACAGAACTCACTAGGATGATCAACACATCCCCTTGAGTTCAGAACCTTCTCGTCACAACATCTTATATCTCAATGTGTTCAAAGGCGTCCACGATTCTCATCGTCATACTCCTCCATCTCATACACACATCCCATTTGAACATCTTATCTAATCCAACCCATCCCCTTCCTCTTACCACATCTCCTTCCCCAACCCCCACCAAGATTTCTGCTCTGTGTCTTTGCCTCTCCACTCCTAGTCCCTGACTCACCCAAGCCCTGTCCCTTAAACTCTAGGTTCCCGGTAGCTAGCGTATCGATACCTAGACGGACTTTTTAGCGCCTGTTTGGCTTGTTCGTATATTTTTTTGAAATTTTGTGTGTGTGGAGAGTGACTTAGGGTTGATATCGAGGGGTCATGACTTTGAAGAGGTGATGTGGTGGTTTGAAGTGTGGAGGGGGTGGGGCGGAGGCCGGCGGAAGGAGGGTGGAGGAGAGTGGAGGAGGGTGGAGGAAGTGGAAATGAGCGGAAGTTGCAGGAGGAGCAGAATAAGCTGCTAAGTTTGGGGAGGATGGGGATTTATTGAATACGAGAATGTGGATAGGAAGTTGGATTTCTGCTGGGGTGCTTGTCATATTTCGATGAAGAGTTTCACGTGATGTAGGACGCCTTGGAAGAAGAAGGGGCAATCGAAGCTTTTCCTGTTCCGGCATTCATGGATATCAGTCTCAGGGTCCCAATTTTGGTCGGCAAATGCTGGGCGTCTTTCGGTGATTGTCTTCCTTCCTGTACAGCAGTCTGCTTCCTGAAAGGGTTCTGTGTTTCATAATTATACTGCGACTCTTCTTGATAGCTTTAGAATACGAATCTAAGTTTCAATGTTTTTAGAAAGACAAACATCCACCTCACAACCTCGCCTTAACACTTTTCTTGGCCTCCTCCCCAACCAGCTCCCACCTCTTCCCCCTATAACTCTTCGGCCAAATTCCATTCCTTCCAGGAGCAAGTATCCCCTTCGGATCCAACGCATCCTTAATCGTCTCATTAAACCTCCTCAACGCCCCTCCATTCCACCCATACGTTTTCGCGACTTGATCCGCAAACAACAAATGCGTTCTATACTCCCCGAACCCCTCTTTCGCCGCTTCACTTATCATCTCACGCATCAATCCTCGAGCACGCCGCTTCTCGTCTTCGTTGGCTCGGTTGTAGACTATGTTGGCGATGTAGTGCATCTCGCGACCTGCAACGCAGATCGTGGGAAAGGTGTCGAAGCCCCATTTCTCGTGTAGGCGGTCGATCAGGGTGTGGATGATTTTGGCGTGAGAGGACGAGGTGGGCACGATGGGGGAGAAGAATAGGTGTGCAGCGTTGGGTTTCCAGTTCAGCCAATCTAGTTCTTTGAGCACTGGGACTCCGCTGCAGACTGAGACTCGAGAGTGGATGTAGTGGTCTGATGGAAGCTCGGAAGGAAGATAGAATTTGCTGCCTGGTATGGAGAGGAAAGCGGACTTTATAATTTCCAGTTGCGAGAATATGGATGCTTCGTCGCCATATTGAGTTCCGTAGAAGACCCAGGACACATCGCCCACTGGGAGTTTCTTGACGCCCTCTCTCACAACTTCTCTTGGAAATCGGTCAGGGCCGTTGTACCAAGTTGTTCGAGGCTGTCCTGTTACAGCGAGCTCTTGAATCGCATGTCGCAGCTGTGGTATGTTACCGAGAACTCTTTTCAGAGCCAATGGCCTGATGATTTCCACGATTTGGGGGAAGTCGTCTTCTCTTGGAAAGGTTATCATGTACGATTGATGGCCTGAGGCGGGCATAAGCCAGAATCCCATCTTGGTCACGATGCCGAAATTGCTCTGGCTGAAAATCCCGTCGATGGAAGGGCCATACGCATGTTGAAAAGACTCCCAGGTTGGGTTGTCTTCTCCGTTCTTTCCCGGGAGCGCACCCATCCCTGTGCGGAGCAATGAACCGTCGGGAAGGACGACTTCCATTCCGCAACGGTTGGCAAAGTGGTCTCCATATGGAGTATATCTGTTTATTCAGTAACGATGACCCAAATTCATAGGCAATCACTTACCCCACACCCCTATCAATCGCATTTCCCAACACACTGCCGCCTCCCAAATCGGGAGTATCGATCCATAGCGGCAAGCCTGTTTTCTGTATCTCCTCATACAGCTTGAAGTAACTCACACCAGGCTCAACCATACAGGTAGCATTTCCCCCATCAATTTTCAATACTTTGTTCATGTTCCTCCCAAGATCCACAACTACAGAGCCAGGAACTCGAGGTGCAGCGCCACCGTATCCGATGTTTCGACCCATAGATATTGGCCAGATGGGAATTGTATACTCGTTCGCCCATTTCACAATGGCTTGAACTTCTGACGTCGAAGACGGATAGGTGATTGCAGAGCACACCATCTCTTCTTGGTCGATGACATGATAGGCATCGTGAGTATTGCTGCGAAGTCTGTAAGCTCAATGATTCTTGCTTGCGAGTAGATGAATTGGCGTACGGATGCTCCATGTACCAGCCATCCACCAGCGGCTTATTATTTATCTCGACCCCATCTTTTCCGAGAAATTTCGTCAACGCTGTAATTGCTGCGTCGAGTGTCTCTTGACTGGTATTGGGAGGAAGTTTGACATTGCTCTTCCGAGGAACACTGTCGGGTAATGTTTTCAATGAATAAAGCCTCTCTTTTGCTGCATCTGCTTCGTTCTTTAAACGAGCAGGAACCCCGCTGTGTGTTGTTGTCAATGTTGGAATTCTGGAAGAGCTGGACATTTTGACAATTTGTTGTCGAAATCAAGTTTGAAGAGGCAAACAGCAATCTATTCAAATTGCTCATGTACAACAGCGGAAACAATTCCTTTACTCATCGGCTCCCACTCTCTCCATTGATCAATCACCCTTAACCTCCTGTTGTTCTGCGTGGGGGATTCCCGACTTCATGTGGGGAGGGTCCTTGAACTTCGATAGTGGGGCAGTAGACTAAGTGCGGGGTGTGGCGGGGTAGTCTTTATTGACGGACTTTCCCACCTTTTAGCTGTAATTGCCAGGATTCTTCGCTCTCGGTTGTATGTTGCCGAAGAAGCCCTAATCTGTTTATCAAGGCATTGTGGATGACAGATACCAGGAGGTTTTCCTTTCCGCACTATGTGGGAGCTTCTCTCACATGACCACAGTCTTTAACAGCTTCATGCATGCTGGACAATCTTTTCGAACCTTTCGCAGTCCAAACTTGAACAGCGAGACAGTGATCGAGCATGATGTCTGACCCAAAGCCCTTAGATGGTAAGACTCTAACATTAGCATATCTCTCATGAAGGACCTGACGCTGTACAGTAATTGTTGTTGGCGCCGGCCTCGGAGGCTGTGCGTGTGCTATGGCGATGCATTACGCCGGTTTCAATGTAACAGTGCTCGAAAAGGTCCATAAATTTCTCCGTCTAGGTGACAGTCTTGGGTTAGGTGAAAATGCTCTTCGCCTGCTCCAGCGCTGGGGACTGCATGACCAACTGATAGACATCGGAAATAAGAGTGAGCTGATGCAGATACGGAGATGGGGAGACGGAAAGATATTGGCACAGCAGCCATTAATGGATATGGCGGGGTATATAGGACACAGAGGAGACTACCATGAGGCGTTTTTGGCAAGGGTAAAAGAGCTCGGAATTGAGATCAAGATGGGGTGCAATGTGAGTTGTGATAGGAGATCATGACGCCAAGAAGTAAAAGGAAGAGTGAAGGCTAATGAAGTTGCATGTAGGTGGTATCGTACGATGAGAACGAGCCTTCTCTCACACTAAGTAGTGGCGAGGTGTACAAGGCAGACGTGATCATAGCTGCTGATGGTAGGCCAAGTTCGAATTCCTGTCTGACATAAAGCTGAAGGAAGTTTCAAGGCATCAAATCTCTCGCCCGTGAACTCGTCCTTGGCTTCGAAGATAAGCCCAAGTCGAGCGGATACGCCTGCTTTCGAGCATTCTTCAAAGGTGCCTATTTGAAGTCCGATCCTTTATGCCGCGAATTCGTCGAGAAAGAGTGCGTAAATATCTGGATCGGCAATGACGTCCACCTTGTTCAGAATACTCTTCGAGACGGAGATGAGTTTAATTGGATCATCACCCACAAGGATACTGAGGATATCAAGGAATCGTGGTTCCAGCCGGGTGACATGAATGAAGTGAGGAAATTGGTCGAAGATGTGGACCCAAGGATCGGGAACGCGGTAAGGAGCACCAAAGAATGTTTGGACTGGAAGATTTGTTATCGAGATCCTATTCCAAGCTGGGTCAGTAAGAGCCACAAAATCGTGCTACTGGGTGATTCGTGTCATCCTCACCTTCCTACGAGTGCACAAGGCGCATCGCAAGCAACGGAAAGTGGGGCTGTTTTAGCTTTGTGCCTTAAACTGGGAGGTAAAGATAATATCCCACTCGCTGTAAGAACCCTTCGATATCTGCTGCAATGCCATTACTGAGGAGTACAGACTCGTGTATACGAAAAGCTCCGATTCTCTCGGGTTCGTCAATCTCAATTGAATGGGGAAGATCTCCGCGACAGGTGGCATAACGCGCTCAAAGATCTGGATGTGGATGGGGAAATAGATCCAGAAAGTGTGAAGATGAGGGTGAGGCTCTTCATGAGTGTACGCAGGAAAGCAGAACACTGATATACTTGTGATCGCAGAATCGATGGCTGTACCCCTTCGATGCAGAAGCCGATACTTTGCATCGGTGGCAAGAGGTCTCAGCTCAGGTGAGTGAGGAGCTAGCGAATGGGAAGATAATCCCATTATTCACAGGAGCGGCGTCCAAGGTGGTTGCGTAGGAATCAATTCCCAACACTGAGAACGTTTGCGTCCTAAAATATCCAATTGGAAATTATGTGTATGCATCATTGTTGACCTGAGCTTGTGGGGTCGCATCGACGGTTTTGAAATGTGCTGTTCTCCTATAAGCAGTTTAGCATACAGTCGCTGCTGCGGGCTTTACCTCGCACCAGAAAGACAAAGAGTGTAGTACTCACATGATGTCGGCCTCGACCAAATTGTGGATTTGTGAAGTTTCGCAAAGAAGAACGTGAAGATTTCATCGTCAGTCACTTCCCATGACGAAGCTACTTGAGTCCATGTAGCTTGGATTGTATGCATTTTGAGCAACATCCAGGGCCATCGCGTCGGCAGCAGGATATCCTAATTCGAAGTCGTCGAGTATCTTGAGATATTCTCCCACAAAGACTTTAGCGGTGCGACCTTATATTGTGATTGATACTTACCGGCCACCATCCACCGTTGGCTAAGTTTTTCCAGTGTATCCCTCGCGAGTTTTATCGCTCTGGTGTTGTTGGACTTGGCGGAAGCATCTGCCATACCAGAAATCCAGACAGCAAAACGATACAGGCAGTTGCAAATGAAAGGCGAAGCTTGATCGATGTTATAAGGTAGAATGGTCTGAATATGTATCGCATATTCGGTAATCAAAGGTATCAGACCATGCAGTCCGCTCACACCCAGGTCTCGCAACCCTTCCTCTTCAGGAAGAGAGTAGCCAGTCTGCCCATTATTGGAAGCATGCTCGTAGAGAACGATGAGTGCACTGTCTCAAGATGTCAGATTCGACAAGGGTGCTCGGATCCGGTAAAGCACTGTACCTGTAACATATGGCCATCGGAACACAGATTCTGGTAGCTTCATTGCTCACTTCCGTCTGCATGAAGGTACATAAAGATAGGACTGCTCGAGCGAGTTGTTGGGCTTCCTCCAGACGCATGCTAGCACTTGAAACGTTATCGTTAACGTAAGTAAGGACAAGGCTGAGTAAATGCGATGCTTGACAGAGTCTGGCGTATGGTGCTGCTGCTATATTTGTCGAAGATGATACGAATAATGGCTCACTGGCAACCTTGTCCTATTCAGGTCAGATATTACGAGACAACTTACAGGTGAGACTTACTCCTCGCTCCCACGCCTTATCATCTACAGGCAAGTATTCCTTCCGTCCAGTTTCCGCCAATGCCAGGGATCTGGAGGGGTTCCCGATATTCACGTGCCTGCTTTCCCATTAGTGCAAGCTACAGATTCCTCCGAATACTTACCTGTCGAGGATATACACCGCCCACCACACTCGCCTCCTTTCTTCCATCTGCTCCCAGTTTCCAGGCTCCAGAGCTAGCTGCGGCCTGTCCGTATCGTGCAGGCCAATTGCTTGTCCGAGTCTTGCAACATGACCTATTGAAATGTATGCTTGCGGGTATATTGCATGGCCAGTCTCGTACAAGGATATCAAGATGGCTGTGCAGTTGTATATTAGCAATGACATAACACTCGCTGAACCCAGGTGTTCTCACGCTGGTCCTCGAGACTTTCGAGGCCGATCACGAATAAATAATGACCTAGGAAGTGGTTCACTAACCGGCTTGGAGCAATCGCATGGAAGCAAAGCCACTGGACTCGACCGTCAAGTAGAAATTCTTGGTAACAGCAAAGAGATGAGTTCGGGGACTCTTTTTGGGATCAGGCTTCTGAATGATCAGCTTCATGCAAAGGAGGAGAAGCGTGACATCAGGTGCCATCTCAATTGGAAGAGCCGAGATTTCTTGATAGAATTGTTTCTTGGCCACTATGGCCATCCAAGGAGAGACCGAGAAGAAAAATTCCCCAACAGTGGCCCGAATCTCTACATCATCTCCAATCTCCCGAAAAATGTTGTCCTGAACTGTGACTTGAGGTGTTGGTGCCTTTAATCGATGCCTTCGGAAAACATTGACGTCCAGAAAGAAGACTGAAGGGAAAGCGGATGAGCCAGGAAAGGCGTAGCCGTCTGTATTAACATCATCGACCTCAGAATTGAACCCCTGGCCTCGGTTATCCACTTTCGTCTCACACAGGGCTCGATGCTCGTTCATCTCGTGCTCCAAATTGCTGAGGCGACGGGCCAAAGACTCGAAATTCTCTGGTAATGGAGGGGAGGGCCCGGCATCGTAGACACAGGCTCGTCGTAATCTCAAGCACGCCGAACAGCTTGGAAAAGCTTTGTCGCAGCCTTTCTTTTGTCGACGACATGAGGAGCAGGCATGTGGAACTTTCTGAGCCGAGTCGGAAAGACCGACCGCGCTTCCATCTGAAGACATGGTGGCTGGCAACGGGCGAGAAGATGAAAAGAGATCATTGAGGAGGTATGTCGGACCGGACCGGTAAAACGATATGCCGGCTTGGAACTTACTTTATTTCGAGTTCCGAAAACCCCACTTTTTCCCCTTATATTGTCTGACACGGTCCAGAACATGATTCAAGGTTTGAAATCGAGCTTTTATTTGAGGTTTTGCTGCACATCGCTAAAGTACCAAGCACCCATCAAACATTTCGGGGTCCAAATGTCTGTCATTGTTGGAATATCTCTAAGCACCCGTGAAACATTTCGTGGTCTAAATGTCTATCCTTGTCTAAATATCTATCTTCGTCCAAATGTCTATTATTGTTTAAATGTTTCTTACTATTAAAATGTTTATCTTTGTTTAAATGTTTATTACTATTTAAATATTTATTATTGTCCAAATGTCTGTCATTATCAAAATATTTATTCTTTTTTAAATGTTTATTATTATCTAAATATTTATTACTGTTTAAATGTCTATTACTATCGAAATGCCTGTCACTATCTAAATGTCTACCACTATCGAAATGTCTATCACTATCGGAATGTCTGTCATTGTCTAGATGTCTCTCGGCAGCAATGTGATTTTTCCTCTCTGAAAGCTTGAGCTTAATTATAGTACATTTGTTCAATGCCAATGTCTGGCTTCTGCTATCCTCTATTTCTCACTCCTTATCTCCCTTCTCTCCGTCCGACTTTCGGTCGCCTCATGCTGGACCTAACAACTCTTCGCACAAAGCTTGATATTCGGATTGGCGAGTATGGGTGATGTAGTCGTGTACCGTTGCGACAACTCGGTTTGCGATAGTGAAGCGTTCGCCAGCTCGCGGACTTAGTTTTTCGGTTTTCGCGTCTTTGCTAGCATTTTTCCGAAATACAGGGGCTAACAATTCACCTGCTTCAACTTAGCGGAATAGGATTAGTATGTAGTCGAAAGTCGAGCGATACGATTCGGTGAAGGAAACTTACGAATTGGCCTGAGAACTGGGCATTCAGTGCGTTGGTAATATCCTTGAAATCGGCTTCTTTAAGCTTGCGCTTAACCTCGTTAATCTTGGCGCGTACCAAGTTGAAGATGAAGTTGTATTCCTTGAGACTCCAACGTCGCACAACTTTGGCGTGGGTGTGTTTAATCTCAACAGGTGTAGCGTTCGGAAAGTCGGCAGCCTGAAGCAGAAGGCATTATTAGCAAGTGAACAAGTGAAGGCTCGGCTTTGAAACTTACAGACAAGGTGGGGTCGAGTTTGTAGATTTGGCCATTGAGATTCTGCCACTATTAGCAATGCTTAAAACTTGGATTGATGATTGCGAGCATACGATGTACTGATGTGGAGCAGCAACATGATCAGGTTCAGAACGGTCTCGAACAAGTCAGTACATATCGTAATCAAATGTCGCGAGATTATTTGGGACGTTACCAGCAACAGCCGCAGGACCAAATGCAATGCTTTGACGCGCTAAAAGAAGTCAGTACATATCGGGAACGAATGTCGCAACATGTGCTGAGACTTTACATACATTCCTCGAAGAAGCGGGGGTCGAGATTGGGGTTCTCCATTGTGGTTGTTGGAAGTTGTTGTTGTGAAGTGGAAGATGTAAATTGGCGACGCGAACGAAATTATTTATAGAACTCGAAAGTCGCAAAGCGAGTATAATAACTTACGTAGTTCAAAAATCGGGACGGCTAGCAGCGGCTATAGCCGCTGTTAGCCACGGCTTCTTTTTAGCTTAACAATTATTCACTTAAAGTGTTCTTGCCTAATATACATGACTTGCAAAATTACAAGTCGCAAAACTATCATAATAACTTACGTAGTTCAAAACAACGGGACGGCTCCCTCTAAGCTTAACAATTATTCACCTAAAGTGCTTTTATTTAATATAATTCATAACTTTCAAAATTACAAGCACAAGACTATCATAATAATTTATATGAGTTCAAAGACAGGACGGCTAGCAACGGCTATAACCACTGCTAGCCACAGCTCCCTTTGAGCTTAATAATTATTCACTCAGAGTGTTCTTGCCTAATATAGTTCATGACTTTCAAAATTACAAGTCGCAAGACTATCATAATAATTTACATGAGTTTAAAGACGGGATAGCTCGAGCTGATATCAGAGGCTTTATTCCAAGCAAGTACGGCTTGAGAATTATCCACTTCAGATATTCTTGCCTAGTTAATGACTTTCAAATTTTCCTAACTTGTACAATTATTATAATAATCTACATAATATTAAAGACAGGATGACTAAGCGCCGTTATTAGCAGCTTCATTCTAAACAAGTACGGCTTAACAATATTCACCCGGAACCTGCTCTAGCATAGTCAATAATCTTTAAATTTATAAGTCGTAATATTACTGTAATAATTTAAGAGCTTGTTGCATTGCTCTGCGTACACCCTCACCAAAAATCGTTAAGTAATTTAAGCGAACTGTACGCAGAGCAATTCAATGAGCTCTAACATAAGTTCAATGATGGAATGGCTAAGGGCCGCTATTAGCGGCCTCCTTCTAAGCAAGTATGTTTTAAGAACTATTAATTTAAAGTCTTATTGTTTAAACAATTTGGTCATAGGCTTTCAAATTCATAAGTCGCAGAACCACTATAATAACTTATGTAGGTTCAGAGATAGGATGGCTAGGGACGATAACGGCGGCTCCTCTTTAAGCAAAGGCCGTTTGACAACTACTCACCCAGAGTGTTCTTGCCTGGGTAGCTTAGTCAGTACTAATCTTCAAACTCATAAGACGCAAAACCACTACAATAATTTATATAGGTAAAGAGATGGGATTACCTCGGGTCGGTATTGGTGGCCTCTCTCTGAGCAAGTGCGACTTGAAAACTATCCACTCAAAGCGCTATTGTTGGGACAAAATTTCCAATTCATAAGTCGCAAAATTATGACAAATTCGTTAGTTAAAGAGACAAGCGGAAGCGGCACCGCTTTTCCTTAATCATGTATTCCTCGACAAATCTCACCTAAAATGCTATTGCTTAGATGACTTGGTCAATGATCTTCCGATTCGTAAGTCGCGAAACTGCAATCATTTATGTCAATTAAAGGACAAGTGGTGGTAGTGAGGCAGCTACCGCCGCTTCTCCTTAAGCAAGAGATGGTTGAGAATTTTTCACCCAAATGCTATTACCTAAACAACTTGTTTTATGAGACATTGCTATTGGCACTGCTAGAACCAAGCATAATAGTTTAACGCTCTATAAGAAATTAGTACATGTTGTGGATAAATGTCGGGAGATCTATTAAGACTAGACAGCCTTCTTGGACAAAACATGGATTGAACTTAGAATCATCCATTGTGGGTGGGTGGTAGTGGTTGTAGTTGTCGTGGTTGTAGTTGTCGTGGTTGTAGTTGTCGTGGTTGTAGTTGTCGTGGTTGTAGTTGTCGTGGTTGTTGTGACGAGTGGAAATTTAGAAAGTGGAATACCACTTAAAAGATTCACAAAACCTGTAAGGCGCAAAAACACAAGGGAGCATGTGAGTGAACAAGTGGTGGTTACTGTTCGAATGTTCTTAATCGAGAAATTGATCTATGAGACTTGTAAGTCGTGAAACCATAAAGAACTGTGTAACTTATGTTACGTTCCATCACAGTGAGAGTCAATTTAAAGATCTTCATATTGCCAGGCAAAACAAGAAGTTAGCTTCTGACCAGTGGTCCTTATGCCGCGTTGCAATGAGGTGAGATCGTTTAAGCAAGAGGCCGTAGCCGTTGCACGTAGCCGTTGCATGGGTGGAAGCTAGCTACCTGCCAGTTCCGAGATGAAGTGGAAACAGTTAGAGCGAACGAGGTTGAAGCTGAGCAAGTTGCCCCATACAAAGAGAGAGGTGTATGGTTCGGGAGAGGTAGTTTTGGGGCTGACAAGCCGTACGAGTTTTGGTGAAGCTGACAAGCTAAAAGAAGGCCGGTTATGACGTAGTTTAGAAGAGTAGCACTGATCCACTAACTCTGGCATCCAACAACCTTTTGTCCACCCGGCTTTGCGTGACAACAATGGGAACGTTTACAATAACCATGCCCGGATGACGACCTGCTCCAACCTTGCGTGTATCCTGTGCTCTTAAAAGAGGCGTGAAAAGTCTGAAAGCTCTGAATTACGAAGCTCTTGATAATGAAAGAATGAGGAAGCTCGAAGCTAAGAGAAATGCTTATATCTAGCTGACTGGCGATAGTAGCCTCCACGTGATTCCAACACATAAAACACCTCCACTCATGTAATTAGTTACCAAAAGAGAACTGAGCCAAGGAGCAAGTAAAGAGCCATGAACTCGGACTTGTAGTTCACACCCCAATTCACCCCACCTCAGACGAAGCAAAGGTGGCCGAGCGGTCAGACGGAGGCCAGCGCACATGCAGGGCCAAAGCCGCAGAATTTGTTGAGACTTTACACTACAATCCTAAACGTTATAGTACTTGAATTAGAGCCTGCAAAGCACTGTATATATACCTACGGGAGAAGCTTCCTATGGATCATGCACGTGATCCTGCATTGCTACCCAATAGGTACTGTTCTTCAACCAAGTTTGCTGCTTGACAAGCTACATTTGTTTGTCTCCTGACTTTGGCACATGTTCACATCAAGTGCTTCAGGTTTTGGAAGAAAGTAGAACGCTGGGTTGCATCACATATAAACCAAATGTGAAAAGGAAAACAAGCGAAAGTGCCTTCAACACTTGAAATTATTCACAGATTCTACAGGAGCATTACCATACAAGTCATACATGGGTAAATCTAACGCTAGAACTCTACGTTCGTGCATTTTTGGATGTTTTAAAACCTCTAAACGTTCATGTGACATTTTCCTCCTGTTCGAACTCAGTCGGGTGAGACAAGCTACTAACAATATTACGTAAAGTTGTTACTGGAAAGAACTCTGCAAACATTCAATATGTTGGAGGGGAAGATTTCCTGGTAGATTTCTTAACTATTTGGTCTTCAAATAGTTTGGAGGACAAGCAAAGGTGATGTTCAAACTTAGAGAATAAAGCATGAAATGGCAATTCCATGAAATTTGCTAATGGTTTGCACACGCCTTTGTTCCTTAATCTTGATTTCGTCTTCTGGAAAGTCAGGCTATGCCACTCACTCGCAACCAATTCGAACTCCGAGGCACTTGCCTCCTTGAGGTGCCCTAAACGTCAGAGGGCACGATGATTCGTCTGACGATTAATCGGCACTCCAAGAGTCAAGTCCTGCAAGGAAGATGCATGATGCATAAGAGTGGATATGGGAGCCTAAATATACATAGTGTTCTCGTGCCAGAGACCCAAAAGACAACAATCATACCATCTCTTTTGAGACGGCCACGTTTTATATCTTCTTCTCTTTGTGGTTCTTCATTAATGTACAATTGTTTCTGGCTCGCGGACGAAATCAAAACCACTGTCGCTACTTGATCCACCAGTGATACCAATTTTGTAGACATCTTGCATCTTGCATCTTGCACGCTTCTTCTCCAGTATTCTCGAGAATCCTGAGAATCCCGTATAACACATAATGGATCGATCCGGAAGACTGGGAAAACGTGCTTTTCCGGCAAAACATCGCCTAAATCGATCTACACCGGGTTGCATACCTAGGTACCTACTGTATGTAGCTCTCAGCCGGAGAAAAAGGTTGCCGTTTTTGACACAGTGCGTAGTTCCGATTGAATTACATATTTATTGATATACAATTAATGAAACCTTTAATATAAAATTATTGCGTATTTTATGACTATTTCTCCACATGTTTCTCACTCGTTGCATAAGAATTCAATCGTGTGTTGTTGATATTAAAAATATTTAAGACTTTGAATTTTGATGTTTTCGCATGTCAAAAATGGTAGCTTTTTTCTCCGGCTGAGAGTGTAGGTAAGGTTAACTCGTGACACCACGGCAAAAATAACCGAGAATTTTTTTTTTTGGAGAACTATCAATCTTTTGACAGTACACCCTACTTCCCTAGGGATTATAGAGCTCTTAATTAAAAATCCAAATTTAGTAAATTTTCAGAGGAACATTGATTAAACTAATATATCTACTTGTTAAAAGAGCGCAAGGCTTATTGCGAGGCTGAGAGCTTGTGAGGCTACCAGAGCATTTTTCAGCATTTTTGATGCCTGAGGCAGTAAATCCTTAATGTCTTAACGAGCCTGCTACCGTAGGTTTGTGCGCTCAGGGCATTTCAAGCCTAAATCAAAAAATGAATTCTTTGCGATCGCAATTATTAATTATTAGAAAGTTTAATTAAGTAATTTTATTCTTCCCTTATGAATATAATTTTTTTATTAATATTTATCAACGTGCAATTTGTGAGTGTTTTGAGAGACTTTAGCTTTTCAAAGCTTATAAGCGAATTTGAGAAGCCTGGAAATGCCAGAAAATTGCCCTGAGCGCACAGACCTACGTTTGCAGGCTCGTAAGTACTGCTCTGCAGAGGCGCTATTTTGGCAGGTGGCCAAAAATCGCACAAAAGGGCATCTCAGCCGCAATCCGAATCCTTAGTTAGTACCTAGCTAACCTTCCCCCGCACCTGTCTTCGTTAACCTTTAACCGCGCTGGAAGAATCTCCAGGCCACAAAGCTTGCACCTTGCGTTTACATAAGAAGCCTTTATTATTAATCATGACCTCCGCTCCGGCAGTATGTTTCGTGGCATTGCAGTACGTTAACCGATCGGACAGTCTAGCTCATGAGCTCATATCCTCTCAGACGAAGCTTATGACCAGGCGGAACAAGTTGGCGAAACGCCAGCACTCTGCGCTGCAAATTCACCCTTCTTGGAGCACTACAGTGAATGTACAGACTGCATCGATGCATATGGTACTACTTCAAATTCCTCCTCGTTCACTATTGAATTTAGTCGATTTGTCAATTACTGTACTAATCTTACTGTAGCCGAAACGAATTTAACTGCCTTACAGTAATTATTGCTATCTTCTGAGCTTGCAGCGGCATCAACTCTATCGAGCTTGATCTCTGTCTATAACTTACTTACATCATCTAAATCACCGATGACCTCATCTCCTACCATTTCTTCAACATCAGCAATATCCCCTTCAGACTCATGTAAGACTCTGTATCTCTGTTCCAGAAAAACGGAAACAATCTAATCAATTTAGCGACTAACCCGAGCCAAACGTCCATACCTAAACAAGGGGGTAATCGTGATTGGATAGCTGGCGCAGTCTTGGGTCCCATCGTCCTGATTCTCATTCTTGCTACTGCTCTGTACTGGTTTTGTCGAGGAAAGAAAAGGAAGCGAACAACTCCAGTCCTGATGGATAACCCAGACGTCCTGCAAGAGAAGCCGCAACTGCATGGCGATAGCCTTATCATCTCTCCGTATGAACTGCAAAGCAATAGGTCTCCAGATACAATATTGGAGTTGCCAGCTCGGGAGCGTGTAGCTGTGGAGCTGCCTGGAGACAACCTCAGAACTACGACATCCTAGCTACATAACTGCCGAGGTCTCCCGACAGTATCACGGGGTGTGCTGGTGTAACGAAAGACGTATCTACGGAGGGAGTTTAGGCCCCCAAATGTCGCGAACATCAGATTGAAAAACTGGAACCTTTAATTTGCATAAGTACTTGAAATGAATTTCTATATATCCTTCCTTCCTGCTCGTACACCTTTCCTGCGCTCACACTCCAGGTAGATGTTTAGAGTCACGTGCCATTTTGGTGTTACGTTCTCCAGCTCATGGCTTTATTCCTCATCCGCTTCTTCGAAACAAAAACTCGCTATAATTCTGATGGGTACTTGGTATTGGTGTGATTCTTTGCTTCTCAATCTTTGGTATCGCAAATGGAACGTTTCCTGCATGCAGGCGTGTATTCTTCCACCTTCCTAATCGAGCTCGAGATTCCCAATGGACAAGTGCATTGCCTGCTAGAAACAAACCCTTGATTCGTCCGTAAACAGTTGCTCGCTACTCCTTCCCTGTACGGCTGCTGCGAAAGAAATCGATCTAAACCAATTATTCTCATGGTAATGACATTATTCTTGTGGTAGCGAGTGAAATCAAGTGCCATCACCTGCGACTTCCAGTACCTAGAGAGGTGAAGGAGTCTGTCTTTTCAGATGCTCTGCCACAAATAACTCGAGTAGCTTCTGCTTTTGGTAGTTAGTTGTCTAGACGTCTGCGATCGATGGGAAGTTGTGCCAGCTGACAGAATCAACTTCCCGTCCAACTATGCATTTTGGTCGACAATGCAACATCTCCATTTGCAAATACTTGACTTTTGCTCACAACACCACTTTTCTACACTTTTCCGAAAGCGAAATGCATCCAATGGGAGGGTGTGAGGTGATGCAGAGATCTCACATATAAGGGCGAGGTTCTGCGATATGAATCCTGCCGTGTTTCTATTCTTCACTTACCACTCGGTCTCTCGATTTCCACTTCAAGTCTCTTACTCGGAGCTCCATCTTGATATAATCTGCTCTTAATATTCCGTCTTTCTGTTCCGAGTTACTCCTTCAACATTCCTTTACATTAGAACCTAAAGTAAATGCTCCCCTTCCGATACTCGATCTTCAATTCAAAACCAGACCAGTGGACTAAAAATCCACAACAGATAAATAATCCCAAATTCCAAAAAATGAATCTACCGTCTATCCTCCTCGCAGCACTCCTAAGCAGCTCCTTAACCACCGCCCTCAATCTTCGCAAACGTTACGACGAGGCCCCCTTCAAGCCAACAAAGTGTGCCGTAAAGGCCAAAGTGACCCAGACCGCCGCCTGCCCCATTTCGGGCCTCCCAGATAGCACAGGCGGAATCACCCTCACAATAGCCCCAGAGCCAACTTCGTGGAGCAAACCTTCGCCTTCCTCTCTTTTCCAAGTTGTCTTGCAAAACAACACCGAAGTGCGGGCTAGCGTTGATGATGGTATCGACGTCTATGACATTGACATCGACAGCAGCGCCGCTACGTTCGCATCCCTGAGTACCCAACCCCTTTCTTTATCCCTACTCCTTCCAACAACTGTTCATGAACTCAACTCCCCACATTCCAGCTCTCGCGGGTCTTACTCCCGTGACAAAACAAAGGTGCTAATTCATCGCAGTTGGGGCAGGAAAGTATGTAGTCTGCTACTTCTCAGCCGGAACTATGGAAACCTGGCGCTCAGATTTCGGCTGCTTCAACCACAATCTCGGGGCCCAGGATCTAGGCTGTGACGTAGGAGGACCATGGGCCAACGAATTCTGGGTCAACACCTCAAGCACCGAGGTACGAAAGATAATGCAAGCACGGATCCAGCGAGCGGCAGACCTAGGATGCAGCGCCATCGACCCAGACAATATGGACGGCTATGGCAACCAGAATGGTATTGGCGCCACCGAGGAAGATTCCATATCGTATGTGAAATTCCTGTCCCGGGAAGCGCGATCCAGAGGAATGGGTATCTCGCTCAAGAACGCGCTTGAGATCCTCCCAAATGTCACCTCCGATGTGGATTTCGGTGTCAACGAGCAGTGCAACGAGTACGATGAGTGTGACTCTTACACGCCGTTCTGGGCCCTGCCTACTCCGTTGCCGGTGTTCAATATTGAGTACCCGCCGCATAATAAGGATAATTGGACGGAGAAGTATGCGGAGAAGTCGTGTGATGAGTCGCTTGATTGGGGTTATCCTTATATGTTTACGGATTTGAAGAATTATCCTACGGTGACTTGTGCTGTTTCTAGATGCACTGAGGATGGGCCTTCACCTGCGGTGCCGAATGGGGGGTTAGTCATTCCTTCGGGGTGTGTGGATGGGATGCAGTATAACTGAAGGATTTCTTTGGATGGTGGATTTTCTGAGATTCGACTCCATATAAATCTTCGACCCTAATGTAGTCCCGAAAGCACTGGCGTGGGCCAACGCTTTAATACATCACTCTGTATCGATTCCAAACACTTTCCCTGCACTAGATCAATTACACACTGTAGTCCACGATGCACTTATTGATATGCGTATCTGAAGATCCTAATCTGGAGCATGATTTGAGATGGAGAGTATTATTATAGACTTGTCGAAGCTATCATCGTTTCAAATTTGATTAGTATGGACCCTCAGCAACCCTCGATATCCTGTATGTGGACCATCTACATCTCCTAACGCAATGACATAAAGTGTAATCTTCACTTCTCCATCGAACACACCCAGCTCTACAATAACTTCCATCACCGGCCGCTGTGGCTTGCAGCAGTGGGTTTGGTGTGTGAAAATAGTTAGAGCTAGCGATGAGTTCCAGCCGTTGTCAATCTCTAGGACGGATCCCCACGGTTTCCTGACATCAACATTTATATTAATCCCACTCCCGCCAATACCTACTGGTTGGAGTACGAAGACGACCGCCGGCGACTTCCTCAACACTATCGATAATTCGAAGGCGAAGAATTTCGCATCCTCGTCCCACATTGTTGAATGTCGATTAGCTTCAGCCCGGAGTGTCGAGGCGGAGTGATAAGTTTGCAACTCGAGCGTGACTGGCTGCTTCCATGATGATATTTTGGCGGATAAAGACCTTGACAAAAGACCTTGCGTCTCCGGTATGTCTCGTTTGAGGCATAGCCAGCTGTTCTGACTCGATCCGCGCATACTGCTCCTCGCCTACCTTGTGGAAGAAGGCATTACCACCCTCTGCGTAGAGCATGGGACCGTCACATTCTCAGCATACGTTCCGCTCTGAGGTTTCGCTCTGAGTGGATTACTTGTTAACGTCATAGATCCCTATGAGGCAATACGCCGCATCCTCCCTCCTTGATGGAATATTCTACATTTTGAGTATTTCACGTCAGTACATGAAGCCATGCCATTTGAGGCACAAATTCCCGCACAATGAAATGCCCTCACAACACAAAATGGAGGCCGATTCCTCCAATTTCTGCGGCACTTTACTCGGGATCGATTGAAATAGATACACAGAGTCAATCCATAAGTAACGGAAACCGAGCGCCCCGGTCCAGAGAATTGCGTGGTGAAATGTTATGAAAGCTGTTTCCATTCGACATCGCTCTTTCGTTGATCCTTTGTTTCTATGGTTAGTCTCAATACTCTAGCTGAGCCTACGCATGGCTTGAAGCTACGTATGGAGCATCCTGGGGTGTTTCAAGCAGGTGCGCATACATACCTTCCTTGTTGCCAATATGGAAAGTAATGAAAAGTACTTGCATTCGTCCCGCAAGTTCTATGTTGCTGGAAGAATACAAATACTCAGAGGGGGAGCATAATAATACATCAGCTCAGTCTCAAACGATAGGATCTATCGAGTTGACCGCAATAGTTGAGTGGCCTTTCTCAGACCCTGCCGCCCTTCTGCTGTCTGTCACCTTGCCTGATAATATTTACACCCGAGGTAGGCTATGTTCCTGCACACCGCGTAATCCGTCTTCTAACCTGTCACATGAAGTTTCCATTGGAATTTTCAACAGTATCAGTAGGTTTACGAGCTTTGTCGTTGAAGATTGCAACCTTAAGTTACGTAAAGATCTGGTTGGGTATTGAAAAGGAGCCCATGCTGAGCGCTGTCGTAAGCATATCTTTGAGCGTGCTCAGCTTCACGCTGCATCACTAACGTTAAACAAGAGTACTTGAGCGCTCACTGTGAGTCCTCCCGCTAGGACATCCTCCTGCTTTCACCTCGACTACTACCATGCTCAAAAACGAGGCAGGCTGAGCTTTAGTGCCATCGCCCGACAATGTCTCACCTCGAATCTGCCTCGCACTAACTGGATTGGATACTCAGTTCCAACTGAGTTGTGATCGTTGCCAGCAATTTTTCTGGTGTCTGTCTTTGAAATAATGTGCTCTTCCGCAGAGATTCTCATAGGGCAAGATGCACAAAGATAGATTGCGAGACATCACTGCATTCGAGTGGTGTGATTATTGGATTTTATGGCTTCTCGGACACGGCCATTTCCGTTGCTTTTTGCATTAGTAGCTGCTGTATTACTCGACTGCATATGCGAAGACAATCCCTTCGAGCGTCCAACACAGGGAAATGGGGCGATAGTTACATCTACATCTAGACTTTCGTGTTGCTGAACCCCGCAATTACTTTCTTCTGCAATCAATTGCAACCAGAACATTCAACCTTCATGTATCCAGGCTATTGGTCATATACGTCCTCTGTGGTGCCACCACTGTTTTGCATAATTACTTCCAAACTATTGTTAAATGAATGCGATATTGATTGGCGCCTAGTTGTTATAGCCTTTAATGACTATTAGTTTGTTACCTTGCTCTAATCGAATTTCCGCGTTGCGAATGGCCCAACATGCAATTCATTCACACTATAGGATTTCCATCTGTACGACGGGAAAAACCCACCCGACCCCTCTTTGCCGTGACACAGCAGCAACATATGCACTCATCGGCCCTGGTGTTTGCTTTTAAGCCCTCAGCTCTGCTCTGAACAAGGCACAAGATCTATTATCTGCGAGGAGGTCCGCGGAGAAGCTGTTGTGGCCAAAATTCTCTGGACCATTTCAAATTCGTTCACACATGATGCAGAGAAATGCGGTTGAAGAATGCAAATTTATGCAGGATGCGGCAGCAATGCTGTGCATTCCTATTGAAAACGAGCCATCCTTACAGTGAGGGGTAATCGGAGGTGAAACTTTCGATCTTGAGTGTATCGCGATCTTTACTGATTTTCTCGTTCATAAGAAGTAAAATGCCCAGCTATCCTGTAGGAAAAGCTTCGGCTAGGACCCCATTTCTGCTGGCATTTGTTGTTTTCACATCATGACGCCTTCTAAGATAGTTTTCAAAGGCAGTGGTCATGGAGACAAAGCTCATCAACTTGTCAGCTCCTACTTCATTGGTCCTCATGCTGAAAATCTTCACGATTTGAAACAGAATATCGACTCCATCCTCAATCAGCTCCGAGATGCAAGACTTAATTATCACCCAGATGATCCGGTGATTACTTGAAACTCCTCTGATTGATCGTACGTGACCAGCTAACTCTTGATGTATAGGTGTTCATCACCGAGTCTGTCAGAAATTCGCCAACATTTCGAGCAGCCAAAGAAAGAGTTGAGAAAGCTGTCACCACTGCTGCCAATCTTTTGGGCAAACACTCTCTTCCTTTCTGGTCTGCTAGATACCAGGCACATATGTGTATGGATCTTAGCATGCCTGCACTTCTAGGATACTTCATGACAATGATCTATAACCGATATAATCTCAGACGACAAGTTACTCCACCAAAGTCCATTTCCGTCTTTGGACCTGAGTAGTCGCTGCTTTGACCTGAGTTGAGCCCTAAGTCCTGAGCACGCTAATAAGTCAGCTGGATTATACTTAACGGGGTCCTCTTTTAGCCGCCTTCGCGAATCGGCTACAATTTCCATGCTGTCTATATATTGATGTGGTAAATCTTGTTGCTGGTAAATAGCCACCTCTTTACACCTATTAAGATACCGTGACGGTGTCCATTATCGCTCCCCTATCACACTTATCAGGGTTTATCCTTAACGGAGCCGATTAGGATTCCCTTTAGTCGAGTCGCACGTAACTTGGTAAGGTTATTCAGTCGGGAGTACAGCACAGCCTGTTTTTATGGGTTGATTTGGCACGGCTCAGCTTTTTCGTCGCTCGGAATGGGCCTGGGAGTAGTACAGCACGGAAAATGTTGAGGCTGCGAATAGTACGAGCCGGGGAATGGTAAACTGCAGCGGATGCTCAGCTGCAGAAGGTCCTGGGTGGCGAATTGTTAAACCTAGGACTTGTAGATGTACCACGTGAACTTCGCCTGCATGAGCCAGGACCGCGCAGAGCCCATCATTCAGTTCCATCCTGCCCTCCACTCACCATTATCATCTTCTTTCTCCTCAACCTCCTGCCCTGTCCTGTCCATGGTCTGCCGTCTCAACACCCTCCCTCTAATAGTTCTTCACTCATTTGCAATCTCCCGATGGATCTAGGCAAACTTACGCTCGCGCATCGCCAATCCCGTGCTGAAAACAGTCAAGGCTTTCCATCCGACCTCACGCTCAATCAACCTAAACGTTGTCCAACATGTCGGAGCCGCCCCAGGTACTCGATAGACGCAGAAATGCACACCCCACAAGAGTTAAATTCATCTATTGCCCGGATAAAGTGCGGTCAGTGCTTTGTGGTACGAGAAGCGCTTTCTCGTATCGATCCGAACTGGCGCGGCTTTCATGGCGGTTTTCGCCCGGCAGAGGACAGCGATTTCCCGAGCGACGTTTTGCGACGCGACCGTAATATCCATCTGGCTCTATATATATTTTACTGTCAACTATCACTCCTATTGCGCAACAAGGACCAATAACTACAACCACCAGGGTCAGGGCCAGTGGTGCTAATAGTCATTTACTTGGCTAATATAATGCTTCACTTTCTTGCTTGGTTAATGGTGCTCTGACTACTGATTGACTTGTATATGTGAGTACCTGCTTGACTATTACAGGTAATTACTTGCTTAATTATGCTAGAATTTCAGACATAGTCTTTGCTGTGCCGTGACTTGTTTGGCAGAGCCTTAAAAGGACAAAAGAGAATACTTTCCCGCCTTGTATTCCAGCTGGTCAATCCCGCACTGAGCGACTGGTTGGATGTGAAGTCGGCGGTTATATAGCATGGTTTTCCCTGCCAGCTGGCAATGAGTCAGTTGGGTTTGCTCAAGGGGTTCTATTCCGGCCCCCCACGAATCGGCTATAGTTTTTATGTTATTTATAGTTGGAATTACATAGATCCTGTTGCCTGCGACATAGCCACCTCTCTGAGCATATTAAGATGTCGTGATGGTGTCCGTTCTCGCTCCCTCGACATACTTATCAGGAGTCCTTGCTGAGCCGATTTAGGTTCCTTCTCGTACTTTTGTACAATTACATGTGACCTAGTAGGTTATTCAGCCAGGAGTAAGCGAATTGAAAATTGAAAGGAAGGCCTCGCTTAATATACCCCTGGACTTGCTCCCCAACTCTCGCACGATGCAGCTTTTAACGAACTATATCAGGTATACTTGTTTCATGTTTGTGCGTACTCGCAAGTCTCGATCTTGCCGGGCGTGTCCTTCCTTATACTTTGTAGCTGTGACAGGCTAGATCAAATAATAATTTTATGAAGTACTGTATAATATAAGAAGAATTGATTAAAAAGAGGAAAGGTGAGAACAAAGAGCTTAGACTTAGAATAGGTCTGAGTTTCAGTAACTATAATAACGAAGGCGGCCCTAGGCCGCCGAGTCCCCATTAACAAGTACAACTCGTTACGCTCTAGACTTTTATATTACTATCCGAAGTAGTTTCGGTTTTAATACAAGATATCAGCTTGCTCTAAGTTTGAGTAAGCCGAATTTATATACTTTAAACAAAAGTAGTTCGAATTGTATTGCTATAACTCGGACTGCTTTGATTTAAAGTATAAATAAGGCATATACGCTATCTTGTAGTATATAAAAGTATTATACTTTAGACGCAAGTACTTCGAAGTGTAGTTCTTTAAATTGATGCACTCGTAATTATAGTACTCCGAGTGCTAAAATAGAACTGGGGATCTAGAATGTGTCCCTCCCTCAAAAAGAACGCGTTGCCTGTTCGGTTCTATGCCCTTCACTAAATAATTCCTCTTTTGCCGGTTCCACCGGTTCCCAACGGTATTGTGTCAATTGCTATTAGTTTGTTCGATGCACCGACTGGCGCTATTTATTTACCATCAACGTCTACTCCCATTTTAGCAATTTGTGACTCGTTCCTTTTTAATAGATATGACATTATAGTTAATTACTTTAAGCTTTTTTCAAAGAACTGCAATGTGTAAGCAAATTCAAAGTAGCGGGTGGAGAAGTACTTGAGTAAAGTCTAATAGAAGAAGATACGAAAAAGCAAAGGTTTAAGAGGAAGGTGCGAAGGCATATTCTCCTTGGAATAGGCTAAGGCCACGCTATGTTGTAAGAAGAATTTGCCTTGAGAGTAAAAGGTATATTTTTAGGGGGGTCCTGTTTGGGTTCCCTGGGAGCCGACTTGGTTCCTTTAAATACAGTCGTGTAGAGTTGGCAACTTTCGCACAACTGAGCCGAATAGTAAGCAAATCATGATTGGTCACTAAAATGAAGAGCAGGAATATGACTGAGCAACCTGAGTCGAGGGTAAGTAGCGCCTGAGTAGAGCGGCGATGCTGAGTAACCGCGTTAGATTCGAAATGGAAGAATTGTCGTCTGAGATTACCCAAATAATGTTGCTGTTGAAGCAAGTCCTCTGACGACAGTTGCCGAGATCGAGTGTGGAAATCAACTCTGTACCATGTTCGGTTATAACATGGATACTACAAAGCTAGATCTTCCAGTTAGTTGGGGCCACATTACTTGTGGTGGGACAGTTGCGAATCTGGAATCTACTTGGTATGTGCCTTCTCGAAATCTCATCCACTTCCGACTAACATCTTGCAGGGTGGGTATGTATGACACCATCCGGCACGACACAACATACTAATATAATACTTCAAAGCTCGCAGTCTCAAATTCTATCCATTCTCCATCTTCAAGGCTATGAAGCCTGGCGGCTTGCTCAATTTTGTCTCTGAAAACTTCCGAATCAAGACCTGCAAGGGAGAGGAAAAGCTCTTCCTTCAACTGGACAGCTGGGAACTTTCGAACTTAAGACCTCATGATATCTTGGACATCCCGGATCGCCTGGGGCGAGAATATGATATCTCTCCAACTTTCATGGCAACAGTTCTGTCGAAGTATAGCATTCAGGAGACGGGGAAGGATGTACTTACGAGAGAGTTCGACCTGAAAGATCCCCAGTATATGCTGTCAACAACTCGCCACTATTCATGGCCCAAGGGAGCTGGTGAGTTTTCATGTTTCAACTCCTGTACATTCTTCTGATAAGTTTTTAGCAATCGCAGGTATCGGCGCGTCCAATGTCATTGGTATTCCGGTTGATCCCAGTGCCCGGATTGACATCAATAAGCTGAGAGATCGTTTGCACCAGAATCTCGCAACGAAGCAATCCGTTTATGCTGTCGTGGCAATCATCGGTTCCACCGAAGAAGGATCAGTTGATGATCTGACTGGAATATTGGAGGTCCGGGACGAGTTTCAGAAGCTTGGAATGTCATTTTTGGTTCATGGAGATGCAGCCTGGGGAGGCTACTTTGCAACCATGTTGCCCACTGATATTCACATGAGTCCGGGTCGTGCCAAGCGCGGGAGCAGGGATTCGAGTTTCGTACCCAACTCAGCACTTCGTACCGAGACCCAAGAGGATCTTTTCGCTTTGAGATTTGCTGATTCAATCACTGTTGATCCTCACAAAGCAGGGTATGTGCCGTATCCTGCTGGTGGCTTGTGCTATCGTGATGAGCGAATGAGGTATCTCGTTACGTGGACTAGCCCATATCTTTCACGAGGTGCTTCGACTAGCATGGGAATCTACGGTGTTGAAGGAAGGTAAGTAGAATATATCGATGGTAGTTTTATAGAGGCTGAAACTACATCACAGCAAACCAGGCGCTGCTGCGATGTCCACTTGGCTTTCCAACACTTGCATTGGAATGGGGGTAGAAGGGTACGGAGCACTTCTTGGTGAAGTAACATTTACCTGCAGCAGGGTAAGTTCTTGTTCTGACTACGTGATTTTCTAACAGAAGCCGTTTAGTTCTCGGCAGAATGGGCAGCTATGACCTCCCCGGACATGGACTTCAAAGTCGTCCCTCTCAACATGCTTCCGTCTGAGATGGAACCTGGTTCCACACCCCAAAAGGTAGAAGCTGAGAAACAGAGAATTCGTGATACTATTCTATCCAAAACGAATGCAGAGATCGTTGCAGCGGACGCTGGCAAGCCAGAAAGCGAAAAGTCACTAACACTTCTCCGTGCTCTTGGTTCGGACTTGAACATTAACGCATTCACTCTCAATTTTCGTCTCGAATCGGGAGTTTGGAACACTGACGTCGAAGAAGCCAATTACTTGATGTCAAGAGTTATACAACGACTCTCGGTATATTCCCCGGACGACGATATATCGGCCCTCGAGTTCGTGTTAACTTCCACCGATTTCTCCAAAGAGCTCTATGGCGACTGCATGGCAAACTTCAAGACTCGCTTGGGACTAAGAGTAGATGACATTGATTTAATGGTCCTCCGCAACGTGGTCATGAGTCCATGGCCCACAGCTCAAAATTTTGTTGGGACGCTCGCTGGAATTTTCAAGAGGATCGTTGAGGAAGAAATCAAAGTGCGTCTTGGGTGCCATTCCGGAAACTTGCTGACATATTATATGTCTGCCAGAAACGTAATTCAACATCTCCTACGCGCCATCACTTACTTTTGCAAGGCAAACAGACGTTGTATATGATACACATCCCAACCTTCATGGTCGCAAACCACCGGCAACAACTTATCGTCGAGGTCGAGATTGATGTCGAGAGCAAGAAGAAATATCTCAGTTTCAAGGAGCAAAATGCATCAGAGCAAATATATCTTCTCACTCATCCAATTCAACTACCGAAAACGCTGAGTCCAGGAACCAAGTTCTCAGCCGAGATCAAAACAGATAAAGCGTAAGTTGATCCATACAAATTTTGACCTGTTGTAACAAGATTACAGCATTATCGTGCCTCATACAACAGTAACAATCAGTCAAGTGGTGAAGAGTCGACCCTTGAACTCAGCTTTTCGAGATAGCAACTACCCAAAGACGTTCACATCATTCTATCTCTTTGGGAACAAAGAAGAAGTGAACATCGACCACATGCTGCTCCTAGCACCGAACTCTCAGTTCACAGCTGAAGACGTCAAACTGGACCTCAACCGTCCACTTACCGATCAAGAGCTTGTCAATGGACCTTTACTTTATGTCCAGGATTTTCGAGAAGAGCCCAGCCAACCTTTCCCTAGCAACGCAGATCTTCAAGCCAGCAAGACATTCTGGTTCAAGCCAGGAAGAAAGATGGCAGTGAAAGTGTATCGAGACACATTTCCTGCTACTGCTAGTGGTCCAGGCTTGACGAAAGGTTACGAGAATCCCGAGAACGAGCTTGCGTCTGGATATATGACGCTTGGTGACCACGTATTCGTTGACACCGAGCACATGAACTTGGACCCGTTCAAGAAGCCAGAGAGAGTTGTTCAGTGGCAGGAGGAGTTCAATAAGATTGGAGAGAGTATGAGGTCCATTCCACACCACAAGTAAGGTAGAGGGAGGTGATGGAGATGATCGGAAGAGCAAATTGCTTGGCGGGGTTGAATTGAACGTGTGGTGCAGGTTTATCTTTACGGTATAAAAGTGTTGGCCTCCCTTAAAGGCTGAGGTAGCAGGTAATGACCTTCATTTAATACCAAGCTTGAAATCGCATTTCAATCCGAGACAATGCGATGCTTGTTGGGGCACGTAGAAGTTGGAGTAGACTTGGTATGGGTACGATACCAGTCCGTGCTGCGTGATCACTGTAAAGCTTCTGAGGCCATTCTTCAGTCAATTGCCATAATTCTTCCGTGAACTACCCGTCTTTGAAAAGGCAGATCCTGCAAGACATATGCATAGGAACGGGGTTGAGACCTAAATATAGGTGAGTGCTTTCGTACTTCTCGAGATAAGGACCCTGCACATACGGGCGGGTGCCCGCAGAATACCCCTTGATGCTGCACCGGCTAAGTACCGACATGTGTACCGAACAAATGAAAGTCCTCGACTCGTATGCGACTCATCCTTCGAAATATAGAGCACGATGATTGCAACCTTTTGCCAGTTTGGTACAACAACTTATAAGTTTGGCCACCAGATTAATTTTGTGATAGATAAAGCATGATCATACATCTCAGAATACAACGCATGTAGTACCTGATGTTTGTAATGGTTTGTAGGTGCTACTTCAATGATAAATTAGTTGCTACTCCTCGTTGCTCTAAAGAGATTCTCGCACCTTTCATGACCAGCTTGCACGTTTACGATACCTCCTACCTGGAGTCACAAACCACTATTCTTCCACCTACCAACTAACCCTCTTGCTGAAGTTTTGAGAATGTCAGCAAACACTACGATCTATTCTGGATTTTGGGTAAACCTTTCAAAAGGTCCAGTGCTCGGGTCGACTCTGACTCTCAAGAAAGACAATGCCGTCATCCTCATCGCTGCACTGGCTATCTTCATTCAAGTCCGCAATTCGCTCATCCACGAAGAAATAATAGCAAGCTAATCTCATGCACAGTTGATTGGGGTTCAATCTTTTGGCATCATCCGTCTCCTCGCACATCAAATACGTGCAACTAGGGAACCTAGAGATGGTCTATTCCACCAGCAACAAGCCACCTTGAGGAATGACGGTTCCGATATCAGTGCCACTTGGGTCTTTAGCAGGATAGCATATGCTTGGCGCTCTCGATCCCCTAAGAGCTTTCGCAAATCTGTCACACTTATCTTGATAGGGTTGCTTCATCTGATAGCGTTTGGAGCAGCGAGTGTACTAGCCTCCCATATAACAACCACAGATGAAGAGGTTCTCATAACCCGGAACCCCAATTGTGGACCTTGGAAAGTAGTGAATGAGATTGGAGCAGCAAACCAACCGGAGAACATTATCCAGAGTGCTTATGTATCAACCACCTTGCAGTCGACTGATAAATATGTTCAGAGTTGCCTGTCGGAGCCACAGTCACTTCCAGAGTGTACCATGTTCAAGCGAGAGCGGTTGCCTTGGACTTCAACAACAAATAACTCATGTCCCTTTGATGACTTGTGTCTTGGCCCAGCTTTATATTTGGATACAGGCCTGATCGACTCGCGAGACGACTTGGGGATCAATAGTCATGACTCGGATCGTGTTCAGTTGCGAAACAACTTAACTTGCGTGCCAATCACCACTGACGGATATAGCAAACAAGGCACGAGTTCATACAGTTACCAGGACGATTTTTCTTCTGGAAATATAACTTTCAATTATACGGCTCTTTTATATGGCCCTCCAGATGATAACGATTTCCTTTATGGCGTCGAGGATCTCACTTTGCAAAATGCGACTTACCTCTACACCAACTTTATGGATCTTGCCGTTCCTTCTCACGGCTCTGAAGGATTAGTTCCCTATTACTTGATGTGAGAATTTTTCCTAGCCAGCAAATTCTAGCTAAATCTGTACAGCGCCTTAACAGCAAGTGAAAGCGGAGGATTCCTTCCCATCCTCGCCTTAAACATAACAGACGCAACCACAATCCTAGCCTTCGCATCCTTCTCTTGGTTCTACACCGGCCCCAGCGACGACCTCTGGCTCCCTGCCCACAGACAAACCAACCAAGCACCACCTCCGCAGATAACCTCATTATCTACTACCCTGACAAAGAGGTCTCTGTCCTCGCCTGTCTCGAACAACAACAAATATGCAACCCCTCCTCCAAAAACAACTCTTGCACACAATTCCGCTCGATCTACTACTCATTCCCCGACTCTGAACTCGAGGAAGTACTTACAAATGACCATCAGATGCAAATTGCGAACACGATCCTGAATTCGAACGTTGGATTCGATTACCCTATGATGTCGACCGGGCTCCTCGCCTCACGCTTTGCAGATAATGGCTTCTCGTTGCCATTAGCATCCAATCAATGGATTTTGGAAGTCGAGAACTGGTTCACGATCACTCTTGCTACCTTACAGCGCCTTATGATTGAGTTTGCCACAGGACCATCATCTAGCCAGTATTCGGCATTCATAGATGTCGAACAAGCAGAGAAGGATCCGGATGTGAGGTGGATGTGTGAGAATCAGATTATCAATCGAGGCGATTATACGAATTTTCGGACGTTGAGTATTTGCTTGATCTTTGTGCTGGGGTTGCTGGTTTTTGTGGTTAATCAAAATAGAGAGGCGATTGCAGGACGCTTGGGTTGGAGGAGGAGAGGTTGGAGACAGAGGGCGTGGTGGGCTGAGGGGACGTTGCGGTTACAGAGGCGGGCATTCGAGGGCGTGGGTATTGAGTGGGAATCGGAAGATTGTGATTTAATTCCAGTCACTGAGAGCGGGAGGATGTTTAGTGCGTTGAGAATTTGTGAGGAGAAGGTTCTTTCGCCTTCCGAGAAGAAGGATACATGCGTTATTACATCGCAAGGGTCTCCAGAGCCAGAGGATACAGAGCCGGAAATTTCAAAAGCGAACGATACGATTGTGCAGGTAAAATCTATCTCGAAGTCTAGCAACGAGGGGGCGAGTGGTGGCAGCAATGGAAGGCCCCGTTCAATTTAGCTTATCGTCCTTGATAAGCGAGAACAAGCGAGGAATAGGGGCAAGACACTGCTGTACTTACCTCACGAGATTTAACTATGAGACAAACACTTCACCTCGAGTCCAGAAATAGGAGAAAGGAAACATCCGTCTAAATATTAAATTAATCTGCAATATCAAACAATTTGACAAGAGACGCATCCGTCTAAATATCAAATTAGTTCGCAATATCAAACAATTTGACAACGGTCTTCTCCCACAGACCCGCGTCATTCAATCGCCACAACCTCCTAGTTCTACTTGCCCAGAATCTCTCTAAAAACCAAAACACTTAAAAATTGTCCCAGAACAAGCAAGAACAAACATCTCGTGACGGCTCGGTACCATCTTTTGTGTACCGTCAAAGTGCGCGTGAGGAAGCTTTATATACCCTTCTCTCACTCTATAATTAACATGCTCAAATCCATTCACTCAGTCAGAACGACCAACAACCATTCAGCGCCTCAAAGAACCTTGATTTCTCACGCAAACCATATTCACTACCCAAAACCTCAACATCTGACACGTTCTCAGCGCCTGAGGCTCTTGTAACTTTCCACGTCCAGTCCACGATTATTTTGGATATAAATACTACTCATAGTATGGAAATCTGTTAGAAGAACAAACTTGACAAGAGATGCAAAGCGAGAGAATAAGGGGAGAGATGAGGTCGGGGCCGGGTATGAGTTTGCGATATTCGATTTCTATGATGGATAATCAATCGCTGTTAAACTGCTGGGGCCGACGTTAACAGCAACAAGACAAACGACAGCAAAGCAACTAATACTTAACAACAGCACAGAGACTTCTTTGGCAACAAACCCATCCATCAATCATCAAACACTGAACTAGCCATCTAAAGCTTAACGGGCCTTCACAAAGCCTTGAAACCTAATGAATGGCTCCGGGTGCCCAATTGAAGGGAATTCTCTGGTTATGAAATGTCCAGACGTTAGAAAATTTGGCAAATGCTGTTATTTATGCAGGAGTGACAATTTTCCACCTCGAATAATTCCACCCCAAAGAATCTAGAAATATTCACCAAATCCCAAACGCTCGCTCCGCCAAAGAATTTGATTCCTAACGTAACGTGAAGTCCATTCACCCCCAAACCTCAACGCCTCACGAATTTTTAACGCCTTACGATTTCACAACGTCTGACACAATCTAAGCGCCTCAGGCGCCCACAAGTCGCCACGTCCAGCGGACGGTTCTTCGAAGTATATATAGAGACGTCGAACCATACCTTGAAGCCAACCAAAGATGAAGGAACTCAAGGATGAGATCAAGATATCGATGATGACGTGTAGAGACCCCCGACATGTGATTTTGGTCGTAGACGTTTGATCGTTGGTAATTTTGAGAAAAGAAGATTCTTGGTGAGGTACATAACGAAAAGCGGCAATTAACAGACAAACGACAATAGCGTGAAGCTTAGCAGTTATTACCTACTTGACAATGAAGGCATCTATAAATAAAACTCCAACATAAAGCCCAAAATCGACTAAGACAAATAGATAGATAACAAGTTCCCACAACTCAATTCACAAAGACGGGAAAAAGACTCTCCCATTCTCGTTTCCTGAAATGCAGGTTCTTGGTCTGCATTTGCGACCGAGTTTGATACCGCCTTTTCCCTTTCCACTCTACTGTATTTATACCTCTCCTCCCCATCCCTTCAACCCTTATCCACTCCCCGCCCTCCTCTTTCCCAGCCCTTTAAATTCACCAAACACCTACCTGACTAATTCACCCCCAAATCTCGACCTCCAAGAACCTCCTCCCCTTCGTTGGAAAAGCTATAAAAGAACACTCAACCCACACCACCCTATGATCTACAACTTACCACAACCATACTTCTTCCACACGAGGGTGCGCCAGATACCACCGTCGAAGGACCTTGTGCCCTTTTTCTTTAGATGGATGTCTTTTTTCCCCCCCACTGCCCGTCACGGAATGTAAGCACTGATGAATTGTGGGGGAGTTGACAACGATATAGAAAAGTATGTATGAATGACAGTAATAAAACCTTGACAGCAACATACCCATGAGATACTACTCTGCGAATGTAAAGCATGCACTTTTCCAAGTCAGAGATGATTTGAGGGACAAAGAGATTTGTGTAACTTTCTAAGCGAGCCAGAATGAGGGGAAAGGGGGTGATGGCGAGACACTGAAAGTTTGTGACGGCTTATAGTGCAGTATGTTGCTCCGGACTCAACAAAACTTGACTTGAATACTTCTTGAGAATACAAAGAAGGTTCGTCTCAATCCATCAGACTTTGATTTCTAGAAAGTCCGAGGCAATCCCCCAAGATTCTTCACATCTGCTATAATCTATCTCTACCACATCTACATCTCTCACCTCCCGTCCTATCTACACCTCACCTCACCTCACCCTCTCTTCCGTCCCCACCCACCACCCTCTCTTCCATCCCCACCTACCACCCTCTCAAACCCCCCTCTCCAACCTAAACTCAAAATCCCCAAGCCCCCCCACCCCAACATCAACCCTAAACACCGCCCCCGCCGCCCCGCCCTCCCCATCATCCGCCGTCGTAACAACCAACTCCCTCCCCACAAAACACGGACACGTAATCGCACTCGTCGGGAACCTGACCTCGCCCCTCACCACTCCCTTTCCCTCTACATCGACAATCTTCAACACCTTGCCCTCGCCATAGATCGCCTGCCACAAATTGCCCTGCTCATCGACCTTGAATCCATCCGGGTCGCCTGTTCCCTGGTGTTTGTACCACACGCGCTCGTTGGTTAGCGCGCCGGTGGAGGAGGAGTAGTCGAAGGCGAAGATGGTTTTTTCGGTGCTGTGCACGAAGTAGGCGGTTGTTTGGGAGGGCGACCAGCCGATGCTGTTGGGGATCGTGAGGGAGGGGCGGATGGGGTGGCGGGTGAGGTCGCGGTTGAAGCGGAAGAGTGCTCCTTTGTTTGTTTGTTAGTTTCTTATTTTTCTTGCTTGTATTTTTTGTTCTCTTCTTGCAGAGCTGGGAAGAGAAGTAGGGACTATGAGGGGGTTTCTTGAAGCGTTAATCGCGGTTGTGAAGAGAAAGAATGCACTGTACGAGGCAGTATCTCGGTATTTGTCCATGGATCAAGGACTTCCTTGCTTCCTCGCATCCATCCCTCGTTCTAGACGACCTTCTTTCTTCAGCCCAATGCCCAACCTCAGCGTCTAGCAAAAGAAAGACAGACAGACATCTTCACGTGACGCTACGTACGAGAGTAGGTATCAAAATACCCTGCTCCACTCCATTTCATAATTCCTTTTGCCAGCCAAGGAAACAAATAACTCAGACACCCGTTTTAGTCCCCTATCGCGCAATTAAAATTCCCTTCCTTCCCTGTTTCTCGTCTCGGTCCACTCGGCATCATTCGAGACAAATCCTCCAGGAAAAAGAAAAAAGGCGCATCAAATCGGAGAAAAAGGAAGATGTCATCTCAAACTCATGACTCGGAGATAGAAGGCAGAAACAATGAGACCCCCAAAAAACAACAACAACGGCTAAACCCCAGCGTTTATTCGGCCGCTGCCCAAAGAAATTATTAGACTCTCACTCCTCTTCCCCTTCCTAAAAAAGATAAAATAAGATAAAATAAAACATACCCTCAGCCTGAGGCTCCCCAACATGAAAATCATTCATCGTACCCACCCAAAACCGGCCCTGCGGATCCACCGCCCCATCATTACTCCTCAACCGATCATCCTTCTCCTCACTCTCATAGAACCTCTTCAACAACTCGTACGTCCCCGACTCTCTATCCAGGACAAAAATCCCATTCTTGCCTCCCACCAAGATCTTCTTCGCCGGGTCCACGCCCTCGATATCGGCCGTGACGCCGACGGGCATATCGAGCTGCAGCGTCTTGAGGGACGAGGGACCCGTGGTCAGAGAGACGGTGTGCAGGCGTTTCTTGATGATGTCGACGAAGCGGAGGGTGTTGGTCGCGGCTTCGTAGTAGGGGCCTTCGCCTAGGCTGCAGGAGATGGGGAGCCATGGGTCGGTGACGGTCCAGGTTTGGTAGTCTGGTGCCATTGTGGTTGGTTTGGGGGGAGAGGGAGAGAAGAAGAAGGAGAGAAGCCAGCGCCACCACGATGCGAGGGAGTTGGTGTTTGTGCTGGCATTTTGACGGCCTTCGTCGTTGTCGTCTTTGTGGTGGGGTTGAGAGGCCATAGTATAGTGGGGGATCGAATCGGAATGACGTGTGAGGTTAAAGTTTAGAGAAAGAGTGGGAATTGAGCGCGCCGCGGAAACGGGAGCTAAGAAGGAAGATATTTCGACGCGCGCAACAACTTCAATGAACAGGTAGCGAGCGAGAGACGAGAATCTTGTAAGGAGTATACAAACAGAAACGGACAATGATGACACGTAAGGAACGGAATATAGGAGAGATTCCAACTATGAGATGCGGCTCAGAGTACCCTTAAGAGGGGCTCGGCTGGCTGTACCTGGAAAATATATTGAACGAGAGACATCTGTTTTCCGGCCAGCGGGCCTCACATCCGGTTTATCTCGTCGTTCCGGAATCAGACCTCTTTGCAGACATTTTGCAAGATATATGGTACCTGATGTTTGTCCTGGGAGCAGTTGGTACTGTGGCTTTATTCTCTGGGTGGTGCGGCGGATATTGTGCCCGTACAGGCTGTATGAATGTGCGGCTCCGATATGAAAGCTCAATGCCATTCGGCCCCTCCTTCAGTATCACTCCTTTCATGCGAGACTGTCGCCATTGGTGCCAATTGAGTTCTTCGGCTCGAGCTGGGAGGCTCCTCGGCCTTTTCGGCTTCCTTTTTGAGAGTTCACGAATTCTGTTTTGACCACCTCCTCATGCTTTAACAAACTTTTGCAGCCCGACCAACGGCAATTTCCCACGATTACGGGAACATTTTCATGCGCCTAACTTGGACAAAGGAAATCGACTGTCATGCACATATGAAATATCAAGACTTCTCTCGGGCACCAAAGAAGTAAATACGTCGCTCGTACGCTGAACGCATGCTTGGCATCTGTATGCGTCACTATCAAGGTTTTTCTTCATCCCTCTTTTCTGCAAGTAACTTTCATGCACCAGGTCGGAATTGACTTTGAATGATGAAGCATAGAGTTTTGCAAAAGTGTCGCCATCATCAAATTTAGATGGCTTCCCCGCCGGCAACGGATCGCTGCTAAAATATGAACGAGGAGTTCCCTTGTTTAGTCGTGGAATCAGAGTTCTCTATAGCTCTGGAGGCGCAAATTGACAACGGTTACCAGGATCCTGCAACGAAAAAAGCTGCTGATCCGTGCTTCCTCAAGCCGTGCTAAACTTAGAGGTGATGAAACTGGTTAAGACGAGAAGAAGGTTTCTCACCCTGAAGGAATGGCTTACGCAGTATGATCAAGAAAGGGAAAAAAGGGTGTAGCGTTCACCTCCTCGCAGAACAGCTGCGAGCCAGCTTTGCCTGCATCTTGGATGGATGAATGTTCCTGCAGCCCTGAGATCAACGCTCTTCCCGCGAGGCTGACTAGTTGCTTCCAAGTCGCTCTTCCGGATCACACTGCAGACGACCCACCACACCGCCTGAGGTGCTTGCTTGTTTGCTGACCGACAATTCAATCTCTCGAAGTCGAATCCACCGAGCTGTCTAAGTGTCACTTTGGTCCAAATAACTTCCCTGACCGCTCAGCTGTGCGTCGAACAATCCAGGATCTGCTCACCGCATTTCGATCTCCGCACTGGCTACTTGACAACAGACCTCTTGTTGTCTCAAGGATCGTGTCGAGATGGCACGTGCATTTGAAGAATCACCTGCTTAAGCGCGCCAGCGCCAGCGCCATCTCATCACATCACGTCAGTCACCCACTGCAATGTGCGCAAGAACGCCTTAGCACGACTCTCGAAACAACCAGGTTCGGGATGGGTTGTGTGCCGACCGCTGTCCGGCATTCGCAGTTTGACATGGACATCGACATGGGCGGTGGTGACAGCCCCTTCATGCGGGTGCCGATTTCAGATATTATCTTGTCACACGTGACATGACGGGGGAGGCTGGTCTGGGGGCTGAAGAAACATGCCTTGCTGGGACGCGCACTGATGTTCTTCGGGACTTGAGGGGGCATTGTCAGCATTTTCGTGTTTCCTTGAAGGACTTTGGGGAGGGAGATGCAGGTCTGTCCATGGCTCGTGGGTTGCTTGTTGTGTGACGCTCGGGACGGGAGGTTGTGTCAGCACACAGCACAGCACACAGCACAGGAGGCGGCGGGAACTCGGATATTTGCTTCTTCGTTTCGCAACGGCTGGTAGGTGCAGGTGCAGGTGCAGGTGCAGATTGAGGTGGAAAGTGAGAAGTGGTGGCTCGGCTCCTTCTGTTGCACTGGATTTTGCTAAATGAAGATTATTCTTACCGGTGAAAGTTCGATCAGTCGGCCAGACTGGGCTTGATCAACGCTCGTAGGGTAAGTAGGTAGTTAGTTAGTTTAGAGCTAAGTAGGAAGAAAGACGAATATCACACGGCTGTTGAAGCAGGTACGGTACATCCAGTCTAAGTGAGTTCCACAGGCAGCGGCTTGGTCCCGGCTCTCGAGCCTCTGGCAGGGACATGGTTGTCGCCATATCTGCAAACTTTGTTTTCGTACTGTACCATAATTATCTTTCATACCCCCAGCGCCAGCCTCTTCTTCCAGCCTCCTGTCCCGCAGGTTGAAGGTGAGGGAGGTTTGCTTTTGGAGGGCATGACTTGGAAACCGCCAGCAGCCGTTTCCGGCATGCCACATGATTACAATTACATGCGCTCATCCCTTAATCGAGCGAGTCTCATGCGGGACTTGCTGGTGCGGGGATGCGAACGTGGGATGGGCGTGGGAGACCAATGGAGAACGTGCATCTCTTTCGTCCCATCTCTCTGTCTTCGTTGCCTCGTTCTCGCTGGTGGGAATCCTGGACGCTTCACTGCCGATTGGGATGGTTCGCACTGCCCGCCCGCCTCGTGTACCCTGCCGTGCAACAACGTCTTCGCGATGCTACGCTGTCTGGGCTGGCAGCCTGGCAAGAGGAGGCTGGCAAGCTGACTTGCTTGCTTGCTTGCTTGCCCGTTGCTGCGATGAAGATCCTTATGAGAGGATGATGCGCTTTTCACCTTGCTTGCATTGACCAAAGCGCTCGGACAGGCACTCTTTGATCTCCAACACGCAGAGGTCCAGCGCAGCTTGAAGCCCGACTCTGAACGATTCGACTCGGTAGCATGACGTCGCACAACGGAGACATGTAAGTAGAGAAGGCTGGTCCGAGTGACATCGACTCGAGTACGAGCCGTGTTGTGAGAAACACCCGCTCAGGCGTATCGTGTTCTCCAAAGATGATGTTCCATCTCCCAATCTCTCATCTCATCTCATCTCACAGGCCGGGACTGGGCCAGCTCAAGCGAGGCTCTTCCGAGGGATCAATCGCGGCCATACACCACCGCGGCAAGGTCCCGCTCGCTTCTCTGCAATCTGCAATCTGTAATCTGCAGTCTTTCATCTTCCCTTGAGAATGTGTAAAGTCAAGTTGCGCCAAGCACTAGGTCCGTTGTTTGAGAAAAGTGAACGGCGCTCGGGAATGACGATCCTGGCCGGAGCGAAGGGCAGCCTTCGATGCCCGCTAACGTAAGATGGCCGTACAGTATTTCCAGCAGCTTGGATGAGCTACGAAGGTACAGTACCCAGCTTCCTTCCGAACGCCCTAGTCAATTAGCTTTGCCTCTCTTGGCTTTTTCTTCTCTCTCTGCCTGAAGGCCTGAAGAAAACTCTTCAACGACGAACGAGCTGATAAGCTCGGAAGATTCGGGTGAGGGAACGACGAAGGAGCCACGCCTTTCCTTCATCTCACTCGTCCACCTTGCATTTGCACCGTTGCGGCCGGGCTGGGATGGGATGGCTAAATTTATGAGAGACTCACAGACCCGAATGAAGGGAAGTTGATCCTACTTCCAAGCGCGCCGCGCAACAGGGTGCTGCGTAAGGTTATAAGAGCCGCATTATAGCGTCGAAAGAAGAAGGACGCGAGAAAAGGAAAGGTAATTCCAATTAAATGTGCTGCCGCCGGTCATCATCCTGAGTGGATCAGTGCATACCATCAGCATCGAGCCGAATATCAGTGCTGCAAGCAGTCGCTATGCGGCGTGGTTCGTTTAAGTTGTGGGAGCAACGAGTAAGGGCTCTGCGGAGATGTCTGCATGCAGCTCGTGAAGCCTTAAAAAGCTCTTGATGTGGAGAAGGGAGACGAGGTGAGGCGAGGTGAGGCGAAGAAGTAAAAACCCGTCTTTCTCTCCCTCGCCTAAAAAGGAAAGTCCAACATGCATCCATAAAGTCAACATCCAAAAGAAGCGATTGTAAGTCGAGGCAGGTAAAGTCTCAAGGAGGATTTTCTCGGCTTGTTCCTTCCTCCCCGTTGCTTCCCTACGAGTACTGTGGGTAGCTGCAGATGGAAGCTACTCTGTAGCTTGTTGCCGGATCTGATCTACCCTGAGTAGGGATATTTCCCTTTTGTCAATGATCTTCATCGCACTCTTTGCCCAGCATGGACAGCCTCACTTTTCGTTTCTCCCTTTCCAGAGCAGAATTCGACTGACATCTCGAAATTCATCGTCATCTTCCTCAATTGAGGCGCGTGTCTCATACGACCCAACTCATTGCTTCGCGAGGCGATTTCTTCCTCTCTTCCGGCACCAGCGGATTCCCAGAGACCGGTTACCCGTTGCCGTTCATGTTACTCAATCCTGATCCCATCGCGGGGAGCATTTCCGATTCCGCGGGTTCGTTCTAGGGCAAAGTGCCTCCTGGGCCGAGGGAAGAACATCACCAATCACTGTCGTCGTCCGAGTACAGTTTGAACCCAGATGGCGCAGATAATCACCGACGTGAGACACCGCCACGTCCGCCATCGTGCTTTGGGAGCACTTGACTCTCCATGCTCCCGTATGCCATGCCGTAACGGCGCAACACCGGCCAGAGAACGCCTTGGTTGATGTTCTGTCTTCCAACTGTTCGAGGCTTGAAGCTCACAAACGTTCCGGACCGCCGACCGTCACCTTCCTCCACAAGCTAACCTATCTATCACATCCTGTCATATTATATCACAATTGTCGGTGTTTCATCCTTGCTCCAGCGCTGTTTGGTTCGAGTTCAAGGACCATTATTTCTAGTAGTCGTTGATCTGCATCTCGTCACGATCTTCATCTCGGACAATTCTCAGGTTCCTAGATGAGGAAACTAGAAATAGAGTGCTTCATATTGGGAACAATGCAAACTGCATCCAGCAGCGTAAGTCGAGGCGAGGCAAATCCCAGGATGTTAGGATGAGGGTTAGGGATGGTTACACCCGGAACTTCACGCCCTTGATCAGCACCAACTCTCCAAGCGAGGACCAAACTACCTACCTAGGTACCGCACCCATCACCATAGCCATCATGTGATGTGATGTGATGTGATGTGATCTACAGCATCAGGTACATTTGGGCCGCTATGCGCATCACATATGCACAAAGATGGTATTGGTGGAAGACATCCCGAAAGATTCTTCAGCGGCACGGCGCGCGGGGTGTAACATGTCGAAAAACCGATCATGGTCAAAGCCCTCAGATGCTAGTGAGTGAGAGTGTGATATCACGACGGCAGCATCACCGAAGGATCAGCTGGACCGTGAGGACGTCGACGTCAAATCATGATCCTTTCACAAATCCTTCCACAAATCCTTCCAATTGATCTCGATCTTTCTGGACGTCTGGTGGCTGCGACGAGGGTTATCCTCGCGCCTGTTGATCCGGAGCAGCGACACGGAACAGGAAGGCTTACATACGCTGCCGGACTGCTGGAAATCCAAATCGGGGCACCCTCCAGGATATCAAACGTATCAGTGCGCGCATACGGAGCTACTGCAGCTCATCTTGCTGCCGCTCACCGGTGCTCTGGACAGCTTACGAATAGTGGGTGGATATGTACAGAATAAGGGGTGGATCAAGCCAGAGCACGAGCATCGAATGTAGATGCCAGACATGGGTTGAACGGCGGCGGGCTCGATGCTTATTCGGAATCGCTTCACAGCAACTTGAACGAGCAAGCCATCTCGCAACAAGGCCTGACGCAGAGCAAGGAAATCAGACACGGCGGCATCTGGTAGAAGCAATAGGCGCGAGCGACGGTATACTATGCTATGCTATGCACTGACGACGAGTTGGGAGCACAGAAGATGCAGCCGCAAAAGAGGAAGATAATAGGTACGGCAGAGAGAGGTGCGAGAAAGCTTCCTCGTGAACAAGGGCTTTCCGACATCATTCTGCATTTGTTCCTGTGATTTCCCCTGGAGGGGTCTCCTCTTTATGGCACTTTGCATGGATTTAACCTGGGGTTCTCGTGGACTGCCAGGATGCGGCAAGTTCGACTCTGGACGATGCGTCTGACAAACCTTGTCGGTGGGAGTTGTTGAAAAGTCGACAAGGGACCTTGAGAGGCCAAGGGAAGAAGCTGGCTGTTGAACAGGGCTGGAAATTGTAGAAGTCTCGGTTGCACTCGGATGCAGCTCCCAACCCCAACCAGAGGAAAAAAGAAGCCCTTTCCGAAGCTTTGTTTCTTCCGCCGCGGACGACTACGACGACAATGATGATGTCCAAGCCAATCTCGTGCCACACCATGCCATGGGTTACGAACATGCTTTCATCGATCCCCTGTCAGCACGACCTCGGGGAAGGGCCAAAGAACAAAAGAACCATCCGTGATCACGATCGCCATTGGCCATGACGCTGAACCTTGGACTGCGGACTGTTGAAATCAGAGTTCCTTAGGGCACCGTCGTACTGTACTGAGGTTCGTGAACCCCATGGACGTTTATGGAGCCCTGGACTCGTTACTATTGAATTGTAAGTAAGTCATGGGACCAGAAGTTGATGGTCGATCAAGATTAGCTTTGGCAAAGAACACTTTCGTAATGCAACTACACTGCGCATCGCAGCAAGCCATTCATTCCCTCTTTCCTTCCTTAGACTCTGTTCCTGGCTCTTCATTTGGTAGGCAGGACGCCAGCGGGCAACTTTGGCGACGACGGTACCAAACAACGCGAGGTTCTTCCTGCAGGCTGCGGATAAACTACTGCACCACGATACTGCACGAGTCAAATCAGAATCCGCCCGTCGCGCACAATCTAGTAGTAACCTTAGTATGTATGGTATGGATGGTGTGCTCCTGCAGGGCATGCATGGCAGCAACGTGAACTCGGGAACAACCACCACCAGCACCGAGCAACACCACCGCCACCAACCCAGTCTACTGTAGTATTAGTATGATTTAGTGTATCGTAGGACTCGACCAGCCTAGCACAGCCGGCGGTACATCCGCTCCACTGTATTTACCAGTTGCAAACCAGGGATTTAGGGAACTGAATCAGTAATGAACCACTGGGCATTTACTTCGGTAGGGGAGGGAGTTGCCGTGAGACGCGTCTAACTCCAGAACATTCATCGCAAGGTGCGCCAGGCCAGACCACGGCCAGCGACCGCTTGCAGATGAAGATGCAGATAGGGACTCGACGGGGAAGCACAAGATGACTGGAACCATAATTAGGGTTAAAGGCTACAGACCGCATGCCCAAGATTCGGTAGGTAAGTTTACTCTCTTCTGCCTTTCCTTGCCTATCCCCCCCCCTCCCCGATCCGGAGCTTTACTTCGTTTCTCTCAACCTAAATAATCGTCATCCTCTTGGAGCGTAGTGGCAGCACGATTCACCACCCAACGCAAGCACTGAAGACTTAACCACAAAAGGCACACACACACCTTTGCGACTTCCGAGCTTCTTCTTCTTTTGCTGCATCGCAAAGTTTGCCTGCGAAATGCAGTGCGCACAAACAATGTCCACCTTAATTATTAGTTCTTTTGCTGGCGCTGGGCTGAGGTGGAACTGTGCTGAGCTGCTGCTACTGCTTATCATCGTTCGGCGTTCGTTGTTCGTTCTCCTGAACCGTTGCTGAGAAACTAGCCTCCTCGTGGCTTCTAAGCCCTACACGCAACGCAACGCAACGCGTCGCCTTCTGAGTCCAGCGAACTCTAACCGTTCTGCTAACACGAACACGAATGGACGCAGCAGAGAGAAAGTGTGAGGTCACGAGGGAACTACAGCATGGAGATGCGCTCTCTCAGCAGTGCCATGCACCGCTATACGGGACTGTATGTGCTGCACACCGCTCAGCATGCGTATATCCATCTATTTGAGTGCGTCCGAGGCAGCGGCGTGTACTATTATTATAGAGATGGCTGGCATCCCATGAGGATGCAATGCACTGTACTGCAGCCTGCAAGAAGGATGGGTCTTCTGCGGTCACTGGACCGTGTGTAGCGAGTGGGAGACCTCGGGAAGCTGTCAATGATGCGCCATCATGATTATTTGTTTAATGGCAGTTCAGACTTAGGTCCTTCACACCACGGCCACCACTCACATCATCATCGATACAGTACCTCTCGCGATTTTCTGTCATCCCCGGCCAGGCCAGACAAAGCCAAGCCAGGCACCGTCCATTCGCCACGCGGTGGAAGCCGGCTCTTCTTCACTGACCGATTGACTGGGCTGTCGTCTCCTGCCGTGGATGCGGAGCCCAACCAGCCTGAGCCCACTCCACGGATGATGAGCCCAGCGTCCAGCATTCGGCGCACAGTGTCCATAATATAACGTGATACACCGGGGTCGTGCACATCCCAGCGCCAGCAGTTGTCCATCTCACCCTATCACTCACTGACTGCTACGGTAGGAGTGGGAAATGGGTGCTGTGCTGTGCTGTGCTGTGCTGTGGAGTGAGTATGCTGTCCAAATCTCGAGCTCTGATCATACCAGAGCCGTTGCGTGAGAGGCGCTCGATACGAATCGATGGAATCACTCATTGCACGGCACGAGGAACAAAGTTTCGTAGGAGAGGAAAGCAGAGGAGAGGAGACTTCGAAAGAAAGTCAGAACAGAATGATCACACCTGTTCCTCAACACAAAACGCACAACACACCACCACCACACCGTCACCGCAGGCACCACCGTTCCCTCTAACCCGTTCTCTCTCTAGCACACGGGACGGACGCCATGGAAATTTATTTCTCTCATCATCGTGGTCCTTAAACCTTACATTACATAGCACCCACTGCTGAGCCCCGGTACCTTGGCTTGCTGCAACTGCGACCACAGCTGCAGCCCCAAGCACCCCAGCTTGGCTTGACCCGCTTCCCTTTTCCTGGTGCTGGTCGTCTTTTCCTTGGGCCCTGCGCCCTCTCAATCCTGGCACCCTGGCCAGGTATGATCTCTTTGGGGCTGGTCGAGGAAGGGTAGGCTCGTAGGAGCCAGGGTCGTCAAGTGTCTGTGGGTAACGGGCGTGGGACTGGAAGACCCAAAAAGCTTGGGGGCTCCCGAGTAAATGCAATAGCATGCCGCCGCCGCTGCTTGCTTGCTTGATTGCTCCTCCTCCTCCAGCAAGAAGAAGACTTGCTGTTACTGCTGCTGCTGCTGCTACTGCGTAAAGCTCAAGAGCGTCATCGTCATCATCCCCAGAATATCCGTCAGCCACCCCATTGCGCTGCATTCTGAACCTCCGTCTGCGTCTGCATCCACATCTTTTTATGTACATCTGCTCCTGTCCAACCCGCATCGCCCTCATCAGCACCCTCATCAGCGTCATCAGCCTGTAGCAGTCTCGGCCGGAAGAGCTTTTTGCGTTTCTTACTCAGTCGATTCGTGCGATTCGTTCGCCGCAACCAACCGCGAGCCTTTGCTGCACTTCGAGCTTATGAGTGGCTCGTCTGCCCCCAAAAGCCCCTCCACTCTGCGTATGTATTGCCCTCGAGTCGCAACCATTCGTTCTCACTGGCTCTATTCGTCTTTCTCGCGCAGTCACTGATGTCCAGTGACCGGTTGTTAGTGTGAGCTGCTGCCACTATTGCTTCTGCCTTGTCCGAGCCCGTCGATTTTATTGTTTAGAGGCAGTCTCCGCCATCGAAGTGCAAACTTGCGTCCACAACCAGCGCCGCCGAGGATCCCTGCACCAAAACAACTCACCTCACAGGAAGAAGAAGAAGAACAAGCAGGAGCAACAAGCGGAACAAGAAACAATACATCAATAAGACTCGCCTGGCGCCGCACAAAGACATGAGCCGCACTGGATGATTCAAACGAGATACACGCGAGCCACCTGCTCAGAATAGTAGCTTCCAGCTCTGAATTCACGACCTCGAAAACCTCACCGCTCGCTGGGACGCCTCATTGGCAAGCCCAAATATCGTAGTCGCTCTGGCTGTACCGAGTCTTCTGAATCGCCCGACGTGCGAGAGTCAGTCTTGTGTTGCTTTTGCTGAAGAAGCACTGATATCGCCAAAACTAACCCGTTTCCCCGGACCTCAGACCTCAGCGGTGCTCGAAGATCGTCTAGCTGACTTTGTCCTCAAGCTTCATAGCTACCAGCAGAGTTGGGAAGATAGTGGTGAACGTCAATGTCCCGGTCCTCGGGACCATCCAGGGTTAGGGGATCAGGACTCGATGTCGCAGCGGCCTCCTGCGTCTCGTCCTGCATCTCGCTCGCCTCCCGATGGTCAAAGAATTATCTTACCACCTGTGCAGCTTCGAGATGACCTTCAGCAGGGGGGACGACCAGCAGAGCGGCCGCAGCAAGAGTTTGAAGGGCGAGGAGGAGGACCACCTCCACAACTGCAACCGTCCCCTCAGTATAGTCGTATGCAACAGCCTCCCCCGTCTGGAGAAGACTGGAGAACCCCAGTTTTAACAAGGGATTTGGGAGTGCATTCCATATTAAATCCACCCGAACCAGAAGGTAGTGGTGCCTCGAGTCGTCGACTCAGTGGAGGAACCACGGAATCTCCTCTCTCAATCGGGCCACCATCTCATTTTGGAGCCAGTCCTTCGACAGCTACGACACACTCGTTTTCCAGTCAGAATGTGCCTTCAAGCACGCCACCGACCGCGGAAACCTATGCAGGAGCATATTCAAGGGTCCCTCGAAGGATACTCACCCCAAGATCTCCATCTCGAGCAGTTAGTGCGGGAAGAAGGGGTTCAACTCAAGCAACCATCGATGCGCAACGATCGCCATTTTTACCAGCTCGAGGAAGATCCTATATGGCTGAACCCGGTCCAGCTGCGTCTTCAGACGTTCCTCCGATGCCAACACCTCCGAATCTCCAACAGCAACAGCAATACGGATTTCCACCATCCTCTTCAACACCTACGATCGCGCCCCGTCGACCAAGTGGGCAGACGATGCAAGCACCTGGACGAACACCACTCTCTCAGAGCGCAAGTCCTAGCATTTCTGCATCTTCGCATGTCCCATCGTCCAGTCAGACATCACCAGCCTCATTTGTGGTCCACAAAGGTGGTGGACCAGGTGCTCAAACGACAGCATCGTACTATCCGGGGTCGTCATTTGCTACTTCGATGCAGCAGGGAAGTGGAATGCAGTTTCCTGGGCCCTCTGGCCCCCCTGAAGGTCCGTACAGCGCTCCCGCTCCTCAGACTCAAGGCAGCTCTCTCCAGTCGAGCAGTACAGGCAGTTCAAGGCAGACTTCAGCCTCAGAGCCCATTCAAGTCCTTACAATAACCACGTCCCAAGGCTCGTATCACGTACCTGTAGATGTACATCAAGCGTCGCGGTTAGCTGACGAGAAGCGCGCGCGCAACGCAGGAGCCTCAGCGCGATTCCGACAACGTAGAAAGGAGAAAGAAAGGGAGGCGAGCACCAATATTGAAAAGCTACAACAGCAAACGAGAGAACTCGAGAGGAAGGTGAAGGACTTGGAGCAGGAAAGGGACTTCTACCGCACGGAGAGGGATCGATTTCGAGATGTGGTTTTCAGGAATCCAGAGATGAGACATCTGGCAACTCAAGCCCCCGCGAGTCCCCAGACGATGCGTTCCGGGTCTTTTCAAGGACCCATGATGCAAATGGGAGGACCTCCACCACCTCATCCGCCTCCGCCGGGATTTGGGTCTGAAAGTGGTCCAGAGCGTGCACCAAGAAGGCGAAGAACCGACACGCAAGGCGATTTCACGAGTTCGACTTACGGAATGCCTCCTAATACGACTCTTCCCCCAGTCCAGCCTGCCGGCTACCCTCCCGGACAGCCCCAAGGACCCACTACTCTTCCCCCTCTGCGAACCGATAATCCGAATGTCCCTCGCACGGGTCCTCCGAATGCGGCCCCAACGACATCTGCTGGGCCTCCACCCGCTTTCGATCCCTATTCTCGAGGTCCCTACGAGCGAGGTTGGCCGGGGCCAGGAGAACGACGTTGAGCGCTTGTATGACAAAGTACGACCCGATGATGGACCCACAGCACATCAATATCCGACGACCACCCCCAAAAGTTTCTTCCTGATTTCCCTCGATCCCGAAACCCATACCATAACCTGTCCGCGAACCGTGTATCTGCTTTGTGTATTTCTACCCACAACATATTTCCCCCTCTCTCTATATCATCATATTATATCCATGGCGCGCGCGTTGTTGTGCTAAGAAGAGCTGCATTGTTGGGCGACCGACACCGTCGAAATCATCATCATTTTATTCACATTTTGCTTTCTCTGGAGCGGAAACTGGCTGCGAATACTTTATACCCCCTGGTGGCGCATACGTTATTTTTTTCTCTTCTTCTTGGTACCTTGTCTTATATCTAAACAGCCTTTACATATTTTTGATTGCGTTACCTTTTTTGAGCCTGGAGTTGGAGCACGGTGGCTGGAAGCATGTTCTTCATTCGGGGTGGTGGAGGTGTCTAGGCGCTGCTGCAAACAACCAACCAAAGTGGGGAGGAGTCCGGATGGGTTGTTGACTTTTCAGTTAAGGTGGGAGTGGAGGAAATGAACTGGGCTGTAAATCAAAGAAAGGAAGAAAGATTGTTTTGTTTTGGTTCTTGTTTGGGAGCAAAGGATGGAAAGGAATACACAAAATTATCGTCATCATCGTCAGACTGTATTGTAGGAAGGAAGGAGGTGTGTTGTTATAAAGCTGGGTCTTTTAATGGTTGGATGTATGGATGGTTGGGAGGCATTTTGCATTTACAGGAGGTGTGCTGCATAGCTAGGGTGAGAGAGCAAGTCTATGAATGAGTTGCTACCTAGAGATAATTGGGTTTTACCTATTTTTATACTCGCACGTGACAAGTGAGGGGTAGCTGTTGGGAGCTCGGCTCCAGCTGCAAGCTCCCGGCGGCAGGTAACGGGTGAGGGTTTCGGAGACTATATAGCATAGCATGATGTGATATACATATCTCCGGTACTTGAAACTAAATCCTTTTCTCGATTCGGTAATCATACTCAGAGACATCCAGAGTTTAGTCAAAAAAAACTGCCGTCTTGAATGGTTGGAGAGCTCACGATAACTGCCAGTATCTGGGTTTCTAAATCGCGGGGCAGATAGCACGGATTAGGAAGTGCGATCCGAGGCTTTAACCCCTCTGGGAAGCTAAGCTGTCCAACGACGACAACGACGACCTAGCGCCCACCTTTGGAGAGGAAAGACCTACCATAAAGCTTCCTCGTCTGCGATCTATGAGTAGAAATCTGTTTACTCCTCTTCTTTCGACGCTTCGAAGATCGGTGGTTCATCAACTAAACTCACGAAGACTATTTACCACGATGTCAGATCTCTCCATCGAGCTCACGGCTCCCAATGGCAGGAAGTATGCCCAGCCCACGGGCCTATTTATCAATAATGAATGGGTGAAGAGCAGTAATGGCGCGAAATTGACTTCTATCAATCCCACGTAAGGCTTCCTTTCCCTTCATAGTAGAGTGATTCTGATTGTGTGTACAGAGATGAAACCGAGATCACCTCCGTCTACGCAGCAACAGCAGACGACGTCGACACCGCGGTCGCCGCCGCCAGAAAAGCATTTAAAGACCCCTCCTGGCGCGACATGTCGCCCACCGACCGCGGCAACATGATGATGGTGCTCTCCGACCTATGCGCCAAGAACGCCGACCTGCTGGCCACCATCGAGACCTGGGATAACGGGAAGACATACTCAGACTCCCTGGGCGACGTGGGAGAGGTGGTCGCGGTCATGAAGTACTATGGCGGATACGCGGATAAGATGCACGGCCAGGTGATCGATACCGGCCCCGCGAAGTTTGCGTACACGATCCGCGAGCCGGTCGGTGTTTGCGGGCAGATCATCCCCTGGAATTATCCCCTCGCGATGGCGGCGTGGAAGTTGGGGCCCGCGCTCGCGTGTGGGAATACGATTGTGATTAAGGCTGCGGAGCAGACGCCGCTGTCTATTCTCGTGCTGGCGAACTTGATTAAGGAAGCGGGCTTCCCGCCGGGCGTGGTGAATATCTTGAACGGGTATGGGAGGGAGGCGGGGGCGGCGATCGCGACGCATTTGGGGATTGATAAGGTGGCGTTTACGGGCAGTACGGGGACAGGGAAGGAGATTATGAAGATGGCGGCGGTGAATATGAAGAATATTACGTTGGAGACGGGTGGGAAGAGTCCGTTGTTGGTTTTTGAGGATGCGGAGATGGATCAGGCTGTTAAGTGGGCTCATATTGGTATGTCTCCCTCTAGGAAATGTAGGTGGCTTGCTGACTTCATATGTAGGCATCATGTCCAACCAAGGCCAGATCTGTACCGCCACTTCCCGTATCCTGGTCCAGGAAAGCGTCTACGATCAATTCGTCGAAGCCTTCAAGAAGCAAGTCCAAGAGGTTTCAGTGGTTGGTGACCCATTCGCCGAAACCACCTTCCAAGGACCACAAGTCACAAAGACACAATACGAGCGCGTGCTCGGCTACGCCAAAGCCGGCAAAGAAGAAGGCGCTATTCTCCTCTGCGGCGGCGAAGCATTCACCAACACGCCGTCCGGGAAAGGATTCTTCATCTCCCCCACCGTCTTCACGGGCGTAAAACCAGACATGAAGATCTTCCGCGAAGAAGTATTCGGCCCCTTCGTCGTCATCGCATCCTTCAAGACGGAAGAAGAAGCGTTAGAGATCGCCAACGATACGACGTATGGTCTGGGATCAGCAGTGTTCACGCAGGATATCACGAGGGCGCATCGAGTGGCGAAACGCATCGAGGCGGGGATGGTGTGGATTAATAGTAGTAATGATTCGGATTTTAGGATCCCGTTTGGGGGCGTCAAGCAGAGTGGGATTGGGAGGGAGTTGGGCGAGGCTGGGTTGGCGGGGTATACGCAGATTAAGGCTGTGCATGTTAATATGGGGAGTAGGTTGTAGTGGGTGATGGGGGAGGGGAAGAAAAGGAAATCGAGCGTATTCAGGTGGCGGGGTAGACATTAGCGCTTCCAGGTGCTTCAGTGTGCTTACCACAACTGAGGGAGTAGGGGGAGGGATGAGAGATGAGGAATGAGACATGAGAGATAAGCTACTTGCTATGGGCCATGAGCTATGAACTATGAGCTAAATGCATTGGATGAAATTTCATCCCTTTCTTTGGAAATTCAAATTTCTGTGGATTCTGAACTCGAGTGAATGCGCAATCATATGAGTTTGCGGTTGTCAGGGACCTGTGCATGTATCTGACTGAGCATGATCTAAACACAGTTCTGTCTACGTACCGTTCGTAGCAGCCCTTTCTTAACATTTTGGCTAAATCGAGATGTTCTCAAGTGAGAGGAGCTAGTTGGTAGGTTTAAGGTTTGTTTTAAAGAGTGAGAAGACACTTTGCATAGTACAAGTGAAGGTGGGGGATATCAAACTTGTCTAATTTCTACAGAAAAATTTGGTATATATATACCCTCCAGCCCAGCCCAGCCCAGCCCAGCCCAGCCGGTCCTCAGAAGTCCTCGGAAATTGAAAGAATTTTTCAATTAGAGCCCGGGGTCCGACCCGAGTCTGCGTTATCCAGAAAGCTGATTGAGTTTTATTCCCTGTTTGTCAAGAAATTTTTTGTTTTGTCGTTGTCAAGTGTTTTGTTTTTTCGTGCTGGTGCCATTCTGTTGTCAAGTTCTAGAATTTAATTGAGTTGTAGTTGTGGAGTTTGATATGGGGGGTGGTTTGTGAGGGTAGGTAGGTAAGTTTGGGTGAGAAGCGAGGATTGGGTTTGGGGCCCGGATTATCTTGATTTGGCTGTGGCTGTGGCTGTGGTTGTTGTTGTGGTGGTGTTTAGTTGGTGGATGGGCTGTTGAGGGGGTTCTTTTATAGGGTTCTTGGGGTATTGGGTTAGAAAGTCAGAAGGATGAGGTGGAGTCAATGAGTTGGAGGTGGAGGGGCGGGTTTGGTGTTGGTGTTATTCACTTTGTTCGGAGTGTGTTTTTTTTTCCCCGGAGGGGAAGTGAATAAGTGTTGAAGAGACTAGAGAGGGGCTGGAGGGGTATATATAAACAGGTCGGGACGGAGAAATTCGAACTTCCGTGCCGACGAAGACAACGATGGACCGCCCAATCTATGGGAAAGTTGTGCGTGGGACGCAGGGCAGGGAGAATTCTTCAGCCAGGAGATTGTTTGGGGGCAATACATGGAGATGTTTTAGGAGTTTTTTCTTTCGCTGTTGCTAAGTGTTTGTTTGTTGTTGTCAAATATATTCTTTTGTTGTTAAGTTTTGGATTTTAATTATAGTTGGCAATGCTTACTTGGAGTTTTGATGGGCATGGAAGGAAGAATTTGTGGTCTAGGTTGGTTATGAGAAAAAGAGCTTCCCCTCTACTCTATGCACGAAAGATGACATCTGCAGGAAGGCCTATGGTGTCTGGGTGGCATTGAACAGGTGCTTTTATATGGCTTCAAAGTGGTAGTACTGGGGGGCTAGAAGGTTAAGTGTTGAATGGAGTGAATGAGTAATTAAAAAAGGGATCGGCATTGTTCACCTTTTTGCAAGTGTTTTCGGCGGGAAGGGCGGGCAGTGAATTACAGAGGAAAATAAACTCCTTTGTCTATAAATACAGGCGGCCACCCCGTCCGCTTTCTTCTTCTCTTCTCAATAAGAAAGCCGAGTTCAAATTAGAATTGGAGCTGAAGTTGGAGCGGGCGAAGATAACAAATTTTTCTATTAGACAAGCGTCACTGGAGCCATGCCTGGGTTTGGATTTGAGCGCTTCGCAACTTTCGTCTGTCATTTAAAGGTGGAATTGAGCTTTTATAATTCCAGACATTTGGCCCTAAGGATTTTCCAGAGTCTGAAGAGGCATTGAAGAAAGGTATAAACATACAGGCCGGGACGGAGAATCTTGAACCTCCGCACATAACAACTTGGGAATCAGAGAGTATGCCAGGGTGATGCAAGGTGACCTGTTATTTCTACTATGGGAAGCCGAGGATAAAGTTACTAGGAGGTTGTTTGGGTAAGATAAACAGGACTCAAATAATCTGACCTCCACTTCGAAAGGTTGCAAATCACATATATAGTAATCAAATATTGAGAGAGTACATTGGTCAATGTTAGGAGAATAAAGTCGGCTGCGGGTACTCTCGTCATGAATGTGAGGTGAATTCTTCACATTGGCTATTTAAAATTATTGGGGATAATTTGATGAGTGAATACCAGCGCCCTGACACAGTCCAGGTGCACGCTAACAATCGTTCTCCCAGGTATATAAACCCTTGAACTGACCTAACGCTTTTGGGAAAGGCGAGTAAAACGGAGAAGACAGTCGATGGTTGGGTGGTAACCAACTTGTGGGGGTCAGGCTGGGAGGGAGATGGAAGGGGAACTTCTTTGGTGGGAAGGTTGGTTGTTGAGATATCTACCCAGGTTCCCTTTTACTACTGTTAAGAATTTTTGTTATTGTTTGTTGTCAAGTTCCTTCTTTCTGTTGTTAAGTTTTGAAATCCGATTGTGATTGTGGATATTTACTTGCGGTATGTATGAGGATAGAAGGGAGAGTTTGTTGTTGGACTAGTGGTAGTGACACGTGTTGGAGTTTTGATGATGGATGTAACTGTGATGTCTGGTTGGCGTATGTATTGTTAAGGCGTTTTTTTTATTTATATTTTCCGAGATGTAGGGTAGGAGAGTTAGGTTGCTAGGTGAGGATCGAGTAGAGTGAATAGAGTTGGTTAATTAGAGGGGTAGGTGTTATTCACCTTTTTTCAGCGTATCTTAAAGGAGAAGTGAGGGGAGTGAATGAGGAACGTAGAGGGGAAGAAGCAAACTCAACGCCTAATACAGCACACAGTGGGCAGCTCATAATTCACTTCATCGAGTTTCTCATCAAATACTAGCGTGGCGCTAGTGTCGATATAAACGAATTTTAGTACGCCAGATATCATTCTTCTTTTACATCAAACATCATAGACATACACGCGGGGGTCGCAGGTTGGCCTTGAGGCCCCTGGTAGCTCGAGGTATGGGAAAGATTTGTATGTTGAGTTTGTGTTTTGCAGCTTGCTATCCTTGTCAACTGTCTGCTTTTGTTAAGTCTCTCCCTATTGCCAACCGTCTCCATTTACAGACGACATCTGAAAAGTCCCTCCTCTACTTGATATACTACGACAGAAATCAATAATTATATCCACAGCAGAATCCGGGCCCGAACAGACATGGCTCTCGACCATCACCATGACCATGTCTGCCTTGTGCTTTTCATTGACATTTCTATATAAATACTCTCTAAGGGGTATTATTTATACTTGCAAGAATCTAGATCTGAACGAGAAGTTCTATGGGCGCCTGAGGTGCTGAATTCGAGTCAGACGTTGAAGCTTGTGGTGATCGTCGTTTACCAGTGAATGAGTTCGAAGTGGAACTTTGAATTTGGTATTCATGTTATTGAAAGTTTCGAGAGGCGGAGAATAGGAGTGAATCCGTGAGGGTGGAGTATGGTAGAGAGGGGTTCATAGAGGTATAAATACAACAAGCAGACTGAGAATCATTGCAACAACGCCGTCCGAGCCACCTCTCCCAAGATTGGTCCCGGAGTCGATGTTCGTGCCATATATCTATCCGTCTCCTTTTGTTATTTGAAACCTTCAGGCTTGTGTGGATTTATTGATTAGATTCATGTTTTGGGTTCGAACTACTATTGTTAGATATGCTGTTGTTGTCAAATATTTCATTGCTGTCAACTCTATTTCAGATGTGAACCACTCTGTTGAATGTTCACCCATTGTGCAGTCGTCATAGACTATTATGGTTGAGCATATGTTGAGGAATGGAAGAATCATTACTCTTAATTAGTGTAGTACTAGTTCAAGGGTATGATTTAATGCATGATGCAACGACTCCACGACTGATGACAGGTGTCATCAGCTAGTGGGATCGAGCATTATATAAAGCATAAGGACAGCCCTGTAGTTTTTAGAAATCAAGTCAGTTATCACACGCGAATAACAACACACTCATTTCTGGATAATTCAACTGTGAAGAGAAAGGCTAAAAATGAAGCGTATTGATCTGATTTGTATCAATAATAGCATTTTTCACTGTTAATGAAGCCAAAATACTCTTTTGATCACTAGCCCTCAACACTCAAGATGTCTGGAGCTTCATGTTTGTCTAATGCGCAGTCTACTTCAGGAAAATATTCTTATGTCAGGGATTAGGGTTTTAGCGATCCGCGCCATCCGCACCGTTGACAGCCCGCTGACAGCCCAGCCATTAGCACCAATCAGAGTACGTATAAATTCATTGACTACGATCGCGACAACGTCACCAATTCACGAAATTTTTTTAAAAAAAATTTTATATTATAAAAGCTTTAATTAAGCGCATTCCAACGGTCCGTAACACCTTTTCACCCAAAAACATCACATGAACAACACGTAACGCAACAAAAGGTTGGACGACACACTTTTGTACAGGTGATTAAGCGAAGCGAGTGCGTCGTATGTTGAATCTTTATATACTTTGCAAGTACACCGGCAAAGCGAAAAGGAGACGTAATGCAACGAAAGATTCAAGTTTTTACACCTTTTGCCAGTGGATATGATCCAACGAAAATTCGAAATACTCCTTACAAGTGGCACAAATCCAAAGAAGATAAGAGGTAAGCGAGATTTCCGAGGTTATGTATGAAACAGAAGATGAAAGCAACAGCAAAGTCCGATTTCGAAGCTCACCAAGAAGGCCCACGCTTGTATTAATATGAGCGTGTTTTGTCTCATTTGATGCGGGTACGCACCACGGAAGCTAAGCACTTCGGGTCCGAGTTTGCGCGAGGTTTGGATCTCGAAAACTTGAAGCTTTCGTGACAAGACATCGATCATCGAAACGATAGATGGACTTTCATACTCTGAATTTCAGTGAATTTCACGGAGATAAACATCACTATCATTCCAGTCTCACAGTGCTACTATAGCACCACCTACTTTATGAATGAATCATGGATTCGTGTCGTAGATTCGCGGTCTAACTCCGAAATTCTAGTCGTTTCGAATCTTCATCGGTTGGACTTTCTAGATGGGGGGCTTCTTAATTCATTTCAATTTGTTCTGCATGGTAGCGCATAAGAAGTTTGTTGGTACTGAAGTGGTATGAATTGATACTAATACATATTGGATTATGGACTGACTTGGAGTGGGTCTCGCTTCTGCCTCCACATATAAAAGCGCACTGCACATCAAATCTTATCAGTTTTTCAATTCATTGATCTACCACCAGCAGTCAAGTCGCAATTCGAAACCAGGTAAGACATCCAAAATAAAAAGAGGTATGACTAGCAAGCTTACCATTGTACAAAGTTATCAGTGGTGCTGTTTTAAAAGTCATCCAAAGGACAGCTTGAAATATTCAGGTGCTCTCACAAAGATGTCCCAAACTTCGGTGAGTATTCATCTTTCTACAACTCTCCCAAGATTGGTCGCTTACAAGAAGAAGTCAGAGGTCATCAAGCCCTGCTGCTGTTGCTGCTGCTGTCATCGCAACGAATCAGCCAACACTAGGGTCACTGCAAAAGACAATAAAGTAAGAGCTGAGGCCACCGGGAATGGCCCACTTAAGCGAAACTCAACAAATGAGACCTTATTTACCAAAAATCATAATTTTTTAGTCTTCTTATGAATCTCTGTGAAAATGGAACTTATTATCAATTAATAGTAGCCATACCCTTGTACTTAATTACATCCTCAATCTTACAAGTCAATTGCTCAGTGTAGTGGCGAAAGTCACGTGGGTCAACTCGGTCCCATAGCTTTTGCAACTCCCTCTTCAAATCCACCTTATTTTTGGGCACATAGTCCAAGTTTTTCAATTCCTCCTTCATCCACCTCTAGACCTTCTTAATAGGGTTCAAATCTAGTGAAGAAGGAGGCCAATTAAACCCTCGGATATTGTGCTGTAGTCTAGGTAAT